CAAGTGAAGGAGCTGTCTCTGAAAAGCAATGCGAGTATGATCAAGGCTCTTCGGCGGCTACTGACAGGCACTCTACGCGCTTGTCACACAGCTACTCGACCGTGGATACGGCAAAGAACCTCGTCCGTATCGCCTTTCCCTCGGAGACTTCACAGTCATGGGGGATGCAGCGAAGACCGTACAGGCTGTCGCTAACTTCCTCCCCACTCCATCGTCTCCCATCATCCTCTGCAGGCGCTTCGAGGCTGGGTCCGTAACTGCGAAGACGGCAAGTCGGTCGAGGGTCAAGCCTCAGGAGAGGCGAGCAATCTCGAGAAGTTGTGAGTTCTCAGCCTCTCCTCGAAGGGCAGCATCGCCTACCGCGATGCCTCTTCAATCATCCATCACCACTGGCTCCGAGCTGACGAGCGCCCATTCCCTTCCCCTTTCGACTCTCCTCCTTGACCCCGGCTCGCTCGCTCGCTCGCAGCCAAAGCTGGCTACACAAGGGTCCCAGCGGCGCCAAAGTGGACGACGTGAAATGTTCAACGAAGGAGGACGGCGGCTCATCGCTGCCATACCCCTTTGAGTCTCGTCACTGAGAGGGCGGGCAACACGAGAGTGTGGGCTGGCCACTTTCGTCCTTCGCTCTCGTCCTTCGCTCTCTATCTGCACGTCTCCTTCCCTGGATGTCAATGATATCGATGGTCATCCCATTTGCATGCTCGCGAAGTCTGCAGTATCTACTCGTCCTCCTCTTCCTCCTCCTCGTCCTTCGCATCAAAGTCGCCCTCCTTGTATGCCTTTACCGGGCCGGTGAGCTCCTCTGCCAGGCCGTCGCGAGGGAACGTCTAGACGTGTGAGAAGTGGAGCAGCAGTGTTCACTGTCAGATTGCGGAACGAGACAAAGAGGTCGCCCTGGGGCTCGCCAACTTACCCTCGGAATAAAGTTCCTCTCCGGCGTGCCATAGTAGACGAGACCAAAGAAGGTCGTAAAGGCCGCCACGGCAATGAGGAAATGCCTGACAGCCTTTTGCGGCGGGGTGTTGGTGTGCAGATCAGGGCCCCAGACGGAGAGGATGTCGTCTTGCTCCGATGGCTGGCAGAGCGAGTGAAGGAGAGGAAGTAGTGTGATGAGTAATGGCATTCAAGAGAGGTGGGATCATTGTCCCGCTTTGATAGCAGGTCCCGCCGCGCGACTCACCGTCTCTCCAAAGTTCCTCTTCTCCTGCGGGTCGAACCAGCTCTTGTCGTGCTTTCGCAATTGGAAGCTCTTCATAGGTACATCCGGGTAGTCGCCTAGTTGAGGGTCCTTCTCGTGAACTGCGAGGCGGAGCGACGAGGTTGCGAAGGTACGCGGGAGGGTTGCGCGTGATGAGGAGGAAGCGGCTGTTGAGGCCGTGGCGGCTAGCCTGCCTCCTTGACGGAAGAGCGAGGCCATGACGTGGTGATGATGAGGTCGAGGTCGAAGGGTGCGCGATGACGGACGCGGGGTTGAAGTCGTCGATCGTCGTTGGTCGTCGTTGTATGCCGTCGTGCCACGAGCCAATGGCTCTGAGACGAGGTCCAGGTCCGTCGCCGTCGGGGCCGAGGGCGGGACGGAGGACGGAATCAGCTTCAGGCAAGCAAGCAGGCGTCAGTCAGTCACGACTGGCTGGCGGATTGGATTGGCCTGCCTGGCTCGAGCCTCGAGGCCGGGCGGAGACTGGAGCTGGAGGCTCGAGAGGGCAACAATGCATCGCGAGTCGGCCACTCGTCGCTCGCTCGCGACGACGACGACGAGAGGAGAACATCATCATCTCCACCATCATCGCCTGCACCATCAACATCAGCAGCAGCCACACCGCTTCCTCCTACCCGCCTCATTGATCATCACAGCCGCTTAAGACACGCGCACACCGCATACACCCAGACCGCCTCGCCCTCTTGGCCGCCCCCCTCTGTGTATCTCTAGAAGAAGCAACAACAGCCGACGACGACGACGTATACCCGTACCGCATCACCGCCCTCCGCCCTTCCGCCCTCATCACCGCCAACATGGTCGACATTCAGGAGCAAGACCAGTGGATCTCACACCTCAGCGACTGCAAGCAGCTTTCAGAGGCGGATATCAAGAGGCTGTGTGACAAGGTGCGCATGGCAGAGCAGAGTACGCGGCACCTGCCTTCAAACACTGATCCTAAACTCCATCATTCCCCCTCTGCGCTAGGCCCGCGAGATCCTCCTCGAAGAATCCAATGTCCAGCCAGTACGATGCCCTGTAACAGTCTGTGGTGACATCCACGGTCAATTCGTGAGCATCCTCCAGCCGCGCTTCTCCGCCCACATACCTCCATCTGCTCTCCGACTTACACCTCCCTCAACCCAATTCTCCCCCTTCACACTTGCAGCATGACCTCTCGGAGCTGTTCCGCATCGGAGGCAACTCCCCCGACACGAATTATCTCTTCATGGGCGACTACGTAGACCGCGGCTACTACTCCGTCGAGACTGTAACCCTCCTCGTCGTCCTCAAGGTCCGCTATCGCGATCGCGTTACCATCTTGAGGGGAAATCACGAGTCGAGGCAGATTACTCAAGTCTATGGCTTCTATGACGAGTGCCTAAGGAAGTACGGCAACGCGAATGTCTGGAAGTACTTTACCGACCTGTTCGACTATCTGCCATTGACTGCCTTGATCGATGACCAGGTGAGTACGACGCAAGATTCCTACTCTGCCACCTCCTTGCTCACCAGGCTTTTCTCCTCTGGTGCGCTTCCGCAGATCTTCTGCCTGCACGGCGGTCTCTCCCCCTCGATTGACACCCTCGACCACATCCGCTCCATCGACCGCATCCAAGAAGTGCCCCACGAGGGTCCCATGTGCGACCTCCTCTGGTCGGATCCCGACGACCGCTGTGGGTGGGGGATCAGCCCGCGAGGTGCAGGCTACACCTTTGGGCAGGACATCTCAGAGGCTTTCAACCACAACAACGGGCTCACGCTCGTGGCTAGAGCGCATCAGCTTGTCATGGACGGATTTAATTGGAGCCAGGAGAGGAATGTGAGTTGCGCGAGGGCGTGAGCTCACATGGCACGAAGACACTGATCCTTACTCCTCCCGTACCACAGGTCGTCACAATCTTCTCTGCGCCAAACTACTGCTATCGATGTGGGAACCAAGCCGCGATCATGGAGATCGATGAGAACCTCAAGTACACTTTCCTCCAGTTCGACCCAGCGCCGCGCGCCGGTGAGCCCTTGGTGTCCAGGAGGGTACCGGATTACTTCTTGTAGACGGACAAGAAGGGGAAAAGGAAAAAGCAGGACAGTGCGGAGGGTAGAGAGGCGGAGAGATCGGGGGTCGCGGTAGATGAGAGACGGCAGGAACGATGGTTTAGGAGGAGAGACGAAGGAGCAACGCACTTGTCGACCTCCGAGGACGACGCGATCACAGAGCAACTATAGGACTACGTCACTTCAGTTGAGAGGCTCAGAAAGCGTGACATGTTGCCTTGTCCCCGCCGTACTGATGCCACTCCTGCGGTGAGGCGGTCATCAGGCGAGCCTCTGCCGCACGCGAGATCGCAGAGGTGCAGCATCGTACGGGTCACGTCCGGCTATATCAAGCTCAGGCTGAACGTCGCAAGCTTCGCAACGTTCTGTGCTCTAGATGAAAGATGCTGAGATTGACGTGGCCGGCAAGCAGAGCGGCCACACGACGAGAACATGTACAGAAGATCCCTCCTCCAACGTCTAGTCTCTCCCCCTACTCCTGCACTTGCCACTTCCTCCGATACTCAATCCTGACATCACCTCCTTGACGCCAAAAGAAGCGCTGCACCTGCAGCAAGGTAATATCACCATCGAGCACAGTCCCATTACAGCTGAGCTCGAGATCCTGTGGCCGAAGCGGCGAGGCATCACTGCCACCACTGGCGGCAGGCGTAGCAGGGGTCATGCCAGCAGCTGCTGCCAGATTGGTAACAGAAGGCCGACGAGACCCGCCGACAATGCTTGCCGCGCTACTCGACCCGCCATTAGCCAGCGTGCTAGCAGCAGGGTCGCGCACCACGTATCCCAGCTTCTCGCAGACGTACAGGCTCGCCTTGCTTAGCCTCAGCATGCGCGTCGCGGTAAGCTTTGCCTCGCCTGATGGTAAGCATGGGACAGAATCGTCCGATGGGGCGAGGATGAAGCTCATCTTGCCCGCTCCAGGCGCTTTGCTCGCTGCGGTCCCTGCAGTCGCAGTCGCGGTGGAAGTGTCCTTCTCCTTTTTCTCTCCGAGAAGGAGGAACTCCAACAACCAACCTGGCAGCGCCAGCTCCAGTGCTCCCACGTCGTCGCGAGCGGAGGCAACAAGACCGCGATAGATCGTCTCCCATTGAGCCGCGTCTGCTGATGCGATTGAGATCGATATGCTCGTGTTGGGCGGGAGGGAAAGCGGTGGGAGGATGTCTGCTGAGCCGAGGTTGGTGGGGGCGGTATTGTCTGTTGTTGAGGTGCTGCTGCTGGTGGGGACTTGAGCAAGGATCTGACGCGCGAGTGCAACGGTGGGGAGGTCTTTGCGCGACGCAGCCGCGGTAGTCGCATTGGCCGCTGAAGTAGACGGTGTCGCTGTGCCAGAAGCGGTTTGCCCTGCTGCGGCCCCCCTCTCTTTCGTCGGCGTAGCGGTTCCACCGCCGCTTCCTCCATTCTTGTCCTTGCCAACGCGCAGCTTAGCCCCAAGGCGACCCATAAGACCCTTGCCACCGGTTGTACCATCTGCACCAGGCGTATCGACGGAAGCGCTACCCAGCGCAGGGGATGACGGCAGAGAAGGCATGCCCGCACTTCCACCTGCGCCGGGCCGTTGCGGTGCAGAGTCGAGGGAAAAGTAATCTGCAGGCACAGCGGAGCTTGCTGGTCCGGCTGACGAGGTCGACGTAGCTGCGGGTACGACACTCTCGGTCAAGCTGGCCATTGCAGGGTAGGTGTTGGCGAGACTGGGGCTGAGAGGTGATGCGCCCGCGGGGCCCACTGCTGGCGTCTGTGGCGCCAAAGCCAGGCCGATGGTGTTGCCTGGCGTGTGCATGCCTCCAATCATGCTTCCGTCGTGAGGGAGGTTCTGCATTTGTAAGTGAGGTCGTTGATGCGTCCGAGCCGTGGAGGAGCTAGAGGTTGGCAACAGTGGCGCCTGCTCTTCTTGAGCTAACCTTCGCACCACTTCCTCCCGCCTCTCTAGCGCCAGCTCCCCCTTGCCCAGGACTCCTCCTTGCCCTCCTCTTAGGAGCTTCTCTCCCTCCACAAAGCCGCCGAAGAGGCCCCTCAACACCCACTGACCCAAATTTGCTCGTTGGTCATCCCTTGAGTAGCTCTCTCTGCCCACCCAGTCACTACACTCATCCAAATAGAGCTCAGCATCGAAGCACGACCCCACATCGAGGTGCACAGCAAGGCTTCCCGCCCTCGTATCAACGGAGCACCACGCCTGATTGGCGCCGAAGCCTTCGATGTGGGACTTAACTTTCTCGAGTACATCCCCGGGCGTGTCCTGGTGAGTGAGGAGCGGCGTCAGGTCGGAGCCGCGGTAGTAGCCTAGGCAGGTACAGCGGACCAGATCCCAGAGGGCTATCTCTGTGCTATCATCGTCGCTGTCGCTCTCCTCTTCGTCGATGGCCTTGTCGCTGGCAGCGTCGTCTTGGCGGTGATGGTGGTTGTGATGCGCCCTCCCTGGCGAATAAGTCAAGACATGCCGGCGATCATTGAGCATGCTACTTCTCGTCAATCCCCTCGTGCCCCTAATCACATCCACGGGTTTGGAGCGGAGCGGAGTAGCTTTTACGGCGACCTCTCGCTCCTCGAAGGCTCGACGAGCAATAGCTGCCTCGTCTGCGTCGCTCTCGCTTTCAGCATCCACGCCATCGTCCATTTGCTTGACTCCACCCGCACCGCTCAGACCTGAGTCGTGGCGATCGACGCTCATACGCGAAGAGGCGAAGCGCAACGAGGTAGAGAAGGAGCGACGACCAGCCACCGGGGCTGCTCCCGCTGATGGGGCTAGAGCCGCTTGCGCAGCCAGGGCACGCATCTGCGCCAGGCGGGCGAGCGTCAAACTTCCAACAGCTGCGACTGCTCCACCGTCAAGCGCGAGCGAGTTGCGACCCATCGAGAAGCTAGAAGCACGATGTTGCCCCGCATGGTGACCATGTCCCAATGTGCTGCCGAGCCCGCCCGTGGTGCCCATCCCAGTTGTCCCCAGGCCAGTGCCCATGCCATAAGGATCGTCGCCTGTGCTGAGCGAGACGAGCGAGTCGAAGGGGATGCCAAAGAGGGTGGCTTCGGGCTTGACGCCGGGCACAAGGGAAGGGGCACTGCTTGTGTGCGTGGTCACAGCGGTATTTTTGACTTGAGGCGACGAGGAGCGCGCTGCGCCGCTGCCGGCTTCTTTGTCATCTTCTCGAGCCAAGGAGAAGGAGACGTGTGAGTGATGCCCAGTCAATGGGGGCGAAGGGATTGACGAAGAAGATTGCGTCTGGCCCTGCGTAGGAATAGCGAGACTGCTCCCCGACTTGAGCGCCGAGGGCAAGGGTGGCTTATTCGCAGGTGGAACAGGCGAAGATCGCTCCATCTCGCTGGGCGTTGGACTGTCCGCGATGCCAATTGCATCTTCACCGCCAAAAGACGTCCAGCTGCCCTTCACTGCAGGCGGAGCATACTGAGCCGGCGTCGCAGTGGTGCCGTAGTCAGGCTCTGATCCCCGTCTGAATAAGCTGGGCTCCCTGGTCTGGTAGTCATCCCCGCGAATAGGATAGAGAGCTTGCCTACTTCTTCTTGTCGGCACATCCTTCCAGCACTGCACGTCAGCTCCAGTCCCCGCAGTAAAGACGAAGCCATCATCCACGGCCACAAGTCCATCAACGGGGCCGCCTGTTTGTGCGAGGACAATGCACTCCCCCTCATCCATCTCCTCGCAATCCTGCGTGTCCACTTTGCATACGACACCATCCCTATCCGCCGAGTAGAAGACCGAGAGGTCGGGACAGTTGGAGTAGAGGGAAGTCACGCTCGTCGAGTGGTGAGAGAAGGAGTGAACAAGACGCTGCTCGCCTACATCCCAGACTTTGACTGTTCCGTCGCTGCTGCTCGAGAGGAGATGACGGCCAGAGGAGGAAAGGAGAAGAGAGCGGATCATGTCCGTGTGGCCTAGCAGGTGGCCTACGGGGCTGGACGAAGGCCCAGTGTCTGCTCGTGGATCGTACAGGCGGATGCCATGCTCCGATGTGCCTACGGCGATGATCGCCCCATGAGCGTCAGTGTCCACACAATAGACGCTCGCGAGGTCGTGGAGGTCCAATATGGGATCTCGCCGCATCTCGTTGAGGTCCCAGAGCTTGACGTGCTGATCCAGCCCTCCCGAGACGAGCCAGGGAGGAGTCGCGAAAGTAGGGCATGCAAGCGTCTTGACGTAGTCGCTGTGCGAGCCCAGAACTGAGGGGCTGAGACAGGTGGCAGAGTCGTGCGGGTTCCAGAGTCGGACGAAGCGGTCCGAGGAGGCGGTGACGACTGCATGTGGGGAGTGGAAGGGAGTGAGCGTGGATTGACTGGCTTGCAGCAAGTCGCCTCGACCTACCAGTCTGATTCGAATTGCAAAGCAGCATATCGTTGATCCAATCGGTATGCGCCTGTACACAGCTCCTGAATTGAGCCCGAGGGGCAGAGCCGTTGTGCTTTGCCCACTCCTCATCAACCTGCCACTTGTCCTTGAAGGGCAAGGACTGCCAGTGGTCGGGTGTTGAGGTCCGGGCCGCCTCTTCTTCATCGTCCACAGCGCTATTGTCTTCGTCGCTCTCTCTCTGAGCATCACTGGCCCCTGCGCGCTCACTAAAGATCCACTCATCCTCATCATCTTCGGCCATTGAAGTGAAGTTGCCCCTTCTGGCAACGCTCGTTGTCTGCCGTCTGCGCTTCTCCATCTTCATCCCCAGCTGCCATGAAGCGACCAGCCCGTCTCTGCCTGCAGTGTAGAGCAGTCCAGAGGGAGTGGGATCGTTGTTGCCGCCATCAAGAATGGAAGTGCTTGGATCGATTGCGAGGCAGGTGACGGGGAGTGCATGGCGGGGATGACGGGGCTGCGTCGATGAAGATGGATCTCTTTGTGGCGGCTGCGAGGGATGAAGTTGGATGATGGGTGCCGATCCACCCTTGATCGCTCTAGATGGATGACGTCCTGCGCCAGGCAGAGGCGGTAACTGTAGACGAGGCGGCGGTGTGGAAGAGGATGAGGCCGGGGGAAGCACGTAGGTGACACGCTTCGGCTGCAGATTTGCTGCTGCTAGCGCCGACGACGAGTTGTTAGATACCGACGATGTTGACGCCGTCATGCCGCTCTCGGGTGGTGCGACGACCATGGTATGGTGATATTGGGAGGCAAACAAAGACAGATGATTTCGTTGCACCTCGTTGCTCGCATGCAGGAACGTCGACGAGATTGCCTCGCCCGACGCCAGACCAGCCGCCGATGGAGTGCGACGGCGACTGAGCAACGTCCGTGCGCCGGCAGTCTCGGAAAAGGGCCCCCACCAAGCTTCACAACGCTCAAGATTCTTCGCATCGCAACGTCGCGCAAATGTATCAACAATCACCGATGAAGACGAGCCTTGATTCGTGTCGTCATGCCTTCGTACCTGTCGCAGCTGATGCCGCCTGCTTTGCTTCCCTCTGCTGCGATGCCCATTGACGGGCACGAGCGATGCGATCTCGTGCCTTCTGTTCGGCTTCCTCGACACTTGCCGGCTCTGGTTTTGACTCCACAAAGTCTACTGGGCCAGCTGGTCGATACTCCCCTAAAGCTGATGCTGCGGTCGCCTGTTCTGCTTTGCGCTCGACATCTTCTCCTGCTTCTACCTCAACCTTCTCCACTCCAACCTCGCACGCCACATTGTCCTCGCTCCCATCATCAGAATCGTACCCACTCAGCAGCCCAGTCATTGCCTCCTTGTCCTTGCCCTCTCTCTTGACCTCCGCATCAGGATCGACATCTTCCCAACTCAACTTCTCTCCCGCCTTCAAGCGCTCCCAGATCTCATTAGCCCTCCCACCACCTTCTTTCCGCAGGAAAGCAAAGCGCTCATCACGACCATGATGCGTGAGAATGCGCAACTCGAGCTGCTTGGGCTTGGCTGAAGAGCCGACTGCGGTAGCCGTTCGCAGCATGAGGTCAAAGGTGGATTTGGTCAACGGGACAGGTTCGCCCCAGGGGAAGGCGGTACTGCTCGCTCCGGAGGCGGACGGGTCGGCCGCTTCGATTGCTTGCATTCTTGCCAGCCGTCGCTCCTCAAGCTCTCGCTTTCGCTGTTGATTCTGCCTCTCAATGCGTCCTGCTCGTCGTACGGAAATGTAGGCTGCTCGCTCCTCCGCGTCTGAGAAGTCCGAGGCGCCCTCTTCGTCAGAGGGGTGAGGTGATAGCTTGTCCTGATCATCGACCTGGCTTCTATCCGCATACAGTCTGCCTCCTTCCCATCCCTTCTCCCACAGAGCCTGATTCAGCCCCAAGGGATCAGCAGCTCGAGCTGCAGCAGCATTCTCGAAGGCGTCACTGGGCGGCAGCAAGTTGTCGGCGACCTTAGAGATCATGTCCTCTTCCGCTGCTCTCACTCGCCGTTGCTTCGACGAGGATGGTCCAGCCGCAGCGTATCTACACCCATCGTCGTAACGCGGCCGCTTGAAGCTTTCGCGCTCCTCTACCATCCTGCGAGAATGATGCGACGACGATGAGTCCGGCATGCCTGCCTCTGGTTTGCTGGCGCCGGCTCTTTGCGTGAAGTACGAAAGGAAGACAAAGAGACAGGCAATGGACAGCCGAGTCCAACACTCGAGATTGAATTTCACTTCAAGCCTCCACCCACGCACCCACCCGCACCCCCAGTCCGCCCTCAACATCGCAACCAATCGCTCACATGCCGCACCTCTTCTCCCTAGATCCGCAACTTCCAATCAATGCCAATATCGGCAAAATCACGAAGGCCAGGGCCTCCTCGACCTCCTCCCGTATGGGCCGAAACGCGTCAAGAGCTTGCTGAAACCCTCCCTTACTACCGTGCCTACCAACAAGGGTCGTACGTCGTCGGTCCTCATCATGTTGCGCCTGACCTGGTTGCGAGGGCAAAGGCTAAGCAGGTCAAGGTGGAGAAGGATGTCACGCCGTATGCCTATCTTTTGGGCGGGTTTGGGTCGCCAAGGGATCAATGGGCTGACGGGGGAAGAGTGGTCATTTCCCATGGAGGAGGGCACGCAATGTCTGTTGACCCCAAGGCGGCCAAGAAGGAGGAGGGCCAAACAGCGCAGAGCGCCAATGTCGACGACCTTCTCGCCTCTCCCTCCACGAGTAGCGCACCAGCCAAGTTGAGCCTCGCTTCCTCGCAATCACGTCACGACCCCCGCATCGCCGCCCTCCTCTCCTCTCAGCGGCACGGGATACCCATCATCCTTATCATGGGGGAGAACTATCCGCTCGCCGATTTTGAACTCAACTGCGGATTTGCGGTGCTGGGCTGGTATTTGGTAACGCATTGCTGGGCCGAAGGAGAAGCGGAGGGAATGGTCAGATGGAAGATGAGATTTGAGTGGATGGAGGAGCAGGGCGTGCCTTGGTGGGAGATCGGGGAGGGTGAGGTTGAGATAATTTGGAATCCAAGAGTGAGGAAGGAGATGTGCGAGCAGCAGAGTCAAGCCGCAAAGGCTCAGATAACGTTCGTTCCAGAGGCAGAGACCTCAAGGAGGTCCAGGAAGCGGGGCAAAATTGCCAAGGACTTGCAGAAGAGGCTGCGAAGGCGAAGACCGTGCGTACAGCGTCGCCGGGAGCTATCGAGCAAAGTGGCGTAGCTGACGACGCTGCCACATACAGGGGCGAAGTCATCAAGGTCAAGGATGGCTCTCTACAGCGCGTATCGACGGACGTGGCAAGTGGCAGCAGCGTCTTAACGAAGCGGTGTCCTCACTGCCAAGAATTGTCTCCACAAGTATACAAGGTCGGCTGGTCATGCTTGGTCCCAGAGTGCCCCGTAGGCTTCTGGCAATTTAACGCAGGAGCTGAAGAGGGTCAGGATGCCTTTGATGTCGTACCAGACTTTTTGCGCTCGACGGCTGCCGCCTCGAGCTCAACGAGCACGCTGCCTTTCCCGCTGGAGCCGGCGGATGATGAAGCGGAAGGTAAAGCAGGTGACGCCAGCATCTCCGGGGGCCTTAAAGGTTAGCTGCAGCGTTGATCATGATCAAGACAGTCCAGCTAAAGTCCCCTCTAATCTCACACTCTCAGGCATCTTCTGCAAAGTCTGCCACCGTCTCTCTTGTCGAGAATATCTCGCCTCTCACCAATGCGCCCATTGTGGGATGACAAAACAGCTGCCCAGGCAAGAGCACGAAGCCCCAAACGTTACTCAGCTGGCACCACCACCGCGCCCCCTAACAGAGGAAGCCCTACTTCACGACGCAATGATCAATTCCAAATTCGACATCAGGGTGACACGAAGGATCTTTGACAGTGGTGTCCCTCCAGCCATCGATGAGGAGGTCGACAGTATAATAGGGCAGGTAGAGAACTTGACACGGTTCGAAGTCATCACGTACGAGTTCCCGCACGTATTCCTCGATAGCAAGGTGCACCTGGTACAGCCCTGCATGGACGAGTTTGGGGCTCACGACGCTGCGGGTGGAAGCAGGGACGCCGCGTCAGACCACATCCTGAAACTCCTGCTGCACTCATCATTGATCGCTACTTCCCCAACATCTGGCGCATCGGATGCGCTCTCTCTACCACCTCTACCCCTCCGTCGCCACGAACTTACAATGCATCGCTCCACGGCCGGATCCAGCGGACGCAAGGCACGTCTTCTCACTCAGATGTACACCGCGAATGTGGGAGCAGCCTACAAGCACTCGACGAAGACGGAGACCATGCCCTGGGAACAGGCGCCTCCCGGAGTGCTGGAGGCGAAGAAGCTGCTCGAGGAGAGGACGAGCTGGTGTACTGGGGCAAAGAGAACCAAGGAAAGATTCAATGAGATCTACCCTTGCTATTATGCGGAGGGGATGCGCATGAACTATCATGATGACGGTGAGCCGGGCTTGGGGCCGCTCGTGTCGTCCCTCTCCCTTGGACCGACGTCGGCTGTTATGAACTTCAGGCTGAAGAGGAAATTCTTGGAGCCTGTCGCGTCGCCAGTCTCATCGTCCTCGGAGACAGTGAAAGGTCAGCAGAGCAAGTCTGCGGCGACCCCTACCATCCGACGCCTCTACCAAGATCTGCAACGACGAGCTCTCTCGCAGTGGACGGAGTCTTCCTCTATCTCTAAGACGGACCGCGTAGCCCTGTCCTTGCCGCTGCGGCATGGCTCTGTAGTCGTACAGGAGGGCAGGGCCCTGCAGGAGTACTTTGAGCATGCGGTGCTCCCTGATTGGGAGCGAAAGGGTACGGACGCCGCAAAACAAGAAGGAGCAGGAGCAGGAGGGAGGTTCGGGGTGACGGCGAGAAGTATTGGGACAGGAGGTCGAAGCAAGGAGGAGCAGCTGTGCGTCAAGGACGAGTAATGGAGTCGCTCGACGTCTGCGGTTTAGTGGCACGAACAGTTAGGCGCAGAGCAATGATTGTGATACCCACAATGAAGGGCAAGAGAGAAACCAAGCAATGTACAACAAGCGAGCCGCGACGTCGACATCAACAATTCACCGAGCCATCTCCACGATCTGCTCGTCTGTCCTTCGTTCCGTCCCTGGCTCAAACAGCTAGCATTCCGCGATCGACCCCACCCCTCCTCCTGTCAGCCTCCATCGCCGACGCGACCTCCTCCTGCCCACTCCTATCGCTGATATTGCTCAGCATGCTGCTCAGCGTCTCAATATCCTCAACAGTCGCCACGCTCCAGACCTCGTACTCGGGCTTTTCGCCACTAGCCGTGCGTGACGCCAGGGAGGCGTTATTGCCGCCACTCACTGTCGACTCCTGAGCATCCTCAGCCGCCGCCCTCTCGCGAGCCTTTTCCATCCTCTCCTGGTAGCCAAGCTCGCGGGAAAGGAGGTGGGCACACGAGCGTCCAGGCCCCAAGCAGATGAAACGCTCGACACCCAAGCTCCTCAACCGCTCCACTGAGTCTAACCAGCGCACAGGCTTAGCCAATGCGCCAGTCAAGTCCTGCCTGACCTCATCTGCCGTCCTTAGTACGCTACCATCCACCGAAGACACCAAGGTCATCCCTTCATCTGGCGCGCGAAGCGGCAGATTGGCAAGCGCAGGACCAAGAACAGCCCCTTGCATTATGCTTGAGTGGTATGGACCAGACACGGGCAGGTTGACGGCTCGTGCCCCCAGGTTGGCATTGCGTAGCGTGTCGCACGCGAGGGAGACGCCAACGCGCGTACCGGAGAGGACGACCTGAAGGGAAGAATTGATGTTGGCCACCTCGACTACCTCGTCTTGCGCTACGTTCGGGATGGAGCCGGAATGGATTGCTGCTTGGACTTTTTGCACCTCCTCCAACACCTGAGGCAGCAGGCCAGGGCGGACCATGACGCCGCTCATTTGGGTTCTCTTCCATCCGCGGACCGTGCGCAGCCAGCCCTTCTTGTCTTGGTTGCCGACCTCTTGACGAACTACGTCCCCATCCGTTGCGGCTGACGTGGGAGGCACCCCGCCTGTTTCTTGCATCTCGTTGAGTAGCTCAGCACCTTTGCCTGAGCCTGCGTTCGCGAAGGCCCACGTCTCGTAGACGGACTCGGGCCGTGTACAGCCTGGTGGGAAAAGGATGGGATGATTTGCTACGTGTTGGCTTGAGAGGAGACCGCGATGCCTCAGCAGTCGGACTGCGTCAATCATATCCAACGCTCCAGAGCCGACGAGAGCAGCATAGATGCCTGAGCCGTGTCCCGATGCGTGCGTCACCTGGCTGGAGACGACATCGAGGCTGAACTCCTTGCGCAGCACGGCAAGGATGGAAAGTGTAGCGACGAGGATGGACGGCTGCGCGTTCTCCGCCCTCGTGAGGTCGAGCTGGTCACCAAAGAAGACGGTGTCTCTCAACCAGCCTCGCCGGCCTCGCGGGTTCGCACTGCGACGCTCGTCCCACTTATGGCTCTTTGCAAGTTCCTCCTCAAAGGTGCGACGCTGCTGCTCGCTCTGGGCACGTTCCTGCCCTCGGCCGGGAATGTAGCCTAGACTGGAGTGGCGTGCATTGCCTCGCTCCCCATCGTCAATGGTAGAGGGATGCCCGCGGCCAAAGGGGCTGCTGCTGGGGAGGAGCGGGCTGACCAGAGCCTCTTCTGCCGTGTGCCAGACGGAACGTGCTGAGCGGAAGGAGCGATAGATGTCGCGACACATGGCTACGTATTGTGAGCCTTGCCCGGGGAAGATGAGGGCCTGCGGTGCGGTGCAACATGGGGACGCAACAGTCAGCGTACGCAGAGGCGGTCTACTATGGTCAGTGAGGCTCACCGTCTTCTTTGGTCTCAATGCAGTCGTGACTCGCGACTCGCCAAAGCTGCTCCCCGAGGGCGACACGGATGCAGCTGAGTTGAAGGACGTCGAAGGCGAGGAGAAGTAGGTATGATGTGGCATTGCTCTTGGCGAACGCATTGTGGGAGCGTACTAAAGGCGGCACGAGAGGGAGGGCGTCAATGAGCTGTTTAGTCTGACAGCGATTCTCCTTGAGGTCGCTTGCGCTGCTCACAGTATGCTCATACCCTCTGACAATCTCATCATCTCTCTCCCTCGTAGCTGTCCTACTCTGATCAGGAAGTCCTCCTGCCCTCCTGCGTTTGCCATACCCTGGTACGGCGCCTTTGCCCGCAGATCCGCTGATGAGGATGGATGTGGGTGGTGGTGTGCCATTGAGCGGGTTGCGACGTGGCGATGAGGCGCTGCCACTGGTACTACTGGTGGTGCTGCCACTACTTTGGCTACTTGAGCCTCCCCTCGAAGTGCTCGAGCTGCCAGTATATGCTTGTCCATCTCGCGATGGCGGGCCTCCCTTCGATGATGAACCACCACCGAAACTGAGGTCTGAGTCTTTCTGCGGCCGATCCAGAGGGTCGCGAGAGGAGGATGAAGACGAGGAGGACGACGAGGCTGCGACGCAACGTTGCGGGGTAGCATGATAGGCGCGACGTGGCGTGGTGGTGCGCAGTGAGCATTTGATCGATGTCTTGCCAGCTCGTGCTGCTGCTGCTGCTGCCGGTGCTACGCCTGAAGACGCAGCGACAGCAGCTGCGGTTACCATGTTGGGTGACGCTGGGGGTTGATGAGGATGAAACGAAAGACAAGCCGACAAGATGCGGGATGCGGCGGTGGAGTTGGCGCCGCCCGCTCCAAAGGGCTCGCGGCTTCATGCATTCGAGGCGAATCAACCGGCGGGGTCAGGTTGCTCCTCTGAGCAGCAGAGGGCGGACAGAGGGCGACTTGGAGAGGCAGGCCAACGCCCAAAAATCGCATCTTGCTTCTCACCAACAGTCAAAAGATGGCGTCGGCAGAAGCAGGACCCTCATCAGCATCTCCGCTCCTTCGTCTTCTCTCTGACCCTTCCTCGTCTACATTGATCAAGCAAGGAGCAGAAGCGAAAGTCTATCGAAGCTATCCCTGTGGTCCAGCCTCTTCCTCGTCGCCCCCATCATGGCTCCTCAAATATCGCTTTCCCAAGACGTACCGACACCCACATCTCTCCCAGACAATCACCGCACAGCGCACAGTATCTGAGGCTCGAGCTCTAGTACGATGTGCGCGATATGGCGTTGAAGTGCCGGTTGTGGAGCTCGTAGATGAGAAGGAGGGGATTCTGGCCCTCGAGTGGATCGAGGGGGCTAGTGTCAGGGAGTGGTTAGGAGGAGGAGCAGAGGACGATGAAGTGCCGATAGCGGTAGCCGAGCAACAACATGAGAGCATACCAGAAGCTCAGGAGGAAGTTGAGCAAGGAGTTGACTTGACACCTGAAGAGCAGCGTGAGTACGCGAGGCGAAGTATGCCTGCCAGCTACTCATTGCACCAGGCTGATCTCTCCCCTACCATGTCCTTCAGTACAATTGATGACTGCAATAGGCCATCAACTAGCACTGATGCACGCAGCGGACGTGATACACGGCGACCTGACTACCTCCAACCTTATGGTCCGCTCGACCCCCACCTCGTCATTATCAGCATTCCGCGTAGTCCTAATCGACTTCGGCCTCTCCTTCTCCTCGGCCTCGACCGAAGACAAAGCCGTAGACCTCTACGTACTGGAGCGGGCTTTTCTCTCTACCCACCCACACTCTGCTCACCTCTTCCAGAGAGTACTTGAGAGCTACGGCGAGAGGATTGGACAACTTTGGCGGGTAGGAGCGTGGAGAAGGGGAATCGGTGGGAGCGCAGACGAGGGAGCTGGTGGTACAAAGAAAGGGAAGAAGAAGAAGGGAGGGAGCGCCACTGGAGCTGGCGGAGAGGATGCCCTGGATGCCCTTGTCGAGGCAACACGGAAGGCTGCTCTGGCTACTTCGCCCGCGGTCGTGGGCGAGGACCCTTGGCGAGATATTCGCAAGCGGTTGGATGAGGTGAGGATGAGAGGTAGAAAGAGGAGCATGGTCGGTTGACGACGAGGGACCAGAGCACAGCACAGCATAATATTAGAGCAATTGCAAGACACCCTCATCGCCTTGGCCCTCCATCAATAATCATCCTCCTCGCCCGGCCTGCCCGCCCTCAGATCGAATAGCAAGAATTCAGCCTCTTGTCCCTCATCACCATTGAGTCGCTCGACGCGCACCTCTTCTCCAACTTTCATCCCCTTGAAGAAAACGGCGTCTCCCTCATTGAGCACCCACTCCTTCTGCCCGCCCGCCTGGCTCACCGCCTGCCCCTTTGAGTTCTTCGTCTCTAGAGCGGCGCTGGAGGGCAGCGTAACCTTGACGCTCGCCTCCCCTTCTTTGCTCGGGGACGAGGGCTTGGACGGGTCCTTGTACCCCGATCGCATCGCGAGGTGTACGAGACCCCATCTCTCCTTCCCCTCTTGGCCCTCAGCATCGCTCCCCTCACCCCAACGATGGCTGACCGTCTTCCCCTTGCCCGTCAGAATGCTCGCCCTCACTACAATAGACTCATGCGCAGGAATGGGCTCCTCACCCCCTGCCTGTGCCGCACTACCCTTTTTCCCGGCCATGATCTCCCCACTGGGCGCGATCAGTGTGACCAACCCGTCCCTCTTGCCTTCAGCGCCCAAGCTCCCGAACGAAAAGTACTGCGGCTCAACGTGTCTCAGGTCCTTGCGCGGACGGAACCAGATCTGCATGAAGTGTGTCTCCTTGGATGGCTGCAGGTTGAACTCGGAGTGGGCAATGCCTGTACCTGCGCGGGTGTACTGAACTGAGCCCGGGCTAAGAGTCTCTTGGTGACCTTGGCGCATCGAGTCGCTGCGGGAGGGTACGAACGGGCGGTCAGTTCCTAAGATGCCTCAATGATCGCCGTGTGAGGCTGTTGAACTCACCGATGGCTCAGCTTCCCTCCAATCACATAGCTGAAGATCTCAAACTGCGCATGTCGATGCGTCGGAAATCCCGTTTGCGCCTCGATCCTATCTTCATTCACTACCCGCAAGGGACCGAAGGAGGTCCAGAGTGGGTCGTACTGACCGGCAAAGGAAAAGGTGAGGAACGTACGCAGCCATCCGTGATGAGCGTGCATACGCGAGTGCCAGGGACGAAGGAGGGCTTGAGGTTGAGAGGACATGTTCACGGTGTGGAGAGAACGGGTGGCGCGTGAAGAGAAGATGTGGGTGATGGAGGACGGTAAGAAAGAGATCGGCTTATGAAGCATGCACAGTAGAGCTATGAGCAGTGCAAGGAGAGCGACGATGATCGAGAAGATGCTCGTCGAGGAAGAAGAGGGAGATGCTCGTTTTGGTATCATGCGAAGATGCGAAGAGATGAGCGAATTGAAGCGAATCTAAGCCACCCGGATCACGGCAACGGCAACGGGGTTAAGGCGAGCGCACGGACCGGATTGAACGGTGAACGGGACGGAGGAGAGAGCAAGACGGCGACCGAAGAAGTGGATCCATTGATCACCTGTCAATCCAGTGACAGGTGCCGTCGCATGACGTATAGAAGATGGGTTGTTGTAGTTCATTAGTCGCACCCGAGGGCAGGCGGAGTGTGAGTCTCATAAATGAACGAAGTTGTTTTGATTGATGATGAGAGGAGATGGTGGGGAACACTCGAGGAGTACATCGGGAAAGGAAGTGAGACTTTTGGAGGAAAGAGCTGGGCTCGATCGCTGACTAGCTAGCTAGTGCAGGGCGATACGACACAATTACTGCTGGCTGTAGGGGAGAAGGAGCGGAATAAGAGGGAGAGAGAGGAGTGAAGTGAGGTGAAGAAATGTGAGTGGAAAAGAATCGAAGAGTGAATGGAAAGAAGGGCAGGCTCGAGAACGCGGGTCGATGCGTGGAGGACGAGGCGGAAACGTCGTCGGTAGCCAGCTACCGAAATGATGGGCTTGCGTTGCACTGGGGCGGCGACCTGAGTCGGACTTGACTGGGTATTGCTGAATGCGAGGGTGTTGGCGGACTGCCTGTCCGCCGCGCTGGTGACCTTCAATCCCAGTAGTTGTAGCTGTCGGGCGAGTCCCTCTCCATGCTGCGAAGCGGTGGAGGAAGCGACGGAGGCCAAGACAAGCCGAGAACGAGACGAGCCGATGCGGGAGACAGCGAACAGGGGTGCAGCACGGAACACGTCTCAGACACCACCAGAGTCGACTCTGAAGAAGTGTGAATGTGAACCATCCCCTCCCTCCACGTATGATGCAGCCGCTGGGGATGAACGGCAGGCTGCTGGCTGACTCGCCGTCTGCATTGCCAAGATCGACCCAGCGAGCCACGCATCGCCCTCCTCCCTTGCACACACGCTGTCACGAACCGAGCCACCTGAATCTCTGCACGGTACTCACCCTCCGTAACCGCCCTGGGGGGCAACACCTCCGTAACCCTGCTGAGCACCGCCGAAGCCGGGCTGCTGGCCACCGAAGCTCTGCTGTCCGTAGCCCTGACCGTAGCCACCGGGCTGTTGAGCGCCGTAGCCCTGCTGACCGCCGTAAGGGGCACCGTAGCCGCCCTGCTGGCCGCCAAACTGAGGCTGGCCACCGTAACCGCCGGCGCCGAACTGAGGCTGACCGCCGTAGCCACCCTGAGCACCGTAGCCTCCACCGAAGCCGCCCTGAGCACCGTAGCCGCCTTGGCCACCACCGTAGCCGCCGACATTCATGCCGCCCATGCCGGCAGGGGGGCGAGAGTTGGCCATGTTGACACGGATGCGACGGCCGTCAAGCTCAGTCTCGTTGAGAGCGGCAATGGCGGCGTCGGCCTCCTGCTGGGTGCCGTAAGTGACGAAGCCGAAGCCGCGAGAGCGACCAGTCTCACGGTCCTTCATGACAATCTGCGATGCGCGTATGCGTGGAGGGAGTGGGGGCGAGTAGATGGTCTGTGAGCATCAATGATCACAAAAATGGGGGGCATCGTAGCCGAGACATTGTCAGACTCACGTAGTCGGTGAGTTGACCGTAGGCCGAGAATGCGTGAGCGAGACCGTCGTCGGTCGTCGACCACGAGAGGTTTCCAACGTAAACTTTAGCTGCCATGGTTGGTGACGTTTCTGCGCAGCGAGAAGGACAGGGTGGAGGTGGTCGATGAGTACGCAAACCTTCACATCAGTGATTTCAAGACCGGCTTGCCCTGCACTCACCTTGTAGAGATGGAGTCGTGCGGGTGTGGATGCGTTTGGCGTAACGAGAAGCACTTGGAGGCGAGTCGCTGGGTCGAGTCGAGTCAGAGAGCCGGACAAGGGAAATTGCTTGTGTTGGGTCGAAGAACGAGAAGGCGAGCCGCTAAAACTGGGAACCAACGAGTCGAGTCGAAACACGAGACGGAGACGAGGGCGAGAAGCGGTTGCGGTCGTGTGGGTGGGTGTGTGTGGTGAGGAAGGAAGAAGGCAGCGCTGAGCGTCGACGACGACGATGGCCAGGGCCGAGCAGGGCGCTGTCGTCTCGTCTCGTCACGCTGCCGCCGCCGTCGCCGCCTTCGCTCGCTGCTGCCTTGCCTCATCGTCGCCTGCCTGTCTGCCTCGTCTGGCTCTGAATCACATCGTTTTGCTGCCGTCCGTCCGCTCCGCCTCTCTCTCGTCCCTCGTCGTCTTTCCCCCAAGCGGGTCGCTGGCAAAGTTGAGGCACAAGACGACTGTTCAAGCGCGCGGCGGCGAGGAAGAAAGGGATCAGCCTCGCTCGCGTGGCGGAAAGCTCTATCCGCCCTGTCCGCCCTGACAGACAATTGCCCTGGGCCGTGCTCGACGCAAGCAAGTGTACGACAGGGCAGTGAGAGGGGAGCGGAGCGTGTTGGCAACGATGGCCGGCAGGTTGTCTCCTCAACCATTCGTAGCTTAGCAGCATGGATGCCTCAGCGAGATACATCGTAGAGAGGATGCTCTGCGATGCTCAGCATCTCTCTGAGCAGGGCCATCTGAAAGGTGAGTGCAAGCTTGTGGAGCTAGTTGACAACTCCACCTGACATGCCGCTGCCTTGGACACAGCCCACCAGCTCAACTCGATCCGCTCGCAGCTCACGCCTCTACTCAACAGCCGTGACGCAAGCAACATTTCAGCCGTCCCCTCGCCCTCGCCTCGAGTCGCCTCACCACCAGCATCGACAACGCCCGGCAGCATCTCTCACCCGTTGTCGCAACTCGCCATCGGCAAAGTTCCCCCACCCCCGCCATCGCCCTTCAGGAACGAGAAGGCATCTTCTCCATCTCCTCCATCCCGCGACACCGTCAAAGCTCTCTGGGCATTCGATGCCGCTGGCGGGTCTGATGAGCTGCGCTTCAGCGTCGACGAGGTCATCGAGGTTCTTGACCGATCGGACAAGGATTGGTGGAGGGGCAAGACGAAAGACGGGCGTGAGGGTTTATTCCCAGCCAATTATGTCGAGACAGTCGCTAGCCCGCCTTCATACGCTGCAAACGGCTTCAAAAGCAACAATGGCGGCGGGGACACAGAGAAGCGTTGGAAGCCCCCCACGGCCAAGTGGTCCTCAGGCAGCACTGCCACCCCTCCTCCCCCTGCTCCTGCTAATGGTACCCCTTCTGCCAACAACGGCGCCACGCCTTTGTACGGCGGTTATGCTCTAGCTGATCCAAACGCTCCGGTCCCCGCGCCGGGCCAGTCGGTCATGGTTCAAGGACCCAACGGCCTGCAGCCCTACGTGCCCACAGAGGAGGAGCGCAAGAAGCACGAGAAGTTCAAGAAGATTGGGGGAAGGGTAGGGATGGCTGCAGCTAGTGGTGCTGGCTTTGGACTTGGGGTAAGTGTAGGCTGTTGGATGATGAATCGGCAAGCGCTCGAGCTGACCATGATCCTCCTCCCCACCATTGTTGCGCGGACAGGCAAGCCTCGTCTCACACATGTTCTGATTTTGTCTATACCTCACTTTCTCTTCCTTCTTCCTTCGATGTCTTTTTGCCTGTTGCCAATCGTCTTCCCTTCTCTCGTCACGATACTGTAAATCATACCTCTTGAGGAGGCTGCCCGATATCCTCCAGACCACCGTCGGACCGGCTCAGCGGACGAGACGCCGCTCCCGTTTGCCTGTCCGTGCGTGCTTTGCTTCGCTTCTTACCTTTCCACAATCAAGCACGACCAGCATCAAGATGTCATAGCAGTGCCTCGACGTTGAGCAGCATTGCTCCTGGATACAATTCTCTCATCTACTCGCTCTCTCACCTCTTTCTGCAAGAGCGATGACGGCGTCTGATCGCCTCGCAGCTTCGATGTGGCCGCTGCTGCGCCGCTCACCTCGCCCTCCTGCTGCTGCTCCCTCAATACCTTCGCGCCTACGTCGGCAGCTGCACACCACCACTCCACTCCGTGAGCAGCATCTTCTCTGGTCAGGCACCCTCCTAGACAAGACTAGCGCGCGTCACACTCCTCTCGACCTGGATCTTCTTCTTGCCGCCGGAGGAGGAGACGAGATTGACGTTCAATCGGGTGGGGGAGTTCACCTCCTCGGGGCTCCCGCCAGTAGCCCTGTGCAGGGCCATGTGATGTTGTGTTATCGCACAGCGATCAGCCCTGCATTGCGTCATGATGTTGAGGAAGGCATTCATGGCGAGGCGCCAGCAGACGCAGGCGGTGCCGGCCTGACTCGTCTCCTCAGTATCGGCCGCAATACCCACGCGCAGCTAGGCTGCGGTTTCGCCAGCCACGAAGCCACCTTCGGGCTCGTGAGGCCAGGCTTCTCCGGTGCGGGCGGGGTGGTAAGAACTGCAGTTGGGCCAGGTCAGTCCTGGCTGGTGACTGCGGACGAGATCGGTGGACCGGCAAAGAACGCCTTTGCTTGTGGGAGTGAGTAAGGAGAGGACGAAAGGTGGAGAGGAGACGTATGCTGATTCATGGAGTGATCTTGTTCGACGCCCAGATAATACGCAGGGGCAGTTGGGCCTCCCTTTGGAACCAACGACGTCGTCACACCCGCAACTTCAACTCGTACCCTCCCCTCGCACCGTGCCTGTCGGGGAAGACGGCTGGCGAATAGACGACCTAGCCGTCGGCCTGGACCATGCCGTGCTCGTCCGCTCACGCCTCGTCGACGGAGTTGTCGAAGCTGAAGTTCACACTACCGGCCTCAACACGGACGGGCAGCTTGGTCGCCCGCTCTCCTCCTCGCACCCAGATACCTCTTCCCTGCCCGAATGGCGTGGCTTCGGCTTCAAGCCTGCGCTAAGCTTGATTTTCGATCTCGCCGCTCAAGACGGCGCAGACAGCTACGCTTCACCTTTGCGAGCCACAGCAGGCGGTGATGCCTGCCTTGCGTGGACACCCGGTCCGCAACCGCGCGTGTGGGCGTGGGGGAATAATGAGTACGGGCAATGCCTTGTCCAAGGGGAGGGAACAGAGGATCAGGTGGCGCGGCCCACTGAGGTATCAGACGTGGTCCGACGCAGTCTTGGCGACGAGGTCGCGATCAGAGAGATCAAGGTCGGGGGAAGCTGGACGGGTGTCCTTGATGGTGAGTATCCTTCTAGACCACTAGCTCTCTCTCTCCTCACAAGGATGAATCGCCGGGGCCATCATATCGGGGAGTGTTCGGCCAGCGGCAGGCGAGGATGATGGGGCCAGGCTACGATGCTAAGGTGGCATGCTGAGGGAGGGGATGATCTCTACTCTCTGCGTCTTCACTGCAGCTGAGCCGCCCATTGTCGTCATCGACCGCATGCTGGGTCGCTCCCCGAGTAATGCTTGAAAACAACCGGCTTCAAGCTAATCTTCGTATCGCGCTGAAGTCTGGAGGATCAGAGAGAGCGCCGAGCAGAGTATCCATGATCGCAATTGGAGACTGAAATATACCGCCCTACTTTTGCGCCTCTTCCAACAGATAGAGGTGCCCTTCACATGGCAGGCTTTGGCCCCGTTGGCCCCTCGACACCCTCGTCTTCTCCTTCCTTCGCACCACTGCACAAGATTACACACTCGGCGAGCGGGTCCCCTTTACCAGCGTTCCACTCCCTCTCAACTTCACTCGACTCCCTTCTCGCCACCTCATCATGCAAACGACGCCTCTTTGCTTGGGGAATAGACCGTCGTTCGGGCGGAGAAGATGGTGCCAGCGTCCTGGGGGTCGCCGCTGATCCCGCTGATACGCAGAGAGAAGGGCGCACGGAGCAGCTGCGTCAGCTCGCTCTACCGATGGAGATCACAGGTCTGGAAGGCTGGCTTGATGGAATAGCAGGAGAAGGCAGGGGTTGCATCGAGGCTACGAGCATGGGCGGGGAGCAGAGCTGGGTGCTGATTGAGGACGGGGAAGAGCCGGTGGGTGTGTGGAGAGGGAGTGAAAGGAGAGGGGACGATGCTGGCTTCTTGCGCCTGAAGTAATACACGAGCTGACAGGCCTTTCGATGTGATGTGTCGTGCCGTGTCGTGGCATCGCTGTGGAGCCGACCGATACCGCGAGCAGCATAATGCGAGCGTGCTGGCTGAGCGCGAATGGGCGGTGAAAGCAGTGACAAATCGAATCGATGAAGATTTTGATCATGAGAAAGAAGGAAAGTCTACATTGCGTCTGAACACCGCTCCTGGCCGCCTACGCTCACGGCGTGGCTTACTTCTTGAAGTAGTGGATCTCCTCCTTCTCCCTTCCCCTCATCCACTCAGGCTCAGATCCAGGGTACCAAATGTCAGTCCACAGCTCCTTCTCCGCAGGCTCAGGGCTCTGCTTTGCCTCCTCGACGGCGGTGTCTACCTCCTCCTTGGCCCTCTTGTCGATGCCCTTGAGCGCCTGCTCGTCGACAATGCCCCACTCCAGGATCTTGCTCTTGAGCCCCTGGATGGGGTCGGAGCCGCTGCGCATCTTTTGGATCTCCTCACGGGTACGGTAGGTTGTTCCGGGGTCGGAAAGGGAGTGACCGCCGTACCTATAGGTGACCATCTCGAGGACGAGGGGGCCATTGCCTGCAAGGGTGTACTCCGAAGCGTGCTTGGTGGCTGCGTGGACTGCGAGGACGTCCATAGCGTTAACCTGAAGACCGGGGATAACATCACCACGAGTGTAGTACTGGGTGTTCATCTGTGCATCGGCGCGAGGGGGAAGAAGGATGAGAGTGAGCGACGTTGAATTGCAGCTGCCTCACGACGCGTACGTACCGACGAGCGCTCCGCCGATGTGCCCATTCCGTACTTGTTGTTCTCGCAGACGAAGACGCAAGGCAGCTTCCACAGCTGAGCCATGTTGTACGCCTCAAAGACCTGACCCTGGTTGGAAGCTCCATCACCGTACATGGCAAAGACGGCGTCCTGCTTGCCCAAGTACTGCTGCGCAAAGGCGATACCAGCGCCGACGGGCACCTGAGCACCGACGATACCGTTACCACCGAAGAAGGTTGGGGTGAACATGTGCATGGAGCCACCCTTGCCCTTGGAGACACCAGCCTGACGACCAAAGAGCTCAGCAATGACACCCTTGATAGAGCCGCCCTTTTGGACAGTGAAGGGGTGGCAGCGGTATGCGGTGATGAGCTTGTCAGTGGGCTTCATGCCCGACTCCATGCCGACGGCGACGGCTTCCTGTGAATGTGCGGCCAGAATGAGATGTCAGTATACAGCGATCAGGACCGGATTGGGGCTTGATACGCACCTGCCCGATAGCCAAGTGACAGAAGCCGCGAATCAGCTTCTGCTTGTACAGCTGGTCGGCAGCCATTTCCATCCTCCTCATCTTGACCATCTCCTCGTAAAGGTGCAAGAGGTGCTCCTTGGTCGTGTCAATTTCGAGGGGAGGCATGTCGTGCTTGTAGACGTGGAACGACTCCTCGCTCAGCTTGACCTTGAAGGGCTCGGAGTGCGACTCGGGGGGAGAAGACGAGGTAGAGGCAGAATCGGCCGTGAGGTGGACGGAGCGTGCAAGCGCGGGGGCGGCGGTGCGGCGAAGAGGCTGCGACGTAGATGGAAGGCGGTCATGATGAGGGTCAGTAATGGGTGGTATTGGACGACGAGAAGATCTAGAGTTGGTCGTTGCATACAACCAGGCCCGCTCACACTCACAGCAGCAGCGGCCATACGAGCCATACCGGCGCTCGAAGCAGCCAAGGGGCGCATTGCTGACTTAGCGAACGAAGCCATTTGCGCACGCTCGAATGATGATGGTGGTGACGAGGGGAAATCGAGATGAGGTGAGGTGAGAGGTTCAAAGCTCAAGTTGCCCAGTCCAGAGGAGTCTCGCCGTGCCGATGCCGTCCTGCCCTGGCGTGGCTCGCCTCGTCGGCCTGTTGGGAACTCGACTCGACTCGCGGGCGGCGCCCTGGCCGATGGACGGATAGCGGGCCTCAACTGGAACAAGCCACGGCTCAACCCGCTCCGTCCCCAACGTCGCCGCCCAGACGCGGACAGGCGGTCAATCCTCAGTCTTAAGCTCATCACTACCATCAAGTCATAAGATTTTTTACAAGCAATACAAAAAAGTCCGTGCGGCATTGAAGCATTCTCACGTTGCAAACATACTCCTCAACTCGTCCATCCTCCCCTTACCAACCGGCTTCGTGGTTCCGCGCCCCATGACCGACTTCTCATCCTCACCACCACCAGGAAGCGACAAGGCCGCTGACGAGATCTGACCCTTAGGCGCTGTCGTGTTCAGGAATGGAGCAGCACCGCGCTTCGTGATCTGTGGAGCGGCGCTATTGCTCGGCGCCTTGGGCTTGGGATGCCCAGAGAAGGCGGAAGGCATCGCATTTGCTGCTGGCTTGACGACTGTAGGACGCACAGGTTTGGGAGAGACGCGAGCTGGAGTGGATGGCGAGGCGCTCGATGCACTCAAGCTCGACTTCCTCTGTTCCTGCTCTTCCTCTTCAGCCTCTTTTCTCTTGATCTCCTGATCCACCTTCTCCCGATTTGTGAAATCCAGCGGGGGCGCCTCCCCATTCATGGAACGCCTAGCCATTGGGCGGGCATTGACTGTCGTTCTTCTCATCGATGAGCTCACGCCATCAAGAGATGGAGACGAGGCGAGGCCATTGCCCAAGGAAGACGAGGGAACGGGGAGCTTCCCATCCGTCCCATTTGCAATCGACGCCCACAGGCTAGCAGCTGAGGCGACCCGTCCACCCTTTCCTCCACGAGCGGAGCGGACGTCGTAGCTGCGGGCAGTAGGGGAGTCGCTGCTGTCCGTGGTTTCGTCTGCTTTTGCTGAGGCGAGCTGTGCGACGGGCTGAGCAGGACCAACATTGCGCGAGAAGACCGGGGCCACCTTGACTGACGAGGCGGACGAGTTTGCAGTGGCTGTTGACTTGACAGAGCTTGATGAGGCTGAAGCAGGGAAGACGTTCTTTTTCTCTACATCCGTAGCGGAGCTGTTCTCGGTTTTGGGCTTCGGAATCTTGCCCGCCGTCGCTTGCCGATAGCGATTCAAGGCCTCCAACCCACTAGACGAGCGCGTCAAGCTAGCGGCCGCGCTCCCGCCGACTACCTCACTGGCACGACTGCCCTGCGTCGCACTCTGTGCCAATGCTGATCGTCGAAGCGACCCGCCGCCCAGCGCAATGCTGCTCGTGCTGCTGCTACTGCTCGGAATTGCCCTGTCCCCAAGCAAAGCGCTAGAGCTTGGCGTCTTTGGTGTGTCTATCGCGCTGCTTGTCATTGGAGGTGATCTCGACGAGGAGGACAGCGTCCTCGGCTGCTCCTTTGGCGAACGAGTCTCGTCCAGCCAGCCACCCACGCGACGAACGGCTGCCTTGCCTAGCTTGCGAGCTTCCCCATCGTCGACAACCTTGCGCTCGCTGTTTCCGGAGCTGGATGAGGGAGTTTTACTGCCCGTCGCTGCAGGGGGGACCGCGGCGAGGGTCTTGCTTTGAGGGGTAGGTACGCTCTGCTCGGTGATGGGATCCTTCTGGCTCTCCTGCTGTTGTTGTCTGGCCGCAGCTGCTGCTCGCAAGCCCGTCGTGCCCTTCGCGGTCGCTGATTCGGTCGAATGCACTCGCTCACGGGCTGGAGATGTTGCTGGCTGTGGCGAGCTGCTCGCGCTTGCACTGATCTTCGAGGAAGCCAGTCGCTGCTCGAGTGCAGTGAGTCCTTGCCCTTGAGCGCTTGCTGGACGAGCGGGAGTCTCCACAGGCATCGGAAGAGCCGTCGCTGACGAGCGTAGAGGCTGCCTAGTTCCCGATGCTTCCACCTTGCTGCTGGGGCCGACCGCTTTCGATGAAGCAGCGGGGGCAGCAGGCTTGCGCACATTCGCCATAACCGTCTCCTTCGGCGGCGTGACAGGCGCTTCAGCTAGCTTGGCCGCAGGTTGTGGTGGTGGTGTCGTTTCGAATATAGTCGTAACGCTCTTGCGACCCATATCCTTGGAAACGGTAGGTGGAGCTGGCGGTGTATCTTGGCTCCTGTCCTCGTCCACCAAGCGCTCGAAAAGCTCTACCTCAGCAGGCGAGACGCTCCTCTTGGCGCCCGTCCGGTCTCCACCGAGGGCCCATACGCTCTTGACCGTATTGCCTGCCGACTCTGAGTCTTCTGCAATTGTAGAGAGGCCATCTGCTTGCGGCGAAGGCGGTGCAAGCGATGTCATCTGCTGTTGCACGTGAGCGGGCGGTGTCTGCTGATATACCTGTGACGGTGACGCTGAGGCAAAGTTTGCCGGCTCGACTGATGCCGCACGGTACGGCTGCTCGACAGGGGCTGGCGAAGAGGCGGCAGCAAAGGCTTGGATGTGATGCTGCTGGAGGTCTGGCTGAGCGCTTGCTGGCCTTGAGAGGCCAAGCTGAGGGCTCGTGAACTGGCTCGCGCCCCAGCCTTGCGCATTTGCATCCCAGCTGACGTGCTGCTGTGGTTGCTGTTGATCGCTTGGAGCGACAGAGAATGGCAGAGGAGACTGGGGCAGGGAGACCATGCCTGGGTGGTCGACAAAACTCGGCGAGACAGGCGCCGGCGATGGGCCTCTGCCTGACTGGTCTGCAGGAAAGGCGACGTGCGAGCCGTGATGCCCCATGGCTGACTGTGAGCGCGGCGGCAGCTGCATGGGGCTATGATGCGCATGATGATAGTGGTTTTGGTGATGCTGATGATGGTGTGCAAGATGCTCGTGAGCCCATTGCTGATCCTGCGTATGATTCCGGTGCACATCGTTCATAGTGCCATCCCATGCATGCTGGAGGCTCGTTGGATGGGCGGCAAAGACCGGCAGCTTGACATCTAGATCCTTGGCGAATGTACCCATGGGTAACGAGACGACGAGGCCGACATTGACTTGGAACAGCTTCGTCTTGCGAATGGTCCGCGTCTCCTGGGGAATGTCGATGGGCACGTTTAGCACGACCTCTGAGCCTGACGGAAACTCAAATGCCTGGCCGCGGTAGTGCTGCGAGTGGACAATGTCGGTGATAGTGGGCCCCTTAGCGGAGGCTCCTCCGCCTTCTCCGAGCGTCAAATAGCGAATGACATGTACAATGACGCCAGACGTGTCCCTTTTCGAGGCGTTCCTGATGCCCAGTCGGATCATGGCCTTGCCGCCTGCCATGAACAGGCACTGCTCTACCCCAGCTTCGACCCAAACGCTACCACTCCCTCCCATGAAGAGCTTGGTCTCTCCGACATTGTCAACGGGCGTTCTGTACAAAGCGAGGTCCTCGTCGTCCCATCGCTCGACCACGTTTGCCTCGCTCTTGGTGACGACGATGGACTTGGACTCTTGGTACCACGCCTGAACTAGCCCTTTGACGACGTAACGTACTGCGGCATTGCCTGCAAAGACAACCGAAGACGGCGTTGTCGACGGCAGGCGGAAAGAAAATGGAAATGTGGTGCGCCCCTTGCGAGCAGACCAGTAGCCGTGATGAGGCGCAGAGGGAAGGACTGCGTTTGAGGGTGGAAGGTGCTGGCCCTGGAAGAGTGTTCGATTGTATAGGAACACTTGCGTTGCAGAGTGATCTCGCGACGTGAGCTCTGCGGAAGTCGCAGGGTGTCAATGACTGTAGGAACTCATGCGTATCTCGCAGCATGCTCACCTTCGAATCCCTCGAGCTCGACTGCGATGTCGCCTAGCCTCAACTTCTGACCAGTAGCGCAGGTGAGCTCTATCCGACCAGTGATAGCACCTCCGGCCTCGAAGATTGGACTGTTGAGGATGACATCGAGCTTGATCTTGGGATGCTTGCTGACAGCATTCATTGGCTGAGGTCGTTCAGCTGCTCCAAAGGGCGATGGCGACCTGAGCCTCTGATCGAGGTTAGCATAGTCGTCAATCTCAAATGGACGAGGTGGAAGCCCAGCTGAGCGATCCCATGATTGCGAGCGTTGACGTGGGTGGCATCGCGGTGGCCCCAGGCCAATCTGGCCGTAGGGTGATGGTGATGCTGGACCCTGAGGCGGAGCGGGTGATGAGGAAGGAAACGGAGGCGCGAACATGTCGGCGCCCGCCGCACACGAGGAGAAAGCGGGAGACGAGACTATATGCTAGCTAGTCGCTGGGGGTGCCGCTCTAGACAGATGCCAATGCTGAATGCTGATCACGGCGATGAGCGTGTTGGTGGTGGTAGTGAGCATGACGGTCGAGTGAACAGCGAATGCACGCTCCATTACCCTTTCGCTGCACGGCAAAGGCGGCGGCGGCCCCTATCCTCCTCGACTCTCGATCTCCACACGCTGCTTTCTCTGTCCGCTCAATCCGCCGCTGCGCCCCTGTCTCGGCGCCCAAAACCATGCAGACGGGTGAAACCAACACTCGTGTTGGCCCACGTCTACGCGGCGTGCGTACGTGCGTGACGCAGGGCTGAGGACGGCAAAGAGACCTGGTAGGGCCTTGAACGAGACAACGATTACAGCCTTGAATGAGACAAGGATGAGCAAACAGAGGAACGATGATGGCGCAAAAGCGATCAAGTCAACACGGCGAGGCTTCGGGCCGTGCTAGGAAAGGAGGCCAACCTTGCTCCTACGCAGCGTGCCCGCCGCGGAGCACCGATCACGAGGGATGGCCGGACATTCGTGGAGCGGTCCAAGAAGCACGACCTGGACATTGTTGGACACGCTTCGCCGCACTCCTTTCGTCTCTGCGGAGACAAAGTTATCGCCATGATGTCGACGGCCTATTTCTTCCCTCTGAGAGTGCGTAGCGTGGTAGTGGGTGTGCACTGCATTCATGACGCAGTCGAGGTCTCCCCGACGGCTTGCCGCCTGTCTCGCCTGGCCTCGCGTGTGCTTTGCTTGCTCGCTCGCTCGGTCCGCTTGCTTGCATCGATCGACTCTCTCAACCGACTAGTTGCCACAAGGTCGAACCCCTCTCTCGTGTCCGAACCCCGATCTTCATCTTGATCATCACACGAACCTAACCAAGAGGCTCACGCGGCCCTTTCGTGCTCCCCTCCCATCATACCAGACCACTGAGCCGCGTTCCAGCAACATAGCATTCAGGCAGCCCATTGTCGAGGCCAGGCCAACCATCACCTTTCTCCACCCATCATGAACGGATACCATGCAGATGCGGGCCAGCCACCTCCGCAGAGCGCTGATCCGGAAGACTACTACGTGCGACAGCAGCGCATTGGCAAGGGCAGCTTCGGGTGAGTTCCAGGAGGTAGCCATCATTCAAATCATGACTGACCATCGCCCACTTTCACTCTCTGGTGCTGCGTTGCGTTGCGCAGTGAAGTGTATCGCGGCATCTACAAGCCAACAGGTGCATCAGTCGCCATCAAGGTCATCGATCTGGAGAATGCTGAAGACGAGATTGACGACATCCAACAAGAAATCAGCATCCTCAGCCAGCTGGATAGCGAGCATGTCACAAAGTGTGTAGGACTGTCACAGTGCACAGCACCGCCTCAAATGTGTGTCAGCTGATGGCTCACAAATCAACCCGTTCCTGCACAGATATCATGGGTCGTGGCTCAAGGGCTCCAACCTTTGGATTGTCATGGAATACTGCTCAGGAGGATCTTGCTCTGACCTTATGAAGCCGGGCAGGCTGAGGGAGGACTACATTGCCATCGTTATGCGTGAGCTGCTCAAGGGATTGGAATATCTTCATGCGCAGGGCAAGCTCCATCGAGACATTAAAGGTGAGGCAACTGCGAAATGGTGAGCGGTGGGTGCATCAAATGTAGCCGCTGACTGTATCCTTTCTTGCTAGCCGCCAACGTCCTACTCTCGGCATCCGGCGACGTCAAGCTTGCAGACTTTGGTGTCTCGGGTCAGCTGACGGCAACGATGACGAAGAAGAATACTTTTGTCGGCACGCCCTATTGGATGAGTCCGGAGGTCATCAAGCAGAGCGGCTATGACTTCAAGGCGGACATCTGGAGCCTGGGCATCACGGCGATCGAACTGGCCATGGGCGAGCCGCCATACGCTGACTTGCACCCGATGAAGGTGAGCAGGCGGCGAAATTTGAGTCCGATGAGGGGTGGAATTGACCATTCACTTCTGCACGTACGCAGGTCCTCTTCCTCATCCCCAAGAACCCCCCACCTCAATTAGACGCCAGCTTCTCCAAGCCCTTCCGCGAATTCGTCAGCTTCTGCCTGCAGCGAGACCCCGCCAGCCGCCCCTCAGCCCGCGATTTGCTGCGCCATCGCTTCATCAAGAATGCAAAGAAGACCTCTACGCTCATCGAACTGATCGACCGTCTGGCGCGGTGGAGGGCGGAAGGAGGAGAGCGCCATGAGCACCACGACGATGGTGGGGATGACGACGAGGATGAGGAGGGGGAGGATGACTTGTGGGACTTTGGTACTGTCAAGAACAAGACGGTCAGGAGGACAGAGCCTACTTTGCCTGTCGCCCCTGCAGCTGGTGGAGCGAGACAGGCAAGCACAGCCTCGTCCGATACCTTCCTTACGCCCAACACGACGCCGCAGAAGGGCACAGTGCCCCGCAATGCGACCATCGGGCGGCGTTTTGGAACAGGAGGTTCGTCTGGATCGTCTGGAGGGTCATCGAACGGTGGGACGGTGCGACCGGGTGTAGCACTCGCTCGTCCTGGGCTGTCGGGCGTCACTTCGCAGCAGCAACACCAGCCGGCGTTGCACCAGTACGGCCGTCAGGACCCCTCCGTGCACAACGTTGCCGGGTCAGGTTTTGAGCCCGTCGCAGCGAGGGACTACGGTGGGCCACAGCAACGTCAGACCAGCCCGTCGAAGTCAACTCAGCCACAAGGCTCGCATGGCCGGTATCGCTCTGCTGCAGAGGCCTACTCTGCCGCCATCGAAGGAGGGTCTCGCGGGGGCTCAGGGCGCCGCGCAGCGACGGAGCATGACAATGAGGACGACGAGCTGGAGCGTCGTATCCAAATGGAAACCGAGAGGAGACGAATGGAGGAAATGAGTCTCGATGTTGACGGCAGGCGCCGCGGGGGTGGCAGCAGCGACTCGGCCGGCGAAGCTCCGCCGCCGTCAGTACGCCAGGTGTATGGTGGGCCAGGCTTCAGAGGGGGAGACGACTCCCCTGATGCTCTCGAGGGTGGGGGCAGTAGCGGTGAAGCGTCAGTAGGAGCAGGTCCTCCCAATGGCAAAGGAGCCGCACCGCCTCCTCCTCAGGACCAAGAACCAGTCACTGCCCTCGACACGGTTCTCCTTCCCGTTCTCGAGCAGCTCTCCCTAGCCGTTTCTCAACATCACCAACGCAGGGCCAGTGCAGGAAGCTCAGCGCCCACAGATGCGGACGAAGGAGCTGCGCAACGCTCGATCCGCAGTCTCTGTGCGGCCCTCGTGGAGTGCGAGAGGATGACGAGGGGCTTCTCGAACGCCTTTGCGATTGAAGTCTTCCATGCTATGAACGGGGAGGGAGAGGGAGACGAGGGAAATCAGGAGGAGGCGCAGGGATGGGCGCAGTAAGGTCAGCCAGGGGCTCGACTGCGCTCGCCACTTCTTCACGATGCAAGACGCTCCCGCCCACAAAGGGACGTCATCGATACCATGCACGCACATCAACACGCGATTCAGCTTCACGCTTCTCATTCCAAACCCATGTCTCCTCAACATCATTCGTCCTCTCAGCGCTTCTCTAGTCGCACAAGATCAATGCCAATCGCTTGCCTACTTGTTTGCTTGCCTCGCCTCGAAGTGGGGCCTTCCCTGTCTGCTCTTCGGCCTGCGGCTGCTGCGAGCTAGTTCCACGTATTCTACATTGAGGTGCAAATAATTTGTACATACAAGTCCCCGCTGCTTCCTTGCCATCCCTTTGTGTGCAAGCCGGCAATACATTGCTTCCCGAACGTAACATAGAATCGCTCCGCCTGTAAATCGTCCTCCGAGCTCAGTGCTCGCCAATCGTCGCCATGCCCGCTTTCTCCAGCAGGTCAATTGACGACTTGAGACGACGATGACCTGGCATAGAGGACGATGAAGGTACCGCTTGCGCCTGCGCTTGCGTCCCTTCAGGCGACTTGTCCGTCGAAGTTCCGGTTTCCCCTTTCTCCTCCTTGCCGTCCCTCCGCACATTGACTTGCTCCGCATCGACAGGCTCGCTGTCCACGGGCGTCAAGGGCTTCATCTGATGTTGGTCGTGATGTCGCGCATTACTCAGTGCCTGCACAAATCTGGCTGAGTACTCTGTCGCGCCCGTGGCCGCGCTGCTTGCTACACTGCTAGACCCGAGACTGCTGGTGCTCTTGTGGCTCTTTCCCGACTCGGTGCGAGAGCGAGCTGACCGAATTGGAGGCTGATGGTGATAGGAAGAGAAGATAGCGCTCGATGGGAGGGGAGGTGTGACGGTTGGTGAGACGAAGGATCGTGCTCCGCTCTTGTCGTCGTTCGGAGAGACAGGGGAGATCCAAGAAGGCGCAGACCCGTATTGCATCGGCGCCGCCGCCGACGGAAGGCTCGGCGAGGCTGTGACTGGTGCTGTCATGCTTGTCATCGCGAGCGCAGACGTGGGGTGACCTGCACTACCGCTCGTCGTGCTTGTTGTGGCGTGCGAAGCTGTCGAAGCGGAGACAGACGAAGAGAGAGAGGGCGTTGATGCATGACCATGATGCCCTTGAGAAGACCCATTCGCGGCCTCCCCTCCGTCTGATGGTCGATCTGTCGAAGACGCCAGCGCCGAGCTTGTGTCGCTCTGTGCGGAAGTCACAGGGGCAGACAAGCTGCCGTCGTTCGTCTGTCCTGGCGGGCGAGGGAAGCGGAAGGCATGCCCACCAGCTCGTCGCCTTGGCAGAGGCTGAACCTCAGCGTGCGCGGTCGCAGTCTCCTTCGCTGACATCGAGCCGTCGATCTTCGCAAAGGCGGGCGCAGCATCGGCTGCTTGCTGCTCTGGAAGCTGCGTCCTGTCGGCGTCTCCAATCTGTACTTCTCTTGCTGCCTGCTGCCTCCCTTCCTCTTCCTCTTCGTCTGCAGCAGTAAGCTCAGCCAACGTCGACATGGCTGTCGACGCGCCGTCCCAGATGACATCGCCATCGAAGGAAGTTCCGTAAGACGAGGCCATCGATACGGGCTTGCTCATCGGTCTCATAGCTGCAGGGTCGGCTTTTGACCCGGATGCAGGACGAGACGCAGGCTTCGTCGTCGTCGGAATAGTCGACGCCTGCATGGTGCCGATTCCACGCTGTAGAGCAGCAACGTCTTCATGATCGTCATTTTCCTGATTTCGCGCTTCCTCGTCGGCTCGAATTTTCTCCCTCCAAGCGGCGGCCACATACGTGTAGGGGTGCGGCACACGCTGATCGCTTCCCGGCTCGTGTGAACCAGAAACGGAATTCACGCTGTCTCTCTTCCTGCGGTAGCCTTCGAGCAGCTCGCCGAGGTCCATGTGCGCCATAGCCTCGACATCTTCGCTGCAGGCGCTAGCAGTGCCGCTGACCCTGGTGCGATGCGACGCGTGGCGAGAAGCGGATGAGTAAGGGTGAGGTTGCGAATCGTGACGATCGCGCGAGGGCATCTCAGGATGAGCAGAAGGCTCTGCGTCCGTTGTTGCGTGCGGCTGCCGCTGCAAATCCTCCTCGCGCTTCTCGAGCGGGGCGCCTCCTTCTTGCATGCACTCTTCGGAGCCTGTCGCGATCTCATCAGGTCGGTGCTGATGTGCGCTAGCTGGCAAAGTCGCGGCAAATGGCCCTAGCTCCTTCTCACCGGCAGCGCGCAAGGCATCACCTGCTACGCCTCCCTCTTCCTCATGCGCAAAGAGGGGAGATCCCCGATTGATGACGGTGTCAATCTGCCATGGGCGATCAGGAGCACGCAAATCCTCTTCGACTGCCACGTTGGGCAGAGGCTGCTGCACTAAGTCATTTTTTGCGTTGGTGCCTGCCGAGCGTCCATCGCTGGACGAGCTCAGTTGCTTAGGCTTGTGTGCAGAGGACCTGTAGGAGCTGTCTCCCGACGAGTCGACCATCCCTTGCAGGTCAGTGAGGAAGCTGGGGCCTTGAGGGCTAGGCAGAGGCTTGTTGTACGCTAACTCGTACTTGGGGAGCTTGCCGTAGTCGGTAGCTATCCGAGCCGGTACGTGCGCTTTGGGCAGCGGCGGTGTAGGCTGTGACTTCGCAGCGGGCCTGTAATGATACTGAGGCGGCGAAGAGGGAGGTGGAAGAACCTTGTTGGGCGAGGCCGCTTTAGCGACCTTGTCACGTAAGCTCTTGAGGCTACGCTTCGATCTGACTCTATTGACAGAGAGGCTGTTCTCTTCTGGCCCCTCGATGCTCGGGAGACGTTGACGCGCCTTGGCCTGATGCGGCTGTGATCCGCTCAGCATGGGGTTAGGCGAGCGCGTTCCGTCATAAGCGTCCTCGTGAGATGGGCCTCCGAAGAGCGAACTTTCATCATCGTCATCGTTTACGGTGGCTGCGTTCGGCTGTCTCCTCCATACGCTAAAGGGCGATCCACCTCCTGGTCGGTAGCGGTTGCTTGCGGACTCGGCACGATTGGGTGACGGAGTCGCGCTCATTTGCTGTGTTTCCTCGCTGTTTGTATTGGCAGCGCCAGCGGTGGAGGGTGATGCAGGTGTCTTTCTCAAGAATCCCTTCGCCCAACCCGTCGGCATAGCCATACGTAGCTGCTGGAGCGAAGACTTGCTGCTGGACGACCGAAGCTGTCGCTGCGAGGAGGAAGAAAGATCGCGTTGCGATGGAAAGCGATGCATGGCTCGAGGGAAATTGTCTGCGCTGTGGCTCGTCGACAAAGGTTGCGCAGGCGTGCTTGAGCCGTCTGGAGCCATTGTCGCCGTTGCTGAAGCTGGGGCAGACAGTGGCAAGGCGCCTTCGAGGGTGTTCAAAGGCAGAGAATTGAGGCGAATTCGCTGTCCATTTGGTCGATTGACTGGAGATCCGCGCGAAAGCGTCGTAGAGGTTGATTGGTTGCTCGGTCGCCGTGTGAGGCCTACTTGGGCCAAGTCCAGGATGTCACCTGCGCTGCGATTGCGGCGTCGCTGATGGTTTCCCGCCGCCATGATGACGCCCATCTCTTGCTGATTGGCTGGGATCAATGGTCGAGGAAGCTCTGGCTTGTCGAGCGGAGTCTCGTTTCCCGGCGACAAGGGCCTTGATGAAGCGGCAGAAGTAACAGCAGCTGACGTAGATTCAGTGCCGAAGGGCGACATGACTCTCGGCGAAAGGGGCGAAGGCGAGGCAAGTTGTCGATCCCTGGCAATTAAAGCTGCAAATGTCGGGGATCCAGGCAGGGCTTGCGGCGTCTGGTGATGATAAGCCATCGGCAGCAAGGGCCGCTTTCTGATCTTCGGAGGCGAGGGTGATGAGGTAGAAACGCCTACATTCCGGTCGTTTCGACGCGTAGGTGACGGAGGCGACGCTCCTACGACGGTCGGACTCGCAACGCGTCTGCTGGAGTTGCACATTCGCGGTGAAGTTGGAGGCGATGTTGCGCGTTGAATTGGAGAGCGTGGAGTGCTGTCAACGGCCCTGGACTTGCCCTTGCTCTTGTTCGAGTGGCCAAGGCAGCCAATGCTCTCATCGCGAGGCTGAATGGTTGGGAGATTGAGGGGAGACGCGACGCGCAGCGGCGGCTCGTCGTCTCCTGCGGCTGTTGAGGAGGTACCAAGCCTTTTGAGGTGCCCATTCTGGCTGGGAGCACCGAGATCGATAGCGGGTAGCGAGTACATTAGCGACCTGCCTGCTTCGGACATCTCTGCTGGAGGCCTGGGTGCTCGACGCGGACTGTTCCAGCGGTCATCGATGAGGTGAATGGGGCCTTGAAGCATGGTAGGCGACGAGGGCGGGCCTGAGTTCTTTCTTGACTTGCTCCGGGAGCGCCAAAGAGTTGACGTCGTTGTAGGTGATGAGGGAGAAGAAGATGAAGACGAGTTGCCATGTTTGACCGGCACAGATGGGAAAGCAATTGGTGGTTGATTCGCTGCTGCATCGTCGTGGTAATGTGGGGTTCGGCCGCTCCGACTACCTGGCATCGTCGACGACACGGGCGCCGGCGCCTTTGACGACGAGGCCATGATGAGATCCGCAATCCGCAATCCGCGATCCGTCCTGCAATGCTCAATCGTCGGGATTGATGATGTCGTGCCCTGACGCCGGATGAGGAAATGAAGTGGAGAGGAGGAGAAAGTGATGAACCAACGAGAAAGGATGAGGAGACCAAATGGAATGGAAAGACGAGCGTTGATGAGGAATGGGCCGAATCGCAACAAGTCGGTGCTCGCACCCACGTCGTCGTTATGACGAGATGAGAAGATGGTTGCCGACCAAGCAGAGGGTCCCTACTCCTCCGCTCCTCAAAGGTGCTCGTCCAGCTTCGGAAGGTCGGGAAGAAATGAAACGCGGTTCAGTCGTCGCGCTCTGTCCCCCTCTGGCCCCACTGCCTTTGACTTCGCTGGACGCACGACTGCCTGGCTGCGCCCAATACGTGCAGCTGGCCGTGCGCCTGAGATCGACAGCAGGCGGCCGGGGCAACGGCACCCAAGCGAAGGGTTCTTGGATTCAGACGAGGCAAGCCCGTTCAAAAGGCGGCAGCGGGTGAAGATGAAAAAGACACACGATTGAGAGTCAGCAGAGGGACTGAAGAGGGGCAGTGAGTGGGTCGCGCTCTGAGGGAGATGAAGCTGTGTCGCAGCAGCATGCTCCTCTCGTGAAGCCAATGCCTGGGTGCCGTCGTACAAACGCCGTCGCCGTTGTCGATCTCCAAGACTGACAAGGGAAGGCCAGGCCTTGCCTACGATGCTTACCATAGCTGGGTCAATGGTGGCAGCGATATATGGCCGCGCCTCGTGTTCCCATGTCCTCATACTCATGTCTCTCGTGAGCAAGCGCGCGACAAATCAGAGTACAGCTGCATTGCATCGCGTCGTCCTGACTGAGGCTACAAACATGCGGGTAGCAGTAGAGCGGCGGTGAGATAATGGGGGCCGCAAGTCTCGGATAGCCTGTAATGGCCAGCAGAGTGAGGACGAAAGGCCGCGGCCATTGCGACGGCAGGTCGACAAGCCGTCTACGATCGATGCTACGATTACTCTACTCCGCCTCCTGCGCGGGGTCGTCGATCAGTGAGACATCCTCAACAAACAGCAGAGACCGTGACGTTGTGAGAGACAGTGCAGCGTGACCATTGCAGTGGATCAGAGACCGGTAAATGGTACGAAGCGGGGAACCCCGCGTGAGCTAGAGTCCGGAGGTCCGTAGGACTGACCAAAGATGGGGTCATCGCGCCTTCGCAAGCCGGCCTGCCGTGTGCTGTGCTGTGGCGCGCACTTGCCACTACGCCATTTCTGCCGGCCCCCCCGATCAGGCAAATCCTGGCACATCCAATGAGGTTCTGTTGCGGGTTGTCGCTGATCTCGAAATGGTCGCTCATCGTTCACCACCTCGGCCGGTAGAAGGGCGCTCCGCTGACGCGCAGCGATGAGCAAGGATGTGGAGACGCTGGCGGGTGTCACGGTGAAACAGCAAGGAGGGGTAAGATTGCAGCGCTATCGAGATATTCAAGACATGATCTTAGACAACATTAGCCTGCCGCCATCCCTCCCGGTCTTGACATCTTTACAGCTTCGTGTCCTTCGCCGCACTCTTTGCTGTTCTACCCTTCTCCTCTTGTCTCACATCCTCATCGATCAAGCGACACCCTGTATGCCTCTCCAGCTCCATCAACGCCGGTACACTGCTCTTGAGCTCAACCCTGATCGTCCTGATTCCCATCTTTTGTGCCGCCTTCAGATTGGGCCCTATGTCATCAAGAAATACCGTCTCTGTCGCGTTGACGCCCTGATCCCGGAGAGCGTACTCGTAGAAGGCTGCCTCTGGCTTGCGGGAGCCGACGACGCTTGACTCGTAGTAAGCATCAAAGAGAGAGCGGATGAAGTTGACGTCTTTGGCTAGGCCGAGGTGCTGCAGCTCTTCGTCGAGGGTGGGCGCGCGTGATGATGAGGGTGAAGAGGGTGACGAAGCCATGGATGTTGGCGGAGCAAAGTTGTTTGTCAAGGCTGCGATCTTGAACCTCTTCGTCTCTGGCAGAGTAGGCGGTGGGATGTCAGATACCTGGTGACGCGTATCGAGCTAGAGGGCTGGTTCTCACCACGTAATCTCTGTATTGCCTTGACAACCTTCTCATCAGGCTTCGTGCTTTGCCTCTGTGCGAGCATCGGCGGGATTGTTTCATCAGTCGCTGCTTCACCTAGCCTGTCTCGCGTGCATTGCTCACCATCATGATGCCAAACAGCTCTCTGCCATCAACGCGATGGCCAGTGGGCAGCTCTTTTGGCATCTCAAAGCCTCTCGACTTGCAATATGCCGTATACCACTCATTCAGCTGCTCCGTTGCGCTTAGCTCCTCCCCAAATTGATGGTAGAAAGTCCACAGGTCGATCTCACTCCTCTCTAGCCGCTGGAAAGCTCCCTGTCGTCCTCGAGCCGTGATCGCTACATTGAGATAGTTGAATGGCAGGCCATATTGCCGCTCGTAAATGTGAACGCCTGCTATTGGTGATCCGACGACGACACCGCCGATGTCAAAGAGGACGAGCTTGATGTTCTTTGGCCTCGGATTGCACATCTGAGGAGGGAGAAGAAGGGAAAGACGAGAATCGCCGGTCCGGCCCTACAAATCCGATCAAGCTCCAGCCGGTGGCCCGTGCCTGAGCTCGGCCGGCTGCCGCGTCTCGGGGTCCAGCTTTTAGCCCATGAACCAACAACTTGTCCTCATCGACTCTGTCTCGACGTCTTGGCAAAGAGCGACTTCACGAATTGCTCTTTGCGAGTACGTACTCACCACCAATACGGCAAATCAAGCCCCCGACGAGCTTGAATCGCTGCGATGACCCTTTGCCGCTCCCGCCGCCGCTGCTCGCGCGTGTTGAACCATCGTCCATCTGACGCGCCATGTCACTTTCGGCGGGCAAAGAATCTCTACGCGGCAGCAAGATGGTACTTACCGCATTGCGATGGTGGAGTTTACTGATCTTCGCAGCATCGAAGCGTCATGGGATTGGTCGTAGATACCACCCATCTTTCTGATCCTCATCCTTACCAACACCTCACTCTTTTACCCTCCAGTCGCGGCCCTTTCGCTCCCACTCCCTACCCTGGGACGCAGCCTTTTTGAGAAAGGCCGTCAGTCACTTCACACGACTGACAGACAGCTTGAAGTCAGCAGAGCCAGGAGCTCTTTTCGTGACAAAAGCTGCCTTGCTGGTCCCCGTTGGTGCGCTTGACGCGTATCCGACCACCCCTCATCATTCAACCCCGATCTCTGAGTCGTCTGGACGACTCATCTCCTTTCACATATGGCGTCACCTCAAGGATCATGGCAGCGAGGAGAGCCAAGCACGCCAGTGAGGAGGAATCCTGGAGCTCGACTCGGCAAGGTGGGCGCTAAGGTGAAGGCTGACGCTGAAGGTCTGAGTACTCGTCGAGGCCTGTCGTTCGTGGCCGACGTGGTACAGCGAGCCGTCGAGGAGAGCCAGAGGGAGCGTTCATTCCCGTCGTGGAAAGGCAAGGAGCGAGCATACGACGATGGACACGCTGCTCATCTCGCTGCGAGGGCGATCGAGCCGGCTAATATGCAGCCTCAGGTCGTCGCCACGTCGGACTCGTCGCATCATGCCAGCGCCAGAGTAGGAGTGTCCCCCTCTTCTGCGGCTCCTGCTGCCTCGACGGCGGCAGCCTCTCAGCCGGTCGTCGCCTCAAGCGCAGTTCAGTCGACGCCGACGGCTGATTCGAGCGCAGCATTTCCCGCAGCTCAGGCGGTATCGTCCACCTCTGCTCCGGCGCAATCGCCTGCCTCGTCGTCAGCTGCCAGTCAGACAGAGGTTGTGTCTTCGACGGTGCAAGCCTTGACGAGTGCTAGCACCACCCCTTCTCCTAGCTCGACCATCGGTACGAGTGACGATATGTCGTCCTCGCTCTCTGCGACAAGCGCAGCTGCTTCAAGCTCTTTGGATGCCCTGTCATCTTCCTCTCTTTTGGCTTCTGCTTCAACAGCAGAGGCAAGTGCAGCTTCAGCGACATCAACACCACACAAGATTTCGCTCGCTCACAATACGCCGCTCATGGTATTTGTAATTCTTGGATCCATCATTGGCGGTGCGACCGTCCTCTTCGGCCTGGCCTGGCTCTGCAAGCGCTCAAGTCTGGGTCCTACACGGTCAAGAAAGCAGAAAGCCCTCTCCGGTAACTGGAGCCCTGGGGCTGGCAGCTCCAAGTTCAGCCCCTCCAGCGAGATCCCTGAGATCTTGTTCACTCAGAAGCCTTCGTATTCTGCGGCCGTCTTCCCGGAGCGACCCCCTCCCGCAATGCCGCCCTCTTTTGCGGAGAACAATTACAGCAACACGTATTACCCATCGTATGGGCGACAAAATGCTCCCGGGGGCCCGCAACGTCAGCAGGGATGGGAGCTCTTTGACCGACCCTTAGAGATGCAGCCCGTCGTTTTCTCCCCTCTGGTCGATGGAGCCGGCGCTGTTCGTCCCAATGCTCCCCGACGCCCAACCTTCATTCAGAAGGCGCTCCAGCAACCGGAGCGCGGTGCCACGCTCGACCTTGAGGCACGTCTCAGTCACGAGGAGCAAGCTCGCGAGATAGTTGAAGAGGGAGCATCGAGAAGCAACACGACCAGCAGCACAAAGTCAACAACCAGCGCCATTTTGCACGCCCTCGGCCTCACGAACAGCACTAGCAATGGCAAGGGGAAGCACTCCTCGTGGTCAACTCGTATCCGCCGCAAGTCTACGTCGGTTCCCGACGACTCCGACTTCGAAGGTACCATCGGCGCACCGGACAAAGAAGTGCCTCGTGCTCATCGCGTCAAGAAGGGTCGCCGTTTTGCCTGCGATGTCACGTCCGGCGAGGAAGACTCTTCGCCCGAAGACGGACCCCCTCCGATGCCTGCCTGGCCGCCTCGACAATACGGCCTCGGCATGTATGCGAGCCAGTCCACCAACTCGACCCCAAAGACACCAGGAATGGCTGGCATGGGAGCTGGTGGGGGTAGGAGATCTGCACCCATGGATCGCTTTCACTCAATGCCCATCGCCGGTCACTCGTCCACCGTACCTGGTCGCCAACTACTTGTAGCCCCCGGCCTCACACCGGTCTCCGAATCCAACGCGGCCGACGTTCTGGGCGCCTTTGCCCGACTGCAACGCCAACATCAAGTCCAAGCTCTGAATGAGGATGATCTCAATCGTCGAGCTTCTGCGCCGCCTGCGCAAGACAGGGAAGCCGCAGTGAAAGACAAGGTGACGACATGGTGGACCGGCAGCTGGGACGCAGAATGGCCAAGCCCAACCGCCTCACAGCGTGAGCTTGGTACGGTGCCGGAGGGACTGCTCAGCCCGAGGAGCATTGAGATCCCGGCTCCTTCCTCCACCTTCGCCCACTCTGACCGCGAAGAGGAGGAGGAGGTCGAGGTAGTAGCGGGAGAAGCTCAGCCGTCCAGCCCAAGCAGCATCAGCTCGCAGGAGGTGGAGACCCCTCCCTCATCACTCACTCGCGATGAGTACATGCTTCGCGCTCAAAACTCTCTCAAGCGGATGACAAGCATTCGCCCCAATTTCGCACCCGCTACCACCCTGGACAGCTGGCTCGACGCTGCGAATGGGCCACGCGATTGGATGAAGGACAGCAACGTCATTATCGAGGAGGAGGACGACAACGTTGCTGCAGAACGCGAAGCTGCGGACATGGAAGCCGCCACAATGGTCGGTGGGGATGAGGTCGGTCTTGGCTATGTCGGCGAGCCGAAGCTGGGCTACCAAGGCTCGCTCAAGTCTCCCATGGTTCTGACCAACGACCTGCCTTCAGACTTTTTCGTGGAGAGTGACGACGAGGACTATCGCGCTCTGCGCAACAAGTCCAGCGCCTCGACATTGCGCTCCTCCAACAGCAATGCGACACTGCGCTCCTCCATGAGCAAGCGCAATCTCAGGGCCGCAGCTTCGCATGAGTTCATGGGAGGTGTTGCTACCCCTCGCCTGGGGCATCGCTCCTCCGTAGCCTCGCTCGACGGGCACAGCTACTCGTCGCACGGTCACAAGTTGCCCAAGTCTGTTCGCAAGCAACGCTCTTTTCGCCAGCAGCAACTGCAGGAGAAGCGACTGTCTCTCGCAGTTGGCGACTCTCCGGACTACTACATCGACTCGGACGGGTACGAGGTCCGCAAAGTCAGCGGTCTCTCCTCGGTAGCTCAACCTGCTCGTGCGAGCTTGGTCGTCAGGAAGGAGAGCATTCGTGGTCAGACGAGCGATGTCTCTGACTATGAGTGCGAGGCCGAGGAGGAGAAGCACTATCACCACCAGCAGCTTGCAGTCCCCGAGCCCACCGCTCTCAGCGAGTATGAAGCCATCTTCGCGCGCAGCTCGGAGAGCTTCTATGCTCCTGAGGTGGCGGCTGCCGTCGCTGCGGCGGGCGATGTGCGCAAGTTGAGGGGCAAGAGCTCGCAACGTGCCCTTAAGACTGCGCGATCTATGTCTTGCATCGAGGAGGTTGACCGCGCATTGATGGCTTTGGCGATTAAGAGGCAGGCCCTTGCGCAGTCTCAGAGCAAGCTTGGCAGCGGCAAGGTGAGGAGACAGCATGGCAGGCGGGCCGTTTCCACTGGTCAGAGGGCCTTCTCTTCTGGTCTTGCTCGACCTCAGTCACATGGCCACCACCACCAGCCTGCCCCTCCCCCCATCAAGCCTCGCTACGGCCACGTAGCCGGAGATGCCTCTCCTTCCTCAAGCTCAGACTCGGACATCTCTGTTCGCCGATGGGGTCGTCCCACCAGCAGTCACGACGACGACGCGGATGACATTAGTGCTCTCCCGTACATCAGCGGGTCGGACGACGATGACGAGTTTGACGGCGGCGACTATAGTGTCGGTAACATCACTATTGGCCCCTACGCGGGCATGGCGTCGACGCACGGAGCTATTGCTGATTGGAACGCAGCCAAGAGACGCAGGGGAGCGCGTGGACCGATGCAGATGTACGGCAACGGATTTGCAGCTGGACCCGGCAGAATGAGGGTCGCCTCTGCCGGTGTTGTGGCTGCCAGGTAAGTAGACTGACAAGGATCGTGTTGTGGCCTCATACGGACATCTACCTTGGGTCTTGTGTTCCAGTGTTACCCCCTTCTCTTCTCTGTTTTTGGACTGCCCTCTGTCGCATCGTAATTCATTACTCGATTGCCGTCCCATCTCCAGCCTGACAAGCCTACAACTGTATCATCTTGAGATCCTCCTCCTCCGTCAGCCTTCGCATGCCCCAATGCTCAAATCCCCTTTCCTCGACCCTCCTCGCCCCGAAGCGTTTCTCCCACGCTTCACATCCTCCCTCTAGTATCGCAACTTCAATCTGTCGGCCGTCCTCGCCCTCACGAGCTCGCAAAGCGTCGCGCACCCAGGCGGCGCTACGTGGTCCTCGGCCTTTGCAGGAATTGCAGTGGAAGACTAGCAGAAGAGGATGTGTTGCACCGGGTGAGGAGGGGGCCGACAGGAGGTTGAGGAGGGTGGGCAGCGAGTGCGGGAGGGAGTGCGAGGGGAAGTTGACCGCTGTGGGAATCATGCTCTGCGGTCGTCGAAGATGAACATGACGTGATCAGTCGATGGTCAATGAGCGTCGCGTTTCAGCAGCTCGCGCCTACCTTGCAATCAGCCCGTCGCACGTCCACGACGAGAAATGACTTGCCCGGCCCATGCTCTTCCTTCTGAGAGAGCATCATGGCTGCGAGCTCATCGGGCGTCACGCTCGGCACGGGTGGCGGGGTTGGTATGGGATAAGCCTTGTGCCAGTCGGAGGCGTCAATGGGATGCTGAGATTGTTGCGCCATGGCGAAGTTGATGCATTGAGAAGCGAAGCCAAGAGGGGAATTGGGTGGCAGCGGAGCAAAGCAAGCTGCTGGACCTGTGGACGTGTTCTCTCGCTTACGAGGGACAAGGCTACAATTGACGAACGTAGAGTCGCGAACAAGCACAGCATACGAGCAAGTCGGGGATATGCTGTGATTCAATGCAATCGGTGGTAGTACAAGATGATGAAGGATGAATCGAGGCGAGGAGTCCAGGGACAGCATCGACCCACTACGCAGCTGCTTGCTGCTGTTGCTGTTGAGCTTGGGCAGTCTTCTGCGAGCGATAAAGGGAGGAGGGCGAGCACTGTTAGGATTCACTGTGTGACAGGGCTCATGCATGCCCTTGCCTCTCCATCTCTCCCGAGCCCTCTTCTCTTGCCAACTCACCACTTGCAAAATCTCCCCAACCGTCCTCAAATTATCTTGCTTCCTCTCAATGGTCCCCTGAAGCTTGCCAAGGTTCTCCTCAACGAACGCAATCTTCCTCTTGTACATCTCGCTGGCCGCCTTTGCCGGCCGCTCGAGGTAGTAGCCTGTGCCTACATCGACGAGGACGCGGGATGGGTCGGTCAACTGGGCGGGGACGTAGAGCGATGAGGTGAGAGGGATGAGGCTAGTGGCTGAAGAGTCTGAAGACGCGGGAGGGAGATTGGCGATGGCTTCTATGCATGACTTGAAGCGCGCTTGTACGCTGCGAAGCTGACCGTAGGAGGCGGTGAGGTGCTCGAGCTCTTGGCTCAGTTGTTGGCGCACTTCGAGCAGCTATGGCGTGGAGACGGTGGGAAGGTCAGACGAAAGCATGATCACAGTGAAGCTAAAGTGAACGCACCTCTGATGGCGAGAGTGTGGTAACATCGATCTGCTGTCCTTGCTGTTGAGCGCTCATTGTTGGTCGGTGAGGGCAGCGTGAATGCGAAGATTCCAAGAAGCGGGACGCTAGGCGGGAGCGCGAGTGGAGCAGTCGAATCGACGAGGCGGACAGAGGGGCAGGCAGTCCAAAGTCGATTGACTGACCGGCACGACGTGGGCCGGTCCAAAGCCACTTTACTCGACTCCACTCCTTGACCACCAATCCTCGACGTCACTGACCCCTCCTCGTCTGCGTAATGGCAGCTCAGTCGAAGCCAAACAAGGGAGCCAGTGCCGTGGCAGGCAGCAGTGGCAAGGCCAAGGGCAAGAAGGCAACAACTTCGCAGCCTGGCCTCGCGCAAATGGTCGTGGCTCAGGTCCTTACCCTTGACAATGGTGAGGGGCAGCGCAGCATACATTGGCGTCGATGTCCGTTTGCTGACGTCCCTCCCTTCCGCCTGGACGGTTGCAGCCAAGACAGTCGTTTTCTGGTACATTGTATACCGGCTCTCCCTCCGAGCCTGGCGTCACCTCCGCATATACGGTGTGACAACGACCCTATACCAAGGCTACGTCGAGCTCTCACGGCGAATCCTCACCCTCCTCCTCAAAATACCTGCAGCAAAGCGCAGGGTCAACAAGGAGCTGGACGCAGCCACAAAGGATATCGAAGGGAAGCTCATCCCGCGCCCGACAGATTTGAATGTCAATGAGCGGTTGCCGCCCTACGGCAAGGATAAAGGATGGATTCGCGCTGAGCTGCAGAAGCTCCATCGTCTTACTCCTTCGTCTACTACTGCGAGCAAGGAAGGTGCAGCCAACTCGGTCCATACAGACCAAGATGCTGGGAGTGCTGGCGAGATAGCACACGCAGAAGCTGCCTGGCGTAACGGCAAAGTCTCTGGCGCAGTCTACCACGGCGGGCAAGAGCTCAGTGACCTCATCGCCGAAGCCATCAAGCTCTTCCTTGTCTCCAATCCTCTCCACCCAGACCTCTTCTCAGGCGTACGCCGTATGGAAGCGGAGATCATCTCCATGTGTCTCCGCATGTATAATGCCCCCTCCTCCGCCTGCGGAACCACCACGAGCGGAGGGACAGAGTCCATTTTGATGGCCTGCAAAGCCTACCGTGATTGGGCGCGTAAAGAAAAGGGGATCACAGAACCCGAGCTCATCATTCCGGAATCAGCGCACGCCGCCTTCGACAAAGCCGGAGCCTACTTTGGCATCAAGGTGCACCACGTACCCGTCGACCGCCACTCGCGCAAGGTCATTGTGAGCTACGTAGCACGCGCCATCAATTCCAACACCATCGCGCTCGTCGGCTCGGCGCCCAATTTCCCCGACGGAGCGATAGACGATATCCCCTCTCTCGCCTCGCTGGCCAAGAGACACAAGATCGGCATGCACGTCGATGCCTGCTTGGGCTCCTTCCTTGTCCCATTCCTCGAGCGTGCCGGGCTACCCTCCGAGCCTTTCGACTTCCGCGTTCAAGGCGTCACCTCCATCAGCTGTGATACGCACAAGTACGGCTTCGCGTGCAAGGGCTCTTCAGTAGTCATGTACCGTGACCAAGCACTGCGCAGATGTCAGTACTACGTGCAGCCAGACTGGTCAGGCGGGGTGTATGCGTCCCCTACCATTGCAGGCTCAAGACCCGGAGCACTCATCGCGGGTACGTGGACGGCGATGATGTCCCTAGGGGAGGATGGCTACACCAAATCCTGCCATGAAATCGTGGGCGCGGCTCGTGCCATCGAGCAGGGGATCCGCGATGAGATCCCGGACTTGCAAGTGCTGGGCAAGCCTCTCGTCAGCGTAGTGGCCTTTGCTTCCTCCAACCCTTCGCGTCTGAGCATCTACGAGGTCGGGGACCTAATGTCGAAGCGTGGCTACCATCTCAATGGACTGGCTACCGACCCACCTGCGGTGCATATCGCCTGTACGACGCTTACGGTTCCGATTGTGGAGGAACTGCTTCGGGATTTGAAGGAGTGTGTAGCAGAGGCGGGGAGAAGTAGTAAGGGACCGAAGGGGTCAATGGCACAACTGTATGGCTTGGGAAGTAGCTCGGCTGTTGGACCCGCGTTGGTTACGGAGTTGGCGACGAGGTTTATCGATACGTTGACGAAGATGTAAATGGGCGGGGCCAGGAAGGAGTACGGGTTGCGGACATTGCAGCGACGATTCTATTTGGTTCGTATGAGCACGGTTTGCATTCTTTAATGACTACGACGTCGACGACGACCACAACGAGTCTTCGATTCCGATTGATTCTGCTCTGCATTGCTTGCTCTACTGGTACTTGCTTTTCTTTTCGCCATACCATTCGCGCCTACTCAACATCGATACCCGCCAACTCATCGTAACCCAGCGCAACATTGAGGTTCTGAACGCACTGCGTCGCGGCGCCCTTCAGCAGATTATCGATGCCCGCCACAACGACTGCCCTCTTCCCGCTCGAGTGGATCTGGAATCCGCCGATCCTGATACCATGCTTAAGCGCCACGTCCTTGATCTCGGGCACTTGCGGTGTAAGCTGAACGAGCGGGTTACCAGCATAGAAGTCTTCGTAGAGCTTGCGGAGGTCCTTTGCTGTGATCTTGGCCGAGAGTGGGGCGGATAGGGTAGAGAGGATTCCCTGGAACCAGGGAGCGACGGAGGGGATGAAGGCCACTTCTACTCCCTCGTCCTTTCCATTGTAAAGACGGGAGAGGTGGCGCATGGATTCGCGCTCATGGATGTGGTCCGTCAGGCTGTACGGTCGGACGCCACCCTGCAGACTCTCTGGGCTGACCTTCGGAAGGGTGATGGGCTTGCCGTCCGAGTCGACCTTGTTTTGCCCCGTCGTGGTGCCGGCGCCTGAGTAACCGGAGATGCCGAATACCGTTGGTGGGCGGGAGAGGTCGAGGTGGGGGAGGAGAGGAGCGATGAGGGATTGAACGGACGTGGCGTAGCAGCCAGGGTTGGAGATGAGCTTGGAGTCGCGTACTGATTGGCGGGAGTAGATTTCTGTGCGCGAGCGAGGGTGCGTGGCCAGGAGCAGATAAGGTGGTCAGACAATCTGTGTCCATCAGTCACGGCTGCCTGCGGCTTGTTGATATGGACGAGATGTATTCGAGCGAAATATGAAGGAGGGAAGAGAGGCGACGAGGATGCAGAGACAACGACTGAAGACAACGACGAGGATCCTTGATATGGCTTGCCCGGCGTGCGCTCATCGATGACTCCGCAGCCTGTCACCTCCATGCTCTCCCTCATACCTCGCCCATGCCCACCCATCTTCTTTGCTGGCAACACTCTCTTTTCCTTCATTCATGTTGGCCTCGGTCGGTATTCTTCCACCTACCCGCCTAAAAAGACACGTGCTGAGACTCACCCGGTAGCCCGTACGTCCACGCATCCTCGAACCTGTAGTCGGCGCTCAAGTCAACGATCGTCCCGTGACCGCCAACCTTACCCTCCCCGCCCTGCTGCACGGCCTCAACGAAGGGCTTGCAAACACCGTTAGGCAGCGCCATGATGTAGGCATCAGGTGGGGCTGAGTCCCCTCGCCCTGCCTCGAGCTTTCGCAGGTCCTCGACGCCGATGTTCGAGTAAAGCACCTCTGACTTGGTGTAGCCGGGCAAGGGGCGTCCGGCTAGCTCACGAGAAGAGACATGGGAGAGGGAGAGGTGAGGGTGCTTGTCCAGGATGGAGACCAACGCTTGACCAGTGTAGCCACGTGCGCCGATGAGGGCGACGCGCTTCTTTTCGGTGTTCGTGGCCGGGAGCGGAGCGCTGCGCTCAATGGCGGTAGCGTAGCCGCGGTGACCGGCAGGTGAGGTAGCGTTGAGCGCTGGCCTGGAGCGAGCAGAGGTGTGCAATCCTCGTGCTCCACCAGCAGGCGCAGCCTTGGCGTGCAGTGGCAGGTAAGCTCTTTCGATCCTTCCCTTGTCCTCGAGGTTGCGCAGCGTGCTCTCTACTTCTCCGACATCGTTGATGCCATAGTAGAAGAGCGCACGGCCATTGCGCGTGAAGCTACCATCGGAGCGCTCGTAGTGCCACGCTCGGTTCTCGTCATCAGCCCTGCCCGTCCATACGAGACGCTTGTGGTCCTTCTTGATCTGATTGAAGACGTTGTCCGTCACACCATTGAGGTGGCCATTGCGCGTCGCGACAAGCTTGACGAGGATGGGCACCTCGCCCTCTGGGCGTGACACGAAAGCAGCGACGTCGTTCGGGTCGTCGCCGTAGATTGTGTAGGGGTGCTTGGAGAGCTCTGAGAAGAATTGAGCGACCGACTTCCTGCCATCGATGATCTCCTGATCATTGTCGCGGAGAAGGGTGCGCAGACGCTCAGGGCCAGCTTGCTCGATGTTGTCTGAGCGGTAGAGCTTGTAGCCTCGGCGCAGGAGAGTACCGGCACCGGAGTCGGTGAACAGCTCCTTCTGCAGCTGGTCTACGGAGATGATTGCCACGGACGAGGAGCGGGGCAAGTGGTCCAGAAGCTCCTTCATCTCACGGAGCTTGAGCTTAGTGCCATACTTGACCCACTCCTGCTTCATGAGGTCTTCGTACTCCTCGTCAAGGTTGATGTGCTCCATGAGCTCGCCCGTCTTACCGTGGTAGAGACCGCCCTTCTCGTTGAGGTAGACAATCTTCAGGGGCTCGAGGACTTTGGACAGCTCGCTGGCAGCAACGTCTGCATTGACATTCAGGATCTGGCCGTCCTCCGTCTCTGCCATGGAGGTGAGGATGGGCAGGCAGCCGTTGCGGATGGCGCTCTCGATGGGCTCCTTGTCGACCTTCTCGATTTTGCCGACGAGGCCGTACTTCTCCTTGTCAAGGTAGCTGGCAGTGAAGGTGCCCAAAGGGATGGGGCGAGCGCGAGATCCAAGAGACTCGAGCTTCTCGACGAGGCGTTGGTTCTCCTCGAGGAAGACCTTGCGAGCTACGCGGAGCGTCTTGGCGTCTGTGATACGGATGCCGTCGATATAGTCAGGCTCAACGCCTTCCTTTTCAAGGATCTCGTTGAGCTGAGGACCAGCGCCGTGGAGGACAATGGGACAGAGACCAACACGGTGGAGGAAGCTGAGGCTGAGAGCGAGCTCATCGAGTTGCTGCGTGAGGATGGCGCCGCCGACCTTGAGGACAGCAAACTTGTTGGCAGCCGAAAAGATGCGCAGGTATCGCTCGACCTCTTTGCGGGAGGCGAGCGAGTACAAGAGTCGGGTGATGGTTTCCTAAAGCAAAGCAGGGAGATAGATTAGCAACGACATCTTCCGCCGTATTGTGGGCGTGCGTATATGCTCTCACCCTGTCTGATGCGTTCTCCTTGGCAAATGCGGTCGAGTAGCTGGCCTTCTGGGCCGCAGCAAGCTTCATGACGTCAGCATCATTGAGCGTGGGCAGCGAAGCCCTCGCCTGAGATGAAGATGACGGCAGAGTGCGAAGTGCAGCGACCGACGTGGACAGCGCCCTCCTCGAAGGGCCCTGCGATGCCAGGCGGGTCAGAGCGGCAGCACTTCGCTGCGCTGCCATGAAACCCATCTTTATAGTCTAAGAGGTAGCGATATGAAGGTGAAGAGGGGGGCAAACAGCTAGCGAAGGAGGAGGAGGGATGATGTCGTCGCACCGACAAGGTGATGCTGCAGGCGGCTCTGAAGGAAGATAGCGATCGACGTCGGACGCTCTCGCCGGGCGCGGCCTCTCGGACGGAGAGAGCGCTCATGCCATGCCCGCCAGCCCACTCTGCGCACGGCTGTGGAGCAACGTCTTGCTTGACTCGGCCTCAACTCGCGGCAGAGGCGCCAAGACGAGAATAGCATGAGGCGATGAAGAGCACTCGGTTGGCATTGATATTGTCGCAGCATCATCGTCAGAAACACACCAAGCTGCCTCACAGCCGCAGCCGTGATTGTCACTGCCTCCCGTTGGCGGCGTCATCTGCCCACGTCTCATCAAAGCCAGGCCCATTGAAGTCCCCTGCGTGCGGCGCGATAAGGAGGCAAAGGGCCGTCAGCGATGCGCAAAGGAGCTTCTCATGGCAGTGAGTTGCCGCTGTACTCACAATGGAATCCACCATCATGTCTCCAACCCTGGCTGACCAGCAGCTGCCCAGCAGTACGCGCAAATGCACTACCATCAAGCTGCTCAAGCCCACGGAAGGCTCCACCATCCTTTGACTTCTTTACCGCCTCCTCCGCCTCAGGCTGAAGCTTGATATCCCCGGGTTGCGTCGACGAAAAGCTCGTAGCGAAGTGCATCTGAGCGCGCAAGGCCTTCATCGCATGCTCGTCGCCGTGGTTGACAGCCGCCTCCGCCACGTCGTACCAGGCGTTGCGCTCCTTCAGCGGGGCGAGGGGCTTGCCCTCTTTCCCATCCTCGAAGGTGATCTTCTTTCCCGGGTCCAAGGGATTGGCTGAGTGTCTGTTCAGGGTCTCGCTGATCTCAAAGGGGGCACGGCCTCGGGCAATCCACATTGCAAAGGTGATTCGCCAAGTCGCGTGCAGCAACTTGGATCGCGCCCACGGCTCGAGCAGAGGTAGGAGTGACGGGAGGAAGAGTGTAGCGTTGTGCGAGTGCATGAGGAAAAAGTCGTGCCTCACATCCTTGCCCGGTCTGCTCGTCGCTCCCAATAGGAGGGTGTTGAGCCAGGCAAGCTCCTCGTACTTCTCTGCCCAGCCTCCTCGTCCGGTCACGGGGTCTGGGTCAGCCACGTCTGCCTCGGTGACGTGCCAGCGGGACATGTGCGACTCGAGGATCGCAGGGCCGTCGCCTGAGAGTAGGGCATCGAATTTGTCCTTCATGTCGTGTCGAACGAGTTGGCCGGGGGCGATGCGGGCATCGGCGTGGGCGAGGGTGCAGATGGAGAATACGGATAGGCCTGAGCGTGGTTGGGAGGCCGTGGCTCCGTCTGAGGCGCGGAGCATGTCGATATTTTCCTGACCTTCGATAGACGTGGACGAAGTGCCGTTGCTGTTCTTGGAGTCGGTATTGAGCTTCGCCATGCGAGCTGCGGTCGAGTTCTCAGACGAGCTCTCGCTGACGCCAATTTCATCATGCCAGCCTGTAGGAAAGAGCTTGTGGAAGCGCGGGCCGGTGCTCATAGCCATGGCCAGACCTTCAGCCATGACGCCAGGGACTACCAAGATGGTCATGCAAGTCAGTGCCAGCTCTGCTACGGGCCTCACTCAATTACTCACGACTGAACTCTGCGCCGTAGCCGCAGTGAATGAGTGGATGGATCGCCCCGCCCACAAAGCGGCCCAGGAGCTGATTTCCGCCCCTGTTGGCCTCCTCGCTCAACACGTATCGCTGCAGCGTCTCCCCCATTCCTAGCTCTCTCGTCTCGTGATCAAAGAACTCCAGGTAAGGCCAATAATGATTCCTATCTCCGACATGCTTGGTCCAATTCTCCTTTGTGATTCTCTCTATACCTCCTTGGCCGGGGGTGGGCTTCTTGTTCAGCTTCCAATCGTCGCTCAAGCTCTCCTTTGCGTGCTCGAAGATGGCAGGATACTCGGCGGGGCGAGCGCCTAGCTGATGGGCGGCGAGGATATGGTGTGCGAAGTGGTTGTGGAAGTTGGACTCGTTGAAGAAGCAATGGTATTTTTCATGGTTGAGGTCGAGGAGTCTGGCGGGTAGATGACGGATAAGAGGGCCGTTCGTGAGTAGATGAAGCAGTTTGTGGCACGGCATCACGGCTACTCACTTGCCTGCCTCTCGTGCTGAGGCGATGTCAAAAGGCGGGAAGGCGTGGCCCAGGCGCGATGGTGCTGGTACGCCTACGCGCAGTAGCTTGAAAGGCGATGTCATGATGGCTCGAGAGAGCAGAAGGCGACCACGAGCTCAACAAGGCCGAAGATATATATCGTCGTAGCTGCGACTTAGCAATCCGGAGGTGGTCAGACCACTGCTCCTTAGCGCCGACGTCTACGGGACTGAGCCTCCACTTGGGCGGACCCTGCAGATGCGGGAGCGGAAAAGCGACGCCAACTTTGCCCTAACTTCTCGCCATCCTCGCCACCACCACCAAAACCTTTCGCTCCTCCCACAATGACAACCGACTCTTCCAGCAGCACCGGAGTACCGTCGGATTTCCCTTCCACCCTCAGCCTCCTCTTCTCCCGCCCTAGCTCCTCAATCCCGCTGCTTCCACGCCAGCCCTTCGACGGGTCACTCACTTCTCTCATTCACAAGGAAGCCACGAGTGCATCCTGGTCCCCAGCCCTCGAGGCCAGCGTCCACCTCCTGAATGACGATCTCGACTCGGCCCACGACATTGTAACAGATCTCGAGCATGTTCCCATTTGCGCGCTGCCGCACGGCGTGCTTCATCGCCGGCAGGGCGAGTGGTGGAACTCGCAGTATTGGGCGAGCCAGTTCCCTTCAGCAGGCAGAAACGCCTGGGTGAAGGAGACGTACGGCGAGCGTGGGGCAAAAGGGTTTTTTGACGACGTGAAGAAGGTCGCAAACGGGAGCAAGGGCGGAAGCTCGGCTTGTGGTGCAAAGAACGCGTTGGACGGGGTGAAGGAGCAACAGGAAAAGGAGTTGAAAGGATTGGTTGTGTGGATGTGGGAGCAGGACGGGCGCAAGTGATGACAAAGATAGCATAAGAGGAGGCGCCTGGGAGTGGTGACATAAGATGGAGACAACAAGAGACCAAATTGGGTATCAACGGCATGCAACTGCCACGCTGCCGTCGCTTTCTCAAATGGCCGCGTAACCAGGCATGCTCTGCGGATCAAGCAGCGTCCACGCGAAGGGTAAGCCCTCGCACTTCCCGTTGTCGTCCAACTTCCTGGCCTGCACCATCCGGCTTCTCTTCAGCATTGCAGCACGATAGGCAGCCTCCGCCTTGACAAACCCCTCAGCACGGCAGACGTGCTTGGTCAGCGGAGCGAACAAGTGCACCAAATCCGCGTCTGTCCCCTTGTATCCAGGTCGATTGAAGGCGCACATCAGCCTCACCTGCTCGCACGCCTTCTCTGTGCTAGGCAGCCACTTGAGCAAGTCGTCCATCGAGGCAGGGCCATCCTTGACCTTCGCCTCCGGCGTAGCTGGGATGGGCCAGTAGAAAGCACCCGGATGCCAAGGCAACACGCCATGGCCCTGGGAAGGCCCGCTCCCATTCATCACGTTGTGCTTGATGGCCGACAAGAAGACGACCTGGCAGAGGAACTGCACTACCAAGTCCACTGTATTCAGCGATCTGGGAAAGTCGGGATGGACTTTCTTGCCCTCCTGCTGCGTGTTGGCCGTTTCGTTGAGCTCTTGTACGAATGTCTGCAATTCTTCGTCTCCGCAAACGGCCGTATCCGTTGGATATAAAGAGTGTACGAAGGCGTCGACCACCTGAATGATCTCGTGGTATAGGGCTGCCGTGTCCTCGAAGTAGGGGAAGAGTGGCAGCTGACCCCCGGCGCGCGGTGAACCAACTCCCCCGTCGCCCTTGTCGTTGGCCTCTTCTTCCACCTCATCACCATCGCCGATGTCGGAGGGTAGAGGCACAACAAGACCACGCTGCTCGAGATCGTAGTAGTGTCGACTGCTCAAAAAACGTGCGCCTCCGCCTCCCTCTTCGAGCTTCTCGCGCTTCCACAGATCAGAAGCGAAGCGGGCTGCGGTGCCTGAAGCGAAGGGGAAGATGGAGTCGATTGGTCCGCCAGGGGGAAAAAGGCTGATGCGATTCGCGGTCAAGGGACCAAGGTGAGCAATGGAGCACACTACGATCAGCTTCGACCTCGTCGTACTCACAACTCGTTGAAAGCCGGTCGGATCCCAAACGCCTTCCTGCACGTTCTCACAAGGAACGCAAAGACGGGATGATGCACTGAAAAGGACCTGATCGCCTTCGCCAGCACCAAGTCGAGGATCTCGTGCGTTGCAACTAGATGGTAGATCTGGCTCCACCAGAGGTCGTTCTGATTGAAGACGAGCTTCGCGAGCTGCCACTGCGCCTTCTGATCCAAGGGAGTGTACAACACGGGCGCAGCGGATCCGCTGGGGCCGATGGCGTGAGTACGAATAGCGAGGGGGAGAAACGCCTTTGTGGCTGGGTGGACAAAGAAGTAGGCATCCGTTGCTGCAGTGTACTGGCCCTGTTGTTCATCTAGTCGCTCCTTGGTCAGGAATCGATAGTCCACGTAGTACAGCAGGCTGGCACGTAGGAGCTCGAGCAGTGAAGACGCTTCACCGTCCGTGAGCTGGTAAACCGTGGCGTCCTCAACGGTGAAAGGTAGCACCGCGTCGTGTGTCGCAAAGTCACCTCCTGAAGGGGCAGAGAGGCGGCGAAGTGTGTATGGCTGTAGGCTCAAGCGTTCGAGCGCGAAGCATTCGTCCTCGCCACCCTTCTCCACTAGGCCTTCGTACGGGCCGCGCTTTGACAATCTCACATTCTCGAATTTGCCCACACCAGTGTACAGCTTGCGTCCGTAGTCTGCCAGCGATTTGAACCCACCTTCTGCATGAATGGTATCGACAGCGTGCTGCTGAGCGCGAGTGCACTTTGCGAGCCAGGGTCGGATCTCATCGGCAAGAGCGAGTGTGTGACTGGCTACGGTTAGACTTCCGAGGGGCCCGGAGGGAAAGGGGGCTCCTCCTCCTCCTCCTCTTTCTTTGCTCATCCCATCAGCACTACTCGCAATCACGTCCGGCCCGAGCGTGAAAAGCTTGCGCTTGACCGCAACAGCGAGGCGACGCGCTAAGGCGCTTGCACCCCCTGGCGAGGCGGGCGCGCTACCAGGTGAGCGGGTGCGTGCCTCGTTTGGGATCGAGTAATGCGTGACACCGTCCAGATTAGTTGGGATGAATGCGGCGAGCTTGGAGCTGAGGATGTAGAGCAGGTCGGCTCGCATAAGGGAAGAGATAGAGTGCGACTTTGCTTGTGGTTGGGAAGACATGATGTAGCATGTCTTGGGTGTGGCGGCTGGTGGTAGCGTGGGCGGCCCTCGAAGAGGTATGGTTGGAGGGGTCAAGATGGCAATGTGCATGCTGCAGCGACGACCTCACTTGTCTCGACCGTCTTCAGCTCCTCGCAAAGCCATCTCACTTTCGATCACTAGCCGCCTTCTTGCCGTTCCGCAGGAACAGACAAGGGCGCCGAGGGGTCATAACCACCTGACCCTAAATGAGCGGCTCAAGGGTCCGGATGGTAGCGGCTCATGCCCGGCCCGCCGGTCACGGTCACGGCTATGGTCATGGGAACGGCTTGCAATTTGAGCTACGGTCGTGTGGAGCTATTGATACAAGATTGGGCGAGCCGTTATGCGGCACTCCTCAACGGTCGACCGTGAGACACATCATCAGGCCCTCTCTGCCTGTCCATACTCAGAAATACAACCTCATGCTGCTCGCCACAGTACTCTCCGAAGGGCAGTATATACACTTGACCTTACCGCCATGTGTGCGACTCCCCAAGCGCGCAAGCGACTCTGCGCACACGACGTGGCCACAGGACATCATCATCGGTGGGTTCTCTTCTGTTGCTTGCTCCTTGGAGACGGGGCAGGTGAAGGTTGAGTGGAAGCGCAGATGGGAGGGGAGAGGGATGTCGATCTGCGGTTGAGCGGAGAGGTTGAGATGTCAGCCTTTTGCGGGGAACAGAAGAGTAGCAAGGCGCGATGAGTTGGGACGTACCGGCAGCTCATTTGCTTGACTCCACTCATTGCCTCTCTGCTTCATGACCTGTCGAACTTTCATGATCTTCATGAGGGCTCCACCTGTGCCCACTTCCACCGCCGTCTTGAGGGGCGCTTCTCTAGCCAGCTTGTTGATAGCGCAGAAGTCGACCTGGAACAGCGGGACGAGATAAGGCGCGTGCACTTGAATGGGGTCGAGGAAGTGGTGGTAGTTGGGCGGGACGAGATCGCGCAGGTGGGCAAGGTGGGTAATGTGCGAGGCTGAAGAGAGGAGCGACAGAGGCGGCAGATGAGAGCTGTGAGCCTCTCGAATAGCAGCTGCAGTAATATTGCCGCCATTTCCGCAGCACTCACCAGCATCCGCGTCAGGATCATCGCGAAAGATGTACGGCAGGAAGAGCGCAAAGGAGAAGAGGGCCTGAATCTCTGCGAGGTGATCCCCCACGTGAGAGCGCATATGCGTTCTGCCGTATTGGATCGCCCCCTCGACTGGACTCATCGACGAAGGTGTCGCATAGCCTGACGAGGACGAGGGAACGTTTTCGCCATCCGGATCCAATGCCATAGCTGTGCCATTGCCTGCTGATGCCGGTGCCGTGCTGGGCGAGGCCTGGCCGGTGGCAAGGCGAATGAACTGCGAGCGATGCAGAGCGAATTCGAATGTCGAGGAACGCCGTGAGAGGAAAGCACGGTTGGACTCTGCCCATGCGATGGCAGGTTGGAGGTTGCCAGCCTCTATTGCTTGGGAGATGGAGTCGAGTTGTCGGTACACGTCTGAAGGGGGAAGGGATTGTGAGGATTCCTGATGATGAAGTCGAGGGATCAGCATGAAGAGATCTGAGCATTGTTCATCCTATCGCTTGCTCACCTTTGCCAACTCTCCCGCTGCCTGCCACTCGCCCATCCTGAGCATATGATCAAGTACTACAGCTTCGAGGGCCTCTTGCGCCTGAGCCCCCATGAACAGCGCTGGGTCCGCGATACCATCTACTGGTGTAGGGAACTTCTTGTCGTATGCCTTACCTAGCTTGGACAGCGCATTGTACACATCCTTCTGTCGATCGGCAATTGCCTTTTGCGACTTGGCGATAAGTGCTTTGGTCTCGGCCGCGACGACTGGAGCGGATGGAGGGGACTGATCTGAGGCGATGGTTGATCGCATGGTCTCGAGCGAAGAGAGGAGTGAATCGAGTGATTCTGAGACTGCTGCTGTTGACGAACTACCAGACGGTGATGCTGCTTTTGCTTTTGAAGACTTCTTTGCGGACGAGGACGCAGAGGATGAGGAGGAGCTCGAACCGCTGGCATATAGCGTAGGTACCTTTGCCGCAACTCGCTCCACCTCTTTGCTAATGGCGTCCATGCTGGGCGCGAAGGTGGTGACGAAGAACAAGCAGTGAAGCAGTGGCGCCTCGCAGTTAGTCTAGCTTGTCAATGACAACCTTCTCTGGCTATGGCGGTGAGGATGCGAGATTGGAGTCGGATGTCAAGTCGTGGCTGACCAGCCTTCACGTCGGCGGCGCATCTCAGCCCTGACTGGGCTGCCCCCGTTGCTTGCGCTCAGGCCACGCACTTTTCTTGTCCAACAGCCTCAACTCTCGTTTCTCCTCTTCATTCGCTGCCATGGCTTCTCAGGCAGACGAGTCGAAGCAGCCAGGCTGCGAGGACGGTCAGACAACAATGGAAGCAACGCAATCAAGCGCCGATACTCAAGCGACGACATCAGCTGGGTCTCACCTCGCGTCCAACGACACGCCAGCCATCAAACTCGTCGACTCAGCATCAACGATCCCTACAACTCCCACGACGGAGCCACCGAGCATCAACTTCGCAGCGTCGTCACCAGGCACTCCAAGCCAGAGCTACTCAAATCTTTCGTATGCTCCACGGCAGTCACCCTTGGTCCACGCCCGCCGGTTAGGCAGCGGCGCCTCAACTCCTAAGCAGACCGCCAGCGATGCATCGTCGGTTGCCGCCAAGGCATTGCCCGCTGAGCCAGTGACGAGCTCTTTGAGCCCTTCAACCGACGAAACCTCGAGCGCACATGCCGAAGCCGCAGCCAAGGCGCGGGCGGACCATCGCCAAATGATGCAAGAGGTAGTGGCAAAGTGCACGGATCTCGGTCTCAACGCTACGACGAGCCCTGGATGGCCATTGCTGGTCAAGCTTGCAGAGGCTTCAGATGGCGAATGGAAGGAGCTAGCTGAACTTGTCGGGGAAGGAGATGCTACTCTATTACTCCCACTGTCAAGCAAACCATCTTCTGTAGCGTCAAAGGGGACTCTCGGACCGAATAGCGACGAGCCACTCCCTGCTCCTTCACTTTCTTACGCTTATGACCATATCCTCATCGGACCTGGTCCTCGTGCAGCGCTTTCCATCGGCGAGTATAATGCAGCAGGCGTGTCGTCGAAAGGCTTCGCCACACTCTCAGGGCTACGAGGGGTCATCGAGGAAGATCGCTCCTCGGAGCCCTCGCGCACTAAGCTGACGATCAAGAGCTTCATCTGCCGACGAGACCGCGGCTGGGTATCAGAGCTCAAGAACAAGGGTGCCAGACGGTGAGTGCTCGAGGATCCTCAGGGCAAGCAGGAGGTGATGCTGACTAAAGACGTTTACTCGACAGGCAATTGTTCACCTCCCTCCCTCCCCTGCCCAAGCCTAGCTGCACCGACTATCCCTTCCCCAACTACACCCTCACAAACGCACAAGACTTGACCCTACCCGCAGCTCCATCACCGCCACCCTTGCCGCCTCGACCTCGTGCTGGCTCGTCGGCATCGCTGGCCGCTCCCGGCTTGGGACTTGGCCCTTCTCAGACCTCGTCGCCCAGTCATCGCCCATCAACATCCGGATCCAGCTTTGCTACCCTTTTTGGAGGAAGCGGTCGAGAGAAGAAGCAGCGAGGCCCCGTCGCAGCCGCCCAGGCTGCCTTCCAGACTACAGCGAGCGACTCTGCCGAGGATGTCGGCACTACCGGCTGGGACGAACCCGCTGCCACCGACACAGCTCCCCGCGGACCGCGTAAGATTCATATCATCCTGATCGACCGGCCGCTGCGACGCTCACGTGCACTACGAGGCATGGCCTATTCAATTCAAGCACGCCTCCGTGCTGCTCTGGAGCGCGAGGCGGCCGTCCCTCCCTCGATCGGCGAAGAGATAGGCAGCTTTGCCAGCGGATTTTATCCGGTCATTGAGTCAGGCAGTGGCCAAGGAGGAAAGGCAGGACGCAAAAGCGGCGGTGGAGCCGCAGTCCCAACCGGTACGGCGCGTGACCTCCTTCCCGCCATCCCCTACACCGCACAGCCGGACCATCTGCAGATGTCGTTCCAATCCCTCTACTCTCAGACGCAGCAAGCACTGGAAGAGGCGCACCGCAAGGTCAACGGATGGGACGATGATCGAAGTGTGGAGAATACTGTTCGCGTCCAAATGGAGAGCATCGAGGCGCTGCTGACTGAGGAGGTGTACGACCGCATCTTTTCCCCTCCTCACTCCACCGACCAGCAAAGCGACGAGAACCTTTCATCGCGCATCGCAGCCCTCAATGTCCTCGGGCTAGATTGGGATGGATTGGGCATCCGCATACCCGTCGGCGAAGCTGGTGAAGTTGTACGTCGCGGATTGGACGCTATCCTGGCATCATGCGAGGCAGAGTTGAACTTGCTGCAGACGCAGGAATGCTTTGCGCCGAGACGCAAATTGGACGTCCTGGTAAGCGTGCATCGCATCGTGGTGGATGGTCTAGCCAAGCTGCCTGCTGTTGAGCTCAAAGATGGCAATGAGTCTGAGGCTGCCCTGGCAGCTACGACCTCGACAGCCCCTGAGGCTTCAGCTTCTGTCTCTGGCTGGGATGAATCTCCGTCCAACCCTCCGGCAGCACCAAGCGGCAATACCACCTCCGCCGACTTGATTCTCCCCCTGCTCATCCGTCTCCTCATCAAAGCGAACCCACCTTCACTCAACTCCCACCTCAACTTTGTCCAACGCTATCGTTCCGAATCTCTCCTCCGTGACGGTGGAGGGGAGACGGCCTATTGCTTGATCAACTTCCAAGCCGCTGTTCAATTTGTTGAGAATGCACGGCCGGCGGAGTTGGGGTTGGAGGACACGGTCAGAGGTGGGCTTGACCCTACTTCGAGCGCGATGGGATCAACGACGGCGACTACGGATGCACAGGCGAGTGCAGACGCTCACGCTGACGCAGGCCGGCTGTCAGCGATCGAGCTTCTAAAAAACGTCAACGCCGTCCAGCCTCCAACCGACCCGGCATCCCCACAACGCCCGTCCCCTCAGCAGTCTATTGCCTCGAACGCGGTGATAGGCAACGTGGCTGGCCGAATGAAGGGATTGAGCGGGGTCGTCAACTCCTCCTTTTCTGTGCTGGGCAAAGTGATTGGTTCAGGTGCTTCGGCGGGGATGGAGGCTTGGGATCGCAGCTCAAAAGGCGTAGAGGGTGGAATGAGGACACTGGATGATATTCGGGGATTGCTGGGACGAGGTGCGGCGACCGGTGCGGCAGGGGGAGAGAAGTCGAGCTTGGCGGCCGCTGCGGCCCTGGGAAAGGGAGCAGGAGGCACAGATTATGGACAGGAGGCCACGGGGGACCAAAGTGGATGGGATGCGCCGTTCACGCCTGCGCCAGCTACGACCAGCACAACCACGGCAAGCGCAAGTGCTGCTCCTAAACCGAGTCTCAGCGATCGTCTCGCAGGACTCAATCGTCGCTTCGCCTCACCAGGTTCGGCAGAACAACCGCTCCCGCCAGGAGTGATCTCGAAGGACGGTGCTCTGCCTAAGCGACCGCCTCTCATGAGCAACGCGGGGGGAAGTGCGGGAACTACTGGGTCTACGTTGGGGTTGACCAGGGCGACCACAACAGCAGACACGGCACCTCAGCCCCTCCAACCCCCTCCCGCCATGTTCAACGACACGGTCGCTCCTTCCACGGCGGATCTTCCAGCCTCGCTTCGTTCTCCCTACCCACCCGTTCCCCGACCACCGACCTCTGCCCGGCCCCTGCACGTTGTACTCGCCTCATCAGGGAGTGTGGCATCAATCAAGGTGCCGCTCCTCGCTGAGGCTCTCCTTGCCCTGGGCCACGTGAGGGTACAAATTGTAGCCACGAAGCCCTCCCTACACTTCTACGAGGAGGAGGGGGTGCGCGCTCTCGGGCATGATGCCGACAATGCCGACGAAGCTGCGTACACGGTCAAGGACCTGGCGGCAGAGAATCTTGCTGCTTCTCGCCGAGGTAGCCTGGACTCCTCCGGCTCAATTCAAGATCCGGCAGCGATTCCCGCGAAGCGTCCGCGCTGCCATCTCTGGAAGGATGAGGATGAGTGGACGCAGTGGTCGACCGTAGGCGACCCGATCCTCCACATCGAGCTACGCCGATGGGCAGACATCGTCCTTGTGGCGCCATGCAGCGCAAACACTTTGGCGAAGATTGCTGGAGGATTGTGTGACGATCTCCTGGTGAGCCCCAGCGCAGCGAGCGACTATGCGTACAAGGATCCGACTGACCCTCCTTCTTTTCACACAATTGTGCAGACCTCCTTCCTTCGCGCACTTTCCCCCACGACCCCCACGCTTCTCTTCCCAGCCATGAACACCCTCATGTATCAGCACCCACTGACCGCTCAGCACCTCGATGTTGTGCAGCGCCTGTTGGGATATGAGGTGCATGGTCCCATTGAGAAGCGGCTTGCGTGTGGAGATTTGGGGAGGGGAGCGATGCTTGAGTGGACAGATATCGTGCGGCTGGTTGAGGGCCGATTTGGATTCAAGGCTGTCGATGGTGAAGATGGAAAGGTCGCGGTTGAGGAGGGCAGCCAGGTGAAGCAGGCGATTCCAGCTTGAGGTGCTCCATAGACAAAGGCAGACGCACGTCGCCTCTGTATGGCCGCCTCATTGATACCTGATTGCTGCTCTTTATACCGACTGTCGGCCTCATATGAGTATCGCCACCAACAGCAGAAAGAACAGCGCAATGACCAGCAGCCAAACGCACCACCCTCCCAGCCGATCGTCGCCTCGCCTTACCATCTCATCCATCTTGCCCATCGCCCTCCCTAATCTCGTCTGACTGCTCTCTACCTCCGAATCCAATGCGCCGATCAATTCTGTCTGCTCAACAATTTCGGAGCCCATGTGCGTCGCCTGCCGTTGGATGGAGGAGAGGGTCGTCCCAATTGAGGAGAGGATCGTGTCCTGCCTACTCATTAGTGTCGACTGGTGCTGCTGCTCCCAAGCTGTGTAGGCATCGTCGTCTCCATCGTCCTGATGAGCACCATTCATGTCGATGGAAGTCTCTCCGTCTTTGCGTCTACTTCTAGCGTCCACCTCCTCCTCCAATCTTCTCATCTGCTCCTCACAATCTCTGAGAAACTCCTTCCTGCGATCCACCTCCGACTCGTCCACTCCGAAGCGTGCAGGGTTGCTCTGGACCACATTGACGCTCTGCCTTACATCTGCCACGTCTGATCGCAAAGCCTCGATCGCATCTGCAAGACGGTCATGCGCTGTGAGATGATCAGACGAGGTGCGGGCCGATGTGTAGGATTGGGAGAGGGCGTGTGCTGAGGAGAGGGAGGAGCGGAGTGAGGACGAGAAGGTGTGGAATGGGTCTTGCGACATTGTGACGAGATGAAACGTGGTATGTATGATCTGCGAGTGGAGCGGGTATATGCTGCTATCTTGTGGGCATGGCCTTGCGAGGATGTTTGGTGGCAGGGAGAGATGGATCGAATGCCAAGATGGAATGCACGGATTCAGCGAGGGCCATTTCGGATGCAGCGACGGGAGTGGAGACACGAGACGGCACAAAAGTACACTTGGAAAAGTCAAAAGCCCTTCTTCCCTCTGTAAACCACCGAAGGCTGCGAAAGAGCGGGCAAAGAACAGAGCCCAGGGAACGCTGAGGGGAAAGGACATCGTCAGAGCAATAGCTCGCCATCAGCCCAAAGGGCATGACCCTCCTACCCGGTCGGCCCTCGCTGCAAGTAGCTTCAACGTCCTACCAGTCGCCTCTGCACCTCTACCGGCGCATCCTCCGCCTTGCCAACGCCATTGCAGCGCGATGGGAGGACGATACCATCTTTCAAGCTCAGCGTTACCTTGCTCAGCGTAATGTGAGGAAGTGGATCGAGGCCACGAGCAGAGGCTCATTGGAGGCCAGGCAAGGATTCGATGGTCAGGCTTCTGAGTGGTCATCCTCAAGGCCAGGCGGCGATGGCGAAGTGGCGTTCCAGACCATCGAGGCAGCGCAATATCGTCCCTTCAAACGTCTCAAGTCACATCTCAGCCTACTACAATGTGCTCATAATGGCGGACGCAAAGAGATGGAAAAGGTCCTAGACTGGACATACGCGAGGCGAGGCGTGCTGCGTTGGGCGGGTCTGCGACCCTTTCTCGATCGGCCTAACCCTCTTGGTGAATGTTCAACACACGCAACGAGCAGTCACAGGCATTCGCCCTCACCTGCCGCGTCTTATCCGCCCTCACCGGCCCTGCTCGCCCTCCTCTCCTCGCCCTTGATCACTCACTCATCCTCCGGCTCCGGCTCTTCATCCTCATCCCCTCCCTCATCCTCCTCTTGGGCGAACTTCACTTTGCCCCTCCCTCGCGAAGGCAAGACGAGGCACAATCCTCGCAGTAGGCTGCGCAACAAGGAGCTCAATGCGGTAGCGAAAGTTGTGAAGCGCAAGCTGGAGCGGGTGAGAATTCCCCTTCCAACGCGGGTGGTGATGAGGGTGGAGGAACGCGCCAAGTCCGTGGGGGGTGCAGAGGGAGGTGAGGCGACAACGAGGGCACGAGCAGCTGGGCAGGAAAATCAAGGCGAAGAGTGGGGACCACTGCATCCTTCTACGCCTAACTTTGCCAGACAGAAAAGAAGAGTGTGGGCGGCGCTGCTGAGCCGATTGCCTATCTTGCCTGAGGTGAAGCATGCGACAGGTGGTGAGGAGCGACAAGAGAACGACCAGGCGGAGCCATCATCCACAGGCTCCCCAAGAGCAGCATCAGCCTCAGCTTTCCGTCCGCAACTACGGCGCTATCTTTCTCCTCCATCTCTACCAACAGATCCCATTCCTTCGCTCATAGAAGCATGGAACAATCACCTTTCCCTCTCACGCGGCACACCCGAAGATAAATCGAGGCGCCCAAAGAGCATAGCGTTCCACCTCTCCCCCCTCTCCCTCTTCCGTACCGATGAGAGAAGGCCACCAACCTTACCGGCACCACAGGAGAGCGTGAGGGCCCTGCAGCGCTGTGGCGGAGGGCCAGTAGAGGAGGTTGAGAAGGGGGCGAAGGGAAGGGCGAGGGCAAGGATGACCAAACAGGGGAGGATAGATAGGGCGCAGGGGAAGATGGGAACCAAGGAGGAGGAAGAGTGGATTCGCAAAGGATGACAGCGATGGCATCGGATAGAAATGAGATTCAAGATGGATGAATGTACTACCTCTGTCATTGTGACCACATCTGCAACAACCAGCATCCCGCCTCGCCCTTCTCAACGAACTCTTGCTCTCGTGTCACTTTGCCTCCGTGCCTGTGGCCCCACCATCTGTCTTCCCCTTGCGCTTCCCCATCAAGCTCATGAGAGCCTTCTGTCTCGCCTCAGCCAGGGAGTCCACGGCTGACTTTGACACGGGCGCGCTGCTCTCCGCATCTGCGGTCGCCTCCTCCTCAGCAGCAGCCTCAGCGGCGGCTTGCTCCTGCTCTGCTACGCGCTTACTGCGCCTCGGGGTCGGCGGCGCAGCTGGAGTCGGGGCTGATGCCTTCTGTGGAGATCCCTGTGTTGCAGTCGTCTTGCTCTGCGCTGCCTTCGCCGCGCGAGCAGGTCTTGTTGGCCTGACATCCGCGTCCGGCTCCCCGTAGTCCAGATCGTCCGGCTTCGGCGCTTCAGCAGGCGGAACCAGATCCGTCGGCGGTGAAGTCGCTGTTGCAGCACTGGGTGGGGACTGCGATCCAGATGCGCCATTTGTGTTCGCGGCCAGCTTCCTCTTTATCGCCGGTGTCTTTCCCAGCGCGATGGCGTCGTGGTCCACCCATTGGCGCTTCTTGGCACTAGTGCCGGGGCCGGTAGAGGCGACGCCATTTGTCGTACCAGTCGTTGGGGCGGCTGGAGGAGGTACAGAAGGCGTTACGGTATTGACTGGCTTCGATGCTGCTGCGGATTGTTGAATCTTCTCTGCCTGGAGACGCGTTGTAGGCCCGTCCGAGGTCGCGCTTGCCCTCGCTGCCATTTGCGTTGCCGAGGCGTCCTGAAGTAGAGCATCGATCGAGGCTTGCAGGGCTGCCGAAGGAGGCTTGTCCTGTGCCTTGACTTGTACTTCCGAGCCTGACTGCATCGTACCAGTCGAAGCGGGGTGATCTCCCTGTTCCTCTTTACCGTCAAGAACAGCAGCCTCACCGAGAGTGCGACCACTCCTCTGCTTTGCGCGGCCCTTCTGGGTGCCAAATTCCATCGGTAGTGCAGAACCGTCGTCGCTGACGCTCGTCGCCGACACAACCTCCTCCTCTTGCTCCGCTCCCTCCTTCATCTCTCTCTCCTTTTCTCGCCTAAGCGCCTCCTTGATCTTCGCTTGCATGCGATGATACGAAGTCGCTTCATCGTCTTTCGGCTCCCCTGAAGCAGCCTTCTGCTCTCGTGCACCGTCCAGCTCAGCACCTCTTGCCCCTGCCCTGATCAACTTATTCCTCTTCTTCAGCCTCTTCGGCTCGTAAAGCCACTCTCCCTTGCTCGCCCCATTATACCACGCCTCACAGTCCACGCTCGTAAGGAGAATGTTGCGCGGCAGCTCATCGATGGGTCGATCTGTTGGATTCGGGGGAAGGCCGAGCTTGACTGCTTTTGCCGTACTCTTGGCAGTGAGTTCGGCCGTGCGAGCAGGAGAAGACGATGCACGCGACGATGGTCCCGCTATCGCTAATGATTGGGGTGGCTTGGGCTTGGTCAGCGATGTCACTTTGCCCTTCACAGCTCCCACGCTGCTGGACGGTAGAGCCGCCGTATTGACTGCTGGCACTTCCTCCCCCTTCTCGCTCGGGCTGCCTTGCTTCTGCGTAGCTCCACTTGTAAAGTCCAAATCAATTAGTCCAGCACCCGGCGGCAATCGCGCTGCAGCTTTTTTCGCCTCCTCCGCCTTCCTGATCCTCTCGCGCAAGGCTTCCAGCTCTCCCTCTCGGTCCTTGAGGCGTTGCGCTACTGAGGAAGATGAGGATGAGCGTGCAGGAGAGGGCATGGCCTGGTGTGATAACATCAGGGCGGAGGCGGCCGTCTTGTATGGGTGGGGTGGGCCGAGGTATGGGACCAAGGGGGCGGTGGGCTCTACATCGAGCGCCCAGCCTAGGATGGGCGATGAGGGTGTGTTCGGCGTAGGTTGGGACACTTGCTGGGTCGGTCGTTGCACCAATGCCTGAGCGGCTTCGTCTTCTCCGGCGTATGAAGAAGACGAGGAGAAAGACGACGAGGAGGAAGAGGAGGAGGAGGAGCTGCGGGAAGAGGGTGAGGACGCTCTGCCAGCCTTGCCATTTACGGAGGCCGTCACCTCATCCCCGTCGAAGTTCTTCATTGCTGCCGTGCTGCCCTGAACGTTGACCACTTTAGCTCCTGCCTCAGCGGCGATCTTCAACCGCTGCTCGCGCGCTTTGGCTCTGCGCTTCTGATTGCCGCGTCTTGTGCGCTGAAGGCCTTGCCCAGGAGGTACCCAGCCACCAGGCGGCGTGCTAAGACGGGCCTTCGCGGGGGCTGTGTTTAGTCGCCGCGCTTTCGAGGCTGAGGATGAGGAAGAAGAAGAGGACGAGGGGGAGGAGGACGAAGAAGAAGAAGAAGACGAAGACGAAGACGAATGCTCATCGGAATCGCTCGTTGCGTCCGATTCGTTGCTGTCGCTTTCGTCGCTACTGCTGCTGCTGCTACTTGAATCGCTGCTGCTGCTCGAAGAAGAGGCAACGGCTGGAGCTGCTTTGGCTTTTGCTGCTTGGATACTTGGAGGGGAAGGCTTACCCTCCTTTGGCGACGCCTGACGCATCTGACGAGCAGCCTCAAAGGCAGACATCGCTGCAACTGCTCCTCTACCAGTGCCTACCGATGGTCTTACTGGCATCGCGAATGGTGAAGTGGGCATAGCGGGTGTTGATGACGAGACGCCATAGCCTGCTCCTAGACTCGGCGGTGGTGGTGGTAGGCCGCCGTCGTCATCGTCGTCCTCTCTCGCCGCTCGCGACGAGTGCATCTTGAGCTCTTCTTCCTGCGGCATCTGCTTCTTCTTCTTCCTTCCTCGCTGACCGACTTCGCTACTGATGAGCAAGCTAATGCGGGACGCTTCAGCCATAATGTCCTCCTCCTCTCTGTCTCGCTGAGCGGTCGCTACGGGCTTTGAGGCGTCTGGGAGGGGGGTGACTGACTCTTGTTTGATAGCTGTAAACCTTGATGCGGATCTGCCGGTGGCCTTGAACTTCTTGTGGCTATGCTTGTGCGATCGAGAGCGAGAGCGATGCCTTGGCTCATCGTCGCTTTCGCTGGAGCTGCTGGCTGAGTTCGACGACGAGGACGAGTATGAGTATTTCCTTTTCCTCCTGGACGAGGAATGACGACTCCTGGAACGTCTTCTATCCTCTTCGTCAGAAGGGTCTGCTGGCAGCTTGTCGGCCGCATACACGCTGAGCAGGGGCGAAAATGATGAGAATGCAGCGGTTTCGGACTGCTGAGCCGTGTTGGACTCACTCTAGGACGTCTGACTCCCGCATGACATCGTGTATCCTGTAGTCCCAGTCGATGAGCCTGTAGCCACCCAAATACAAGGCTAGGCAATCCTCGACAGCCTTGCCGCTATTTGCGATCTTGAGCTTGGCCACAAGATGTCTGGCCAAGTCAGCAACAGTCTCCATGCCAGATCGATCTTTGCTGGAGCTACTCGCCGGGGGCGGCAGGATAGGCAAGAGAAAAGGCTGGGTTGGCAGGGGTGCATGAGGGCGTATACGTACCCTCAGAGGCAAGGAAGCCATGTCGAAAGAGAATTATGCTGGTGATGCTGAGTAGTTGATGTTCGTCAAGCAGTGATTGGTTGACCGACAGCTTTTTTTGCTGTTCCGCTTCGCCTCTTCGTGGAGGCGGACCGAGCGATCGAGCGAGCAATCGAGTGCCGAGTTGTTCACGGCGCAATCAACCAGTACCAGTTGCAAGAGCACATTTAGCATCCCTTCCTCATCATCCTTCTCAGCATAGCATGTCGGACAGAGAGACAATAGCTTCAACCGGAGACGGCTCTTCTTCACCCACGTCACCGTCCTCACTGGACTCGCCCAATCGGCACCCGCGGCTTCGCCCGCAAGAGCATCGACCTTCTTTGTCCTCGTCCTTTGCATCCTCATCCCAATCAACACCTCCCACATCGGCCAGCGAAGCCAGTCACCAAGACCAAAGTCCTTTCAGTAGCGGCACAGCATCATCCTCATCATCATCTCCTGCAACGCGCGATGCACTCTCTCAGTCGATCATCTCCAACCTCGACCTCGAGTCGGAAGCGAGATCAAGAAGACCTTCGCACGATGGCAGCGCGGTTGCGCAGCAGGCAGAAGACCAGGAGAGGGGCCAAGAAGCTGAATCAAGCACACTGAGGGAACTGAATGCTTCATCAAACCGTACGTCCTCACTACCACCCCTCGTCAGGGAGGACTCAACGACGCGTAGGGTCATGGAGGATGTCTCGCCCTCACCACCGCCTATGCCGACCAGCAGTCTCCCAACGAATGGGGTCAGTGAGGCGTTCGAGTCAAGAGAGGGAATGGCGGACACCTTGCGATCAGCTTCATCGAGCTATACGTCCCCGTCAGATTTCCTCGGACCCTCGCCCTCCCAGCAAAAGATAGCATACAGCGACGAGCCTTCTTCCTCATCCCGAAGCGAGTCAGAAAGAGCCAGTCCGGTTGAGGAAGAGAGCGCAGCCCCTCACGAGCCAAAGACGACTGCTACTGGGGGAGAAGACGATGCTCTGCCAGAGACCGTGCCCACCGTCAGTGCTACAGGAATGCCGCGCTTCCTACCGCGGCGAACCGATGATCCGACCCTCGACGGGCGCGTCGGTACGAGCTCCAGGAAGGACCCGCCTCCGCCTGAGCTATTGCCCGAAGGGGCGAGCCCACCACCGCGACGAGGAGGGAGAAGAAGTAGGAGCAGCAGTGTGAACGAGGACGAGGATAGCTCGGATGACGAGTCTACACTCTCTTCGGCCTCGTCACCCCCACACCCCCTCTTCCTGCAAGCCCTCCTTCCTTCCTCCCAACTCCCTCTGACCCGTCGCTTCTCCATCCTCTCATCCTCGCTACTCGTCAACCTAGGCCTGCCATTCATCAATGGCCTCTTCCTCGGCTTTGGAGAGATCTTTGCCCGATCGCTGGTCGCGCCTGTGGTACTGGGCGTCGTCGAGAGGGGGAAGAGCTTGTGGCGGGAGTATTACCTGGGAGGAGGGGTTGGATTGGGGGAACATTTGACCATGAGCGAGAGGAGTCAGGCGGTCAGGGACGCTGGAAGTGGTGAGGGGACGGGGACGAGTGGATTGGGAGTGAGGGCTGCGCCGAGATGAGAGCGAGGAGTCATGTGTTTCACCACTTTAGACGGCGACGTATGGGCATCACAAGATCATCGTCACGGCTCAATCTCTGATTTGACCGCTGATGCTGATGCTGATGCTCGATGCGATTCAGCCAATGCGAAGAGCGTGCAAACCGATGCTAAAAGTACAGGAACGAACAAAACACAACATGATGACACGGACGCAGGTGAGACTGAGCAACTCGTAGGCTGCCTTACACCCGCTACACTCCAACCCTCTGTGCCTCTTCCCTCTTCAATGCCCTCTCCACCCGTCTAAACTTCTTCTCAACATCAACGTTGTCTCCCCTGATCCTCCAACTCCTGAATCGCCTCATCGGCCCCGCCAACCATCCACAGACGACATCCACTGCCCAGAGCTCCCACACGAAGAAGAGGAGCGCCTGCACCAGGACGGTACCGAAGATGATGAACAGGAAGCTCGTAGGCAGCTCGACAAGTCCAAAGAGGCGGAAGAGGCCGTTAGACTCGGAGTTGGAGAAGAGGATGCCGAAATTGATGGCCGCGAGGGCAAGGATAGCAAAGGACAGCAGGTAGTTGCGGTAGAGCGGCTCACGATGCGGCGGACCGAGCGCCCAGCCAATTGAGGCGATGGTGAAGGTGAACATGGCCGTCTTGCTCACCACGCTATTGTCCTGATTTGTCAGAGAGAGATCCGCGGGCTGGAATGGGGGTTGCTCGTACCAGCTTTGCTTGTGCAGAATCACGTAGGGCACCGTTTGCGCGATGATGAGGAGGACGATAGCGCCCAGCAGGGAGAGGACGATGCGCCGTGTCATGAGGCGGGAGAAGGGGCGCGACTTAGAGAGGGTGGCAGCAGGGCGACCCCAGGCCATGCCGATTGCAATGCAGAAGACCTGGAAGATGTCGATCCATAGATACTGAGCGTTGTCTAGTGAGGCGGTGACTCCAAAGAGGAGGATGACACTATAGAACTCGGTGAGGGCGTAGAGGGCAAAGTAGAGGAAGAGGCTGGTCGAAGTCGCAAGACAATTACGCCCCTCCTTGATGAGATGTGGCAGGGAGCCAATGTCATCGGCACCGCTCGTGAACGGAGCGGCGACCGAAGCCTCAGCCTCGCTGAGTGAGAGTCCCAGGTCTGCCCCCTTGAGCGCACCAGTGTCATTCGCTCCATCACCACAGAAAGCAACCGTATGGTCAATTCGCTGCAGTCTGTCCACCAGCTCTGCCTTGAGCTCGGGTGAGAAGCGGGCGAACACCTGTGCGCGCACCAGGAGGCGGGCCATAGTTTCGTCTGAGGCGTGCGAAAGCAAGTGCTGGAAGACGTCCCCGGTCAGCGCGAGGCCTACTGTCGACAAGCTCAGCTTCGGGTCACGAGGAGCAAGCGAGTAAGGGTCCAGCCCGCCATCTTCGTCCGCTCCTTCGCCCTCCTGCGGCAAGTCGACATCGCTCCACACCAGCTCAGCTGGATTGGACATCCCGCCTAGGCTCTTGTGCGCCTTGACTCCCTGCGGAAGACGGGGCACGAAGACTGGCTGGCCAGGTGGGATCATGCCCGCCTCCCTTGCCACTGAAATCGCGGTGTTAACCGAATCGCCCGTGCACATCTTTGTTGGAATCTCCGCCTCGTGCAGCTCTGCGATGGCAGCTGCGGTCGTGCTCTTGAGCTTGTTCTCGAAGAAGAGCAGGCCGAGGAAAGAGAGGTCTGACTCGACGTACTCGCGTGGGCAGGTTTGAGCTCCTGACCAGCTGAGCGAGGCAGTCTTGTAGCCGAAAGCAAGGACACGAAGACCACGTCGCGTAGCTTCGTTGAGGATAACGTCGAAGTCGTCCGGGATGGTAGCAGGGTCGCAGAGTGGCATGATCGATTCGGGTGCGCCTTTGACGTACATTGTCGCCGATGAGGTGGATGACGAGGCAGCCTGAGTGATGACCGACATGCGGCGCAGGCTGGGGACGAAGTCGAACTTGCGCAGCACGGCGATGGTCGCGTCACCTGAAGGGGAGCGAAGGCATTGTACGTAGGGGTCTATGCTGCCCTGACTGACTTGAGCACCGGTCAGCGGCCTCTTCGCGCTCTCCATCGTCCATTTGGTGAAGAGGAGCATGCTGACTTCGAGCGGGTCACCGAGCGGTTCGTCGTCGATGAGGTTGACGTCGTGCGTGGCAGCCATTGCCTCTTCCATCTTGACCTCGCGCTCAACCTCATTGACATCCTCCATGCGCTCGCGCAGCTCGTCGAGCTTGCCATTCTCACCGCGCATCCTCACGCCACGAACTTCGAGGCCACCTTCAGTTAGCGTGCCCGTCTTGTCGAATACCGCAATCGAGACTTTGCCCGCCAGATTGATCCTCTGCGGCGACACACAGAAGATCTTGGCCTGCTTCAGGCGACGCAGCGCAAACGTCGAGCAGATGCTCATAGCAGCTGGCAGAGCGGGTGGGACGCAGATGGTGAAGAGGTCGATGGTCCGCAGCCCAATTTCATCGCCATCGACGCCTACGATGACAAAGTTGATGACGCTGCCAATGAAGCCGATGACGGCGATGACGATGAGGATCAGGATGAATAGGAAAGCGTCCTTGTAGAAGGCGAAGTTGACGGGCTTGGGAAAGAGCATCATCTTGACGAGGGAGCCCTTGCTCGAGTTCCAGGCAGTCGACGTCACCACGGCTTTGACTCGGTCATTTGAGTTCTCGGCGCTCGCTCGAAGTAGGACTGTGCCTCCCCATACGAGGCTCTTCTCTACTCCTTTGAGGTCTCGCTCTCCGCGTGCGAACTCGGCGAGGGCTTGCGGAGAGATGGGCGTCTTGGAGCAGGGGACTGACTCGCCTGTGAGCATTGACTCGTTGACCAAGCAGCTGGATGCGCCAGGCAGTAGAAGCATGTCGGCGGGTAGCGACTGCGAGAGGAGCGGGGAAAGAGACACAATGTCGCCAGGTACCAGAGCCTCAGACGAGACCTTCTCCCACGTCTCTGATGCCAGGGACGCCTTCTCGTCGTTTGGCGACGAAGATGCAGAGGTGGCGCTGAGTCCGACTCTCATGACCTCGACTTGAGTCTCGTATCGCGCAGTTCGCTGCAGCCTGACCTGAGATCGGTGAGACTGAATGACAGTAGCCGCAATACCGAGGATGGAGATAGCAAGGACGACTGCAGCGTAGACTTGGTACGTGTCGTAAAACCACAGACCACACGAGGCCAATGTGAAGACGTAAAAGGGATGGCACGTCTCTGTGATAGTGAGCTTGATGAGCGACTGGCCCCTGACATCGATGATGTTTGGGCCAAAGAGGGCATGACGGAAGGCAACCTCTGACTGCGTGAGAGGAGCAGCGCCGGATTCTAGGCCGACGTCTCGCCACTCTGGAAGAGAGACGAGCTTCTGCGAGGGAGCGTGGAAGATCAGAGGAGTATGACGGAAATTGAGGACGAAGACGTGGCTAAGAAGGGTTGTGTTGGCCGTAGGGCCTCCAGCGAGGGGAGGTCGCGGGACCTCCTGCGCAACATCAGCCGGGCTGGTATAAGGAATAGTGAAGTTGGGGCTGAACATCTTGTTGGCAGGCGTGGGCGTGGGCAGTTTGTGAGGTACCAACTTCTGGAGCGAAGCTGGCTCGCTCGGGATCTTGACGAGGCAAGGGATGGCCTTGCAGTCGGCCAACTCGTCCTCGGTGGGTGCCTCCCGGACGTAGTAGATCCACTGGCGGTAGATGCGCGGGACCCAGAAGACGATGATGAGGGGCAGAATACCCGCAGTCAGGACAGATCCGATGAGGAAGAGGGTGAAATTTAGCCAGCTTTTCTCGAGATAGCGGATGGTCATGAGGAGATCTTGCGCCGGAAGGTAGATGTCCTGGCGCATGGCTTCTTCGCCTTCGTCGTTCTGCAGCTTCTCGAGCTCAATTGCTACATGAGAAGGGGCTGACGAGAGCTTGTCGGAGTCAACCTTTTCGTCTCGCTGTACAGGAACAGAGGCCGGTGCGGGCATATGAGGAACGTCGCCGGCGGCCACAATGGGCTTGGCGCCGAAGCTGCTGCTGGATGTCGTGCCAGAAGGGTCACTGCTGAATGTGGTAGTGATCTGGTCCTCATCTTTGGAAGCAGTGCTGGGTCGCATCTGCTTCTGATCAGCCTCCCATTGGCGCAGCGCAGCATCATCGCCCGAGTTGAAGGCAAAGGACGCGATAGGCGTCGACGAGGCTGCGGCCGGGGCCTTCGAATCAGGCGGCGTAGGCTCGAGTGGGGAGGAGTTGGACATGATGGCCAAGCGCTGCTATGGGAGCTCGAGAGCCGCGGTATACGTCTAGGGTGAAATGACAGTGGTCGGCGCGAGTGGGACCAGGGCGCGGGCAGAGTGATGATGAAGAAGAAGAAGAAGAATCGTGATTGCCGCTCAAGCCAGTGCGAATTCGACTTTGCCTGCGAATTGACTTGCTGCAGCTCGCCCCGCTGCTGCCGTCGCTCTACTCGAGACTAAAAATCGAACCGCGGTTCGGCATGCAGAAACCAATGAGGCACGGAGGGGCGCAGCGAATCGGCCGTATCTCGCGGACGAGGTCGTGTGAGACGGTTGCACACAGTCGCGCTTCACACAGTCGTCGCGCTACCATCGTCTCCTCACCATCACGCAACGGTAGAAGAGAGCATGCATATATCGTATGGTATTCATTCAGACGCTGAGCAAGGCGCAAAAGGCGCATGCATTCAAGCGCTCGTTGTCGTCAGCAGAGATCATAGCAGGTCCGTCATTGCATCGCATCGCGGTTGTGTCCGTTATCAGAGCAGCCCGCCACCCCAATTGGCGGCCCCCCTCGTCGAAGTCTCTGCCCCTCGTTCACCCTGGTCCTGCTCCTCTGGCTGAGATGCCGCGGCTGCAGCTGCCGCTTGTCGTCCCAAGCTCTCGACGCGTGGAGACTGTCTCCACGATTCGCCGGCAACGGGAGAGCCAGGCCCGCCGTAACCTGGGATCAGTGAGGATGGGACACCACGCAGAGATCCTGGCGGACGGCGAGCACCTCTGTTCCCACTGCCTTGGCCAGCAGCTCGCGCCTCGCGTTGAGACTGGCGAAGAGCCGCCTCACCAAGTGTCGCGCTGGGATAGTGACCACCCGCAGGCGGAGCCGAGCCCTCGTCTTCTGGTCCTTCCCTGACAGAGCTCAAACGTCTCGGACCGCCTTCAGATGCAGCGTAAGGCGGCAGCGGCGGCAGCGGCGGCAGGGTCGACATGTCCTCGCTGTCATCCTCAAAGGGGTTGCTCGGCAGCCGTCTCGACTCGCCCCCCGCAGTGGCACGACTGCTAGCCACCTCACCTCCAGCACCTTCTTCCTCTCCGGCACGAGTGTCTATCGATGGGCCAGAGGCAATACTGCCGCTCCCATCCTCGCGCCCACCGTGTCGCGCTCCAGTGTACGCAGCCCTTCCCGAGATGCTCGACACTCCTCCGCGGCTACTGATTGTCGAGCTCCTGTTCAGGTTCCCTCCTGCAGCACTCGGCACAGCAAGATCGCTCTGCACGTGCGCACTGGCACTGCGATCGCTGAAGGGAGAGCGAGCGCGACCTCTCTGACTCCCACTCGAGCTCGACGCGTTGCTGTGCTGTGCTCGCCAGCTCGTCGAGTCCACACCGCTCGAATGATCGGATGCCATCGAGCGACCGGAGCGCTGTCTGCTCGCTCCAGAGCCAGAAGACGTCGTATTGTCCGATACCGAGGCTGAATAGCCTGCACCGTGCGTCTCAGAGTCCAGATACGAGTCGGCACCGCTCCTCGCCGAGGCTCGTGTCATGGGCCGGTCGATGCCACTTGCAGCCACGCCTGCGGCTGCGCCGGGCCCCATGCCAGAAGACGCATTGCCGCTGCCGCTGGACTGCTGGCCGTGGCGACGGTTACTGCTGCTGTCTCCCGTATAGACACTGGCTTGCTGACTTTGAACGTTGCCAGCTTGCTGTGGCTCGATGAGGTGCGTCGAAGCGGAGGCATCGCGCTGCTGTTCGCTACTGTCGTAATGGTCGTCTCTTGATGATGGAGCCGGGCCCGGAGTAGCGCCCATGGTTAATCGTCGAATGCCTGCTGCGAGACCGCTGAACAGGCCTCCTGTAGCGGCTGCTGCGCCGAGGTTGCTCTGCGATTGCGAGGATGTCGGCCGGTCGCTGAAAGGATCCTCCTCGCCGTGTTGATCTTCAGACCCGTCTTCATCATCGTCGTCGTCTTGCAGCTCTCCGCCATCCGTCAGCCCCTCGTCGTGCAACGAGCGACGCTGCCCCATCGTGCCCCTCGGCGAGTTGAGCTCCATCGGCTGCGGAGCGCTGTCCGGATCTTCAGCTGTTGTCGTGTACGAAGCGCGGCTGCGGGCCTTGGAGCCTTCCGAAGAGTTGAAAGTTGCTTGCTGCCCGCCAGTCGTAGCAGTCGCGAATGGAGCAGAAGCTGTGCTTCCACGCTCGCCGAACTCGCCTACACTCTGGATGGTGGGCAGCCTGCGGTGCCCTTGGCCATCATTCGCATCCTCACTGCTCCTGTTCGGGCTTGGTGTCCCGCTGCTGTTGCCACCGCCTGCTCCGGGGCCCAGCAAGTTGGTGTCCGCGCTAATGAACTTGCTGTGTCGCCCGCCGTTGCTCTGCAGGCTATCCTTGCTGTTGTTGCTTCCCGATGGAATTCCAGAAGGGTAATGGCCCTTGGAGTACGTCGAGCCTTGGCTGTCACGATGGCCTGAAGCCCACGCAGCAAGACCGCCCGCCGCTGCCCCACCGCCAGCTGCAGCACCGAGTAGCTTAGGGTCGTAGCCGATATCGCCGCTGCCAAAGTCGCTACCGTAGGATGGTAGGCGGGTTTCTCGTAGACGATCTCCGCCGCTACTGCTTTCTGGTAGATTGGCCATAACGTTGGGCGAGCTTCCGGTTCTTTCTCGAGCCGGGCGAGGAGGAGGAGGCAGCGAAGCGCCGATCAGGGGTGATGGGGTCGATCGGCTAGCGGGTGGGTTGCTTGTCCCGCTGCTGCTTGGCAGCTGCGAAGAGCCATTGGAGTCGTGTGCGCCGCTGCTCGTGCCATTGCGCGAGCTTCCATTGCCTGCAGCACCGAGGTCGCCCTCTGCCGCATCGTGATAGTCTCGGCCTCGACTGTCATCCAGGTCTCGACCATCCTCGTCATCGCTGCTGTAGCGATTCCTCCGTCGAGCAGCGTAGCCAGCTCCAGCTCCTGCGGCACCAGCAGCTGCTGCGGCTCCACCTATGGCAGGCCAGCCGCCCCAATGTGATGGCCCAGATTGCTGCATCTCCGGGTAGTGATCGCTGTCATCGTATCCGCCCATCAAGCCACGCCCTTCATCTTCGCCGCCCCCCTCGATATGGGAGCGACGCACATTGGCGTAGCTGGTGAGGTCTTCCTCCGAAGCGGTCTCGTCCGGATCTTGCGTAGGTACTGTGTTTCCCTTCTGAGCCCCACCGAGATGACGGGCCAGCCAGCTGCCGCCGAGCAGCCCACCGATAAGGCCTTTGCTAGCACCACTGCCAGATCCTGATCCGCCTCTCGGAACGCCAGCAGAAGGCGGCATTTCTCTGAGCGAGCTCTGCGCGCTTGGAGGCGAGCCCATGCCGATCCCACCCGGGCCGTATCCTCCACCTGCGGCGGCACTGAGTCGTCTACCGCGGAAGCTACCTCCATCTCCTTCGCCGCGACGTCGCCCGCCAACGACAAAGAATCCGCTTCCACCATCTCCGCCAGTGAGGTTGTCAGCCTCCCAGTCGTCCGTGTCTGCATCACTGTCTCGACGTCCACCGGCTGCGGCTGCGGCGAGCCCAAGGCCAGCGCCGCCGGCTGCTGCCCCAGTGAGGGGGGCGTAGGCGCCTTGACCTCCGCCACCGCTTCCATTGGCACCGCCGCTACTTCCACCACCTCCAATGTTCGACCAAGCGCTTGCGACACGGTCCGAGACACGGCGGCCATGCTGCGCCATGACTCCGCCGGCAGCGGCGCCTTCTGCTCGTCGTCTTCTTCTTCTCCGCAGGCAGCAGAGTAGGAGAAGCAGGAGCAGAAGGAGGAAGAAGAAGACACCCAGTACAATGCCAGCAATTTGGCCACCTGAAAGGTGAGGGCCGGTAGCAAGGTTATTAGGGTTTGGAGGCTGTAATGTGCCAGAAGGCCGAGTAGCTGAGGATGAAGGGCTGCCACTCGTGCCGCTGCTGATCGGCGATGTGGCGGACGAAGGGCCGGCGTTGGAGAGGCTCGCAGCGCTGGCGTTGGAGCTGGCTGCACTGGCTTGACTGGCTAAAGAAGAGTCGCCCGCACTGCTGGCTGCTACAGAGGCACTGCTGGCTGCGGCGCTGAGAGAGGAGGCGGCCGAAGACTGAGCGGCGCCTGTCGCAGTAGCGGCAACTGCGCTTAAGGAGGAGAGCGCGCTGGATGCAGCTGGTGCGTTGAAAGGGGTGGTGGCTGTAGGTGAATTGTCTGATGCTGGCGGCTGATTGCCATCTGGAGAGGACTGGCTCGGTGGGGTTGTAGCTTGGCTTGCGCTGGGATCACCATTACCGTTACCACCCGCACCGGAGGGAGCTGCATTGCCACCTTCGCCATTATCTCCGCCGTTGCCTTGGCCACCTTGTCCACTGCCTTGGCCGCCTTGGCCTCCCTGACCAGCTCCTTGTTGACCTCCTTGGCCGCCCTGTCCTCCTTGACCGCCTTGGCCGCCCTGTCCTCCTTGACCGCCTTGGCCGCCCTGTCCTCCTTGACCGCCTTGGCCGCCTTGTTGCCCTTGTTCGCCCTGCCCATTCCCTTGACCGCCTTGGTCGCCTCCTCCTTGCTGGCCTCCCGAGCCATTGGAGCCTCCTCCATTACCAGCGCCGCTACCGCTATTTGACCCCTCGTCGCCTGCTTGCCCTCCATTACCGCCGCCACCACCATTGTCATTGCCATTGCCATTGCCATTGCCATTGCCATTGCCATTGCCATTGCCATTGCCATTGCCGCCCGACCCGCTATTTCCAGATCCAGCAGTCGGCTGTGCTTGTGGTTGGCCAGCGGTCGTGTAGAGCGTGCCAAGGTCCGGCGCAGGGAAAGGACCAGTATACTCGAGTGGCACGTACTTGATGTTGTACGAGGTGCTCGTCTCTACGCCCGTCTGCACCTGCACCGTCTGCCTCGGAGGATCAGTGCCCTGTGGATCGTAGATGACGCGCGTTCGCGATGAAGTGTAGGGAGCGACATTCGTAGCAGCGGGCGAGTAGGAGAGCCAGGTGGGGAGGACTTGCGCTGTTGGACCTGGAGGCGTGGGTCCTTCCGGGAGGTACGACATCTGATGTAGATGGGTCCTTGTACGAGAACTCCTCGACTAATTGAGGGTGCGATTCTGTATGTTGAGAATGGAGGGCCTCGCTGGCCCCTCCTTTCGACCAGCCTGGACGCTGCGCCTTGTCTTGGGCTCTCTATGGTACGTTGTCGTGCCTGCTGGTCATCGAAGCCGCAATGGCGGTCGTAGAGTGGATGAAGTGAAGGTCAGCAAGAGACGGCCTTTGCTCTGCCCTTCCTCACGCAAGATTCATGTGAGGTGAGATGGAGCTTAGAAGGTCGAGTCGGACTTACCAGGCTACCAGACGTTTGGGAGCTTCTACGCAGATGCAGCTTCCAATTTTGGTAAATGATCAAGCGCCCACACTCTGAGTCTTGCTCTTCTCGGAGAATTGGTGGATGATGGAGTGTCGTCGACGATCAATCTGCGCGTTGCTCGAGCCGTGGAATGGTGAACGAGGATGAAGCAGGCACAATGGACGTGCTACCTCAAGTGACGAGGACCCTGGTGCGGGATAGGGGCCAGACGCGTCTTTCCGCTAGTCCGAGCGATTGAGATTTAGAGCTTCTCGGACGGACCGCGCTCAGCGTGGATCTAGTTTGGATGAAGTGAAGAGATGATGAACGAGTTCAAGATGGTTAGACGAGAGGATGATGATCGCTGGATCGTGTGTGGTTGTGATCATGAGGTGCTATGAGACGGCCTGGGGTGAGGCTCTGAAATGGACCAGCTGCAGGCTAGACGATCGACGAACACGGAGCGATTGAACACTCGCACTGCCGAGGCGGACCAACGGGGCGTCCGTAGTCCGTGATGCCATCAGGTCCAGCCCAGATTCAGCTCCTCCTCACTAGCGTCGTCTTCGTCATCGACATTGCACTCACCTCAACCACCTGCACGCACAAGGGGAGAATAGTTTGACTTGATATCGAATTGAAAAAAGGAATATAGGGAGAAAGATTCCGCGGGAACAAAGTAGCAAGCAACACGGACGAATCTGCAATCCTCAGGCCGAGGCCGCGGACACGCCTTCATCTCATCATCAAGTGATCGCTGAAATGGAGACGTATCCAGAAGCCTACGGCGGTATAGTTCGATCGCTGGATGAGCCAGCAATCGAAGGAGGGCTTCGAGGTATATCCTTTTCTATCCTTTGGGATCGTGGTTTTCGCTCGCACGTCTAGGCTACTGTGCCGCCGTGCAAGTTCTGCTGCCTCTTTGCACGCTCCTGCTGGTTCTTCTGCGACTCAGAGCGGGCCTCGTCCACACGCTTCTTTGCGGTCTCGTACGCGTTGTGAGTCTCAGTCTTGTTCTTCTTCTTGATGTCGAGCTCCTGCTCGGCCTTGGTCTTGTCCTCAGCACGCTTGCCGTGAGTGGCAGTGATACGGTTGAGCTTCTTGGAGGCGTCGTGCTCCTTCTTTGTGGCCTTGGAAAGGCGCTTGATCGACTGGCGCTCGGCCTTCTCAGCCTTGGCTTGAGCCTTCTCAGCGATAGAAGCCTCCTTCAGGAGCTTGCTGAGGTTCTTCTCCTCGTTCTTGGCCTCCGTCTTGAGGAGCTTGTCGTATTTCTTGACTTCCTTGCTCGTCAGGGCATTGACGTTGACAGCGCCTCCTGTGGTGCCTTGGCCAGCGCCGGCAGCGCCAGCTCCAGCAGCACCAGCACCGGCGGCACCAGCAGCAGCGGGGGCTGCGGCCGAGGTCGTAGGCTGACCAGCGGCAGGCGCTTGTGCGGCGTTCGTCGTAGCGGCAGGAGCAGCGGCAGCAGGGGCGGCAGCGGCAGTCGAGGGGTGCTGAGCAGAGACGGCTGACTGAGGCGCAGTCGTCGCCGACGTGGCCGACATGGGCTCAGCGGCTGAAGGAGCAGCGGAGTGAGCCGCAGGCGCAGAGGTGTCAAGGGCCGACGGAGCAGCCGAATGAGACGCCTGAATGGGTTTGCGATGCAGGAGATGCCAAGAGTCAGCTCAACGGATGCAGGCAACAAGATCTTCTACTTTGCACACCATTACTCACGAGTCCGGCATCGGGAGCGCTGGCCTGCGAGCCTGCGCCGGCGTAACCGGCACCAGGGTGCAGGGGGTTAATGCCCTCGCTGCCAGCGCCACCAGTGTGCGAGGCGACTCCGGCGTGCTGGTTGGGGACAGCTCCGGCGGCGTGGCCGACCCCGTTCTCGGTAGGCAGAGCAGCCGACTTGTCGAGGCCAGAGCCACCGTTGAGGTGGGTAGCGTCAGCGACGGCGTTACCGTTGGTGGTGATGGCGGACATGTTTGAATGTGCGCGAGGGAGCAATAGAGATGTGAGGTGGAGAAGGTGCAACTTTCTGCATTGCATGGTTTCGCCTCGTCTTTATACCGGCTACCGTCCTTGGCCGTCCTCATCCTTTCACCGCTGCATTCTGTCGAGGCCCAGACTCGCCTGCGCTTACAGTAGCTGCATTGCTGCGTTGCTGCGTCGTTGCGTCTTCGTTGCCGGATTGGGGCCGGCCTGCATATCCTGTCGTCGGAGAAAGAGGGAGTGGAGCAACGCACCTCAGGAGCTCGAGTGCGACAAGCGACGTCATAGCCGTGCGGCCCGGACAAGGCCGGCAGCACGCAGAGGAGCAGAGCCTTGAAGCTCAAGAAAAAGAAAAAAGAGACCCAGAACCATCCGCGATGGTCAGCATGTCAGAGGAAGACGAAGACAGTACAGCGACCATGACGGCGACGGCGGGCGACGATAACGAGGCGAGGTCGAGGCGAGGATGAGGCGAGAATGTGGGCTTGACAGGCGGTGAAAGTGGGCAGCGAGGCCCGAGGACAATATCGCCATGCTGCACACCACTGCGCCTGTTGTTTGTCCGTCGCTGTACGCATAAAGTAGCCGGTGCCTGCCGTCGTTAGACGATTCCTGGAGACTGGTAGAGGTGGCCATCCTCGCTCGTGGGGTTTCGCCGCCGATGGTGGGCGGGTAGATCGAGGGACGAGCGGGCCAAAGGTCGGTGGTTCGAGCGTAGAGATTGCGCGATGGTTCCCTTGAGCCGGGTGGTGACAGTGATGAGTGCTCGCCTGCGGTCAAGCTTCTGGTGCCCCCTGCTCGCACCTGCGACGCCCAACAACCATCACGATCTGGTCTGGGAGCCATCAGAGTATGTGCAAGGCACACTCGACTGTCCAACAGAGTGTAAGATGAAGCCTGCCGGACTTGTCGGCTGCAGCAATCACATCGGTAGATCATGGTCTTCAGCGATAGTCAGCGCACAAGGATACCGCTTGCGATCTCAAGCATCCATTTTGAGCCGCGATCTGCTTCATAGTGTCGATGGCTTGCCGGCCATGGTAGCATTGGGCCCCCGTCTTGCGCCTGCCCCCCACGCCATTCGTCGAGCGTGGATGTTGACTAGCTTGAGCGGCAATGCAGGCATCTGAGCGGTGTGCCACCCTCGAGTCGCGTCTCCTTGGACGAAGACGGGGAGGGAGGAGCAGCGGGCGCGGCAGCCACGCGCGAAATAACACACGATCGATCTCGCCCCGACTAGCTGACCTCCCTCTTTGCTCCCTTTGCCCAATCCCGTTCCGTAAGCCCTCACCATCTCATCGCCATTGCTCTCTACGCTACCAAGTACGTCGAGATCGTCGTCGCGATAGCAAAAGGCGCAGCTTGAGCATTGTCATCACCCGAAGCCCTTGCCTCACCCGCACAACACCACGCATCCTTATTCAAACGCGCCCTCCTCATGGCCCCAACATCATCTTCATCCACGTCGACACCGCGTCGCGCTACAACGCCTCGCAAGTCGACGCCTCGTCGCGCTCGCTCGAGCTCAGTCGCATCCAATGTTTCGCGATCCTCGAGCAAGCCGCCCAGCACGAGGGGAAAGGCAGCAGCCAACAAGAAGGACGGCAGGCCTGCTCTTCCCACCGAAAAGAACCCCAAGCTGCCTGCTGATCCTGTTCCCGTCAAGCTGCAAATCATCCGTCGCGAAGAGAGGTACGTAGAGCGCGATGTCGAGGTGGGGAATAGGTTGCAGATGCTCACCCTCACGCCCTCGCTCACCTCTATCAGGGACATCATCATCGGTCGCGTCAAGCTCGACACCGTCAACGGCAAGGACCATGGCTTCCTCCTCAAGCGGTGAGCAGACGATTGCATTCAGTTTTACGCGTCTTCGCTCGCGAGCTCACGCCTCCCTATCCATTCTTGCTGCGCAAACTAGCTTCGACACCAACGCCATTGCCGCATCGTCGATGTTCCAGCTCGCCTTCCCTTACGCTGACGGAGCAGCAGAGGCCGCCGAGATGGCTTACCTCGACCGCAAGTTCGACACTGACCGCGCCAACGGCGGTATGATCACCAAGCCTCGCACGCCCAAGCGCGGCCGTCCCAAGAAGAACCCCGCCCCCGAAGATGAGGCCGACACCAAGGTCCTGCCGGAGGGAAGCACTGGCGTCAGGCTGCAGGGCACTTGGCTCCCCTGCGAGGACGCCGTAGAGATTGCTGAAGAGTACGGTCTCCTCACCTATGCGCAGCCTCTCATCGACGCAAAGGCTGTCCACCTAGAGAATGGTCCTCAGCTCGTCGGCGCAGACAACGTTGCTGTCTCAACCGCGGCCAAGGGCGGCGAGTCCCCCTCTGCCACGACGCCTAGGAAGCGTCAGCGCACTGCTGCCAAGGCCGAGGACAGCGAGGCGGATGAGTCAACCTCGACCACTGCCAGCCCCAAGGCCAGTCGTGGCCGCAAGTCCAAAGCTGCCACCAAGGCCGCCGAGAACGGCGAGGGAGTCATCAAGAGCACCACCACTAAGATCGCAGCCGCTGCCGGCCTCACGCAGAAGGAAATCGACGAGCAAATCAAGAAGAGCAAGGACCTCGCCAAGGACGTCCAAGCCGCAGCAAAGAAGGCCACCACTGGCAGTAGCTCCACCAGCCCGTCCACTCGCGGCCGCAAGCGTCGCGCTTCCAACGAGCGACCGACTGCCGACTTGGACCACCTCGCAGACGACTCGAGCGTCAACTTCGTCTCGCGTCAGGTGCGCCGAGGTACACGCGCTGTCCGCAGGAGGCCAGTCGTCTCTGCCGCGGGCGCTATGGGGGCTGCGGCTGCTGCTGGGGTTGGGGCCCTGGCTTGGTTCGCGGGAGGAAACGTCGATGTGGCTCAGTCGCTGCTGCAGCAGGGTCTCACGCATCTGCAAGGTTTCTTCTTCTGAGCAAGTGGTAGCTTGGAGAAAGGATTGGTAGTGGGAACGCAATGCAGGTGACGATACCCCGGGTAGCCCTGCGAGGCCATTGAGGAACGTAGTCAACCTCTCCCCCCTTATCCATGGGCGCTACATTCTACCATCACCTAACGTCCCCACCTCCACGTCACTCCCCTTCTACACCGAAGACTCGATGACTGAATCTCCTTTTTCGTTCCTTTTGTTGTCTTTCCTCTGCCTTTGTTCCCGTCAACAGGGTGGTCCGCCGCTCATCTCTCGGTCTCTCAGCAGCCCAATGTACTAGCGCCTCGGCGAACTCGTCCTGATCCAAATGAATCGTCAAAGATCCTTTATTCATTCGCAGAGCTTGAATGTTGAGAGTTTGTTGACCAAGCTCTGGTTCGACGTGCCGGAAGCCGTGGCCGGCGCGGTATCCTCCCCAACGCTCCAGGACTGCCACTTCTTCGTACCATTCCCCGCGCACAAGAGCATCTCAAGGGCCAGCAAGCATGGACGTCCCCTCTCAAGAGGAGCTGCAAGATCAGCTTGAGAGGCTCCAACGTCTTGCCCTCGAGCGACACAAGGAAGCCCTTACTCTGCCTACTATTGCCTCTCCCTCCGCCCTCACCCGCGGCCTCACAGAGCTGAACTCCTCTCTCCCCGCCACCGGCTTGGGCTTGAATGCAACCACCTCCCATCTCCTCCAAGAGGTGGCGCCCACTCTTGCACCTGGCCATGCCGCCAGCAGGTACTTTGGCTTTGTGACAGGTGGGGTCACCCCTTCTGCCCAGATCGCAGACTGGTTCACCACCCTACTTGATGCCAACGTGCAAGTTCACCTGCCTAACGAGACGCTCAGCACCCTCATCGAGCACGACACTATGGGCATGTTGTGTGAGCTGCTCGGCCTCGAAAGGCAGGATTGGACAGGGACTTTCAGTACGGGGGCAACGGCAAGTAATGTGTTGGGGCTGGCATGTGGGAGAGAGAGGACGCTCGCCACAGCTATGAGGGAGAGAGGTTTGGAGGAATGGTCCTCTGCAGAGCACGGTGCCGGCTACGATAGCGAGGATGAGGGTCCATACGCGCCACCGACACACGTCTATGTGGCACAGCCGCACGCTTCGGTCAAGAAGGCGGCCGCCCTCGTCGGCATAGGACGGGCGAGAGTCGTAGACGTGGGGCAAAGGGTGCCGCCTGGCAAGGATCTAAATGACCCCATCGCCCTAGCCGCAGTAGCACTGGACTTCGACCTCGCTCTCCTGGAGTCGCACTTGGCCCGCAACAAGCAGCGCAAGCACCCTTCAATCATCGTGGCTGGCCTCGGCGAGGTCAACACAGGCGCCTTGACAGCCCAGCTGCCTGCTCTGCGCCGGCTGTGCGACAAGTACGGAGCTTGGCTGCATGTCGACGCTGCCTTCTCTGCCTTTGTGTGCCTGCTAGACGGGCATCAATGGATCTCTAGACATCTCGACGAGTGTGCCGACAGCATCACAAGCGATGCCCACAAGCAGCTGAACGTGCCGTATGACTGCGGCTTGTTCTTTGTGAGGAGGAGAGGCAAGGAGCGAGGCTGTGGCCTAGTAGCTAAGGCTTCAGGGAGCGAAGAGCAAAGCGTGCTGGAGGATGTGCTTGGTCCAGGCAGAGGTGGGGGCCCTGCTTACTTGGCAGCGCCTTCTGCCTCCTCTGGAGCGCTAGCGGAAGACAGCGACACAGCATCCTTCTCCCTCCTCGCAGAGCGACGCGCCTACCTTGCGTCGCTCCCATCTCCTCTGCACCGCAACATCGAGAATTCGAGGCGGTTTCGCGCCCTCCCTGTGTACACCACACTCCTCTGCTACGGGCGCGAGGGTATCACAAAGATGGTACGACGCAACGTGGACTTTGCGCGGGCGATTGAGGCATGGATGAGGGGAAGCGAGGGACGGGAGTGGTACGAGGTTCTGACTCCAGAGTGCGGACAGATGGACAAGGGGAAAATGCACGAGCCTCAACCTTGGCGCGGGGAATGGGCTACGACGGTGGTCCTCTTCCGTGGGAGAGCCGTTGAGGCTGCAGAGCTGATTGCAAGAATCAAGGCGACGAGGATGTTGTATGTCTCGCCAACGTCGTGGGGTGGGAAGGGGGCTGTGCGCCTTGCTGTGAGTAATTGGCGGACAGGGCTGGAGGATGGTGACGGGAAACATGTCGCGAAGGTGCAGCAGAGTTACGACTACCAGGTCACGGTGCAGACGCTGCTGGACATCGTTCGAGGGGATGCGTTGGCGCAGTGAGGGCCGTCCGCAAATAGATAACATTGTTCTTCGCGGCGTGCCTACTTCATCTCGACATCGCCGTCCTGTGCAGCATCAGCCGGCGCATGTGCAGATTGAGCCGACCCCTTTGGCGCTTTCATGAAAGCGTCGAGCTCGGCATCAAGATCGCTTGCCGTCTTGGGCGTCCTCTTCTCGCGTTGCTGCTGAGAGGCACCTCCTCCGCGTCCCGCTTCTCGTACACCTCCCGCGTTGCGTCCGCCTACGCCTCTGACTCCCGACTCTCTAGTACGCTGCCCACCTGCTAAACTACCACTGGCAGCGCGAGGTTGTCTTGGCGCGCCCGGTGCTCCTGGCGCTCCCCGAGCTCCGGACGGTCCCGTCGGGGCGTTGGGTGGGGGCAGCTGTCGTTCTCCCCCCATCCTGGAGAGGAGGTCCATCCTGGACCTCAAGTCTTGCGAAGCAGCACCTGCACTGGCAGTCTGCCCAGATCCAACAGCTCTGCGTCCACCGGGATTTCTCATCTCTTCGAAGGAGATGGTGATTGGCTGGCCCTTAGCATTAGCTCCATCGTACTCTGTGCGGGCTGCTTCAGCATCGCGCGCATTGCCGTAGATGACAATGGCCGTACCTGTTGGTCGTCCGGAGCGGTCGTACTGTAGACAGGAGTATAAGAGGGATGAGTCGCTGACGCGTGTCATCTCGTGTCATACGTGCTGTGCTCACCTTGACGATGAGCTTTTGAACCGGTGCGATCTGTTCGAAGAGGTGCTAGTAGCGTGTGATGGTTGGGCAAGCGCCGCCGTCGATGTGTCAGGAGTGGATTGACGGTGTGATATCGGGGCACGAGCTAGCTTTGACTGATTCAGAGATGCCCAAGCATCCGTCTCAGCCGCCCGCGCATGAATCTTGCTTCTTCATCGCACCTTGAGCTCAGCCTCGGTCACTTCGTAATGCAGTCCCTCGATGATGAGTTTAGGCGTTGGAATCCTTGACTTGCGAAAGCCTGAAGAGTCCCTTGATGGTCCCTCGTACATGTCATGCTGCCATCTGTCGCCGCTGTCCGCTCGAGGTCGGTCCTGTTGCGGGCGCTAGGGGGAAGAAAGTGGAGAGAAGCGGGTTGACCAAGTCAGCGACGATGAGGGCAGCAAGGTGCGCAGAGACTCACTCCGTACGGCGAGGACCTTCCCCCTCTTGCCTGCCTTGCAACGCCCTCGACGGAGCGGTTGAGTAGAGAAGATGACATTGTCGGGCAGCAAAGGAATTGAGTGGAGTGTGGTGGTGGTCAACAAGTCAAGCGCCATCGCCATTGTCGCGTCGGACCACTGGGCGCTGATCACTGACTGTCGCGTGGCTCCGCGACCGGAAGCCGCCCAAGACTAAGAAGACGACGGAGGCGCTTACGAGGCTCCACACCGGCCCTTTGGAGCGAGGCCGTGTGACTGGGCCATCTTCCCTTTCGACCTTCTTTACCTGCTGCAACGCATCCTCCAGCCGCTATGACGCTGCTCGCAAGGGTGTCAAGGACACAAGCACGCAGCCTCGCACCATCCTCTTCCTCTTCTACCTCATCGTCCTCAGCATCATCAGCATCTCGCCGCATCGTCTCATGCGCTCGACCGCCACCTCGCTCCTTCGCCACCCCGAGATGCGCAGCGCCCTACACTCCAGCCCAGCTGGGCAGCAGCCCTAGACTCATCTCTTCATCCGCGATAGCAAGCTTGCCGCGCTTCAAAGGCAAGGGCGTTGACCCTCGTGATCACGAAGAGGGCGAGCAGGAAGACGAGGATGACGAAGGACGCCTTCGCAGACAGGATCAGCCTGAGGACTCGTCGGTAAAGTCAGACTCCAAGGGCTCTTCGTCCTCGTCATCTTCTCGCTCTGGCTCGTCGTCTTCCTCTGCCGCTGGATCATCCGCTGGCGGCTCGGGCTCAGGAGGCAGCTCAAGTGATGGCTCGTCATCTGGCGGGTCCTCATCCAGTGGATCCTCATCTCGTCAGCTTACCCCGCAATCGGTACCGACCGTCTACCCACAAGTCCTCGCTCTCCCCATCACCCGCCGTCCACTCTTCCCTGGATTCTACAAAGCCGTCGTCATCAAGAACCCGCATGTATGCGCGGCCATCAAGGAGTCGCTGAAGCGTGGCCAACCCTACATCGGAGCATTTCTCCTTAAGGACGAGGATGGCGATGCGGATACAATTGAAGACCTTGACAAGGTCCACCGCGTCGGTGTCTTTGCCCAGATCACTAGCGTCTTCCCAGCGCAGAGCTCCTCTTCGAACAAGAAGTCAAAGGACGCCTCAAAGTCAGACGGCAAGGAAGGCGAGGAAGACGAGAGCGAGGGCTTGACGGCAGTTCTCTACCCGCATCGCCGTATTCGCATCGATGAGCTGTTGCCGCCTCATGGATCGCCTCAACGTCCTGAGCTCGGCGATGGAGCTCATCAGGATGGCGCCGAGTCAGCGACGAACGCCGACGCTGTCGCCTCCAAGGACCCTGTGGAGGCAGAGCGAGCAGCGACTTCGACGTCGTCTTCCGAGCAGATCCCTTCGCACGGTGCTCCTTACCAGACCAACTTCCTGCGCAATTACCCCGTCTCTCTCGTCAATGTCTCCAACCTCGAGGCGCGCCCTCACTCCAAGGACTCGCAGGTCACTCGCGCTATCAAGTCTGAGCTCATCTCCGTCTTCAAGGACATTGCTTCACTCAATCCTCTGTTCCGCGACCAAATCGCCAACTTCTCCATCGCGCAAGGGGCTGGCAATGTATTCGAAGAGCCCGAGAAGCTCGCAGACTTTGCTGCTGCCGTATCGAGCGGCGATGTCGGCGAGCTGCAGGCCGTCCTTGAAGCTCTTGACGTTGAGGAGCGACTGCAGAAGGCTCTCCTGGTCCTGAAGAAGGAGCTCATGAACGCGCAACTGCAGAACAAGATTTCAAAGGACGTCGAGCAGAAGATACAGAAGCGACAGCGCGAGTACTTCCTTCACGAACAGCTCAAGGGCATCAAGAAGGAGCTGGGCATCGAGTCGGACGGCAAGGATAAGATGGTCGACAAGTTCCGCGAGAAGGCTGCTAGCCTCAAGATGCCCGAAGCCGTCCGAAAGGTCTTTGACGAGGAGCTCAGCAAGCTGCAGACGCTCGAGCCGGCAGCGAGCGAGTTCAACGTCACACGTGGCTACCTTGAGTGGCTCACCAACATCCCGTGGGGTGTTCACTCGCCAGAGAATTACTCGATTGCCAACGCCACGACTGTTCTCGATGAGGATCACTATGGCCTCAAGGACGTCAAGGATCGCATCCTCGAGTTCCTCGCTGTCGGCAAGCTGCGTGGTACAGTTCAGGGCAAGATCATCTGCCTCGTCGGACCTCCCGGTGTGGGCAAGACTTCGATTGGCAAGTCCATTTCGCGAGCACTGGACAGGCAGTTCTTCCGCTTCTCCGTTGGTGGTCTGAGCGACGTCGCTGAGATCAAGGGTCACAGGAGAACCTATGTCGGCGCGATGCCGGGCAAGGCAATTCAGGCGCTCAAAAAGGTGGGCACGGAGAACCCGCTCGTGCTCATCGACGAAGTCGACAAGATTGGCCGTGGACACAACGGTGACCCTAGCTCAGCTCTCCTCGAGATGCTCGACCCGGAACAGAACGGCTCCTTCCTCGACCACTACATGGACGTACCCGTCGACCTCTCTCGTGTCCTCTTCGTCTGCACGGCCAACACGCTCAGCACGATCCCGCAACCTTTGCTTGACCGTATGGAAGTGATCGAGGTCTCCTCGTACACCGCTGACGAGAAGCGTCACATTGCCAAGGGATACCTCGCACCTCAGGCCAAGGAGGCGTCAGGCCTGAAGGACGCAAACGTCACTCTTCCCGACTCGACGATCGAGTTCCTCATCAAGAACCACGCGAGGGAGAGCGGTGTGCGATCATTGCGTAAGCTCCTCGAGAAGGTCTATCGCAAGATTGCGTTCAACATTGTTCGCGATCACGGCGAGAGTGTCTTCCCTGAACCGAAGGAGGGCGAGCTGAAGCCGGCTACTGCGGGCGAGCAGGAGGAGGCGGCAGAGAAGGCCAAATCGACGGAGAGGACGGTCGATGAGCCGCAGCCGGACGATGTGAACAAGGCTGTAGGAGGAGCAGACAGTGCATCGCAAAGTGTCACGCCGCCTCCTACGCCGGAGGATGCGGCAGCTAATGCCGCGAAGGACAAGGAGGGCGAGTCTGGCGATGCTGAGAAGGCTCCCGATTCTTCCGTGCCAGCACCCGACTCTCCGCCACCCGCAGCCCCGAAGACGACGACTGAAGAGCGTCAGCCGCTCAAGGTCCCCGATTCGGTTCAGGTCACCATCACCATCGACTCGCTCAAGGACTACCTTGGTCCCCCGGCCTTTAGCAAGGATCGACTTTATACCGGTCACATGCCTTCGGGCGTTGCTACTGGTCTCGGGTATCTGGGCAATGGCTCCGGCTCGCTCATGCCCATCGAGACGGCTACCCTTCCCTCGCGTAGCGGTGGGGGAGAATCTGGTGGAGGCGGTGGTGGCTCGCTGCAACTCACAGGCAAGCTGGGCGACGTGATCAAGGAATCAGCCTCAATCGCCCTCTCGTTCCTCAAGAGCAACGCTCCCTCCCTTGGCCTCGCGAAGGACGACACTTCCAACATTCTCCGCGGTAAAGACGTCCATCTGCACATGCCGGAGGGAGCAATTGGCAAGGAAGGGCCGAGTGCGGGTGTTGCCTTTGTGGTTTCGCTCGTCTCGCTCCTCTCCGACAAGCCCGTACGCTCTGACCTCGCTATGACGGGCGAAGTTTCCCTAAGGGGTATGGTATTGCCAGTGGGGGGGCTGAAGGAAAAAACCCTTGCGGCGCATCGTGCTAACATGCGAACCCTGATCCTGCCCTTGGCGAACAGGGCGAACGTCGAAGCAGACGTGCCCGAAGGTGTGAGGGAGGCTATGGAGATTCACTACGTGGGCAATGCATGGAGCGCGCTCGATGTCGCATTTGGTGAGGGACCTTGGAGCGCAAAGGCGAGGGAGATGGAGGCAGAGGAGAAGAGGGAAGAGGAGGAGAGACTGGGAAGGGAGAAGGAGGAGAGGGAGGGGGAGGGTCAGCAGGCCTAGAGGTTTCAAGATAGCATCGAGACCTTAGGGACGCTCTCATTGTTCGCTGCATGTGCTACATCTGTTCTTTACGCGCGTCAAACCACCCAGAGCAGTACATCACCATCACTCGCGCATTCTCACGATGGCCACTTCTTCGCTGACGATCAGATGACGGTCGAATAGCATGATGGATGAAAAAGGGAAGAGCTACAGTGGCAAGACAGCGTTCAGGCCTCACACCCACCCGCTTCCTCCCGAGGAAGCTCCCTCGTCTTGACCTTGGGCGTCTGCAGGGCATCCTCATCTTCTTCTTCTTCTTCTTCCTCCTCCTCCTCCTCCATCTCCTCTTGGATCATGTCCCCCTGACCAAAGCGGTGAGCAGCATGCTCGAGCCCTTTGTGAGAAGACGAGGTCGATGGAGTGGGCGAAGCGGTCCCGTTGCCATTGGCTGCTGTATTGCCGTTGGTGTGCGTGGAAGTCTGGGCAATGGCGCGGCGAGCTACGTAGGCTCTGTTGATTACGCCTTTGCTTGCTGGGGCAGAGGAGCTCGAAGCACTCGCAGTAGTAGGTCCTGTGTTGGCCGACTGGGGGTCGCGCTCCTCATAGCTGCCTCGACTGCTCGCTCCTCCACTGCTAGACCCGCTGCTGTAGTACTCATCTTCGTAAGAAGGGCGACCGCGCGATAGCTCTTCACTTGGGCGAGCACTGTCAGAGAGGTCGTCCTCATCCATCCAGCCGGCACGCGAGTCATAGGAAGCTCGTGGCAAGGCAGCCGAGTCAAGGCTGCCCGCCTCTCCTCCTCCACGGCCGCGTGAAGATGATGAGATCATCGATGAACGATAGTCAGTGGATCCGGCCGAGAGGCTGCTACGCATCGTGGCAGACGAGTCGTTGCGGCTGTGACTATGTTTACCCGATCTGCCGTTGCCCACCGTCTTGCTACGAGGGCCGGCTCCTTGACTTCGCGATCCAGTCCGACCGCCAGAACTGGCCGTGTTCGCTAGGCTAGGAGGGCGGGTCCATCCGGGCTCGTGCTCCAGATCATCACTGTCTTCATCCGCAGCCTGCTCTTCGTCGTCATCGAGGCTGGAGGGGGAGCTACGCCAGCTATCCAGCGAGGTACGATACCCCTCGTAGTCTTCCGAGTAGTACGTGTCCCTGTTGCCAGGACCGCGACCGGCTGCTGAGGAGGCAAGGTCGCGCGATGAGCCGTTTTTCAAAACGTCGGAACCGGCAGTAGCACCACCAGTAGCACCGCCACGATTGGTTCCGAAGCCGTCAAAGACAACATCCAAGTCGTCAAGGAAAGAGCCGCCGCCGAAGCCGCCTGCTGCTGCAACGCCGCTGGAGCGTGGGCTTCCCCGGCTGGTCGTTGAGCTCCCTCCACTGGATGAGGCGGAGTCTGAAGTGCCTAGCGAGGATGAAGTCATACGGCTGTCTGTCGAAGGTCGGACAGAGCTCTCGCGCTGGTCGCGCTCCTGTTCTTGGCGCTCCTCCATCTCACGTTGCTGTCGCTCTTGCTCGGGCAAGGACGGTAGTGGCGGCAGGGGTGGCGAGGATCCGGGAATGTATTCGCTCTCCGCAGCAGTGAAGGTGCTCATCCTCTCTGGTCGCTCCGAGATGCGACTGAGATGCGCAGCTGCACGACGACTCTTGGCTGTCTCTGCATCCGCCGCCGCCGCTTCGCCCTCGTCTCGCTGCTGCTGCCTCTCGTGGAGGCGAGGAGCCGAGTACTCGCTGTCATCAGCGACGGTGCCCCATCCACCGGGACCGCGGTAGCCGCTGCCGCTGCTGCCGAGCGCAGGGGATTGCTTGGCGTCTTGTCCTAGGCGAGGCGTCACCGGAGGTGTGGTCGTCTTCGTCGAGGAAGCAGACGACGCAGCTCCACCAAAGAGGCTGCCCGCACCAGCGCCGCCGATGATCCTCTTCTCGAAGAGGTTGAGCGGGATGGAGCTGCGCGAGTGGGTGCTAGCGCTGCTGCTACTGGGTCCGCCGCTCTGCCCAAGGTTGGGTGAGCGGGTGCCTCCAGTTGCGGAGCGCAAAGAGTGCAAAGAGTGGAGATCTGCCGATTGGCGAGGCGTGGAATAGTCGATGGACATCGTCTCCGCGGTGCGCAGCCCATCGTTGCTTGTTGTCCTACTTCCCAGCATGGCGTGGCTCGCCAACGCCCGGAACTTGCTGCCGCGCGACTGCTGTGATACGGATGAAGAGGCCGATGGAGGCCTCGACGAGGTTGACGCGGAAGATAGCGTAGCTGGCAATGAGGCATCAGTCGTCGAAGCCTCGTGCTCCAGCTCAGCGTTGAGGTCGGGCGTGGAGGAGGCTTTTCTGATCATCGGAGTCGAAAGCCAGGAGCGCTTCGATCGCAGGAGAGGCACGTCCGCGTTTTGCGGACCGCGTGCTAGAACGGCAGCGTTGCGAGAGACTTCTGAGCTGGATGGGCGCGATGAGGAAGAAGAGGAGGTAGTGGGACGTCGAACGCCATCAAGGCTAGCCATGCGGGGGCGAGAGCCCTCGAGGCTTTGCTTGAGCGACGACTTTGCGCTGCCGCTGCCGCTACCATGATCGATCATCGAGCCTGCTGCAGGTCCATCGTCGACGCTGCTCTCGCCGTTGTCTCCATTCTCGCGGTGGTAGCGACGGAGGTCTGCTTCAATAGCGCGCTCCTCGCTGAGCCTCTTTGCCTCCGAGCGCGGCGTAGCGGACGGGGTCGATCGTACCTTATTTGTCGGCATCGACGCCTGAAACTCGGACGACAAGCGCTTAGGAGCCTTTCGTGGCGAACGTTGAGGCGATGCAGCTGGCTTTGCAAAGTCACGAGCCTCGACCTTGTTGACGGTTGCTGGTAGCTTGGGCACGGCAGGTATGGCAGTCGTGGCGTGTTGAGAGCGCTTCGACGATGAGAGGCTACCGTCGACTTTTGCGCTGCTAACGCGTCGCTGGTTCTCAAAGTTGCGAGCAATGGACCTCACGCTGCGTAGACCCGTCGCACTGCGCTTACTGCGACGAGCTCCTGCAGATTTGACACTCTCCGGTCGCAAGCCGTCCTCGCTGTCGAGGGCCCTGGGCGTCTTGAGCGTCATGTCGCAGCCTGCCTGAGTGAGGATGCGGGGAAGGTCAAGGTGACCCCTCGTCGTCGTCATGCGATGCACGAAGGAGCAATCAAGACCAGGGCCGAGAATGAATTCCCCTCCCAGAAGCTTGAGGTCGCCGGGACTGCGGATGGGCATCTCGAAGAGACTCTTCTTGATGGCTGTCATACTGCCCTTGAACATCGTCATAGTGATGTAGTCTGGCTTGGCGCACGCCGGTCCTGGGTCGTTGGTCTTCAGATTCATGCCCAGGATCTGGTACGTCTTACGCGATGGATCGGAGAACATTTTGATCCACTCCGGGACGCCCATGACACGCTTGTAGGCGCCAATGACTTCTGGGTGGCCCTGACCCACGACAATGAGGCCGAGGCCGGCTCTCTGGAGAGGTAAAGGGTCGATCTGCTTCATGGACATGGCGAACTCCTGACACATTGGGCAGAACCAGTGGCGGAGGAAGCAGACGAGTGTCCTTTGTTGAAGGAAAAGGTCACCGAAGCGCACCTTGTCGCACTCCTCGTCGTAGATGTGAACGTTCGCAGCCTCCTGCAGGGCGAGAGCCGATGGCTTCTGAATAGCGTAGGCTCCACTCTCGGAGCCTGCCTCTTTGACCTCCTTGCCTTTCGCGTTCGTCTTGCGCGGACCAAAGTCCAAGCTCTGCGATCCCTTCAATCCGAGCGCACGAGTCGACTTGGCGGCAATGCCACTCATGGCCGTCCCAGGCCGGCGAGATCGGACCGTCGAGCGAGAGGGACTCGCGAGGACCTGATTTTGTCGTTGCGGGGACGTAGGTGGGGTATGGGGCTGAGGTGGGGCTGTTCCGGGCCTGCGATCGACACCACCGTTCTTGAGGTGCCATTGGTAGACTGGCTTTTTGGAGCCCGGTGCCTGCGATGATGACAAGCTGGCCGTCCTCTTGTGCTCGGCGTCGGCTGCAGCTTTCGATCTCTCTGACAGGTCGATAGCGCGAGGCGCTGTTCGCACAGGTGACGGAAGACTTCGCAGAGTGCTCAAACGAGACTTGCGAACTTGCTCGTCATCCTCGTCATCGATAATGAAAGCTTGACCATCGATCATGATTGTGTCTCTGCCCTTGCTGGCCAGTCGCGCAGGGGCCGCCGAGATTGGCGCCGTCGCAGGGCGATCGATGGAGGCAGCCCTCTGCCTTGGCGAAGGGACTGGTAAAGCACTCGTTGACTTTCTGTCCGGACTGACAGATTGCAGAGTTGTGTCTGGGTACATCTTGGCGGAGCGTGTGCTTCGCGGGCTAGCAGGGGCGTCTTTGACGTTGAGTGCTGCGCCGTTCTCTGCAGAGGGGGCCTTGGTGGCAGGAGCAGTCGAAGGGCGTGATTGGGAGTGAGCAGAAGAACGTCTTCTCGCTAGTCCCAGCGCTCCTCCTTCATCTGGCAGCGAAGCGGCGACCGACCGGGGGCTCGTCGCTTCGGCGGTTGTGCTGTTGCCTCCTGGTACAGCCTTCCTCCTGACGCGGTGCGACGAAGCTGTGCTGCCGCGTCGCTCGCCAGGAAGAACTTGGAAACCTCCGGATGGCGATGAAGGGCCGCCAAATGATGATGAAGAGGAAGGAGAGAGGAGCGGCGCAACGCGGTCTGCTTCGTCGATGTCCTGATGTTCGGGCGTCAGGACGCGAAGAGATGAAGACGGGGGTAAAGCTGGTGCAAGCGACGACCCCGCGTCTGCCTTGAGTTGCTCTTTGCTGTGAATTTGGTGGCGAGGTGACTTAGGCAATGGCGAGGGTGGCGCGGGTGATGATGAAGAAGAAGATGAGGCGACGGCAACAAATGGCACTGATTGACCCGGTCCCTCGGAGGCGTCGCGGCCGCCGCTGCCGCCGCCCTGCTGGTCAGCCGCCATCGCCTTCTTCGTCATCATTGATGTTGACATTGGTTGGTCTGGCGCTAGGCGGCCCTGCGAAGGCCGTCGAGGGCTCTTTCGACCTCTGTAAGGTGAAGGCGATCGAGTATCAGAAGGTGCGAATCGGTCGAATGGATGGAGTAGAAAGTTCGGAGGGTCCGTCGATGTCGACGTCTGAGCGCAGGAGGCGGCGGCCTGTGAGTGAGCCTGAGCCTGTCCAGGCGGGACAACCTCGACCGCTGCCATTGAGGCTCAGCCAGACGCGGGGAGAGGATCACCAGGCGCGGCTTACACAGCGCTTCGTCCACGATAGACAGGTGACAATAAGGAAGCCTGATACAACTTCGTTGTCGATGTCGTTGTCCTGACCAATGTCTCTCGTCCCTGAGACGAACGACGCTGGTTGTAATGTGCAGCGCCCTGAGCCGCCTGGCTGCGATGCTGCAGATGCCTTGACTTTCTCGGGAACGGGCGCTAGACGAGAGTTAGGCCTTTTGTTCCGCTTTGCTTGTGTGCGTCCGGTGCTGCACGATGCGAGACCTTAAGAGAGAGGAACAAACAGGCAAGGAGGGGCGGCCAAGAAAGGAGGCAGAATGGTGGTGGAGAGAAGGACAAGATGTGGCGATCTTCAGATGTATAAGTCTCTTATTCATCTCGGCGGCCATAGCACCAATGCAAGGCCTTGCTCGACGACCGCGGTGACCATCTCCCACCGGCTGGCTGGGCCGTCCCTCTCGGCCACGACCAACCTCGCCGCCCTACGAGCCTGCGTCTGCCCCTGCCGTGGCGGAGTGCCAAGTGAGTGGATCCAGCCCCCGCCGGCAGACCTCCTGGTTCGCACGGTTTTGGGGGAAGCAGGAGGATGATCACCATCATCTGCTTGCCTGCCCTTGCTCTCCAGGGGAATGCAGCGGGTCAGTTCGCACAGTGCTTCAATCTGTTTGAGATCTCCTGCGTCTGCACTTGAGTTGATTGGAGCTGCGTCTGCGTGGGAGGGCGTCTGTGTGAGTCGCCTTACAGCGCTACACTCCCTTTCGCCGTACCGTATCGTGCGTGATCAGGTGTCAGACTGCGCCCGCTGTGCTGCGCCTAGCAATGTTGAGCGGCTTCCTGCTCTTCTCGGGGCCATCGATTAAGTTCGTAATCGACGCGATAGGTGCTTCATCACTAGCGGCAAGGGTGCGTGCTGCTCCTCGCTGCCTCTTACTTCCGATGAAGCAGGGCCACAAGGACAGCTATGAGCGGGCTGCTTGCCTACAGCTGTACTTGCTCACTGCCCTGTCTTCTTTTCATTGGTCTCAAGGGCCCTTCGACTGCTCGTTGAGTCTCAGTAAATGCCAACGGGTATGTCTCGATGCGGAAGACGTTCGCGCACGCTTCGCGACGGAGATTCAAGGGGGGAGCGGGGCTTCATTCCCAGACGACGTTGGCCATAGTGGCAACGGCCACTACTCGACGAGAGATGTTCGCTAGCAAGCTGATGCGAAGCACAACTTCTTCGTGGGTTTCGGGGCCCAAAGAAGGTTGGACAATCCGACAAGCTGGCGCCAGCCTGGCACGAGCGTCATTGAGGAGGAAAGGCGAAAAGTACCAGCGCCTTGGTGCTCGCCGCCGAGGAGGATTGTGGGACAGCTGTCTTAATATTAGGCGTCAAATCAACGATGCTTAGCCTCATCGATCGTCCGAATGTGAGCAATAGTCGGAACGAAGATGAAAGAGAAAGAAAAGAAAAAAAGCTAGCTTGGTATCGATGTACTCTCCCCTGCCTAGACCGTGGTGGCCGCCACGCCGTTGCCATTTGCCTCTGCGCCAGAGAGCGCAGCCTTCAACTCTCCCTGCAACTTCTCGATCTCCTGCTTCAACTTCCCAATATCACCTCCGGCACCGTCAGCCTCGGCCTCCTGCTCCAAGAATCGCTTCTCCATCGTCACGCTCTCTAGCTGTTTCTCGAGCTCGTCGGCCTTCTGCCTGCTGGCTTCGAGCTGGGCTTTGAGCTCTTCCGAGCGAGCATTGTGACGCTCAGCTTCCTCCGTCATGCGGGATTGATGGGCGGCGTGCAGCTTCTCAAGCTCAGAGGCATCGGGAGCTTGAGGACGAGAGTTGTCTGCCGCAGTAGCATTAGACTTGTGCGTCGCGATTTCCTCTTCCTTCTCTCTGAGCTGCGCCTCTGCCTTAGCAGCGCGCTTGTCCGCTTCGGCCTTCGAGCGCTCCAGAGCATGAATCTTATCGTTGAGCTCCATAGTCTGCATCGCCATCCTCTCATGCCTGCCCTCCGCCTCCTCAAACTCCTTCCTGTGCTTCGCCTTGATGTCCTCAAGTTCCTTCGTCCAGCTCTCCGCTCGCTCTTTGCCTTCCGTCTCCTTCGCCTGACTCATCATCTCCATCTGCTGCGAGACCATATCCTGCGTCTGCCTCAATGCCTCCTTACTGTCCTCCAATTCTTTACGCAGCTCGACCACGAGATCCTCAGCCTCTTTGCGCTTCACCTTGTCCTGTTGCGCCGCATCCAGCGCAACTTTCGCGTCAGCGAGCGCAGATTCGACTGCGGTGCGGCGCTCAGTGTCCTCCTTGCTCGTACCACGCAAGGTCTCCAGTTCGGCCGTAGCCTTGGCGAGTTCTGCGCGTGCTTGCTTGAGGTCGTCCTGTGCGGCGCCCAAGTCGAGACGGAGGGTTCCGCTGGCCGAGTCCTGCTCCGAGCTGGCAGAACGCATAGCCTCGCCGTGATCGTGCCTGAGGCGCTCCAGCTCGTCAGCGTGGTGACGCTTGAGCTCTTCAAGAGCAGAGGAGGAGGACGTCTTGTAGGTCTCTAGGTCCTTACTGTGCATTTCGGCAGCCTCAGAGCGGGCCTTCTCGAATGCGTCCTTGAGCTGCTGATCGAACTGCTCCTTGGCCGCTACCGCCTTGGCCTCGTGCTGTGCATCCGCCTCAGCGAGCTCCTTCTGCACCTTCGAGAGCTGGTCCCTGGCCTCCTGCAGCTGCTTTTGTGCTGTCTCGCTGTCAGACTGACGGCTGGTCTCGCTGGCTTCGCGCAACTTGCTGATAGCTTCCTCGTGAGAGGTTTTAAGCGTCGTAACAAGCGACTCGTGCTCGCTGATGAGGGCGTCCCGTGCAGCTTGCTCGGCCTCGCGGACGCGCTGCTCAACGGTAGTCTGGTGCTCTTCGCCGAGGGAAGCCATGTTGTTCGAGTGGTCTACGCTGGTTTTCTCTGCGTCTGCTTTGAGGGCTGCGACTTCCAGCTCGAGCGAGGCGATCTTCTCATCCTTGGCCTGGAGGTCCGAGGCCTTCTCGGATGAGCTCGAGTCTGCACGCTCCTTGGCTTCATGAAGTGCAGTCTCGAGAGAGTCGATCTTGGCCTGCAGAGCCTCGACTTCCCCGCCGTGGCCTTCGACGGTCGTCTGATGCTCAGTGTGCTTTGCCTTGAGCTGGCTGACTTCATTTTCCAGCGCGGCTACCGAAGCACGAGCACTCGTCAGCTCCTCGTTCGCCTTTGACGCCTGCTCCTTGTCATGCTCGGCAGATTGAAGAGCAGCCTGGGCTTCAGCGAGGGCAGTCTTGGTCTCCCCGAGCTGCTTTTCGACTTCAGCGAGTTTATCGTCGTTGACGTTGCCGCTTGCCTCCTCGCCCGCAGACTTCGCCTCCACTGCCTCAGCTTTGGCTTTTTCGAGCTCTCCTTCAAGCTCAGAAATGCGGCGAGCCTGCTCTTCTGTCTTCTGCGTCGCGGCCTCGACTTCTTCACTGCTCTGACCACCATTCTCCTTCAACTCGATCTCTTCTTCATCAGCTTGAGGGGTGGACTTGGCCTCCGCAGCGCTGAGAGTGTGCATCTTCTCCTGTAACTCCGTTTCCTTGGCTTCCAGATCAGCCTTGAGCGTCTCGAGCTGCTCTTGTGCCTCGGTGAGCTCTGCTTCCTTTGCAGTCAGCCTCTCTTTGAGTTCCGAGGCGGTCACGACCTTCTTTGCACCTGCTGTGGCTCCGGCAGCGGCAGAGGGAGTAGCTGAGGGTCGTGCAGACGGCGTTGCCCTCGTTGCGCCCGTCCCAACAGTGCTCGATCGCGGTCCACCAGCGGTGCTGTTGCTCGTGACGCTCAGGCGGCGGCCGGCAGCGGCGGCGGTTGCTCCTGTTGCGCGGCTGGCTGCCGTAGCTGAAGCTCCACCAATGGAAGGACGAGCAGAGGAGGTATTGGCAGGCTTCTTGACGGGTGATGTGGTGTTAGAAGGAGTGGCGCGAGAAGTGCCGGTGGTCGACCCACTTGAGGGAGCAGATGGTCGGGGAGCGGTTGTAGTACGAGAGGTAGCCGATGAGACTGGTGGGCGCGCAGAGCCAGCGACTGAAGGGCGCCCCGCGGTAGCTGTACCACGAGCGGGTCCACTTCCAGCAGCCACTCGCGAAGCAGGGGTTGTGCCAGCAGCAGCGGATGGACGAGCAGCGGTACGTGTAGCTCCCGTGGTGCTGGCGCCAGGTCCAACGCTTCGATTGAGGGCCGATCCAGCGGCGCTAGGTCTGGCAGCCGTCTTGGCGACTCCAGGTCGCGCGGCGCCCGCTGCTGCTGCTGTCGTCGGCGTTCTGCCTGGTGGAACCGTCGTCTGAGCACGACCGAGGGGGCGAGGAAAAGAAGAGTTAGTGGGCAGCCTTGGACGCAGGAGATACCCTCGTCGCATGCTCACCTTGACTTTGGCAGTGCCAGCCGCAGTCCCTGCGACTTTGTTCGTCGGCGTGCTGCTCTTGCTAGGCGTCGAGTCGTCGGCCGGTGCGCTGGCCTCAGAGGACGAAGCAGGGGGAGGCGACTTGGCTTCCGACGATGCGGATGCGTCGACGGGAGGCGGTGGGATGTTCTCGACCTCGTCAGCCATGGTGCGTGAGACGGAGTGGTCTGCTGTTACGTTTGCGATGTGCGCGTGCGTGTGCAAAGGGGACGACGTTGTGGGTGGTGGTGGTGGTGGTGAGATGGGATGATCGGTTCTCTCTCGCTGTCTCTGCTTGCTCGCACTCGCGGCGCTTTGGAGCGAGTCCAACAGCAGCTCTTGAGACCGTCTCGCGCCGTCGGCCTGCGCGCTGATTGTTCTTTGCCTGCAAGGCGTCAGAGGGCACGCGGGCGGAGCAAGGAGGCAAGGCAAGAGAGCGAGCGGAGTTAGTGTTGGTTGGCATTGCATCCTCGGACGTTTGATTTACCCCCTTTCATCCTCCTCATCACCAATCGATCAGTCGCAGAATCTGAGAAGTGAGAGGTGCTTGGATTGACGATCGGGCGATTATCGAGGATATAGAGGGTAGCGAGATTAGATGATTTGACTGAAGGCGCGGTGAGGCGGGGAGACAGGAATCGAGGTGACTCTTTTGGCTGGAGCAGACGAGGTAGTAAGAGAGCGTTTTGGTATTGTGCTCGTAGGTAGAAGCAGAGATGGCCCATTCAAAGTGCACAGTAGCTCGGCGCTGCGCAGTGAGGGCCATCGCTGAAGCGCCATTGCTGTCGTCTTGTCACAGGCTGGACGATGGGCAAAAGAGCGTACGAGAAGCGTGCGAGAAGCGTGTGAGAAGCGTGCGAGAAGCGTGCAAGAAGCCATAGCGAGGAGAGGGAGAGGAGACAGATGGCTCAGCAGCTGTCGATGGGGATGGTGAAGCGAGCTCTAGGCTGTGAGACGACCGATGAGCGCCGATCAGGATTGATCAAGGCCTCCACCGAGTTTCGTCGTCGCTGCGACCTCGAGGATCCTGACCTGGTGGCGGGTAGAAGATGCCGTAGTTGGCGGGCTGACCCTCCCCTTGCTGTTGATATTGCTGATGGCCCTGGTGCTGAGCAGCGGCGTAAAGGCTCGAACTGGTACCACGGCTGCTGCCCTCTCCTCCTTGACCGGGTTGCTGCTGATGACCGTACGGCATCGTCGTAGTCGGGCGCCATTGCCCAGGCCCGCTCGTCTGGTAACCTCCCATCATATGAGGGGACGTCTGCAGGCTCTGCGAGTGGGCGTCTGACGTCATGGACATCTTGCGCGCATCCGCAGCATCGAAGCCAGCAGAGGTTGAGGAACCAAAGTCTCCCGTGCTAGGCCATCCGGCCATGCTGCTCATGCTGCTGCCAGAGCTGCGATGAGAGTAGTCCGACGGCGACGAGAAGGACGTGTACATACTTGGGCGTCTTGGGACAGCGACTGGCAGTGAGGAGCTAGATGAAGACGAAGGCATGCCAGAGGCCGAGGTAGATGAAGTCGAGGCAATGGGGTCGTTGACGCTGCTCGAGGAGGAGCCGGCACCACTGCTGCCTACTAAGGGGCCCTTGCCCTCAGCAGCATCGCTGCTGGCTTGGTCTGCTGCTTGCTGTGCCTTCTTCAGAGCTGTCTTGGCCTTTGCCCGCCGGTTCTGAAACCAGATCTGCGGGCGAGAAGTGGATGCTTGAGGTCAGCGTCGCTTCAAGTCAAGTCCGGCGACTCGTCTCCCGTACTCGCCTGAACGCTGCGGGAGTCCATGCCAATCTGTTCACTGATTTGCTTGCGGGCTTCGGCGGTGGGCTTGGGCGTGTCTGAGGTGACGAGGGCGAGATGCATCCACGTTAGCTCCGTTGATCGCTGCCAATCTCGGCCCAATCTCGGCCCTGTGTCTCTGCTTTGCTACTCACTGGCAAATGCATTCTCCAGCACCGTGAACTGCGCCTTGGTTGTTCTGCGACGATGTTTGACCTCAAAAGGACTGTAGGGCACTGGACGATTCATGCCATGATCATACATCGAATGGTGATGAGGGTGATGACCAAAGCCGTGTTGTGTTGCTGGATAACTGCTAGGCCCACCGGGGTGCCCGAATGTGCTGTGCTGTTGTGATGGATAGGAAGCATACATTGCTGTGCCTGACGATAGCGAGGGCCCGCCTCCGCCGCCGCCGCCGGGGCCTGCCGCCATAAGGTGGCTGCTTCCAGCAGAGAGAGCAGATGCCGGCCCTCCGTAGCCGAGTGGTGGGTAGCCGTACGTCTGAGCAGCCATTGTAGGTGACGAAGCCGACGACGACGACGACATAGGACGGTAGTGGTAACCCCCGGCCGCTCCCGTCGACCCAACACCCCCGTACATGGCTGCTGCTGCTGTTGCTGCTGCTACAGTAGAGCTCGCATCCGCATGACCTCCTCCTGCCGTTGCTCCAACGCCGCCACCACTGGGGAAGCTGCTGCCTCCTTGCCCTCGTCCTCCGTAGTGCGAAGGCAAACCTTCTGCCGACATGGGCCGGGCTTGGTAGAAGTCCACGGAGCCAAACCCGCCGCTGCCGACGAGGCCGGGGCCAGCGCCAGACCCCATAGTGGGGAAGCCGCTTTGCTGCGGCGGAGGCTGATGAGCCCAACTCGGCGTTGTCGTTGTGGATGACTCGGCTTTGACACCGCCAGCAGCGACGAGCTGCTCGCCCAGCTGAGAGTCGTACGAGGGTCCGGCTGTACCCGGACGACGCCCCGCTGAGTCGGCTGTCGAGGGAGGGCGCTGCGCCTGATCCATCGAAGCGCGAGGCGTGTGGCCGTAGAGGCCCGTCTGATCGAGGCTCTGCTGCTGTTGCTGTTGCTGATGATGATGAGGTTGGTCGCTCTGGTGTTGCTGCTGCTGAGGTTGCTGTTGAGGGTCTGTCGGCCACTCGTGCTGGTGCTGCTGGTGCTGATGGTACGCAGCGGGGTCGCCGCCGCTAGTCGCTGGACGCATGAACAAGTCTGAATAGCCGCCAATTCGTGTCGAAGTTGCGGGCGATTCAAAGAGCATCGTCATAGGGGGAGAAGCTGTCTTTGGGCTGGCGAATCACGTCGGATATTGGTGGTATATTCAATCGCTCTCTGAAGTAGGCGCGACCGAAATGAGGTGGGAATGACTCCCTTGATGAGGATGGAATAGCGGCACGCAGCGACAAAGGGAGGAATTGGTCGTCGTCGTTGCTCGTTGTCGTCGACAAAGGCGGGCGTGCCTGAGCAGTTGATTACGCTGCTCGAATGTGGGCGGCGGGGAGCGGTCACACGCGACGTCTGACGCGGTGCGATGACGCTCGCGACGATTGCTCTTTGCTCTCTCGAGATTTGAAGGTAGGTATCTGTTGTGCTACTTGAGCGTGAAGAGAGCGACACGACAAGGAGTGATCTTAGCTTTGGTGGCGGCGGAATGTAGCGAGATGAGATGGTGAGGTGATCAAGACCTCGAGAAGGTCGTTCGAGGAGGCCTCTGGGTCGACCTGGGATCGCTTGCCGCTGCCGCTGCTTCGACGTCGTGCGTCGTCGTCTGTGCGTGATTTCCACTCGCCGCTGTCGCCTCACCTCTCCAATACGCTAGAGCGTCGTCAAGGAGAAATTAAGCGAGAGAAGGTGAGGGCGCTCGTCTAGATCAGGAGCTAGATGAGAGAGGGGGTGGGGAGGATGATGTCGTGGAGTGGGAGAAGAGGAGAGAGAACGGGGTTGGCCGAAGGGGAGGGAGGGGCAGGCCCGACTTCTTGGGAACTTGGGTGCGTCGAGAGCCGACGGCGGCGACGACCGCTTTGTGAAGCTCGCGATAGCGAGGCGGCCCAGGCCAGGGCGGTAGATGTAGGCGGCACGGATGGCGACGACAGCGACGATGACGGACTCTGGGACTGATCAAGTGCCTCTATGCTGTGTTGACCGATCCTGAGAGCGGCTTGTGAGGGCGAGATGGGTCGAGAATGGCCAACGATGGGCGATGGCGAGGACCGATGGGTACGAGGGCAGCCAATTATTCAAGGCTGGATATGGTGAGCAGCGGCGGCGGCAGCGGCGGCGGCAGCGGCGGCGGCTGCAACGGCAGCAGCGAGCGCGGCAAGACGGTCCGTCGTGACGAACGAGGGCTCGATGCGACGAAGACAACAGCGATGACAGCGACGTACGACGGCGACGACGAACAACGGTCGCGATGCATCATGTCCGCATCAGCGCTATCTCCCGGCCGGCGGGCCGCCCAGTCGGCTTTTGATGCGGTCGAGCAGCATCAGAAGCAGCACCAGCAGCGGGCGACGATGAGAGTCGATGGGGGGGGCGATGATGGATGAAGGCCAAGACAGGCGCTGTGTCTTGCCCCGGCGCTGGCGCGAAAGCTGTCGCTCGACGTCGTGGGAGGGATGCACGAGCATCGACGTTCTTTCGCTCCCTAGGTTTGACATCTTGCGCCCACAGACTTGCATTCTCGCTACGAAGACACCGATGCTCGTCGACAAACGCGCCTTGACACCCACAACTTCAACACCACCCCTCTTTTCGCGCCGCGCTTCCGCTGCCCTCTCGCTCTCGCTCTTGCGGACACCCAAGAGCAAGCCCCTGGCCCTCGTGTGGCCGTCGTTGCCGGCTCTGCCCGTCTGCCTCGCGCTTGGGCGTCCCCGTAGCGAGAGGCAAGAGCTCTAGGCCCGACCCAGCGAGCCGCCGTTGCTGCATTTGAGCTCCGCGCCGCTGTGCCCGTCTGGACGACCGACCAAACCGACCGGCTGGCCGCACGACCACCGAAAGACGACAAGTAGGTAATGAGGGATGCGAGAGCGCGCCTATCGTCTTTCAGCGAGTCGAAGAGGCAGACGAGGTATGGGCGAGTGGGTGCGGACGAGCTGTACCACTGCAGCGCGACTCATACGGTGAAAAGGTCGAGCGTAGCTCAGTGTAGCGCAGTGTAGGGTAGCATCTCTCGGAGCCTTTCGAAGGTAAGGCGTTGGAAATGACGCCCAGCTTGAAAGTCAGCGTGTGGGGACGCAGCCGCATGCACGCAGCAAGAATCGTGGTGATGGGTCACGTCTGTTCTGCACTTGCAAACAGCCCACTGTCACGCAATCGACATTGACGTTGCCTTTGCCCTCACTTTGAAGGACGCGGGAAGGTGTAATGCACGAGGCCACAGCGGGGAGCATTCATATGCCGGCGCCGTCAAATCAAAACCATGTCTCACAAGGACAGCGTGGTACGCCGAGAGCGACGAGAGGGCAGCGATCAACGACTCAAGGGAGGGACGAGCAATCTCGCAGACTTCTCGGCTCGACTTCTCGCAGGTGAACTCATGCAAGCTGTGACGACGGCTACGACGTCTTTGGGGACCACGGAGGGGGGTTTGCTTTGCAGTAAGACGACGATGTGTCGCAATCCTCAAGCTTGACACCGTCTGCGTCAGCGGTGAGCGCCGCGCCATTGCTTTCCAACAACATTCTTGGTTCAGTATTGGGGTCTTTTTGGCCGCTTCTGCGGCATGTGATTTCGCGATGGCCCCACAAAACGGCGCCATGACAGGTTGAAAAGTACGAACTCGCGCGCTGCCAACGATGATGAGCAAATCTTGCTCTGTGTAAAGACGGCCGTCGACACCCGAATGCCAAGACCGCCTGACCGCAGATGGCCTGCTGAGGACACGATGATGCTTAGCCGGCGAGGGCGGTCTCCCGCTGGCCGCAGACCATGCGTACGTGCAAGTAAGCGTGCGTGCGTGCGTGCGTGCGTGCGTGCGTGGGGCCCCTAAACGAAGTTGGGATCCCACGGCCAAGCTTCTACCTGCCTGCCTATTTGCCCTTACTTGACTCCATCTCTCAGCCGAGGAGTCGTTGACGTTGACGTTGATGAATGACGACGGCGACAACGAAGTCTGCCTACTGTTTGCTTGTGGCTTCTTCCTTTCACGCAGGCAAGCAATGCATGCACACCTACCCATACGCGTAGGCGCAGCTCGCAGCGCAAATGCAGGGCGCAATGCTCGTGATGCTGCCTCGCCGCGGCACGGCGGCAGGATCATCGTGCGGTAGCAAGGTGCGGTACGTGCGCTACCACCCAGGAAGGAGGCTGGATCGATCGATGGCCATCACTTGCCCCTTAGGCTTTTGACGCGCGGTGATCTGGTCTGTCCTCAAAAGGTAGGCGTTGCCAACCAGAGCTCGAACGGGGGACGGAGATGATTGGGCTTGGCAGTCAGGGAAGACTGCTCCGGACGTGCACACTGAGCGCCGACATAGGCCACGCATTGCTCCGGCGCTCCTCCTCACTCAATCGGTCGGGTCGCAACCGCGCACCATGCTGGTGCTCCCATGTCACGTCTGCGATTCTGCGCAGCACAATTAATCGCGACTGGATATGGGAATTGATAGTACGTACGCCGGAGCAAGACATCAGGAGCGAATGGGACGGAACGCCGAATATGGGTCGTAAGGATGGCTCAGCAAGGAGTACGGTACACCGCTGGGGGCTAGCAAAGACGGCGACAGGAGCAAGGTGATGGTGAGCAGATGAGAAATAAGATAGGGTTGGCAGAGTACCACATCACGTCGGAGCCCGAACGACGGGTGCAAGGCAATGGGACCGAGCGTGTTCCTCCAGAGCCCAGCACAGCCTCCCGCAGCGCGTCGCATACCCCCTCAAATGGCCATGAATGTGGGCGATGGCTCTCGTCGGAATTGCTGCTGCTGCGTAGGGTGGTAGCCCGGCTGAATTCCCAAATGCTGCCCCTCGCTAGAGGACGGCAGAGAAGACGGTAGCGAAGACGATGGCAATGTGGTGCCGGACTCGTGACTACCGTTGACACTCCCCACAAGAGAAGCCTCAGGACCTCGATGAGAGTGAGCGGATCGAGGTGCGTGAGGAGACGAAGGTTGTGCCCCGCCCATGCTGGCGCTGCCGTGACTTGGGGGATTTGGGCGAAGAGAGGCTGGGAATGAGGGCCTGCGAGGAAATGTGCGATCCTGGTAGGGCAAGTGCGATTGCTCTGTCCCCACGAGCTCTGGCCGTCCAGTAGCCAAAGAAGAAAATAGAGTCGCCGATTGGGGAAGGGCGGCGGGACCATGGCCAGCAAGAAGAGGGTGCTGTTGTCGCTCGAAGAGGTGGTGAGGCGGTAGTGTCTGAGGCGTGAACGCGTAGTACGGCTGCTGGACTTGCGACGTCAGATGGCGCTGCCCTTGCTGCTGCTGCTGCTGAGACATTGCCACGCCAGGTTGGTCACCAGGCGTTGCCCCCATCCTTCGTACGATTCCAACTCTGAAGGCGCTGCGGCTTCGACCCCGTGTATGCGCCGTACTGCCAGCAGTATTGCCGCTTGGTCCTCCATTGTCGACAGGACCTCCAGCTGGCCCTGGCGACCCGAGAGAACCAAAAATTGAAGCCTGATCATCTTTGTCCTTGTTTTTGATGCGGTTGCGGCACCTCGTCACGAAGCCATCAAGGTTCCAAAGACACGCGATGACGAGGAAGGCGAGTAGACTTGCACATACTCCGACGGTGATGACCTTCCACTTTTCCTGTACGAAGCCATGCTTTCTACCACGGCTCCAATCGATTCCCTGGCCGTTGACTGAGACCAAAGTGCCATTGTAGGAAACGGTGGGGAGAGCCGTGATGTTGCCAGCCTGGTCAGCGGGCACTTGGACCGTGTTCTTGGTGACGTCGACGCGGCAAGGGATGGTGAGTGTCTTGCACGCCATGGTGGGTGGGGCATGGGATGAGTTGTAAATGGCCCAGATGTCGGAGACGGCAAAGACGGAGTCGGTCTTGGGAGGCCCTCCCGAGAAGAGCTAACGAGCGAGCGCGAGAGGGAGGCAGACGTCAGTCATCCTTCTGTTTCGATCCATCAGCGTGAGCTGGCTGGCGTGCTCACCGGATTGCCGTCTGACCAGTGAGCAACGAGAAGGTAGCTGGGCACCTGCGGCACTTCATGAATCAGTGCTGCTGTGTAGTTGAGCTCAAGACCAAAGTGAACGACGGTCGGCGTCCACCGGAAGGACCACGTCCGATAGTCATCAGAGATCGAAGCTCCTGGCATGCTCGGCCTGAACATTTGTGACATGTACGTGTCATTTGTCGGTCTCCCGCTGGCATCGTAGTGCTGCGGCTTCGTAGTGTACCGCAAATGCTGCGTCTTGTCCTGCGCTACGTACTCGATATCGGCCTCCTGCGAATCGTTGAAGTAGCTGTAGAAGGCAGCAACCGTGCCCGTCTGATTGCTGACCTTTCCCCTCATGTGGTACGACCCGAACCAGAAGTCATTGTTGACAGAGGATATGGCAGCCGAGGGAATCACCTTGCCATCGACGGAGGGCGATACTTTGAGCTCGATTCCGTCCATTGCTGGTGTGACCTGCTGAGGCTGCATGGATCGACTGAAGTCGCTCGACTCGCGAGCGATCGAGTAGGTCAATGCTCGAAGGCCTGATGCCAGGATGTCGGAAGTCATGCCCTTAAAGTCGGCGTGATAGTAGCTCGTCCAGACGTTCTGGTCGCTATCAGCGTTGTCGACGAAGCCGCAGTCACAGGCTGCTACATCCGGCACCAGGACCATGTCATGATCAGACATGGGCGCAGCGGAGGCAGTCGTCGCATTTGTCGTTGCATTATCCTGCCTTCCAGTCAGCGTCGCAGGAGGTGTGGCTTGCCGTGCCGCTACCGCTGCGACGAGTGACGAGAGTAGCACGAGCTGACTGCGCCAGAGACGCGGCATGGTTGAGTTGAGGAGTAGCAAAGCTGTTGAAGGTGGCGGCGGAGACACACGCTCTCAAGCGTGTCGATCGTCAACATCACATCGGTTCCCATTGCTCCCCTTGCGGCTCTTCTATGCTACCAGAAGGGCGGGCCGATATTAAGCGACGACTGCGCTGGGCACGAGGGCCGTCGACGGCCCGTGAACACAGCAACGCGGCGGCGAAGCCGCTGACAATGCCTGCCATCGCCGGCTCTTCTCCTCTTTACCGGTGTCGGTCCTCGCACCTGGCTGGCCTATCTCTGCGATTGTCGTCGCAGCATTGTCATTATGAGATCGATGGAGAGGGAGGGCAGACGTTGACTGGAAGTCGTCCAGGGCTGCTCCCGCTGCTCCCGCTGCTCCCGGACGGAGCTCGTCCAAGAGTAGTGGAGGCTTCTCTACCCGGCGTCAATCTCACCCACTCTAACGCTCACACAGCAGACAAAGGCATGCGTACACTAATATCGGTATTCTTCAGAGCTAGCACCCATCCTCGACGAAGCTTGGCGTGCACTGCGAGGGGTTGGCCCTGCTCGTGTCGTGCCCTCGCTGACTCCTCTCACGTCCTGTACACCTTGGAAGCGTTGCGGCTGAAGATGCCCTCCAATGCATCATTGTCAAGCCCCATGCCTGCAAAGACCTCACGCACAACTTCGTACCACTCCTTGACGACTGCCTCCTCTCCTCCTGCACCACCGCTGCCGAGTGTAACGGCCCAGACGAGACGATCTATACCGAATGCCTCGAGCAAGACGTCAAAGAAGACGCGCAACCTCCTCCTGAGCTCGCTCCTTCGATCTTCATCGCTCTCCCCTCCACCCAAGGCGCCTGAAATGGCAGACTCGACGCCCGAAGCTACACCTGTCGCCGTGTCCGTAGCACGCTGCAGAGTCTCGGAGGAGTAGTCTGCATTGCGCCCCTTGGCAAGGAGGGAGGCCGGGACGAGGTTGGCCAGGGGCAGCGGGCTAAGCTTGACGTACGTACGAGGGTGCAATGCCAGTCGGCTGATGAAGCTAGCCCAGTCTGACAGCTCCTCACTCTTGATGAGCTGCGAAGAGGCGAGGTGGAGCGGAGGAGAAGCCAAAGTCTCAAAGACGATGCGATAGCCTGTGTCCTCGCCGCCGGCAATGGCCGCCTCTGCATTGCCTTGAGCACTTGCGTGAGACTTGCCCAGGAGCTCCTCGACTTGATCGCGAACCTCCTCGAGAGCAGCATCCTTGCCGCCGCTGGTAGAGGGGCTGCGCATGGCTACCTCGAGGGTGTACTTCTTGTCGCCGGCCGTCTTGAGGAGGTCGAGCCAGCCTTGCTGGTTGGCGGCGATATCCCTGCGGGGTCAAGTATATCAGGGTCAGAACTGTGGGCTAGAGAAGCTCCCGTCCTGCGCACTTACTCCTTCTTGTTGAGCGTGGGGAGCGAGAAGTTGACGCTTTCGTGAGCAGGTGCCTGAGGGGCTTTGTCCGACGGTAGGGATGGTGGCAGCGTCTTGCCGGACACGGGCTGAATTAGGGTGATGGGCATGTTCTCGCCAGCGACCTGAGCATGCAGCGGCGGCGTTAGATGTCACCACGTACTAAAATGCCTCTTCCTGCTCTCGTCGCGCACACTCACCCTGCCGGCCTGGAAGAGCTTCGGCGTCTCATCGACGCCTGCGTCGCTCTGGTTGAGCTCATAGACGAGAGCTCGGAGCTTGAGTGCCTGATCGCTGAAGACACCATTGTTCCACCACTCATGTGTAATCTTGTCAATCGTCTGGACGGGCGCCGAGCCAGAGACGACGAATGTGATCGATTGGGGTTTAGCGTCCCCTGCCGACCTGGCTGCGGTCCCCTCCTTGGCCGGGTCGAAGGCCGAGAGATCCAGCTTGGCCGGGCGCTTCGATTGCTGTTGCTGCTGTGACATGGTGATGTTGCGGGGATGTAATGAGGGGAGAGAAGAGTGGAGTGAAGCAGAGGTGAAGACGTCGAATGAATCGAGGCAATCACGGACCTCTCTCCCGCCCTAAGATCGCTTCTTTCCATTCCCACCGACCCCGCGTCGTCGATGCAGCAGCTGCTTCCCTCTCCTCATCTCCGCCTCTCCACATCCCAATGACGCACAGCGAGCGGATCGAGCGGATTGACGCCCAGACGCAGCACAGTCTAGCAAAGCGAGCTTGGGGACACGTCCTCGCCTTCACATTAAACCTCGGCCAAGAAAGGCGAGGCCAACGCAGGCGATCGACATGGAGAGAGCGTAATGATCGGCAGCTCAGGCGAAGCCGGCCGCGAAGATCGGGGGATAGAGTCATGATTTTCTATTGCCTAGCTCCGCCGGCGACACGCTCCTCTAGAGTTTCGATGATATCAATCAACTCGTCCATCTGATCTCGAGTCCATTGCACAGCATGGTCGAGCAGCATTGCCTGACCTCGTCGATAGACTTTGATCATTCGCAGCACCTCTGGGCGAGCGCTGCTCCCGCCATTGTCCCCATCGACTTGCCGCTGAGCTGCTCGAAATCCCTTGCGCTTCGCACACAGCATCTCTTCGAGCGTCTCAAGGACCTCGCCGTCCAATTGCGCCGCAGCCAGACGTGCTTCGTCACGGCGACGGGCGAGGAGGGCCGCCTTTCGGACTGATGAAGAAGGAGCGCCTTCTTGCTCCTCCGCCTCGCTCGCGGGTGTGCCTGGCGCAGAGGGTGTGGCTGTGTGCGACTTGAGTAGCCACGAGTCCTCCAGCTCGGGCTTCGCAGCTGCGTCGTCGGCTGCTCCGTCGAGGAGTCGCTCCCGCAGCTCAAAGAGGAGACCAGCTGGTGCTCCCTGTCCCATGCGCCAGTAATGATTGCTGCCCCAGGGCTTGCGGAGGCTAAGGGCATTCGAGGCTGGGTCTACAAATGCGTTATTCGGCGCATCTGGGGCTGCTTCGCCACTGGCCTCTCCGCCTTTACCGCCGAGTACGAGGGTGAGCGTATCGTCTGGCAAGTCAGGAGTGTCGAGTACAAAGCCGTAACCTGCCAAGAATTCCTCATTAGACTTGCCGCCATAGCAATTGAAAGCCTGCGTGTTCGCTGGTACCGTATAGCCGAGCGTGATGGCCACCTCCATTTCAGCATCGCTGATCGCACTCGGTGCGGCTCTTGCCGGTTTCTCAGGCTCATCAGTAGGCACACAAGGATATGTCCAAGTGACGGGCACACCCCGTGCGTGGTTGAAAGCGTCGATACCTGGCAGGAGTACTGGACCCACGAGGCTGCTCTCGTCTTCTGGCTGGGCGACGAGTGAGGGTGGGAAGGCCCGGCTTGAGTACGCAGTAGCCGCCCAAGTCCAGATGGAAAAGAGTGGGTGTTGCGCTGCTTCATCCTCGTTGCCAACGTCGTCGACGCTTGGTGTACCTTGGAGAAGAGCTTCTACTGGGGAGGAATCCGGCCGTCTTCTTAGCCAGCGCATTGCCGTCGTGAAGGCCTTGAGCATCCTCTTACGTCGCTCGATGGCGTCACCGTGAAGGGGCGTGGCTTGCAGAAGATCGAGCTCAGAAGTGCTGAAGTGAATTGGTGTGAGGGTGTCGTTCGGGAGCAGGGCAACATACGGGTTGTGAGAGGTGAGGGTGACTCTACTTGAAGAGGGATCTGGCCTCCAAGCCTTGACGTCAAGTATTCTCCTCACAACAAAGAGGTAGAAGACGACCCAGTCACCTGGCATCGCAAAGATTGGATCCCCCTCACCATCGCCAAGGCCAGCCTTGAGCGCGTCACGACAGCGTTGAGGTGTCAATGCTAGACTGCGTGGCATCCGCACCACCGTCGAGTCTGCTGGGATCTCAGCCTTGGTAGCATAGAGGGAGAGACCAGTGGTGGCATCTAAGCGGTACCGTTGGCGAGGGTGCAGGGTCAGCGGCAAAGCCCAGCTAGCATCCTATTCTTTCGTGCAATCACCTTGTCTGAATTCTACGGCCTTGTGATACCATCCACCCGCTTGTCTGAACCACTCGATGAAGTCTTCGCACTCGCCATGGCCTTGAGGCATTGCTTTGCTTGGCTTGGCTCTCTTGCTTGCACTCTTCCTGCTCTTCGTTTGATGAGCGGGAGCAGGGGCAGTGCTATTTTCGAGGCGGTGTTGTGCCGCCCGCGCGGCTCAAGGGCCCGATTTCTCTGGGCGCGGCAACTTGGCTTGCCTGCAGGGTGACGTTGTGGAGGCCTGCGAGTCGGACGACTCACTTTCAGTTTCCTACCATACGCAGCATCCATCCATCCATCCTCGTCGTTATCACCCTGTGACCGCCGCCCACGCCATCACCACTACCTACCTTGCACAGCTTCGTAGTAGTCGTCAACAACCTTGTATTCGATTAGCGCAGACGGAAGCAAAAGCACAAGTCACCTCCATCTTACGTCGCCGCCCAAAGCGCTCCCAGCACCTCGAAGCCTTCTCCCTACTCCAAACCTGATCGAGCTCCTCACAGCACGCTAAGATGGACTTCTGCTTTTTCATCCCCGTTATTGTGAGCGAGCCTCGCACTTCATGTCGGCGTTCCGGCCAGAAACTGACCCAGCGCTTCGCGTACACTTCTCCCCCGGCCGCCGCAGTTTGGCTGCCCAAACAAGATCAAGCAGGACGACGACCACACACCATACCTCTGCCCAAAATGTCACAATCCACAATTGGTCAAGGCGCGGTCTCGTACTTGGTTTGAGCTTTGCTGGATACCACTGATCCCAATGAAGAAGCACGCCATTTACATCTGTGGGATCTGTCAATTCCGAGCAGACCAGGACAAATTGTAAGTACCACGAAAAGCTGTTCAAGGATGACCAGCGACGTCCTGCCTTCCTGATGCTCTTGTTGGATCAGATGCTGACACTACAGCACCCCTCTCTCCTTGGCTATTGCAGCCAGCCGCAGCCAGCTGGAGGCGGAGGCGGCCACTTCCACGGCGGCGGGTACCCTCAGCAGCCGTACATGCCCCAAGGTGGTGGCTACCCTCCGAGAGCCTAATCATTGGGCTTTCTGCTGCAATGAGTACTCTTCGCTATCAAGTTCGACTGCTGCTCGCTATCAACTTCGACTGCTCCTCTCTCTTGTATCTCCCGCCGCACTGCGCGTGGGCGCTTCGTCATGTGTACATTGTGATGTGAATACTATTCCCAGTCTTTTGCGAGCTTCTCATGCGAGGCATGACTTGCGATCCGACTAGCAGAGACTACTGTGGATGAAGCTAAGAAGATAGCGAAGGCGGAGCGGGCAAGAGACGCGTGAGAAAGGAGCGAGGGCCTCCTCCGCACGTGGAGGCCTGGACTTGGCGGCGCGGGGGCGGTGACACACACACGAGGGCTGGTTGCGAGTGCGAATGCAACGCTCCGCTGCGCTGTGAAGCCGGTGGTTGTGCTGCTCCCCGTTCGTTGGCTTCCTCTCTGCGACGCCTCGACTTGTCCAACTCTTTGTTTCCTCTCTACACCATCTCTAGATTGCTAGCAGATCTCACTGCTCGTCGTTTCGACACCATCATCCAACCAGCCTCCCGCGTCATTGGCCGCCGCCGCTGCAGCGACTGCCACGACTGCCACGACTGACCATCACAACGTCGTCATGTCCTCCACTCAAGATGCAAAACCACCACCATCGGCCGTAGATGCTGACAATGCCTCAGCAGATGAGATTGAAAAGGCGCCCGAGTCGGTGGCCATGACCGATGCAGAGGAACTCGACGCTGCCAATGACAAGGACAATTCAGACTCGGGCAAGCTCAAGACGCTCATGGGCGTATTGAAGCGAATGATCGGCGTAAAGGATATGGCCGCCATTCGCCTTTCCCTCCCCGCCAATCTCCTCGAACCCGTCCCTAACTTGGAGTACTGGAACTACCTCGATCGAGGTGATATCTTCTCTTCCATTGGGGAGTTGGATGACCCCTTAGACCGCATGCTCCAAGCGCTGCGCTTCGCATTGACAAAGGAGCTCAAGTTTGTCCATGGCAAGGTCTGCAAGCCCTACAACTCCATCCTCGGGGAACATTTCCGCTGCCACTGGGACATCGATGGCATGAAGGCGTCGAGCGACGGGGGCATCGTGCCCGTCCAGTGTGTCAACAAGAGCAACCCGTCCACTCTTTCTACGAGCACCTCCAAGCCAGGAGGGCTCACCGCGACGAGCTCGCGAACCTCACGGCCCAACAACAGCCGTGCAGCCAGTACCAGCTCGACAGCTACTACCACGACCAACAACGATGAGGCGGCAGCACCTAAGCGTAAAGGGCTGGGAAGGCTCCTCTCAAAGGAAAAGGTTACCAAGCCCCTGACGAATGCGGCAGGTGGGGGCAGCAGTGGGGCTGGAAGCTCCAAGAGCTCAACCAAGTCGCCCGTTCTCGCACCAACGGCAGAGGAAGGAGACGATTCCTCGAGCTTGGCAGGAACAGTTGACAAGCTGTCTCTCAGCGATGCAAAGAGCACAGGGGGTACCTCACCATCGTCCGGCCAGACGCTCGCTGGTGGGCCACGTCGTATCACCTTCTTGACGGAACAGGTCTCTCATCACCCGCCTATCTCGTCCTTCTTTGTTGAGTGCAAGGATACCGGGGTACAGCTGTACGGTGTTGATCAGTTAAGCGCCAAGTTCACGGGGACGGCAGTCAAGGTGAGTGCAGACGGGTGGACGTCAGCCCGTGAACGATTTCAGCCAGCAGCCTGCTGATATCACCCCCCCCCCCTGGTTCCGGCACGCAGGTCTTCCCCGGCGAGCACAACAAGGGTATCTTCGTCCGCCTCACAGACGATTCACCTCTGGGCAAGTCCGTATCAGGGGAAGAGTATCAGATCACCCACCCGACTGCGTCCATCAACGGGCTTCTGCGCGGCTCCCTCTGGGTAGCAATCTGCGACACCCTCTACGTCACCTGTCGCGGTGGTGAGCGCTCTGACTCAAAACGTCTTAGAGCCATCGTAGAGTACAAGGACGAGTCATGGCTCATGAAGGCCAAGTATGCCCTCGAGGGAGTCATCTACGAGTACGACTCGCCCGATGATGCGGACCAGTACAAGGCTGTAAAGGACGTGCCTGGCGACAAGGTCGTTGCGACCTTTGAGGGCACCTGGCGAGGCAAGATCACCTGGAAGCGCAAGGGCGAAAAGGAGCCGCGCCTCCTTATCGACTTGGACGAGATTGAGCCACTGCCCAAGACGGTGCGCCCTCTCTCCAGCCAGGAGGACATGGAATCTCGTAAGATCTGGCAGCCTGTCACTAAGGCGATTCTGGACAAGGAGTACTCGGCTGCTACTCGCCACAAGCAGGTCATTGAACAGCGTCAGCGAGAAGAAGCTGCGGAGAGGAAGAGGGTGGGAAAGAGCTTCACGCCGCGCTTCTTCGAGGAGGACATCAGCGATGGGAGACCGAGGTTGACGCAACAAGGACGCGAGGCCATCGATGGAGAGAGGGAGCTCAAAGGGTACGCTGAGGGACAAAATGTCGCCGAGACGAGCAGGGAGGCCGCTGCTAAGAATGCGGTCGAGGGTGGGGGCGGGCATGGTAAAGCCGCCTCTACGCCGGCCAGCGCAGCCGGTGGTGATGACGACGACGACGACGATGATGATGGTCAGAGCTTCAGAAGCGCAGAATAGGTACGAGGTACACTAGGCATCGTCTGCCTTCTCTGAGCCGCACTGTTCCTCGCCCCCTCATGACGTCTCGCGTACTCTTCCCCCACTTCGCAAGCTCTCTCGCGCTCTCTTCTCACGAAGCTCAGATCCTTCCACTTATCCTGGACGAGTAGTACCATTTATGCTGTTCTTGCCTCTCTACATCAATGAATGAACGAATGACAGACCAGCTGCGCGCTGGCTTGGCGCTGCGACATTCCCGCCGCTCTGGAGCGAACACTATCAGCCACCTTTGCTTGCTTCTGCTTCGCAAAGACAATATCATTGAATGCTTTCTCCCCCCTCTGCAATGCTATCTTACATGGAAACTGAGCTTGACGCCCATTGAAGCCAATTCTGCGGCCAGGTAGCGTGTGACATAGCTGATGGCGATGGTATCCAGCCCGCTTGACCCCCTCTTGACCACAGCCTCGGCGGGCACCTGCAAGCGCGCCGCAACCATGCTGTCCTTTGCCTCATCTTCATCCACCTCGCCACCATTCGCCTCAGCATCAAGCGCCTTTATCCTCCTCTCCTCCTCATTCGCCCTGCAGACCCTGCAGTACTCTCCTGAAAGGCCTTCACGCTCCATCCTGTCCTCCTCCTCCTCAAGATTCCACGCATCGAGCATATGCGCATCATCCGCACCTCCGCCACCACCCTCGTTGCGTGAAGCGTTGCGAGCCTCGTACCCCAGCGAGGTGATCGACCCACAGTCCCTGCATACGTAGCAGGTCGAGTAGTCTGAGCAGTTCATGAGACGATCCGCCAGGAGGAAGGCACATCCGTGCGCCAATGTGGCATCACGCTCCATCTCTCCGAAACGGATACCTCCTCCGACTTTACGTCCCTTGATCGGCTGGCGGGTCAAGGCGTGAACGGGTCCGGTGGTCCTGCACTGGAACTTGTCGTTTACCATGTGCCTTAGTCGCTGGTAGTAGACGCATCCCAGGTAGATGTCCATCTGCAACTCCTGTCCCGTGATCCCCGAGTACATGGGCTCGTGGCCCAGCCTTGAGTAGCCAGCGCGGACGAGCTGCTCCCCAAAGTAGTCGTGAGGCGTGTCGCCCTCATTGAAGGTCCAAGGGGTCCCGTCTTCACGGAGACCGTGAAGAGCGCCTGCTTTGCCAGCCATTGACTCGACGAGCATTCCGATCGTCATGCGTGAGGGGAAGGCGTGCGGGTTGATGATCACGTCTGGTTGCATGCCGGACTCGGAGAAGGGCATGTCGATTGCGGGCCCTGCGTGTGCGAGAAGAGGAGGATGGTCAGCTCTCAAGAAACCTCCTGCCTTGGTGCCCCGCGCCACTCACACTTCTGCGAGCAGACACCCTTCTGCCCGTGCCTACTCGAGAACTTGTCCCCGATCACCGGACTCCTCGGGATGCGCAAAGTGATCTGCAGCTTGGTCCACTGCCCGCCGCTCGTCTCGCTAGACGGCATGAGCCTTACGGTATCCACGTACGCAAAATCGTCTCCCTTGAACTTCTTGTACTTGGTCTTGTTCGTCACCGTGTCCCAGTATGCTACCATTGGCTCGCCCATCTTGACCTTCTCACCAGGAGGCAGGAGTCCATCCTCGTCGAGGCGCTCGCGGATGGGGTTGTTGGGACCGACGTCCGGGCCAAAGCCGAAGCGCAAATTGCAAGTCGAGGAGCCCCGCGAGCCCGCTTCCACCGTAAGGTCGAGCACCTCGCTCTTGTAGACCGTCCCGTACCCGAAACCGCGTTCATGTGCCGACTTGTTGAGGATCATTGCGTCCTCCATGTCGTATCCCGTGTACGAGATGACCGCCACAATGGCATTGGTCCCGTTGGGGAAGCCGTCGAAGCCGTACTTGTCGTGCAGCTTCGGGCGCACAATGGGCGTCTGCGGCGTTTGGATGCGGTAGAGCTTGTTGTCCGTCCGGCGAGAGATGCTAGTCGAGGGAGTCCCCATCGTCTGCTTGCCCATCTGGCACTGATACATGTTGCGAGGCGACTGGTTGAAGTCGGAAAAGGGTGTGAGATTGGCAATGACTGACAGCACGTTGGTCGGCGCCCACTCGATGTGCGTTGTCAATCCGCGGTGAACATCCTCAGGCAGGCAGGCGACATCGAGGTAGACCTGCTCGAATGGCCCGACGTGGTCGAGATGGCCATTTGACAGGTACTTGACCGGACGCATCATGCGCGCACGACCCGAGAAGAGGTAAAGCCCGGGGTATTGCCCTGCTTTGGAGACGGGTACGTACCCGATTTCGAGGTCGAGCGGCACACCGTGCGACTGCTGCGTCTTGAAGAGACGTAGGTTGTTGGCCATCTGCTGCGCTAGGGCAGGGGTCGCCCAGCCTACGATGCTGCCGTCCAGCTGGACGACGACGTGCGTTCGGCCATCGGTGTGCGCAAAGGCGGGGGACATGCCCATTGATGAGAGGAGGGGAAGAACCGTACTGACATCGAGTTCGCGAGTCACGAGCTGGCAGGTGTGGCTGAAGTGGTTGAGTAGACCACAGGGCGACCCGTCGGGCGTGTGGACGGGGCAGAGGAATCCCCAAGCCTCGGGCAGAAGCTTGCGCACCGACGTCGTCTTCAGCTCGGCGAAGAAGGCTCCTCGATGTACCGAGCGGAAGTGTGAGACGTAGCGATAGAAGTTGAGCTTCTCTGCCACAACGGTGAAGCCGGAGACTTGCTGCAGATCAAGACCGGAAGGGGAGAGCAAGTTGCCTGTAGCGAGGAAAGAAGAGAGACGCCCACCGATATTGGGCGTGACGCGACGGAAAACCTTGGTCATGTAGTGGCCGTCGAAGAAGTCGAGATTCTTTGCCCCCTGACGCACGTCGCGGGTGATCTGCAGCGTCAGGTTCGAGAGATACTCGTCGAGACGCTCCTTGATGATCATGCCGTACAAGAAGCCGGGCAGAAGGACTTCTTGGTGCTGAGGCGAGTCTGGGTTGTCGACGGAGCACTCCCCTCCAACGAGAGCATACAGCTTACGCATCATAAAGACGAGCAAGCGGTACTTGTCGCGCGGGCTGTCGAGGTGGACAAGGACGACCTTGTCGATGAGGTAGACTCCCACGTCGATATCGCTCCAGTCCTCTGGGCAGCCAAGGACGATACGGAACTTGGAACCCAGGTACTCGAGGCAGTGATCACCGGAGAAGAGCGAGTACGACTTGAAGCCTCGCAGGAGCATCTCAACGCGATCGGTGAGGAAAGTGTTGTCTACTTCGCCGCGGGTGAGCTCCATGAAGATGTCCTTGTCCGAGGCGGACACAAGTGCTTTGAGAAGCATGATGGCTGGGATCATGTACTCGCGCTTCTTCCAGCTGAAGCGCAGAGTGACGCCTCCGTTGTCAAGGTAGTGGATGGTGTTGGTGACGCTGGTCAGGTCATTGCGGTGCAAGCAGCGGATCTGGCAACCTTTGCTGGTGTAAGATGGTCCTCTGTTAGAGAAGGATGGACGGTCGATTGCGACGACGTGATTTGATCTCGGCACAATGAGCAAACGAATGAGACGCTCGTTACCGTTGATCAAGAAGTAGCCTCCCATCTCTGCGGCTTCCTCATTGTGAGCTACAAGCTCTTCCGACGAGAGGTCGCGCAGGTGGCACCTGTTGGACTTGATCATGATGGGGACCATTCCCATGTCCCTCTCGACGACCTGCTTGGGCAAGCCATTGACCGAGTAGCTGACCCTGGCCGTCATTCTCGCCTTGTACGTCATGAGCCTCTCTCGACACTCAATTGGCCACACTCTCTTGACATCTCCTGTGTTGCCTGCGCCAGTCTGTGAAGGCTTGCCTAGGTGGATACCCTCGATTGCCATCTCGACGCGGTTTCCCCTCTCTCCTGGTTGCGTGGTTGGGGTCTGTATCCTGTCAAATGCTACTTTGGGAGTGATGCTGCGAATGGCTCGGTCGAGGAGCCCACCGCCGCTGCCTCTTGAGGTAGAGGCCGCAGCTTCGGGGCTCGAGTTGATGGAGGGGTCATCGCTAAAGAGGGCGTTGAAGCTCTCGAGGTGAGGAGCGATGAGATCCTGGAGGGATGGGTTGACGAAAGTCGATTTGGGTGGATTCTTGAATTGGTCGACATTGGTCAAAGTGTGGAAGGTAAAGGGGTCTTCATGCTCGCCAGTCGGAGTGATTGGGCCTGACGACGAGGATGCCGACGATGATGAGGCAGACGACATGCCTGGCGGTGATGACATGGCGGCGATGGTGATGAGCGAGGGAAGGAGGAGCGGCCGCCGCCGCCTCTGCTTCTTCACGTCGCTCGACACTCACTCTCGGCCGCCTGTCCGCCCGCCTCCAGAACGCAAAAATTTGGAAGCGCGGACGGAAGCGCACCCACCACTCGGGATGGGCTCGTCACTCACATCCTCTGCATACACTCACAACCTTGAACAGCATACAGAGATGGCATTGACGGGCGCAGCACCCTCATCGCTGCCAAAGAAGAGCAAGAAGAACACAACAAAGCCTTCGGCCTCAACAGCAGCAGCTTCGCCGTCAACCGTCTTTGCAAATCGCCTCGCCGCTCTCCAGCAGTCGCTCTCAACGTCGACGGATCTCAACCCTCTCGCCGACCTAGTCAACCTCGTTCAAACCCATGCCGACGACCTCAACTCAAGCGCCATCATCCCAGCCCTGACTCTCATCGTACGCACCTTCACGCATCTGATTGAGCGCAAATCTCTCCAGCCATGGCCGGCAGTCCGCGCGACAGGATACCTCGCCATCGACGACAAGCCAGCGCAAGACCAAGTCGTCCACTCGTGGCTCAAGGAGCGATTCAATGAGGCACTGAAACTGCTTTCTGGTCTTATTGCCACTCACTCGAAGGACAAGACCCGCAACGCTGCCCTCAATGCCCTCATGGAGCTGCAGCGCGCCACAACAGAGGCAGGAGCGGCAGCTACTACTGGTGGGGCGGCTTGGAGTGAATGCCCGTGGAGACTCATCGTGGGCACTGTACTCTCAGAGTCAGTCTCGGACGAGCTGCGTGCCATGTTCGTGCAGGACTGGGTAGAGAAGTACGCCGATGTGAAGCTGGCGTTCTTGCGATCCCTCAACACCGTCCTTTCGGCTCCTACATCTTCTGGAGCGGCGCCGCCTCGATCTGCTGCTCTGTCGATCCTTGTCGCCATGAGCAACCCGCCGGCAAAGAAGGTGGAGATCAAGTCGAGCGACTTCTTTGTCAAGGTCTTCTCAACAGCGCCTGAGGCGTCCTCGTCGACTGGAGGCAAGGCGAGTGGGCCCAAGGGAAAGGGATCCAAGGCGGCCGCCAAGAAGCGCAAGATCACTCAGGATGGGGACAGCGCTTCTGGATCCGACGATGAAGATGACGATGATGGTGTCATTTACTTCTCTGACTCAGGTGAAGAGGACGAGACGAACACGGTGCCCAGCCGACTCGATGGTGCGCACAGCAAGGGTGACGGATCTTCGCGCAAGCGTCGGCGTGGCGGTATGGCCTCGATGCCCTTCCACCAAGCCCTCTACGAGCTCAAAGCCTGGCGCGCATCGACCGAAGCCGTCTGGCTGACCCTCATCCTACAGGCCTCCCCAAAGTCATCGTCTGTGGACGCGCAAAGCTCGGCCACTGGCCTGTCGTTGGGTCAAATCAACACTATTCTCCGCATAATGGAGAAGCGCGTCCTTCCTTACCTCTCCCGTCCGCAGCTGATAGCGGACTACCTGCTGGATTGCCTCGACGTCGGCGGACCGACGGCTCTTTTGTCCCTGTCTCCGCTCTACTCGCTCTACATCAGCGCCTCCCTCTCCCTTCCCACCCTCTACACCACGCTGTATGGCCTGCTCACCCCTTCGCTGCTGCACAGCCCGCATCGCTCCCACTCGCTGCGGATGCTCAGCCTTTTCCTCTCCAGTGAGAAGTTAAGCCTCGCAACTGTGGCTGCCTTTGTCAAGCGGCTGGCTAGGTGTGCACTGAGAGGCCCGCCCGGTGGTGTCATCCCAGTGGTGGTGATGACGTACAATCTTCTCAAGAACCACAGAGAGGGGATGGCGTTGCTCCATCGTGAGATGTCGGATGATGAGGTCCCGGAGGGTGGGTGGAAGGATCCCTACGAGGAGGACGACCCGTCCTGCCCGCCCTCGGCGAGCAGGGCAGTGGACTCGTCCCTCTTCGAATTTGTGTCACTGGGAGCACAGCCGACCGAGCCGACCGCCTCTACGTCCACGTCTCAGGGCAGCAGAGAGTTGGAGTCGCATTACCACTCCCCCACCTCTACGCTTGTCCGCATGTTGGCTCAACCGTTCACAAAGACAGGGTACGATCTGGAAGAGTTCCTCGACCACTCCTATGCCACGTTGCTTAGCACCGAAGTGAAGCGCACGCTCGACGAGAGCGAAGCTGCAACCAAGAGGAGGAACAAAGCTCCAGCTCCAGCGGTAAGGCACAGTGTGCCGGGCAGCTCAACAAGGACCGGTCCTGATGGCAAGAAGAAGACTAAGATGCCCAGGGTCTTTCCTCGTACGGTAGGCGGGAATGCGGGAATTGCGGGGAAGGTGGCGGAGGTGGTTGGCGCTGAGACCGGTACGGCCCGGCTCGGTGCCGGCGCATACGGTGCCGCTGGTGATGGTGATGCGACAATGCTCGATCCCTCACTTGCACAAGCACAGCCCGACGACGACGATGCGGAGCCCCACGAAGCTGCTGCCTCCGACGACGACGAAGAAGAAGAAGACGACAGTGTCAATGAGGACAATCTAGACGATGAGGAGCGGGAGGCACGCGAAGCTATGCGGGAGGTCAAACGCGAGGAGAGGCGACGTCTCGCACGGGAGGCTGAGCTTGCGAGGAAGAGGAAGGACGAGGAGGGGAGACTCAGGAGGGAGATGGACACTATGGGGTTGGGGGTGTTCTGAGAGTGCGACGTGGGGGCAATCAGACACGTGTGTCATGAAGAGGAGTAGCATGTCCATTCACAATAGCATTACCAGTCGCTACCTTCAACTAATCGCTTCCCTCGCTCTACATGATGGGCCAGCCTACACGCTCATCTTCATCTCAATCTTCTTGTGCGGCTGGTACCCAATCACCTCAAAGTCCTCCGCCTTGAAACCATCCACATCTCCTACTTGCCTCTTGATCCCCAAAGTCGGGAAACTCCTAGGCGTCCTAGTCAGCTGCTCTTTGAGCCCATCGACGTGATCCTTGTACACATGCGCATCCCCCATGACCAGCGTCAACTCTCTCGCCTCGCAACCAGTAACGTGCGCGATCATGTGCGTGAGGAGGGCGTAGCTTGCGATGTTGAATGGGATGCCTAGCCCAAGGTCGCAGGAGCGTTGGTACATTTGGCAGGAGAGGCCGGGTTTGCCGCCCTCTTTCGTGGGCAGAGTCACGTAGAACTGAGCAAACATGTGACAGGGTGGAAGGGCCATCAGAGGGAGGTCTGGGTGCGAGGGTGAAGCCGTCGTTAGCGCGATGCTCTTCGCCACATTTCGCGCTGCGCTCACCCTTCGGATTCCAAGCACTCATCACCATTCTCCTGTCCGTCGGATTCTTCTTGATCGTCTCGACGATCTCCTTCAACTGGTCCACCCCCTTGCCAGCGTAATCAGCATCCGCATCTTCGTAGGCAGCACCAAAATGGCGCCACTGGAAGCCGTACACTGGTCCGAGGTCGCCCTCCCGTCGATGCTGCAGTCCCCTCGAGTCTAGGAAGCTACGCGATCCATTGCCATCCCAGATGTGGACATCTCGCTCCTCGAGCTTCTTCGCGTCTGTACAGCCGCCGACGAACCAGAGGAGCTCTTCAACTACGCCTCGCCAAAAGACGCGCTTCGTCGTGAGCAGGGGAAGTCGGTTGTTGGTGAGATCGAACTTGAATGGCTGAGGAGCAAAGAGGGCGAGAGTGCCTGTGCCTGTTCTGTCTGCTCGCGGCTGGCCGTGATTGATGACGCGAGAGATGAGGGAAAGGTACTGTTGTTCTTCATGAGGTGTTGAGGCGGTAGGCTGGCCGGAGGGGTTGGAGGGGGAGACGGATACAGTGGGGGACGGGCCACTGTCCAAGGGAGGAACAGCAGGGACGATTGGGTTGTGAGCAAACCGAGCATTGCTTGTCAATAGGCATAACGCCGCGTCCACTCACGTCTTTGAGGAGAACATGCCTGCGATCGTTGGCTCATCGAAGTTGTGGTGCGCGTACGATAGAATGCACACGCCTCCTGCGTCCATCTCAAAGAGACGGCCGTTGGTCAGAGGCAGGCCGAGCCAGCGGGTGATGAAGCAGCTGCGGGTGATGATGACGGGCGAAAGATCAGCGACACAATGCTTACCAGTCAAGAGCCTTGCTCTCTCGCCCGCCAGTCCTCACCGGCTGTGATGCCCATGGCTGACAATCATGACATCGCCCCCCTTCTGCATCACCGCTTGATCATGCGTCCTCTCGGGATGGCCTTCGATGACGGCCTTCTGCAACCTCTTGATCTCAGCGATAGTCCCATCAATCCTCTTTGTCATATCCTCTGCCGACTCTCCCTTGAGCTCAGGACGAGTAGCATGGTCTTTGGTTCCGTCAACCCAAATATCCCATCCTGGCCATTCCTGCCTGATCTCCCCGGTCTTACGTCCCTCTGCGAAGCCATAACGCCATTCCTGACATTCGGGCTTTACTTCTGGCTGGACGACGTTTGCGAGTTCGTGCTCTGTGAGGTGGGCTAGGAGTAGCTGCAAGGTCCGCCTTGATCGAGTACGTGGGCTCGTCCAGATATGGCTGATCCTAGTGGGGTCGACGGTAAAGCGACGATCTTGCTTGTCTCCCTCTGGGCTGTTGACGCCAACGAAGGTGGGTGCCAAGCGTGCCATGACCTCTTCCCCGTGAGCGGTGAGGGGAATGTCCGTCTCTCCTGTATGTTGGCCGCTGAGCGACCACTCAGTCTCGCCGTGCCGGACGAGGATGACACGGGGCATGCGTACGGGGGGCGAGGGGGACATAGTGGCCGGAATGAGGGTATGTAGATCGGTCAGAGGGAGGAATGACAGGATGTGAATGAATGCACTTTGCTCTCGTCCTGAGTCCTCAGTCGACCTTCGTCGTTGGCCGTTGCCGTCGCGCCACTTTGTGGCTGCACCCGCGTCGACGCGGCCGGACAGAGTTGCCGCCGGCACGCAAGTCTCCTCCTTGACAACTCTCCGTTCTTCAACGTGCAAGCCTCCTAGTCGATCACGCACGACGGTCCACCATGCCTCGCCTATCACCCGTTCCAGAGCCATCGACGCGCCGACTACCGCTGCCAGAGGTGGTACCGAGCGCGATCTCACCTCGCAGGCCACGTCGCAAGAGAGCGCTCTACGGCCTGCCCTACGAGGACGAAGACGATGAGAGGCAAGCAGCGAATCCCCCGTCGCAATGGCTGGGCAGCCACGGCGCAGATTTCCAGCCTTGGCCTCGAGCTGCAGATCAGTCGAGCTATGCTACTTCTTCGTCATCACACGCAGCATCACAGCCTCGTCGAAAGCGCTTGGAGAGCGATGCGCTTTACGACGTCGTAGCCTGGATATCCGCCAGAGTCCTCAAGGAACGTAGACAAGAGAAGGGAGGACGTCGACATCGCTCGGCACCGCTTCGACCAAATCAAGAGGATGTCGACAACGACAGTGTCTCTGCGGCTGGCTCGATGTCTTCAGCACTGGGCGCGAGAAGTTCTACGTCGGCTTCGTTGAGAGGGAGTGGTCAGGACAGCGATGACGAAACTGAAAGTGACGGCGATGCAGAAGGATCAACGCTGGACAGCGACCTCGAAGACGCAGGATCTTCCGATTCTGGAACTACCACGCCGCACGAGCAAAGCGATGCCCTCCTCTCCCCGCTCGTCCTCTCCATCCAATCAAGTCTCGAGACCCTCCTTACGTCTCTGGAGCAACGAAGACGCAGCCAGGTGCGGGCGCAATCCCACCGTGGATGGAAGCAGCCCCCCTTAGAGCCTATGACAGGTTCAGAGGTATTGAGTGCGCTAGAGAGGTTGGTGACCGACGAAGAATCGCGCAGAGGTGGTCGTGAGGGGAAGGAAAGGGCTGAGAGCTGTGTGGGTGGGAGAGAGGTCTTGGAGGCTGTGAGGCGGATGGTGAAGGAGCGGGCGGGGGAAAGCGAGGAGGGTGTACACCAAGACGATGATGAAGGAGTGGAAGAAGTAGCAGAGAGCGAGCTGCCCAGCCAAGAGCCTGGTGAGAGGTTCGGCGACCCCAGCGACGACGTCTCGATGCAGCACCCCAACCAGCAGCCGCAGGACGCAATACCCTCAGTGAAAAGACGCCGCCCTCCCCCCTCAAAGAATCAGGCAAAGGCAGCGACGTGGACACACTACGCCTCGAAGCAGGAGCAGGATCGTCAGCTCGAGAGACTATTGCTGCTCAGCTAGACGAGCGAAAGGGAGATGAGCGAGTCCAGATCAATCTATTGGAGGCGGAGGCGGAGGATAATGAGCTGTTCTATGATACATAGTAGATTTCGATGGGTCAATCGCATGGATATGGTAGTTGCCTGCCAGGTGGCTACGCACTAGCGCGGCGGAGGAGAAACAGCGCCGCTTCATGCTTCGGCAGCTTCAATCAATCCTTCCTCGCCGCAGCCTTCGCGTCATTCCCCCTCGCCAGCTGTCTCCTCGCACAGGCACCTGGTCCCCATCCATACTTCTGCCCGTCCCCCTTGGCCTCCCGCAAAGCATCGTCCACTAGCCGCATAATACCAATCGCCTTCTCTTCCTCAAATTTGCGTGTCACAACCTGAACCGATACGGGCAGACCACGCATCGCGACTGGATCGTAGACCTTTTCCGTGTAGAGGGCGTGACTGACCATCTTCGAGCAGGTAGAGAAGCCGGGCGTGGAGAGGTAGGACTGCTGAGCCTTGGTGAGGGAGCTGCCGGCCTTGGTGGGCGGTAGAGCGTCCAGCTCTGGGTCCACGCGCGTGACTGGAAGCACGGTCACCGCTGTGTCCAGTACGTTGTAGATGATGGTGCTCACGGCCAGCGTGCTTAACTTCGCCGTCGCCCCATGTGGGACGGCTGGACTGCCTTGCACAGGACAAAGAATCGCATCGACCCCATACTCCTTCCATACCTTTGCGTCAAACTCTCGCTCATACTCGTTGCGCTGCGCCACAGTCTGGAAATGCTGCGCGGCCGTCTTCCTCCCGGCAGCCGTCGCACAGTAGCTTAGCGTATGATCGCGGACGACGTACTTCATGATCCAGTAGACCAACTTGCGTGCCCAACCTGGCATGCGGGCCAGAAGAACGGGGACGAAGAGGGAGGAGTCCATTGGTTCCTTCACTTTGCCTTGGCGAAGCGGTGAAAGGAGCCCATCGAACCCATCTGAGCCTACTGCGGCGAGAAAGGTGCGGAGCGCTTTCTTCGCTTGAATTGCGGCTGGATCGATGGGCACCAGTTGGATAGAGTCGCCGTGCGCCTGCTGGAGGGCGGCGACCGTCTCGTCTATGCTGCGCACCACAGCCGGAGAAGACTGGACGAATCCGTCGCACGCGTAGTAGCCTAGCCGCAATGGGCGGCCACGGTTGGAGGCTACCTTGAGGGGCTCGAACCAGGCGGTACGTAGCGGCGATGGGCGCAGGGCTTCCGAGCTGAATTGATCTTGGGCTTCGCTTGGGTCTAGTGGCGAGTCGGAGGAGGGGTGGATGAGAGGGATGATGTGGCGCATCATGCTGCGGGGAGGGGGAAGCGGCGGGAGGTCAGCCTGACGTAGCGACTGACAAGCTAAGCATGCTCGGCACTCACAACTCAACATCGTCCGCTGAGCGACACATCTGTGCGACGCTGACATTGATGGCCTCGAAGCCGTCACGTGCGCTCGCCGTACCTTTGCTCGGGATGCGGCCCTTGGTAGGCTTGAGAGCGTAGATGCCGCAGTAGCCCGTCGGGATCCTGAGTGAGCCACCGATATCACTGCCAAAGCCGGCCGCTGAGCCGTCAGAGGCTAAAAGGGCAGCTTCTCCGCCACTGGACCCGCCGCAGGTGTGCGCGGCGGAGTGGGGGTTGGTTGTGCGACCAAAGAGGGGATTGTTGCATTCGAAGGACAGCATCGTTTGAGGGACGTTGCTGCGGTCGCACAGGGACGAGAGCGAGAAGTCAGAGATCATTGGATTGGCAGGTGTCTTTCCTCTGCGCCTACTCACGTTTTGGCTATGACAATGCCGCCAAGATGAAAGACGATCTGAGCCAGGGCAGCATCGTGCGTGGCCTTGCCCCTTGCGGTCCAGCCACTGTACCCTAGCGTGGTGCTGAGGCCCTTGATGTTGAACTGGTCCTTGAAAGAGAAGGGGATGCCGTGCAGCGGGCCAATGACGTTGCCCGTCTCGCCAATGTAAGCATCGAGCTCACGAGCGCGCTGAAGAGCAGCCTGGAAGTTGGGCTCCGTAATCGGGTTCGAGGCCAGCTGAGCACGGCGTGCTGATCGTATGAAGGCTTGCGTCACTTCGACAGACGTCCACTTGCGCTCTTTGATCGCGGCTGAGAGGGCAGCAAGGTCGCTCGAGAGGATCTCGATGTCCCCGTCTTGGATGTCGATCTCGCTCGCCTCGAGCTTGATCAGCGAGGAGGATGTACGGTTGGCTGCATCGTCCAGAGGAGCGCAGAGAGCTCGCTCTCGATCCGCGATGTGATTGGCGCGAAGGGCCAAGGTGTGCTTGTTTGCACGAGGGAAAAGAGAGAGCATCGTACGTATGAGATGAGGGGGCTGGGACGTTTTGGAGGAGCGATGAGGATGAAAGGAGGAGATCGAGGGCCGTGTTTGTATATTGAAGGGCAACGAGTGCCTTGGCCGGTCTCTGATATGAGGGCAAAGAGAGGCAAAGACAAGGCAGAGACAAACCCGTGCGTCAGGCAGGTAGAGGTGAAACAGGAGATGTGGATCGAGAGAGTAAAAGGAGCCGTCACCTCAGTGTCGAGGCCGCTTCGGACCTCGGACCGGCTATCCGAAGGGTGTTGGTTGCTCTCGCTGCCGCCGATTCCGGTGCAAGCGCGCTCCATCGTGCATCTCCACCGCGGCTTTGCTTCCTAATCACTCTTCCAGCTCGATTCGTTCCCATACGGTGCTCCCTATGGCTTGCTGACAGCATGGGGTATGAACAGCAACCAAATTGGATATCACGGTTCTGACCCTCAGGCCCCGTGTCTTTGCCTGTAGCAATTGACGCCGCCTGCTGATTGGCGGGGTAAGATGCTTCGCGGCCAAGGTCTCGCGTTGTTAACCCATCTAACCAGGGCGATGACATGAGAACTCATTTCCCTACATTGCGACCCACGACGGCAATCTGCGCTCCGCAGCGGCTCCTGTCGCACACCAGACGTGGTGTATGAGCAAAGAGCGCTACATCCTCCCACGAGCAGCTTGGGGGGCTCTACCGTCTACGCTGGCCCCGGAGGCATGCAGCCATCATCGAGCCGATGAGCCTTTTGACGATGGCGCATCCGCTGTGTCGAGCGGCATGCACAATGTCAGCGTCTCGACATCAATGGATTCGCCATCCTCATCAGGACCGAGGACGGGTAGACATGGATGCCAGGTGATCCGCCGCCTTCTCTCCCGACTGCTGTCTTTGGCACGCTCGCACAGAAGGTTAGGCCAGGCTCTCAATGGAGTGCTGCTCCGATTGGTTACCTCACAAAGGCTCACAACGCGATGCTGATCAATCGTCTCAGCCGGTCAGGCTTCGGAGACGGTTCGCTGACGATGTCACAGGGCTACAGCATATCGCAGATGAGCAAGCGGCACGTCCTCCCTGCGATCCTTGAGTCTTCCTCTACATCGAGCCCTAGAGGCCCTTTGGAGGACGAGGAGATGGTCGACATCGACCTCGCTCTAATTCGGCAACAGCTTGAGCCATACAGGGGGTCGTTGCCTCTGTGCCTGCTTCGACAGGCGGCCAGTTGACATTGGCCTCCACGGTCTTAGCCATCCTGCGAAACTTGCATCCAAGGCCAACACTCGCTCGGCAGCTTGGCATCGCAGGCGATCTAGTCTTGTGGGTAGACAGCTCGACGAATGGACCTTCGTCTTGCCCTGACCGCATCCAGCTGGCCATACCCTTGTCCCTCTTGGAAGCACGCAATCCGCCCTTCTTGAGATGTGAGCTCACTTCAAGGCCGTCCATTCGCACCTCACGCGCTGCTGGATGGTGTTCATGGTTGCTCAGATCATGGAGCACTCCTCTGGCTGATCTTCAGCTCAAAGCTTGGCATACCTTGCTGATTGTAGAAGTTCCAACACGAGTGACATGCCTTACACCCGCGTCAATTGCATCCGCCCAACGTCGGACAAAATCGTTTGCACTATCACATGGTGCTGGACCTTCATCAGGCACGACAGAGTTGGTGGGACAGGCGCACGAGGCTGTTGAGGAGGTCGATGACTTGGTGCTACGGCCGATGAGGGACTTCTCAGCTCGGACAAGCTCGGAAAGCTGCCACGCTGCATTGAATCCTGGCTCGTGAAGCGACAAGCTCGTCCTGACGAGGACGATCACCGACTCAATTTGAGCACGCTCCTCTCCTCTCAGCGTCTTACATGCTGGCAACCCGCGTACGTCGATTGTACGCTGGGCTCTGCACTTGCTCGACAGTTGAGCAGCATTGTTGAGAGGTGCTTCGTGATAGATGCGGTCGAGCTTTTACATGCAATGGCATCGCCTATCCTGAGTCATGTGTGGTAATAGCCTCACCGTTGCCTCGTACGTTGTGCACTCCTCGTCGCTGTCGTCTAGAGCATGCTGGCACTGAGATGGCATTCACGTTAAGTCAGGAGAAACGCATGTCGACCGTTGAGGACGAGGCAAGCGCCAGTTGGATAAGTCCACACCTCTGACGATGCCGCTTACTCTAGCGAGCTGAAGGCGGCCAGCTTCTGGAGAGCTACAACGAAGTCGCCTCTGAACATCAGCTGAGTGCTGATGAGGACGATGGAGTAGGCGATGATAATGATAGGCAGTACGAGGGCGACCAGAGCAACGAGAGCAACGAGAGTAACAAGGACGTGGGATCGAGTGGGGTCAGACACCGCTCCGGCGCGACAGTCGCTGCAACCCCTCGTAGCCCAACAACCTTGTCTACCTGGACACACAGAGCACGCTGGAGTCAAGAATGCTGTGCGAGAGACATTGGGAAAGTCACACCGAGCAATGCATCACTTTGAGAACTGAGGACGTCATCGAAAGCACACGCCAAGTGCAGGGCTGGCACATTTGCGAGTCATTGTGGAAGCAGTGTCGGCGTCGTTGATGTAGGTCGGTGGTCTACCGGACCGTAACGCTCGCGACGGCCTGACTCGTCACTCGGATGTCTGCCCCCGTCTCTGCTTCGAGTTCTCAGGGAGGCTCCCCTGACGGCCAAGAGAACTCCTTGAGCGATAAGCGATCCCCAGTCTGGCAGACGGTGCTTTCCTGTCTCGAATCGTTTGCGGACGGGATATGTCATCGCACACGGAGCTCTCCAACTCGTAGCCAGTCTTTGGTCACCAGTGAAGACGGCACGCCCTGCCGCTCATGCGAGATGCCGCGAACACATCAGTTTCGAAGAGTCTACAGAGGGGACGGGAGCGTCACTCCAAAGAAGGACGTGGAAGATTGTGCGTACGACTGCTTCGCTGCTACTTTGAGAGATAGGCTGGATGCGCCAACAGCGACCGCCAACTTGCATGCCGTGCCGTCGCCGTCGCCGTCGCCGACTGGCGATACCATATCTCTGGACCTACCTCATCGTTGGGGCGCCATGCCGCAGAGGGTAAGCGCCACATCTAGCTCAATGCTCCGGCTCCCCGTCTTATCTTCCGATGGTTGCTACTACTAGCGATAGCTGATCATCAAACGGGATCGCCACGCCTTCAGTCTAGACCGGGCTTGACGATGTCCTACTCAGCATTCGCCTGCTATCAGCAACGCCTCAAAGCTGGATGATGCTGAACTCCGTTCGCACGCCAAGTCAGCTTTATCATGCTGAGCTCAAAGAGGGGCATGTGTGGGGTGCATGCTTCACACATTGACATTGTTCGTCGTGCGTATGAGTGGCCCCCTGCACGTCGATGCCACCATGCCCCGCGTTGAGCTGACCGGCCGGTAGGCGGCCGGCGACGTACCCCGCAATGAATCCTCGAGTTCGCTGCGTGCTACCCCACAAATGTCGCTCAATTCATGCTCCTCATGCTGCTGAGATACGAAAGGGTCCAGCTGTGATCATCTCCTGAGTGTCCCGTGACCCCCTCTTGGTAACAGATTTGGCTGATTGGACCATGGTACTAACTTCATCGTCTGTTTGCCGTCAAGGCGCCGGCGGTGGCGGTTGAAGCTTGATGGTCCGCGCTGTCCTTGAGTGGCGGCAGACAGACAAGCGAGTTGCTAGGCCAAGATGGGACCGCTGCCCATATCGCCCCTCGCGCGTACCTTGTCCCGCTTTGAGACCACTGACCTCACTCTCCGCCTTGCCCTGGACCTTGTTCGCTTTGCCCGTTGGCCCACCGGCTATCTGCCTGATGTCGCCTCACTCCCATTACTCACTCACTGTATCGCTAAACCGTAGTCGAGGAGAGCTTCGCATCGTTTAGCAGAGCTAGCTGTGCAGCCGCTTCATGCATCCCTTGTGCATCGTGGTGCGGCAAAAGCAACTTTGAGCTCTTGGCCCTCTAGGCATTATCTCGGCGCCTTATTCCAAGTGGCGGCTTCCGAGCCAGGCCCAGGTCGCGCGCCACCGACCCCAGCGCGCAGCCGCGCACGGTCGAGATACGGTTGGACGGCAAGAGAGGGACAGGATTCAATCTCAGCAGACTCACTCCTTCGTAGCCGCCTTTACGCCTTTACGCTAGCTAGCACGCGATTGCATATAGATACGACCCCACACCGTCGTCTCTTCTTCCCTTCCCCCCCTCATCCTTCGTGGTCAACGACCGCCTTGACCCAACGTCCCTTCCCTTTACCATCCATCCACCCCTCCTGCCCTCCCCCCCCCCAACCCTTTACAAGGCATCCACCATGCCCATGTCACACAAGATGCTAAGCTTCGTCGAGGACTTCAGGCCCAGGGACATGACGGCACCCCCGTCTGGACATGGCGACGTTACCACGTCATCGCCTAGCACTACGTCGTACGAGATGAAGACTTCGGACGACCCAGAGAAGGCTACCGCCGAAGTATCGGAGATGACCCGCGAGGACTTCACTGGTGTGGGTCCTCATGGCAGCCCTGCTCAACACGGTGTCGTCACCGATGCCCAAGGTCGTCGATACGCCACGGCCGACACCGGTCTCAAGCGTAACCTCTCCAGCAGGCACATGCAAATGATTGCCTTCGGCGGTGCCATTGGTACCGGTCTCTTCGTCGGATCCGGAGGCGCACTCGCTAAAGGTGGTCCGGCCTCGCTGCTTATGGACTTCATCATCATGGGTGTCCTCCTCGCCTCTACCATCCTCGCCCTCGGTGAGCTCGCTACCGTCCTGCCCGTCTCTGGATCCTTCGCCGCCTACAGCACCCGCTTCATCGACCCAGCCTGGGGTTTCGCCATCGGATGGAACTACTGGATGCAGTGGTTCGTCATTCTGCCCCTCGAACTCGTCGCCGCCTCCATTGTTATCGGCTACTGGGACCCTAACGAGAACATCACTCCTGGAGTGTGGATCACTCTGTTCATCATCCTCGTCTTCTTCATCAACTGCTTTGGTGTACGTGGCTACGGAGAATGGGAGTTTGCCTCGTCGGGTATCAAGATCCTGGCCGTCCTCGGTTTCATCATCGTAGGCATTGTCATCCAGACTGGTGGCTCCCCCAGCGGCGAGTACCTCGGAGCGAGGACCTGGCAGAACGGTGAAGCATTCAAGAACGGTTTCAAGGGTTGGTGCTCCGTCTTCGTCACGGCCTCCTTTGCCTTTGGTGGTACTGAGCTCGTCGGTCTCGCTGCCGCCGAGTCTGCCAACCCGCGCAAGGAGGTTCCCAAGGCATCCAAGCAGGTCTTCTACCGTGTCTTCTTCTTCTACATCATCACCCTCTTCCTCATCACCCTCATCGTCCCCTCTGACACGCCCGCCCTCCTCGGTGGCTCCTCCTCGTACGATGCCCGCGCCTCGCCCTTCGTCATTGCCATGGAGATCGGCAAGATCAAGGTCCTCCCCGACATCTTCAACGCCGTCATTCTCGTCTCCGTCTTGTCCGTCGGCAACTCGTCCGTCTACGGTTCATCGCGTACCCTCTGCGCCATGGCTCAGGTCGGCCTCGCACCCAAGATCTTCGGCTACGTCGACAGGAAAGGTCGCCCCACCTACGCGGTCCTCCTCTCCCTCGCCTTTGGCTTCCTCGCCTTCCTCGTCTACTCTGCCTCGAAGAACGACGTCTTCGACTGGCTCTTGGGATTGTCTGGTCTCTCGTCCATCTTCACCTGGGGCTCCCTCAACTGGTGCCACATCCGTTTCCGTCAAGCATGGAAGCTCCAGGGCAAGACTCTTGAGGAGCTCCCCTGGAAGTCGCCCCTGGGCACCTGGTTCTCGTGGGTCGGTCTCTTCCTCAACTTCATCGTCCTCCTCGCTACCTTCTACAAGGCTGGCTGGCCCATTGGCGAGGGCGAGATGTCGACCAACGAGCGTCTCGTTAACTTCTTCCAGAACTACCTTGCCGTCCCCGTCGTCATCATCACCTACGCTGTCGGCTACTTCTTCATCAAGGGAGCTGGATACGTGCCCCTCGACCAGATCGACGTTGTCACCGGTGCCAAGGACCCCCCTTCCCTCGAGCAGCTCAGGCTCGAGAGGGAGGAGGCCGCTATGCAGCCTTGGTACAAGAAGGTCAAGGCTTTCCTCCTTTAAGCAGGCAAAGCAACCAGCAAATCCTAGTCCCGTCAGCATACCAAATCGAATCGTCCCCTGCTCGTCCCGTATCCTTTTGTAGCTCGTAACAACCCAGATTCCGTGCTTCTCTCGTCTTTTATCCGCCTCCTCCTGCTATCGTCGGCTGGCGATTTGCACAATGCTCGTAATCTCAATGAAAGCTACGAAATGCCACGAAAACCCTCCTGTGTGCGTGCGTGCGTGCGCGCCTCGATTGTTCAGCCTGCTCGTCTGCTTATTGTCTTTGCGGACGCACATCGAGCGCGCCGAACCGTAGGTGACGTGGTCAAGGAACCGTAGCGGCCCTCTACCGGCAGTCTACTGTCTACAGCGCGGTCAAGCTGGATCGCCTTCGTCAATGATCGATTTGCAATTCTCTCGTAGCAGCAGTGACGAAACGGTCAATGAGCCAACGTCAATGTACAGGGCGAAGCGGTCCACGTGCACAGCTTCTCTCACCACCCCCTCCAGAGAGAATGCGCCTCAGCCATGTCAGATCCACCTGCCCCACCTTGTCCACCTCCACCACCACTGCCATTAGTCGCAGCCCCAATGATCGAGTTGCTGATAATTCGATGCACATGACAGAGATAATCCACCATGCTCATCGCACCATTGTTCTCGTCCTCGACCAACATGTTAGCCGCTTCCACCTCAGAGGCATCCCGGTTCTGCCTGGCAACAATCACTGCAAGCTGGGGCTTCCCGCGTTGTCTCGCAAAGTCCTTGACGAGGGCGCGAGCCTGCTTGGAGAGGTGTGTGGGAAGGCGAGGGAGGGTAGTCATGCGCGGGTCGACCTCTTCGAGGGAGGAGGCGCCATACAGGTCTTCAAGGAGTCGCGGGTTGACGTCCGCGCCCAGCCAGAGGAGGACGTGATCCCCATTCTCGATGAGGTAGGCGCCATGCGCTTGCATGCGCTGGAAGCTTGGGCGAAGTAGAGTAGGGCACTTGACGCGAGGAAGCTCGATCTCTGCTGCGCCGGCTTCGTCGCTTTGCTTGACCTTGACTGGGTGGCCGTCCTCTGCGCTCATGTTGTGTAGCGCGACCATACGCGGGTAGAGGAAGGCCATCAGGCTCCCCACGGGGCTGGAGCGCATCAGCCGCATGTGATGGACACGCACGTCCGATGTGACGTTGCCTCCCTTGATGGCTTTGCTCTTGTTGATGCACAAGCTGTACAAGGGGAGGAGTTTGAAGGACTCGGGCAGGATGAGCTGCTGAGGACCTGAAGAGGCGGCGCAATTCTTCTTGTATGCCAGGAGAATCTTGGCACACCTGTCGGTGAGGTAGTGACGGAGCTCCTGGAGTGGCTTAGACTGTGCGAGGGTACTGACTTCCTTCAAGTAGTAGGCAATCGTCGAGTCTAGGTCCGCGTAGCGGAAGACGTTGCCCAGCAAATTGGTGACCGGGACTGCGATGTTGTGCACTCGTACGCGCCTCTCGCCATAGTTGGTCGTGTAGAGTAGTGCGGACTGGAAGTGACACTCTTGCTTCTCGTCGAGACGTCCCTCGTGTTTGAGGAGCACCGATACCGTCTCGTCAGCATCGATGTTGGCAAACTCGAGGTCTGTGACGTTTCGCTGGAAGAAGTTGCCGTAGTGCGTTGAAGGGTGCAGGCCATTCGAGCAGCGCAGCCTCAGCGTGGCATTGTAGCCCACGTCCCGCAGAACAGTCCTCTGCACCTGCGATAGAAGCTTGACACCGTCCCGCACCGGGTCGAAGCGCGGGTGGAAGTAGACGTCGCCTCCCGTCGTGCCCACCAGCGTTGAGATGGTGGCCACGTCGATGTACTGGCTCGGGAACAGGAAGGCGTTGATACCGATACCGGCCTCGACACATTCCTCGGCCACGCCTCGGTAGAAGCCGTCAGCAGGGACAAAGAGCTGCTTTTCCTTGTCGGTGCCATACAGCTTCGTGTCCTCGCGATGCTTGAGAGCGCCAGGCCCGATCGTTGGGATGGTGCTAAGGAAGACGTTGACCTGTCCGCCGATGGTGCTTAAGCACGCCTGAGCGCCTCGAATGACAGCGCCCAGGGCAGCCTCGGATGCCATATTCTCTGCAAAGATGCTGGCGAGGTTGTCGAGCAAGCCCTCGACGACGTGGCGAGACTCCCAGGGATCTGCGAGAAGGCCATCACTGATGGGCACAAAGGGCTCGTCAATGTCGGGCACGACGAGCATCTGGGCTGCATCGAGCTCTTGACTGAGGTTCCAGAAGTGAAGCGAGCGGTCGAAGGTCAAGAAAGCAACGCGACTGCCGTGAGGCAAGCCAAAACCTGTGCTTGATGACGATGAAGCTTCGCCTTCGCCTTCCGATGCTTTCTCCTCTCCCTCTCGCGGACCGTACAGGGCCTCTCGGATGCTCTCCGCAGCTGCCTTGAGACTGCCGCACCTCACCGCCGAGAAGCTGACGTCGATGGCGAAGAAGTACGTGAGCGGGCGAGGAGCTCGCACTGTCGCCTTGCCAGGCCCAATGGACAGGTTGCCAAACGCATCGCTAGCCGCTTTGGTCGCCGCCTTGGCAGCTTGACCACTCTGCCCGGACAAGCCCATCGTACTGCCCGCAAAGGGATCTACGTCTCCCTTCTTGTCTGGCAGAGGAGACAAACGAGCCGTAGCCGCATCCGTGAGAGCGGGCGCCACAGGTAGCATAACGCTGGACGGCGGCTTGCTTTGTATGGCCCAGTACTCCTTGGGCACGACAAACTCGACTGTGCCCTTCTGCAACTCGACCCTCTGATCAAAGTCGGCTCTTCTGCCGGACATGTCGAGGTTGCAGAAGTATTCGGGCCCAGTCTCCGTTGCCGTGCCGCACAAATTGCAGACCCACTTCTGGCCGCCCTCGACAAAGATGACCCAAGGGTTCACGTAGGCGCGACAACGCTTGCAGCGCGGGGGGCCAGATGGCCCGCAATCGATGACAGGAATGGGCTGTTCATCGGGCCGCAGCTGCGCAAGAGGCTGGACGTTGACAGCGAGGGGCAGCTGAGCGGTCGAAGCCAGCTCGTCGGAGAACGGCATGCTGTATGTGGTCAAGCGCATAAACTTCGGGTTGGCGTTGCCCTGATCGACGGCGCCAAAGTCGGTGGTGCTCAGCGGCAGGCCGCCAGTGCCACAGGTGGCGAACCACTGCTTGTCAAAGAAGGTCTGATCTGCTTCTTGATTCTCGACGGGCGCGGGGACCTGGTCGGCGCTGATGTTGGCCTTTGGACCTCTGAGCCTCTGGCCGGCTTGATGCGGCGGTTGGCCAATCCCTCCGCCAGGCTGACCACCTTGCTGCTGCTGATGTTGCTGCTGGAAGAATTGACCTTGGCCGGCGCCCACTGGAGCTGGCGTGTGAGGGCCAGGAGGAGACATTGGCAAATTCTGAGCATAGCCGGGTCCTTGCTGCCCTTGACCTGGGACATTGACGCGGCCCTGTTGAGCGGCCATGCGCTGCTGATTGGCAGCTGCGTGCATGGGGTGAAGGACGTTCCTCTGGCCAGGGATCTGGTCGAGTGCATCGTCTGCGCTTCCCTCGAAGTCGTGGGGTTGATCGCCGTACTGAGCGAGTCGAGCTGCAGCCGCCGTCTGCCAAGCCTGCTGCTGAACTTGATTTGGAGGAGCATCGTTCCAGCCGCCGTCTGTACCAGCAGTCGGATCATGAGGGGCATCCTGATGATAGGCTCGGGCGCTCCTCTTATTACGGGCTACAGCGTTCGGGGGAGCGGGTGACGTGGGAGGCTGCGGCGAGCCTGCGTTGACATTAAGTTGCGACATCTGCGCTGCCAGTCCCTGCTGCTGTTGAGGGGCCATGCCTGGTCTGGGCTGCTGTTGTTGCTGTTGCTGCTGCTGGAGATGTGGCGGCTGCTGGCCGGGCATCGGCATCTGCGGTCTGGCGCCGGGAGGCATAGGCGACGTGGCTCCATTCCTCATCTGCTGCTGCGGCTGCTGATGCGGCTGTCCAGGAGGACCGGGCGGTGGCCGTGCTCCCATGGGATTGGGCGATGGCGCCATGCCGCGATTGGGACCCTGCGGAAAGGGAGGTCGGGGGGCATTTGGTTGTTGAGGACGAGCTGCGAGGGGGTGAGAGGTTTGGAGGAGAGATCAGCACGAGCTCGATAGCATATAGGCGGGTCATGAGCTATGCTCACCACCTGGAGGAAAGCCTTGCCCTCCCTGCTGAGGCGGCGGCGGACGCGCTTGGCCCTGGAAGGACGGCTGCTGTTGAGGAGGATAAGGACGTTGGGGCTGACCACCAGGGCCAGGCGGAGGAGGTTGCGCCATTGCGGAGGAGTTGTGACGCAGCCTCGAGTCGTCTGTCGGAAGGCGGAAGCGGCGTTACGATAGGAGGAGCAGGTATAGAGCTCGATCCGATGCTAGGAGTTCTCGAGGCGTTGTTGTCGTTCGTCGTTGTAGTCGTCGTCGTCGTGAGACCAACTGACACTCATTCGCGTTGCTCGCCCGCACGCCGCCTCCTGCAGCGTTGTCGTGGCACGCTCAGGCTCAAGCTCAGCCCGGTTGTGGTCAGACTCCCCGTTCCGATTGGTTGTGTCCTCGCTCGGGCCTCCTCCCTTGCAGCAATGCGGCAGTGCGATCCAACACCTCCATCCATCGTCAAGGTCCACGTCCCGTCCTCATCAAACACATGCTATGATTGGCCGCATTGCTCATTACACGGCTGATGCCGTGCTCATCTCGACGGTTCTTGCCGGCGTCAAGAGGCACACAGGCTACACGTGAGTGCGTGAGAGGCACGCGAGGAGGCCAATACTGCGCGTGCCTTCCCTCCTCCTTTGACCACCTCATCGCTTTACTTACTCCTATATGCTATCTGTTCATCCTTTACCTCTCCTCACTCTCAGCCCAAACGCAGATCCCAATGCTCCAAACCCAATCCCCTTCGTCTCCGGTCCCAATGCCTCAAAGTACTTCGGCCACTACCTCGGTGTAGGCGAGTACGTCTACGACCACACAGTAGCTTATGCACACAAGTCTCCTTACTTCAAGCAAACAAACCCGGCCTTGAACTTGGCTGAGGGAGCGGGGCACGTAGCAGAAAAGCTGAGGGAGGAGGGTATGAAAAAGGGAGGGCAATGGTTCTGGGGTAGCGGAGGGGGAGGAGCGGAGGGGAAGGGAAAGTGAGGTGGTGAGGGGACTAGGGAAATGGGCAGTGATGATTGATTCCCTCTGCTTGGGACGATGGGGCAGGATCATCACACTCACCAATTAGATGGTCACACGCCTTTCACGACCGCCATCACCATCACCACCATTACTCGATCATTGCTTTTTACGTGTCGCCGCAGCCACTTCCGTAGCTGCAGCCTGCTCTGCGCTTTCATTCTGTTCACTACGCCCTCATGCTTTGTAATACCACCTTGCGCTGCTTCCAGCTTATCAGTCTCGCATGTCACGGGTATGAGGTTGGATATCATTGATGGGTAGGGAGGCGAGGAAAGAGAGAAAATGCATAGAGTAGAGAAAATACATGATGTGATGCTGGATGGAGGGAAGAGAAGGCGAGCCAGATAGCCAGAGAGCGTCGACAGGCGCTCAGTGTGCGTCTGCCAGGTATGCGTAATTTAATCGTCGAGAGTGTCGATCACTGTAGCCAACATGACCGCTTCCGTCGCCGGCGCCTAGAAAAAGAAATCCTCATCCCACCCACCGTCGTCGACAAAGACGCCTGCCTCGTAGAGCATGGCCTCGTATTCGTCTGGGTCCTCATCGAAGCGGTAGCCGTACATCCACAGCTCTTGAATTCGCTGCTCGTAGCGGTCCCCCAAGCCGTGCATGTCGAACTCAGACTCAAAGTCGAGGTCGTCCTCCTCGTCGTACCAGTCTGCATCATCGTCGAGGTCGTCGAATGTGCCCGCAGCGGTAGGTATAGCAGGGCGTTGCCGGTCGTTTGAGATGGTGCGGGGACGATCTCCACGATTACTCCCGAATAAGGCCTCTTGCTCGCGACGGTAGGCTCGCTGAGCACGACGACGTTGCGAGCGACGGCTGCTTTGTGGGGGAGATGCTGGTGGCGCTGGTTCTGCTTCTGCTGCTCTGGGGGCACCAGCGTGGCCAGCGGTCGCTGCGGCTGCATCAAAGGCTTCCGCTACTGCTACGCGGCGGTTGGTGGCTATGTGACGCCGTCTGACGGCTTCGTCTGGCTGTCGATCGTCTCTTCCTGCCCGTTGCTGATCCTGACGTTCGAACTCTACTTCTGCCTGTGCTCTCTCGACGACAGCTCGAGCATCTCCTGCGTTCGCTGCTAGTGCCGCTCTGAGATGCCTGCCCCACGCAACTTCCCGAGCGATCAGGGCCAGTTGACGCCCATTGTCCGCCATAGCACGCAGAGCCAGGTCCGGGTCCACTCGAGGCTGAGGGCCGAAGGTTGCATCCAGATCGCCGCGGAGAATGGCAGGGGCGTCGTTGAGCATTTGCCTCATTCTACGAATGTCCTCCTCGAGTCGGGGTGGTTCGCCTCGTTCTATAGCAGCTCGTTCTCGAGCCTCGGCATTGGCACGGAGCTCGTCGCCTTGCTCGTAGGAGCCTCGAAGCGGATCCAGGCCCCCACGCGCCGCGTCCAGACCAGCGTGTATCACGGCTAGCATGGCTAGGGCGTCGATTTCGGTCGCAGGCTCGTGGCGAGGGTCCAGACCGCCGTCTCGAAGGTCATTGCGGTTGCCGGGGGCAGCTGGAGCGACTGGAAGGGCCGCGGCGGCGGCAATCTCTCGAGCTGCGGCAAGAGCGACTGGGTTGTCCTGTGCCCTCGCCGCCTGAGGCCGCAGACCACCGAGTGGAGCACCGCGCCTGGCCCTCATAGCACGCTCGAGACGGTTGCGACGGACCATGTCTCCCACGTGTGCTCTCCACTGTCGCTGCTCTCTAGCCTTGCGATCCTTTTCTCCTCTCTTGAGCATGTACTTGAATCCGCCGCCGAATTCGTAGCGTCCTTCCCCCTCCTTGAGCACGTGAGCATAGAAGCACTCATCTCCGTAGCGGCACCAGGGGCCTCTAGCTGTGCCCTTGGTAGCTTCGAAATGCTTGCAGGGCTTCTTGGCTACCACGTCCTTGAAGCGCGCTGTAGCGACATCCTTTGCCGGGCCGGCTGAGTGGAAGACGGACGAAGGGATGATGTAGAGAGACTGCTTGCGGCAGAGTGGACACGTCTTGCGGTTGTTGCCCTCGCTGAAGTCGTCGTCGTCTTCGGATGGTGGTACGCGTGTATCGCGCCATTGACGGATGCACGAGAGGCAATAGGCGTGGGAGCAGCCTTCGAGGAGTCCGTAGGTGGCTGGCGTGTCGTGGAGGCAGATGTGACACTGGGGCTGCTCCTTTGTTGGCTCGAGGATGGCGTCCGGCGAGATAGGTGGTGATGGAATGGTGTCGTTTGTGGGTGCGTCTGTCGTGTCTGCTGTGGCTGCTGAGGCTGCTGAGGCTGCTGAGGCTGCTGCTGGCTGGAAGACACGAGCTGAAGCGGTGAGGCGCCTGGCACGGGGGGCTGTCAAGGCCACAGGTTCCTGTGGCGGTGGGTCGGCCACGACTCCATGCTTGAACCAGCACTCTTCACCTCGAGCGCAAAAGCCTTGAGCCCACCACTTGCACATGATGTTGGCTGCTCCTGAAGGTGGACCCTCAGGTCGCTGACCCCGATTGGCCGTGGTGTTGGTCGTGTTGGTCGCAGCGGCAGCAGCTGGCTGAGCTGCCGCCGCCTGTGGCGCTGCGTCGGCGATAGGTGCGGCTGGCGGTGCGTCCGCCATGATGATTAGGAGGAGGTGGTGGGATGGAATTGGAGATGTGGACAGAAAGGCAAGCTGTTCAGTACAACACTCGACCGCTGATTAGGCAGCGATGGCTAAGCGCCCCGCGATTGAGCGAGAGACAAAGACATTTGGTCCCGCTTCGACTTGACCGTCCGTTGCCGCCGCTTGGCCCTCTCATCTGGCGACTGCCCTCTCCGCTCTCCGTCTCCCAAATTCAAAGGGCCCGAGCGCTCGACGGCAAGGAACAACTTCCTACGACTTCGAAGCACACACTCGAGTCACGTCAAGAAGGGCAAGATGGCTACCATGACGGCGACGGAGACGAGAACGTTGGGCGGCGGTGGTGATATGGCAGGCACTGCGACTCGAAACGACCCCTTGTCAGCACCTGCGCTCGCAAATTTGGGGCCAGGCTTCCCCGTCGCTCATCCAACAATCTCGCATTGGCAGGAGCACGCCCGAGACTCGCCGTGGCACGATCACGTCCATTCGACAGAGCTGATGAGCAAGCAGCCTGATGACGTCGAACTGACGATTGTAGGAAGCGGTATCTCTGGCTGCTTAGCCGCCTACTTCTACCTCAAGCAACGCCACGAAGAGGGCCTCCCAGGTGACGGTGCTCGCGGCAGAGTGCTCCTCCTGGAGGCGCGGCGAGCCTGCTCAGGAGCAACAGGTCGAAACGGCGGCCACTGTCGCCCTGATAGCTACGCCGGCTTTCTGGCCTACTCGAAGCTCTTCTCACCCTCCGCAGCGCATGACATCCTCTGTAACGAGCGCGAGACCTTCGAGCTGATGCGGGACGTCGTCCAGGAAGAGGGTCTGGCGGAGGAGTGCGAATGGTGGCAAGGCAGGACATGGGCCCTTTTTCTAGATGTAGAGCGTAAAGCAAGAGCTCGCAAAGCCTTCGAAGCATACCGAGGCGCAGGGCATTTGACGGAGGGCGACGGACCTGGACAGGTGCAATGGATAGAAGACGAGACGCAGGCGAGGGAGATGAGCAGGGTACAGGAGGCCGTAGGCGGGGCCACCTTCGAGGCTGGCTGTCTATACCCGCTCAAGTTCTGCCACGCCATCCTACGGATCTGCGCGGAGCGGTATGGACTAGAGCTCTACACTCATACGCCTGTTACGGCCATCCACCGCGGTCGCAGCGACGAGGCTACTTCAGCCCGGTGGACTGTCGCCACACCTCGCGGCACCATCTCGACCGGCAAACTGCTTCTAGCCACGAATGGCTATACGACCGCCCTCTTACCAAGCATGAACTCCTGGCTCGCCCCGCACAGGGCGCAATGCTCCTCCGTACGTCCCTCAGCCAACTTTCATGCCTCTTCTCCTGGCCGGCTAGATCGCACCTACTCTCTGGGCCGTCGAGAAGGGTCAGACTACGAATACCTCACTCAGCGCCCGGACACGGCAGGAGGCTACTTTATCCTAGGCGGAGGCCACCCATTTGCGTCAAAGGAAAGTCAGGTGGACACCTGGGACGACAGCGAGGTGATGCCTACTATCTCGAAGCATCTAAGCTCCTACTGCGGGCGGGTATTCGACGACTGGAAGCTCGACGACGGTGGTGTAGGTGCAGTAGAGATGATCTGGACGGGCATTCAAGGGTACAGCAGAGACTCGGTACCTACGGTAGGCGAGGTGCCTGCCTCTCTGCTGCCTGGCGCCACTGATCGACGCCTAGGAGATGAAGACCCTACGACTCAGCGTGCATCTGGGAGAACCAACCTGTACATCTGCGGCTCACACCACGGTCACGGTATGGCTCGAGCTGCTACGTGCTCGCGCGGCATCGCGAGGGAGATGGCGGGCGAGGCGTCGCTGCTCTCGACCGAGGCCAGCGATGAAGATTGGGCTCAACTGACAGGCTTGCCTGCTGTCTTCCGATGGACAGCGACGAGGGCGCAAAGGAGGGACGTCGATTGTCGATACGACTTCTAGACGCGGCGTGGCTTGATACCACCGAATCAGATGCTGTCTGAGCCCAGGTCTCATCGCAATACATGTGTCAGCGCCCAAACCTCTGTCTCGATCCAATCTCACCTACCCCACGCTCTCTCGCTCCCAGCCAGCAAGATCATAGCGCCCACCGTGGTAATATCGCCACCAGCTTGACCTTGACGGCGTCAATGCTCCGCTGCTCCGCTCTCGCGATTGGTGAGCAGGCACCGCCTGTCGTGTGATTGAGCGTGCGGGGCTCACCTGATGGGCAACGGATTCAGCGAGGGTGAGCTTCACGGCTCATCTAGCGGAGGGCAAAATCTTGCATCGTCATTGTCTCATCGACCTCCTCACTGCTAGCGTCGCAAGGAGCAGCCGCGCCCATCAGCGCTCTCGTCCGCCTTCTCGTCCGCATCGTCATCTTGAGCTGTCTCCGCCCTCTGGATTTCTCACCCCGCACTTCTCGCGCGCAGTCAGCGCCAGCGCCAGCGCCCATCTTTCGCACCCAGTCGTAAGTGCGCTCGCTCGCTCGCTCGCTCACTGAGCTGGGTGCGGATGTGACGATCGGGCGGAGGCCGAGTTCTGAGCCCCAAGCAGCAGCCAGGCCGTGCGCTCGCTTGAGCGTCGTTGTGCCTCACGTAGACGACAGGACGAACTCGAGAGTCTGGCGGGGGCGGAGCGGCAAAAAGTCAAGGCAGCGGTCTCGCCCCCCGCGGTCGCTCTCCTCGTCATCGAAGAAGCAGTCTCACTGTCGGCGTGCCTCTGCTAGCCCTCTGCGAGCTGCGCGGAACACGACGCGAGACGGCAAGAGAGTGTCGCAGTGCGTCTGGCGAGTCTGGGGTTCGCAGCACAGGGCGAGTGTGAGGAGAGCAAGCGCGTAGAGCAAAGAGCTACGTCAAGCGCACACTCTCAGAAGACAGAAGGGCGCGAGCGGCAGCAGGCAGGAATGCGGTTTGAGGCAAGCAGGAGCGCCGCCGTCGTACGCTCGTCAATGCCGCCGCCGCCGCCGCCAATGAATGGGTGATTTCACGACTGTGGGTCCTGGATGGCAAGCAAGCCTGAAGCAGTCTGCTCTTTGATCTCTCCTCGTTACCAACCATCCATCCCCCTACCTCCTAGTCCTCATCCGCCGGGCTTCGTCCCAACTCCCCAAGCCTACTCCTCCTCCTCCTCCTCTTCCGCTTCCGCCCTACCTCTTCGTCACCGCGAGACACGACGCTCAGACCTTCGCCACAAGCGGCCATCTGAGAACCTAAAGCTCGTCCATCGCCACCTATCGCCCAGCAAAAACGCGTGCGACACCCTTGACGTCAGTCAGTGGTATCCTCCCCTCCCCTTCATTCTCATCCAACCCACTCGTAGCGCGCCACCATGGGTCTCCCAGAGCGCTACTCACTGAGCGTGCCGGCGCAGGACCCGCGTGATGGTCCTCCGGCCATCAACCCCAACATCATCCTCGTCATCCGCTTCCTCCTCACCTCGCTGGTTTGCGGCTTGGCGCTTGCCACAACCATCATGTGCTTGCTTGTTGTTGTCTACTACAACTCGCACGACCCAATTATCAGGCCGTCATGGGGCTCACTCATCTACCTGATTGTCCTCGGATTCTGTGAGTAGGCGCGCATCTCTCTCGCCACGGTGAAGACACCTACTGACACGCCCACCCTCCCCCTCCTTCTCTGATCCGCAGTCACCTGCATCATCTACTTCGGCTACAACATCTTCCTCCCGCTCATGCCCTTCATCAGGTACGGCGACTTCCTCTACTCCCTCTTCATGGTCAAGCTGGAACTCCTTCTCCAATTTGCATTCTGCGTCCTCTGGGTCTCCGGCGCCCTCGCATACGCCTCTGATCTACGAGGATACGAGAATTGCCAGTTTGATGGGTACTACCACTACCCAAAGCCTGCAGACTTCAACCACGTCTGTGACCTCATCAACTGGGCTGTCCCACTCGCCTATGCCACTTTCGGTGTTCAGGTGCTCCTCTGGTTCTTCGAGACCTCGTTCGGTCTGTATACCTTCCTGCTCCTCGACCAGGAGTCGTTCAACGAGCCTCACTTTGCCTGGGGCCGTCGCGCGTACGACTGGAAGCACAATTCCAGTGCTCACCGTGGCTCTACCGGCTCCAACACCTACCGTGCCCGTGCCGTCGCTGCTGGTGCTGGCGGCGCGGCCGCTGGCGCCGCTGCTGGTGAGCGTGGCTCGCCCAACGGCAATGGCCGTGGCAGGCGAGGTGCGGCGTACAACGATCCTGAGGCGGCTGAGAACCAGGATGAGGAGTACGGATACGCTCATGGTCAGGACGGCGAGTCAGAATTGGCCGAGGAGATGACCGAGTCTGAGCACGGTCAGTCTCGCGGACCTCTTGCTTTGGGCAGGAGAGGCAGAAGAGGGTACGCGGACGAGGAGTCCGTCGGCAGCGGTGGTACAGCTGATGGGAGGTCGCAGGGTCACGAGAGAGGGGACAGCGAGGCATGGCATCTGCGCGAGTAGTGTGCGTGCTGCCCTCCTGCGCTTCCTTTTCTCGTCACCATCACCTAGCAACCTCAGCCTCCTCACCAGCTCCGTCCTCGCAGCATCGACTCTGGTCCCTCACGGGGCGACACGTACCCGTCGTCGCCTCCGATGTAGGCCTCAATACCACCACGACCACCAACATCGAAGACGCTAATGCGGCCTTGGCTGCCAAGCCGCTTCTCACTCTCTTTTCGAATCGTACCACCACCACCTGCCCCGCCCAGCTCGCCCTCCTCCAAGGGCTGAGCGCACGGCTGTCCCCTCTTTCCTCTTCGTCGCACTTTGTTTGTCTCACTTTCGTTCACTCTCCTTCGTCTTCATCGAATGGTCACACTTCGTTCTTTTGCCACAGTCGAGCGATTTCGATTGCGTGAAGAAGACGCTTGATCCTTGCCTGCGCCTCACAACTTGGACCCAACCCTCTCCCCCTCCTCGACCCTCAGCTCTGCCCACCCGCCTCCCAAGCTCTTCTTGCCAGTCGTCACATTCGTCTGCTCAAAGGCCACCTCGCAAGTCTCACCCACCTTGCCCAATTGACCCTTCAGCACCCACACGTCTGTCCTCAACTCGTCGCCAGGTCGGACGGGTGAGGTGAATCGACCCGAGATACGGCGCAATGTCGAAGCTGGCGCGCCTGCTTGGCCGTCCTGTCCGTTGGCGGCGAGAAGAATAGCTCGAGTTGCAAAGCCGTAGCTGCAGAGCCCGTGCAGGATCACACCGCCCAGTCCACCTCGTTGTCCAATGGCCGGGTCGACGTGCAGGGGGTTGGCGTCGCCGGCCAGACGATACAGGACTGCCTGATTAGGCGTAGTACGCTCCGTCAGACTGAAGTCAGGCTTGCGTCCGTCCTTTGGCGGGCTCCCCGCTGGCGGCCTTGTGTCAGCGCTCAGGCTCTTGCTGAAACCTGTGCCTTGGCCTCCACCACGGTAGAAGCTCGAAGAGACCATAGTCGCGTACTCCCTACCCACGGGATCGCAAAGGACCGCTGTCCCTTCGAGGATGAGCCCACTCTTTTTGTCATGTACGGCTGTGATCTTCTTGCGGAGGTGCCAGCCTTCACCCTGCGCAGCCGTGAGGGGCAAGCGGCGGTGAAGCTCCAGAGTCTGTTCAGCATGAACGAGCGTGTTGGGGTCGAGCTGCGGGAAGCCTGGCAGTTCGCCTCGCCCGCTGATCATGGTTGCGAAGTCATTGATATCGGGCGAGTCACCCTTCAAGGCTAAGACGAGCGGGTAAGTGGGAAGGGGCCGGAAAGCGTCCGTCTTCTCGTAGACGTAGTCGAGTTGCTGGGCGCTGGCGCCGATGGCGACGTTGTAGAGGAGGAGGTCCTTGCGGTTCCAGCTGACAGGCTGAGAGGGCTGCTCGTGACCTACTGTCAGGTCGAAATTGATAGCTGGCTTGGAGGCGGACATGCTAGGCGTGAAGAGTAATAGTGAGAGACGCTCGATCGTGGGGAGCTGAAGAAAGAAGGTGGGGCCCCGGCCTTCGGGACAAGATTGAACGGCGCCCGGCACTCGGCAGATCCATCGTTCCCACGGCCCGTGCGACCGGCCAATCTTCCAGCGAGATTGAAGAGGGCAACTCATCATTTTTCGTCTTAGACTACGAGCATGTATTGCGAACAAGTCAAGCGTTTCTATCTATGCTCTATCACAGAGGAGCGTCAAGGCGCTCTAAGCCACGCTCAATTGTTGTTCTGCGCCCTAGGAATCGGCCTGTGAGGATCCTCGCTCTTCTTGTGCGGGTGAGAACGATGATACTGCGGGCTGCCCGCAGGCTTGACCCCCATCAGGTTGGCGCCCGCAAAGGTGACCCAGGCAGGGTTGCCGAGGAAGCCTCTTGCGAGCGCAATGAGGTCGGCATCCCCGCTCTGGAGGACCTCCTCAGCCAAGCTACCCGGCTGCTCGGGCGTTGCCCCCTCCAGCATGCCGACGCTCATGACCGTCAGCTCGCTCTTTGGGATGCCGAGCTTCGAGACGCCAGCTGCCAAGTGACGCTGATAGCCTGGAGCAGGCTTAATCTGCTGGAAGGAGACGAGACCGCCGGCTGAGCAGTCTAGGACGTCGACCATGCCAGTCTTGGCGAGAGAAGAGGCCAATTTCTTCGTCTCTTCGAGCGTCCAGCTCTCACCCTTGCCAGCGTTCTCGGCGAAGTCTGTGCCGCTGACACGAACCCAAATTGACTTGTTGGGGAACTCAGAATTGATGGCGCTGATGATCTCGTGGAGGAGTCGGGTACGGTTCTCGAACGAGCCGCCGTACCTGTGCATGGACAGGAGCAAATGAAGGTTAGCGCCGAAATAGACGGCATCGGTCGCCCTTTTTCTACTCACTCGTCCGTACGATGGTTTGAAAGCGGCGAGAGGAAGGAGTGGAGCAAGTACCCATGGGCCGAGTGGATCTCGACAAAGTCATACCCAGCCTTGAAGGCCCTCCTGGCCCCCTCGACGAATTGCTTGACGACATCCTTAACTTCCTGATTGCTCAGCTCCTTTGCCTTGAGCCAACCTTCGCCGTATGCCAGAGCAGAAGGTCCAACGACCTCATCGGGCCACCCACCCTCCTCTTTCGTGACATACTCGGCATGCTTATGCTCTCCACGGTAGAAGGGACTCCAAGTGCTCGCCTTCCTACCTGCATGTGCCAGCTGGAGACCAACAGTCAGTCCCTCAGTGAATGTCTTGAGGCTGCTGACGATGCTGGCGTGTGAGGCAATGTGCTCGTCCGTATAGATGCCGGCGTCTTGAGGGGTGATGCGCCCTGCGGCTGTGACGCCGGACGCCTCGACCATGATTGTGCCCGCGCCGTGCAGGGCAAAGGAGCCTAGGTGAGCGAGGTGATAGGGAGTGAGGTGGCCATTATTGGCCGAGTATTGGCACATGGGGGAGACGACGCTGCGAGCGTGGAGGGTAGCAGGGAGCAGGACGGGTCAGAGGGTCGACTCGAATACATCATCGCAGCTAATGGTCTCGCACCACTCACGCCCGATTCTTGAGCCTGAGCTTGGAGTGAGGCAAGTCGAGGTGTTCGAAGAGCTTGGGCCTCTGCACTCCATCTGGCAGAGTGTCCTCAGGGACGGTACCAGGAGGAGGGTGATGGAGACGAGTAGGCACAAAGGACTCGAGCTTGAGACCGAGAGGCTCACTGCCCGACCAGGCAGGGTCAGTCTGACCGTGAGCAAAGTCGATCTTCGAAGATGACATGGTGTGTGAGCGGCGTTGGTGATGAAGGAAGAGAAACAGAGAGGAATAGCTTTGTGCTGCCGCTTCTTAAGATGGATACATTTGGGCGGGCGTTGACTTCGGTCGTAAGGAGGACCGTGCCACCTTCGCCCTCTGTGGAGGCCCGTGGCGTTGCCTTCCCGCTGTGCGCCACCTTGTTTCGCGTCTGGCGTCACGAGCGGTCAGCCACCGTACCCTATTGCTGACTGTCAGCGCGTGCTGACAGGCGTTGCTTCTGACCACTCGGACATGCGTATCAGGATACACAGGGTCGCTGGACCACTGCATCTCCTTTCTTCTGACCAATGCCCACCGACTGGCCCGCTGACAAGGGGCCCTGACGCCAGGCCGCCCGCAGAGGGCGTCACGGTGAGCCGCAAAACCTCTCCCAGCCCATGCTCTTCGCCCTCGTCATTCGTCAGACACGTCTGGCTGAATGAGTATCGTATCAAAGGAGAGAGGGAAAGAGAAAGCCTATACGTACAGCGCGCCTGGGGTGCTGGGCGACAATGGCGATGCGACGACAACGAGTAGGTAGCGGCCAGCTCAGCCGCGCCAGCGGTATGAGAGCGATGGGTAGAGAAGAGAGCTGGTACATGCCTCGATGACCGTCAACTTCTCGTATCGTATCGCCTCGTGACCTCGTACTCGTTGCGGTAGTCGTGAGGGAGAGGAGAAGCCGAGAAGAGATAAGCCGAGAACACAAGACACAGTTACAATGGAATCATCGAGACGGAGAAGGCGCGCACGTGAGCCGAGCGAGATGGTGTTGGTAGGCCGAGAGAAGATGTGGTGACGACGACAGCATGGTAGTGTCGACGAGCTCCTTACTTCTTGGCAGCGGCCTTCTTGGGCTTAGCAGCAGCCTGTGTTGTAGGAGCGAGAGGAGTGCGCTGAGAGGTGAGCGATGCGGTAGGCGGGAGAATGAGGCAAGACACGTGTCAGGGGCTGCCCATGATGACGAGCCCGGAGACAGAGGCGCGTACGGCTCAGCTCACCTTCTTGGCCGGGGCAGCCTTCTTAGCAGCGGGCTTCTTGGCCTTGGTGGTTGTCGACGAAGCAGCCTTCTTGGCGGGGGCAGCCTGCAAAGGACGTGGAGAGGTAATGCGATTCAGCAAGGTGTCCTGCTACATCGCATCGCGAGCGTGGTAGCAGCGGCGTCTCACCTTCTTAGCAGCGGGAGCTTTAGCCTTGGTCGAGGTGCCGGTAGCAGCCTTCTTAGCCGGTGCCTTCTTGGCGGCGGCAGGCTTCTTCTCAGCAGCGGCAGCGGGCTTAGCCTTGGCTGCGAGCTTGACACGGCCAGAGGGGCCCTTGGGGAGGTTGAGGGCGCCAGTAGAGTGTCCTCTCTGGATGGCCTTGGAGACGAGGTTGTTGAACTGAGCGTCGCTGACCTTGGTCGTAGCGGGGAACTTGGCGTGGATGTACTTCTTGAGGGTGGGTCGGCCGAGTCCGACGCGGGCCTCCTCGGGGTGGCTAGCGATGGCCTGCTTGATCATGTCGACTGGTAGTGATGAGGTGAGGAGTGCGGTGAGGGAAGGACGATGATGTGTCAGTGATTGATGTCAGGATGGGTGCTGATTGTGTCGTGATTGCGCCGTCGAGTAGATGGTGGAAGTTCGTCGGCGGGGCGGCCCCCACGCGGCGCGCGCTCGGTCCTCGCGAGGAGGGGTGTGATGATAGCGAGCTCGAGTGCGATGGCACCGAAGTAGCGATGGCGCTCCAAACACTTCGTCATTCGATGGCCAGTGGGTGCGCACCGTGGATGCCAAAGGTGCGACGACGATCGCTTGGGTGTGCGAGGCGTACCATCGATTCTGGCGCGTCGAGGGCCATCGCGACTCGACACGTCGGCATCGAGGACCAGCCTAACCCCTGTTAGCGGCCAGGGCTCGTCGCCAAGGTAGCGTTGCGATTCGAGACCAACGGAAGTGTGTGGATGCTCGGTATAGCTACCGCCTGAGCTATCCAGCCGCTCGCTACCGCTCGGTACATGCAAGAGACGAGACGATGACAGCATAACAGTGTACTCACGGTAGGATGGGCCGCTCGACGACTTGGCGCCGGAAGCCTTCTTGGCGGGGGCCTTCTTGGTAGCAGTAGACATTGTTGTTAAGAGGGGTTGTGGTGGTGGTGGTGACTAAGGTGTCGGTGAGCGATTGGTTGCTTGAAGAGACGATGAGGTCGAGTTGGTGGTGGTGGTGAGGAGGATGGGAGGGAGAGAAGGGACTGGGCGAAGGTGGGCGCGAGACTCGGCGCGCCCTTTGGCCGTCGACTCCAACTCGCGCCGTCTCCGTCTGTCCGTCCGACAAAAGCTGATGCAGCCGCGTCGGAAAGGGAGCTGAGGCACTCGGCCAGTGTACGGAAGTAGACTCGGGCAGGGGCCACACAGAGACGCATACAACGCATCAACTCGAGGGGCGGCGAGGCGTCGAGGCCGCAAGGCGGCGGCGCAGCCAGAGGCAATGAAGCAAAGGCAGTTAGTTCCTCAACCCACCACACACACACGTACAATCCCCCATATTTTGCGATACGTCTTCGTTACCACCATTGAATGCCAATGTTCTTCTCGACGATACTGCCAGATGTTCACTGCTGTCGCCACCACCAGCCTCTCGATGATTCGTTGCTTTCGCCACCGCACGCGGGAGCTGCAAAACCGCGGCGCCTGGCTGGCTGATGGGATCAGCGCGGCGGCCTGATCGCACGCGAATTCCAAGGTTTGGCGCAGCTGGCTGGCGATTCCAACTCGATAGCCGTGGCAAACTCGGGAGAGAAGTGAGGGCTGTCCATGCTCGGCCCGTGCCGCAGAACAATCACCGACGAGCTGGAGGCAACGGCAGCGGGCCCGAAGTCACCCGCCCCCGTCGTCGTTATCGCGGGAGGATATCGGCCGGACGAAGGCGGTCTGTCCTCGTGGCGACGTAGCCTTCCGCGATGTCTTGAGGTGCCGGGCATCGTCTTTCGCGCAGAGATGAGCACATGACGCTTTCGTCGGGCCCTACTCGAAGGCTCATTCTTTGCAGCCTGACTGCGGCGAAGACGGTGGTATAGCTGCTGTGAGATCATCGTCTGTCCGGAGATTTTCGCTGGATGTCTCTTGCACTCAGAATGCTTCATCGTACTCTTGAAACAGGCCGCGAGCGGCTACAATTCGACAAACATAGCATCATCGTTGGTCGTGGTCGTGCATTCAACCGTCGCGGTGTAGTAAACCTCAGCTGCGCTCGACCGCCGCGGCGAAAGCTCGAATCACGTGTGCAGCACGATGAACCTGAAGTCATTGATTGAAAGCTGCCATGACCGGTCGAATGGCACTTGCTAGCATAATGATAGCTCGGCCCAGCGTCAGAGAGCTCGTCGTCGACGAACGGGCGGTTGTGGCTTTCGCGACTGAAAGGTATCTATGTGGCCTGCAGAGTCAGTCGAGATTGCCTCTGCCCGGACAATCCTGGTTAGCTAGTATCCATCAAGGCTTCGATCACTGCTCGACCACTGCTCTGGTGGCACCATGGAGACTCAGATGCAGAAGGATTGTCATGCTGCGGACCCACATCGTTGGACTCGTACACAGCACGCCAGAGGGAAGAGGTCCCGCGCTGGGAGGGGGGGCGTGCGACCTCGTAGGTGGCTAGCGCCCAGACACGAGCAGGAGCAGTAGTGAAAATCATCTCAGCTCATGTGTGCTCGCTGACCATCTGCAGTTCGCAGAAAGCCATGGGTGATGATGATGCAGACAAGAAGTTGAAACAGGGCGTTGATTCCTCGTCGTGATCGCGATTTCTATGGTGCAGGAGCCGCTGGATCCTCCATGACCGCAAGCAAGAGCAGCGCTCGCGAGGCCGTCAGCATCCGGCTATAAGATAAATCCGGGGCAGAGTAGGTAAGGCGCTCCTTCACAGCGCTGCTGAAGTCATCCCTCTCCATTTGCATGGTTCACACGGTCTATAGCATGTGGGAGATCTCTGCCCTGATGAAGTTGCTCATTCAGGCTCTCTTTCGACTTATGAGCATCGGAATCCATCGCAGTACCGACCCCTACGAAGACAAAGATACCGAGATGTGCTCGCCGCAGAGGCAATTGCCCTGAAGTCTGACAATCATCACCACAGTGAGCTCGGAGGCCAACTTCCGCAGCGCACGTCGCGCACATCGGCAAGACTTTCGAGTAACGACCGCACGCTCAATCTTTCCCTCGTCAGCTTCATCGATGCTTGGCACGTTGCTCCCAAGCTTCATTAGATTTGATTCGCCCTGCCCATCATCATCCTCATCGCCACCGGGGCACCGTGGCGTCGAAATAGAGCTCCCCATCCTTGCCACGCCTCCGCCGGCTCGCCGCGTTCCGTCCTACCGAGGCCGAACCTCGGCCTCAGCCCCTCCATCTCGGCGTCGATGCCTCACGCAGTCCCCCGCTTTCATGCCCGCAAAATGAGCGACGGGTGCCATCTCGGTCTCGATGTCAAGGATTGGCAGAGGAGCAATGACTTGGCGTTGCCTGTCAGATGAGAGCAGTCGTATATAGAAGAGACAAGCTTTGCACTTGCTTTCTTATCATCATCACATATTTCCAGGGCTATTCGTAACCTCACGCGTCGACCGCTTGGTCTCGAGTCGAAAGAAGCGATCTAAAAGCGCCCGTCACCCGTCCCCATCGTAGACAAGTCAGGATGTCGTCGACTACAACGTCTACGGCCACAATGCCCCCTGCCGCTGGCTTCACTCCAAAGCCAACAATCAAGAGCAAGAACCAGATGGCTTCCAGCTGGCTCACGCAGGACCCCTCAACCTGGGATCGTAGCCAGCGTCTTCTCCACAAGGTACGCCGCGAGTGACGTAGATCGGTGCACGTCTAACCTTCGTCGACCTCTCGCTCACTTCTCTTGCTTAACCTCGCAGCTCGGCGCCGTTCAGTTCCTCCCGGACATGAATCTGCCCAAGTTCGACGCATCGCACCCGGTCCCTTACTTCCCCATCTGGAAGCAGTGGGCCTGGTGTCTCCCTCGCATTCTACCCCCCATCGCCGTCAACTGGGCCGTAGTCAAGGCTTTTGGCTCTTTCCACCCTGTGGCTGCTTTCCTCTTCTATGCGGCGTACCTCATCTGGTTCGCCCTCAGCACCCTCGCCCTGCTGCAACGAATGTCAGTCAGATACGGCGTCTTCGACGGACAGAAGGCGAGGGACGGCATTCCGGACGTGCTCAGTGACAAGGTTTTCTCAAGCTTGCTCTCTACGGTGACGGTCAGGCCTCTCTTTGCCACCTTCTTCGCATTCGATCGATTTGAGCTGCCCAGCATCAACCCCTGGGCGGTCGTCTTCCAGGTGGCCGTCTACGCCACGGTACTCGACTTCTAGTGAGTTAGCGCGCCTGTAGATCCCGATGAGAGCCATGAGCTTACCGCATCCACTACAATTTCTGTCTCAACAGCTTCTACTGGTACCACAGACTGATGCATGAGGTCCCCTGGCTCTGGCGTGAGTGGCGATCGGAGCGCGTAGTAACTGCGGCGACCGTAGATGCTGACGGATCTTCTCTCTTCTTGCTTCTACAGGTCTACACAGCCTTCACCACCGCACAAAGCATCCTCAAGCCGCGCTTGCGCCCTTTGCCGACGGTATTCAAGAGATTGGGTAAGTTCAATACCATCCTGTACCTTGCCGCAGCTTTCCAGAACCCACTGACACGCTTTCAATCATCCCATCATCCTTCCGGCCCCTCGCAGCGACATCCTCGTCATCCCTCTCATGACCTACTTGACCTGTTCCCGGCTCTTCCACATCAACTTCGCAACTTGGTGGGTTGCCACAACCATGATTCTCTTTACGGAGGCCATGGGTCATTCGGGCATCAGGTTGTACTGGCCGGTCCCTACTACCGGCCTTTTCCTCCAACCCTTCGACGCCGACCTGGCACTTGAGGACCACGACATCCACCACCGCGCTGGATGGAAGAAGGCCAAGAATTACGGGAAACAGACGAGGTTGTGGGACGTCATCTTCGGGACGTCCGGGCAGAGGATTGAGGGGCATAAGGCTAACATTGATTACTCGGTTACGGTTAGCCCTTGGTAGTGAATGGCCGCTATTTACAAATGTCTTGGCTCTTGGTTTGGTGACGACGGCTCATGCTTTCTAATGATATGCTCTCTTCTCTGACTCTTAGTCCCGCGTGGCCCCTGTTCACATCTGCATCTCCGCATCCTCGATCAAGTACTCAGTCCTCCTCGCCATCTGTTGGCGCCCGTACGGCAAGGCTCCGCGACCAGCCCAAGCTCCGTCCGTCAGTCCCATGAATTGGGCCGCAGCTGCCGCATCAGCAGCACCGGATGCGCCCGCCGCCGTGGCACTGGATCCGCCACTGACGCTGGCCACGATCGCCTCCCCAGCTCTTGCGAGCCCGTACCTACTTCCACCCACACCGGCCGCCCGACCCCGTGCTTCAGCAACCGCCTCGCTGACCTCCCCCTCCAAGTCAAGCAGCGCGCTCAATAACCTGCCCGCGTGAACCTCGAGGCTCTGCACGTGAAATTTCATCTCCATGCGATGCGTTGAGTTCAGGTGCGAATAGGCTGTTGAGCTGCCAAGGTAGGCGTGAGAGTAGGAGGAGAGGAGCGCGGGGTGCGCAGAGCCGCTGCTGCTAGAGGACTCGGGAGAAGTAGGCCCTGGATGCGGCTGGATCACCGCTTGACAGGAGGCGTTGTCGACCTCGAGCTTGCGTAGCGAAGGCCATTGCGAGGATTGCTCTATGCCTTGCTCCGGGTGCCGAGACGGTCCAGCCAGATTAATGGCGCCGAAAGTGCTGAGGACTTCGGGCGTAACGGACGTCTGCCATAGCGCAGCTTGATACGAAGAGCCGGGTAGATTCGTGCTCGAAGAAGCTTCCGTAGCGGCAGTCGAGGGCGCGTAGAACCAATCTCGATACACTCTGTCGAGTCCCTCTGCCACTCGCTTCTGAAAGCGTAGGGTTTGCGAGTAGCCCGAATCGTACGACGCAGGCGCCGAACCTGGAGTTGACGAGGGATAGCCAGCCCTGGACCGGGTCGTGCTCCCTATCTGCTTCTTGCTTCTAATAGTCAAGCTCAAGATCCACGTCTCGAAGGAATCCAGAGGATCGAGCTGCATCTTGTAGGTAGGCTGCTGGTACGGCCCTTTGCCCCGAGAAGCTTCAGGCGGAGCCGTTCCTGACCCTCTTGCTCTTGATCTGCTTCGCATGGAAGAGGGAGACGTGCCTCCTCCAACTTGCGAGGAGACTGGCGCTCCCCAATCGTAGGCGCTCGCTACGGGGAAGAGGTCGTCTATCCCTGCCTCGGGGATCGAGGCGTCAGAGGAGAAGTCACCGCGGTTGGCCTGCGGCTCCAAGGTCGAGTTGCGTGATGAGGAGGCTCCCCCAACTGGTTGAGCGTCACGATGGTCCAGCGGCGCAGCAACGAATGTGAAACCCTCGCTGCGACTCGCACTGCGTGATCTCGCCACTACGGAGCTGGAATGATGCTCCTCTCTCAATCGTCCCAGCAACGAAGGATGCACACCGCGCTGCATGGCCACTTCCTCTACGCTCTTGGGCGGCGCAGGCGGACCCCTCGATGAAGCTCGCGAGACCGGTTGACTGCCCTGCTGCTTCTCATCCTGGCTACTCTGCGCGGCGGGCGGCACAAAGACAAAGTTGGCGATGGTCGAGAAGACGCCGCCTGGCATCGAGTTGGTGACCCCAAAATGCGAAAAGAACAAGGAGTGTTTGCTCACGACCGTATCGATTGGTCGCTGGGCCTCGAAGATGAGCTGGGTGCGGGGCTCACGACCCTCCAGGCCACTGGTGCCGGCTACCAGGGCGAGGAGCTCGCGACGTATATGCGCATCGATGAGGGCGTGCCAGTAGCGATTGGTGCGGGCCAGGCCCTTGGATAGGGCGCGGATTGACAAGCACGAGAGGACGTGACACTGTAGTTCCATAGGAAGGCTGGCGAGGAGAGGAAAGCCTTGCAGCTTGGAAGAGGAGGGGACGGCGGCGGTCGCAGCGCCGGCGGTGAAGTTGGCCATCTTGGCAAGTCGAGTACGAGAGGGCGAGGATGAGGTATTGCGCTTCTTGTCGAGTGGCGAGCGGATGGCGTCTCTAATCTTATGGCACGCCTTGAGGATACGAGAGCTGACTTTGTTGCGAGTACGAGCTCTGCTAGAGGGCATAGCCCTCTCTACGGAGTCACGATGACGGTGCAAAATAAAGCGGTGTACAATGTACGGAGCAGGATGAGCGTGGTTATAGCGGCAAAGAGGCAACACGGCCCGCTCTCTCGCAGCGGCCTGCCGTACGGCCCGAGGCGGCTGAACGGAAATCGATGGGCCCGTGCACCCCCGCTGGGCCGGATCGGGGACGACATCTGCGACGGCGTGTCGGGAGGCGTGAATGCCGTGGCCAGGATAGAATGACCACGCTCACTCTCGTTGCGGTGTCCCGGTCGAGAGTTGATGAACACAATGTCGATGATGATAGTCAAATTGCTTGTCCGCAGGAGAGAAGACGACAGCGGCGATGAGGACGATGCCTTCCGAGGACGCGAAAGTGGAGCAAGACGAGAGAGAGTGTGAGGAAATGGATGAGTCTGACCGGTGTCTGCGAGAGGGCGAGAATGAACGGAGCAAGGTGTAGTAATACAGATGATCGGCGAGAAAGGAGAACGATAGCCTTGAGAAGCAGGGAGAGGAGCGAAGACAATAGCGCGAGAGCTAACGAAGCTCTCCAGGAGAGGAGGGGGAAATGGAGACGTCTATGAAGTGGAAGAGAAGGAGATAGGAGGGGTAGCCAACGCTTGCGAGTCCCAGAGGTAGCTGATGCGATCAAGAGAAAGGATGCGAGAAGTCGCGTCGAAATGAGGCCGAGCAGTGAGGAACGAGAGAGAGCTCCAGTGATGCTCATGATGTAGGTAGGGTAGGTAGCGCGCGTTTGCGGATCCGTCGTGTATGGCGAGACGTAGCTTAAGAGAAGAGTCGGGCGGGTTGCAGCGGGACTACAGTGGCTTGAAATGCTACAGTAATGCTGCTTCCTGAGGTCCCAAGTCTCATCAGAGAGCAGGAGGAGCCAAATGGTCTGGGTGAATCAGGAAGTTGCTATCATCGTCGCTTTGCATATTGAAGTCGTACGATGTCGAGGAGCCGTGGGCCTTGTCTGCAGAGATAGGGCTGAAGGCCATGAGGTGCGTAGGCGTGATAGCCTTGGGCGTGGCTGGACCCTCGGAGCAGGCTGGCGATGGAGACTCGCCGTGATCGAAGCGACGAAGACCAAAGTACGAATCGTCGTCGGCACTGTCGTTTTGCAAGACTTCCATGTCCTCTTGGCTGCCGCCGGCGTTGAGAGCCGTCATGTTGAAAGCGAGGGGAGACATGCCTGAGCGACGCGCCTTGCCGTGCTTGGAAGCGTGGCTGGCCTGAGAGGGCGACGCAGCCATGGCCGCGCCCCCTTGCGCTACCATTGCAGCTGTTGCCTCTGCCTGACGACGCTGCTCGCGATGAGCGGCGAAAGACGACGTAGTAGCTGGCCAGCCGCTGGAGAAGAGAAGACCGTCGGAGCCCTCTGCCTCGATGCGGGCATCAAAGGCGCGACATTGCTCATCATACTCCTTCTGCGTCGCGACAGGCGTTGAGTAGCTGCGCATCATGCCAGACGCCTGAAGAGTGCGCATTTTCGCCGACTTGGTAGCCTTGACTGTGGACGACGTCGTGGGACGCTGATGGTCGTCAGGGCGTGGCGTGCGCAGACCGTCCTCCTTCTCGCGGGCGTTGCGGGCAGAGAGCTCCTCGCTGGTAGGGGCGGGAGGCAAAGGAAGAAAGGGCGACAATGGCGCGAGCCCACCTCGAGGAGGAAGACGAGAGGTAGCCTTGCGTGGACGCGTGCCTTGGCCGAGGTCGCGTGATCCTTCGTCTGAAGGTGGATTGTAAAGAGGACCCATCTCAGAGATGGCGCGAGACTGGAGCCTGGGTCGAGTCGGCTGCTTGGCCGTCTGCCTGGTACTCATAGGGGCGATGGTGGTCATGCTGGCGCCTTATGAGGGATGATGCTCAGGACGAAGACGGTTGCCGTCTTGATCGTGGTGTCAGGGTTGATAGGAGGAAACAGCGGCGGAGGTGGACCTTTGTCCGGGAAGCGCAAGTCTTGGACGGGAGCGGACGACGCCGGGCCTTTCTTTTGTTGGTTGGTGCCGAAGGCTGAATGAGGCTGGCGACGGCGGGCTGCGAGGGCAGGGGGCAATCACGGCGGCCGACGGCTCTTTGATGATTGTCAAGAGCGGCACTTTGAAGGATTCAATGTCCCTTGATCCCGAATGTCCGCTGCCAATGTCAGTGAAAAGGACCTGTCAAGGAGATGGCGTGCGCGAGAGACGAGAGAGCTTGGTGGGTGGTGCAAAATGAGGCACCGGTGTGGAATAGGTGAGGCCGAACAAAGGAAGAAGGACGCTGTAGTGAGGCTAAAGACGGGAACGCCCTTGATAATTAGCCAGCGATCCGACTCGGAGGCGGCGAGCTCTGTTTAGCAAACCGCCGTTGTTGAGTTCAACCAGCGAGGGGGCGTCGAGAAGAGACGACGATGATGGCCGATGAAGCCGCTGAAGCCGCTGGACGCTCTTTCCCGCACGAGGGGGGCCGAGGCAGATGGGATGAGGCGGAGTGTCGATCGTCGTGGCTCTCAGAGAGAATTGAGGAGGCGACTGGGAAAAAGGGGGCGGGCAGTTGCAGGAGGGCGGAGGAACAGCAGGAGGAGGACGGAGAGGGTATTAACGGGGCAGTTGATGTAAGATAGAGTAGAGGTGAGGGCGAAAAGGAGTTGACGAATGCGATGCAAATGTTGAAGGTGATGGTGACGAGGAGAGAAGGCAAGAGGGACAGAGGAGGTTGCTACTGAGTGGACTTCGTAGTCTGGAGCGAGACAAAGCGGGGGGGCCAGTCTGAGCCACTCGCTCGGCAAAGGGCGCGGAGGTAGTTGGGCAGGCGAGCGAGCGAGCAGGGCACGCAAGGCGGGGAGGCGCAGGCAGGCTTGACGAGTCTTAGTCGCAACAGGCGCGGAGGATTCAAGGGGCCCTCAGTCAGCGGGAAGCTGCTCCTACGCCTCCTCACGACAGGTGGCCGCCTTCACGGGTCGTCATGTCAAGCGAGAAAAAGGAGGGACGTGCTTCGGCGCTTCGAGACGCAGCTTGCTCTCACCTCCAGGATCATGTCGTCGCCTAGCAGCAGTCTTAGCGATACGGGGCTGCGGGACTCAGACGGACGCCCAATGCTAAATGCTGCCGGAGACTGAGATCAGGGACGAGGGACGGGCGCGCCTGGCACTTGGGCCAACGCTAACCAAGTGACGCTCAAGCTTCGTTCTTCTTCGAGCTTGCTTTCACTTCCCATAATCGGCCGCCCTGTATCTCTCACATCAGGCCCCGGAAGCCGGCAAACGGGACGACTCTGTCTTGCCTGCGACGGCCTAAGACGCCATGATCACTCGTCGACGTAAATGGGCAACAAGCCACCCACCAAGAAGAAGGAGCCGGCAAGGCGGGCAGCAAGACGCGCGGCGCGCTCTTACGAGGTGGCTGATACTGGACCCTCGCACCTCGATGCACCCTCGCACGCACGCACCATCGTGTTGGAGCTCGGTCGGGCCCCGACTTGTGCTTCAACGCTCCGGTGGCGCTTGGGAGCGGCCAAAATCGAGTCGAGACGAGAGGCCACCACGCCCGCAATGCAACACCAACGGGGCGGGCGGCAATGACGGCCGTGCAGCGTGCGAACTTGGTCACCTTTGCGAGGAGCGACGACTACGTTTGGACCCGACGTTCCCACAAGAATGAAGCCGAGAATAAGCCCTCATGAAAAGCTACGAAATGCAAGACGCTTGCGTTCTCTCGAGGGCGGAATGCTTGCACGAAGGTTGCGAGAAGGTCGGCTGCGTCAATGATCCCGTCCGTCTTCGTCTGGGTGTTCCTCTTTTCGCCTCACGTTAGCTTCTTCTGGCGACGTGTCCACGCGCAAGGGGGAGGAGATGCACGAGCGTGGGCAAGATTATCAAGCTACGGCGCTGTCTGCGATGTCTGCACGCAACCCAACGCACCGGTTCGCAGAGGTATTAGTTTCATCTGCTGGCGCACTGCTCTGCACGCACTCAGATTGAATGGAGTGAAATTGAGAGACAAACGGCGTCTCGTGCAGACCTTGGAAGGAGGTGGGCGAGGGGTCTTGCCTGCCTGCAAGGGTAAAGAGACAGCCGCTTCGATCATTTGTATGGACCCTGCGATTTACGGAGTCGCATGATCGCGTCGGGGCGAGCGAGAGACCCTTGCTTCCTTCTCACTTAGGGAATCACAAACTGCTCTATCCTCGCCGCTCCCGTCGCACCCGCTGCTGCTGATCTCGAATCATTGTCCCGAGGAGTCCGACACCTCGACGTGTGAACTGTGAAGCTGGCATGTAGAAGACGGGCAAAGCGGGACGTTGTTCACCCTGCCATCCGACGCCAGACGTGCGGAACTCGCTCACACTCGCTGCTCACGGCCCATTGCTGCTGTCGACGCTGATGCATTATGGAGTGGTGTGTACCTGATACGAATCCTTCATCCACCCTGACTACCCCACACTTCCTCTCTCCTTCCCCTCCTGTTCTGCTTTCCCCCATACAATTGCTGATGACACTAAGAAAGAACCGGGGAATGTGTGCGTGATAAAGATGCGCCGGGTGAAGGGAACGAAGGGAGGGACAGAGCCACTGGCGCTGAGATGCTGGAGATGAAGAAGATGGTGATGATGTTGAAAGAGAACGGATCATTTGCTGGTGTGCTATCGCCGCTTCTTTACATCATTCCCCCCATCCCGCCCATCCCACCCATTCCACCCATTCCACCCATGCCGCCAGGTCCGCCAGGGCCCTTCTCCTCCGGCGCCTCAACGACGCACGCTTCGGACGTGGTCAGGAGCGACGAGACGGAGATGGCCGAGGTCAAGCTGGATCGCACGACCTTGAGCGGGTCGAGGATACCGGCGTCGATCATATTGGTGTATTGGCCCACGCTGGCATCATATCCGTAGGCAAAGTCGTTGGTGCTCTCGAGCAGCCTGCCGACGACGACGGAGCCCTCCTCACCTGCGTTCTCGACAATGGTGCGGGCAGGGCGGGTGAGAGCGGCACGGAGGATAGAGACACCGAGCTGCTGGTCAAAGTTGGCCGTCTTGACCGAGTCGAGGGCAGCCGTCGCCTTGAGAAGGGCGACACCACCACCGGGGACGATGCCTTCCTCGACAGCAGCGCGGGTAGCGCAGAGAGCGTCATCGTAGCGGTCCTTCTTCTCTCCGACCTCGACCTCGGAGCTGCCACCGACCTTGATGACGGCTACACCACCCGAGAGCTTAGCGAGGCGCTCTTGGAGCTTGGTGCGATCGTACTCGGAGGTAGTGTTGTCGTTGATGGCCGAGCGAATCTGCTCGCAGCGGGCCTGGAGCGAGTCCTTGTCGCCGTTGCCATTGAGGAAGATGGTGTCCTCCTTGGTGATGGTGACGGACCCGGTGCTGCCGAGGAGGTCAGGGGTGGCCTGCTCGAGCTTCGTCTCGAGCTCGTCGGAGAAGACCTGGCCACCAGTGAGGATGGCGAGGTCGCCCAGGATGGACTTGCGGTTGTCACCGAAGCCGGGGGCCTTGACGGCGCAGACCTGCAGCTGGCCACGCAGCTTGTTGAGGATGCAGGCGGCGAGGGCCTCACCGTCGATGTCCTCGGCAATGATCAGCAGGGGGCGGCGGCCCTGAGCTGCGGCCTCAAGCGAAGGAAGGATATCCTGGAGAGCAGAGATCTTCTTCTCGGAGAGGAGGATGAGAGGGTTCTCGAACTCGCATTTCTGAGTCTTGACGTCAGTGATGAAGTAGGGCGAGATGTAGCCGCGGTCGAATCGCATGCCCTCAGTGATCTCGATCTCGTCCTCGAGAGTGCGGCCTTCCTTGACGGTGATGACGCCCTCCTTGCCAACCTTCTCCATGGCAGTGGCAATGAGCTCACCAACGTGCTTGTCGCTGTTGGCCGAGATGGTGGCGACCTGGGCAATCTCGTCGGACGTGGTTACGGGCTTCTTGTTGGCCTCGAGGAAGGCGATGACGGCTTCAGCTGCGGCCTGAGTTCCCCTGCGCAGGTCCATGGGGTTGCATCCCGCAGCGACGTTCTTGACGCCCTCTGCGAAGATGGCGCGGGCGAGGACCGTAGCCGTCGTGGTACCATCACCAGCCGTCTCGTTGGACTTGTTGGCAACGTCCTGGACGAGGCGAGCACCGAGATTCTCAAACTTGTCCTTGAGAGTGATAGCCTTGGCTACAGTAACACCGTCCTTGGTAATCTTGGGTCCACCGAAGGCTGCGCGGGCGAGGGGTGGAGAAGGAATGAGGATCAGAAGGGGACCAACTATAGTGCGATTGCTGCGCCACACTCACCCTGCTCGATGATGACGTTGCGTCCCTTGGGTCCAAGAGTGACCGAGACGGCGTTTGCGAGAAGGTTGACACCAGCAAGCATAGCCTGACGTCCGTCATTGGAGAACTTGACCTCCTTGTGAGCTCCCACAGGTCGACTTGAGCTGAAGCTCCTCGCTGACGAAGCCGCCGAGGCAGCTGCGAGGGTCTGGCGCAGCGACACGGAGCGAGTTGCTGCCGGTGATGACGATGATGCGGCTCGCAGAAGTGACATGGCGGGCGTGAACGTGAGTGATGGTGAGAAGGAAAGAATGGAAGGATTGCGTCGTCGCAGTCGCAGTCGCAGTCGCAGTCGCACCAGACTGGAGGACGTCAGTCGTCGTTGGATCAGTCGGCCCTTCCCCGGCTGACAGACAGAACTGCAGACTGCTTGCGCTCGACTCTTCTCGCTCTTTGGCCTAGGCCGCTTTCTCAGGCCCGCTCGACACAAAAGTTGGCAAAAGTCGTCGGACTGGCGCTTCGACGAGCTTCGGGCGGCGAGGGCCATTGTGGGCGGGCGGACAGGCCGGCCGGTGGCTGCCTGTGAGCAAGCTCTCTCTCCGCCCTGGCTTCGCAGTCTTGCAGCCTCGCAGCATCGTGGACGACGTCGACGTCGACGTTGATTCTTCCCATCTCACCACTACCAGTGAACGAGCAGCAGCAGCTCCACAATGGTGAGACGGCGGCAGACGCTCAGGTAGATGGCAGTTACTCCGCTGAGACCTAACGTCATGTTGCGCCCACCCCGCGTCAGGCCTCGTCAACGATTCGCTCAATCACCAGCGTCAAGCCGCTCCTGGACCGAGTCCTTCTCCAGCGCTTCAAGCCGGAGACCAAGACGTCTTCGGTGAGTGCGAAAGAGGGATTCAAGTAGCCGCATACCGTCATCAATGACTAATGTCCTCTTGCTTGCATCTGTGCCAGGGCCTCTTCCTCCCCTCATCAGCCACCTCGTCGCCCCTCCCCGAGGCTAGCGTCATTGCGACTGGCCCTGGCGCCCCGAACAAGGACGGTGTCATCCAGCCTCTCTCGGTCAAGACCGGTGACAAGGTTCTGCTCCCCAGCTGGGGCGGTCAGAGCATCAAGGTCGGAGATGAGGTGAGTAGGCGCACGGCCGAGTGGACTGGGGGGAGCGTTGCCACGCTGCGAGGTAGTCGCCGTCTGCCAGAGAGTCCGATGGCTACAAAGGGCCTGGAGCAGCTGCTGCAAGGCGCCCCTACGAGCTTGTAGCTCTCTGCAACGTAGCAGCTGCGACCTGATTGGCTGCAGACAGGCTGTGGTGGCGCAGACGTATCCAGACTCTCCGCCGCAGGCCTCTTCGCATAGGTCGCCACTGCCTTCTACATCAGCTTGCTGACCCCTCATCGCCGCTTTCGCCTCGCCAGGAGTACCTCCTCGTCAAGGACAGCGAGATCCTGGCAAAGATCAACGAGAGCGCTTAAGTCTGCCTCGTCTCTTCTTGCCCTCTCCTCATTGTCACCCTTGAACTCCTAGCATATGTTTATCCGTTGATCAGATGGGATCTCAGCGACGTTGTCGCACGAAGCGTGTGGTCGCAATGGCCATCAGCGACGACGATGGTCGCCATTCACTGTAATGCAAGCATAGCTGACCGCGTATCGGCGGTGGCTTTTATTCACCTCTCAAAGAGTCGAGAGCGCTTCCGAAGTGCAGCCTGCCTAGAGTGTGCCACAAAGGTGTGGAGTGTCGTCGTAGCCGCCTCACGACATCTCTTGTGACGCAATCACTTGCAGAGACGGACCCTTGGCAGAAAGGACGCCATCACACTCCGTCTTGGCCGAGACATTCTCCTCGGCTTGCTTCAAGACCTAGCTGACACAGCTTCTTGCTTATGATGTCCTCCGTCGCATGTCTGTCGCTGTCCTTCTCGTGTCGATTAGACTTTCTCTCATCCACCCTCTTCTTCACGCCTCTCTCTTGCTCATGCTAACAAGCCCCGCTTCTCGACGACGTCGGAGCACGGTGACGAGCGTCAAAACGCGTGGGCTTCGGTCGCCACGCGATGCGGTCCAACAAACAGACCTCGAAGAAGCAGGCGTGTCGACGGCGGGCGCGTGGGCCGGAGGGGCGAGAGCGAAGCAGCAGCAGCAGAGCTTTCGTCGAAGTCGAGGTCGAGGTCGGGGCGAGGCGAGGCCAGACTGGGCAGCCCGCCCGTCGACGACGTCGCCCCTCTGGGCCTCTGGCTCGCTGCTGCTGGCTCAGAGAGTAACACCTCGACTTCGCCCGCCCGCTCGACGACGGCACACCCGCTTCGTCTCGCCTTTGTCTCTTTTCACCATCACTCCCACCACTGCCCGCCCATCTTCCTCGACCCTCCTCTCCGTTCCTCTCACACACACACTCCCTTGTGGCAGCTGCTTCTTCTCCTCGTCGCTGTCTGCAACGCAAGTACCACTGCTCCTCGCAATCAAGCGTGCCTGAGAATTGACACCTTTGGAAATGTGAGCACACGCGCGAAGCCAAAGCGCGAAGATTGGGTAGCGATTGCGGTGGTGATGGGCTGGCGGGCGTACCTCGACCACGCGGTCGTCTCAGGGCAGGGCAGCAAGGGCGTGTTGTTGTCGGCGGATCGATGAACAAACAGTCGCGCAACCACGCCGCCATCTCGAGAGCCAATCGCTGACCGCATCGTCTTCCTTCTCTCCTCCAGCTTCCTCTTCCCAACCCCCCCACTACAGATCTGCAATCATGAGGGAAATCGGTGAGCTGCCTTGGCATTTGTTGATGATGACGCTCGCCCACTCACGCCTTGTGATCTTGCCCGCCCTTGTGCACGCGCAGTCCACCTCCAAACCGGCCAGTGTGGTAACCAGATCGGTGCCAAGTTCTGGGAGGTTCTCAACGAGGAGCACGCCATCGACGCTCAGGGTAACTACCACGGCAACACCGATCTCCAGCTCGAGCGCATCAACGTCTACTACAATGAGGCCTCGGGTGCCAAGTACGTCCCTCGTGCCGTCCTCGTCGACTTGGAGCCCGGAACCATGGACTCGGTGCGATCCGGCCCCATTGGTGGTATCTTCCGTCCGGACAACTTCGTTTTCGGGCAGAGCGGTGCTGGTAACAACTGGGCGAAGGGTCACTACACCGAGGGTGCTGAGCTCGTCGACTCGTAAGTAGGCGCGCGCGCGCCGAGACGAAGGTTTGGACTGATGGCACGAGGAGCATGCTGACAGTGAATACCTTCCTCCCTCTCTCCTTCTTCGTTCGCACACAGTGTCCTCGATGTCGTTCGCAAGGAGGCTGAGGGCTGTGACATGCTGCAAGGTTTCCAGATCACCCACTCGCTCGGTGGTGGTACCGGTGCCGGTATGGGTACCTTGCTCATCAGCAAGATCCGTGAGGAGTACCCTGACCGTATGATGGCTACGTGAGTCGGCGCGCCAAGCAGCGTCAAGAAGATCGTTTCGCAGCAAGCTCACCTCCTATCGTCGCTCGCACCCTTAGCTTCTCGGTCATGCCCTCGCCCAAGGTCTCGGACACCGTCGTTGAGCCCTACAACGCTACGCTCTCGCTCCACCAGCTCGTTGAGAACTCGGACCAGACGTTCTGCATTGACAATGAGGCCCTCTACGACATCTGCTTCCGCACCCTCAAGCTGTCTACCCCCAAGTACGGCGATCTCAACCACCTCGTCTCCCTCGTCATGTCGGGTGTCACAACCTGCCTGCGTTTCCCTGGTCAGCTCAACTCTGACCTGCGTAAGCTCGCCGTCAACATGGTGCCCTTCCCGCGTCTCCACTTCTTCATGTGAGTCGTCACAGCGCAGAGGGCCAAACATTGAGCATAGTCTAATGGACTGACGCCGCCTATACCATCCCGCTCGTTCTCACAGGGTCGGCTTCGCTCCCCTCACCGCTCGTGGCTCGCAGCAATACCGCGCTGTCTCGGTGCCGGAGCTTACCAGCCAGATGTTCGATGCCAAGAACATGATGGCCGCCTCTGACCCTCGCCACGGCCGCTACCTGACCGTCGCCGCCTACTTCCGCGGCAAGGTCTCGATGAAGGACGTCGAGGACCAGATGCAGTCAATCCAGACGAAGCAGTCGTCGTACTTTGTCGAGTGGATCCCCAACAACATCCAGACGGCGCACTGTGACATCCCTCCCCGCGGCCTCAAGATGGCCGTCACCTTCATCGGCAACAACACGTCGATCCAGGAGCTCATGAAGCGTATCTCGGACCAATTCTCCGTCATGTTCCGCAGGAAGGCCTTCCTGCATTGGTACACTGGAGAGGGTATGGACGAGATGGAGTTCACTGAGGCCGAGTCTAACTTGGCAGACCTGATCTCTGAGTACCAGCAGTACGAGGCGGCTACTGGTGAGGATGAGGAGGGGATCTACGAGGGTGAGGAGGAGGAGGTCATCGAGGAGTAAGAAGCGCAATAGACACAGCGCAGTAAGAAGAGCAACAGTGAAAGGAGTCTTGTCCCCCCCCCACAAAGCCCCCTCCCTCTGGACGTCATCATCATCAACTTGGAAGGCGCGCGCCAAGTCGCCGTCGACTTTGCTGCCCCGTCTTCGCCCTTGTCCCTTTGCCCCGACCTCTTCTTCTTCTCCTCTCTTACTTTCTTTGCGAACTCTTCTTCTTTTTCCACGCTCCCTAATTGATTCCACAAAGTCTTCGCGAGCCAGCGTGCGGTGAATGATGGCTCGGGGTTAGCGCTCCTTACGACCTGCTCTCGAGGCTGGCTCCTTCTTGCCGCCGGCTGAGGGGGGCGGACAGAGGCTGCGCTGCAGGGTTCACGTCAGCTCCTGGCTTTTTGGCCCGCTCTTCTTTCACGTCCTGACCATTCGTCACACTTGGATCCGCATGGAACCCTCATCATCTCTTCGTCCCTGATTGTCTCCTATTTCATTCATTCATTCGTCCGTCATGTCCACCACTCGCGCTGACGAACGGACCCCACTGCTCGACGACGACGGCGGCGGCGGCGGCGGCGGCCGCAGCAATGGCGAGCCTTCTCAAGAAACGACCCTTTCCACTCTGCCTTCCCCATCAGCTTCAAAATCCACCACAAGACAAGTCGCACCCGACCTCCTCCGTGGCGTTCTCATGATTCTGATGGCCCTCGACCACACCTCCGTCTCATTGGGAGCATACCCGCATGGAACTGGAACGCACAGCGAGGAGGCTAGCGTGCCTGTTACCCAGTGGAGCGCTCCGCTGCCTTTCGCAATGAGATCCTCGACGCACATGGTCGCTCCGGGGTTTAGTCTATTGATGGGCATGGGGATAGCGTACTTCATTGAGAGCGTGAGTTGCGCGGACAAGGGAGACGCAGCATACATAGGAGCGGATTGACATGAGACATGAGCTGACCTTTCGTGACCCTCGCGAACCGCAGCGCTCAAGACAGGGCTGGACTGTCACCCGTCAGCTTCGTCATATTGCCGTGCGTACTCTGGCCATCCTGCTAGTCAATTATGCATCCGTAGGCGTCAGCATGGCCACCTGGACCGGCAAGTTTCTGGTGGTGCCCAACATAATTCTTGTGGCATTGGCCCTCGACTACCTGTTTGTCGGGGTGCTCTACGTGCTGCATGTTGCGTATGTTGAGCCGTGGCTGAAGAGAACGTTCAGCAGGCGGCAGGGCAGATGTGAGGCAGACGAGGATGACGAGTCTGCGGTAGCGTCATTGGGCGAAGGAAGCTCTTCAACGCTCGTCACCGTCGCGGTGGACGCGTTCCTCGTCCTCCTCGCCGGCGTCACCCTCTCCGCCAATATCTTGACCTCAGCCCATCACGGTGTCTGTCCGGCAACACAGGGACACGCACACGACCACATCAGCGCCGCAACAAGCGATGCTCCTACGATCTGGCTCCTCGCGGGCGGACATACCTTCCAAGCAGCAGCAGCAGCATCATCTTCTCGTCCCTCTTCACCGCCCGAGGTCTGTCAACACCCAGGGAAGCTCCTTTACAACTTCCTGTTCCAGCAAGTCACCTGCCTCGACCAAGGGATTCTCTCCGGCTTTCCACCAGTTGGGTGGCTCTCCTTCGTCATCTTCGGTGTAGCATACGGGCGATGGTTGCTCGCTTCCCGCAAGCGCAACATCAGCGCACAGAGCATCAACGCTAGCCTGGCAGTCGTGTTCGCTCTGCTCTTTGTCTCGACCAGACTAGGCCAGTGGGGCAACACATCGACGCATTGTCTTTCCACCCCGGACCAGCTCGCCCAGAAAGCTGGCTCCAATCCTTACCTGGCAAGCTGGCGCTCATTCGCCTACATAGTCAAGTATCCTCCCGATGCAGCCTTTGCCTTTGCCACGCTTGCTGGCAACTTCATCTTGCTCGCTCTGTTTGACGTCGCCCTCTCCACTGGGCCCTCTCTGATCAAGAAGAGCCTGCAAAACCCGTCCAACATCCTGCTAGCGTACGGAGTCCAGCCCTTGTTCTTCTACGGCGCCCACTTCTGGGTTTTAATGACGGTGCAGGCGATCTTGCTATACAGTGGTCTGGCGAAAAGGAATGCAGAGGGCAGGCCCGAGGTAGGCCTGGGCTGGGTCTTCTTGGCCGGCTATGCCACGGTGCTCGGCGTGATGTGGCCGCTATGCGTTGCGTTTGGACGATTCAAGCGCAGGCAAGGGGGCGATAGCGTGTGGAAGTTCCTCTAAAGACTGGAACTTTTTTTGAAATTGGAATCGTTTAATGTGTAGAGTCTCTCAACCATGACGGCGAACGTGACGATTGGGCGTGATTGGGCGTGAGCGTACGACTTGATGCATTGATTCGCCACGTGGCTCTTCGTGGTCGGTGCGCGTGCGACGTGGACCCGCTCCTCGACCTTCGCACCTCAGCCAACCAACGCACTGCATATCATCATGGTGAGCTGCGAGCCAAGCATAGGGCATATCAGCGCGCCGGAACTGACTCGAACAACTTTGCCACCGCTATCAGGCTCCATCAGCAAACGCCAACGCGGGAGCGGCGGCCGACGGGCCTCGCGCTATTGAGACTCTGCATGAGGATATGATTGTGAGGACGAGGCGGAGGCGATGACGACGACGACCAGGAGGGTAGCTACGATCTTCAAGCGACTGACTCGATGCTCTCTTTACTTCATACCCTCTGTTTCTCCTCGCTCTGACAGCACGATGCCCAACTCGACTACTACGGAAAGCGCCTCGCTACCTGCTCCTCTGACCGAACGGTCAAGGTATTCGACGTGGTTGACGGCAGCGCCTCTGGACAAGGGACTACGCTTCGCGGGTTAGTAGCGCTATTCCTCACGCTCTTTCTCCTCATCTGGAGTACTTGCTCACTCTCCTTCCCTCCTGCTCCTCGTCCACAGCCACGAAGGCCCCGTCTGGCAAGTAGCCTGGGCTCACCCCAAGTTCGGGCCCATCCTTGCATCTTCCTCGTACGACGGCAAGGTCATTATCTGGAAAGACAATGGCTCCGGTGGAGCGGCGACGGCGCAGCAGCAGCAGGGATATGGGGCATATGGACAGCAGGGATACGGCGGGGCAGCGTATGGAGGAGGAGCGGCTGGAGGTTGGACCAAGATCAAGGAGCATGCACTTCACAGCGCGTCGGGTGAGTCCGCGAGTCCTCCAGGGGACTTGAATCGCTCTCCATCAGCCAACTGACGCCTTCTTATGCCGCGCTCTCGCAACCAGTCAATTCAATCTCCTGGGCCCCGCACGAGCTCGGCTCCATCCTCAGCTGCGCCAGCTCGGATGGAAATGTCTCCGTCCTCACGTTCAACGATGACGGCTCATGGTCGGTGGACGTGGTTGCCGCTCACCCTATGGGATGCAACGCTGTCAGCTGGGCTCCGGCGACTGTCCCTGGCTCCCTGATCACGGCGCAGCAGCCAGCGACGGCAGCGAACGGAGCAACCGGTGCTGGGCAGGACGCAGGGCAGACTCGCACCGTGAGGAGGTTCGCGAGTGCCGGGTGCGATAACGTCGTCAAGATCTGGGAGTACAGCGATGATCCGCAAGCAGGTGTGGACCCTTCAGGCGCAGGAGCTGGAGGTAGATGGAGGGAAGTCGAGCAACTCACAGGCCACAGCGACTGGGTCCGTGACGTAGCCTTTGCGCCCAACGTCGGTCTCCCACGCAGTTATCTCGCCACATGCTCGCAGGACCGAACCGTCCTCGTATGGACTCAAGATGGGCTCGAGGCGCCGTGGAACAAGACGGCGCTCAACCCTACTCCCGGGGCTGGAGCGGCTCCTGGTGGGAGTGCGACGGGGGGCAAGTTCGCGGACACAGTCTGGAGGGTGAGCTGGAGTGTCAGCGGGAACGTTCTGGCGGTGAGCTGTGGAGATGGCAAGGTGACGCTTTGGAAGGAGAATCTCAAGGGAGCGTGGGAATGCTGTTCAGAGATGGATTCGTAGTAGGCGGCGCGATCCATGTAGAGGGCTGGGAATGATAGGCCCCTGCAACGAAATAAGATGCCATGTTCGATCGATTGCTACTTCGCGACGTGTGTGGTATCAAGGGAGCAATGATGCGATACAAGCGAGAGACGAGTAAGGGGGATAGACGGATGCTGGGGCTATTGACACTGAAGCGATGAGGCAAAGACGATGATGCAGATCCGGTGTGAAAAGATGCATAGATGCTATGAGAGATGTTGCGATGATGGGCAAGCTCAGTTGCCGCCATTCTCGCCCCCCTCCTGACGCTGCTCCTCCATCATCTTGGCGCCATCCTTATGCTCATCGAATTGATAAATGGGCAAGTCGAAGAGCAGCCACGTCTTGACGAATTGTGGCAGCGGCTTGTATACGGCAGGCGGCATCGGGATAAGAATGCTCGTCCTGTTCTTGTGAGCCTTGTACCTTCTCCAGGGGTCTTCTTCACGCTGCGTCTTGCCGTAAGGCTCCAAGGTCTCTCCTTTGCTCGACATCTCGAAGTATTTCTGCTGCGTGGGCTTCTCTGCGGTCGGCATGCCCGAGAGGAACATGAGGAGGCCAAAGGTAAAGAGAGGCGAGACGACGGTGCCCAGCAGTGCGGAGTGGCCACGGTTTGAAATCTCAGGCTGAGCCGCAGGCGAGATACAGACGAGGTAGATACCCAGCCAGTTCATCATCTCGCCAAAATAGTTGGGGCGCCTCGACCAAGCCCATGGTCCTACATCGGTAATTGCGCCCTTTGGTGGCTTGACGACTGACTTGAAGCGGTACTTGGAGATGTCGGCCCAAGACTCGATGCCGAGGCCTAGTGCCCAGATGATAACACCGATAATATCCTTGGCCGTACCGAAAGCGGGTCCACGCGTGCCGCCGTAGCCGTCGACGTCGCGGGTTACAGAGGGGGAGTTGAGTACATTGATCGGCATGGTAATGGTCCAGACCCAAAGGAATTGGAAGAACCTGGCGTGGAGCAGAGAAAGACGGGTGTCAGTGAACTGTAGCTTCGGGCAGAGGATGGAGTGTCAGTGGTGCTCACCAGAATCCGGCGAACTTGAGAGGGTTTCCCCTCATCTGATCGAACCTGGAGTCGCCTCCCATCTTTGCGATCCTGAAGAGCTGGAATCCGCCGAGCCTAGCTGCCCAGAGCATCCCAAAGATGGAGGCGACGATATTACGCGCCGTGTACGCTGCACCGAAATTGAGCGTGACGAGGACGAGGAGGACAGTGGTCAGTGACGACCAGAAGTCGGTAATGATGTCGGTGCCCAGCGTGTAGGCAATGGTGAAGCCGACGACTTGCATGCCGGCTGAGAGGATGGCCGTGAGGCCCAGGTAGTAGGCGTCGAGTGCCGCAACGAACATGGCGGGCGAGGTGACGACGAGGTGGTGAGTGACAAGAGAGAAGTGGATCGCTGTAGGCGTCGCGACTTTGTACGTCGAGAGAAGGAGAAATTATCGGCTTGGCTCAGCTGAGTGCGGATCTCGGGACCCGCATACACGAGGTCGAGGGAGCTCAGCTGGACCCTGACGATGAGAAAAGTGGACTCCACAAGCAGCAAGCCAAGCCAAGCCAAGCCAAGCCAAATGGGTCGATGCGTCGTAGTCTACCTCTAGCTTAGCCAATGTCGCCTGTGACTAAGGCCCGATGCGGCGGCGCGACTGCGTCATCTCTCATCCGCTGCCGCGTGGGCGGCTACTCTTGCGGTACGAGGTGGAGGCGATGGCACGCAAAGGATCGAGCTCTAAATCAGAGATCGGCTTAGACTAGCACACACGCGAAAGGGCAGAAAGCATAGGCCGGGCCTGCTAGTAGTCGGAAGGGGCGGGCCAATTGGAATGACAAGCCAGTATTGAGACTTGACATCCTACTCCTACTCGTGACATCCGTATCCAAGGCCACGGGCATCATTACCACCCTCTTCTCCACCAAGACCACTCGACTCGGTGCATCGGCGCTGCGATCGTCTCTCATCAGTGCTACCGCGCAGCATCATCCCGCCTGCTCGCGACTAGCACAGAGTCACCAGCTCGCTCATCCTCACCACCTTCAACAACTGCTGCGCCCTCTGGCTACTCGTTCAGCACCATTATCCACCATGGCTCCCAAACGTCAAGCAGCCAGCAAGAAGTCTCCTTCGCCCGACGCAGATGAGAAGGCTCTGGACCCCACCCTGGCCGAGCATGGCGACGCGTCTGATGGCGAGATGGCTCAGCCGGCAAAGAAGAGAAAGACGTCAGCAGGCTCAAAGAGCAGCAAGGATGACAAGAAATCTGGAGAATACGGAGGAGCCCCGCTCAATGACGATGATGGAAAGACATTCAATGCAAAGAGGAACGACTGGAATCCTAATCCGGGAAAGTTGCCAGAGGATGGAAAGACGCCACTGGATCAGTTGAGGGAGGAGCTAGGCAAACAGAAAGCTTCAGAGGCTAAAGATGGGAACGTAATCTGGTGAGTCGCAGGATTGTGTGCGCGAGAGCCAAGAATATTACTGACCTCACTCATTGCTATCATTCTCGCCCTCGCGCAGGTTCATGGGCATGAAGTCGCTCCGCATCGAAGACAATCGTGGTCTTGCCCACGCCTCGTCCCTTGCAAAAGAGCGTGGCGGCCATCTCATAGTCGTCTTCTTCATCTCACCAGGAGACTGGAAGATGCACGACCGAGCACCGCAGCGCATCGACTTTGTCCTGCGCAACCTCGCCGAGGTGCAAAAGCAGCTTCAAGAGCTCAACATACCCCTCGTCATTCACACACAGAAGAAGCGCACAGACATACCCAAGGATATGGCTCGCTTTGCCAAGGAGTGGGGAGCTACCAGCGTTGTGGGCAACATCGAGTACGAGGTTGACGAGTGCTGGCGCGACATTGCGGTGATCAAGGAGCTCTCCAAGTCAAACGTCCACGTCGACTTCCTCGAAGACGTCTACGTCGTCCCAGCCGGCGTCCTCAAGACGGGACAGGGCAACCAATACTCCGTCTTCTCTCCATGGAATCGCTCCTGGACGGCCTACCTCTCTTCGAATCTGGACCTCATCGAAGAGTCACCACTTCCTGAAGCAAACGACGCCTCGATCCGCAAAAAGGGGGGCAAACTTGCCCCTCTCTTCGACTCCAAGGTGCCCAGTAGCGTCGAAGGGTTCGAGTGCGAAAACGTCGATTACATGAAGAAGCTCTGGCCCGCTGGCTCGCATGCCGCACGCACCGTACTCGACAACTTCATCAAGCGAAAAGGCGGCGAGAATGGGATGGACGCCCCCGCCACGGGAGACTGCTGGGATGACGTGGGGCCCAACGCCAAAGAGTCCCGCATTGGCAGGTACGGCATTGGTCGTAACCTCGTCTCAGAGAATGGCTCAAGCAGGCTCAGTCCTTACCTCTCCGCGGGCGTCATCTCTGCACGCGCCTGTCTGCGCGCTACCATGAACTTGGAGAAGGGCAAGCTCAAAGTGGGTCGCTCGACGGGCGTCGAGATGTGGAACACCGAAGTCTCCTTCCGCGACTTCTATGGGCACGTGTTGGCCGCCTGGCCTCGAGTGAGTATGCAACGCAACTACATCCTCAAGTACGAGGCCGTCGTGTGGGAGAACAACGAGGAGCACTTCAAGCGATGGTGCGAGGGGAAGACGGGCTACCCCTTAATCGACGCGGGAATGCGTCAGCTTGCCCACTCGTCGTGGCAACACAACAGGGCGCGAATGGCTTGCGCCATGTTCCTGACCAAGCACCTCCTCTGCGACTGGCGCTGGGGCGAACGTCACTACGCCCGCCATCTGATCGATAGCGACCTGGCGTCGAACAACGCTGGATGGCAGTGGTCCGCTTCCACCGGTACGGACCCCCAGCCCTACTTCCGCGTCTTCAACCCCACCAGCCAAAGCGAGAAGTGCGATCCTAATGGGGAGTACATCAGGCATTGGTTGCCTGAGCTGAGCGGAGTCAAGGGAAACGCGATTCATGAGCCGTTTGCGCGATTGAGCAGGAGCGAGTTTGAGAAGCTCGACTACCCGAAGCCCATTGTGGAGCACAAGGCTGCGAGGGAGAGGGCGCTAGCCAGGTTCAAGCAGCCTGGGTCAACCTAAGGGGGCCATGAAGTAGGGTCGAAAGCTCAAAGTACATCTATCTTTCCCAATCATTCCCCATTGTCGTGCGACATCCCCCCCTCTTCCTCTCTCGATTATCACATCTACTCGCTCTCTCTCTTGCTCTCGTTTAATACAACGTCGTCGATTACTCCATCACACCCGCAGGAGCGTCTTCGAGTCACAATTTGTTTGCATTTCAATTTTTCGGGATACGGTACACAAAGCTTCTAATAGCAATCCTGAGCAGCACGATCTCACTTCCACCCAATCCTCCTACAACTGTACCGGCAGATCACGAGGCGTAGCCAGCATCATGACAAGCAGCGCCGCCCTCACGAAGAGACCATATCGCATCTGTCTGAAGTAAGCGGCCCTCTTGGTATCCGTGTCCACCTCCGGGCTGAGCTCGGTAGTCCTAGGCAGCGGGTGGAGCACGATCATGTCCCTCTTGGCCTTTGCCAGGAGGGCATTGTCGACGCGGAAGTGGTCCTTGACAAGCTCAAACTCCTCGGGGCGCTCGAAGCGCTCCTTCTGGGTACGCATGACGTAGAGGACGTCCGTCTCCGCAATGACGTCGTTGATGTTGCTCGTGGCGAAGAGCTGTACCCCGCGCTTAGCCAGATCGCGGCGAAGCGACTCGGGGAACTCGAGGCCGGGGGGCGAGACGAGGTTGAGCCTGCACTGGTAGAGGGAGAGGATGTGCGCCAAGCTGTGGCATGTTCGCCCGTTCTTGAGGTCGCCAAGGAAGGTGACTGTCAGGCCCGAGATGGTACCAATCTCCTCACGGATGGACCAGGCGTCCAGCAAGGCCTGCGTGGGGTGCTCACCAATGCCGTCACCGCAGTTGACGACGGGGACGGGTGAGAAGCGAGCGGCCTCCTGCGCCGAGCCTACTGCAGGATGGCGAAGGGCAACCGCGTCGGCGTACGAGCCGACGGTCTGGATCGTGTCGCTGAGCGACTCGCCCTTCTGCACGCTGGAGTGCTTCGTGTTGATCGGGAGTACCTTGGCACCAAGGCGCTGAGCAGCCGCTTCGAACGAGGCGGAGGTGCGCGTCGACTCCTCGTAGAACAGGGTGCAGAGGACACGGCCCTTGAGGATGTCTAGAACGCCCTCGCGCTCGATTGCCAGTCGGATTTCTGAAGCGACGGAGAAGAGCGCGTGCAGGTCGTCACGGTTGAATTGCTTGACGCTGAGGATGTGTCGACGCGAGAAGGTTGGGTGGCCGATCAGAGAGCGGATCGAGGGCAGAGAGACATCGCCTGCTGATGCTACGGGGGCAGAAGAGGGCAGAGGCGTAATGGCGCCCAAGCTGGACGACTCCTGTGCGACGAGGCTGGGCGACTTGAGCTTGGCGAGGTGGCCAGATGGAGGCGACATGACACCAGCCGGGGTCGAGGGGGCGTCGACACCGCTAGCCACGTCCGAGGCGAACGACAGGCGACGGCCCGTCGACCTGGCCGCAGGCTTGATGGCGCCGCCAACCAGGCCGGAGACGTTGCTGCCCATGGTACCGTTGGAGAAGGACTCGCCGTCGATGACGACCGTACGGCCTCGCAGATTGACACGGTGCACCGAGCCAGTAGCTGCTTGCGACTCGAGCGGGCTCCAGTACTCGCGCTTGATGAAGGGCACGGTACGGTCAACCTCAACCTCGACCTGCGTCTCAGGCTGATCAGTGATGCCAAAGACCTCACGAGGCTTGTCGTGGAGCTTCTCGAGAATGTCGTCAAGCGAGAGGCGTCCCTGGCCGACAGCGCCGAGGAGCAGGCTGAGGGTCTCCGAGATACCTGATTGGGCAGAGGCGGTGTGGCCGAGCTCCTTTGCGAGCTGATAGGGCGTGCTGCCGACGGAGAACATATCGATCTCGGACAGGTTGGCCCAGAGTGCGTTCTGGTCGTCCTTTGATGGCAAGCAGGTAGCAGCGGGGAACATCTCCGACGAGAAGAAGAGCGCGTACACCGTGACATCGCATGTGACCTTGAGGCCCTTGGCCTTGCTCAGAGCGATCAGCTGAATGTCGTCGCGGTGGAAGACGTTGGTGACGTGAATGCTGCGGCTGTGCAGCGAGGCGAGGAGCAGGACAGAGGCCAAGTCCGTTCCGCGCGCGTCGGTCACAATCGACTTGTCTTCAGGCCAGTTGGCAAAGTGAGCTGCAATGGCTGCGGCTTTGCTGACGTTCTGACCCAGGCCGTTGAAGGAGATGAAGAGCGAGCGAGCACGGTCCGAGAGTTCGGCAACGGCGTCAACATTGTCGGCTGTGGCCGAGAGAGACAGAGAGACGTCGCAGTGTGCCGATCCTGTCACCTTGCCCTCGGCGATGGCGAGGCTTTGGCTGTCAGTGAGGGCCGACGAGGCGACGAGCTGCACACTGGTGAAGCCACCAGCGAGTGATGCCTTGGTCAGTTGAGCAATCTCGCGGGCGCCGCTCGTTGAGTTGGCGATGTCCTCGGCGTAGGCCTGGATGTTGATCAAGCCGGGGAAGGTGAAGGTTGAGTGGCTCGTCTTGAAGTCGATGGGCAGGATGGGGAACTGCCCTTCCCTACGACGGTGTCGGGCGAGGGCCTCGACGAAGAGCTTCGCATTCTTGACGTTGGTGATCAAAGGAATCGAGCGGTCAATCGCCAAACGACGAGCACGGTATCCCATCGAGGTGAAGGATGCCGGGCGACGGTACTTGTTCTTCGACGGGAGCGAGATGAAGAGCGACGACAAGCCCTGTGTCAAGTGGCTGAGCAGCGAGTAGGCGGCCTTGCTGTTGTTGTCATCAGCGCCGGGCAGGTCGTCCTCAGGCAGGGCCTCGAGGTGGATGACGGGAATGCCCTGCTCCGAGTAGAAGTCGGCGGACCCAGACGAACCGTACAGCGTGAAGCCCAGGGCGTGGAGCGTGCGAACGGCAGGCAGAAGCTCCTGCTTCTCGCTGAAGCTACCAATGGACAGCAGCACGTTCTTCGTCGGCAGCTTGATGCCACTGGCCAGCATTCCCTTGAGGTACGCCTCATACTTGTCGCGACCAAAGCAGGCCACCTCACCAGTCGAGGCCATCTCGACGCCGAGGATAGGGTCGGCACCAGCGAGTCGGCTGAAGGAGAACTGCGGAACCTTGACACCGACATAGTCGCGAGGCAAGTTGAGCTTCGGGTAGGGCACGATCGGCAGGTCAAGCATGACGCGCGTCGCCATCTCAATGGCGTCGACGTTGGTCACCTTGGAGACGAAGGGGAAAGAACGAGCAGCGCGCACATTGCACTCGATGACCTTGATGTCGTTGTTCTTGGCGATGAACTGGATGTTGAAGGGGCCAGTGACGTGCAGGCTGGCTGCAATCTTGCTCGTAGCCACCTCGATGCGACGGACCGTCTCAGGGTCCAGATCTTGAGGCGGGAGAATGAGCGTAGCGTCACCCGAATGGACACCGGCGTTCTCTACGTGCTCCGAGATGTAGTGCATGACCATCTTGCCGTCCTTGGCGACGGCGTCCATCTCAATCTCCTTGGCGCCCTCGAGGTACTTGGTGATGACAACGGGGTGGTCGCGGTTGACGGCCGTAGCTTGCGACAAGTAGGATTGAAGGTCCTCGGGCGAGTACACGACGTTCATCGCAGCTCCACTCAGGACGTACGAGGGTCGAACGAGGACAGGGTAGCCAAAGCGGGCGCAGGCTTCCTTTGCCTCATCGAAGCTGGTCAACTCCTTCCACATGGGCTGATCAACACCGATCTTGTCAAGCATGCGCGAGAACTTGTAGCGGTTCTCTGCCATGTCGATCATCTCGGGAGAGGTGCCGTACACCTTGACACCCTGACGATACAAAGGCAGTGCGATGTTGTTGGGCGTCTGACCACCCATGGAGATGATGACACCTGCTGACTTCTCGACGTCGTAGATGTCCAGGACAGTCTCGAGAGAGATGTTCTCGAAGTAGAGACGGTCAGCCTCGTCGTAATCGGTCGAGACGGTCTCCGGGTTGTAGTTGACCATGACGGTCTTGAAGCCAGCTGCGCGGAGCGTGCGAATGGCCCTGACGGCACACCAGTCAAACTCGACCGACGAACCAATGCGGTAGACACCGGATCCCAGGACCATCACACCCTGGTCGGCGAAGTTGACGTCGTGCTCGCTGCCATTGTACGTCGTGTAGAGGTAGTTGGTGAAGGCAGGGAACTCGGCGGCGACTGTGTCGATCTGCTTGGTGAAGGGCATGATGCTGTTCTCTACTCGCAGACGGCGGACGGCGAGCTCGGTGCTGCCCAGAACCTTGGCAAGACGAGCGTCGCTGATACCAAGCTGCTTTGCTTGACGGAGATGGCCAACGGAGAGAGTGGCTGCGTTGTACTGCGAGAAAGCCTGTTCTGCCATGACGATGTTGTTGAGCTTGCGCAAGAACCATCGGTCGATGAAAGAGAGCTCGTGGATGCGGTCGACGGACATGCCCTTGGCCAATGCGTTGCCGACAGCGAAGAGGCGCTTGTCGGTGGGGGTCGTGAGCTCGGTGTCGATCTCTGCATCGTCGCTTGGGCCGTAGCTATTCTTGCCGAAGCCGTCGAATTGAGGGTCAATGGCACGGATGGCCTTCTGGATCGTCTCCTCAAAGGTTCGACCGATTGACATGACCTCGCCTACACTCTTCATGCTCGAACCCAACTTGCTCGAGACTCGGACGAATTTACGCAGATCCCAACGGGGGATCTTGACGACGCAGTAGTCGAGCGAAGGCTCGAAGCAGGCCGACGTCTTGAGCGTGACCGAGTTGCGAATCTCGTTGAGAGGGATGCCGAGACCAAGCTTGGCAGCAATGAATGCCAAGGGGTAGCCAGTCGCCTTGGAAGCCAGGGCGGACGATCGCGACAAACGAGCGTTGACTTCGATGATGCAGTACTCACGAGTGTGAGGGTTGAGGGCGTACTGGATATTGCACTCTCCCACTACACCGAGGTGTCGAATGACATTGACGGCAGTGGTACGCAGCATGTTGAAGTCGTGGTCGTCGAGCGTTTGCGAAGGCGCGACGACGATCGAGTCACCGGTGTGGACACCCAGAGGGTCGAAGTTCTCCATGTTGCACACGGTGATGCAGTTGTCGCGACCGTCACGGACGACTTCGTACTCGACCTCCTTCCAGCCTCGCATAGACCTCTCGACGAGGACCTGCGGACTGTTAGCAAAGGCCTGGTTGCACAGCTTGCGCAGGTCGTCCTCATTGTAGGCAAAGCCGGAGCCAAGACCACCCAGAGCAAAAGCAGCTCGGACAATGACGGGGAAACCGATATCGCGGGCGGCAGCCAGGGCCTCCTCCCAGGTGACGGCGGAGGCGCTCGGTGCACACTTCTCACCGATCTCTGCCATCGCATTGGCAAAGAGCTCACGGTCCTCGGTCGTGATGATGGTGTCGATGGGCGTACCGAGGATCTTGACGCCCTCCTTGATGAGCTCGTCCTTGATCTTGATACCGACGTTGAGGGCCGTCTGACCACCGAAGGTCACGTAGATGCCATCTGGTCGCTCGTGGCGGACGACATCCATGACAAAGTCTGGCGTGACGGGCAGGAAGTAGACCTTGTCTGCAAGACCAGACGACGTCTGAATGGTAGCGATATTGGGGTTGATAAGGACGGTGTAGATGCCCTCTTCCTTCAGAGCCTTGATGGCCTGCGAGCCCGAATAGTCGAATTCACCAGCCTGACCGATGGAGAGACCACCAGAACCAAGAACGAGGACCTTGCGCACGTTGACGCGAGGATATTTGGCGGCGTTGTCGGCTGCGAGACCACCAACCCACTTGACAGGGGGCAGAGGGGTAGCGACAGGGCCCGTGAGCTGAGCCTTGACGGTAGAGCAGTCGACGACGGAGCGAATGAAAACATCGAAGAGGTATTCTGTGTCGCGAGGCCCCGGTGTGGACTCGGGATGGAATTGGACGGAAAACCAGGGGCCAAGCTCGGAATAGACACCCTCGTTGGACGAGTCGTTGGCGTTGTAGAAGAGCTCCTTCCAGCCGTTGGGCAAGCTGCTGGCGTCGACCTCGAAACCATGGTTCTGAGACGTCTGCGAGCATCGACCAGAGATGACGTCGACGCATGGGATGTTGTGCCCACGGTTACCGAAGAGCATCTTCTTGGTCTTGGCGCCGGCTGCGAGGGAAAGGAGCTGGTGACCAAGACAGATACCAAAGATGGGCAGAGCCTGCGAGCCTTGGAGAGCGAGGGCCTTGCGCAGGTTTGCAATGGTGGGGCCGCACGACGTCGGGTCACCGGGACCGTTGGAGATGAAGAGACCATCAAAGGGTTCAGACTCGACGGCCGGGTTGAGGAAGTCGTGGTCCCAAGGGACGACCTTGAGCTCGACCCCTCGGCTGGTGAAGCAGCGGATCTGGTTGTACTTCATGCCCACGTCGAGGGCCAAGATGCGAATGGGTCGGCCCGAGGGGTGAAGGAGGGGAGGAGCGCCGATGCGAGAGAAGCCTCCCGCAGCAGTGTTGGCAGGAGTGTAGAGCTGGGGCTTCTTGCTCGAGACGAGGGCGACGAGGTTGACTGTGTTGGGGTCGGCGAAGGGCACGTCGACAAAGGAGGACTTCCAGTCGGCCTCAGCATCGGCGCTATCACGCACGGGCGCGTCGGCGCGCTTGGCGAGGAGCTTGCCCAACATGCTTCCCTCATTGCGGATTCGCTTGACGAGGGATCGAGTGTCGACGCCATAGATGGCTGGGACGCCGTTCTCCTTGAGCCAGTCTCCAAGGGAGCTCGAAGCGAGCCAGTGGCTGTACTCTTCGCTGTACGATGCAACAACGAGACCGGCGACGTGGATGCGCGAAGACTCAAAAGGCGATGCAAGGAGGGCATTGAGCGACTTGGTGGCCTCCTCGCGAGAGGGCACACCGTAGTTGCCGATGAGCGGGAAGGTGAGGACCAGGATCTGCCCTTCGTACGAAGGGTCAGTCAGAGACTCGACGTATCCGACCATACCTGCAGAGCGAAGGTACGACGAACAGGTGAGCACGAGGACGAAGTCCCGTGTCGCAGCTCTGGCGCAAGCTTACCAGTCTGGAAGACGCATTCTCCGCTGATGCTCTTGCCCTCAGCTCCGAAGCTCATACCACGGTACGAGGTGCCGTCAGCGAGCTCGAGAACCATCTCGCCGTCGACTTTGCCCGAGAGAGGCGCGCTCGTGGCCGGTGCAGAGGGTGACGGGAGCCTCGAGGCCGTACCAGTACGAGACATGGCCGATGACGTGGGCTGTGTCGTGGGTTGCGAGGCTGTGGCCATCTTGACGGCGCGATGTGAGGAAACAGTAGCAGAATCAAGAGGAGGCTGAGTGGATTAGTGGGGCGCACTTGGCGCGATAGCCCTTATTGGCTGCGTTCTGGGCAGGAAGGAGTGTGAGGTGGTGCGGGAGGGGGGAAGGGGGATGGGACTGGGAGAAGGCGGAGGGACTGGGTAGGGTACGTGCGTGCGTGTATGCTATATTCCAAGTGCAGAGTAGGAAGCTGTGAGGCTTGAGCTTTCCTTTCTCTCCACGAGGATATCGTGGAGAAGGAGAAGAAGGGAAGGAAGGAAGCGGGCGCTGCACTCCCACTCACTTTACTCTCCTCGTTGCTCGACCACGTCTCTAAATCCGAGTGAAAAACGCGCGGAGAGCTGAGCAGACGCCGCCAGTGAAGCGCGAATCGATTATGTAAGCGCCCGTCGAGTTGCAACAGAATTTTGGACGCTCTCGAGGGCGGACGAGGACAATCAGGCGAGCAACGTCGAATTGTTGGTGCCCATCCGTCCGCATCATCAATCGATCGATCGTACAGGGGTCATCACGCCAATCACGACGATGGCGAGAGATTTCAGACCAAAAGACAAGAAGCAAGGCGGTGGAACGAAAGACAAGGCGTCCAGGCCTCAGGCTAACGGCCATGCGCAACAGCAGCCTCGCGACTTTAGACCAAAAGCTGCGAAGCCCAGCGGTCAACAGACTCGTTTCGGCGACGACGAGGAGCGTAGCAGCAGCAGCGCAATTGCTAGTGGAGAGGTAGCCCCGAGCGCACACTCAAGTGATGGAGACGATGGCGAAGAGGGAACAGAAGAGGAGCTGCGTGAAGCAATCGCAGCTCTAGGAGGGGAAGAGGGAGATTTGGATCTCATTTCGTCAAAGGCTCTCAAGGCCACTAAGGGCAAAGGAAAGCAGGACGATGGCAGTGAGGTGAGCACACTTTGATGAGACTAGAGACTGGCTGTAGCTGACCATCGTCATCATCTGCCACCCGCAGGCTGGCCTTGGCGATGAGCTCAAGGCGTTCATGAAGGGCCTCAACCTTCCCACCGACGTCGTACCCCAGCCCGCTCCTGGCCCATCAAAGAGCCCTGCGAAGGAGGTCGGTGGCCCCGCGAAGAAGATGGATGATGATGCTGCTGCTGCTCTCCAGGAGCCCACACCGACGGACGCTGCTCGCGCCTCGCGAGCAGCAGATAAGGAGAGAACAAAGCAGGAGAAGAAGGAGGAGCGCCGCAGAATGGCAGAGGCGCAAAAGGCAGCAGCAGATGAGAACAAGCGCAAGGCATCCAAGGTCGAGGAAATCGCAAAAAAGGCAAAGGAGACGGCAGCAAAGAAGAAGGTTGAACAGAAGAGCAATGCTGTGGTCGAGGCAGCCAAGGCCTCTAGCAAGCCGACTGTCAAGGAGGCAACCTCGCAGCTTCTCATCACGCCAGCTCCTCAATGGATGGGCACCGACGTTGAGGCTCTTGGGCCTTCCTCGTCTTCAGCATCGTCTTCGGCCCTGTCACACGACAGGGTCGTTTCTCTACTCGCCGAAGGCAATGCCGTACTCAGCGCCGAGAACGCCACGTATCACTCACTCCTCAACTCCGGGTCTCACAGCATGACGGCTGCTCTCGGCGGCCTCACGCCCAGCGATGCTAAGTTCATCTCGTCCCTCCTCGGCGATACATCCTCTATTTCTGGCAGCGCTGGAGGCGGTGGTACACTTTCGGATCGAATCGCCGCTCATGCCTTGCTACTGGGCTCATCGGCGCTTCACAATTTGCGCTCGCTCGATGCCCTTGTCACCATGGCAGGCAAGAAGAGCCGAGAGGAGAGCGGTCGCGCTACACGCGCTCTGGCAGACTGGTTTGCGGGTGCGGGGCTGGGTAGCTCAGGACGCAAGCTGCGCTACTTCCGCGACCAGCCCGAGCTCGCTGCCACAGCTGCGGCGCCCAGCTCGCGTGGAAAGCAGCAACGTCTCTGTCTCTTTGCCTTCGAGGACCGTCTCAAGAAGACGTATTTCTCCTTCCTACAGACCCTTGAGAACCAGTCGCACGACCCGCTGCCATTCGTGCGTCAGCAGGCCGTCAGCCAGACATTCATTCTTTTGCGCGAGAAAAGCGAGCAGGAGCAGAATTTGATGAGACTGCTGGTCAACAAGTTGGGCGATGGAGAGAAGTCAGTGGCGAGCAAGGCCACGAACAATCTCCTGGAGCTTCTCAACGTTCATCCGAACATGAAGGCCATTGTCACTCGCGAGGTGGGCGAACTCATCCGCAAGCCCACTCGATCGTCCACACGCGCAGACAAGGAGACAACAAAGAAGCACCACAACCACGCCAAGTACTACGGTGTGCTAGCGCTCAACCAAATCATGCTCACTCGGCAGGACACAGAGGTGGCCAACAGCCTCATTCAGCTCTACTTTGAGCTCTTTGAGGAGGCACTCAATGACGAGGCGGCACGACCAGATGCTGACAAGGCGGATGGCGAGGAAGGGGACCAGGCCAGCGGCAAGAAGAAGAAGGATCGTTGGCGTGACAAGAAAGGAAAGAAGGGCGGCAAAGGCAACAACAGTCAGAATCCGGACCACGCTGCTGCTGCTGTGGCCGAGACCGAAGGCAAGATGATGGCAGCCATCCTTACAGGTGTCCGTCGAGCCTTTCCCTTTGCCCAGCTGGAGACGAACGTCTTCGACAAGCATCTGGACACCCTCTTCCGCATCACCCACTCCTCCTCCTTCAACATTGCTGTGCAAGCACTCCAGCTCATCTACGTCGTTGCCACCTCTTCTTCTACCTCCTCCACGAGCCTTAGTGATCGATTCCACTCAAGCCTATACTCCTCCATGCTCGACCCGAGGCTTGCCCAGACGAGCAAGACGGCCATGTACCTCAATCTATGCTTCAAGGCTATGCGGGACGACGTGGATGAGGATCGCCGAGCGGCAGAGGTTAAGCGCCTCGTGCAGGTCTTGGCGCACATGGACGTCGAGTTCGTGTGCGGTGCACTGTTCCTCATTGGAGAGCTGATACGTGCTCAGCCGCGCCTGAGGGGCATGCTTACGGATCCGGAGGATGACGACGAGGAGGTGGTCCGCGACCAGCCTGAGGACGCCGAGGACGACGAAGAGGCAGACCATTCCAAGTCACAAACAGCATCGGCGCGCCCAGCCACAGCTTACGATCCTCGCAAGCGCGACCCCCGTTTCGCACGTGCGCGCCCTACCTGCCTCTGGGAAGTGCGTCCCCTCCTGTCGCATCACCATCCCACTGTCAGACTCCTCACCACGCAACTCATCCAAGGCCAAACCCTCACTACCACTCCCGACTTGACCCTCTACTCTTTGTCCCACTTCCTCGACCGTTTCGTCTACCGAAACGCGAAGAAGGCTGGCTCTGGCGCTCAAAAGGGTGCTTCAGGCATGCAACCCGCAATCGCTGCGGCTGGATCTGGGGAGGACGGTGTGAGGAAGGTGAAGGGCTGGAGCGGTGTCGGGGCTGCGGATGAAGTGAACACGGAGAAGTTCAGAAAGAAGAAGGCCGAGGATGTGCCTGTGGATTCGCTGTTCTTCCATCACTTCTTCAACTTGAAGGAGAAGAGAGACGCGGCGCAGGGAAAGAAGAAGGGCAAGGGGCGTGGAGATGAGATGGACAGCGATGGCGGCGAGGCCGGGGACGAGGACGTCGACGACGACGAAGTCAGCAGCGACGCGGGCAGTGCGATCAACATGCTGGACGATGAAGAGGCGGAGGACGAAGATGTGGCAAGCGACGCTGATTCGGATGCTTCAGACGACTCGGAGGAGCGCGAGATCTGGGCAGCGATGAAGCGTACTATGCCGGCAGAGGACGGAGATGCGGAGCTCATGGACGACAGTGGAGATGAGGATGAGGATGACGAGGATCTTGCGGAGCTGGACTACACCGACAGCGAGGAGGAGGCAGAAGAGGGCGAGGAAGCAGACGCTGGCAAAGCTGGCAAGGAGGACGATGTCTCGTCCGACGAGGAGGGCATGTTCGACGAGGATGAGGACGACTTGCTTCCCTTCGCCGATTTCGAGGACGGGGAAGACAGTAGCGGCGAGGACGAAGGCGCTGCGGCGACAACAACAAACGTTGCAGGCAAGAAGAGAGGCCGCGACGATGGCGAAGACGAAGAGAGCAAGCCCAAGTCGAAGAGCCAGCAACGCCGCGCCGAGCGCAAGAAGCGCAAGGCTATGCCGACTTTCGCTAGTGCAGAGGATTATGCGCACTTGCTTGGGGGAGGAGACGATGAGGAGTAGAATGTCTGAACTTTGTCATGTCCTTTCGAAGGCAATCCCGTGTTGGTCCTCTATGTTGGTCCTCTATGATTGATCAGACTAGGCTTGATGATGAGTGATCAAGTGTGCATCTCTCCCGCCTGCACGAGTGGAAGTCAGCCAACCTCCGAAAACCAACACTTGCGCTCTTGCCGAGCTCAGACCAACCAAGTCGACTCTCGAGTCGACGCATCGATGCACGCTTGGACCCTCGCTTTCGCCTTCGCTTCCTCCTGCGCTCGAGCAGGGAAAAAGGAGGTTGATCCACCTGACACCATCTCGTCTCCTCTTGACCCCCTATCCTCTTTCCTCACCGCATCGTTGCTCGAAGACTTGACGCCTTCGATACCCTTTCTCAGCTGGCCTGAGGACAGAAAGACGACGGTTCCCACCCCTAGCACTCTGACGCTCCTTCTACCTCGGTTTCCCGCCCCTCATCCTCGCCTCGGTGCCTGAAGCTGGCTTCAGACTGGCCGTCGTTCATTCAATCTCTCCATCATCTCCTCCGTACCTTGCCCTCATCCCTCTCCTTCCCGTCAACATGTTCGGCATAACAGTCTCCTTCGTCGTTCTCTGCCTCGCCCTCTCAGGACACGCCCAGCCCATCAACGTCAAAGAGACGCTGCCGCACCATGCCCCTTTCCAAACGGCGACGACGCACCTCTCCTCTTACCTGCTCCTCACAGGCGGCTACTCCGGGGATCTTTCAGTCCTGTCCATCGATTCCACCACAGGCAACCTCACCAACCTCACCTCGACCCGTCAAGCGGGTGCGGGACCCTCATGGGCAAGCTGGAATCCCAGCGATGTCAGCAAGCTCTACGTTGTCAATGACAATGCGGGCGCAAATGCCACGAATCTACATCGATTCACCTGGGATGGGGCAAAGCTGAGGGACGTCGAGCCTGGAAGGTCAGAGCTCGAAGGGACGGTTCATACTCGCTACTCTCGTCGTAAGAGCGCAGCCAGTTGTCTTCTCTCAGCAGGCTATGGAGCCAAAGCGGTTAGCAGCCAGGCACTAGACCAACAGCAGAGCCTGCGAAATGCAAAGACGAGCGCAGGCGTGACGTACAAGTACAGCTTCTCAGGCAAAGGACCGAACACGGCACGACAGGACCAGTCTCGCCCACATGAGATCATCGATTCGCCTGATGGAAAGTTCGTCTACGTTCCCGACTTGGGAGCTGATCGCGTGCACGTCTTCCGATATGCCAATAGCACCACGAGCGATGCTGTTGGGCAGAATGGAAAGCAAGATGGCAGTCAATGTGCGCTCGAGGCTTTGGCGCCGATCAAGACAGCCGCGGGCGATGGCCCCAGGCATATGGCCTTCTTCACTGCGACGGATCAGACGGGGTCACGCAACTCAAACGCGAAGCGTGGTGGTCGCGCACCATTGTCGCTTCATCCCATGGGCACCACGGCCGCCGCCGCGGCTGCAAACAAGACGTACGCCTACCTCGTCACCGAGCTCGGCGGCACCATTCGCAGCTTCACCTACAACTCCACGACCGGTCAGCTTTCCCTCATCGGTCTCGCCCAGACGACCCGCACGGGCATTCAGGGCAACAGCACCGAGCTCGCAAATGTCGCTCCCTCTGAGCCCATGATCTCCCCAGACGGGCGCTTCGTCTATGTAGCCAACCGCCACCTGCCCCATGCTGCCAAACAGAGCAGCCGTGCCGCTACAGGCCGCGGAGGGCAAGACGACAGCATCGCCCTCTTCTCTCGCAATCTGACTACCGGGCTTCTCACTGGCCCTCTTGCCCAGTACTCGAGCGGCGGCCGCAACCCGCGTCACGCCTCGCTGCACAGCGATGGCAAGTGGATCGCAGTGGCCAATCAGGGGGACGACGATGGTACAGGTGCCAGTCTGGCTGTTTTGCGCGTCAATGTCACGAGTGGAGCGCTCGAGGAGGTGCAAAGGTGGGATAATATCACCTCGCCTGCTTTTGCCGGGTGGTGGGGTTCATCCTGAGTGCGGCGTCAGCCCGGGACTTTCTGCTGCTCTTACACTCTCCGTCATTCAAGCCGAAATGTGATGGTAGTATTACAAGCTTTGACCTCGCCCCAAAGTAGCACGAAAGCCGCACGCACGAATGAAAGGGCGATTCCAGCGTAGGGCAGAAAGCCTTTCTGGGCCGTTGCCTCGACGGCTCGCTAGACGGAGCTTGCCCCTTGAGCTGGTCTCCACCTCGACCCTCTGTATTGACAAACTCGCCCAGTGAGACTTACTTTGCTGTGATCGCATTGACGAGCCTGTGACAGACCAGCGATTAGTGGTCAGCTCCTATTTCCCCCATGCAAACGCGCTCGCGCGTACTCACCAATCCATTCCCTCATCCAGTCCCTCTCCCTTTGTTGCCACACTCTTGACGATCGTCCATTCCCTATCCTTCAGCTTGGTCAGACCGAGCTTTTCTGTGATCTCCGCTGCGCTTGCTGCTCCCTGGATATCTTGCTTGTTGGCAAAGATGAGTAACTTTGCCCCTTTGAGCTCGTCTTCGCCGAGGAGGGAGTGGAGTTCTGATTTTGAGAGGGACAGACGAGCGTGGTCTGATGAGTCGATTACGTAGATGACCGCTGGAGAGGAAAGGAGGGAGGAGAAGGAGTTGGTGAGCAGACATGTCGATGAATGCCCAGTCTGCGGGCTCTTTTGGCGCTCACCCTTGGTTCCCCCATAATAACACCTCCAGTACGGCCTGATGCTCGTCTGACCACCCAGATCCCACACTTGAAACTTCACATTCTTGTACTGCAGGGTCTCCACATTGAAGCCAATCGTAGGAATGGTCGAGACCACATCGCCGATCTGTAAGCGGTAGAGGATCGTCGTCTTGCCTGCCGAATCGAGTCCTAGCATGAGGATGCGCACGTCCTCTTCGCGTGACCAGAAAGCTAGTCTGCCCAGTAGGGACGAGAAGGTAAGGCCCATGTTTGCAGAGACGAAAAGAGAGAAAGCGAAAGGGGTCGGGGACGGAGAAGGAATGGGACGTGGATTGGATCTATGTAGAAGAGGAGGATGTCGGAAGAGATGGACCACAACGTTGGAAGGCTGCGCTGTCGAAACTGCCGTCGCTGGCGGGTCCACGACCCTAGACGAGGTGATAGAGATGCCCCTGCGGTTGCCTACGAACGAGCAGCGTCTTGTACGTCTGCCTATGAGGTATCGCGATGTGGCAGCGTCTCAGGAGTGGACGATGGTGTTGGGTGAATGAACGGAGAGAAGCGCACTGACTGCCATCTCCCCTAGTCCCGTTGCCTGGCCCGCCTCGACTCGCTCTCCCCGCAACGCGTGGCAGGGACAGACGGATGGAAGTGAGGGAGTGAAGGCGTGGCTGCTAACTTGATTCGAGAGCCACGGCGAGCTGAAGCCGTTTCCTTGCTACAGAACATCTCGACGCCAAGGTGAAAATTGGCCGAGGAGCATCACGAAGGCCAGGTGGAGGCTTGTGGCTTAACGAGAAATGGATGCACGATTTGTTTGGACAGGCGAGTGGTGGTCGCATCGCCGGCTTCATGGCGATCAGCGATTCATACCACGATGGGCGACAAGACAGCAGGGCCCGCGTTGACAGGCTTAACGAATGGCTCTGCCGCCCACATACGAGCATTTTGGCGCACGTCCCGCCCTCACGCACACCCAGTCTGTGAGACCGTGGCGTCGACTCGACCAATCTGCAAGCTCGAACTCTCCGGCCAGCTTGCGAGCTCTATCCATCATCATTGCCTTCGCCTGATCCACGACGACAGGCTCCCCCTGCCAGGTCACCATATGTGAAGATAGGAAATGTCACGAAGTTGCTCCTCCCAGCCGTCCAGCCGTTCGCGCGTCGACGTATGCGCGTCGCCGAGGCTCGCTCACTCATCACTCATCCTTGATCGTCAATCCACCTTCGCCCATCATCTTTCCTCGCAGGACGTCCGACCACTCATTGCGACTCAGTCGAAGGTCTATTCTGAGGCCCAGGCTGCGTCCGAGTTTGCCGCAATACGAGGCGAGCGGCCTAGCTGGTCGATGCAATCATCTCCTCGTTGCGGAAGGACGATTGACCATTTCTTGTGCTGCCAACGTCGGTGGTCCGTCGCGACTTTGCGTGGAGTTGCAGTTTAGCGGACCTGGACCGACGTGCTCCCGACCTCGGTCACGGCTGCCCGGCCTGCTGCCTGCGTGCTCCTTGGGTCGACATATTGCTCCGCCCGCTGCTCATCGATGCAGCCATTCTCTGTCAACGCCTCGTTTCATCTCGTGTCTCACTCCTTAGTCCATCTGGATCGCCTTGCTCCATCTCTCCTGGTTAGACATGCTGGCCTCTCGCCTCGATTGGATCATCCTGGGTGATTGACACCAGCCAACCATCATCTCCCCTCTCTCTCTTCAACACAACACTCACTTCTTAACTCCTCTTCATCAAAGTCACGCGACACGTTCTCACCGCACGCCGAGTAAAGGCTCACCCTCATCTTTGTCGCCTCGCCTCCTTGTCTTGCTAGCAAAGAGGGCATTTTACAGCCATGCAACACCTGCGCATCGCCGCCTTTTGCCTCATCGTCGCGGCCGCGCTCATCGCCTTGCCCAACGCAGTCGCAGCAACTCACGATGACCTTCGCCGCGGGATTCGCATACCACCAGCTCGCAGGCAAGCCTCTGGCTCCTCTTCGCCATCGTCATCATCAAGCGCCTCCTCGGCGGTGGCCACTGCAGGCGTAGGCGATGCTCAAAATGTAACCGGCGCGGCCTCTGGGGGCAGCAAGTCTACCTCCTCCTACATCAACTGGCAGCTCCCCGACACATTTGTACAATGCCAGCCGGCCTTGATCTCCTTCTCTGCCGTCTTCGGCGCCAAAGACGAAGATGCTCTGGGAGGTACACTGAAGAAGGCCATATCCAATACGTGGATCAATCTGCGCATCCGCCCCACTACGGGGAACGAGGAGGGGATTAGTGAAGACTTGTCTAGCAATGCAACATCGTGGTCATGGGCAGCTGTCAATTTTCCCGAGGGTACCAACTTCGAAGTGCTGATCAGTGCTCTCACCAACATAACTCTTGGCAACACCACGTCCTCGTCCAAGGGCTCTTCCAACTCAAAGGACAAGAAGACCAACAACCTCGCAGTCTCCAATGCCAAAGACGACATTTCTCCAGTGGTCATCGCGCGCGCCTTTGCTCGCTCGATTGTAGTCGCCAGCCCAACAAATGATTCCACATGTCTGGGCACTACGACAGCCAGCAACGGTACCGACGCGAGCACGTTCGGCGGAAGCCATAGCGGCTCTCTTGCTGGACCAGCTGGTGGAGCTCGGGGCGATGCTAGTGGTGGGAGCCGCAAAAAGAACGGCGATCGTACCGTCATCATCGTCGCCGCCTTCCTTGGCGGGCTCGGCGGCCTCTTCATTGCGCTGGTCGGCGCACTGGCCTGGCACAAGCGCAAAGACCAAAGGAGGCTGCGAGGAGTAGCAGAGGCAGGGCAAGGAGGATACTCGCATGCCATCCAGATGGCGAGGAGGTCCGGCGCCTTTGCCACAGACAACTCTTTGCCGCGTCCCATGTCTCAAGGCAGCGGCCTCGCAGGCGCAGCGGGCAACACGGGAGGCAGGGGAGGCGCCCGCTCCTCGGCCGTCCCTCTCTGGGACGGAGGCTATCGTGACGGGCCCTCTGCTGGCTGGGGTTATATGGCCAGCCTGGTCCCCGGTCTGGCACCTCAGGCCCCACCAGCCTTTACCTCTCCCAATTCAAGTCCCGTTGATGGCACCTTCGCTGCACTTCGGGGAAGGAGAGGAGGGCGTAATCGTCTGTTGGCGACGAATCGTCGTCAGGAGGAAGGGGAGGAGGATTTGCCCAGCTATGGGAAGAGTGAGGCCGAGGTGCGCGACTTGCCTAGTTATGAAGCTGGGTTCTTGGCCGGGCTAGCAGCATTGCAGCAACAACAGCTGAGGGGACGTGCCGGGTATGAGGCGGCACCAGGTGGGGAGCCGACGGCGTACGAAGATGCGACAGCCGCAAGTCATGGCGCCAATGCCACTGGCTTCTTGGACGAGCGCTCCGGTCTCCTAGCTACGGTGGCAGAGGAGCGGTCTTCCCTATACTCGAACGACGGTGCATCGGGCGGCAGCCTTGGTCGATCAAACAGCAATGCTACCACGAGCACGACGGGCTTCCAAGCTCCACCGCCCGCCGAGGTGGGCAGGAGCGTCACGATGAGCAACGTAGATCGACAACAGCGCGGCAGCGGTAGCAGCGGCGGGCCGCGCAGGAACGACTCTAATTCCTCAACCACCAGCGCGGGCAGTAGTACGGGTAGCGCAACGTGGAGGCTCGATGAGCGCTACTCACAGCAGCCGCGCCTCCCTCCTATCCAAACGAGCGGGCAGGCTTTCACCCATCATCGCGAGGATAGCGACAATAGCGGTGACCACACGGCCACCGCGACGGTGATGCGCAGCCCCTTTGACGACGACTCTGCAGCTCGTGGGCACAGGCACGGACACTCTGCGATCACTTTCCTCGACAATCACCACGATGATGTGAATGCGGGGACGGCTACGCCTACTGCTACGACGGCTTATGAAGCCAGAGCGATACTCGATGGCATGGGCGATGGCGATGGAAATGGAAGAGGCAGCATGGCGGCGAGGAGGCGGTCGAGGGGCGGTAGCCAATCGATATTGGGTGGGTTTACTGGGTTGAGTGATGAGTAGGAGGAAAGGGGCCAGCCTCGAGAGGCCCTTCTTCACGTGAAAGAGAGTGTTGCGGACTCTCCTGAGAGCTGATTCCCGCATCCTTTCCCGCGATCTCTGTCCCATCATCATCTGCTCCTCTTGTTGTACCTCAGCTGTCCCGTACTCTACACTGTGAAATAAGACCCTCAGCATGCCGATTGATCGCTTTGTCATGCTTTCGGCTTGTGGCTCGAACTTCTCGGGCTTTACTCAGTTTGCCGTCGCGCAGAGGATGCGCATACTCTCGAGCTGGCAGCGAGGTCAGCGACGATGATGAGGATATATTACAAGCGCGGGGCATGTGTGAGCGTGACAAGGAGGCATCGGCGAGACCAGGCAGTGATTTGGCTGTCGAGGCTTATTTTCCTAACCGGCTCTCATCTTGCCTTCTTGCCCTCCGCAGCAGCAAGAAGTGGTTCCTTCTCGACCTCGTCGACGCTTTTGCCTTGCTCCCCTGTTGCTTTCGCTTCGTCTGCGTCTGAACGGGGAATATTGGGCAGCCACTTGGTCTGGTGACGTCGATACCACGGCCATGCGGGAACGACGAGCTATGCGAGTCGGCGAGGGGAGGGGAATGAGCGGAGCGGTGAGCTGGCTGCACTACTTACGAGGCAAGGGCCAAGAACTTGCTCACAACGAAGTCAACGGCGGAGATGGCGGCAAAGATGAGCATCATGACCTGCAGTGAGGAGAAGGCGAAGCCGACGAAGAGGGCAAGGAGCTGGTAAAGTAGGAGGGACGGCGAGACGAGCAGGTGAGCCAATCCCTCTGAAAACTCATTGATTGTCTAGTGATTGCCCAGCATACACTCACTGCCCCCATGACCAAGACCTCCTGGTTGATGCGGTCGGCAAGGCGTTGCCCTTGGAAGTCCTGGGCGACGATACGATGCAGTGTGGGGTGTGAGCCCTCGGGCGGACATCCTGTCCCTCAGAGCGGCAGTCTACTCACCACCTTGCCTTCGAAATAGCCCTTGACCTGGTCGAGCATAGCTGACATGGCGATGCGATGGAGACGAGATCAAGTTGCTTGGTTGCACGCCGCTTGATGATTGAAGGCGGAGAGAAACGAGGCCAGTCCACGTCGTCGAGGGCGGCCCGTGCTCGCTCGCTCGCTCGCGTGCGGCGCTTCTTCGTTTCCTCCCCTTCGTACCCATTCCCTCTCACTCAACCATAAGAGGAGGCAACGCATCATGGCAACGCCCCTCACATTGACACCATCAGCCTATGCACTCCTCGTCCTCCACGCAGCGCGGCACCCACACTCAGCAGTCGTTGGAATCCTGGTAGGCGATGCGGCCACCTCTACCGTAAACCACGTCGTGCCCATCGCACATCATTGGACCACTCTGGCGCCGGCGCAGGATATCGCTGTTGACCTGACTGCCGCCCATGTCACTTCACAAGGGAAATATCAGCTTCTGGGCATATACGAAGCCCCGGCTATCGCTAGCGTCGAGGAGCCTTCAGCCGCCGCTGTCAGGCTGGCGATCAAGGCCTCTGCAGGGCAGGCTTCGAGCTCCAAGTCCTCCTCCTCCTCCTCCTCCTCATCAGCAGCATCGCATATCATCGTCCTGCAAGGCTCGAAGCTCCTGCAAGGTGACTCGACCGAGTCCACATCGCATGGGCTGATTCCGTACACTCTTCCGGCTTCTGCTGCGCCTACCAGCCGACCGAAGAAGACAGGAGGCGATGCGGCAGGGAGTGGAATTGTGGTTCAGGGGGCGGGCAAAACGCTGCAGACTGTCAAGGGAATGGTGAGGGGGACGACGGGAGAAGCTGGAGCATGGAAGAGGTTGAGAGATTTCGATGGTGAGAGAGAGCCTGCAGCTACGAGTTGGCTATATGCGTCAGACGACTAAGCTGTCCCCTTCCCTACGCTTCGCAGACCATCTTGAGGACACGGCCGCCGACTGGCTCGACAATGCTGCACTGGTCAAGTCCATAGCTGCGGCAGGCGTAGCAGTCGCATGAAGTAGCAAGTCCGGTAGAGAGAGGTAAATAGGCTTGGGCCTCGTGGGTCAGCAGGGAGATCAAGACGAGGGCGAGCCACACTTTGTGAGCAGAGCATCAATAAGAATAGAGAGTCGAGCACATTCATATCATGATACAGAGCGAGAAAAGCAAAGCAGACAAGAAGCATCGAGTCAAGCAATGGCGAACTGCCCCGCGAGGTGCGGTAGGTCGTCATAGATCTACGTCAGAAGAGAGCCGTCAGACTAGGCAGTCTCCGGCAGGAACCCTTCGCCCTTCCAGTATCGCAACCATGCCTTGACCTCCTTCTCAACATTGAGCGGCTTACTTTCCGCTAGCGTAGAGCTGGCCGCGCACGCCCTACTCGTGCTGAGGCGACGTAGACCCATGGCTTCGTACGCATCATCATCGTTTCCGTCCCCGTCGCCCCCCCTCATCGCCTGGGCAGCGATACCCATTGACTTTGCAGCGCCCAGATAGAAGTCCAGCAACTTCAAGGTGGGCAGGTTCTCTGCGCCTGAAACACCAGCTGCTTTACCGTACTCCACGAGACGCTTTAACCACTCCGTGAAGGGGAGGAGCTCGACATGCAGCTCCCGAGCGAAGACGCCGAAGATGTCGTCCCAGCGTGAGAGGCGCGGGTTGACGATGTGCATTGTGCTGACTTTGGGTGTGCCGGCATTGGTCACGCCATTGCTGTGGCCATTGCCGTTCGCGCCAGGATGTTGGACGAATTGATAGCGCATCTCCAGCAGGGCCTCGGCGGCTACGTCTGTTGGGATCCAGGATACGGATCCTTGACTCTCCTCCTTCTCAGAAGCAGACATCAAGGGCAAGCACTTGAGCTCCGAGGCGCTTCGCACAATCATAGGAAGCCAGTCGCTCGTGGCCCAAGCGCCATTCGTCCTGCTCCCACTCATCTGGCCAACCCTCACGTTCGCCACGGGCAGACCAGCCTCCCTTCCCGCACTTGCCAGAAGATGCTCGGTCACGGCCTTGCTCTCTCCGTAGCCTGTAGGCCCCACGCTGCACTCGAGCGGGAATTCCGTCTCGGGAGTCGGGCCCTTCATGTCTGCGGGAGGTGAAGCGATGGCTGCGATGGACGAAGTGAAGAGGATTGCTGGCGGCTGCGCATGAGGAGAGGCGAGCGCTAAGTCGACGAGGGCGCGCGTTCCCTTGACGTGGGGCTCGAATGACGAAAGGGAGAGATTGAAGTTAAGCTGCCAGGCGTTGTGGATGATAAAGGTCGTGGTGTCGCGCAGTGAAGCGTACGTCTCTTGAGGGAGGCCAAGCAGAGGCTGCGTAAGGTCGGCCTCGAGCAGAGTCACCTTGCCGTTCGAAGCGATATCAGGCGAGAGGCCACGGCCGATGAGAGCATCGCGCTGTCGCTGCAGCAAGGAGCTGCTGCTGTTCGATCGGTTGACAGCGAAGATGCGCGAGACGTGCGCATCGGCTACGAGCTGGTCGAGTAGGTGAGCGCCGAGTCCGCCCGTGGTGCCAGTGACGAGGGCGACCTGCCCGGCAGCAGCGTGGCTGCCGTTGCTATGCCCCTTCGCTGCGCCATTGCTCTTGCTTGCACGACGCTGCGGCCAGTTCTTGCCGTACTTTTCCAGCATAGCCTGCATCGCCTCCAGATGCTGCTTGCCCAGGTCAGCATCGGCCGCTGCGCCACTAGGCGTGTACTCTCCTTTCTTCGCCGCGAGCAGCGCGGTCGTCAAGGCCTGGATGGTTGGATTGGCGTATACGAATGCCGGCTCGAGCCTGGGCGTAGCATCGCGCACGGCGCCAGCGAAGACATTTCGGATTTTGGTGGCATTGAGCGAATTCACGCCAAATGAAAAGATGTCTGCGTCGCTGCCAAGCCCCTTGTCGACGTTGCGGCCGAGTGCATCGCCGATGACGGAGCGTACGAACATCTCAACCGTTTGCTCGTCCCAAACCTCGGGCGTAGCGACCGACGTGCGACCGATGGTCTCAAAATCTTCGTAAGCCTGATCAATCTCCTTCTTGTAGAGATCAAGAGCTATGCCTGAGCGGACGCTGCCCTTTGCGGTGCGGGGCAGGGGACGGGCCTTGTCCGCCACAATGATCATCTCCTTGAAGAGCAGCGAGTGCGAGGGCGCGAAGCTGTTCGCCTTCTCCACCGCAGGCCAGATGGCGTTGCGATACGCCGCCAGAGCTTCGAGATCGGTGGGATCAATCTCGTGTCCAGGAGCTGGCTCAATCAGAGCACCGACGTGGTTGCGCTGTCGTCCGAAGTACAGGGCCGAACGCACGAAGGGGGAAGCCTGGATATGATGCAACAGGGGGCCCGGATTCGTCTTCTCACCAGTCGCGTGCATGATCTGGTCGTCAAGTCGACCGACGACGTGGAAGTACGTGCGATCGGTCGGTTTCTCCTTGGGGACGAGGCGAATCAGATCCTTGGTTGCGTAGTAGCGCTTCCCGTCTATCGTCTCATTGAGGACATTCGGGGCGTACCAGTCGTTCTCACCGATCAAGATCTCAAATACGTCGCCCTCACCCGCCTTGGCAGCCTCGCCTTGTCCTTCCCGGTCACCTTGAGGGCGAAGGTAGACGGGTAGAAAACGATCTGGCAGTTCCATGCGCAAGGGATCCTCGTCATTATTGATCATGACAGACAACATCGTCTCAGTAGCGGCCATGGCATTCTTGATCTTGACGCCCTGACGCTTCAGAGCATGCGCGACATCTGGGTCGATGGGCCCTCCGCCATTGATACAGTATTCGATGTTGGCTAGTATCTTGACAGCCGCCGGGATGGGCGCCCAGCCATGAAACATGACCGGAACAGCTGGGAATAGTGAAGGCTTCCAGAACGCTAGCTCGGCGAGAAGCTCCTGCGGGGAGACTGGCTTCGGAGGGTCCGTGGGCTCTCGCAGGACATTGGTCGTGCCCATACCTGCGCTGCACACTGTTCCGATGAAGAAAGCGAAAGCGTGCCACGCTGGTAGATGGCCTACGAACTGGTCTCGCCCAGAGACGTTGACGTCGCCATGCCAAAGAAGGCACAAGGATCCTACAGAGTTCTTGTGCGAAGAAGGAATGGCTTTGGGAAAGCCCGTTGAGCCGGAGCTATGCAGGATGAAGAGGGTTTCTTCCCTCGACTGGACTGCAGGTAGAGTGTGGATGGGCTTGCCGTAGTTGTCAAGCTGCTCTTGGGAAGGGTTAAACAACAATGACGACTCTGGCCATTCGATGACTCTGGGTGCCGAAGAATCGCCAAGGTCCGCAAGTGCTGCGTCCAAGGCAGTATCGAGGTCGACAGTGGTGCCTCTCGACCCTCTGAGAACGGCTACGGCGCTGCTTGACTTGAGAAGGTGAGCGATGGCCTCGCGCGAGTTGTTGATGGAGATGCAAAAGGGGACCAGACCAGCTCGGTATACGGCGTTTACGACGCAAAAGTACTAGAGCGTGTCCATGTTGGCTACCATCGCCACAACAGGGCGGCTGTCCCTGTCGTGCACACCTTTGCCGATAGGTAGGTAGCGACCGGCATCAAGGTCAATGCTGTCGAAGTGCTTGACAAGGTAGCGGGTGCTGTGGACGGTGCCCCGAGCAAGTCAGCAACGAGCACGACCACGAGCCTCGAGCTCCGAGCTCTTCCATTCCGCACTCACATCCTCTGTACCATGGCAGACATCTGACTGTAGTTGTACTGGACAACCTCATTCGTTCCCTCCTTGCGGTACTTGGCCCATACGAAGTCGGCATTGTTCTGCGCATGCCATTGCATGATCTCTATGAAGTTGAGGGAGCCGTCGAGTGGAGGAACTTTGAAGCCATTCCTACCCTCAATCTTCAAATGGGCATCTGGGAAATGCTCCGGATTGCTGCTGGCCGAAGCCCGATCGACAGAAGGCGTCATGCTACGCGACTAGTGGCCGGCGTTGGTGGTCGATTAATGGAATGTCTACTTGCTGGCTGGATATGAGGCGGTTGGGCGTGAGTCGTCTTTAGCTATGGCTGTTGAAGCAGGCGGCCTGCACTGACCTTAAGGTTGAAGGTCAGGTTGCTACGAGTCTTATAGCCTCTTCCCACCCCGGTTGCGCCTCCTCATTGTCAACCTTGACCATCAGCAGCCGACGGTATCGCTCAGCCGACAACGGCTTTGCTCCTTCATGTCGACGGGCCGTGCCGGCAGCCGACCATTCATCAACTCTCGGGGTTGCTCTGCCGTTGCCCCGTGCCGTAGGTTCGCACGCAACACCAACGAATTAATGCGCCCTTAGCCGTCATCTCAATCTGACTCGGTCCACGAGGGCGAGGCATCAGAGGTACGATGGGGGAGGACGGAGCAATCCGCATAAACGAGGGCGCGTGCGAGGGCGCCAAGGCGGCAACTGACATTCTCCGCCTCCACCAGGCCAGAGACATCCTCAGCCCGTCTGGGTCTGTGCGGTGGTCGATTACCAGTGAAAGGGTGACTGAGCATTTGGGGCGCTGCCCTCGCACGGGCCTGCCATTGCCTCCTTCTTCCCCGCGTCTTCCGTGCATTCGTTGCGTGGACCTGCGCACTTTGACTCGACGAGCAAGAAGCGGCATGTAAGAAGGCACGGACGTGTCAATGGCCAGTCCTTCTAGTTCGCTGTCAAGCTGATAGGGTGACATGACCGAGAAGAAGGGCAAGTCAAAGCGTGATTGACAGGTATGTTGAGCCTGTGAAAAGGCATGAATAGACGTGTGCGTGCGCCTTCGCGGCTCACTCATCCCGAACGGCATTGAGCCTCACACCCAAGTATTGCTATGCGCTCGATTTAGGCGACCAAGAAGCATCGGAGGTGCTGATCCGGCCCTTATCGTCGACCTCATCATTCATCCTCATCCATCAGTCTGCTCCACATTTGCCTTTCTTCACTTGTGCGTCGCCCTGCCCCACAACAGATCCGCCAGAGCCATAATCGTCCACTTCCTATTCTCCGCCTCCGGGAAAACCAAGCTGCGCTTCGAGTAGAAGACTTCATCATCGACCTCCTCGCTCTTCCTAGGCAAGCAATGCATGAACTTCCAGTCGTTCTTTGCTCCACCCTTGCTCGCCATCTGACTCGTCACCTGGAAGCCGGCAAAGTCGCGCAGACGCTGCTCCTTTGAAGCCTCGTCGCCCATGCTGATCCAGGTGTCGGTCACGATGATGTCTGCATCCTTGACGGCTTCGAGAGGGTTGCTGGTCCATTGTGTGATGCCCTTCAACCCCTGCTCACCACCACCATTGGAGCGCTGAGCTGCAACCCCGTCTTCCATCGTCTTCCACACTCCCTTGTCCACCTCGTAGCCCTTGGGCGTAGCTACAGACAGCTCGATGCCCAGACGGGGGAAGCAGACGAGCATGTCGAAGAGGATATTGTTGGCGTCGCCAACCCAGGCGACCTTGAGGCCGGAAAGGGAAGAAAGGTCGTGCGTGCCTTTGGGTGAGTACGTCTCCAGAAGGGTGAGGAGGTCGGCGAGGATTTGCGTCGGGTGGTACAGGGCTGAGAGGGCGTTGATGACGGGTACACCAGACTCTTTGGCGAGCGTCTGTACGGCGCGACCGAAGTGACAAGAAGTCAGTCAATGTCATGAGACATCATCTCCTGCGTCTTCTCTCTTGGCTCACCTCAACCTCCTCATGTCCGCCGACCCTTGCCATGATCCCATCAGTCATTGACCCGATAACCTTTGCCGAATCATACAAGCTCTCGTTTACCCCCAGCTGGATGTCCGACGGCCCCAAGAACATCGGATGGCCACCCAAGCTTGCGACGCTGGTCTCCGTCGCTACGCGCGTACGAGTGCTACGCTTGCTGAACATGATAGCGATGGTCTTGCCTGACAGCGTCTGCTCGAGAGGAAGCTGTCCGGGGGTGCGAGGGGCCTTACTTGCTGATTTAAGAGCGGCGGCGTGGGAGAGGATGTTCTGCATTTGAACGGGGGAGAGATCAGCCATGCTAAGGAGGTTGCGGGGCAGGCGGGGCTCCATCGTCGGCTTGGGTTGCGAGGCAGCTCGCAGCGACGACGTGTGGAAGCGCGAGGTTGCCGCCCATGATGAGCAGCCTGCGCTCTTGGCGAAAGTGGCGCGAGGTGCTGCCGTCTTAACAGCGAGCATTGTGATGATCAAGGTTCGTGAGGAGGGAAAAGAAGAAGGATTGCGGGGTCACAACGAGCCTTATCTCGCCCCGAGACGGAAAAGCGCCTCGATCCGAGTCAACGCCGCCAGTCCGCCGGTGAGCGCGAGAGAGATCGGGCAAGGCAATACGCTCATGAGGCTGCATAGGTAGCAATGGTACATTGTTTATAAGCACATGAGGGCAGAAAGAGATTATGTACAGATCCGAGGAAAGATGCAATCTAATATGTCGAAGTGTTGAATGGGGCAATCGTCGGCCCCGCCCTCCGCGCTTCTGTCGAGCTACTCGAAGCCTCGGAGCTTTCCTCCCCTGCTCCATGCCTATCCCTCCTGCTTCTCCTCCTCGTCGTGCCCCTCCTACTGTTGCCCGCCGACGATGTCGTCCTCCCCGGTCGCAGCGCTCGATGACACACAGGGCAAAAGGCCTGCGACATAAGCCAGGGCACGAGACAGGGGGCGTGCAGCTCATGCTGGCAGTCCAGACGCACCCCGTCTTCGTCTTCGTTCGCCCATTCGATAGGCTCGAAGCAGATGGCGCACCATCCGTCCTCGGCACATTCGTCGTGATCGTGACCGGAACAGAACGCGGTAGATCCCAATGCCGCCGCTGCCGCTTTGTCATCGCGCTCCTCTTCGCTCGTTCTCCTTGCAGTGGTCCGGCCCCATCTCCGTCTCACAAATTCCAGGCCCTCCATCTTTCTTCGCTCGACATTCCAGCTCTTTGCCAGGAGCCCAATCTCGGCCCGTAGCGCCAGTAGCGCAATGACAGCTGGCAAACTGGTGGGAGAGATGGTCGGAAGCCGCATGGTCACCACGGCGTAGCCCACGATGAGGCTGAGCGAGGAGCCTACCATCAGCGCCAACGAGGCGAGATAGAGCGAAGGCAGGCTAACCACCTGATTGTCCCGCCTCAGACTGGCCTTGCCTGCCACTGACGTCGCCTTGTGAAGGGAGCGCGCGTGAGTCGAGCCCAGCTTGCCCGCCGTTTCGAGCTCGTCAAGCATCTCTTGTTGCAGGCGAAGCAGACGACGCCCCTCAGGTGAGGTGGTAGAGTCGATGCCCCGACTGTCGAGGCCTGAGGCCTCCGCTGCCAGGGCCATCGAGGTGCGCACGGATGGTGAAGGGGAGGCGTCGTCGTGCGATGATGTGGCAGCGGGTGCTAATGTGGAGTCGGTGGCCGGTACGTCTGCTGATACGGCAGAAACCGGGCTATCGATGCTATAGCTTTCACTGACGGTATCGTGCGAGGAGAGACCGGGGTTCCCTACGTTTGCCTCGTCAGGGGAGAGTGACAGGTGCGGAGGTAGTCTTCCAAAGGCTCCGTGCCTTCGACTGCGGCCAGAGGCGATGGCTGCATTTCGGGCTCTTGCCCTCTCTGACGGCATGAATGGCGCTCGAATCCAGAGAGGGACTGCTTCGAGTAAAGAGGGTGAATGCGAGGGGGAGGGGACATTGACCTTCGTCGGGAAGCGTGAAGGAAAGAGAAGCAGCGCCAGCGGGAGCAAGGAAAGTAGTGTTGGCACCGCCTCCACGAGGAGGATAATGAGAGAGGGGAACGTCGTCGGCGGACGAGGTCTGTCAGCGTTCTGACCTGACCATTGCCGTGCTAGGCCGTGCAGTGACGCAGCCGTGGTAGGAGCAACAACTGCAACCGTCGTTGCGAGAAGAACAATTCCAGCGACAAGTGTTGGCCAGAAGGCTACGCGTTTGCTCTTGCCGCTCGATCGACCTTCGATCTCACCAGCAAAGAGCCTGACAAGCCAGAGGCCATGCAGCTGAACGAGCGTCGGGAAGATGGTCGGAAGTAGAAGCGTCTTGGGCGAAAGAGCGCTCGAGAGGGTCGGCACCTTGCTACTGCCATTGTCTGCACCCTTGTTCTCGACGAGAACAGCGATGAAGCTTGATGGCTTCCAGATGAGTGCATCGGGTCCATCCGATGAAGACGCTTGCGACCCTACATTTGAGCTCTCGCCTTCACCTCGCAAAGAATCTGGCAGGACATCGCGCAGCCTCTCTGACCAAGTGCCTGCTGGCGACGAGAACGACGATGAGGAGATGATCTGCGTACCGAAGTCGAGCAGCGTACTCTTGCCATTGGAGTATGCCGAGGTGACTGCATCACGAGCGCTAGATGAGGAAGATGATGGCGTCCGTGCACGTATGCTATCACGATAGTCGTTGAAGCCGAGGGCGAGGAGAAGCAGTACGAGTGCTAGCCGTTGCCGATAGACGCGGGATCGGAAATGGTCGAGGGAAACGAGAGCGGGCATGGCTGATGCTGGTTGTGTTTGAGCGGGAGTAGTAGCTGAGGTGGCTGCTGCTGATGCTGCTGCTGCTCTAGGCAGCGGCGTAGAGGAGCTTGCTAGCTGAAAGTAATGGTTACCTCCGGCCGGTCAGAGGGCAGTAGTTGTCTGAAAGTTGAAAGTCTGTGCCTGCGCGGCGCTCGGCCTGGTTATCTCGCAGCGGGCGGCAGCAGCTGCGATTGTGGGCTGCTCGCCCACGTCAGGTGGAGGATGGTAGTGAGGAGAAGGAAAGGTGTGCTGTGCTGAATGGGTGTTTGAGGGTAAGTGGTGTGCGATGGTTGGAAGGGCAGGAAGGCAGTCACTCCACAACCGGGCAGGCATGCGGGGCTGCTCACAAGCCGGCTGATGAGATCTGGACCGGGGGTCAATTCAGTCTGGTCTGGTCTGGTCCAGCCGAGTCGAGCTGAGTCGTCGAGTCGACGGTCGAGTTCCGACAGCCAGTCGCCGAGGGCAAGAAGGGGTGCGAGCGAGCCACGGCGCGGGATAGACGGGATGATTGTCTCCATTGTAGTAGCGAGATGAGTGATGGATGACGCTACGCCTCAAGCCCCTGTGCACGGATGATTATCGCCCTGGATGCTCGATGCTCAAGGCGACCATGCATTGCCTCAAGATGTCTTGTGAGCAGGCTTGGGTGAGCGGTGCGGTGGCTTCGGCGCGGGGCAGATCTATCTCCCTGCCCGCGGGTCGCGTGGCCTCTTGGCGTGGGCCCGCCGATCTGTCGAATCGTAGGATTAGCCGCGGCGGGAGGAGGAGGACACGGGTGCGCTTGCAGCCAGCCAGCCCGCCCTCTGCAGCTCCGTCAGATCGATCATTTTGGCGAAACGGCAAGCCAAGCAGCAGCACCTCGAGTCGAGTCGCAGCCAACGACGGCCATCACTATCCTCCATCCTCCCATCCTCCAACCTACGCGTCCCCTCGTAGTCATCGCATCCATTGGCGCAGTGGGCGCGCGATATAAAGCAGTAGAAGCTTGTCAGTGCCATATCGAATGGCTGGCAGCGCCTCGTCCTCGTCTTCGACAACAGGAACGACGACGATGTCAACAGGAGGGGCGGGGCAGCCATCCTCTTCGTCGTCGCACGCGCAATTCAGCCTACCGCCGCCAGTAGACTTTGATGCCATCCGCAGAAAGCAGAGGGCCATCACGCAAGCCGCAGGAAGCGCAGCCAGTAGCAACGGCAGCCAGATGAACAGTCCAGCGTATCAACAAGGCGGAGGCAGCAGTGGCGGTGCTGCAGGCAACCACTTTAGCATGAGTGGGAGCAATGGCGTCAATGGCAGTAGTAGCAGCAGTGGCGGAGGCGGGCCCAAATTGCCTACGACTTCGTCATCGGCAGGTGCCTTCGGATCGGGAAACGACCCTGACGCATTTCAAGCTGCGCTGGATCAACTCATGGCGGGCAATGACCATGCCATGGGAACGCCAACGCATCCACCAGGCGGACACGCCAACATGTTTGCACCCAGCCAACAGCAACCGGCTCCGCACCATCATCATCACCATCCTCACGGCCCAGCACGACAGAATTCTCAGCCAACCACGCCGCAGGGCGCGCCGATGATGATGGCCAACCAATTTCACCAGCAACATCAGCAACCTCAACATCACTCTCATCCTCATCTTGCACATTCACATCATCATCATCACCATCATCCTCACGCGCCGCAGCAGCCGCAGCAGCCAAGTTCGCAGCCAGGTTCGAGCGCGTCCCCGTTCCCACCCTCGGCCAGTCCCATGCCTGCCGAGGAGCACGCTCGCCTCTTGGGCAACGCGTCGATGTCCTTCAATACCTTTGCCATGGACCTTGGTCGCTCACAACAGGCAGCTGCAGGCATGCAATACATTGACCCAAGCGTGACTGCATGGGTCGGCGGCGTACGCAGTGCGGCGCAGACGCTCTGCACCGAACTTGCTGGCATCAGCCAAGCCTTGCGAGCAGGGTCGATGTCGTTGTGGAGAGGACAAGGCGGTCGTCCTGGTCCGGCTGGCACCGGCGCGACCAACCAGTTCTGGCCGAATGACTTCGCATCGATGTTCGCTCAGATGCAAGGTCAGCAGTCGGGTGACAGTTCGGCGCAGGCTTCCCCAGCCAACCCTCGAGGTATGGGCGGCGCGCAGGGGCAACGTGGTATGCCCAACGCCGCCAACATGGAGCCTACGATGCTCCTCAACTTCCTCGATCAGAATCAAGGTCTGCCACCTGGCTTGCCGCCTGGCCCTGCCGAGCAGATGCTCGACTTCCTGACGCAGCCGTCAACAGGCATCGCGCATGATGTCAACGGCAGCAGCGCCAGCTCGTCGAACGCAGCCATTGCGAACAAGAAGCGTCCCGCAGACTCATCAGCCTCCCCCGCTGGCCCAGCTGCTGGACCTTCGGCCTCCAAGATACCCAAAGCGGCTGGCAAGCACAAGTCTCGTCCACCCATCGAGGGAGTGCGTCGCGAGTCAGTACGCTACCGCAATCGCAAGCTTCTGGTTGACATGCGCGAGCAACTCTACAAGTGGCTTGACACGACGGAATTCTGCCGCATTGCCCGCTCTTACCCTCAGGGATCCAATGGGTGGGCTACTGTACCCATCGACGCTGAGCGCCCCGAGTTGGGGACCAAGCGCGTCTTCAAGCCCAATTTCGAGATTGGGTCTGACTTGTACATCTGCAACAAGGAGCTGCTCGAAGCGCTGATTGAGCTCGGCCAGCAGAAGGTGCGAGATGGTCCGGAGGCGTACGGGATGAAGGAGGGTGTGGAGGCGAAGGATGTTGTGGTGGACGTGGCGAAGGATCTGATGGATTCAGCACGACATGGCTATCGCGCGAACCTGAAAAAGCAGCAGGAGGACGAGGCGGATGCAAAGGCCAAGTCGACGAGGTATAAGCAGCAAGAGCGTCACAGAACCAAGGTCCGCAATCGTGAGGTCGGCGCAAAGAGGCTGCGCCACCCGATCCCGGATGCCCTCTTGACGATGGGCCTGCACTCGGACGATGCGGCTAGCGACCAAGAGGACATGCACAAGATGGACAAGGACGAGTGGCGTCGTACGCGTCTGCGCAAGCTGCAGAGTAAGCGTGGGTGGGAAGCTCTCTCACCCCGCTGGCGTAATCCGCACCTGACAAAGGCCTATCACATTGCGGACACCCTCTCCAAGTCGAAGCAGATGCCTCGCTGGCGTCGCGATGGGGGCGTGGACTTGGATCCTCCTTCACGCCTCTGGGGCAAGACCCTGCCAAAGGTGGTATTTGACCCCACCTGGCTCGCGGAAAACGAGCAAAGGATAAAGGAGGACCCTTTCCACATTACTGTGGAGGATCGTCCTGTTGCCGGGTGGAGGAACGAGGAGCATGGATTGAGCGACGATACCGAGGATGAATTGGAGCGCTTTGAGCGGGAGGTCGCGCGACTGAACCGGGCAGCGAGGAAGAAGACGGCGGGAACAGCTGGTCCTTCCTCGAATGCGTATTCGATGATGGGGATGCCTGGGGCCAGCGGTACGGCGGGAACAGGTCGTCAGCACTCCTCGTCTGCTTCTTCGCCGTCGACGGGTAACTCCGAGGGTCGAGATCGTGGAAGGAGCAATAGCGGGCGCTCAGGGGAAGGAGAGGACGCTGACGGCGATGCGGACGATGAGGGCCACAGCGGGGATGTTGGCATGAGCATGGACGTCGATACCAAGGATAGCAGGTCAGCGCTGCTGCCAGGGGTCGGGACGGCTATTGGCGGCGCAGGGGGAGCGGGAGGAAGTCTACTTCATCAGACGGCCGGCCTTGTATGAATGAGGAGTCTCGCAGACGGAGGCCGTAGTCGCGGAAAGGCGGTGTTGGGAGTCTTTTGTATTGTATCAAGTCCACTTTCGAATCGTACACTGTCATCCACTTGACGCATACCGCTCCATTAGCTAGACACGAAGCATTTGTATCGCACTGGCTGCCCACCTACTTGCCAATGCCCTCAATTCCTCTTCCCATCAACGCCTCCTTGATCTCCTTCTCCACCTGTTCCACCTCACTCTTCGAATCGACCTTGACGACCTTGCCTTGCTTCTCGTAATGCTCAACAACGGGCATCGATGTCTCCAAGAAGGTGCGGAATCGCTTCTTGATCGACTCGGCATTGTCATCTGCTCGACCGGAGGTCTCACCACGCTTCATGAGGCGCTGCAGCATGATCTCTTCGGTGCAGTCGAGGAAGAGGACGAATTGCGAAGGACAGACTGACTGGTCGAAGAGGAGGGCCTGGTCCCTGCGGCAGAGGTGAGGCGGAATCGATCAAGTCAGTAGAAACACAGTACCAGTTGACCCGTTCCAACGCACATCTTCCTCGGAAAGCCATCGATCAAGACTCTGCCCTTTGCCTCGTTGCCGAGCTTGTCCTTGATTGCGTTCTCCAACAACTTGATGGTGATCTCCTGCGGGACGATTTGGCCTTCCCTGATATAGCGGTCGATGAGCTCTCCAAACTGGGATCCCTTGCGGTTCTGCTCAGCGCGAAGGAGGTCACCAGCGGAGAGGTGGACGAATCCGTACTCGTCTACGAGCCTAGCGCATTGAGTTCCCTTGCCTGAGCCGGGACCACCGAGGACGAAGATGACTTTGCAGTCTTTCGATGAAAAGAGGGGTTGTGTGCGAGAAGTGATTTCGTCTGCCATTGTGACTACTTTGGATCGCCGTCCTTGTGTCGTGGAGGGATGAGGGGATTCTCAAATTGACGCCTGCGTTCAGAGGCTGGGAGGTGCTTTGCTTCTTGGTCGCGTGATTGGGTAATGTAGACGAATGCGCCGAGTGATAGGGCGGCTAGTGCTGCGAATGCTAGGGGCGAGGGATTGTTGCTGCGAGGTGGGGGCATGCGGATAGCGGGGAGAATAGGAAAGGGAGAAGGAGGTGTTGGACGGCTTCCAAGTCTCGCCCACGCGGCTGTCGATTGCTCGCCTTGGGTCGCGGACAGAGCGAGGAGCGAGGACTTTGCTTCGCTCTGCCTTTGTCTCTTCCGTCCGTCCAATCAAGGCATATACCCACCACGCGCCATGATCCGATCATCATCCTTTGGCACTCTGGGTCAGCCTCCAGCCAAGCAGCCATTCTCCTTCGGTGGTGGCGCCTCATCATCACAGCCGCAACAGCCTCAATCAGCTACGACGGGAGGCTTCTCCTTCGGAGGCGCCGCTGCTCAGCCTTCGACGAGCAACAACAACAACACGGCCGCCTCGTCGACGTCTCTGTTTGGAGCACCAAAGCCAGCGACGGCAGGCGGCTTCTCTTTCGGCGCCGGGGCGACCTCACAGCCTCAACAGCCGCAGCAGCCGCAGCAGCAAAGCAATCCTGCTCCATCACTAGGCGGCAGCCTCTTTGGCGGTGCAGCTTCCAACTCGGCCCAGCCTTCAACATCCCTCTTTGGCCAGCCTCAGCAGCAACAACAGCAGCAGCAGCAGCAGCAACCGAATCAATTTGTTTCAGGCGGTGGCGGCTTCAGCTCCTCTCTCTTCGGCCAATCACAATCGCAGCAGCCCAACAACCAGCTACAAGCCTCTCAGGCTTCCACATCCGCCTCCCCCTTCAGCCGTCACGCCTTCTACCAGAAAGAGCGCTTCAATGATCTCCCTGACGATGCTCGTAAGCTCGTCGAGGAGATGGACGCCTTGATCACCTCGCACGTCTCCATCCGTGACGAAGTCCACCCCAAACTCATCCCGGCCTCTTCTTCCTCCTCCTCTGCTACAACCGCCGAGCTCGCACCATTAGGGGCGCAAATCCACTCTCTCTACTCTCAGCTACACGACGCAACCGTGACCCTGAGCGCGCTGAGTGCTACAGTAGATTACCAACAAGCCAATGTGCGCAGCTTGGCCAATGGAGTCGAGACGGACAGGAGGGATCTGGCCCAACTGTGGGAGATTGGGGATGCGTACAGGCAGAATCAGATGGGTGGCACGATGCAAGCGCCGTCGCAGGGACAGGGGCAGCAGCAAGCCTTTGGACAAAGCCAAGGCTTTGGTCAGAGCCAACAAGGTCAGCAGTCGCAGCAGCCAAATCAGCAACAGCAGCCCCAACCCTCCCCCACCTCCTCCCGCCCGAACAATGCCCAAAAGCATCGCCAATTCCTCTCCTCCTACTTCACACGCTCCGCCTCCGACTTCCAGGCCCGTGTAGCGCAATATAGACGCTCTCTGGACGCTATCACGCAACACCTCTCTTCCCTCTCCTCGCGGGACAAGCACTCACCCAGAGCGATCAGTGACACCATCTACTTTCAGCATGAGACGTTCATGCAGTTCGCTGGACAGGTGGCTGCGTTGAACGGGGAGGTAGAGGGATTGAAGAGGGACTACCGCACTTGGTATGCGAAGGTCTTCAGGAGTGTGAGGGATCCATTCGAGGCCAAGGGGGAAGGAGATGGGCTGGACATGTAGGCAATGAAGAGTGTGCAGGGGGCGTCATAGGCGACAAGGAAGGCACGCAACCGAACGCCACGGCGAGCCGATGTACATGCAGCATGGAATGGCATCAAAAATGGACACATTAGTGTTGCAAATACAGATTGTAGAACGAGCGATACCGCCTCTGCGCCGTAACATCTCTTCTTCTCCCTCCTCCCCCTTCGTCCCTACCGACTCTCCTCTGCCCGTCACCCCGCTCAAAGCGTCGACCTACAAAGTGGGCAAGTCGCAGACCCACTCGTACTGACCCATCTGAACAGACACGCAGCATGGAAGCCGTGCTTACAAGTCTTGCAGTGCTTGTTCGGCAGGCTCCTCTTATCCTCTGGGCTAATGATCGAATAGCAAATCGCACATTCTGCCCCTTCGTACCCGGCAAATTTGGCTTCAGCGTTGCGCTTGAAGAGGAGCAGCGCGTCAACAACTAGGCCGCCACCTTCGGTGGAGACGAGACGTTGCACCGAGAGAAGCCAAGAGCGCCAAGTAGACTCGGCGACTCCTACTCTGCGGACGTCCTTGACTTCGATGGGATGCAGAGGGTACGAAGAGGGAAGACGGATGGCCATCTCCAATGGATGCTCGTCGATCGTGTACGTTGCAAGCACCTCACCTCCGCCCCCTGTGCCGCTCGACAGCACCTTGATGCTCATCGCGTCATCCTGCAAGAGCTGCTGCCTTGCCTCAGAGTCAGGGTCGCGCAGAGCGGAAAGCTCCCTGCCCGTGAGGAGCGGTGAGCAATGTCGCGTTGTGAAGGAGGCGACGCCTATCGAGAGCTGGCGGTCCTTGATTGAGGAGAACCATTCGCGCACCGAGGAGGCAAGATGGATGAGCGAGCGAAGATAGACGTGCGCTGCAAGGTGCCGTAGTGAGGTGACGTCCGAAGGGTCGATGGAGTCCAGGAAGAGCTCGTCGAGGGAGAAGCGCTCCGGGTCGTAAGCCACCACAGGCGCCGAAGCAGCTTGCGCCGAAGCAGATATAGCGGCCGTCATCGACTGGGTCCGCCCACTACGCTGCGGCTCCACAAGATCAAAGACGGTCGGCATCAGGCTGCTAGCCACAAGGGCTCCATCGCTCTGCAGCTGACTTGAGAAGACAGCTCGAAGGGCCGGTGTTGCCCCCTCGAAGTGTTCGAATATTGCAAGCCAGCAGAGCAGGTAGCTCAATGTTGCGCGGCAGAGGTCGGCGTCCTCTTGTAGGTCCTCGACGGTAGCGACCAGCGGGGAGCGCACCGCCTCTATGAGCTGGGGCAGGAGCTCGACGCGATGCTTTTGCACCGGTGTCGGCTTGGAGGTGGTCAATTGCTGTGCAGCATCCGCAACTGGAGTAGCTTCCTTCTCTCCATCTCCTTCGTTGGCACCCTCAGCACCGCCTCCCCCTTCGTTGCCCTTGTCCATCGCCGACTGGAAGATGAGTTCCTGCACATGAGCGCGAATTGAAGCCGACAGCATACGGTACGCTGTAGCCTGTACAGAGCGCATCGGGCTGCTCAGTAGCTTGCAGAGGGTAACGCGGTGCTCTGTACTCTGGCCGAAAGCCTTGCCGCTCTTGCCCTCGCTGTTACGGCGAACAACGGAGACGAGGAGGTCGGAGGTGAGCTCGAGAGGGAGAGATGTGCGCGCTGCTTGCTGCTGCCCTTTTGCAGAGGACATTGTGGCCAGCGAAGCGAAGAGCGGTTGCAAAAGTTCCACGATTGCCTCCTCATGGTCTTTGTGCACCTCCCGGAGCGTCGCATTCGTCCCCGCCAGCTCGCACAGCGTCTCAAGCAGCTGAAGTGTCGCATGCAACCCAGGCAGGGATGCCTCCTCCTTGAGTGAAGCCAGCTCTAGATTCTCCTCCAAGACATCATAAAAGAAGTCCAAATGCGTACCTGGCATCTCCTGCACAATAGGCGCTACATGCAGGAACAAGTCGACCACGAGCGTATTGACCTCATCGGGGAAATCCTCTTCGGAGGCCATCCAGCGCTGCAAGCCTTGGAGGAGGAAAAGAGCACGTTGCTGCGGTACCAGAGCCACATCCGACTCGACCGGCGGTGCTAGTGCAACGGCCAGACGCAGCAGCCGGACGCCTTCTGATGCTGCCTTGGTGGGTGGAGTGGCGGACAGGCGCGAGACGACGTCGTTCCTCATGCGGTCGTAGAAGGGCGTTTCGAGGACGAGGGGCTCGGTTGAAAGAATCACTGCCTCGCTCAGGAGGGGGGCTTTGCTCTCCACACTCATGCCCAGACGCAACCAAAGCGTGGCCTCCTGATCGCCGGCAGAGCTGAAGGAGAGGACGCCGGAGATGAGACGAGAGAAGATGCGGGGCAGGCGTGAGTCCGATGAGGGAATGAGGCATTGTTGCCAAAGCCGTGCCAGAGTGGCCAGCAGAGCATCTTGGCTGCTCACTGCGCCATCGAGACCTCGTTGAAGAGCCTCGGTGGCCGTCTTGTGCCATGACTCCGCGATTGACCCGCCCACTGATACGAGAATGCCGCTACTGACCTGTACGGCTCGCACGAGTATGCCCTGTAGCCTCGCCGGATCGACCGAGCCTTCGACCAGACCTCGAGAGGATCCGGCAGCACTCAGCTCGTCCTCACAGACTGTGGCCAGGAAGACAAGGTGCGGCAGAGCCCACGGATTGGCTTTGGCTGTTGCCCGACTCTCCTCCAGGGTGAGGAGCAAGGCATACGCGGATCGCACGCCGAGGCTCAGACCCTCAACGTCATGCTGAACAGATGTGGCTGCGGCGCTCTTGCCGGCCTTTGGCGTGACGAGGGGATCCAGGATAGCTAGCGCAGGTGACGAGGAGGTGGCTGCTAGACCCTCAAGGAGAACTTCGTCCATCTTCTGTCTTGATGGCAGTATCGACAACGCAGTGACGTCTTTGCTACTTGGTCCGGCGGTGGAGGAAGAGCCGAGAAAGCGCCTCGCGGCCTCAAGCACGACCACGACCTCGATCTGGGCATCGAGGACTGAATCGCGCAGCACCTCAAGCGCGGCATCCGTTGCCTTGGCGTCTGAGGAGACAGCATCCCACAGTGACGACAATGAGCCATGCGGTCCGCTCTGCCTGAGATACTTGAGCATGAAGGCTGCAGTAAGCAATGGCTCGAGCAGGTGAATATCGCGCACCTGATCGAGTCTCTGCTGCGGCGCCTTTTGTACCCAATGGTGCAAGATGCCAGCGATCTGGTCAAGTGAAGACTCTGCGCTGCCCCTCTGCTCCCTTGCTGCCCCGTGAATGTGCGAGATGAGGATGGCAAGAATCTGCTTGACCGTCTCCACATCCACGAGCGGGCCCGGCTGGTCCAGAATACGACTGAGGAAGGCCTCGCCCTCGGTCTTTGATCCTGACGCAAGCTCATTCGCCACGTCGAGCGCCACGTCATCCAGTTTGGTACCGGAAGGGGCATCCAGCTGCACGTCTGACGGCAGCCCATCTAGAAGGCATTGCAGGGTTGCTACCTTTGCCTTGGGGTCTGAGACAGAGGCGGCGCTCTCTACGAGAGTGACTACCGCCTTCTCTACGTCCGACGAAGGCGCCGCGCGAGCGTAAGCGGAGATGAACTTGCCGAGTGTCGAGGTGTTGATGGATTGCTGGGTGATGCTAGTCGGCAAGACGTCCTGCGCAACGCTGTGAGCCGCTGAGGACGGGCCAAGATCGGCAGGGAAGTGCGAGAGGAGGCTCGAAAGAAGGAGAAGGCGACTATCGAGCGACGTCGTTGTGGTGGACTGCGCAGCCTCGTCTGCGGCTTTTGTGACTCTGCTTTGGACTTGCTGAGCGAGGATAGAGGTCGAACCCTCTGACGGTGATGATGCCAGCTTCGACAGGATGCTGACTGCTCGTTCGATGTGAGCTGCCGAGCTTGCAATGCTGCCTTGTGCAATCTCGTCCAAGCGGCCGAAGATGGCATCGAGAAGCGGAGTGGCTGCATTCAGCTTGGCCAAGCTCGCGATGGTGCTCGCCAGCCTGTCATCGACGCCTTGGCGAAGGCTGTTCAAACGAGTTACGGCCGCAGGATTGGTGCGACGCGTCTCTATCGGTTCCCGCCCCTCAGTTGCATCAAGCACCTCCTCTCTCCACACTTTGCCCAAATGATCCCTCGCCAGCTGTGCCGCCTGCTCCGTGCTGTTCTTGCTCACCCTTCCCACAAGGTACGCCGCGCACTCAACATAGCTGTTGAAGAAGACATTGAGCGGCAGACGGTCGCCAGAATCGTAAAGACCGGACTCGTAGGAAGCCCAGAAGTTGTTGAGAAAATGATCCCATGGTGTGGCTTCGAGGGGAAAAAGGTCTGCGTGGATCGTGGTGAGGAAGATGAGGATCGTTGGAAGACCTTGCAGTGGCTGGCCTGCACAACCTGACTGAACCCATGCTGTAAAGCTGGCGAGCTTGGTGCTCAGTGTCGAGGTCGTCGATGCGACGATCTTGGGCTCCTTGACCCCTGCTTCTGCTTCCTCTTCGCTGTCCTCATCGTCCTCATCATCGTCATCGTCATCGTCGCCATCGCTATCTGCCTGCTCACCGGCCATCTTCCAGGCATCTGGATGCTTGCTCAACAGAGGTAGTAGGGCGTCCAACATCTGCCTCTGCGTCGATGTGTCCCTTTCTTCCCACGCCGCTGAGAGAGCGATTGGGGCTACGATGTCAAGCGTTTGGGTGAGCAAGCCATCATGCTTGGCCGTCAAGACCTCGATGAGCTCCCATGCTCTTGTTCTTGTGACAGGGTATCCGGCGCCAAGCCCTTCGTGCTGCGGCGAAGAGTGCAAAGCTCCCCACATCTCTTGTGAATGGAGCAAGTTGACGAGCTCCTCGCACGAATCTGAGACGCTCGCGTTGGACGAGAAGATCCAAGTCAGGGCCCCGAGAGCCCCTGCTGCTAGTCTAGCATCGATGCCTCGCGGATCTTCCTCGACATTGGTCTCGTCGCGATTCTTTGCGTCCCTGCCTCCATCGGCGCCATTGGCGAATGATTGTCCTCTCGTCAAGGCGGGGGCTGCAGAGCCACTCGCGAGAGCTGCTGATGAGCCTTGGCTGAGGAGGAGGGAGAGATAGTTGGCGAGTTGCGAGAGGTAGTCCGAGAGGGACAGCTTGTCCCCCTCACCTTCGGTGTCACTTCCCCAAGTGACTGACTTCTCCCAGCTCTCTCTCGCCGTAAGCGACGTAGCTCGATCGGTATCCCATGCCAGCGTCGCCCAGGGTCCTAAGATTGGTTCGATGTATTGATGTGACTGGGTGAGTTCTCCTCTTGTGCTCAATGACGGCGCAAGGAGGCGACTGTGTATCTGCGCAGTGAGCAAACGCAACCGTCTTGTGGGCGAGGCTGCCAATCGAGGGAAAAGGTGCGCCCAGCTAGGAAGCATCATGACGAGAGCGCTCTCTCTCTCCTCAGCGCTGAGCATTTTTGCTTCCTCGTCTTCACCGCCTTGCCCGTCCACCCAGGCCAGTAGCCCCTCGAGCGCCCTACTTCTCGTGACGACATCCTTCTTTGCAGCTTTCCTCAGCAAGACGACCAAGCCCGGCGGCAGTAATGACGCCAAGCCGAGCGTATCGAGCGGATCAGGCGGGGGCTGAGGTGGCTTAGGCGGCGGGATGAAGACCTTCTTCTTTGGCTCCTTCTTGGACTTCTTGTCCTTCTTCTGGCCACGCTGAGGGCCTTTTGGCGTACCGGGAGCTACGGCGTCCGGTCCATCGCCTGCCTTCTTGGCCTTCTTGGCCGCCTGCTTCTTGCGTGTGGCCGACGAGGCGGAAGATTTGCCGCTGCCCTTTTTGTTGGCGGGCATGGCGGGTGCTAAGAGAGAGACGAAGACTTAGTTGCGTGGTCTCGAGAAGAAATCAAAGGCAGGCGGCAAGCAAGACGTCGTGTGCCTCTCTCCATCGCCCGCGGAGTCGGACTCACTCGCTCGCCCCTCGTCTCGCCGCTCTGTCCGCCTTCTTCGTCAGCCCGCGTTTTCGACGTTTAGGTGGAGTGTCAAGGCTGCGACGTACCACATGGCACAGGGTCTTGTCCAACGTGAGATCACCATTGAAGCATTTCGACGTCGCTGCTACTGACAGAAATGCCAGGTGACGAGGGAACACGACACGACTACCACACCAACACGTCAGCGTCTTGGTCGAGTCGCGACGTCTCTTTGAGATCTCCGGTCGCGGTAGAGCGTGACATGGCCATCAGTGGCGTCACGCTAGGCGCCGAGCATCATCGATTACCACGCCCATCGAGGATTGCTACGCTTTGACTTCTGACTCCTGATAGCGTGAACACTTTCTCGGCGAGGTCACCGATCCCTCGCTGTTCTCCTACGTCATCCTCTTCAACCTCCATCTTCCGGACGGGACAGGAAGAATTAGCAGAGGAATAGGCGGGCCTGCCGTCTCGCAGCTCCGCCGTGCGCCCGCTGCTGGACCCTGACCCTGACTATCGACTCGAAGGACGATGAGGCGGTGCCCTGAATGACGCACGACACGCCCTCGCACAAGCCAAGCACTGCCGATTTGGGCGCTCGATTAAAGTGCCTCCCCATCAGCAGCAGGCGACCAGGGTCGTGCTCCTTCTGGGCGGCGACGCTTGTTTGGACGCCTGCTTCATTCAGAGGCAGAAAGAGATGTCGGCAAAGCAGCACTCGGAGCAGCGGCTGAGATCGTACGATGCGGTGCACGCCTTGATGTCCGGGGTGGCACGAGAGCAATCTGAGACGTTGAGCCGTTGACTCTGTTTTGGGCATCACGGGAGCCGTCGATGGGGATGGATCCGTCAACTTTTTTAGAGTGCAGCGCCGCTCAATGACAACATCGTTGCCGCTCGACCCCTAGACAAGCTCAGGCTTTTCTTGACGGGTCGGACGAGGGCCGACGAGGACGGCATACAAAAGGGTCGATGGTGGCCAACTCCGTCTTGACTCACTACAACAACATCATCGCTACATACCACTGCCCTCATCTAACAACATGGGAGGTGAGCACGCTCGGGCCTTGGCCACCGTACCGTCCACCATTCGGAGCACTGACAGAATTCCTTTCTTCCGTCCTCCGTGTCGGCAGCCGTCTACTCTTGCCTTACCTCGATCGTCCACGCCATCGGCGGACTCATCATGGGTCTGTTCCGTGCCATCGGTGCTGCCCTCGCCGCCGTCGTCCGTGCCGTGGAGAGTGAGTCTCGCGCCCTTGCTGCTCTGAGACCCTGCTTCGGCCATCATGCTGACCATCCACTTCCACTCTTCGCCAACAGCCGTCTTCTCGGCCATCATCGGCTGCATCACCTGCCAAGGCTGCGGAGGAGGACGCAGAAGGGGAGGGAGGACCAAGGTCTGATCAGCGCAAGAGAGGAAGGAGTAAGAAGGGACACTTGACGTTAGACCGACGGCTATATCAGCTAAAGTCTAGAGAGATACCCGATCAACAGTAGCAGTCCTCTCCTCAGGATCAGGCTGTGCATGTAGCATTCACGATACACGTTACGATACGACATGCGCGTAGTGCAATCAGACCAGAGTCGATTGATCAGCGAACCATCAGGACGAGTCTCAGTAGTCATTGCGTGGTGAGAGTGATGTGTGTTCCTCGAATTGCATCTCGAGGAGTCTGTGATACCAACGGAGAAGCAATGCCCGAGCGTGAGACTTTTGAGACGCGTCCGTCAACGCAATTCCATCAACCCATCGTCAGCACAACTGCCTTATCCCTTCCATCCATGTAGTCATCCACTCTATCCCATGGCGCCCGCCATCGCCGACAATTGCGCACCCTGCGCCGGGAACTTCTCAATGAAGTTGAGCTGCGCTCTTGATGCACTAGCGTACGAGAAGGCATTCAGGAGCTCTCCCTCCGTTCTGGCGATATTCGCCGAGCGCTCAAAGAAGTCGATTGCCTCCTGAAGCTTGCCCGACTGCAGGCTGAACTGCGCAAGCGTACCAACGGCAGCATCGCAGTCCTCGTCGATCTTGAGTGCCTCGCGGCAGAGCCTCTCGGCCGACGCAATGTCCTGCTTCCACTGGAAGAGGGCCAAAGCCTTGTTGATCATTGGCAGGACGTTTCGGCTGGAGTCCCTCTGGCTCTCAATCTCGATCGCTTTGTCGAACTTCTCCATCGCCTCCTCATGCTTCCCCTGGTCGAGGAGCAACTCGCCGTAGTAGTTGTACGCTTCTGAGCTACCCTCGAAGTTGCGCAAGATGCGACGGAAGGAAGCGAGAGAGCCTCCGACGTTCTCAAGCTTATATTGCGCGACTGCGTGCTGGACTTGGGAGAAGATGAAGGTGTCGTCAAGCTTGGTGGACTTTTCGTAGTCAGCCATTGCTTCTTTGAACTGGCCGAGGATGAAATAGACCTGACCGCGATGGTAGTAGATGTCCGGGTCGTCCGGGTTGGCCGCGATGGCCTTGTCAAAGTCGGAGAAGGCGGCCTCGTTCTCGCCGAGCTCCATATGTACGGAAGCCTTCTTGACCCAAGACTGGACGTGGCTGGGCTGCAGCTCCGTAGCCTGGTTGAGGTCCTCCAGAGCGCCAGGTGCGGTGCCAATCAGGAAGCGGAAGGTGCCGCGCATGTTATAGGCCAGCGCCTTGAGCTCGTCCGTGCTTGGCGACTGGTCGACAGCCTCGTTGAAGAGGCTGCAAGCGTGCGGATAGTTGCGCGCGTCCAGGGCTTGGAAGGCGAGGAGGAGCGTCTGGTCGCCCTGAGAGGGAGAGTCAGGCAGGGTGGGGTGCGGCTTCTTACGGAAGGCCTCGAGGTAGGCTGTGACGAAGGTGGGCGACGGCAGCTTGGGCTCACGAGTCTTGAGAAGCTCCTTCGCTTTGACGGTCGAGACCTTCTTGAGGACGCGCTCGACGCTCTCTGTGGCCGTCTGATCAGAAAAGTGGCCGAGGAGAGCAACGGCGGTGAAGTCGCACAGACTGCGAAAGAGGAGGTCTTTCTTCTCGTCAAGCTCAGCGCCGGGCTTTTCGCCGTCAGCGTCTGCGCCGAGGTGCTCTTGTGCCACTGCTCTCCTGTTGAGAGCTTTGATGTAAGCAGGGTCCATGGCGAGGGCTGAGTCGCAGTCCTTGATGACCTCGCGGTACTTGGACAGGTTCGAGTAGCAGGCAGCGCGGTTGGAGAAGAAGACTGCGAGAGGCTGCGCCGCGATAGCCTTTGTGTAGAGGTCGATTGCAGGCTCGAAGCGACGCTCTTGGTAAGCCTTGTTCCCCGCAGCCTTGAGCGCTTGAGCCAACGACTCTTTACGTTCTGATGGCAGCTTGGCGATCTCGTCCGCGGACAGCTTAAAGAGGGCCTCGTCGGATGCTTCCTCCAGCAGTGGTCCGTCAGGGCGTTTCAATGCATCGTCGCCGCTGCTACCACCACCACCGCCGGCTCCACCCTTCTTGCTCTTCTTCTTCTTCTTCGACTTTGATGATGCTGCAGCTGCGCCGGTCCCCTTTGAGCCCGACTCTGCTGCATCATCGCTGCCACCTGCCTTTCCCTTCTCAGCTGCATCTGCTCCATCGGGCGCTGACTTGCCCTTGGATGACTTCTTCGAGCTGCTACTGCTGCTACCGCTGAGCAGGTAGTAGGCTCCTCCTCCAGCGACGACGGCTGATCCGACACCGAGGGCGATGGCGAGGTTCCTGTTCTCGTCAATCCATCGCGAGAGGCGATTAGCCGTCGTGTGTGCCTGCGTAGAGGCAGCGTCGACGGCCTGTTGAGCGCTGTTGTTGGTCGTCGTGCTCGCCATCGAGGAAAGAGTGTTGAGAGGTGAGGTCGATGAGTTGACAAAAAGCAAGAGATCGTCGTCGACCTCTGGCTCGCACTTGCGCCTCTTTCCTTCCTCCACCACCCTGTGAGCCAGTCACTCACTCTGCCGCGCGGTTTTGGTCGAGGCCGACTGACTTCAACGACTCAGACTGATGATGGGCGGCGTCGCGTGGCAAACCATCTTGCTCAGGCTCGCTCAGTCCGCCCTCCGTCGTCCCCGCTCGCTCACCTCGCAGTCGAGGCGGCAATGAAGCGTCGTGTTTCTGGCCCGCCCTGAAACGCATCCTCATCATCTTTCCATCCGATCAAACCAACCACTCCTCCTTATCGCCACTGCCAGCAAGACACGCGCAATCATGTCTGACCACGAGGAGAACGCTCCCAAGCCCGAGCCTGAGCAGCTCAACATCAAGGTCAAGGACAGCGACGTGAGTGGGCGGGCGAGCGAGCGAGGGAGCGAGGGAGCGCGTATCGTGAGAGCGACGCATAAGCTGATGGCGACTGCCCTTCCTTCGCTCACCACGAATTAGGGAAATGAGGTCTTCTTCAAGGTCAAGTGAGTGCAGTGTGGCGCAAATGTTGCCTGATCGTTGCCGAGCAAGGCTGACCATTGTAAACCCTCGTTGCCTCCACCCCCACCTCAGGAAGCACACCAAGTGAGCTTCTTCTCGAGGCCAGCCGCACGCTCCATCGCAGCCAGTCTTGCTGACCACGCTCTCATCTTTGCCCCATTCCAGGCTCGCCAAGCTGCAGAAGGCCTACGCGGAGAGGATGGGCAAGCCCTTTACATCCATCCGCTTCGTGTTCGACGGTCAGCGCATCAACGACGAGGACACAGCTGACTCGATGGGCATGGAGGACGGCGACGAGATCGACGCTCTGCCCGAGCAATTGGTGATTAGCCTCGAAGATGATGCTTCCGTGCGTCGCTGTATCGCTGACACCACCTCGCCTCACTTCGCTCTTGCGTTCGCAGGGAGGCTGCAATTAGGCGCTGCACACCCTTTCCTTCTTGTCACCTTGTCGACGTGTGAATGGATGGACGGATCGCTCGCTGAATTGACCAGGACGGCAACATCGGCAACGACGTCCTCCTTGCTCGCTCGGCCCATATGACCCGCTACCATTCGATGTACACTCAACCTCCCTTCCATCCGTTCATCACCTTCACTCGCCACCTTGTTCCGCTGATGCGAATTTCAAGACGATGTTCCTGATTGCGAACGGGATGATGAGCTGTTGCGCTTGGGCGCGTCGGTCGCGTTGTGCCGACTTGCCTGCTAGGCAGATTGGGTCGGCCCTGTCTGGTTTGCTCTGACCTCCCATTGTCACCCTCCAATCCACCTTGCCTTCCAATCAGCTACATTTGCGCATTCACCCAACAGGCGCACATGTCATCATGGCTGTCGCGGGAATTGGTCACCTCGCGCTCTCCTTCGAGATGCGCCTCGACCGCCTCGTGATTGTCGTCATCGACATTGCACAACAGCTCAAGCCCATACTCACGCACACCGTCGTATTTGATCGCGACCTGCCCCAATATCAGTGAGGGCGAGTGCCGTGCACTACCATGAAAGTTGCTAATGCCTCCTCATCATGACCTTCACTTTCCGCCCCCTCATCGCCATTCTGCAGGACTCGCAACGGTATCTATACGCTTGGGCCCGCTCCTGGCCCAGCATGCGTCACCCCCGTCGAGCTCATCATTGCTGCGCTCGACACGGCGTTCGAGTGGCTGGCCCATGCTCAACTGCCATCCACGCCAAGCTCATACACCTATTCAGCTCTGCCCATCATCGCCCGCATCATGTCCATTTCCATCGCTTCTGAGGTGAGAATGCGCCAGCAGTGACGCTGCACTGCAGCAGTAGTCTTTGCTCAACTCTTACTCCACCGTCCCACAGTCCCTGGCTCCTGTTTTCCTATCAGAGATGGCCGGCCCACTCTTTACTGCCCTCTCACCCTCGCTCGAGCTACGCAGCCAACTCTGCTACCCGACCTGCTTCACGCTCCCGCTGAGCCCCGTCGAGCAAGATCATTCAGCTTCAAACGAATTGCACGACATCGAATGGGCCATATTTGAGCAGCTTCGCGACAAAAACCCCGACTGCAAGGACCCAGCCTACCGCCCGTCACGAGTCGAGGTCCGGAGAGTCGTCAATGAGAGGTTGGGAAGCCCTTTGAACGCCAATGGCTGGATGCCGCAGCTCCTCAAGATCAAGCGTGGACGTACTGTTGCTTCTGATGGACGAGGGATGGGCACGCTGCAAGATGTGTGGGAGAGGAGTGAGCGCGTCGTGACGCTGCCCGGCTTGCTCGCCAGCATCCTCGCTGCAACGGTCGTAGAGTGAGCCGCCGTTAACATTGCTCAACATTAGTATCTCGCTCACCTTTTGATGCACATTGCACAGCATGACACCAAGCGAAGCTTCGCTCACTGGCATGCTCCAAGCCGACGGCAGCTGGGACCACAACATCCTTGCTCTCGTCGATAATCTGAGCCATACCGGCGCGCCAAGTCAAACCTACGACCGACCCCTGAAGGACATGCTCGGCCCCATCAACGACCTCTCCCTGCAGGGCACCATCAGCGCCTACTTTGTCGAGCGCTTCGGCCTCAACACAGCTTGCATCATTACTGCCCCTATTCCGTCCGCTGTCGCTGCGTACCTCTCCTTCCTACCTGGCTACAATGACGTCGGCCTGCATCTCAGCCACAGCGATACGCTCATCGTACCCACCACCACGGCCGCCGTGATACAAGAGGGCGCTCTCGTACACAATCCGACGGCAGGTCTCACTGTCGATGTCGAAGAGAGATCGGGCACACCTTCTCAGCCCTATCTGCGAATTGCCACATTCCCATCGTCCAGCGAGGCTCGTTTGGCCATTCGCAATGCATATGGCAATGCGGATTGGAGCATCTTCGGCAAGGTCATTGGTTTCGTGCCCGTCGGCGGGAGCATTGGACTGGACAACAAGGTGGGCGGGATACGCTGCTTTCACACCAGCAACATTATCCTGACTTCCACTCTTCTGCTCCTAGTTTTTCTCCATCTGGCGTCACGACGGGCATGGCCCCTTGCTTACGCGCTATGAAGGTGGTATCCCTGTGCCGGAATTTTCAGACCTGCGAGCCAACCCACGCTGCCTCATCGAGGGGCAGGCACTGGCCTCACGCGCCGTCTACGCCCGAGTAGCCACAAACGACCGCTCCGCAGCGGCTGCAGCGGGCAAGAAGGTCCTCAAGAAGGCCACGCCGCTCTCAGCCGACTTTGCCTCAGGCTTTCTCGGCGCTGGCCAGGTGCTTGGCTTCGACCCGTACGACCTGACTGTGTCCCCCGAGCGTATACTCGCGTGGGGCAGAGCCGCACACAATGAAGCCATCGCCGACTGCTGGAGCAATGTCTTGGGTGGGCAGTGGGTCGTACCGTCTTGCGAGCGAGAGCCATGCGCTGCCGTGGGAGCGACCTTTCTCGGCCTGGCCAGCATTGAGGCTCACCATGCCCGGCAGCATGGAGGCAGCTTCCCCGGCTTCGCTCCCTATATAATTTCCCTTCTCGACGGCTCTACTGCCTTCTCGCCTACCACGCCCTCGAATGCACAACTTCCCTCAAGCCCACTCTCACCGCTCTCACCCAGTACGTCGTCGCCCCCACCGTTCTTTCAAGGCAGGCTGCGTTCATCCTCCTCCCCGCTCATTAGCAGCGACCTCGGTCGCTTCACGCCGTTCAGCCTCGTCATCCAGCAGGCGGACTTTGAGCACAGGTCACCGTCCATCACCAGTCCTACGACGGGCTTCTCAAGCGTGATCGGTGGAGAGCCACTCACCCCGCCTTCCTCGCCTCTCATGGCGCGTAGGATGCCAAAGAGAACGACTTCGAATATCTCTTCAACGACGCATGGAAGTAGCTCGTTGCATGTTCTGGAGGAAGGAGAGGAGGAGGGTACTGGTGCCTGTGCTGGGCCGGAAGCCGTGACTTCCAAGGTAGGCAGCGATGAGCCATCGATTGAGGATGCCACCACGCCCAAATCGTCCGTCTTCAAGATCAACACAGCCGTAGGCCGAGGCCAAGCGGAATCTACCACAGCTTCGACGATGATATCGCGCCGAAAGTCTTTCAATACTCTCGCCTGGGACATGACGAGCATGAGCCGCAGCATGAGCAGCAGCGGGATTCCAACGACGAGCAGCGCCGCACGAGGCATTTTTGAGCCTCCTTTACCTGTCATCGGCCGGCCGCGCGCTGATACGGACCTCGGCCTGCGAACACTTTCTACCATCTTGGACACCGTCCCGCAGGCCAAGTCAAGCGCCTACCAGCCACAGCAGTTAGAGCAGCCGATTCACCATGCGCAGCGTCAGAGACAGATCTCTTCCGGCGCCAAGAGTGACGGTGACGTCGGAGTAATTGGCAGCGCCCGCTCTGCCTCTAACTCTCCAATTCGACGCATCTCCTCCGCTTCCTTTGTCCAGGCGTCGTCCATGTCGCCTATCTCGCCGCCCTCTGAAACCTCGTCGACCGCAGACAGCGACGGGCATGAGAAGAGGATGCGTGCTTGGTTGATGGGACACATTGATGGTCCAATGCCGGTCGCAAGTGCCAAAGAGCCGGCTTCTGCGAATGCGTTGCCCGCTAATGCGACAGAGGCAAGCAAGTGCGTGCGATCCGATCACGCTGAAGAGGCGGCTATGCCCCCTCCCTCCAACAACGAGTCGTCAACCAGCTCCGTCCAGCTCATCAACAATCGTCATCATCTCATTCACCCTCATTACTGCCAGCTTGACTCTCTGCGTCACTCACACGCGCGTCATGAAAAGCTCCTCGGCTTGAAGAGACTGGCAGAAGCAGACGAAGACTTGTGGATCGTGTACGGTGCGCTGGCCGAGGAGTATGTCAGACTGAGGTGTGGAGGGAGGGAAGTAGGGAGTGCTGTTGCCGAATCGCGCGAGTAGTAGATCATGGCGAGCTGGTCCTCGTCTCTGATGTTGCATTCTCTTCACCCTTCATCTACTCACAGTCAATGAGAAGTCACTGTCCATCCAGCCGGCTGTGATTTGCACGACTCCACCCCCCAACTTGACAGCCAACCGAGGCGCGCGCCCAGAGTTGCACGAAAAGAATTCGGATGGCTCGAGCGTCCCCACATTGGGCGTGACCCAGCCCTCCAGCCCTCAAACCCAAAAGCAAGGCATGGCTTGGCCCCTCAAGGGTGGCGGCCCGCTTGCCCACTGACATCCACCCCAGCTCCGCCTTGCACGCAACCTAGTGCTCTATCTAATCACTACCACCATCATCATCATAGTCTGAACCCTCAAGCGATAGGAGCGACTATTCAGCTCAACATGGAGCACCAGACCACCCACACCACCAGCGAGCCCAGGCTCGACGACCTTTTCGACTCGGTCAGTCGACTGGCCTCTGGCAACCACACTCCACATCAAGCTCAAGGCGCAGGACACTTCACGCCTGGGGGGCGATGGGTCAGCAATACCAGCTTGCCTGCTGAGGAGTGAGTTTGGTAGAGATATGGAGTGAGGATGGCGCTGATGTTCCATCTTGTCGATCGATAACAGGCTGGTCGCTCGACTCACTGGCCAGCCTACGAGGAGGAGCGCTTCAGCTGTGAGCAGACTACCAAACCTTTCGACTTGCAGATGTGATCGCCCCATCTGACGACCTCTAGCACGCTGCCCATCAACAGTCATCCTACCCTAGGAGCACCTCATCCTCCCTCGCCGTCGCCATCCCCGCTGGGCCTAAGAGCAAAGTTGTGAGCATCCAAGGACATGTACAAAGCCGGACCACAAGGGAGCACACTGACATCTCGCGTCTTCGCATCGCGCAGCTCATTGCCTTCTCTCGACCCCCCTCTCCTCCCGAGCCAATCAACCTCGAGCTGTGAGTCCTGTCGCTGCCCTTCGCCTGACAGATCACCAGCTCGCACAGCACTGAATGCTTCCACTGCCCTTGCGTCTCTCTCGCGCATGCTCAGCTACAACATCGAAGGCTTTCCCCTCCCCCTCACAACAGGCTCAGCCTGTGGATGGCTGATCCGCTTCTCGCTCCTCGAGTGGGATGAGGACCGGCTGGATCGCCTGCTGCTCAGCTTGAGGCGTAGCATGCCTGAAGGGGCCGAAGGTGAGTCGACGCCTTACCTGCCATCGGCGAAGTTGATTTGACTCTCAAACGTCCCCTTTGCGAACACGTAGCCCGCACCTCTCGCATGCTCCTCCACGACGGAGACTGGGTTTGGCGTCTGCAAATCACCTTGTACCTGGGGCCATTCTTGGGCTGGCAGGAGAGGACCTTCGCCGCTGCTGCTATGAGCGGGCGTCATCAGAGGGCCAGGCTGAGGCCGGCGGGGCTGATTGCCGCGATTTGAGCGTTGAGGAGGGGAGGACAAGAAGGGAGGAGGGCCAGAAGCATTCAGAGAGGACGAAATGGCCCTGCATCATCGCTGAAGAACGAAAGAACGTCGTCCAAACCATGTCGAAGATAGCTTGCAATGAAGTCGTCAATCATTCTCTGAAGGATAAGTGGGAAAGAAGAGAAGAATTGACGGTGCTCTGCCTTGCCTTCTCCGCCTCTTTCAGTCCACCACCTAGGGCAATCAGACCAACAGCCCCGCTTTCCGCTCTCTCCGCACCTTTCTTCCTTTCCTTCCCACTCGATACCCACCCTTAACGGCTGGCGTAATGCCAACCTCACAACAGCAGTTCCAATCGGTGCCGCTCACCTCTCCGGACCTCACACCCCTCTCTTCACTACCAGAGAAGACCGATCTCGCACGATGGCGTCTCACCACTCCTGGCCTGGGAACGCCAGACGTGGGAAGGCATTTGTGGAGCTACTTGAGCGACGATGAGGTGGGCACTGCGGGGGAGCAGACGATGGAGGATAGATTTCACCTGGGACTACTGCCGACTTCGTCGTCTGGATCGAAAGGCGAGCGCCGCAGCGCAGCGAAAGCAGCAGAGGATGCGTTCCTTTATTACCAAAAGGTTCAATCCCCTGATGGCCACTTCGCTGGCGAGTATGGAGGGTGAGTATCGCGCGCAGCGAGACTATATGTTATCAGACGCAGACCAATTAAGCTCACTGTCCTTCACATTGCCGTGCTCAGCCCTCTCTTCCTCCTTCCCGGTCTCGTAATCGCCTCGTACGTGACCGAAACCCCTTTCCCAACCGAATGGCGCATCGAAATCACCCGCTACCTTCGTAACGAGCAACACTCAGACGGCGGGTGGGGCCTTCACATCGCCGGTCCCTCAACAGTGTTTGGCACGGCAGCAAACTACGTCGTGCTTCGTTTGCTAGGGAACGGGCCCGATCTGCCCTTCATGGCGAAAGCGAGGGCTAAGCTCCACGAGCTGGGCGGGGCAACGGGGATCCCGAGCTGGGGGAAGCTGTGGCTGGCTGTTCTGGGCGTCTATGACTGGGAAGGCATGAACCCAATTCCGCCTGAGCTGTGGTGCTTGCCCGATGGGGTGCCGATTCATCCCTGGAGATGGTGGATCCATACGCGCATGGTCTACATCCCTATGGGGTGGTTGTGGGGGTGCAAGTGTGAGTTCGGTGCGACGGGCGATGGCTACGACGGCAGCTGAAGAGATTGACATGTTCCCGTCCCTGTTTCCGTAGACACATACCATGACGCCGAGACAGATTCGCTCATTTCAGCGCTACGCACAGAACTCTACGCCAAGCCATACAGCTCCATCAACTGGCCCTCACAGCGCAACAACATCGCCTCAATCGACATTTTTGCACCGCACACTAAGGTGCTCAACGGGCTCATGTCCCTTCTCGGCATCTACGCCAAATTTACCCCGGGCGTTGTTCGCTCCGCTGGCCTGAAGCAAGCCTACAATCTGCTCTGCCGGGAAGACGAGAACACCGGCTACCAATGCCTCGGCCCTGTCAACAAGATGCTGAATCAAGTAGTCCGCTACGCAGTCGATGGGCCCAACTCCCCCGCAATGGCCAAGCATCGCGAGAAGATGCGCGACTTCCTCTGGATGTCCCCTTCCGGCCTCATGATGTGCGGGACAAATGGCTCCCAACTGTGGGACACGAGCTTCATAGCTCAGGCCGTCTCCTCTACCTCGACACTTGTCCGCAACCCCAACATCAAGCCCAGCATCCAAGCCATTCTTGCTTGGCTGGACGACACGCAGATTCGCGAGAATCCGCAGCATTATCGCTCTTGCTACCGCTTCTCTACGAAGGGGGCTTGGCCGTTCAGTACGAAGCAACAAGGATATACTGTGTCTGACTGTACGGCGGAAGGATTGAAGGCAGTTTTGGACCTGCAGCAGGAGAGTATGGGATTGGAACAGCTGGTTGATGAGGGGAGGCTCAGAGACGCAGTCGACCTGTTGTTGACCATGCAAAATTCTTCTGGCGGATTTGCTAGCTACGAGACGATCAATGGACCGGCGGTGCTGGAGTGGATCAACCCGGCGGAGGTGTTCGGAGACATCATGATTGTGGGTGATGGCGAAGCCGCAGACCGCCAGGTACTTGAGCTGACGATCGATCCCCCTCACTTGGCCGTCATCAGGAGTACTGCTACCCCGAATGCACCACCTCCGTCGTAGGCGCCCTTTGCAAGTTCCGCGCCCATTCCCCCAAGTATCGCCGTGCCGACATCGACAAGTGCGTCTCTCGTGCCGTGGCCTATATCCTCTCCGCCCAGCGCAAGGACGGATCTTGGTTTGGCTCATGGGCTGTATGCTTCACCTACGCGACTATGTTCGCCCTCGAATGCCTGCACCTCGCCGGCTACCACTACGAGAACTCAGAGCCGGTCAGGCGGGCGTGCGCATTCCTTGTCAGCAAGCAGAATGCAGAAGATGGAGGATGGGGCGAAGGATTCGAGAGCTGCGTACGTGGGGAGTGGACGCCGACAGAAAGCGGGAGGAGCGAGGTTGTGCAGACTAGCTGGGCACTGTTGGGGCTCCTGCATGCACAGTACCCTGATGAGGATGGAAGCTTGAGGAGGGGCGCTGAGTTTGTGCTTCGGGGCCAGGAGGAGGATGGGAGCTGGAAAGAGACGCCAGAAGGTAGATGTGTGGGCGTCTTCAACCGTAACTGCGGCATCGTGTATCCGAACTATCGGTGAGTAGCGCGAGGGAGAGGAGGAGACGTTCGCACACGAGAGCAGCTTTGACTGACTTCCGCCTCGCCCTTTCACTTCGCCGCAGCTTCTCCTTCACCATCTGGGCGCTGGGTAAGGCAACGCAGCGATTCGGAGAGTCATGGCCGCCGGCATCGACGTCTTAGATAAGGCAAGTACGCGACTGTATCTAGCATTAAAGCCAGTCATCACTGGCCGAAAGCTTGGCAATGTCAGACAACAGCATCTCCGTGACATTGGTCCACGCATTCGAGAGATGCTATGCTGCGCCTGACGTCCTCAATTTGCCTTCTTGGCGCGGTCAACAGCGCCCGCATGTTTTTCAAGCGCTGCCAATCTTTCGGGCAAGGTCGGGTGAGAGTGGTGATACGCCGAGTAGAGCCAGTCGTAGTGCATCGACGAGAGACTGTTGCAGGAGGAAAGTTGAAGCTGTCAATGTTCGGCTACGAAGAGCGGACTTCGAGACTCGCACTTACTTCTGCTTGTGTAGCTTGATCAGCGCTACCTGCAACAGCTCTGCGTAAGACGTTTGCGTGCTCTGCGCCAGCTCGGCTTCACGCAACTCTTTCCTTGTTGCTTGGTCCTCGTCTTTCTTCTCTGGCCCCTTCTCCTGGCTCTGGCTCTCCTCCTTCTCGGCTACCGGCTCCGGCTCCTTGTGCATCTCTTTCACCTGCTCGTCCGTAAACGCTGGCCTATCCAGCCCGGCGGCAAATGAGTCCGCAGCATACTCCATGGAGCGCACGGCGCTATTCATCAAGAACTTGAGTACCGCATCCAGCGGCGCCAATACCAGCTGGAAAAGCTCTAGCCCAATGATGACAGGCAGCACCGGGCTCGCCAGCCCCGCCTTCTCGGCGAGCGTACTCGCCTGCCCAAATCCGAAGGCCTCAAAGAGTGACCTGTTGTCGATGAAGCCAGCAAAGACCGCAAAGGTGAAGCCAATCTGCGCCTGTGCGAGTACCAGCAGCTTCGTAGGGTCGCTATGCGCCCAGTGGCCCAACTCGTGCGCCAAGACGGCCTCAATCTCACTGCAAGTCGACTTGGCGATGAGCGAGTCGTAGACGACGATGTGCTTGTTACCCCAGGGCAGGACACCAAAGAAGTACGCGTTTGAATGGGCAGAGCGCCTTGAGCCGTCGATCTGATGCAACTTGGCCAGAGGAAAGCGCAGAGAAGCGGCCAATATTTCGACTCGTGCTTTTAGCAGTCCGGGGGGCAGAGGCGTCAAGGTGTTGAATAGCGGCTGGATCACCAATGGATAGAGTACCTGCAAGACCACCTGGAAGGCGAGCATGAATACCAGCACCCAAAGGACGAAGCCATCCGTCCCCGCCCAGCGGATGATACTGATCAAGGCGGCGATGACTGGGCTCAGAACTATCCCGCCCAGAGCGGTGGATTTGAGGAAGTCGGTGAAGAAGGTGGTGCGCGTCATCTTGTTGAAGCCATGTGCCTCTTCGAGGTAGAAGTGAGAGTAGTAAGAGAGAGGTAGGTCGAGGATAGTGCGAGAGAGAGAGGACAGGAGGGTAAAGATGATCGATTGTGTGATCTGCATATGGAAGGGGCAATCAGCATGTTGGACACTGCGTGTGCGGGGAATGTATGCTATTCGCGAGCTCACCTCCGTCGTACGCCAGTCGAGCTTCTGCAGCACGTCAGCCGATAGCTGCCAAAAGAATGGCATGAGGTCGAAGTAGACTATGGCGAGAGAATTGAGGAGCCCCCACGCTGCTACCACGAAGCCGAAGCGCGCCTTGTCCCTGCCGTATCGCTGCGATTTCTTATAGGTCTCGAGATCGACATGCTGCAGAAGAGAAGCGGGAGGTGATGGGAAGGAGTAGACCTGCGAAGAGAGCATACTCAAGCATCAGCTGAACGTTCGTCGATAGTCGGTTTTCCTCGCGATGCACTGACCTTGTATTGACGCAGAGAGAGGTACGTCTCAAAGGCCCAGACGCCCACAATGAGGTAGAGGACGAGCGTCTTCCATGGGACAGCAGGGTCGTCCAGCGCAGCAAAGGCGCTATGCAGCTGATGCTTGGCAGCTTGCACGATATGGCCGGACATGAACGTTGAATGTGATGGTGAAGAGATAGACATCGTACGACATTCTCTCGCGGCTCTTCTTTGTCCTCGTATGCACGGGCCCCGGCGCCTCGCTCGCGTGTGAGTCTCGGGCTGACATAAGCAAGGGAGGAGATTTCTGAAGCGGCCGCTCGCCGGGAGCAGCGGGAAAGTGAGAAGCGGGGCAGCGACTTTCTTCGTGTTGCGCCTCCTCATTCGTCATCAATATGAGCGCCCGTATCGTCGCTGGCAGCAGAGTTGGAGCTGGCCGACTTGCTCGCCTCTCAGCTAGAGGCGTAGCAACGTCTCGCAGCGCTCCTGTTGCTGCCTCTATCTCGCCATCATCATCCTCTAGACGATGCATATATTCTGCTCCTCTTCGCTTCGCCGCCGGCGCTCCTTCATCCTCTCGCTCCTTCCACTCTTCGAGAGCAGCACACGTCGACGTAGCAGCAGAAGCGGCCGCGGCTGCTCCTCCTCCGGTGGAGTTGAGCCAAGCGGATCTGACTCGTCTCGCTAGGCAACGCAACATCGGCATCGCAGCTCACGTTGACTCAGGAAAGACGACTTTGACGGAGCGAGTCCTCTTTTACACAGGCCGTATCAAAGACATTCACGAGGTCCGCGGTAGAGATGCCGTGGGAGCAAAGATGGACCATATGGAGCTGGAGAGAGAAAAGGGAATTACCATCCAGTCCGCAGCTACATACGCACATTATCGTGCCACTCCGCCGACGGAGACACGGGCTGTGAGTGGCGACGCAGCTTTGATGGACACAAAAGGCGAAGCTCCCAAGGAGGACTTTCACCTCAACATCATCGACACACCCGGTCACGTTGACTTCACAATCGAAGTAGAGCGAGCGTTGCGTGTCCTCGATGGAGCTGTATTGGTGCTCTGCGCCACCTCCGGTGTTCAGTCACAGTCCATCACCGTCGATCGACAAATGCGCCGCTATCGTGTCCCCCGCATTTCTTTCATCAACAAGATGGACAGGCAGGGCGCAGACCCCTGGCGTGTTATCGGACAGATCCGACAGAAGCTCCGTATGCCGGCCGCAGCTGTGCAGATCCCTATTGGAGCCGAGGACGAATTCAGTGGAGTAGTCGACATTGTGAGGTGGAAGACGGTATACAACGAAGGAGAGAAGGGAATCGTCGTACGAGAGGAGGACGGCGTACCTGCCGAACTGGAGGAGTTTGCCAAGGCAAAGAGGCAGGAACTGATTGAGCAGCTCAGCGAGGTGGATGAGACTATGGCGGACATCTTCCTTGAGGAGCGAGAGCCTACGCTCGAGGAGTTGGCAACTGCCATTAGGCGAGCGACGCTCACGTGCAGCTTCTCGCCTGTCTTCATGGGCTCGGCCATCAAGAACAAGGGCGTGCAGGCCATGCTTGACGGTGTATGCGCGTACCTGCCTGACCCTTCGCAGGTGCCCGTCACGGCGATGGACATGAGCAAGGAGGCCATTGAAAAGGCAAAGGCAGCCGCTGCTGAGGCTGCAGAGGCCGCAGCGGGTACTGCATCCGCCGAGGCAGTTGTCACCGGCACGCCCGCCACCCAACCCCTCATCAGCCTCGCCCCCGCCTCCTCTGCTCCCTTTGTCGGCCTCGCCTTCAAGCTTGAAGAAGGTCGTTACGGACAACTAACCTACGTGCGTGTCTACCAAGGGACGCTCAAGCGGGGCACAACAATCTTCAATGCCCGTACAGGCAAGAAGGTCAAGGTGCCTCGCCTGGTGCGAATGCACTCAAACGACATGGAGGACGTGGACGAGCTTGGCGCTGGAGAGATTTGCGCCATGTTTGGCGTCGAATGCTCATCGGGCGATACCTTCACGGACGGTCAGACGTCCCTCAGTATGACGAGCATGTTCGTCCCGGACCCGGTCATCTCGCTCGCCCTCACTCCCGAGGGAGGCGAAGGAGGCAAGGGAGCGGGAGGTGCCATCTCGCAGAACTTTTCGCGTGCGCTCAACAGGTTCCAGAAGGAGGACCCGACCTTCCGCGTGCACGTTGACTCCGAGTCTGGCGAGACGATTATTAGCGGTATGGGCGAGCTTCATCTCGAGATCTACGTCGAGAGGATGAAGCGCGAGTACAATGTGCCGTGCAAGACTGGCAAGCCTAGAGTCGCCTTCAGGGAGACGATTGGCGCGCGCGTACCTTTCAACTACACACACAAGAAGCAGACTGGTGGTGCTGGTCAATTCGGACGTGTGGTTGGGTACATTGAACCAATGGAGCGCGACGAGGAGACGGGCAAGGATGTGGCTTTCGAGAACAGGGTGACGGGTGGAAACATTCCCTCGGGCTACTTCGCTGCATGTGAGAAGGGCTTCTACGAGGCGCTGGAGAAGGGTGCACTTACTGGGCATCCGATTCAAGGGATTCGCTACGTCCTAGAGGACGGAGCAGCTCACTCGGTCGACTCGTCCGAGTTGGCCTTTAAGCTGGCTGTCATGGGCTCCATCCGAGACGTGTACCGCAAAGCGCAGCCTATCGTCCTGGAGCCCAAGATGAAGGTCGAGATTACCAGCCCGGCACAATGGCAGGGTGCCGTCGTGGGCTCTATCAATCAGCGTCAGGGACTGGTGGAGGACTCGGAGACTCGGGCAGACGACTTCAGCTTGACGGCAGAGGTGTCGCTGAACAACATGTTCGGATACTCGAGCTTGTTGAGAGGGCTGACCCAGGGCACGGGAGAGTTCAGCATGGAGTACAGGAACCACTCGCCCGTGGTGCCGGGGGTTCAGAAGGATATGGAGGCAGAGTATGCCAAGATTCAGGCGAAGAAGAATTAAGCAGTCGAGAATCTCGCATGTGTAGACTATAGAAGCTTCGCCTCCTAGACTGCGGAGACGCATCGGTCAGCCCGATAATCATCACTCTTTTGCGACGCATACCTCTCGTCTCGACGTCAAGTCATGGTTATTCGAAGCAACGCAACGCAGCGCAGCTCTCATGGAGGCGCCGTGATATCACCAAGTCAATTTGTCTCGACGCCTACGACCTGCTCGCCCTGTACTCGCCCTCTGCGCTAAGTGCAAGCTGTGCCATCTCCCCACTGAGCTGGCCCAAGAGGTCTCCCGCTGCCTTGTGATAATCAGCCTGAGCCTTGATCAGAGCCGCGAGACTCTTGACTGGCTCGTCATTCTCCGTCACGCTCTTCATAGCACTAATCGCCTCCTCTGTAGCCGCAACGAGGGAGTCTTCGGCCTTTTCTACCTCATTTCGCTGATGCTCGACCTTCTCCGTCTTGCCCGCCGCCTCTGAAGCCTTGAGCGTCGCCTTCCATGAGTCGAGGTGGAGGCGCGCAGAGTTGACGCTCTGTCTAGCCTTTGTGGCAGCGGCGAGCTGCGAGCCAAAGGAGGTCCAAGGCTTCAAGAAGCCCTGGCGGATCTGCTCGTCCTGGCTCAACCTCGCATTGCCAAGCCTGTCCTGAGCCAGAGCGAACTTCTGGAGAGCTTCGGCCAGCTTGCCCGGCTGAGCTGATTCGGGTTGGACGCCAGCGGGCGTTGAGAGGCCGGCAATGTTCGTAGGTGAGGCGCCTAGCTGGATGGCTCCGCTGGCTGCGGCACGCGAGAGGGCATGAGGGAGAGTGCGGTGAACGTTCTCGGGGGCCGAAGTGGCTTGGATGGGAGGGAGGTTGGTGCCCTTAGCTGCGGAGGCGGCCCAGCTTGTCACCGAGTGGGAGACCTGCGTCGAGAGGAGAGTCATGGACTCTTGGACTTGCGTCTGCGCGATGTCGTACAAGATGATGGTCAGCATGTGAGGGAGTTGCGGACAAGAACAAGAGACGCACCGGGTAGTCGTAGGCTTCGTTGTCATAGGCCTTGGCAATTTTGAGGAGGCTGGCGTGCGCATTCTTGAGTCCATCGACACGGTTTTCGAGGGAGATGTACTCCTCAGGGAGCCTGGAACGGGGACAAGAAGTGTCAAAATGCATGTATGCTACGTTTCGTGGCTCGCAGCCTCAAGTCGTCCTCACTCGGTGATATCATCACTGTGAACCTGTCCCAATCTCTCACGGGCCTGCTGGCTCAGATTGCCAACGCTCTGTCCCAGGTTACCGACGCTCTGGCCCATGTCTCTGCCCAACTTCTGGAAGTTGGCGGATAGCTTGGAAAAGTCCATGTTCATGGCGGCGATGCAAAAGGAGGGATGCGGATGGTGTCGGTGTTGGCGATGGTTATGGTTATGGTGGAGGAGGACGATGAGAACAGTCGAAGCCGAGTGTCAATCAAGGCTGCGCGAAGCTGTCCTCGGCGCCTCTTCGAAGCGGCAAGCGGCAAGCGGCAACGACAGGCACACCATCAGACTGGCGTCGAGCCGGAGAGCGGGCTGCGTTGGCAACACAGACCAGAAAGCAGAGCAACACGTGGCACGGACCTCCGCCTTGCAGACCGGGACGATCACCACTACGGCGTTTCATCAAGTTAAGGCTCATAAACAAAAGTGGTCTATTGAGCCCTGTTATAGAAGGCTGTTCATCGCCGCACACTAGTCGCGCAGCTCAAACCCTCTTGAGCTTCTTCTTATCCCTGCCAGAAGCTCCAGGGTCACCACCGCCGCCCATCTTCTTGGCAATCCCCGCCATGATCCTCTTGACCTCCCCATCCCCCTCCCTGAAGCTCGACGGGTTGAAGTACGCCGGGCTTGACGTAAGCAGCCACTCCGGTCGCACTTCAATGCACGTTCTGATCCAATTGCGGCTTGTGAGCACGAATTCATGGTAGAGAACGAACTCGGGCGAATGGTCCAGCGATGTGCTAGGGTGGAGTGCGACGACCTGGTTATCCTTGAGGGTAGTGTACTGCGCCGACTTTCCACTTCCCGATCGATGCGCCACCTGCATGAAGAAGCCACACGCAATCGCCTTGCGGATATTGTCGTAGTAATTGCGCTCGTTGCCCTCAAATTGCGTCGAGACCAAGTCCAGATTGAAGCGCTCCATCGTCCTCTGGAGCTGGGATCGCACGTTGTCCGCCTGCTGCAGCGCTCGGTGCGAAACGTAGTTCTGCCAGCACCAGTTGTTGGGATCCTGCTTGCCCGCCGTCTTGTACGCATGGTAGACGTTGAGTAGCGAGAGATGGTCCCCATCCGGGTGGCTGAACTCGGCCTTGGCCGCGTCCGCCTGCTGGCGTTGCGCATTCGGTCGCATGAAGACGTTGGGGACGGAGAGCATGGCGGCGATGGTGAGGATCTCGTTGCTGCATTTGAATTCAGGTGAGACGATGAGCATTTTGGCCAATTGAGGGTCCAAAGGGAACTCGGCCATGATCTCGCCCAAGGGAGTCAGGTCACCATTGTCGTCGAAGGCGCCGAGGTAGTTGAGAAGCTCCAGAGCACGCATGATTGTCTCAGGGGCGGGAGCATCAAGGTAATCGAAGCGGACCAGATTGGAAACGCCGAGCTTCTTGAGCTCGAGGACGGTGTTTGCGAGGTTGCTGCGGAGAATCTCGGGATACGTAGACTCGATGAGCTCTTGGACGAAATCCTGACGCGGAGATGATGGAAAGATTGTCAGCATCATCTTCACTCTCTTTGCCGTTTGCAATTGCGCCTCACCTTCTCAGTGTAAAGCCTGAAGCATTTACCCTCACGCGTACGCCCAGCACGACCCATTCTTTGCTGTGCTGACGCCTTGGAGATGGGCGACACGAGGAGTGACTCGACTCTGATCCTCGGGTTGTACACCTTTTGCTTTGAGAAGCCTGGATCCACCACATACACGATACCATCGATGGTGAGCGACGTCTCGGCAATGTTCGTTGAGACGACGACCTTGCGTCCTGGCGGACCATCAGGGCTGACCCTCGGCGGCGCTGAGTCGAAGATACGTTGCTGTTGGGAAGGTGGCAGAGACGAGTACAGGGGCACGACCTTCAGCGGTCCGCAGAGGTCTGGCGATGTAGACGCCAGCTCGTCGGCTCCTGCTCGGATCTTTCTGCAGGCATCTTCGATCTCCTCCTCTCCGGTCAAGAAGAGGAGGACGTCGCCCTCGTCTTCCGCCTGGTGGATCATGAGGACAGTGCGAATAGCCGCCTCGAGATAGTCTGGCTCTGGCTCGGGAGTATAGAATGTCTCGACGGGGAAAGTACGGCCGGGTACTTTGAGGAGGGGAGCGCCATTGAAGTAGTTTTGGAACTTGTCTGCTTCGAGGGTTGCGCTCATGACGATGATCTTGAGATCGGGTCGCTGTGCACAGAGGGGCTTGAGGAGGCCAAGGAGAATATCCGTCGCAAGCGTTCGCTCGTGGGCCTCATCGAGAATGATCGTCGAGTAGCGCGAGAGCGTCTTGTCGTGCATAGCCTCTCGGAGGAGCATTCCGTCCGTCATGTACTTGAGGAAGGTGTGAGGCCGTGATGTGCAATCTTCGAAACGAATCGTGTATCCTACCTCCTGGCCTAGCGTTACGTCCATCTCCTCCGCGACACGCTTTGCGACACTCATGGCCGCCACTCTCCTTGGCTGCGTGCAGGCGATGAGCTTGGGTGCGCCATCGGGTCCCTTCTTGAGGTGAGGTAGGTCAGAATAGGCGACAAATTGAGGGATCTGCGTCGTCTTTCCTGATCCAGTCTCTCCAATCATGACCATTACCTGGCTCTCTTGAAATTTCTTCAAGAAGTCGCCCATCTGAGCAAAGACGGGAAGAGCCTTGCGCTTGGCGAGGATGTCGCGGTAGCGCTGCGAGTAGGACTTGTTGGAAGTGGTAGCAAAGGGGTTGGTGGGAGCGTCGATGGCTTTCAAGACCTGGTCTGCTGTCACCTTGCGCGGCAAGAAGCCATTGAGTGGGCTAGATGATGATGATGAGGTTGACGCAACTTGATCTTCAGGCTCCAAGTGAGCGAGGTATGGATTGGGCTTCGCCGGCGGAGGTCCCGGAGGCATAGCGCCATTGGCAGCAGCTGAATTTGCCATTGCTGGTGTAGGCAAGGTGGTGGTAAGATGGATGGCAGGCAGCAACAACAAATGCTCGAAATTCAATCTCATGGGACATCGAGCGGACGCAGCTTTTCGTAAGGGAAGGACTGAGCCACGTGGGGCGGAAGGAGGGAGCGGAGGCGTGGAGAGAAATATTTGGCCCTCGTCGAGCAACAGAAATTGACGAGGAGCAGCGGCAGCAGCTCGTCGTCGACGCATTCCCACTTCATCACAGTGGGCCGCCATGTCAGTCGATGATGGCGCCCAGGTCGCAGCTGAGTCGCCTCTCAAGAGGAAGAGAGACGGGCAAGACGATCAGGCTGAAAGTAGCAACAAGACCAAAGCAGAGCCACCATCAGCATCAGCTTCAGCATCGCAGCTAGCTTCTGGACTCAAGACAGCATCGCCCGACACGCTGCGAATCGCTTTGACATCGCTCAGGCAGGCGACGCAAATCCAAAGCGACGAGGATCCTTTGACGAGTATCGCAGCCAAGGACAAGCGCTTGCAATTTGCTCGCGAATTCCTTCAAGAACACAACGGACGAGATCGCATCTTTGAAGCATGGCAGCGAGTCCACGAGGTGAGTGAGGCTACTGAAGAGGCACCTAGGGCGACTAAATGCTGATCACACGACTCATGTACGCCATCACAGACTGGCATTGGGTCTCTCATGCCTCTTCCCATCTTCGTTCTCTCCAACCTCATCACCCTCACCTCAGTCCATCCCACAGATAACGACCTCTCCCTTAGCCTCATTCAGCCTATAGCCCCAACCAAGTCGGCCGACGTTTCTGGCTCTTCGAGCTTCTGGAACCGGCTGCATGGCTACCTGCTCAATCCAACCTCACGCCATGGGTCTCAACAGCAGCAGGGTGGCAGTGGTGGGTCGAGCGAGATTCTCGTCGTTGCCAGCCTGCACGTCCTCACCAGCATGGCCCGATTCGAGAGCGGACGCTTTGCCCGCAGCATCGTTGAGAATTTGGCTTGGAACGCCAAGTCTGTTTTGCGACTGACGTCGATGCGCAGACGGTCAGGCAAAGACCAGAAGGGCAAGGCAGGAGCGAGCGGTGCTCAGCCCAAGGCAGCGGCAACATTCACTCGCCCAGATATCAGGCTGCTCTTCATTCAGCTCCTGCTCGTCATCCTGCATCCGAGAATTCTGCCCGAGATTGACAGCGAGGGCAAGCAGCCTGAGAGCGTTGACTCTGGGGTTTCTCCCTCGACGAAGATGCTTCTCATCAACGCCGACCACGCACAGTCGAGTCTGTCGTCCATCTTCAAGACACTGGCAGACGATCCGCCCTCAGTGGTTCTGCACTTCCTGCACGTCCTTGACCGCTCTCTCTTGCTCGATAGCAAGCTGCCTCGAGGAGCGCTCGTCTCGCTGGCCAAGAGCGTCGACCTCTTGAGCTCCCTTGTTCAGTTCGCATCGAAATCAAGCCAGGTCGAGAGGCTCGCAATGGAGATGCTACACAGGCTTTGCTCCCAGCCAGGTAGAGGAGTCTGTTTCAAGGACGCTGGATGGTATGGGAGGGCAGCACCGTCATCTCGACCAGACGGCGAGGCCGAGCCGGGATTGCTGGACGACGATGAAGCACCGCGCCCGACCGACACTGCCAACCGCAGCTCAACGAGCGGCATTCACAACCCCATGATCGGCTTCTTCATCCAGTCTCAGCAGTTTTCGCCGCTTTACAACGACGCGCATCGTGACTTGCTCATGGCAATCATGCGAGCCGCACCCGAGTTACAGCCAGTCTTCTTCAATTCGACGCGCACTGTTTTTGGTGCTGGCAGACTTGAGCCACCTCTTCCCGAAGCAGGTGCCCGATTGAGCGGTCTATTGGCCAATCGGCTGATGGGACTGCTACTAGATCTGGGTCTGCCGCGAATTTTTGACGCTACTCAGCCACCGGCAACAGGGAGGTTGATTTCAGCAGTCTTCCCTCACACACTTGCGAGAGCCAATCTCATCAAAGGATTGCGTCACCCGGACAGGCTAGTGCGATGGAGCACGCTTGACCTGCTCAGCCGCCTCCTTGGGCGGGTCGGACGGATGCTCGCTGTATGCGCACGCTTCGCTCGTCAAGACGAGGGGTGGCAGCAAGCAGGTCGTGCTTTGCTGCGCGAGTGTGCGAAGCGCCTACCTGACCTCTCGACGATCATGAGCGCTTCGGAGCAGATCGCTACGCCCGCGAAAGGCAATAGTACAGCCACTGCCCCATCGACGTCTGTGACGCCGCAGGAGAAGGCGACAGCAGGAAAGATCGACTGGGTCCTCCTGGAAGGCTCGCTCCGCTCCGGCCTGCGGTACATGCGTCTCACTCGTCGACGTTTCGGTGGCGGGGGAGTGAGTCCGCTTAGCTCAGGCGGATACGACTTCCGTAACCTGCTATCTGCTCCCTACCTCACCAACGCCTTTGTCAGTGAAGACGCCAGTGAAGCAAAGGAGCTCTTGCCCCTCATTCAGCTCCACGCCATCAAGATGCTCAGACTGGCAAAGCTACAGCTCGCCTCGACCAGCGGGAGCGACAGTGTACTCGCACAAGTGGTCGAGCTCCTCATGTCGCCAGAGAATTCGCCTGAGGCGCGTGCAGAGGCGGCGAGCTTGCTGAAGGAGGCGTTCGGATCAGTAGCTGCCGACGATCCGTCAGCGTCCAGCGCAGCGCTCACCTTCGAAGGCGATCAGGGAGAGTTCGAAGCTTGGATTGCAGCTTTGCCCACTGGCCATGATGAGACTGCTCGCGCTCGCCGTGCTACTGCCGTCGCGCTGCTTGAAGAGTGCCTCTCGCGCTGCTCGAAGAACACTTATCGCTATCTGGAGGCTGCGCGCTCCTTCAACACCGAGCTTGAAGAGAGCGATACCCTCTGCGTGTCGCCTTTGTTTGCTACTTTCGCTGAGCAGCTTGCCATCAAGATGGAGAAGGGGCTGTTCCCAAATGGAAATGCGCAAGAAGCCGTGCTGCAGTATCTTCGTCGGCTCATGCCGCTGCTGATCGGCAGAAGCAGGCCAGGAGCTCAAGGCGCGATGCTCGCATTCCAGGGCAAGCTAGTGGACATTGCAGCTGCGAAGGCTTTCGAGGAGAAGCAGGTAGCCACCATCAAGGGCACAAGGAGCGTCATCGATTGGGGCTCTGCTCTCGAGGAAAATGAGAGTAAAACCGTGCGCGCCGAGACTCTGTCGGCCATCGGCTTCGACCCTGAGGACCCAGCATCCTACCCGTCGCTGCTTCTTGCAACTCCTTCTGCTCTCTCAGAAGCAAGCGCCCTCCCTCCCTGCATTCTCCTGATGCAAGCGCATCGCCACCTAGCGAGCAGCCATCGCAGAGCTGGCAAGAAGAGCAAGTCAAAATTGGCAGTAGATCACGTTATCCTCCTCACAGAAGATGCGCCAATGGCCAAGCTCTCCCTCCGACTCATCGCAGAGTTGCTTGCGCTGCCCAAACGCACGCCCGAGGTGAACGCTCTGCTCTTACGCTGCCTCGATCACACTCTGGCTGCTGCAGACCTGCCTTCTTCATCGCTGGGTCAGGTCTTCTTCGACCTCCCTCAGCTACGAGACGCTGTGGAACACTGCGACGCCAAGCTCCTGGCTGCGTTTGCAAATATCCTCGCAGAGCGTCTCGACAGCGCGAGGGCAGGCGTGCTACGCGACTGGGTCTCGTCTTGTGCGGACAAGCATGGCCTGAGCGCCGTCACTCGACCTCTGGTGCCATTCATGGACGACATTACGCTGGACCGTCTCTGGTCAACCAGCTTGCAAGGCGACCTCATTACGGGTGGAGTGGAGGAGCTGCGGATGCTCAGAGAGATTGATGCTCTGCGCCACACGTCGAGTCAGAGCGCGGACGCTGCTCAGCTTCTTGCCTTGGGAAGCAAATTGCTCGCCCACGATGGATCCCGCGAAGAGTTGGTAGCTCTACTCCTTTCGATCGTTGGAAAAAGTCAAGCAAGCAACAGCTCCAATGACCACGCCCGCGCGTATCTCTCTGCTCAGGCCTCAGTGGGCAAACTCGACCTGCAATGGCTCACGCCAGACTTGCCCGGAGCTGACGCTCTGCAGTCGCTCCTAATCTACCGCTTTCATGATGGTCTCGAGCTCCTCAGTTCTCAATTGGCGACCAAGTCTGGAGGACAAGACGTTGCAAAAATGGTCGAGAGCATGCCATTGTCAGTGCTGGCTTGGTTGGATGTGCAGTCGATCCTTTGCGAGGCAAGTGACTGCGGCACCGCTCTGCAGTTGGACGAGCTCGCCTCGCCGCTGGCGTCCCTGGCCTTCCACCCAGACCCGACTCGGAGCGTGGTAGCAGGCGATGCTCTAGGGCTGCTCTACCTCCTCTCCTCTCGCCAAGCCGACAAGACCCTGCCGTCATCTGTGCTCAGTGTCGTCCTCTCCGTCATCCCGAATAAGCCAGGAGATGCCTTCACCGCTGGCGCTCTTCGTTTCGGCGCCTCCTTGCTTTCATCCAGCAAGACTTCGTCGACAGATGCTGTCAACATTGCCCAGCGTCTTTTAGAGCAGTCTCTCCTTTGGCTGGTTCGCCGCTTCGCAGAGGATGAAGAAGATTCTCCTAGCCTCCTTACGGCAATCGATGCCTTCGGCTCCCTCCTCTACCGTTGCGCCGCTGTTGGCGGCCAAGCAAAGCCAGTACCACACCTAGCGGACCCAGCCATCGAAGCTGCATTTAAGCGTCGGTTGACACAGAGGAAGCAGATGGATATGGTGCGCTTGCTCGTCTTGACGACGGACCTCAAGCCCAGCTCGGCAGCGGCCCACACAGCGGCTTTGCTTGCTCATTCGCAGTTCAGGACTGCCGCTGCCGAGGGTGCAGCCTCACGAGGAGTGCTGGTCTCCATTCTCCACTCGCTGGCATCACAGCACGCAGAGCAGGTGGTGACGCCGCAAAATCTGCAGGCTCTGCTGGGCATTTACGGCGGGACCATGTCGCTTCCTGATCGACAGTTATTTGACCTCTTTCAGATGGCAGGGGAGCGCCTTGGAAGAGGCTTGTTCCCTAGTCTAGCCCGCAGCTGGTCTGCTGACGGCACACGCGGTGGTCAATCATCGACGACTGCACTTGACGCTCTCCTGTCACTCGACAGCGGTCGTGCCTTTTCAACCTGCGCAGCCTTCCCTCGCGACCGTGCCTTCGAGCACCTCTCAGCCGGCGCAGTGCCTTCAGGCAGCAACGACACTTACGATCCTCTCTGGGTCCTGACCCTTCTCAGCGGAGCTATGCAGCAGCAGAGTGGCGACCTGCGTATTACTGGGCTCGAGTGGCTCGCCATCGTCCGTACCAACGCCCTGGGAGTGGCCATTGTCTGCCTCAGCTCCAAGCAGGCCAGCACGCGCAACACTGCAGCAAACGTGATCGCTCGAGCTTACGCGGGGATCTCGGGCTCGGACGTTCAAGAGAAGCAGCACCTCATGCTCAATATGGACGTGGTTCGCTCCCTCCTTTCTGCCTCGCAACAGGAAGAGGAGGCTGCACCTCTTCCCCTCACCACTACCCTCTTCCTCGCGCACCACCTGCGACTCGTCGGCTCTCCCTCATCCGTTCTCTTCCCCCCAGTCTCTCGCTTCCTGCTGCAGCGACCGACGTTCGACAGCACGGATGTGCCGATGCTGTATGCCACACTTCAGTCGACCGATCCGGATCACTGGAGGGCGCATCGTCTCTGGATGCTGCGCTTCTTGAGGGATGTGAGCACAGCGGGTGGCGTTGGGTTGGAATGGCGGGTGTTGAAGAGGCGCTACGTCTGGGATCTATTGGCCAGTATGTATACCGCACTCAAGAGGGCGGCAGGAGCTTTCGATGGGGCGAGCAACGGCGGTGAGGAGGCCGAGGGGTCGTCTTCAACTGCTCCGAGTGTCACAAGACAGACGCTTCGCCTCGTCGAAGAGACTATGCTCGCGCTCGTGAACAAGCCGCGTGTGGCCAGCGAGCTGCTGACGCGCAAGGGCCTGTTGACGTGGATACTGCAGCAGATTACGCTCGAGGGAAAGGGCAGGCCAGGCAGGCACGCTGCTACCTTCGAGTCGAATAGCATCGAAGCAGGGAACGAGCAGCTAGACCAGGACCACGTTGAGACAGCAGAGCAGGAGATCGATGCCAACTTCAAACTACTGCTCTTACGCCACGCCCTCGGAGACAAGCCTGAGCTCTGGGACCGTTTAGACCGCACCATGGCCGACGTCAGCTGGACATCAACGGTGCTGGCCATTCTTGACGGCATGGAGGACTCTTACTCATCTACGCGTCACTTCATCGAGGTGCTGTGTATTGTAGCCATGCGCCAGGCTAGCGACATCTCCGGCTCGTCTAGAGGTCTACTGTTGCGTCTACTAGGCGAAGCTGTCGCTGGTCTGCAGGCGCGATCGAGCGCATCAACGAGGTCTGCCCTGAAGGGTGAGGTGTCTATTCTGGCCGGCAAAATCTTGGAGAGCCTGTTGACCTTGCGAGAAGGTGAATCAGAGGAGCAGAATAGGCGGCAGATCGGGGCTTACTTTGCACAAGCTCTCGGACTCGCAGTATCGGGGGATGAGCAGAGATGGAGACGAGAGCATGTGAGGATGTTGCATTCGTGACCAGACGACAAGGATGTATTTTGCAATGCTATCATGAGCTTTCCCCGGGGTCTAAGATGCTTTGTGCCCTTCCGTCCCGACCGCGATTCTCTGCCACGCGACGCTGGCTCTCCCACGGGAAAGGCGTCCGCGATTGGTCGACCGTCCATTACTACTCATCGGCTTCGCACCACTACCCCTCCTTCACCACTCCCTCACCATGCGCCCCACCTCTCTGCTGAGCGTCTCACGCTCGCTGCCTCTGCTCCAACAGCAGGCGGCTTCCTCATCGTCATCAGGAGCGGCTTCATCTCCCTTCACGACGGCGCATCGCAGCTATGTCAAGTCGCTCTACAAGCGATACCTCAAGAACGAGCTTGACTGGGTGATTAGGAGGGACATTTGGAGGGACAGGGCGATTGAGATTCGTGCAGAGGTAAGTTCCAGGCTCGAACTCATCAGCATGTGCGGTGATAAAGGACAGGCAAGGCAATGTAGCGCCCTTGGACAAGGTCTTCTGCCTGGCGTCTGCAGCTCGTCGAGGCGCATCTATGCTGCTGCCCCCGAACAAGGAGATCGGACATTGGCTCACCGCGTGCGCCCTTCCCCTCGCTTTCGTAGTTTGAGCGCAACAGGCACATTCGCAACCCCCGTGAGCTCGCCAAGGTCCTCGAGGCTGCGGAGGAGCGATTGGCCAGCCTCGCCCACCCGGACCCTTACAGGCGTGAGTGCGAGGACGAAGAGAGGATTGAATTGTGCAGTACACAGCGTACTGATGTTCCGCATCCTCACTTTAATACACCGCAGCGCCCCTCGCCGAGGATGGAACCAAGTGGGAGCGTAACATGCCGCCGCCGTACGTATGAGGCGATTAGGCCAAGCTGGGCAGTCGGATCGTCGGAGGAATGGGAGGGGGGCATGGCCGGCTCACGTACGACAGCGTCGAGAAAATGTAGGCAGAGGCAGCCAGGTCAGATGCAAAGGAGATACTCAATTCGGCATTGTGTGGGGTGAGGACGAAAGCGTGCTTTGCTTCGTGACAGTCGGCGCTCCTGCGTGAGGACAGCATCAACTCGATGCAACACCACGAGGAGGCTTTGTCAAGGACGAAATGATCAGGTCAAGGTTGCTTGAAGATCAAGATACCGCATTGCGTGCAGAGGTATTGGCGGTAGCATAAAGGGCGAAAGGTGTATCTCAGAGCGCTATGAACAGATTGATTACCCCTCCTTCTCTCCCCCCTCGCGGCCCCCCTCGCGCCGCTTCATCGCGCCAACAACAACCCCCAAAGCGTCACATAAGCTAGTGCGCCAATGGGCGCCACATTTCTCCTTACCGCAACCTCCCAATGAAAGACCCTCCTGCTTCTGATATGCCACGACCCTTTCATCGTAGCGGCGGCCACAGCGGCAGCCCTGTTACTCGCAGCGGCAGAGGCTGTAAGCCCCCATCCGGAGACGGCCCATACCTTCTCGCGCATACGGCGTCGGCGGCGACGTCGTCGCAGAGCGAGGCGAAGACGACGCAGGGCTTCAGTGGGCGTTTCGCCATCCTGAAGTTGGAGCGAGTCGTGCAGATCTTCATCGTCGTCATCGTCGTCAAGACCTGTAAGGCCAGCGGTGGTGAGGCCAGGGTCTGTTGTCTCGCCTTCCAGAACGGAATCTTCTGCGCCAGTCACGCCACCACCACCATCGTCCGTTGTAGCCGCAGCGTCTTCTCGAGCGGGCGATGTATTCTTGCGCCCCGCAGCTCGCATACCCCTCAGTCGCCTGAGGAGGATGTTGGTCATCCCACTTCGCCCAATGGAATCGAGCGCACTCGTCTTGATGAGGACACCGTTGCGCTCTTGTTGACGTTCCTCGGCCGCAAGCAGGGCGCCTTCGTCCACCGGCCCTTCGTCTTCATCGCCGCTCTCTTCGTCGGAGGTAGAGGAGTCGAAGGGTGCTGAACCCATGATCGCACGCCAGAAGCGCTGCCCTGCTCGTACGCGGCCTGGTGTGTAGGTAGGGCGAGAGGGACGGATGGCTGGACCTGACTCTCCGCCAGCTAGCGTCGAGGCTGGGGTGCGCTCCCTACTGCTGGCGCGCGATCGGGACGAGCCCACTGTAGGCGTGTGGAGCGCCGAGGCCCTAGAAGAAGATCCTTGCATCCTTCCATTCCTCGTCGAGCCGCCCGATGGTGGCGCCCTCTGCGTGGGCGCATCGGCGATGTTACTCGTGACCCATCTCGCCACGACGTCACTGAAGGCGGTGAAAGACGCAATGACGATCCACGCTTCGACCGGCCTGTCAGGGCCAGCGACGAAGATCGTCAGGCGAACGAGCGGCCAGCAGATGGCCTGCAGGGCGATCAATCGGATGAGCGAGGGGAAGAGCGAGTAGTAGATGAGCCACCTGCGCAGCAAAAGCGTGGTGAGGGAGAGGGCGTGGTACGCCGTGCACAGGGCCCACAGGCTCGCCAAGAGGAAGTCGAGCCCGCAGGTAGCGCGCGCGTGCGGGTATTCGGCCACGTTGAGGAGTCGACCTTTTTGCAGAAGAGAGCCGCGAGGTGTAGAGCGCGACATGTGCAGCGCGGTGTTGCGTAGAAGCCAGAAGGTGCCTACGAAGCCGGGTACGGCGGCTAGCATGCGCAATGGATGGAGAAGCAGGCGGAGAAGCCAGGGTGAGAAGCCATCGTCATCGCTGTCGTCGTCTTTGTCTGCGCTGACTTCCGTGACTCGTCGCGACGATGTTGCGGGCAGTCGGCGACGGTGATCGTTGGCTGTCGAGCGCCCTTCACTTCTGGTTGGTGGACGACGTTCCCGCCTCGATCGAGTGGACGAGGTCGTTCGAGAGTGTGAGACCTCGTTTGCTTCTTCGCCTTCGGTGTCGCTTTTCGGTTGCCAAGCAGGGGGCTGTGCAGCCTCCTCGGCGTCTGGAGCTTGAGCTCGCGTTGGCGGTGCTGGAGTTGTAGAGATTCGGCGCCGCGCCTCACCGATGGCAGATGAAGGAGCTACGCCATGCTGTTGGAGAGGGACGGACGCGGAGGCAGAATGCCCCCTGTTGCGCCTTGTCTCGAAAGCCAGACCGTCGTCATCATCCATGTCCGCAGCAGCCTGAGCGTTGATGGAAGCTCCGTCCACCGCATTTGCGGGGCGAGGCGGTGGGAAGTCTGCATCGTTGGCCTGGTACGGCGGAGGAGGCGGAAGCATCTCGCGCACATCCGCGGGCATATGGTGGGGCGACGCCGCGTCGGAAAGACCATTGACGGCGGTGTCAAGCCCAGCTGCGGCGCCTAAGGCAGCTGCGTGCAATTGCCAAAGGCGGGGATCCCCCGGAGAAATTCCCCCCTCTCCGCCACTGGGACTGATGCCAAAGTAGCCCACTGGGGAGCGCTGAGCTGCATCCATTACCATAGTCTGCCAGGCCCCATCGTACGTATGATTTCCTGTTGAAGACGAGGGTAGCCCGATTGGCAAGGATGCGCTCTGAAAGTGGAGATGCGGGCTGCTATGAGTCCGACCTGGACGGACTGGTCGTGCATTGCCATTACAGCGAATGCCTGTCCCTTCTCCAGCTCCCACCTCGACGTCGCCCTCCTCGCCAGTATCACTCGCATCAGATTCTGGGAAGCCTTGCGAGGACGTAAGACTGGCGCCCGAATTCGAGCGGTGTCGCGTTCTCCGGCGGGAGGAGGATGAGGTCGCGACTGAGCTGAAATGACCGCTATTTCGCCGCGAGCCTGGAGCACTTCCTCCCGCCACATCGGATGATGAGCGCAAACGATTTCTGCTAGATGAATGCTGCTGTTGACGACCGCTGTGGCTGCGCGAGCCTGACGGCCGAGCTGAAGCAGACGAGCTAAGGCTTCCACTACCTGCAGAAGAGCCGCCAGCTGCGGCTCGCACGGGAGCTGGCCACGAGCCTGTCTCCAGAGGTGAAAGCCGCGGCGACTCCATCGCTGGCGGAGTAGTCGCTGGCGTGAAGCCTGTACCACGAAAGTCATGAAAGGGCGAGAGCCGCCTCTCAGAGGAGTGAGGGAAGAGGGAAGAGCTGGGTAGGTTGGTCATAGAGAGTGGAGAGAGGGGCGAGATCATGGGCAGCGCAGATGAAGGGGATGCTGGGGATGATGACGTCGACTCGGATCGTATACGCCGGTCGATGGATGTCCGCGACTTTGGTCGGCGAAGACCTCTCGGTGTGGATGATGAGGACATCGATAGGCGTGGGGAGGATGGAGAGGATGCCGACGAGGATGCGCGTGGGACAGCCTCATCGCTGATTGGAAAGGTATGTGCGCTTTCGTCGAGGTCGAGGTCACCGCTGCGCATAGCAATGGAGTTGCGCAATACCTCGAGGCTGGCAAAGCTCGCCGAAGGAGAGACGGGCGCAGACACCGAAGATGTCGTCGGCATCATGGCGCGCCTTTGCCTCTGCGGCGGCGAATCCGGCGGGGATGTGGCCATGCCTCTCTGCGACTTTGAACTCTAGGCGCGGTAGCGAGAGGCTATCATGGATGCGATGAGAGCGGGGGCTGTGGTGGTAATGAGGGCAAGGCTGGTTGACGACGACGTGGCGTGGGTGAGAAATAGACCACGATTGCCAGGAACAGGCTAGAGATAGAGTGCCGCCGCTGCCGCCCACCGCCCGCCGCCCGTCGCCTGGATGGAGGCCGCCCACCACGCGGCAGCAACGACGCTCCAAGACTACGACGACAACGACGACGAAGACGCTACTTTGAGCTGAGCGAACCAGGGCCGCCAAGGTGTTGATCAACTATGATCTCGACGCGACCTCGTATAAGATATTACGATAGCAGCTCACTGATACCCGTGAGACCTGGATCCAGATTCGCCATCACCGGCAAGCCTGTTTGCACCCGTTTCCAATCTGACCTTCCCGCGACAAGCAGGAACCGTCGGCACACTGAGACCAAGGTGTTTGCTGCTGCTGCGGGTGACAATGGCTCAATTGAAGCTAGGCTACTCAATCTCGCGAGACAGCCTCCAATAGGCTTTGTTTGAGGAAGAGCCGTGGGAGATGGAGACGGCATCGCCAAAGGCCACGCGACGAGGCACAATTCCAACACCGCGACGCCGCTGCGCGAGAAAGTCCCGATGGACGAGGTGCATCAACCTTCGCATCGCCCCCGTTTCAACGTCTACGCGACATTGAACGCGGCCATGAACCGCCCATTTACCGCCCGACTTGGTACGGCAAATCAAGGTTGCGCCTCAGAAGGCATGCAAAGTGCGAAGGCCGGGGCCCGTGGCAGCCAGCAATGGACGGCAATAGCAGCGGCTTGCTTGTTCCCTCGACCGGTCCACCGTCATCGATCACAAAGCTGCTGTGTGGAGTCCGAGGTAGCGAGCCAGATTTGGCTAGACGTTTGAATGCTGCTGCTTGCCTGAGCCGGAAACTCAATCCAGTCTACGCCAGTTCCAGCTTGGACACGGGTTTCGGTCGGGTGACATCTGCTACTTTCCTTTCCTCACCCCACCTACTTTCCCTTTATCCTCTCCACGCACGCACCAACGTCTGTGAAGCGGCTCATAGAGGACAATCGTCTTGACTGGTTCAAGTGATTGCCTTCCTCGCACCTTCCTCCTCCTCTCCCTCTTCAGATACTCGAATCGCCCTCTGTCCGGGAGACAGCAGGAGCGAAACCAGCGCCTTCCAGGATAGCCTCTTTGCGGAGCTCTTGCTCAGGCCGAGCAGCCTTTCAACATTGCTCTAGTCTTCACGGCTTCTATACGCACAGAGAAGGGGTCCGTCTTCAAGCAAGCGTTCTCTGTTCGTTCCCTCTCAAGGCGTCAATCATCGACAAAGGACTTCAGTGGCCGGCCACCTTCGATCGTCCTCGTTCTATCCCCTCTTCCACCTTCCCTCCCTTACCTCTTTCCTTCACGACATCCTCCAACATGCCTTCTCGTAGGCAAACTCCCTCCGTCTCGCAGTACTTTGATCAATGGCTCCCTTCGACGAGCGCTTCGCCGAGCCTCTCGCCAACGATGGCGTTTGGGTCGCCCATTCTCTCGGCTGTCAGCAAAGGCTTCAAGGGCGCCTACGACGCCTTTGCTAGTCCTATGCTCGGCACTTGGGGACCCTTGCTGGGGGGCGTCAAGGGTGATGGTATGTGCAACCGGGCAGGTCATGATGAGGGACACCGACGATTGACCCCATCTCCCCCCTCTCACGCAGGCTCCTTCTTCGGCGGCCTTATGAGCGACGACAGCCCAGTCCCCTCTGACATGGGCTCGTGCGCAACGTCGTCACCCTCGTACACCTTCCCCATTGCCACGGCTCAGATCGATTTGCCTGCGTGGTGCGCCGATGCCACCGCCCTTTCCCCCTCGGAAGATGACCTGCGTGGCCCAGACGCAGCTCCTAAGGCGGAACCCATCAGGAAGCTGCGTCACACAGGTAATCGCCGAAAGAAGCAGTCGATATCGGCCGCAACGGCCCCTGCTTCGCCTGAGTTGGAGGGTGGAGCAGGCGATGTTATTCGCTCGCACGTCGTCGACCCTTACCTGAACCCCATCCCAGCCAATCGCCTCCCTCTGCGCCAGTACGTGAGTGCGCCGGAGCTTCACGCTCAGCGATACTCCCAGGCAGCACCCGTGCAAAAAGCAGGAGAGACGCGCGTCGGTGGTGGTTTGATGGCTTCGGCGTCGATGGACGATCTACTCAGCGAGCTGGGCTGGTCGTCAGCGCAGGACTATGGCAGTGGCGGTGCGACATCGGACGCCGGGCCTGCGGTCGCGCAGGCAGCTGGCAACGCTCCGGAGAGCGGCTCTCTCTTCCAGCGTCGTGCGGCGCAGTGGAGGGATGAGATGCCTGCGCCTGCTCCCATTCAGACTTCCAACGAGGCTTCCGCCGTGACATCGTCCTCCTTTACGAACCCGGAGCCACACACTGCGGAAAGTAATATCCGACAACAGCAGCGTCGCCTCGAGATCGAGCAGATCCAAGCTCAGTACGCCGCCACACACGCCGGATCATTTGGCATGCCTCTCCTCAACGACTTTGTCACCCCAGCAGCTCAGCACACAGGCGACGAGTCGTGCGAGAAGACGGCACGGACTGTGCAAGCGGCGTTGCTGTTTGGCTCAGACGCGCCCGAGCGACGCAACAGCGTCGAAAACCTGAGCGTATTCGGCTTCCCTACTGACAGCAATGGGCGACAGTATCATGCGCCTCAGCAGCAGCAGCAGCATCCCTCAGCCAGCCCTTACGGTGGCCACTACCTGCTCTACAGCGGCGGTCCTGCCACGGGACCCGGCTTCACCTCTACCTTCCCTCCATCGTCCGACCCTCGCACTCCCCGTCAGCGTAAGCAATCTATGCCGGCACAACAGCAGCAGGCTAATTCGCTGCAGCTCGAAGGAGTGCCGTCGTACGCCATGCGACCGCAGTCCTCGGTCACACGCGGCGCAGCGGCCGAGACAATCAACCCCTCGACTGCATTTGCAACGCCTCAACAACAGCGCACCTACGCGGCCACGGTACCGCTTATGCCCGTCTACCTCCCCCCTACCGACCCAATGCACCAGCACCAGCATCAAGGACCTCCCTGGTCAGCCCCTCGCCCCTCGTCAAGCGCCTCTTCGCACCCAGGCAGCGGAGGGTCGACGCACACTTACGCTAGCCTGCCCTCGACAACTCACACTTCGCAGGGCTACGCTAGCGTGCAACAGGCCCCCGTCAAGCTCGAGCCTCAGCAACAGCGCACGATGCCCAAGACTCCCACCTCTGCCTCCTCCTCAATGGCAAAGAAGGCGCGATCTACGCCCAACCTCCGCAACACACCACCGAGCAGCGCCGACGTCACTCATGCGTCGTCGAGCAGCGCCGGTGGCAGTAGTGGAGCAAGGCACGCATCGCCAACCACGCCGACGAGGAAGATCGCAACGAATCGCCGCGTGCAGTCCAACAAGGATTTGCGTGGTAGCGCAGGGCTGGGTTCGCCCATTGGTTTGCACAAGAGAAAGGCTGCTTCAGGTAGTGCAGGCAGCGGCTCGGCGGCAGCGGAGATGGCTGCTGTGATGGGTGAGGGTGTCGATCCTTGGGCCCCTGCACCCGGCGGGTTCAGCTTCGTCAACTACGGCGTTGAAGATGCACAGGAGCTGTGCGCCGCTGTGGCTCCGAGTGGAAGCACGAAAATTCCCTTGAAGGGCTACGTAGCAAAGGAAGGACAAAGCGCTTCGGGCGCGACGGCGGCGACGGCAAGCAGTGCATCGAGCAGCAGCGCCGGTCACAGCCACAGCGGTGGACTCCCGCACAAGGCTCCTTCTGCTGCCATCAAGAGCAAGCCCCGCCCAAAGGCTACGGTTGACAACTCGCGATGGATCCAGGAGACGGGCGAGGAGACGGATGACGAGGATGACGATTCGGATGGAGAGGATTTCGATGACTCTGGCGCGGGTGCATCGCCTGCGAAGAAGAGGAAGAGCATCGGTGGCGCAAGTGGGACGGGTGTGGGGGCCTCGCCCGCTAAGAAGGCAACGCCGAGGAGGAAGGCAGGGGTTGCGTGAGCGGGGCAAATGGTCAAGGTGGTGGGCAAGGGCCCCTGCTCGAACAGGAGTGAATCCATGTGGGCCTCTGTGTGAGGGTCATGGGCATTTGGCATTTGGCCGTTGGGTATTTACAGCGGTCGCAAGCATGCAAGCGGGCAGTGCGGCAGGGCAGCGGCGTGATACAGAAGCAAGCGCTGTCGAGCAGTGCGTTGTGGAACCTGTGCTATCGCAGTGTCTTTGGGATGATCGTTTGTACCTGGAGTAGAAGGCCAGTGTGGCCTGTCTTGCTGGAAGGCTGTCTCGTTCCTTTTGTTAATACCATCTTTATCACTTCATCCCCTCCGAAGAGCGCCTGAAGTCCAGCTTGTCGTGCTCGTTGCATCGTCCCCTTAGTCGACCAACGATACGCGAACATTGCCCACTCTACTCGGTCTGTTGAGCCTTGCTCGGCTTTTGCGCCGTGCGACTACGTCAATCTGCGCCGCTGTCAACCGAGGTCGCGACGGTCGATCAGCGACGCTGCTGTTGGAGCTCGAAGGGGCGCTGCCCTCGTTTCCCCCGCTCTCCGCCGCATCAATGAGACTCTGCGATGTGGGATCGATGTATCGCTCGTAGCGATAGGGCGGTGATGCGCGCGATGTTGTTGGCGTAGCAGATACTGTCGATGCTGACGATGGCCGTGAAGAGGTCTTGGCATCCCGTGACCGTTGTACTTGCTCCCTTTTTGCCCCCTTGCCCTGTGCCACTGAGCTACCGCTGAGCCTGCCGGCCGAGTCCTCCTCCTCCTCTTCTGCCCATGCATTGAGCCAAGCACCACGCCCACCCCTGCTCCACACCTTGACGTCTCCCTTCCCACTGGCCGCATCTGCGTCGATGAGTGCGAAGCGTATTGAGCCGCCTGGTGAGAGGAACATGACTTCCAGTAGCAGCGACTCGAGAATGCCGCGCAGCCCACGAGCACCAGTAGCCGTGGTCGTGGACGCAGAACCTACGCTAGCGGCGCTTGCGTCCACATTGCCCGTCGCAGTCTCCTCGCGCTGCTCCCCATGCATGGCCGTCTTTGCAATTTCTCTCAGCCCCTTCTTGGTGACCTTGAGCTCGACGCCACTCAGCGCCAACAGGCACCGGTACTGCTCGACCAAGCTGTTTCTTGGCTCGATGAGGATGCGTACCATCTCGTCTTCACTGAGGGGGAGCAGAGGGCAGATGGAAGGGACGCGACCCAAAAATTCGGGGATGAGGCCGTACGAGAGGAGGTCGGCCTCGGCGAGGTGACGCGACAAGAGTGTCGACGTCGACGTGCTTGCGTCGACGCTGCTACCGAGACGCTGTCGGATAAGGTCTTCGATACCGACAAAGGCGCCGGAGAGGACAAAGAGGACGGAGGAGGTGTCGAGATTGTACGTTGTTGGCTGGCCGCTGCTCATCGGAGAGTTGATACTTGACTCAGATGATGAGCTTGATCCGCCGGCCACGCCTGCTTCCGCTGCGCTGCGTCCCTTGCCCTTGCTGGGCGAGCTAGACGGAGGCGATGATTTGAGGGAGCTGGAACCCGGGCGTGGGGCTGGACCTTGGACTTGTAGGATGCAGCCCTCGAGGATACGTAGGAGCGCCTGCTGCACTGCTTCGCCACCGATGTCGCGTCCTCCACCTCCAGAAGCCGCAGTGCCTCCGCCGCCGGCGCCACTCCCTGCTCGCCTGGCTGCCAGCTTGTCTACCTCGTCGATGTAGACTATGCCTCGTTGCGCCATCTTGACGACATCTGACTCCTCAACGGTGATCCCCGTCTCCGATGCCTCTTGCTCGCAGATGCGTCGAGCCTCGGCAATAAGCCTGCGGCCAATGACATCGACGTCTTCACCGACGTAGCCGCTGGCTGTGAGCGGAGTGGCGTCAATGGAGATGAATGGGACTCGGAGTGTCGAGGCAAGGGTCGAGACCAGAAGTGTTTTGTCTACGCCCGAAGGTCCAAGAAGGAGCAGATTCGACTTCGAGTGACGAGGGGGAAGAGCGGCCGAGGAGTGGGATCGAGGATGGGGACGTAAGAGGCGAATCGGTGATGAGGCCGCATCTCCATCGTCGTTGTCTCTCTCTGCGCGGCCTCTTGATCGAGTCTCCGTCTTTTCCGCTCTCGAATGAGCATGGCGTGATTCTTCTTGCGGGGTGACACTGTTGCAAGTGCTAGAGCTACTGCGTGGGAAGCGAGGATGTGATGGCGAAAAGTAGGTGCTGGGCAGGGCTTCGCCGCCTGAGACAAAGGGTAAGCTTGCGGCGCTGGCTTAAGGAAATCGCGGCGCTCAGCTCACTTTTTTCTTCTATGCGTGGAGCACTGCGCTGCTCCCTCGAATGCTGATCTCGATGCCTGCTGTGTGACGCATGCTGCGTACCAGCTTCAAAGTCACCTGCTTGGTCGTTCTCCTCGTTGCTCAGAACCCGGACGTAATGGTTGAAGAGCGCGACCGCGAGGTATTTCTTGGCACGCTCTTGCCCAATTACATGGTCGTCGAGGTGAGCTACGAGCTGTCGCGGTGCTGGAAGGCCAAAGGGCACCAGTGAGGTGCGTGCAGCCGCTGGCTTGCGAAGCGGCTCGACGTCGTCCAGCCAATTGTCAGCACGACGCTGCGCAGCTGGAGCCTTCTGAGTGCGCGTGTGGGCGTATCGATGGACGATCGATGGCGATGAAGCTGGCCTGCACCGCATGGCTACAGCCAAGCTTCTTGATGCGATCATCTTGGCGGCCATCCAGGGGATGATGGATTGAAGTGCAATCAGAGGCTCGGATTCCACCTCGAGGGCTACTGAGTCCGTGCGCCGTGCGCCGTGCGTCGTGCCGTGTCTCCGGCGGGTTGCAGCGGAACTGACGCGGCAAAAAGCCATCGTTGGCAAACGACATTTGGCGCTTTTGTAGCTTTGCCTTCTAGGACTTCACCCATGCCAGGTATGACCTGAGCGCTCTCCAGAAGCTCATCAACTGGAGCAATGGCTTATTTCGTCCGCGATCAGCCCTCGCATCACTCTTCTCCTCTCCATCCGCCAGCATACATTCCCTCCTCGTCGTCGTCTTCGTCCTCTTTTGTCCTCGTCGACGTGCCACTGCGCTATCCCCTCTTTGGCTGCTTGCCTTGGCCCGCAACCCTACAAGATCAGATATCTATCAGCATCGCACTCATAGCTGTAAGCACGCTCGTCATGGTCGCTGTAACCGGCCTCCGATCAGGTGCATACGATCTTCTTTGGAGGTTCGGAAGACAGGAAGGGGAGAGCAATGAAGCCGGTTCATCGAATGGGTCCTGTCGACGTCGAAGAGCAGCACATACACACGAGCCCGACACAACGTCAGGTGGTGATTGGTATCCTGGCCTAGTCAACACGGGCAACACCTGCTTCTTCAATAGCGTCTTGCAGTCACTCGCATCGCTGCCGTCGTTTGGAGACCACTTGCGCGCTCTGCATTGCAAAGCCGAGCAAGCGGATGTCCCCACGCCCGTCTTGGACGCTCTGCTCGATCTGATCATCTTGCTCAACACACCAAGTTTCAAGCGGCGGCGAGCTGTACGGCCATACGAGCTCACGCAAGCTCTGTCAAAGCGAAATCCTCAAGGAGGCAGAGGCGCCCTCCGTAGCCTGGTGACCGCACACCAGCAGCAGGATGCCCACGAGCTGCTTGTCTTGCTACTCGACGCTCTGTCACAGGAGCGAGACGAGGTCCTCAAGTCGCTCAGTGGGCCGTCTTCTCGCCCTGAGCAGGGAGGCCTGGCAGGCCTGTTAGGACCGACGCTCGATGTAGTCCGCACGCCCGCTGCCGCTCTGCCGAACCCATTCGACGCTCTCGTTGCGCAGCGCACAGCTTGCCTCACCTGCGGCTACTACGACGTCATTCGCAACTATGCCCAAGAGGAGCTCACACTCAATGTCCCCTACTCACGGACATGGGGCGGCGTGCGATTGGAGGATTGCCTGGCCGAATGGGCGCAGCTCGAGGGCGTCGAGTGGAGATGCTGGGCATGTACGCTGCGCGGCAATGCTGCCAAAGTGGGAGCAGATTTCCAGCGTCTATCGGTGGATGCAACGAGCTCATCGGCCAAGAAGAGGCTCAAAGAGCTGCGAAAGACGCAAAGTGCGCTTCAGGATGCAATGAAAGAAGGCGCCAGCGAGGAGGATTTTCGCACTCAGCACCCCAATATCAAGCTCGCTGCGGCACTCGGGACAGGTAGAGGGCCAACAGCCACTAAGCAGATCGTCTTCTCCCGCCCGCCAGACGTGCTCGCATTGCATCTCAGCCGATCACTTTTCGCCGGCTTCGGAGCAAGTAAGAACGACACGCGGGTGGCCTTTGGGGAGTGGCTAGACTTGAGCGCCGTTTGCCTCGGCGACGGAGGCGTCGAGAGCCAGCCGGCACGCGGTATGAATCAGCTGAGTGGCAGCGACGACGAGGAGGACGAAGGGTGGACCAAGATCGCGGGGCCCCATGCCGCCACAAACGGCAATGGCAACGGGTACAGCAATGGCAACGGCGGGCCGCACCCGCCGCCGCCGCCGCCATCCTCACCGCCGGTATACCGTCTCTGCTCGGTCGTGTGCCACTATGGCGGGCACTCATTCGGACACTATGTTGCCTATCGCCGGGCTCCCACCGCGACGCGCACTCCCGCGACTCTTGATACCTATCTTGATGGGAGTGTCAGCGATGCTTGGCTTCGCATTAGCGACGAGTCGGTGCAACAGGTGACAATAAAGGATGTCCTCGCCGAGGGAAAGGGGGCGGTAGTGGTATTCTATGAGCGGGTGGGGAGTGCAACGCACCAAGAGGCCAGAGATAGGAGCTACCTACCCGGAGGGCCGGCGGGCAAGGTGTTTGCCAATTTGGTCGAAGGCGAGGTGGTGCGTTCAGGCAGGAGACCGCGACAGGTCGAGCGATGGCAGATCCGATCTTCAACATCGTCAAGAGCGGCGACGCCAAGCGCGACGCTGCCCTGACGTCTCTGTTGCGGCGACACAATGAAAACCTCTTTATCCTATCGTGATGTACGACGGCTGTAGAACACGATTCACGGCCCGGCAATGGAGATGCGAGCGCACACGACCGTGGGTATGGTCACGCTCGTCGACTGTCGCTACAGCCTTATCTTCCAGCTACCTCGTCTCCTCTTGTCATCTAACCCCACCTTCGCACCATTTGCCTCGCGCATGATGGCAGGCTCGTCGACCACACCCTCTGCGCACGTCCTCTTGAACCAAGATTCGAGGCCCACAGACACCAGACCGAATACGGGAGACATGGCTGCGGAAGATGAGAAGAAGAAAGTAACGAAGGGCGATGCCGTTGACGAGGAGCTCGTGCAGGCCAAGCGTGAGGACGCTGATGTTGAGAAGCCCAGCGTCACCTCCGAGGAGCATGCAATGGACGGCGGGCACTTCGCAAGCAGACCCACACAGTTTGACCGCAATGGCGACCCCATCATCAACACGGGATACGACGTCTCACGCTACCTCATCTCGCTGCGAGACGATGGAGATGAGGCGCTCACGCTGCGTTCCTGGGTGCTTGGCATCCTCCTCGGGCTCGCGAATAATCTACTAGGCGTGCGTTAGTTACAGAGCCCTATCACGTCCAGTTGTTCACGGACATTTTTGACACCTTCGACACTCCGCGACAGGCACTGTTCAAAGCCAAGCCCACTTCGGCATCATTCACGGACATCTTTAATATGCTGCTGCTCTACATCATGGGCTGCACCTGGGCCTTTGTCCTTCCAACCGCCGAATCGTTCCACCAAGAAGGCAAGGCGTGGGACAATATTCGTCGCGTCATACGCGTTGTCAACCCGTCCAAGACATTCGGTCTCAAAGAGCACGCCATCTCTCTGATCATCGCCTCAATTGGATTCCTCGGCGGATACGCCGTCGACGCCCTCGCCACGGCTAAGCTCTTCTTCAATGCTCACCTCAATCCGGCGACGGTGATCCTCGGGCTTTTCTCACTGTCGACAATTGGCCTGGGCCTCGTTGGCGTTCTCGCCCCAGCCATTGTCTATCCCAGCGAGCTGGTCTACTGGAATGGCATCCCAACCTGCCACGGGTTCCAGGCCCTTCACTACTCGAAGGGCGATCAGGTTGACCGACGGCGCAAGACGTTTGGCTGGTGTCTTCTAGCCGCCTTTACGTGGGAATTCGTCCCTGCCTATATGGCGCCCTGGCTGAACGGTATCAGTATCCCCTGCCTGGCGTCCATGCACGCCTCGGAAAACAGGCGCAAGACGATCAGCCGCATCTTTGGAGGAGCTAGCGCAAATCAGGGGCTGGGCCTCTTCAGCATCTCCCTAGACCCGCAGTACGTGCCATTTTCTACATTCGCGGGCTCGCCGACCAAGTTCCTCATCCCCTACTTCTCCGGCGCAATTCTGGGCGCGTTCATCCTCATTGCACTCTACCAGACCAACGTGTGGAATGCCAAGGCCTACCCCTTTATGAGCTCAACCCTTTACACGGCCACGGGAGACGCGTGGGACCAGAATGCAGTCTTTGATCCGCAATACAGGCTGAACGAGACCGGTCTGGCCGAGCAAGGCCTGCCGCGCATGGCAGTCAGCGAGGCTTTCTCCATCAAGACAACTGCTCTCGGCTTAGGCGCTCTCATCGCTCATGTGCTCCTATTCCTGTCCAAGACGGTCATTGAGGACTTTCGCCGCGTCAGGAATGGCTCGCTGGACGACCCACACTACCAGGCCATGAAGAAGTACAAGGCCGTACCCCAGAAGGTCTGGCTGCTGTTCATGGCGCTCGGCGTTCCTGCAGCCTTTGTGACCATCTACGTAGGGCACACCACCCTTCCTTGGTGGGGATTGGTCGTAGCCTTGGTCTTCGGAGTTTTGATGACGCCCATCTCTCTGAGCATATACGGACGCTTCGGTTCGGCAGTGCCGACGATGATGATAAGCAAGATGATCTCCGGAGCCTGCCACCCTGATCACCCTGTGGCCAATCTGTGGTTCGCTCTATACTCACACAACATCGTTGAAGTGTCGGGTACCGTAGCTGGCTATCTCAAGCTCGGGCAGTATCTCAAGCTGCCCCCGAGGCTGAATTTGGCTGCTCAGCTCACAAGCGTCCTGCTTGGCGCCTTCACGCAATGGATCATGACAAGCTCCATCATCGATCGGCACGCGGATATCCTACGAGATCCACAAGGTGACGCCTACTGGTTTGGAGGCTTGTGGCAGGACGCAAACGTGGAAGCGACGGAGTGGAGTATGGCCTCTAGAGTCTTTGCAGTCAGCTCTGGTACCGACTATGAGTGGCTGCCGCTAGGCATCATGATTGGCGCCTGCTTCCCTCTCGCCCACTGGTTGCTCACCAAGCGCGTCAAATTCATTCGCGACTTGGGTGACTTGATCGTGAGTACGCGGGGACGAGGGGGTGCAGAGTGCGTACCCCAACTGCAGCTGCGCGCTCACCCTTCGCCTGTCCCGCAGAACCTGCCGATCTTCCTATATTACCTGGCAACGCTCAGTGGCGGCGTAAACTCCGCGTTCTTCAGCTCCATGCTCCTAGCTTACGGTAGGTCATCGCCAGCTGCGTCTCTGCGCACGTAGTCTGATCCTCATCCCGCCCTTCACTCGCAGCCTCTCAACACTGGCTCCGCACTCATCGGCCCAAGTGGTTCATCGAGGTGCGTTGCCCTCAAGTGCCTGGCTCTCGCTCCGAATGCTGACCCCCGCCGCCTGCCGTACGCAGTTCAACTACCTTATCGCTGCTGGCGTGAGTCAGAGCCTTAAGGACAAGGTGACGTCGTCTTCCCCGACTGACCTGCCGTACTTTCCCGCGCTCTAGGTCGACGGTGGAGTTGCTATCATGGTCTTCTTGCTGGCCTTTGCGGTTCAAGGCGCAATGGGAGTAGCCCACCCTTTCCCAACTGTGAGTGCGCTCGCTTCCTCCATTGCACTCGCGTGACTCGGTCCAGCTAATCACCTCTCATGCTCCACTCTTTGCTCAAAGTGGTTTGGCAACCCTGCCGCACCGGAAGCCCCAGACCACTGCCTGCGTGGGGATGCGTGAAGGAGAGGATGAGTTGAATGAGTGCATTACGGCGAGGTGAACCGTACAGTTTCAGAAGACAACCTTGATCTCCACCGTCTCATCCTCTGCTCTTGCCTGCTTCTCCTTTCTCACCGTCTATCGTTCCGTGCGTTTAAGAGTCCTTTCCCTAGTGATGTTGGTTGTGTTCGCGGCGCACCATTGAAATCTCCGTTACGCTTTGTTCTTCCTGTGCCTACGGCAAAACATACCGATCCTTCGGTCGAAGAAGTCGACGCACTGCAGTGACCGCACGTTACTGCGCATCATCGACCTCTTGTCGCGTAAGGCGTCGAGACGAAATGTCCCTTTCTCAGGAGGGCGAGGTGATGAAGTTGACGACAAGAAGGAGGTGATGGTTCTGAGCTGGCGAGACGTTGGGAGAGGATGGAAGGATTTCAAAGGGAGAGCGACGCGAGATCCAGTTGTGCAGGCAGGGCTGGCCGAGCAGCAAGCGAGTCTCGCAGCGGGGGCGAGCAAATCTACCGTCGCAACTGCACCCGAAGCCAGCGCGGAAATACGAATTGCATTCTGAGATATATGTGAGCTACGACGAAACAGCAGACAGCTCGGCCACTCCCGCCTCACATCAAATCGGCACTGCCCCTTCCATCCCTCTGACGCTTTTGCTCTTCTCCAGCTCGTAAGCAAATCGCAGCGACTCTCCTGCCCTCTGTCTCCTGCCCGTCTTCATCTGCACCTGACCCAAGAAGAGCCAAGCTTCCGCACAGTCCCATCCAGATCCGCTTGTGGTCGTGGCGACGAGAAGGCCCTCAGCAAGGGAGAGAGCGGTAAGGTCGCGCGCTGACTGGCTGGATTGGGCGTCTGCTGAAGATTTGAAGGCGTTTTGCTTGCCGCCAACACTGATCCCTTTGGGTTGCGCATCGGCCCCAATGCTGCGGCTGCGCGTCCCATCATCGAGCGGTGTCTGATGCTGAGGGTGAGGCAGTCCTGTCCCTGCGGCGTTGACCTTTTGCACTTCCTGCGCAGCCAGCAATGCGTCCTCATGCGTGAGGAAGATCCTTGCCAAATGCACCGCAGCAGCAACGCTCTCCGCCTCACACGCCAGCGCCTTGTACAACGAGTTGACGGCCAACCGACGATCACCGGACTCTTCACTGAGCAAAGCCAGCTGAACCCACACGTCTGACCTGCCGGGCGAGACCTTCTCCGCCTCCTGTACCGCGGCTCTCGCCTCATCGATTTTGCCGGCCCGACGGAAGGAGGCGGCAGACATGAGCCAGAGGGAGCAGAGGGTGGTCACCTCGCGTTTGGCTTGGTAGAGACGACGCATGTCTGCTGGTGAAGCGGTACGAGGCTCAGCGGAGGAAAGGACTCCGCCGCCCGTGTTGGTTGAGGGGGGCATGACCGCCGGCACGCCATTGGATGAGCCATTCGTGGCCAGGAGATTTCCGCTCTTGGTGCGCTGCATCGCTGCAGGGCGATTAGCGGCACTCCCACTCAGACCGAGACCGGTAGAGTTGACGTGGTCAGCCGGCAATGCAGTCTTGCCTGGCAGGAGGGGTGCTGCGCCACGGCTCGCAGTAGGAGGGACGTGCTGGCTGAGGGTGCGGTGGAAGAATTCAAAAGTCTCCTTCTGCGACTCCAGCGCTACCTCTGCGCCAGCAACGATCTCCTCAAGCGCATTCTGCGTCATCATGAGGGAGAGGATGGCTTCGGCTCGCTCCGTTGCGCTGGGCGGGTAGTCCACGCTGAGGAGAACGGTGCGGGCGACAGGTTTTGATGAGTCGCGACCGTTCGGAGTGGAGAGCGGATTGGGATTCGTTGCCTGCGCATCAGCCTCATCGTCGTCCTCTGCCTCATCGAGGGCCACCTCTGCCAGCTTGAAGGCCGCCTTGTGGTCCTTTTGCGCCGAGACCAGCAGTACGAGGAGATGCCACGCCTGCACGTCGGCCGGCTCGAGTTCGATAGCCTTGCGTACCTCGACAATTGCAGGGTTCACCTCTCGCATTTGACCGAGCAGCCTGGCGAGCTGGTAGTGAGCCTCCGAAGAGTGAGGGTCGAGATCAACCGCCTCCTTTAGCATAGCCAGGGCCTCGTTCTGGAGCACGGGCAGCTTGGCAGCGCTCGGTTGACGAACCGCCAATGCGGCACGAGCCTGCCCGCTGACACGCAATGCCCGAGCCACCAATTCTCGCTGCGTCTGGCTCCCTGTAGTCAGCTTTTGATACGGGACTAGCGCAAATGCCTTGCGAGCCATCTTGTCCGCTCCCTCTGCATCGCCGAGATACTTGGCAAGTACGTGAGCGCCGTGCAGGAGCGTCGCAATGAAGGTCTGGTCGTCATCCGCGTCGAGCAGAACCTCTTCGCCAGTCTCCTTTGCCTTCTTGGAAATACCGCCTTTCCCAGCAGCGGCGCGCTTCTTCTTCTTTTCCTCCTCAGGCTTCTCTTCTTCCTCCTTCTCCTTTTGTTTGATCTCCTCTAGGTCATACCCCTCTTCTTCCTGCTTCTTCTCGCGCAACTTGCTCTCCTCCACCAGCGCAGCAGAGCCTGCTGCATCGCCCTCGCGAGCCTTTTCGACGATGGAGACGTAGAGCTGCAGAGCCTCGCGTGCTTCGTCGTAGGCTTGGGCGGCAGTGAGAAGGGTGAAAAGGTGGCGAGAGATACGCTGAGAGTGGAATGTGAGCCGGGCTAGCGTGTAAAGGCCGTCGATGACGTCATCTGCGTGCTCCCCGCCAAGTTCCCCATTGAGCTGCCAGCTGCGGACGAGTTCGTCGGAGAGGAGTAGAGCCGAGACGTTGACCTTGCCTGCACGCGGGAACTCGCTGGAGCGCTGCACTGTGGCAGCAGCGGCGTGAGCGATGGTCTGAACCTCGTTGGACCATGAGATTGATGCCGGTCTGAGGGAGCGGTGGGCGTGCGGGCGACGCTGCGAAACCGTCCGGGACGTGATCCCCTTGGCGTCGATCCCAATTGGCCTCTTGACTGATCCGAACTTCGGTGCTCGCTCGACTTCAAAGTCGCGAATCTTGAGACGGGATGCAACCCCAGCAACTACACTTCGCTGGTAGGCCTGAGAGCGCCAGTCGTCCGTACTCTTGGCCGGCGGAGAAGGGAGGGGCACATAGTTGCCAGCTTCGACTGCGCGGTTGAGGGTACGCAGGTAGACGCGGCTGATGGTGGTGCGCTGAGGAAGTCGGAAGTCGGCGGGCCAGCGGGCTACATGGGCTTGGTAGGCGCGCAGGGCGTTGAGACCTAGCGAGGCGTCGCCTTCCCGTACGCTGAACAAGGCGTTGCGGTACAGAGCCGTCTCCGCCCATCGTTCAATTTCATCTTCCGGCAGACCGGGCAAAGCGCTCGCTCTCTTGCCACCTCTGACCTCCTCGTGAAGCTCGATGGCGCGGGCATACCCAGCAAAGGCAAACGGGCTGTAGCCTGCGGTGGGTCGCTGCAGGTGGAGTCGCTCGTTTGCCAGGCCATAGGTGACGAAGCCGAGCAGGAAGAGAGCCGTCTGATATTGCTCGCCTTGCTCTTCTGGTCGCAGTTGCTCGGTGTTGACAGTCTGCAGGAAGCGAGACTCGTGGAGTAGGCTCACAGCCTCTTCGTCTTTGCCCAGTGAGACGAGCGAGTAGGCTTGGATGGCTGTGATGCCCTGCAGAGCGGCATCATGGGAGCCAGCACGCTGAGCGAGGTCCTCTAGTTGCAAAGTTGACTGCTCGAACTTGGGGCCAGACCATCCCTGTCCCTGGCGGTTCAGTGGCAGCAGCGGCGCAAAGGCCGTCTTCCCACTGCCTGGCGCAGCATCATCATGCTCGTGCGACGAGTCTGTGTAGCCCTCCTCTGCATAGAAGGCAGCGAGAGAGCTCCTGATCTCCTGCTCTGCACCGCTGACCGCTGGCGTGACTGACTGGTTGGGATTGTGCTTGGAGTACTTTCGCAGCAGCTCTGCCCAGGTGTTGTTCTTTGCCTTGCCTGCGAAGTGAAGGTTGTCCGAGCTCCAGTGTCCGCGCAGACGAGCCTTGTCGAGCTCCTTGGCATACAGCTCAGCTTTCTGCTGCTGTACGCGGCGAGGGAGGAGAATGGAGGACCAAGAGGATTGGGAGCGAGTGCGACGAAGCCGGCGCGGTGGTGGTCGAGATGACACCGAGGTGGATGAGATGGGGGAGGAGGGGCCGGCGGAAGTGTCGGATCGCGAGGCGATCAGAGTCGCACCGTATCGTTGGGGCGGTGGTGCGAGCAGCGATGATGTGCGATTGCGGGTGCGACGAGGTAAAGGCAGGGAAGCGGACGCCGATTCAGGGGTGTCAGGGCGCAGAGATGCCATTGGAGGGAGCGATGGAAAGGGAAGGGAAGATGGAAAGCGGAGCGGAGCCGTCAGCATTCTGTTGTTGCTCTCAGTTTGCGTAGATGATCGCTGCGCCATCTCACCTGAGCCGCCATTGTGATTTCACTTGTTCCGATGAGACTAGCGGCGAGTGGGTAGCGTCGTCCAGTCGTCGTCGTCGAGTGGAGCAGCACAGCAACACGCGGGCGAGAGGCAGCTGAGACTCAGAGGCGGAGGGAGATCTCGGGTCACTGATACACGCTGAGATGGATGAAAAATGAGCGTGGGTGAGGGTTGATGACAACGACGACGAGATGTAGTGGGTATCGTCAGCTGAGATGGGAGTGGGTGCAATGTGGGGAAGAGGAGCTGGAGTGGGACCTGGGGACAGGCAGAGCTTCTCAGGCAGCCGTGTGCCGAGCGAACGGGCTGAGAGGCGAAGCGGGCGGGCCATCCCATCCATCGGGGCGGCCGCCTTCCTGGGCTGGATTGGCGCCCGCCAACCAGTCAATGACGAAGGCGGCAGCGGCAGCAGCAGCAGCAGCACAACGCGAGAAAGCAGGCAGCCTCGGTCGCATCGAAGCGTGAAAGTCGAGTGCGGGGAAGAGGCAGGGCGTCACGACGAAGAAGATGATCACAGATCGAAAAGCGAGAGGCTCGAGCGATCGCCAGACAAGAGCGTTGAGATTCGCTACACTAAAACAAAAGCGAGTGAGAGCCTGGGGTGCTCGGCCTCAGATGACCAATTGCCTCGACTTTCTCAAGCCGCCAATCGGCCCTCCCACGCTAGTACCAGTGGAGAGCATAGGCGTCGTCTTGTCCCGTTGCAAGCGTGCGAAAGCTTCGCGGACGTGGTGGAGGAGGAGTATGGGCGTTTCTTCAACCTCGCGATTGGCGTGAGCGTGGCCATCGCCCTCGCTAGCTTCGCCTTCTTGACTATCTTGCTTCTTCGCAGTGGCTTCACCTTCGCCGCTGCTCTCTTCGCGCTCCTTCGCAGTAGCGCCCGCTTCTGCTTCGCCCTCCTTGCTCGCAGGTGGCTGGGGATGCAGAGGCGCTGGCTTCATATCCTTGACGCTCGGCAACTCCTCCATCGCTGGCGCGAAGCCGAAGAGGCCGCAGAAGGACGTAGGCTCGGCATTGCCCCCTCCAAAGGGACCTCGTGGGTATAGTGCTGCATAGTCGATTTCAGGCTTCTCCTCCTCTTCCTTCTTCTTCTTCTCTCCCTCGTTCTCTTTTCCCTTTGCGGGGCTCCCTTTGGTCTCCTTGGAGCGCATTTCCTTCGTCGGTGACGATGATGAATGCCGTGAGACGGGAATGCGAGATCGGCCCCGCCTCACGTCCGTATCTCGCTCTGATCGCGCAGTATCCTCACGCTTGATGTCCCGGCTAGCTTGCTCAGCCTCGCTCGACTTGTGTCCCCTTGACGAACTGGTTCCAGCGCCCCTTTCACTCCCATCGCTACCCGTCTTGCGCCTCTTGACCGCACTTTCACCTCCGCCAGACGATCGTCTCCTCTTCTCCTCCCCCGCCAGCATCTTCCTCTGCTCCCTCCTCTCCTGCTCCCACGCATAGCACGCGCCAAGCGTGATCTCCCTGACAACCTCGAATGCCAGAAATCCCAAAATGTCAACAATATCGTCGTTGGGCTTGACGTCGAGATAGTTGCTGGATGCGATGAACTCGCGAAACTTCTTAGCCTTGCGGAAGGTGAAGCTAGCAGTACGACAATCGGCGTAGTGCTCGTACTCCTCGCGGGTCATCTTCAGGGTGGCTTCGTCCGCCTCCTTGAGTCTCTTGAGACTGTCCCGCATTGCTTCTTCGTCGTCTTCGTCTAGCTCGTCGTCCATAGCAGCTACGGCGGCGGACCCCGCTGCATCAGCTCCTACTTTGCCGTCGGAATCTTCGGCTGCTGCTGTCGCCTCTGCGTTGATGGTCCTGATCGTACTGCTCGTTGCACCAGGCACGACATAGTCGGTGTATACCGAGCTGATCTCCCATGGAAGCTTGACCTTCAGCTTGCGATTGATGCCGCCTTGCGCCTTGGCCATATCCGCATCATCTGCTCCGACGTTGTTGAGGTCGACGTCGCCTGGCCCGCCGCCGTCTTCTTTAGCATTCTTGCGAACTTCCTTCCATGAAAGGTAGGTGCGTAGACGGTTCACTTTGGCTCGGTCGTAGCGTACGAGAAAGATGAAGTCCTCGGGAGACATCGTGCGTGAGTGGCGGAGCAGTGAGATGTGACGAGCTTGCATCGTCTGTAGGCGGGCGAGTAAGAGGAGGGTGAGCTGAGGTTAGGACGTTGACTCGCGCCGCGACCACATCGCCTTACCATCTGGATGACTTGGTTGCGCACTATGTCCTCGACTGCTCTCAGCACCTCGACAGGAGGATCCTCGACCTTGCCAAAGACGAACATCTGAGTGCGGCGAATGGCATGTAGCGTCAGTAGGAGATGCTCTGTTCCCTTGGATCGCCCGCGCCTCACCATCTGCCCAATTTCCTGCGTGTAGCGATACTGCGAGCTCCCACTCCCAGATGCTGCCGCAGAGGTGGACGACATGCCGAGAACATCGTCGTTATCGTCAGCGTCGGCCATTTTCTGATGAAGGAGGGCCAAGCGTGGGTGGTGGACAAAGTGGTGCCAATCAATTCACAGCCGCGAAGCCGCCCATCCCATCCGCTCTTGCCGCCGCTTGCTTGCCCTTGCTCTCCGCTCGGACCAATTGGACCCCGTCGAGCAGCCCCGCCAGGGCTGGCTGACGACTCGCAGATTGCTCTCTGCTCCCGTTCTCACCACCACAACGTCGTCATAGCGATCTCTATTCATCCGGTCAGGGCCACGATTGCTACGAAGTACGCAACATCAGGCACTCTCACACCTTCGGCACCTCGCTCTCGATCCTCACGTCGCACGCAGCGCAGCACACCCTGCGATTGATAAGACGTCTGAGAGGCTCTTCCTCCACTGAGCCTGGCCAGCTCTTCGTCCTTCCTTCCTCCCTTTCCTTCCCTATCTTATTACCTCCCACTGTGCCACTGCGATGTCCAGCAAAGTTCACCCCCCACCGACGTCAGGGCAGCCTTCAATGCCCCGCGGCGCTACATCATCGTCGTCACGATCCGGCCATGGTAGGCAGCCTGTGCGGATCGGCCAGTACACGCTGCAGCGGACGTTGGGCACTGGAAGCTTTGGCAAGGTCAAGCGTGCGTAGCGTCGGATAGAGGATCCTCGACTAGCCTCAGTAGCTGACCGTCGCTCCCTGATCGCCGCCCGCTCTATAGTCGCAACCCACTCCCTGACAGGACATCGCGTTGCAATGAAGATCATCAACCGTCGCAAGATCTCATCGATGGACATGGGCGCGCGCGTCAAGCGTGAGATCCAATATCTAAAGCTGCTCCGCCATCCTCATATCATCAAGCTGTACGAAGTCATTACTACGCCTGGCGACATCATCATGGTCATCGAGTACGCGCCGAAGGAGCTATTTCAGTACATCGTCGACAGGGGAAAGATGCCAGAGGCGGAGGCTAGGCGCTTCTTCCAGCAGATCATCTGCGCCATCGAGTATTGCCATCGAAGGAAGATTGTGCATCGAGACTTGAAGCCAGAGAAGTGAGTGCAGCGCAGCAAGACGAAGGCACGTGTTGACTGGCTGCTGATGTGCTTCTCCAAATCGCTCCCCGCACAGCCTGCTCCTCGACGACCAGAACAACGTCAAGATTGGCGACTTTGGTCTCTCCAACATCATGACTGATGGTGACTTCCTCAAGACCTCATGTGGCTCACCCAACTATGCAGCTCCTGAAGTCATCAGCGGCAAGCTATACGCCGGCCCAGAGATCGACATCTGGTCATGCGGAGTCATCCTCTACGTCATGCTCTGCGGTCGCCTTCCCTTTGACGACGAGTACATTCCAACACTCTTCAAGAAGATCAACAGCGGTATATACTCGCTCCCTTCGTACCTCTCAGCTGAGGCCTCCTCGCTGCTGAGCTCGATGCTCATCGTCGACCCGGTGAAACGTATCACGATCAACGAGATCAGGCAGCTCCCATGGTTCCAGCAGGACCTGCCGCGCTACTTGCAGCCACTGCCTTCTACGCCGACGGGGCTCATGGAGGGAGAATCGAGCCAGGAATTTGACTTTGGCGGTGGCGTGCAGCCGCAGGCCCCTACAGATGGCGAAGGGCAAAGCGCACACAGTGTCGACGATCGAGCGTCCCCGAGCGGACCGCGCACCATCTTCTCCCCCGACCTAGGCTACCTACAGCGCTCGATTGTCGAGGAGCTTCAATCCAAGATGGTGACCTTTACCGCCGAAGAGATCCTCGATCTCCTTCAGCAGCCGGGCGATAACCAGCTCAAGGTTGCCTACCAGCTCGTGAGGGATCATCGACGGATGGTACGGACATCGGAGCAAGAAGGGGACTCGGATGATCGACTGCGGGAAGAAGGGATGCGCGCATGGCTCGACTCGGGAAGCCCGCCTGCTTGGAATGAGGGGTTGGAGGAGAGAAGGGCAAAGGCCGCAGCTGCTGGAGCGGGAGCTGCACCTTCGACTAGCCACGACCCCTCATCCGCGTCCGCCTCTGGCAGTATGTCTAGCTCTGCCGCTTCCTCGCAGCCTCCAACGAGGCAAACAAGCATCAGACGACCCATCCGCAGGCGAACGCGGGATCCGTCCATTCAGCGGCCCCTCGGCGCATCGCACGAGGCGGACGAGACCACTTCGCAAGCAACGGACGACGGCAACGAGACGTTTGCGTCGGACACATACGACTCTGAAGTGGCAGAGGCGGACGCGGATGCGAATGACGGGCTGGACTCTGGGTTGAGCGATGCAGAGGATGGTGGGGGCGGACTGGCAGAGGATGATTTGCTCTTCGATGATGAGGATCTGGACCAGCCGCCCGAGGTGGCTGTACCTAGCGGCATCTCGATATTGGAGACTAGCCTGCCAGCGAAGCGACCGTGGGCCGCCAAAACGCAAAGCGGTGATGCAGCTGCAGGAGGGCAAGCATCAGCTCCACCCCCGGCTGCGGCTGCTGCTACGCGGCGCTCGAGACCTCGATGGCACTTTGGGATTCGTTCACGCTCTCCACCGATGGAGATCATCATGGAACTCTACCGCACCCTTGAGGCCCTGGGCATGGAGTGGCGAGTCAAGAAGGCGCCGCGTACCGCCCGGCAAGGCGAAGACGTCTCTCAACAAGGCCAGCAGCAACCCAACACAGATACCCAAGCTGCCGCAGGCGAGTCATCCTCCAAGGAGACTGGCAGCGACAATGCCCTTCCCGGCGCAAGTACTGAGCTTTTCTTTATTGAGACCCGCTGGCGAGTCGAAAACGTCATAGTCCGCATGGACCTACAGCTCTACTCGGTTGACTCGAACAACTACCTCGTCGACTTCCGCAACGTGGCTTACGTGCGGCTGGATCCTACCCCGCCGCGAACTCAGGAGTCGAGCAACGAGGATCTTGCTGAGCTGCGTGACGCGGCTGCTACGGAAGGTGTGGAGCGTGCACTTGATTCGGCGGCGCAAGAAGCTCGCTCCATGGGGGGCGATGAGCAGCAGCATCGCGCGAATATGCGACGTCGCCTTCTAGGCAAGACGTCCGCCAGCAAGCCTAGCTTGGCTCCTGCGGTACCCGAGGGAAGAAAGGAAGTGTGCAGTCCCTTTTTGTTCTTGGAGTGCGCGACGAGATTGATTGTTGAGTTGGCCGGGGGAGGATAGCGAGGAGCCACACATCACCATAGACGTTGGAACTGGCGCTGCGGCAGCGCATTGCGAGCGTTTCGTATTTGTCCTTCTCTTCACATCTGTCTATCGCCGGATATAGAAGGTTACGATGCTCTGACTGCGGCGTTTCTGCTTGATTTCATCTCCACTCCTTCTCGGATTCTACCACCTGGTCGCCCTCGCCCCACAATCCGCACTTCTCCCAAATCCCTTGGCTCAGGCCCATGCTCTGCTGTACAAAGTCATCACGCCGGTCCTTCATCTTGCCGTAGCCACCTTGGTTGCGCTGGAAGAGACGTACCCGAACCGGCTCGATGTCCTCGCACGGATCGCGCGGGGCGCCGTATACTGAGTCAAGGCCGTCGTCGGCGACTTCGCTGCGGGCGGTGGCTGGGGCTGCTGTCGAGCCTCCTCTCCTACGGCCCCGCTCAACGACGACTTCTGTGAAAGCCCGTTCGAGCTGACGCGGTGCGTCGGCATGCTTGCCAGCGAATTCCCAATGCAAGAGGCATCGCAGATGCTCATCTTCAAGGATGGCTCGCAGCCCTAACGCGAGGTTAATAGGCTGCTGTTGCGGCGCACCTCTTCTGCTTCCGACTTGCCTAGCATTCACGGCGTCCCTCCTCCTCATCGCCTCTGCCTGCTGTGAGTTGAATGGCGGCAGACCCAGCACGAGTGTAGCATGCGTCGAGGACAGCTTGAGTCTCTCGAGAGGGCTTCTGACTAGATGACTGACCAGCCAAAGTAGTTTTGGCGCGTGCGCTGGCACGGGAAAGTGGCAATCCAGGTATTTGCAGCGCGAGAAGACGAGCATGCTGGCAAACAACGCCGGCTCCTGATTCTCGAAGAGCGGCAGCGAGAGGATGATGGACAGACTCGTGGGTCGACACCCTTTAAGTTGTCGTTTGTCCTTGCGCGAGTTGACGGCGTGTTGGGTGAGCAAATCGTCCGAAGTTCCCGTTGCAGCGGCGGCTACGGCTGCGTCTACGTCGCCATAAGGGGCGAGATGGGCGCGATGTGTCCTTGCGACTTCTGCTACGGGCTTGGTCTCGAGCTCCCGACGAAGCCACTGCGGCATCTTTTGGCGGGCACGCTCCCTCATTGCGGCGAGCTCAGCCGCCGAGTTGATGACCGCTTTCGAGCCTGTGCCATCCTCTTCCTCTTCGCTTGCATGGTCTTCCTCGTCATCGCTTCCTCGCACATCTTCAAAGTCATCCCCTTCTCCCCATGCCCACGCCGGGCCCAAAGCACCCAACCGCCTATGACGTCCCCTCACTTGCCCCGCATCCCTAAGCAATATTCGACTTTCCGAATGCCAAAGACTCAAATGACTGATGCCCGGGCCGAGGATGTGCAACATCCTCAGGAAGCAGCTTTCCCATCCTGCGCTGGTATGGGTCAAGCGACTGACGTCGTCTAGCGCACAAAAGACCGCATGAGTGGTCCCCACACCAGGGAATCCGGCATTGCGTTGTCGATCGTACCATTTGCGGAAGTCTCGTACGTGGCGTGGGAGGAGGAGAACTGACTGAAGATGTTCTTGGGCACAAGCATGGGTGAGCCGTGAGACGAGAAGGAGTGCTTGGAGAGTTGTGTGGGTCAGAGGAGAGGGAGAGAGGATGGGGGAGAGGTTCGGGGACAGGAGGATCTGGAGTAGCAGTTCCGGAGGCAGACGAGGCAGGGCCGCAGAAGAAGCTACTGGCCCGTTGTGGTCGTTGCCATTCGTCGTTCCATAATCCCTGCTGTCAAGGGAAGTTATCGTCTGGTCATCGTCGCCGTGCAGCGTCATACGGCAGCGACGATGATGGCGACGATAATGGTAATCGAGGCGAAAGGAGTGCCAGGGCTCAAAATTCGCGGCATACACAGAGACAGAGGTGGAGGCGCAATCGGGCGGCCTTCCGCTCCTCCAAGCGCGAGCCTCACGGCAAGCTTGAGATGTAACGACTCCCTACGATGGCATTATCGAGAAGTGATCGAATTAACAAGTCCATAAATGATCAATTCGCACCCCTCGCAGCCTCCAAAGCCTCCGCATCAGAGTCACTCAGGATCTCGACCGTCTCACCCTGATCCACGCCATCTTCGAGAGCCTTTCTCCCCACTCTCACTCGCCCACCCTTCTCCCTCACCATCTCTTCCACCGTCTTTGCCTCGCCAGCATCCTTGAACCATGAGAGATGGTCGGCGATGAGGTGGCTGCAAGACGTGATGAGCAACGTAGAACGAGGCCGAGTGGCAAGCAAATATATCAGCGACCTGCCACTTTCCCCATCATTCGCTCGCTCGGCAACTCACCGATTCTTGCATTCAGGGCATTGCACAATGACGATACCCTTTTCGTAGGATCGCTTGGCAAACTCGTGCGTGGATCGATGTCCACAGCCCTCGACTGCGCAGGTAAAGGTCAGGGAGAGACGCTGCTCAATCTGCCCGATGGGGGTGCCGCTGCGAGCCTCTTCGCCGGCGCCGGCGTTGCGACGAGGCAGTGTCGCAGTGCAGAAGGCACGGCCCCTCCATTGCTGATCAAAGTGAGGAGGACGGTGTAGAGGAGGAGGAGCAGCTGTCGTGTGACCAGAGTGCCTGAACAGGGTCGAGACTGAGGGGTTCACCCTTACCGCTTTGAGGACCGATGCCGATGATGACGACGATGCTGTGCCAAGGCGTGGAATCAGAGTCCTAGTCAGACTTGCCGATGCACTAATTGCTATTGTCATGGCTGCTAGTCGATTGGATGAAATGGTGAGTTGCTCGGATCAAAGGTGGAGTTGACCCAAAATCTGGTCTGTCTCATCGAGCGGGAAAGTCGGCAATTTCTCGGCTTCGCCCACGCGAGGACTCAAGGAATGCAAGACGCCGAGCGCGATATGCCTCGGTGCTCGAGTCCAACCCATCCTGCCTTCTTACCGCTGCCAGCAAGCAAAGCAACAATGAGAGATGAGACTTCGCCGGGCAACGCACGATCCACCTCGCTACCGCGGCGACGACTGCAAGGCGCTCGTACGATCGTCCTCTCTCCCCGCTGCGTAGATATCTCACCACCGATGCACGATCGCACCCGGCCGTGGGATAGGGAGCAGCGAGCATCTACTATCTACCAACGCCGATGCGATTTGGCTTACCCAGAATGGCATCGACGGACTCTTTGCACTCATTGAGAGACTGAATAAGAATGCGGCCATGTCCGCAAACTCTGCCTCTCCTTTCCCTTAGCTACGCTCACCATCCTCACCTCCCCCTCACCTTCCCTTCTCCACCGCAAGACTGCTGGTCCAGTCTTGACGAATCCGCTTTACTTCCTCTACCTCATCATCTCTATCCGCCCTTGCTCTCACCTTTCACGACTCACCTTAGCGCCTACACACCCAGCTTGCTGGCACAAGCGCTCCTCACTGTCATTTCCTCATCCTCTCGCTTCTAGACCGGTCTCATTTCACATACCTACCGCCGCTCTCCTCATATCCCACCTCCATCTCACGATACAGTAGCCCAAAATGTTTCGCGCCGCACACTCTCTCTATTTCTTCGTCCTCATGTCGCTCTTCATGGCGACGGCGAGCCAGGCGGCAAGCCTGCCCATACATCAGCAGGTGAGTACGGGCTACGCTAGCAGCAGCAAAGAATTATAGCTGACGTCCCAGAACATGCTTTCCACCAGGCTGCATTTGCCATCCGCAACCCCTCAGCTCATGTCGGGCGAGCTGTGGCCTCTTTCTCTCCCGACAGTGAGTTGTCGACCCATCAATACGCCCGTCGAGGCCTGATTGGTGACCTCGTCAACGTGGTAAACGACCTCATCCACCTCAACTTCACAGGAGTCGGTGAAGAGCTCAAGAATGCTCTGGGCGACCTGACGTTCGACCGCGTAGACAATTCGACGTCGTCTTCAACCGCCTTGCCTGGAGCTTCGACCACTCCTGCCGTCCCGGGTGCGCCGCAGCGTTCCGAGTCGTCATCAATGATGACTCGCACTCAAACCTCAGTCTCCGCCGCGGCCACACCCACCGCTGCGCTGCACGCCAGGATGCAGCGCCGCAGCCTTATCGGAGACATGATCGACCTGGTGCAGGATTTCAATGGCAACCTGACCGAGGTCGGTCAAGACATTAAGAACATCCTCAAGGACCTCGGCGTCACAGCTCTCGCCCGTCGCAGTGACGAGCTGGTGCAGAATTCCAAGCGCTCGCCTTCGTCTCCTGCCGAAGCCATTGCCATGCGTCGAGGGTTGGTCGATGACATCCTTGGCATTCTCAACGACACGCTCCATCTCAACCTCAACGAGGTGGCGACTGACGGCAAGGCTTTGCTGCGCAAGATTGACATCAATGTAAAGCGCAATGAGGCCTTGCCTGCCACGCAAATGCAGCGTCGTGCCCTCATCGGACACATCCTCAGCCTAGTGAACAATTCGATCCACTTCGACTTGCCCCAGACCCTCTACGATGGCAAGAACCTCCTCCACAAGCTCGACATTAATCTTAAGCGCGACGTCAACGAGGACCATGCAGTGGCGCATGAGCGTCGTGCACTTCTCGGCCACGTCTTGAGCTTGGTCAACCATGCCATTCACTTTGACAAGAACGAGGTCGCCACAGACGGCAAGGCCTTGCCGAAAAAGATCGACATTAACCTCAAGCGCAGTATCGATGAGGCTGCCACGCCAGCTGATGCGATCCAGCGTCGTGCCCTGGTGCAGAACATCATCAACCTGGTCAATGATGCGATTCACTTCAACAAGACAGAGGCTCGCAACGATGGCAAGGCTTTGCTGCACAAGATGAACATTCATATCAACCGACGCGATGGCGATGAAGAGGCTCTTGCCCGCCGTGGTCTCGTCGACGACATCATCGGAATCGTCAATGACGTGCTGCACTTGAACATCACAGAGACCGCTGATGATGGCAAGAAGTTGCTCCACAAGCTCAACATCGACGTCAAGAAGCGCGACGAGACCCCCGGAGAGGCTCTTTCTCGCCGTGGGCTCGTGGACGACATCCGCGGCCTCATCAATGACATTCTCCACCTGAACCTTACCGAGACCGTGGATGAGGGGCGAAGCATGCTCCGTAAGATCGACATTCATGTCAAGCGCGATGGCGAAGACGCCGACGCTATGGCCAAGCGCGGCCTCGTGGACGACATCATCGGCATCGTGAACGATGTGCTACACCTCAACCTTACCGAGACGGCCGACGACGGGAAGAAGCTCCTTCATAAGCTCAACATCGATGTACAGCGCCGCGATGATGGCCATCAGCATCCAGTGCCTAACTTTTCAGCTACGGCTACTGAGCCTTCGTCCGCTGGGACCTCGGCCCAGCCTGAGCAGACTGGCAAGTCAAAGGCCGCGAGCAAGGGCAACAAGGGCGATGACGGCGAGGAGGGTCACGACGCCGATTCGGTTGCCTCGGCTGTAGCTCAGGCGGACAGCACAAGCTCGATCTCCTCCGGCAAGCCAAAGAACAATGCTGTGCAGACGGGTGCCGCTGGCCTTGACTTCGATCGTGGAGCGTCAATGGTCACGCACGTCGCAACTGCCAAGGCAGAGCCTACCGCTGCCTCCTCGGCAGCCCCCAGCGGATCGTCCGACTTTCCTACGCAGCCTGCCCTCTCCGCCGGTGACGCATCCTCCGCCGCCTCCTCGTCGATGAGCGCCGAGCCTTCGGCTTCCTCATCTGATGCAAAGGCTCCCACCTCCGCAGCGGCCGCAGCTGCTGCTCCTGAAGGCACTGAGGTCGTCATCATCGTCAAGGCAGAGGAGGCTTCGGCCACCAAGACATTGAGCTTCCCTGCTGCCTCGGCATCCGCGGACGCTTCCGCTCCTGCCTCGTCATCGTCCGCAGAATCCTCGGCACCATCGGACGTGGCTAACAAGGGCTCAGCAGCGATGAAAGTTCAACCATTCATGGGCAACGTCCGCATTTCCTCTCGTGCTGCCGCAGCCAACCCGACAACGACTCCCGCAGCCAACGCCGCCTCCGCCAGTGAGTCCGTCGAAGCCATCACGCCTACAGGGACTTGGACTTACTTCCCCGGCGCGTTTGGCTGCCTCGATCAGGCCTCCTCATCTAAGGGCAATGGACGTCAGGCGGATGCGGAAGGGCATGAGCTGAAGAAGGGTCACTACTCGACTAGCGCGGACAAGGCTGAGCATTGGTGTACTGCGTCGGCTACTGCCAAGGCTCAGGCTTCACCCACGTCTTCCGGCAGCAGCAGCAGCAGCAAGCCCGTCTCGAGCTCTACCGCCGCCAACGCCAACGCATCTTCCTCCTCCGCACCCTCTTCTGGTCCCCTTGCTCGACGCTCTTCCCATGGCAGTCAGCGCTCTCACGGTAAGCATGGCAAGTCGGCAAAAGCCGGGGACGAGAAGGACCGCAAGGCCAAGGCGAAAAACCAGGTTGAGGCGATTGCGATGGCCCAGGCGCATGCTATTCAGCAGGCTGTGATGGGTACCGAGCATGGCATGAAGCGCTGGAGCGCTTCGCAGAGGAAGGATCACTAGGCGCACTGAGTGATGTAGATAGGTAGCGGCGTTGTGTGTAATGCAATCTGGTCACCTACTTTGTTCGCGCCTGTGTGTCGCAAGCGTCTGATAATTCGAATGAGGCCCTTAATTGCGATGGGGTTGCGATCTAAGCGGAGGCGAGGGCTGCTGCTCTCGCCCATCTCTCTACTGACACTTGAAGCTGCATTGCATTGCGTTGCGTTGCCTGGCTGGTAAGGCCTTTTTGACGAGTCTGTATCCCCTCCTGTCAAATCATTATCATCACGTTTAGACCCACTTCTCCTGCAGCGCAATGCCCTCCTTTGCCAACTCGTCCCTGAGAGGCTTGCACGCCTCCTCGGTGTAAGGCACCCAGATGCCTCCTCCAGGCATAGCCACGCTCTTGTCTCCCTCAAGCAACAGCCTTGTAGCGACACCGCAAGGCACACCCACCAGCCTGGCCATGCTCGAGTGACCCATAGGATGGCCATAGTCCAGCAGAGAGGAGGTCATGACCTTCTGCTCGCCCGACTTCGTGGTGACCTCGAAGCGATGCTGCAGCATAACCATGTCGCGCTCGCCGTCAGCGTACGCGCACTTCTGCTCCAGGGTAGCGCAGAGCGTGTCGAGCGGGTTGCCGAAGCCGGCGCTCATCTGCTGGGGAAGGCCGCGTACGGTAGCATTGGCGGATGTGTCAAAGAAGCCGAGCCATCGCATTCCCTGAAGGACGGCGGAGCGCTCGTACTCCGACTTGAAGTTAACCTTGGACTCGATCGCCTTTTGAAGAGCGGCCATGTCCTTGTCGCCGCCCTGTGCGCCAATGAGCTTGGCGACGACAGAGGGCCAGGAGAGGGTGGAGCCCGTCTTGAGCCACTCCTTGGCAGTCTCTCCATCGTCAAGGAAGCCCAGACGCACCAGCGCGAGGACCAGCTCGGGGAAGCCGCCGTAGCGCATCGTACCACGGATGACAGTCTGCGCCTCCGGGATGCCGTACCACTCGCGGTAAGGGCTCGAGTCGCGGTTGGGGTAGCAGACGAAGTTGAAGGCCGGGTTGCCCGTGTTGAGCGGCTTAGCGCTCTGCATCAGGTCAATACCAGCAACTGTCTTCTTCTCGCCGTCCTCCCAGAAAACGCCCGTGTTGCGCAGAGCGAGCAGCACACCGCGAGAAGACCACGAGAACTTGTAGCCAAGCGGGTTGTTGGCGGCCTCGGGTGCAGGGAGACCACCGCAGTATGAGGTGAAAGAGGTAATCTTGCCTCCGTCGGCGTGGATGTCATGGATCGCCTTGACGGCGTAGAGGTGGTCGAGTCCGGGGTCGAGGCCGATCTCGTTGACCACGGTGATACCAGACTTCTTGATCTCGGGCTCGAGCTCGCGGATGGCGTCCGAGACATACGAAGTGGTGACGACGTTGGTCTTGCTCTTCATGGCAGCCTTGATGACATCGACGTGGTAGATGTACGGCACCAGCGAGATTACGACGTCGTGCGCAGCGACGGCGGCCTCAAGCTCCTGAGGGTTTTGCACGTTGACGGCCTGAGCCTTGGTGCGAGGCAGGCCCTCAGCCATCTTGTCGGCGTTGGCTTGCTTGGACGACGAGACAGTGAGCGAGTACTCCTGGTAGCGGGTGATGTACTCGGCAAAGGGGCGAGCGACGTAGCCGGATCCGAGGAGGAGGACCTTCTTGGCGTTGCGCTTGGCCACCTCGCCGTCACCAGAGGCAATGACGCGGGGAGGCGCCTGCTCGCCGTCCTCGATGACCTTGCGGGCGAACTCAGGAAGGGTGAAGGCAGCCTTGTGGACGGCGGGGCTCCAGTAGCGGCAGTCGGACACCTCACGAAGGGGCTGGCGGAGGTCTTCGTTGGGCTTGAGGGAAGCAACGACGAAGCCGATCTGGCCGCAAGGGTACGTAGGGATCGTAGTGAATGCGTAGTCTGCGACGGGGAAGATGTCGTTGACGCTCTGGCGGATCTCGCGGATGAGATTGAGGTGGATCCACATTGACTCGGCCTGAGTCGAGATGTGGCCGCCCTCGCGCAGGGCATTCTTGAGGAGCTTGAAGAAGGGAGGTTGGAAAAGGGCCTCGGCCGGTCCAACAGGGTCGGACGAGTCGGTGATGATCGTGTCGAAGGCCCTAACGCGGGGAGGGTTGAAGAAAGGCTCAGCCAAAATTGCCAGAGGTCCGTCTCGCCCGCGCACACTCACTGCTGGTTCTCGCCGCGCTGGAGGAACTCGAAGCCGTCGCCGATGATGACCTTGACCTTGGGGTGATGAAGCCCTGCAGCCATCTTGGGAAGGTACTTGGCCGACACGCGGGGCACAGCCTCGTCGATGTCACAGAGAATGACCTCCTTGACCGAAGGGTGCTTGACAACCTCACGGAGGACACCGCCATCACCTCCACCGATGACGAGGACCCTCTCGGGGTTAGGGTGCGAGGCAAGGGGCAGGTGTGCAATCATCTCCTGGTACGAGAACTCGTCTCGCTCAGTGGCTTGAATGACGCCGTCGAGGACAAGGACATTTCCGTACGTCGTCGACTCAAAGACGAGAACCTACAGGCGCGAGGACAGGGTAGATTAGGTGCTGACTTCATGGATATATGCACTCGCGCGCACACACTCACATCCTGAAACTTGGATTGCTCGTGGTGGAGAATGCGAGAGACCTGTAGAGACATTCCCTGGCCAGGCCACTGCGAGTTGACCTCGGTGAACCATCCATCTCGAACGAGGGGGTGAGTAAGGATAGTGGGTGCCGACATGGTTGCAAAAGGATTGTTATGGAGCAGAGGCAACGTCGCAGTCAGTGCGGAGGTCGAGCAAGAATCGATCCACTTCTTCCCGTCCCTCGACTTGACTTGACTTGACTCCGCTCTCTGCGCGGCCACAGGGGAGGGCGGACTGCGAACAAATCGGTCCACACTGCGCTACGCTGCGAGACATTCTTTCCTCGCTCCCACCACCACTCAGCATGGCGTCCATCCCGAAATTGAACGCAGAGGAGACCTTCACTCTCATCACGCGCGACCTCGATGAAGTCTTGGGCGCAGACAACCTCAAGGCCCTCATCGCCAAGAACGACAGACCGCTGCGAGCCTACTGGGGAACTGCTCCCACCTCGAGACCGCATATAGGCTACTTCGTAGCTCTGACCAAGATCGCCGATTTCCTGCAGGCTGGCGTTCAGGTCAAGGTCCTTCTTGCAGACATCCACGCCTTCCTTGACAACCTCAAGGCACCCATCGAGCTCGTTCGACATCGCGTCGACTTCTACCAGCGCATCCTCATCTCCGTCTTCAAGGCCATCGGCGTACCGACCGAGCGCTTGACCTTCGTCGTCGGGTCGAGCTACCAGCTCACTCCCGAGTACACAATGGACGTCTACCGAACGGCTGCCCTCACGACAGAGCACGACTGCAAAAAGGCGGGAGCAGAAGTCGTCAAGCAAGTTGCCTCGCCCCTCCTCTCCTCGATGCTCTACCCGGGTCTGCAGGCACTTGACGAGCAATACCTCGACGTCGACTTCCAATTCGGCGGTGTTGACCAACGAAAGATCTTCACATACGCGGAAGCTCTGCTTCCAAAGCTAGGTTATGCGAAGCGCAGTCACCTCATGAACCCGATGGTGCCTGGCCTCAAGGGCAGCAAGATGTCATCGTCTGACCACGGATCCAAGATCGACTTCCTCGACCCGGCAGAGAGTGTGCGCAGCAAGATTAAATCGGCCGTCTGCGAACCGAAGTCGACGCCTGCGGATGGCAACGGTGTATTGGCCTTTGCCAAGGCGGTGCTTTTCCCCGTATCGAGACTGAGGGCAGAGGCGGCAGGAGGGGAGGGCATCGCCGAGCCCTTTGTCCCTGCCGATGCGCCAAAGGGTACACTCTTCACCATTGCCCTTCCCGAGAAGTTCGGTGGCGGTGTTCTCAACTTCGCCGAGTACAGCGAGCTTGAGCGCGCCTTTGTCGCTGGCGAGGTTCACCCTGCCGACCTCAAGAAGGGAGTGGCGGACGCACTTGTCAAGCTGCTGGCGCCCGTCCAGAAGGCTTTCTTGGGCGACGAGGAGTGGCAGAAGGTGGAGAAGCTGGCATACCCGCCACCAGAAGAGCCGGAGAAGAAGAAGAAGGCCAAGAAGATCAACCCGAGACATGTGCCCGTCAGCCAAGGAGGCCAGATGCCTGACCCAGAGCCGCAGCCGCCCAAGGCAGGGGTCACGACTGCGCCTACGGATGGGCAGGCGGCGGAAGTTAGCAAGGAGGGGGCGGAAGCGTTGGCGAACGGGGTAGAGAAGATGGGTGTCGACGGGAAGTGAGTGGGGGCGCGGGCGAGTTGTCACACTAATGAATATCGAGAAGATGCTTTCTCATGCGCATCAATGAGTGCGGTGACAATAAGATGAGGAATCAACGCGCTGGCCCCTAGGCCTCTTGACTCTGGCCGGCGGCCACCTCTTCAGGCGATGGAGCTCTTGCGACCACGTAGGCTGGCAAGGAAACGGGCAACGGGAGCAACACGTTAGCTGAAGACTGGTAGAGGCAGAGTAGGTTCCGCGATACTCACTCGCAAAGCTTTTCCGAGCGAACACCTTCTCCATCTCCTTGAGCTTCCGATACTCGGTCGTCCCAGCCTTGTCCTCTCGACTCTCTTCCTTCTCCGTGCGGGCAAGGAAGGCCAGATCAGCGTCCGGGTCCTCCCCCGAATCGACGCTGCTCGCGTCTGATCGATCCTCGTCCTCATCATCCTCTGCGAGACCGCGGTCAAGAACTTGCGTCGAGACGTCGACGAAACCTGCCTCGTCCATTGCTTCGAGGACTTCGGCGAGCGTCCAGAAGCGGAAATCGTACGAGAAGAAGTCGCGAGTCCAGGAGGCTGGCAGAGGGAGAGGAAAGTCAGCAAGGCTCCACGTCTCTCGAGCGGAGGGTCTCGAGCACTCACCATCCTCGCTGAAGCGGAAGCTCAAGCTCATCCTGAAGCGATTGGTCACCAGATCCACTGGCGCGTCCTCCCTCCAGTATTCAAATGCGACATTCCGTCCCTTGGCAGTCGGATGAGGAACAGTGCCCTTTCTCACCAGGCTCAGTCTGCCTCTGGGCCATTGACTTGCAGCCGCGCCATCCTGCGAATGAGCAGCCGCGTGCTGACGGGCGTGCGGCTTCCAGACCTGGATACCCGCGACAGTAGCATCGAGTGGCTGCGGTAGGCTCTCGTACATCGTCTCGCCCCTTCGCAAGAAGCCCTCTTCCTTTGAGAACTGTCGCCAGAGTGCCTCCTGCTCCTCGTGTTCCTCTGTAGCGCTCAATTGACGTGCTCCTCGCCCGGCTCGTACATGTGCCGCTTCCCCTAGCGGGCCTGCGAACTGGTCGCACACTAGCACGCCAGTGCCCGGTCGCAGACTTTTCCGCACGCCACGTAGGTAGGTGAGCAGGTCACTACGCTTGTGGAAATAGCTGAGGGCGTAGTTGAGTGAGGCGACAATATCCGGTGGGCAGACGTCGGCTGGTTGGCCGTGATTGTGCGATTTGGTTGATGAAGGGGGTAAAGGCACGGGAAGGGAGAGGACTGACGAGTGTATGCAGAGCAGGTGCGGCGCTTCAAGCTCTTGACGATCAACGTGAGCGTTGCCATTGGTGAAGGAAAGGGAGGACAGGCTGTCGATGCCGTCATGATCCGAGCGGTCCTCCTCGTCCTCATGTCCGCCTCGCTGCCGTCGTCGCACCTCGCCAGCCAGCTGCAGCTTCTTCTTGTCCTTGCCTTTTTGCTGCCTCGCCATCCTTGCCTGATACTTGCGCTCGAAACGGTCTGAAGTAGCTCCTTCTGCCCAAGTCGTCGAACGCTCGCCTGACGAAGAGGCGCTGTTGCCGCTTGCTGGCTCGTCCTGCTCGTCCACAGCCAGCCATCGACTGCTTCCTCCCTCCTCATTGAGCTCTCCGTGCTGTAACAACTTCGCCGTCCACCTCTCTCCTCCCGGTGCGCGATCGCGCTCCTGTCTCAACAGCCGTCGCCTCGCGATCCTGAGCGCCTCCAAGTCCAGATCAACTGCCTGACTGCGATTCCCCTCGGCCATGTTCACCCATCGAACTGCAACGGCTCCCGTCGAGGAGAAGTCTTCTCGCAGTACGCGAGCCTCAGGGCGCCGTGAGCCGATGGGCTGCGCGTTGTAGTAAAATGAGGCGAGGTTTGCGCACTCGATTGCGGGGGTCTGGACCGCTTGCTCGTAGACGGCGAAGGGATCGATGGTCTTGGCCAGAGACGAGGCAGGAGTGGAAGAAGGCATGGAGTGGATGGGAAGCCGTGAGTCGTTTGGCGGCCCTGCCATCATGTGCGTCTGTGTCGAGGGCGAATAACGATCAAGGGCACAGAGATGGAGGGCGAGGGGGATTGATGAGCAGAAGCGTAACTCGAGGAGGCCCGAGCGAACGGACGGACAGACGGACGGCCTTTGGTTTGCGAAGGCGGACTGAGAACGATTTTTGTCAGAGCGATGCAGTTCCGTCTGTGCCTGGTCTTCTTCTCAATCATTCCAAACACTCCATCACCGCCGCACGATGGCAGACTCCCTCGACGGCAATTACGTTCTCGAATCAGACAGTGATCATGACGCTGCGGCGACTATCTCAGGCCCCTCGTCTTCACGCGGCGTCGCAGGGACAAAACGAGCCCGCCGCCCCGACGATGACCACAGCGACGACGACGACGACATCACCGCAGCCAAGACGGCAGCAGGTGCCTCCTCCGCCGCCAAGAAGCAGAAGCGCAAGCAGCGTGAAAAGGCTCGCAAGGCCCGCCGAGCAGAACTGCGGAAGGAGGAAGAGGACACGCGGCAGAATCCAGCTTTGCTCCCACCGGAATTCCAGGCCGATTGGTTGCGCAAGGAGTTGAGGGGCGTCAAAGGGTGGAAGGAGTTAAGTGAAATGGAGATGGATGAGGTTGCGGTAGGCAAAAGCAGGCTAGTGGATTCCACTACTTGGAAAGGAGGGAGGGAGGTGAGCGATCTCGCAGGCTTCTTGAGGGATCGTGAGTGCAGCGCAGCCAATGGAGGTGGAGTTGACGGCAAGCTGACGTTCCTTTTGCTTCTACATCACAGTACTTCCGGATCTTGAATCGCTGGTCAACGATGCGGGGTCGCCGCTTCGCAGGATCAAGGGCGCGCCCGCTGTCCTCGTCGTGACGAACAATGCGCTCAGAGCAGTGGACCTTGCTCGGGGCTTGCGAGGCCTACTCAGTGAGAATGACCAAGCATCATCAGCCGCAGCGGACAAAAAGAGCGTCAAGAAGGGCAAAAAGCCTAAGGTCTCCCGGGACGACGAGGAAGAGACGACGCAAGACAAGAAGCCATCCACGAGCGCGGCGCCCCTGCAGATCGCCAAACTCTTCGCACGTCACTTCTCCGTATCCCAGCAGACCGACTTCCTCTCCGCCAACCACGTAGCCGCAGGAGCAGGTACAGCCCAGCGTCTGGCGACCCTCCTTTCCTGCAGGGCTATCAAGCTGGACAATTTGCGTGCCCTCGTCATCGATGCTGGCTGGCGAGATGAGAAGATGCGCGGCATGATGGACGAAGAGGCGGGGCGAGAGGGACTCAAGGAGGCTTGGGACTGTGTGAGGGGGAACGAGGGGGTGAAGGTGTTGCTCTTCTGATCAAGATGACCAAGCACAGTCGACTGTGAGGGAGCGAAAGATTACGGTGATCTTGTCGCCGTGCACTTTGGACCAATCGATGGGTCCATGTCCCCATTCCTGGGTGCCGGGCGGGCTGCCCGAGACGTCCCAGACACCGAATTGGACGCTGCGGCGCGTCGCAAGGAGCCCAAGGAGGTCAGTCGACAATCTCACACCACGGCTGAGGCGTCCACTCACGTCTGTCCATGCGTTGGCCAGAAACTCGCGTTCTTGACACGTCGACTATCGTGCACCGTGGCGCCATCGAAGCCGAAACGGATCACTTCATCGTCCCAGGCGTACGAGTAGGAGTGGAAACCGTCTGAAGTTTCAGACCCGTCAAGCTTGGACGACTCCCAACCAGTGCCGGACTGGCCCTTGCCGCCTACGAAGTAATTGGTGCTGCGGCGTCGAAGCATGGGTGAGGTTAGCATCGAGCCCAGCTGGTGTCGCGGGCGGCGCTACGTACTTGCACACCCCTCCCGGCAATTCGATATCAATCTCATCCTGCCCCGGATGATACATAGTCAAGGTACTGACCGCCCCTCCCACGCCCGAAGTCTGCATCTCCGCCGTCACCTTAGCGCCCATCTTGAGCACAAACGTTGTTGACATCGTGGCTGCAAGCGCGGCGGTCCCGCTCTCCTTGGGCTTGACGAGGTAGAGCTCCAGGCCTTGGCTGGTCAGAGCCCACGTCGTGCCTGCGGGCGTGCCGGAGAGGTCGATGAAGTCTGCGAGGGAAGCGGCAGCGGAGGTCGTGTCCCAGTTGGAGATGATCGAGGAGCGAGGGAGGGAGCGAAAGTCCCAATGCGAGGAGCGGCAGGGCTGCTGGCCTGGTGGAGAGGGGTGCGGTGCACGAGAGGACGTGCTGCCAGTGGTGTGAGTTGACGAGGTCGCTGAGATGCCTTTGGAGGACGCCTGCGGAACCGACACTGTCGAGCGTGTGGCAGTGGTGCTGGAGGGCGCCCTGTGCGTTGAGCTGGGCTGTTGGAGGGAGGAAGAGTGCACAGTCGGCGATGTGGTTTCGCTGACAGCTCGAAGTGACGACGTTGAGAATCTCGCAGGCACCGGATGACCGTTTGTCGAGCGCGTGGAGGACGTCAAGGCCAACGTGGTGTATGTCGAGCTTGACACGGAGCTCGAAGATGATTTCGACTCGCTTGCAGGTGGCACAGGGGAGGAAGAGAATCCTGACGGCGTCGGATGACCATTGCCCACGGATTGATAGCTATGAGTCATGATCGTCGTACTGACAGGTCTGTGGATAGGTTTGGGCAGATGGCGATGCATGCTGGAAAGCACGCTGCCCTGAGGCACCCAATGACCGGGCGATTTGGCTGCGTTACCTTCGGTCTTCGCGCCCTTGTGAATCGTGGCACTGGTGAGCGGTCGAGTTGATGCCGTGGCGGTGGTGTGCTGATGGGAGGGGTGGGGGGCATGATGCTCCTGGCGGCCAGCGCCAACTGCTTGGAAGTGAGGGCCCGAATGTCCCGAATGATAGGCATGGTGAGCGCGACACCGCCTGGCGTCCGCGAGGAACGAAAGAGAGACGAGGATTAAGGCAAAGGCAAGGAGGTTGAGGAGCTTCATGACGGACAGTGGACAGGTAGGGAGCGAGTGAGGGACAGTGATGACGACTGGGAGTGGTGTCAAAGGTTTTGTGGTAGACAAGAGTGTTTGCGAGAGAAAAAAGCTACCTTATACCTCATACGCCTCCTTTGTCCTCACGACCGCAGGCGCCGTGGCAGGCGGCGCGGCAGGCGGCGCGCTCCTTTGTTCGGCAATGACAAAGGCGGTTCACTGTTGAGAATTGCCTTCTCCACAGGGAATGCGAGTCTGAGTCGGGTACTGATCTCGGTGACGAGTGTTACGTACCTGTGATGAGATGTCAGTCGCTAAACTTCACGCCTCTCAACATGACCAGCCCCATCCCATGTCCGAGCCTCGAGCTGCTTGTTGCCTTTCGCGCGTGCACGTCTTTGGGGTTCGCGCGTCGATTTCAAGCCGCTTGTTCGTCGCTCTGCTTCGCTCCAGCCACTTATCTACTGTGATTTGCCAGCTCATCCGCTCCAACGTGCCAATCACACCCAGTCCATCATCCGCATCGCTGCGTTTGCTATCCTCCCCCACTCCCCTGTGCAGATTCGCCTCCCTCGACCTCAACTTACCGCCTGATTGCAGTCGAACATTGGCTCACTTTGGGACTTCTGCATCATCGACATCAAGGCAGAGGGCTCATGCCACGATCAGCCGGTGCGCACTACTCCGCCTTTACCCATTGGCATCGTACCCATTGCACTCGAAGGAAAATCAGCAGAGTCGTCAAGACTCATGGTCCTGACTGAACCGTGACGTCTCGGGAGGCTGTAATGTGGAGCACGTCGTTTCAAAGTGATAGATCAAAAGGAGGAAGCTGAAGAAGACAGAGACTCGAGCTCAACAAACCAGATAGGGACAAAGAAGGGGTCTGAGCGCAGGCTAGTCTAGCCGAGCTTTGCCTCAACAAGTACGACGCTGGCTTTCGCGGCGGCGCCCTCACCGAGGCCCATGGTAACAGCGTAGGCCCAGACGGGGAGGATCTCACATTCCTGATTGTTCAGGGCGACGTCCCCTCGCTCGCCGACATCCACAAACTACCTGCCCCGAACCGAAAGGCTTGGGCCGCGACGTGAGCATTTCTCTGATTCTGATCGCTCTTCCAGGTCACCACTCACACTCTCTATATCCTCATCGACGCAGGGCGAGGAACCGTCAGCAGGCTCTACAAAAGGCAATCGACGGCAGAGGCTTAGCGTCGTACATTCGGCTGTACAACCGACGCCAGGCTTGGAAGGCGGTCCCCAACAAGCCTCCCATCGAGCTCCTTCCCGCCAACAACAACTTGGCTCCCGCTGCCGTCGCCCCTCCTAAACTCTCTGCCGACGAGCTCAGCAAGTTTCGCTCTCGAGACCGACGTAGGCGATTCCTGGAGGCGCAGAGCGCCGAGTACATTGCCGCCTTCAACAAGGTCGTCAACGAGCGCAAGAAGCTGTGAGTACCAGAGACAGTGTCAGCATCTATCGCCTCAAACCCGGACTCACCCTCCTCTTCCTTCTTCGCAGCCGACGTGCTCTCATAGAGGACGAGGAGGACAAGACGGAGGAGAAGGCGTCGCACAAGGCATCCCACCTGCGCCACGCCCAAAAGGGCCAGCAATTTTGCGACGAAGCCATTGCGGCAACGCGCACCGGGGCTTACGAGGCCACCCTGGAGAGCGATGACGAGGAGGACGAGGAGCTGTTCGAGCTCGTCGTGCCGAGGGACGAGACTTTGGGGGGCGATTCAGATGACGAGGAGATGGAGTAGAAGGATAGGAAAAATGCAGAGGGGAAGGGACTCGGCATATGTAGTCGCAGTTCTCAGCACACAATTCAATCAAACATCATCATCGAAGAACAGATCTCGCATTAAGCCTCGTCCTCCCACTCCGAGTCAGGCCCTGCGCCAGAGGTCCATTCGTGAGCAGTCTTCAAGTGCTCTACAACACGGCTCTTGTCCGTCTTCTCAGAAGCGACTTGAAATGCTGGCACTGGACCCTCCATCCGAGGCAGCAGGAGTTGATCTTGCCCGGATGGCAGGACCTGTAGCGCCTCCAAGCACATTCCTCCTGAGACTCTCGAGGCTGGCGATTCTTGTCCTCGTCGCCCTCGTTCTGAAGAACTGCGAGTAGAGTAGGCAGAGAAGGCTTAACGGTCAGCTCATTGCATCTCTGCACCGTAGACGTACAGGCAGAAGATACGTACTGCAGCGCTGGTCGCCGTACGGGCAGACGTGCCACTTCTCCTTGACGGTGCGATGAGGAGGGCGAGACCCAGAGGATGAACTTGCCGACGATCGCTCCATGACGAAGCTCCTGCCCTTCTTTGAGCGTCCCAACTCCGTGCGGGTGAACGACGTAGGGCCTGCGCCGGACGAGGATGACTGGGATAGGGACGTCAGCTACTGTGGGAGCAGTCGTGAAATGTTGGCCACTCACGGATCCGGCCGGATCACCGTCGACGTTCGTGAACGTGCGAGGGCAAGCAAGGTGGCCGTGGCGGTTCACCTCCCCGTTGATCGCCCCCGCAACGGCGAGTAGTCGGCGATCACCCGCACCGCGGCGAGCCAACTCGCGCACGTCGCTGAACCCCTGACCAGACCGCAGCATGTCTAGCAGCTGTTGCTGCGAGCGCACGATGTACACTGCCCGTCCCCCCTCGTCCCAGCAAAGCACGTAATCGGCCAGGGTCTGCTCCACAAAGGCAATGAGAGAGGGGGCATCTGCTGCCAGAGACTCGCGGGCGAGGAGGAAGATGCGAATGGCGCTGCGTGCCGTCGGCAGGATCTTTTCAAAGACCTGGTGGACGCGCTGACCATTGATGATCTTGAATCCAGCGATCGCAGAGCCGTTGAGCTGGCGAGCCTCGAGGTTGCACTTGGGGTACTTGAAGCCATTGGCAGGGTTGTTGTCTCCTGTACCAGAGCCTCTGCTGCGTCGGAGTAGTCAAGGTATGGCTGACTCTCCTCGCTGATGCGCCTCAGTGCAAAAGGCCGCCTGGTTACCCCTTTGGCAATGGATGCGGCTGGCATAGGCCTACATGGGCAGCTTTTGCGAAGGTGATTGCTGATGCTCTTCCGCAAGGTTTCAAAGGCGATGAGTGCTATAAGGCCTCATAGCTACCTGGATGCTTTAGATTGCGATGCCCGTCCCCGTGCGCTTGAGACTAGCGTGTAAGGTGGGCAAGTGAATCATGGCTGTCTGCGTCGGTGACGGGAGTGTGCGCCGACATCAAGACTCGTAGCGTTTGCGTGCGCTTGGCGAGTCGAGAATAGCAGTAGCCAGCTGTTTCGAAGAGCTTGATACCCTGCGATACCATAGTGTGCTGGCAAGCCGCGCCGCTGACCATGGTAGGAGATTGCTGAGTTCAGAGCGTACTCCCGGGGTAGCGCCGACTTAAATGTAGGCTGAGCCAATACTTCGACGAAGATGTAGAACACATCCACGGCAGTGCAAGGGGATCGCAGCTGTAGCCTTTGACTGTTGACTAGACGGACACTTTCAGCCTCCTCTGGGTGAGGGCTCGACAATGTCGAGTGGATGCTGGGCGAACCGGATAGGGTCGCCGTCGCTCACGCTGGCAAGCCCTTTCCCACTACCTTTGACGAGGTGCCTGAGCACACCTTGCCTACTAGCAGAGGCCAATGGCATGTCTGCGCGACCGACGCATCCTCGCCGCCATGAGACGGCGACGTGGTGGACGCGCGCGTGTAGTGAGTGATGGTTATGAAGGCAAGAGCGGAGCGCTCTGTCGCGCACGGACAAAGGAGCGGCCGCTCTGTCAGTATCCAAGTGGCCTAGCACAGTAACGTTCCTTTCATCCGCTCACGTAGGGATCCTCGAACCTCACGACCTCATCGAGCTAGAGAAAGGTCAATCAGAAGGCACGCCGGCAGCAGAGAGGCCTTGCAAAAGCATGACCCCTCCATGGGAGCATGCTGGAGCCACTTGAGCATGAATGCCGACGGAGAACCAACGATGGGCCGCACTTACCGTCTCGGCACGGCCGCGAGATGAGGTCGTGACACGTCTGACAATACTGAGAGACACCGCCGGCTGCATAAATGAGGTAGCGTGGTCCTGCTGTATCGTCGCTTACGTCTGTACCTCCTCCATCCATCCATGCGATCGTCCCTCACGGCATGTCCCATTTTGCCTCCTCTCAGCGACCCACGGCCGTCTTGAGCCTGAAAACCGCGGCCTCCTTCCTCGATTGAGGCAGTGAACGACGGACAAGCGCGCTGAAAGCCAGGTTGCTGTGGAGCGCCGGTGGGAGGAACTCATCCCACTACTCTTGGGATCTAATTGCTGACATCAAGCTGCAGTATGCACACAAGCTCAGCCAAGGCGTATGCCGCTTCACCTTACCCTACAGCTTGACGGAAACAGGTTGCGACAAGACCCGCTTCGACTCAATTGTCCAAGACCTGACGGAAGAGCTACACCAGGTATTTCGTTACTCGGCAAGGTGGTGTCAGCCAAGAGTCGTGGGCTCTATGCTCTGCTTCGACCTCTCTGAGACAAAAATTGGGCCGCAACAATTGCTGAAGTGGGCCTGCAACTTTCATTTTGGTCATCAGTGGGATTCAGTCAGACTCGGGAGCCTACCTCTGGTGACGCAGCCAGTGCTGCCGAGGGACTTTTCGTGCTCACAATGTTCGACGTTCCCCCAGAGCTACAGGAGGACATTGCGGGCAAGATGGAGCAGATACTGAGGCCTGCAATCTCTCATCCGGAAGATCCCGTCGACTATCAGGTACTTGACGTCTGGGGGCCACTGCGCGCCCAGACTCACGGTGTCGAACCACTGTCACAACTAGTCGCAGTGATTCGCCTCAAGCGTTCTGGACACGACGTCGAGCGACGAGCGAAACGATGGGCCGGCTTTGCCTTCTCCCGTGCGACGGGCAGGAAGCACAGTCTGTACTTCCCAGGCCGCTTTGATTATTGCGAACATCCCGACTGCCAGGTTGTCAACGCCGAGGAGAGCAGGCAAGACAGGGCCAAGTGCCCCCACACCTGTCTGGCGTACCCCAAATGCTTGCAAGAGCATACAGGAGCGTCGTGTCCCGTGTGGCAGAACATGGTTCGCATCGATCCGAAAAATGCGCACGCGCGCCTCTTGGAGCGGCATTGCAAGGAGGCAGCAGATGATATGATGCGCGCAAGGCAGCTTTGGGAGGAACGTAAATGGGAGGAGCCGATGCCGTGGGCATGTTGGGGAGAGGGGTGGCTTATGGAAGACAAGTAGCAACATCGCGCTCGACTGCCCGCCCTCAAGGGAAGCGACATTTAATACGACATCGCCATGCGCTTTTGCACAAGGACCTCGACTACTGCGCATGGCGCCGCGCCAAAAATGACCTGAAAGCGTCAAGGCAAGCAGCGTGCCGTCTCGATGGCATCGGAGACGAGTAACAGCGGTGCGCTGGAGGAGCTCAGATTCGCGCGTTCGGCTGATGCTGGGCGGTATCAATGTGAGCCGCGGGTCACCAGTCCACCAAGGCTGAGGGCGTGGATCCACCGCCGCACAGAGCAAAGAGATCAGACAGAACACATGACTCGCTGGGCGGGGCGCGAATGATCCAGCTTCTATGGTCAGGAGAAGCCCAGCTCAGCGCATCGGCGGCACTGCTGCGGCTGTCCCTCATGACGCGTCACGGCAACGTAGACGCTCCTAGACCTCTTCAATGTGGCGCACAGCATGCGGCAGGCTACGCATAGCAATCTGGTATCAAACAAAAGTGGCAAATCTTCGGTGGGGTAAAAGGAATGGATTGGAGCGAGTAAAGAGGTGGGGCCGAAACAGTGCCTGCGGTCACGGCAGGCAGGAATAGCACGTCGGATCAAGAGCAAGAGGTGAGAGACTACGCGAACCAGTGAGCTATGGAGCGCTTACTGGGGACCGTTGGGCTGGAAAGGGCTGCTCTGCCCGCCACCAGCACCAGCAGCGCCTCCAGGGCCTGCAGCGGCACCTCCGCCTCCCAAGCAGTTGCCTGTAAAGGTGTGAAGGGGATGGAAAGAGTCAGTCATGTGGCACGGACTGGTAACATGAAGAGGACACTCACCGAGCAGGCAGCCGCCAAGACCAGCGCCACCGCCTGCGAGGAAAAGAAGATCGAAGTATTGAGTCAGTAGAGTCCCTTTGACTGCTAGACACAGCCTCCATTACGCACCAAGTCCGAAAAGGCCACCGCCGTTGATGCCAGCGCCGCCGTTACCATCAGCCCTGGCCTCTACGACCTCAGTCTCCCTCTTGGAAGGTCCATTTGGGCGGAATGGGCTCGAAGCACCTCCACCTGCTCCGGCGGCGCCACCAGGGCCTGCTGCGGCACCTCCGCCTCCCAAGCATTGGCCTAAAAAGGATGTAGAAGGGGCACAGTAATGGTCACGGTCAGCGACGCGTTCGAGGATGGTAGCACGGACAGGAGACTCACCGAAGAGGCAGCCACCCAGGCCAGCTCCGCCGCTGTCATGTCGAGAAGGTAGGAACTCAGTCAGTGTGCAGGCTCGCCTTCGCAGCGAGCGACTCTACTCACCCAAGTCCGGCCAGTCCACCGCCCACGATTCCCGCACCGCCGTTGCCCTGCTGACGCTCGACGACGACCCCAGTCTCGCGCTTGGAAGGTCCATTGGGCTGGAAAGGGGATGCGCTGCCTCCCCCGGCTCCGGCGGCGCCACCAGGGCCTGCTGCGGCACCTCCTCCTCCGAGACAGTTACCTGTATACGTGAGGAGAGGTGAGCATGGGGTCAGCCACGTGGCCAGTACTGGTAACATGGAGAGGGTACTCACCGAAGAGGCAGCCGCCGAGACCGGCACCTCCGCCGAGACCCAGAGGGCCGTTGCCTACGATGCCGGCACCACCGTTGCCATCAGCACGGGGAGCGACGGGGGCAGCGACAGCAGCGCTAGCCATAGCGGCGACGACGAAGACAGAGAACTTCATGTTGATTTGAGTAAGGGGTTGTAGGGTTGGGGCTGGAGTGAGGGGCGAGTGGAGTGATGGAGAGGACAAAGGAAAAGACGAGGGACAGAGGGGTTCTTATAATTCTCTTACGAAGCCGTGACGTCGCGCTTGAGATGCAGCAGTGCCCTAGCGCGTCCCTCCTTTCACAACTGTCGAAGTGTAGCAAGGTTCGCTAGAGCGGGCACCGATCAGGTTGCGGAGGGGCATTGCGGGGTAGCAGGGTCGCTGGAAGCTCTCTGAGAGAAACCAATTCTGGCGGACCTTCGACGAGGTTGCCGTAGAGCGAACGAGGTCACAGCGGGGACGAATAGCGAAGCGGCTCTGCGGTGGTGCCAGACTACAGTCATTCCCATTAGCAGCGTCACTGTATGCGAGACACAGGCATCAAATCATGGTGCGGGGCATTGATCTTGAGAAGCCTGAACAATGGCTGGGTGTCTTCGAGGCCAGATGCTCAGGGACAATGGACGCGACGCCGTGGCGAGGCAGTCGCATAAATTGACTGGCGAGCCGATATTAGCGAGCTTGGCAGCCGACCGCACCTTGGCTCGACGACAAACACACGGACCATGCGAGTCTAGGTGGCCCATCTGTCCTCGCCCTCAATCGAAGACGTATGGCCATTTCCTTTGTCTCGCTACGACGAAGCTGTTGGCGACTGAGCCAACAAAGCCTTCTGGGGCAGTGTCGTTTTGACGAGTCGTTGGGTTCTGTGCAGAGATTGGCCGTAGAGGGCTGGGCTGCGCGCGCTCGTGCGAGAAGCTGCTTTCTGGGCCTACCTCGTCCTCTTGCTATGATCACAATTGCCCAAGTTGTTACTCAATACGAAATGAATGAACAATTTCCTCGCGCCGAGCGGAGTCGCTCCCAAAGAAGCAATCGCAATCATGCAAGCGGGATGGATGATCAGCAAGTGTGCTTTCACGCCTTCAAGGGCCAAGCTTCGCAGCCACGGGGTATGGGAGGAAGGTTTGAATCAGCGCATGGTACCGCGATGTCGTCGATCGAGGTCGTCGAAAGATCGGGCGTTTGTCTCAGTGGGTACTGTGCCTTCAAGCTGCTGGTTGGCAGGAGCAGCGAGGATTCACGATTTTGCCTCTCGTCTCGGGTCAACAACGAACAAAGGACACTAGCTCGCGTTTGGGGACCCCGCACTCTTCCTCTGCTTCGCTGCACAGACACTGCAGCGGCTCCCCCGCACTTCTTGCCGCTCGCTTCGATTCGCGTCCCGCGCGCCGCGCCTGCCTTTCGCTCCGCATCACCATCATCATCATCATCGTCGCCAAAACAAGAGAGACGGCGGGTCGGGGTTGCGGGAGGAAGTTAACGTATGTAACACTGAGGTGTTGATGAAGTGAATTCCGCCAAGGTCTTGCGCTGAGGGAAGCTTGGAGGGTCAAGCTCGAAATTGGAAGCTTGGACGCTGCGTTGCCGCGCGGCAGAATGCTTTCTGGCTGTTGAAACGCACGATCACGCGCACAAGCTTCTCTGTAAGCACACTGGCTGCAGAGGGGCTCCGCGCAGGTTCGTCTGTGCGCGACGACGCCCCTTCACCACACCTAGGATCAATATGTTGAGAGCCTGACGGGGCTTTCCACGTTGGTAGTGCCACATCGTCTCCGATCATCGCCGGGGAAAGACGGACGAGCGGCCATGGTCAGGTCCATGGCCTACTTGACTTCCCCTGACTTGTCTCAGTCGTCAGCAGAAGGGAAGGCAGGGACGATGACACTCGAGGTCACGCTAGCTGATGATAGGTCGTGGAGCCCATCAAGACGAGTCACAACGTGCCAGGAGCCATCGCGCTCACTCCGAGCACCGGATCAGTCTACATTAAGCATGATCCATTACGTAGTCGAAAGAACGAGAGTGCGAATCCTCCACGCCTTCGAAACCTCCGTCTCAGATGCTCTTGTCCGTGCCTGAGTCGAGACGTCTCCTGCATCGACGTGCTTTTCCCGTTCCATCACCACCGCCTTGAGCCTGAGAGGCACCCTGTGCAGCACCATGAGCACCATGAGCCGCGTCTTGAGCGCTGTTATTCGCACTCCCCTTCGCATTTGATGCTGCCGATCCTACCGCCCCCGCCGCTCCTGAAGTCGACGTCGGAACTGCAGCCTTGGATGATGACGCCGTGCTTCCCGCTTTGACTACGCTGCTCGTCGATGACGATGACGACGCCGCAGTGCTCGCCGCTGCTGCCACCTTGCTGGCAGATGAGGGGTGAAGTGCCCCCCCAACGGCTCCCGCCTCAGCATCTCCCAACCCGAGCGCCCCTCCACCGCCAAAGCAGTTCCCAATCAAGCAGAGGTTCGCCGCATCAGCCGCAGCGATTCCATTTCCGTGGACCTCAGCTTGGGCTACGCTCCCCTGCGTACCCTTGGCTCCCGTAGCTTTCCCTTCGCCAACAGCTTCATTGCCCAGCACCCCAGCAGCAACGGCTCCCGCGTCACCTAGGCAGACGACATCCCCTGCTACGCAAATCTCGACGGAGCCGGCGAGGCCCCCGCCAACGCCCTGGCTATTTCTTGAGCCGCCGAAGGAGGAGGATGTCTGCAATCGAGAAGATGAAAACAGGTAAGCGCTGGTCGTGCCGGTGGGACATTGACATTGCGAGCTTACCACGTCAATGAGAGAGGGGTCATTTTGCGTCGCTGCAGCTCCACCGCCTCCCTGAGGCGCACCATTGGCAGAAATGAGAGGCGTGGCCGCGACATTGTTACCGTGAAGCAGAGCCAAGCACTGTGCAAGTGAGAAGAGAGTGACATGAGAGCGACCCATCGGGGGCGACGGTGACGATGAAGGAAAGGGTGAGGAGCGAAGAGGGAGATATTGACGATAGTCAAGACGAAAAGAGAATGGAAAGGGACCAATGGCTCGCATTGAGTGGCTTCCATGAACCAATCTATCTACCCTTTGCCTCGCCTGCCATTCGCCAAGGACGGCTGCTCGTTCCTTGATGACCTTCCAACACTGAAAAGCCCCTCTCGCGTTTCGCCCTCTTCGCCTGCCTCGCCTCGCGAATGGGCGTAGGTGCGCAGCCTGAGACCGCCCTAGCCGTACTCGCCTCAATGAGTTGCATCGGAGCGCCCGGCCGCCATCGATTGGCCTTCCGTGCTCCGCTCGCGCGGCCAGTCGGTCGACTCGGCGCGATGGCCATTTGAGAATCATCTGGCCTTTGTCCATCCTCTAAGGAATGCGAACAAGAGGTCAATAGCATGCGTACGAGCTACTGAAACAGACCCCAATCTACAATCTTCAGACTTTGCGCTGCCCGCCTGAAGGCCTCGGCCACGTTGGCATCGCCTCGTGGCGTCTCCTCTGTCCTTCCATCGCTGCTCTTCAGCGGCTCGTTCCAGCTCATGACCAAGTCGACGTCCTTCCTCGGCGCCAGTCGATACAGCGCAAAATGGATCAGGACGTTGTCAAGCGGCTGATCTGGCTTGGCGAATTTTCGGACTTGCTGAACGCCGGTGAGGAGGGAGGGAGAAGGAGGGTCCGAGTCGCTGGAAGACGCGGACGCTGGTGAGGGCTGAAGCGTGAGGATACGTGATGACTCGGCGTCATTGTCGTGCGCCAAAGAGGAGAAGTGGAAGCTGTACGAGAAGAGAGCGAGGGGGAATCAGCGTCTCGAGCTGGATTCGATGCCTCGCTCCAGTCTCACCGCAAAGCCGCCTCGGTATCATCTTTTGCCTCCCCCTCTTTGACGCTTTCCAAAACCTCGACAATGCAAGTGACATCCGAGCTCGGACTCAGAAGTACCTCTTGATTGTCTGGTATCTGGCGAAGGTCGCTGCGACGCAGAGGGGGCTACCAATCAGCTGGCTGAGCCCATGGCTCTCCTCCTCCTGCTCATGCTCACGAAGCATCGATCAGCCCTTGAGGCATGTCCAAAGTGATCGCACCACCAAAGAGCTCTCTTTTCTCTGTCTGCTGATTTGAGATGGCCATGCTGACGAGGAAGAAGTGGAATCGATGGTGTGGAGCAGCAGCAGCTCAATGAAATCTATTCGTCCCCCTCGCCCTCAGTCCGCCTCGACCTCCCTTTCGCTCCAAAGCAAGCGACGGGCCAACCGATTCGGGGTCGGCAGGCGGCCTGTGTCAACTCGGACTCGCCGTGAGCCCTGACGCGGGAAACCAACCAACATCACGCCGGCGGCCTCACCTTCCCATCGCTACCACCCTACCACTCCCTCATACCCCAACCCGTAAGCCGGAATGGACGACTCAATGGATGCCTCGTCCTCTTCGGCCGTCCTTTCGCGCCTCACCCTTGACCTTCGTGGCACACGCTTCGTCATCGAGCGTGAGACGCTCATGCACCTCCCTGAATCGGTGCTCCTCTGCTTGTTTCCCAATGGTCTCGTGCTGACGAGGCAGAATCAGGGACTGGGCGGGTTGGATGACCCAGAGGATGAAGAAGAAGAGGAGGTGTACATGGTCGATGTGAGTTCTGCGAAGGCGAGGCAGCATACAAGCATCATTGCGCTGACCATCCTCGCTCATCATCCTTGCGTCCCCAGTTCGACCCACAATGTCTCTCCTACGTCCTCTCCTTCTTCAAGTCGGCGCAAGAGGACTTTTATGGTACGCCGAACCGCCCGGGAAAGTATCGTGGGCTGAGGCAGCAGCCTTCATCTGACTTCAATGACAACAGTTTCATGTCCGGCGGAGGAGGAGCAGGATTGAGCTCGAATCCGTTGCTCAATAAGCAGGCTATCATCGTGCTGAGGGAGGAACTGGTGGGTCCACGTACGGGTCAGTGCGTTCACCCCGCTCATTGCTGACATCTTCACCACCCGCGAGTCGCCAGGAATACTTTGTCATACCGCCCAAGGCGACATCCAAGCTTGATGGGGACGGGCGCGAGGGCACAAACTTAGAGGGCAAGGCGACGAACGCTCTTCTCAAGCTCAAGCATTCAGCCGGAGAAGCCTTGCTCCAGCGTAGACACATCTTTACGGCCCTGCAGCGCAATGTCAACAAGGAGAATAACATGGCTGAGCAGCACCTCATCGACATGTTGTGCATGAGGTGAGCGCGAGGGAGGGCAGTGAGAGCAGTTGGGGATGTGAGCTGACTATGTCCATTCGTTTGCACACACAGTGGCTTCTCTCGCGATGATCTCTGGGGCTTCAGAGCCGTCGAGCCCACACGCTGCAGCATCACCTCAATTGCCCTCGTCCTGCTCAAGACGGTGAGCGGCCAACCGCTGCTATCATACACTTCTTGTCTCTCCGCTGACCATCAGATTCCCCCACGCTCGTGCGCAGGGCATCCGCTTTGGCCCCAATGATGGGCCCGCGAACCCAAACGAGGAAGAAGTCGACTTCATGGACGGGGTCCGCGTAGACCACACGCAACTCAGCACGGCCCAAAAGCTCCTCCTCTTCTGGCGCAAGCCCGCGCGTAAATGCTGGTGGGACGGAGTAGACATTGTCGTCCCTCACACGTCGGCGTCTGCCTCTTCAGCAGAGCAGGATGGGTCTGCTGCTCTGGCCCAACAGGCCGCGGATGAGGCCGAGGGAGCGGACATGAATGCTACAACGGCGGGGATGACGGGCAAGGAGGTGGAACTGCTGAGGAGTAAGGGCGGCAGGAAGTGCAGAGTCTGGGCGAGGAGGGTTTGGACATTGGAGTTGAGCCTGGTGAGCTGCCCTCGCTACAAGTCGAATGGCTGCTTCACCTGAGCTGACGTCCGACTGCCTTTCATCACAGATCTAAATGCATGCAGAGCATATGGCGCCTGCTCAGTCCTTATGCACCAGCATCTCTCGCTACCTCGATCCCCCCTTGCGACTCTCATATACCCCTCGAGGCAGATCTAGACATCGTCTGCTACCGCGCCTGGACACTAGCTTCCCATCTCATCTCACTCAGCCTCCATCTGCTATCCTCGTGCGTGGCTAATCAATCTGCATTCCATCGGTAACTGTGAATGGCTTCGTTATGAGTTAAACCGCAGCTTCCTTTCTTCAACAACCCTCATCACCGATCTGATCCCCTCTTGCGCCTCAATCGAGATCTGGAGGCGGCAGGGGTCCCCTCTCCCTTCCTCTTCCCAACGTGTCCGCCTTCTGATCAATGGCACCCTTGGTGCTCTGCCCCTTCGGGTCCACCTCAGCCTCCGGGTCGTACAACTTCGGTACGTCCAGCCCTACTCGGCGAGCCGTCGCCTTGACTCGCTCTTGCTCTGTCAGGTCGTGAAGCGGGGAGTAGCGATGCAAGAGTTCCTGTGTGACGAGGGGTGAAAGGACATCAGCAAGAACGCAAACAGATGTGAAAGTACAGTGGGAGCAGCGTTACATACCCTATGCACCCTGTTGCTCCTCAGGTACGTCTCCAAGTCCCTCATCTCCCTCAATGCACCTTCTGTTTCCTTTGCCTTGCCATCGCGAAACGTTGTCCTAACATACGCCACAATGGGCTGACTCTTGAAGGCTGGCGCGAGAGTGGGCTTGGGTGGATTATTCGGATTTGAGCGAAGCTCCCGGAGGAGTGTGCGGTATAGATGGCGCGGTGTTGCCGTTGATGAAGAGGCAGCGGCTGACATGGTTAAGTGTGAGAGTGGGGGAAGAGTGAGAGGTGCCGAGAAGAAGTTGAAATGAGGGAGCGGACAGACACCAGACGGACAGAAAGGCGGAGAGCGGACCACGACGGAGGCGCACCGAGCCAAAGCGGCGGCTCTGAGATACATAGTCAGGGTGGAGCGCGATCAGATGCCATTAGAGTACAAGGCGAGGCGGTATGCGGCTCGACCAAAGGAGGTGCAGAGTACAAGGAGAAAGACCTTCGGGGCAGTCGGCGTGCGGGCTGGGGGCGCTTGCCGGTCAACCAATTGGCTTGAGGCGGAAATTGAGGCTGAGAAGAGATTGAACGAGACACTGTCGAGCAAACACAAGATGGAGTCAGAAGTCAGCCTTCGTGAGCTTGATGGCATGGGCATCATCGGGAGGCCGGGCGCGGAGCTCACCTTGAGGTCCTGCACCAAGTAATACATGACCCTCAACCCCTCTGGATCCTCGCTATCCTGCACCTCAACGAGGGACCCAATCTTTGCCGTCTCAAAAGAGATGTGGTCATTGCCTAGTCGGACTTCAAGCTCTTGACGGCCGACGACGTTCTTCTTGGGCCACTTGCTATCGTCCTCGCTGGGCATCACCGAGAGGGACGAGTGGGAGGGTGGTCAGTCGAGACCCCTCAATTTCGATGCAAAGAGATGGCGCACTCACCGCATAATTTCGCTCTCCTCAATGATACGTCGGAACTCGTTGATCATGGCTTGGGAGACCCACACTGAGGGTGAAGAGGGGAGTCGGGGAAGGTATGTCAGTCCTGATGCCAGCCCCTCCTCCTTCCATCCCGCCGCGCTACCCACTCTCTTTGCGGATGAGCGAGTCCCGGCGATAGTTGGAGTTGTTGGCATAGCGCAGTCTCCCCCTGCTTAGCTCCCATTCGAAGAATTCATGACCATGCTAAGAAGGAGGGGAAGGGGCGAGGTTGCGAGGTCAGTGGTGCATACAGCCAGGCCAGGCCAGGCCAGGAGCGACGGCGCCTCACTTGTCCCTGATGGCCGGTACTGCGAGCGAGACGAAATCGTCAGTACTAGTCCTGTCTCGTCATGCTCATCGCGCTTGCACTCACTAGTACCGCACGTAGAAGTCGTTGGCCGACATTGATGGTGAGCGAGCGGACGGACGGCAAGAAGCTCTCAATTGCCCGCCCGTCGTCGATCCGCCTCTGCCTACGACGCCAACCACGTGTCGCAGCCCGTTCGCGACTCGACCCTCAACACGGACTCGCGGACCAAAATACGGAGTCCAACACCTTGTCCCTCGTCCCTCGTCCCTCGTCCCTCTGCTCCTCATTCTCACCTCACCACCTTCACTTTCGAAACTCTGCGGCTGGAGCGCCCGCCATGCGCATCGAGGAGCTCATCATCGATGGCTTCAAGTCGTATCCAGTCCGTACGCACGTCTCTGGCTTCGATGAGTCGTTCAACGCCATCACGGGCCTCAACGGCAGTGGCAAGTCAAACATCCTCGACGCCATCTGCTTCGTCCTCGGCATCACAAATATGAGCGCAGTGAGAGCGACAAATCTTCAAGACCTCATCTACAAGCGTGGACAGGCAGGCGTCACGCGAGCATCGGTGACCATCGTCTTTGACAACACAGACAGAGCCCGCTCGCCCGTCTCGTTCGAAGCCTACTCGCAGATTACCGTCACGAGGCAGATTGCTATGGGCGGGATGAGCAAATACCTCATCAATGGACACAAGGCGACGCAACAAGCCGTACAGAATCTGTTTCAATCTGTTCAGCTCAACATCAATAATCCCAACTTTCTCATCATGCAGGGCAAGATCACCAAGGTGCTCAACATGAAGCCCGCCGAAATCTTGAGCATGATTGAAGAGGCAGCGGGAACGCGCATGTTTGAAGATCGAAAAGACAAGGTAAGGGTATGAGGTGGGATGCCTGGGTATGACGAGACTGACATGCTCTGATCCTCCTCGCAGGCCATCAAAACCATCGCAAAGAAGGAACTCAAGGTCAAGGAGATCAAGGCGCTTCTGGACGAAGAAATCACGCCAAAGCTCGACAAGCTGCGTGAGGAGAAGCGCTCCTTTCTCGAGTACCAGAAGGCAACCTCTGAGCTCGAGCGCCTCACTCGACTGGCCAAAGCCCACGAGTGGCAGACGCTAAAGTCAAAGCACGAAGAGAAGAGTGCGTTGGGCGATGCGAAAATGCAACGTGTACTGTGTTGACTCACCTCTCTCTTTGGCGCGCCCGCAGGCCAGTATGTCGACCAGCAGTCATCCGAAGTCGACCGCCGTCGCAAAGACGTTGAAGCCCTGCAACGCCAAATTGCAAGCATCGACGAGGAGCTGGCGCAGATCGAGCGAAAGAAGGAAAAGGAAATCGCAAAGGGCGGCAAGCTCAAGGCGCTCATCGAAAAGAGCAAGACGCTCCAGCATGAAGTCGTCAAGGCAAAGACGTCCCTCGACTTCAAGGCTACGAGCGTTGAGGAGGAGCAAAAGAAGTTGGCCGCAGACGCCGAAGCTCTCGAGGCGCTGCAGCAGGCGCGCGATGCCAAGGCGGAAGAGCTAACCTCGCTCTCAGAGTCATTTGCCAGCCTCAAGGCGGAGCACGATGCGGCCACATCAGAGCTGTCCAAGAACGATGAGCTTCTTCAGTCCCTCTTGACGGGTATGGCGTCGAAGAAGCAGGCAGGAGGAGGGGGACAAGGTGGATACATGGGTCAGCTGGCGGACTCACGAGCAGCAGAGGCATCGGCCCGCACCGAGGTTGAGCAAGCCAAGCTTCGCATCTCAAGTCTGGAGAAGGAGGTCAAGACAAAGGAGCCGCAGGCGCGCAAGGCGGAGAAGGAGGGCGCGGGTCTACTCAAGCAACTGGAGACGGCTCAGGCTGAGGCTGAGAAGCTGGCAGCGAACCTTTCCGCCAGCGGCTGGGATGAGAGCAAGGAGCGAGCATCGGCTCAGCGCAAGCAGGAGCTGTCTCGCTCGCTCAATGGCCTCCTTGAATCCCGCGACCGCCTCAAGTCCCGCCTCGCGGGCGTCGATTTTTCCTACTCAGATCCCGAGCCCAACTTCGACCGCTCACGCGTCAAGGGCCTCGTTGCCTCGCTCATAGACCTCGCAGAGGATCGCCACCAATACAGCACCGCGCTCGAGATCTGCGCAGGCGGACGCCTGTATAACGTCGTCGTCGAGGACGAGGTGACGGGTTCTAAGCTCCTCTCCAACGGCAAGCTCAAGAAGCGCGTGACGCTCATCCCGCTCAACAAGATCAATGCCTTCGTCGCTGCTTCGCAGCGCGTCGGTGCTGCACAAAAGATTGCAGGAGATCCGAGCAAAGTGAACCTCGCCCTTTCGCTCGTCGGCTACGACGATGACGTGTCCAAGGCAATGGAGTACGTCTTCGGCAACACACTCATCTGCGCTGATGCTCAGACAGCGAAGCGTGTCACTTTCGACAACGCCGTCAAGATGAAGAGTGTCACGCTGGACGGGGATGTGTACGACCCGGCAGGCACCCTGTCCGGTGGAAGCAAGCCGCAGTCTGGCGGTCTCCTCGTCAAGCTGCAGGAACTCCGCGGCATCGAGCGCCAGATCAAGGCTGCTCAGCAAGAGTTGGCCCAGATCGAGCGTAGCGAGGCGGGTGACGCCAAGCACGCAAAGACGAAACGCACCCTCGACCTCAAGCGGCACGAGGCTTCACTTCTTCAACAGCAAGTCAGCGGCAGTAATGCCACGCGCATCCTCGGCGAAGTCTCTGCGGCCCGCAAAGCCATCGCTGAACTTCAGCAGTCCATCGTCGACGCACAGGAGCGGCAAAAGACTGCTGCATCTGAGGCAAAGAGGTTGGAGAAGGAGATGAAGGAATTCGAGTCGAACAAGGACTCGAAGATCGACGAGCTGAAGGCCAAGGTGAAGAAGATGAAGGCCTCCTTGCAGAAGCAGAGCGTCTCTTTCCAAACCAAGCAGACCGAGGTTAGGACCACAGAACTCGAGTTAGAAGGGGCGAGCAAGGAGGTTGAGGAAGCTGCCGCAGCGCTTGAGGAGGCTCGCTCTGCCTTCACCGCCTCGCAGACGAGCTTGGCAGCAATGAGCAAGGACCTTGAGCAGCAGCAAGCCGAGGCGGATGCCACCGAGACCATGCTCAAAAAGGAGCGAGCAGCCCTCACGGCCTTCGACGAGGAGTCTGCCTCGCTACAAAATGCGGCCAAAGCCAAAAAACAAGAAGTGGCCGACTCGGATCTCGAAGTGAAACAACTGCTCCACACTCTCGAAAAGGCCCAACAAGATCTCCTCTCCCTCACTCGCTCCATCTCCTCTCTCGAATCAACCCACGACTGGCTCGTCGCCGAGTCACCTCAGTTTGGCCAACCGGGCAGCGCCTACGACTTCCGCAAGCACAACATGCCCGAGGTGAGACGCAGCTGCAAAAAGTTGGAGGAGCAGCATGCTGGCTTAAAGAAGAAGGTGAACCCAAGAGTACTGGGATTGATCGATTCGGTCGAGAAGAAGGAAGGAGAGTTGAAGACGATGTTGGGGACGGTTCTCGGGGACAAGAGTAAGATTGAGGAGACGATCGGAGAGTTGGACAGGTACAAGAGAGACGCGTTGCAGACTACTTGGCAGAAGGTCAACGGCGACTTTGGCGAGATCTTCGCAGAGCTTCTGCCAGGCAACTACGCCGCCCTCCAACCCCCGGAAGGCCAGGACGTCACCCAGGGTCTCGAGGTCAAGGTTCGCCTTGGTCAAATCTGGAAAGCCTCGCTGACCGAACTCTCTGGCGGTCAACGCTCTCTCATCGCCCTTTCCCTGATCCTCTCACTGCTCCAATTCAAGCCTGCACCCATGTACCTCCTCGATGAGGTCGATGCGGCCCTCGACCTCTCCCACACTCAGCATATCGGACAACTCTTCAAGAATCGCTTTGGAGGATCCCAGTTCATTGTCATCTCGCTGAAGGAGGGACTGTTCAACAACGCTAGTGTCATCTTCAGGGCCCGCTTTAGAGAGGGCACGAGTATTGTTGAGAGAACGAGCAACAAGGCTATGGCTGAGCAGATGGCGTTGAGTGGGCAGAGAGCGGCGGCAACGTCTAGGAGCGGGTTGGCAGGCGCTGCGCCGCAGAGAAGGACGGCAGTTGCATGAAGGACTCCACCCACTCTTTGGCTTCGTTCACGCTGCGATCGGTGTAATATTATTGTATCAGGTCCTGTCCCTCGCCACCTTTGCGCTCCCCTCTTGTCACTAGTACATCACCTGGACCTCGACAACATACTCCCGCATCCCTGAGACTACCTCTCCCTCTCTCGCCCTGTATCTCTGTCGGATCCTCCCGTTTGCAGCCCCGCTGCCAGCACCGCTCGCAGAGTCCTTTTGCGCGTCCGAGTACAACGGCAACCCATACTCATCAACCTCATCCAAGAACGAATCATGACCTCCCCTTACCTCCCCCTCTACGCCTTCGCGCGACTCGTACCCCTCAATGTCACCCAACAACAACCCCTCCCCTTCCGGATGATCAGGTCGCGAGTACGAGTAGTTGCGCTCACCTTGCGCATCACTTCCCCCGTATCGTGCACTGGCGGGCATAACGTTCCACCGACGTGCGTGCAGTCGACGAACGAGCGCGTGAGCGTGTGCAGGGCTGGCCAGACGGATGAGGAACATCGTCGTCTTGGTCGAGGCGTGGAAGGGGCTGCTGAACAGGTCCTTGACGTCACTGCCATTCGATGCAGCTTCCGCCGCTGCTGCGGCTCGTGCTTCACGGGCCTCCGTGGCACTGCTGGCCGCCCAGAGTTGAATTATCTGCTCTAGTTGCACGGGTGCCCAGGATCCTATGCGTTTATCCCACAAGCTGGTCCTGTTGCGCGGACCACCGGGTGCAGCCAAGGTGTAGCGGCGTCCAAATCGTCTTACGAGCAACTCTGGTCGGACACCTGGTGGCAAGCCTCGCAAAAGAACGACGGAGCCTGATCCGCCGCTTGAGGTGCCCCATCCACTTGCCCTGTCATTGGTCGTACTGTGCGAAGAAGCTGCCGAGCTTCTCGCCACAATCGCCCTAACAAAGTCGGTCACGCTGCCATGCGCTTGTGGGTTGTACGCCTTACTCGAGCACGCAACTAGGTTGCTCCCCAGCAGCGTACCAGCACCGTCTGCGTGATATTTCAATGCAGACAGCTCATGACCCGCGTAGAGTCGGCCGTTCAAGTGGTGGAGTATAGTGGGAAGGTGGCGCTCGTGCAGAAGGCGAAGGAGGAACCGGTCTGTGCCGCGGAGAGAGGTGGGTCGATACACCGGGAGGACGTCGCTGATGAAGCGGGAGAGACCTACGGAGGAGGAGGGCGAACCGCCAGCGCTAGCGGTACTGGAAGTCGAGTCGAGGACGCGGACCACGTCCGCTGGTGTGGCTGTGGGTGGCATGCCTTTGATGCAGATCCAGTGCTGCTCGCCTTCTAGGGCGTCGCTGGGCGTCCACGGTGGGGGACGCTTGTTTTTGCGGGGGCGGTCAGATGTAGCGTGAGCCGCAATGTCTCGCGGAGGACGGATCGATCGATCTGTGGAGTTGCTGGCCTCTGACTCTCTCGGCGATGACCATGACGACGTAGGGGGCGTCGGTGATGGCGCAACATCGCTATAGCTGCGCGAAGGTAAGCGAGATGGACCTGGTGCACTGCATTGGGGCAACGGTCTGTGTGTCAGATGGCCACTTTGCGGGCGAGGCTGCCTTAGTAGGCAGGCAGGCAAGGAGGTAAGTAGCGGAGGGAAGCCAAAATGTTGGTAGCCTGAGCTAGGACTCGCTCCCTTGGTGTCGACGTTGTCTCTTGCCCTGCTTGTTACTCGTCGCTCCATCCCCTTGAACCCGCCGCAAGCCCTCGGCTGCCATTCTGAGCAGCTCAGGCATAGGCGTATCAAGCGCCGGCCGATGGATATGCGCAACAAGCAGAGAGCTATCCGCGCGAGTGAGGCCTCGATGGAGCGGGCTCTCGTCTTGATCTCCTTCATCGCGCTGCAAGCACCACTTTAAGGCCCAGAAGACTCTCCGCGCGGCTCTCTGTCTCAGCACGGCGTCGTTGCTGATACTCTTTTTGGACTTGATGGCCATGATCGCCACACTTTTCCCGTCTGCTCCGGGAATGAAATCGCGTAGCTTGGAGGTGGTGTGGGTCTCCTTTGTGACTTGTCGAGGCAGGAAGGATGGGAAGAGCCGTTGGGTGAACTTGGTGTAGTGTCGTCGCTCAAGACGAAAGGCAGGACACTGGTATATGCCAGACCCGGGGTAGAGCTTGGAAGGGGACTCGTTGCCCGTGTGGAAGTGGGTTACGTGGATGCGGTCCGAGGGGAGACGGGATGGCTGAGACAGGTCTCCTGTGCTTATGGAATGGGAGCTGGAGCTGCGACGAGGGTTGAGGCGGGCGATCAGCATACTCTTCCAGTGACTCGATGGCATGTCATCCAGCTGCAGGTATCTTGTCGTTGAGCTGCTCACCTTCTTATCCTTTCCAGCTCGGCATGACCTGCTTGACTGCCTGCCTGCCTGCCTGCTTACAAGGACCGGATCAACACTCACCTACTAGAAGAGGCGGCCGAGGTTGGTGCCAGTGATGTGGTTGCGGCCGAACGACTTGCCCTTGCCACTACCGTCCTGATCATCCTCATCGGTGTGAGATGAATTGATTGTGGTGGAGCGGAAGGAAGCGCACAGGCTGCGAGGCTGCGAGGTCCTCAGCCAAAATGTCTGCCTCGGCTCATTCGCCGCTGCCCTCGTCTCCGCCTTCCGTCGTCGATCCGTGCGGGCCATCAGTTCAACTCAACTCTTCTCGACCTCACCACTCCATCCCACTCAGACGAAGGCAACGATGGATCTCGATGAGGCAGGCCCTTCATCACGGCCCGCGGGCGTTAGTCTGGATGAGCTCGGTGAGCATTTACAGCCCGCCAACACCATCCTTGTGTCTGGACATCCGCTAACGTCCGAATTGCGCACATACAGCCACGTCCTCGCATGATCCGTCCCAGTCCCGCAGCCACGCCGCCCTCCTTCGAGTCTTCGAAGACCGAAAAGTCTCCCGCTCCCTCGCAGTACCCACGGCTGACCACGCTGTCCGTCAAAAGCTGCGTGACCTGGGCGAGCCTCAGACCTGTTTCGCAGAGGCTAACGTCGATCGCAGAGAGAGGTTGAGGGATGTGCTTGTCAAGGAGAGGCAGAGGAGGATTGAGGCTGGTGACGTCGAGGGGGAAGAAGATGTAAGAAGCGAAGGAAGTGACGGAGAAGAGGAAGAGCAGGATGAAGAGTTCTTCACCGAGGGGACAGATGAGCTGCTCGAGGCGAGAAGGGATATCGCATGGTATTCTCTTGCGAGAGCCAAGAAGAGAATACACAGGCAGAGGTGCGAGGCCAAGGTGCCACTTGAGGAGTTGGTGGGGCTGAGAAACAGGACGTATGAGCCCTTCAAGGTGAGACACAAACCTCTCGTTGCACTCGCGTCCATCCACTCACTGCTTGCCTACCTCTGCTCGCCCGCAGCACTTCACCTCTCTCGGCTCTCAACCAGCCTCGGACCGTCCGATCTCACAGGTCCGGTTTTCCCCGTGCACCGGCTCTTTACTCGCAACAGCCTCCTGGTCAGGTCAACTCAAGCTCTGGTCAGTCCCTTCCTGCTCCCCTCATCCTCACCGCGATTATCGGGGTGGCCACACGGACAAGATTGGTGGGCTTGCATGGCATCCTCAAGCCACACAGGGACAGAGCGCTGCGAGTGTGAATCTGGCTACAGGTGGGGCAGAGGGGAACGTCTGTCTTTGGTCACTCGACAAAGACACGCCCGTCGCCACGCTCAAAGGCCATGAAGCAAGAGTAGCGCGCGTGGCCTTTCATCCTTCAGGCAACTATGCCGCCTCGGCCTCCTTCGACGGGACGTGGCGTCTCTGGTCTCTCAACTCACCCTCGCCCTCCTCGATTCTCATGCAAGAAGGACACTCCCGCGAAGTCTACACCGTTGACTTCCACCCCGACGGCTCCCTGCTCGGCTCAGGCGGGCTCGACGCACTTGGTCGACTCTGGGACCTCAGGACAGGGAGAGCGGCCATGGTGTTAGACGGGCACGCTAGAGAGGTGCTTGCGCTCGATTTCCATCCTATGAGTGGACATCATGTCGTGACCGCGAGCGGGGACGATACAGTCAAGGTGTGGGATATGAGGGCACTCAAGAGTATCTATACCATTCCCGCGCATACGAGCTCGGTGGCCGACGTAAGGTTCTTCAGGGGCGGCAGCGCTGTAGGAGGAGCGAAAGTCAATGGAGCAGGCAAGGAAGAAGACATGGATACCAGTCATGACGTTGCAGACTCCTCATCTCAGCCGCAGCTCTCCGCTTCGGGCCTGTACCTCTGCACAGCAGGGTACGACGGCCTTGTCAAGGTATGGTCGTCCGACGACTGGCAGCTCCTGCGGACGCTGAGCGGGGACAATGGCAAGGTCATGAGCGTGGATGCGTCGCCGACAGGAGAGCATTTGGCATCGGGCGAGTGGGGAAGGACATTCAAGCTTTGGGGCGCGTTGTGAGGGGGGGGAGGGGGAGAAAGCAAAGAGCTCAATGTCATCCGTTGCACGCGTAGTCTCCAAACTTTAGGCGTGCGTCTACGTCTCTTTGATTGAGGACGAAAGAGAAAGATTATCTACTGCATGTCTAGAGAGGCTCTCAAGTTGCGCCTTTACTTCTGAACCTCGCCTGCCGAGTAGCCAGCGGGGGGTGTCGCAGATCCAAAGTCGTCGTGAAGCTTAATCAGCAGCTTCATAGCGTTCCTCGCATGTTGTCTCGCCGGGTCTTCCCATGGCCTCATCCCCTCGGTCTCGCCCTGGTCCTCTTTGCCCTCGAAGGGATACGGCAGCAGCTTCTGCAAGTACTCGTACGCAACCAGCGTCGCACCAAATTGCGGACTACTCCTCAGCACTCTCGCCAAGCTTCCCTTGAAGAGTGCTCGGGGCCCCTCCTCCGCCAGGATACGCGTGAATGCATTTACGATGCCCGTGTACGCCTGCTGACCCTTGCGTGCTTCAACCTGCAGACGAGTCTTGATGACGTCTGCTGGCGTGGTGAGGAAGGCAGCAGGCATGCCCGCCATGGCTGCGGAGGCGAGGAGCTCGCCGAAGCCCAGCTTCTTGGGCGCACTGCCCTTGCCAGCTGTGGGGGAGCCCTCGCCGAAGAAGTCCTTCTTGAGGTGGGCATACCCGGGGAAGTAGATGGCAGAGAAGGGCACATCGCGAAGCAAGCAAGCAGAAGCACCCTTGTAGAGACCGATGAGGCCCAGCTGCCTAACGTGGTGCATGGCCCCTCGCGCAACTCGGTCTGCCCCCTCGCTCTTTGCGAGCTCTCCTGCCACTTGCAGACGAATCTTGACAATCTCTAGCGGGTTGGTGAAGACGACTTGGCATCCTCCTGCTGAACCACCAGCTACGAGCTCCCAAGGGAGCGAGATCCCGCCCGTTGCAGAGTCCTTGGGCGCCTTTGCCCTCACCAAATCATTGACAGTCAGCTTGATAGCCTTTTCTGGCGCCACGCCGATCAATTGCGGACCGAGACCGCCATAGAAGCCCAGGAAACCCTCGTTGCGGAAGACCTTCTTGACGCAGTCGAGCGAATTCTTGTAGAGCTGTGGCTCGCCTACAACGGAGGAGCGTTGATTCTGCATGCGCGTCTTCACCAGATCGATGGGGTAGACAAGCGTGGCGCCTACCGAGCCAGCAACACCACCGAGACCGAAGTTCCAGAAGGACTTGGCGGCATCCTGCAGCAAGCTCTTGGGCGCAACCTTGAGCTGCTCCTTTGCCTGGTCAAGCTTGGCAGCGGGATCGTCCGGTTTTGATGTTGATGCCTGCGCTTGCTGCTGAGCCTGTGCTGCTGCTGCGGCCGCTTCCGGATGAGGATCCAAGTCGTCGCTGATGAAGAGCTCGTGGCAGATTAACGTCTCATCCTCTGACTTGCCGCGGACGACCGAGGTGCGGTAGGAGAGCATGCCGGGGGAGGAGAGGGTGACTTCACGGCGGAAGGCTTCGAGGTGTGACTGGAAGGCAGGGTCTGCTTGCGGGCGAGAAAAGATCTGGGGCATGCGGTATGAGTCAGGGGGCAGGCGGGTGTGAGCTCAATACTCCGACGGCAGTGGTAGCATACAGGCAGCTCAAGCTCGGGCGCGCTCACCTTGGCAGAGACGTTGAAACGCCCCTCTCCGGGCAAATGTGGAATCACGTAGACCTTGCCATTGCTGCCCTCGATGGTCTTTTGCTGATCTCGCGGCTGGCCATCTTGTGGCGGCCCAGCTTCGCATTGGAGGGAGGGCCTGAACGGCAGAAGGAACGACATGGCGGCGGCGGCGGCGAGAAAGGAGCGTCTGATTGGAAGGGAGACAAGGAGTCTATGCAATCAGGTGATTTGAAGTTGTACTCGATGAGTGGTGGTTGCTGCCGGGTCGTCCTGCGGACTATTTGCTGTCTCGGTGTGGGGAAGATTGAGATTGTCACTTTGGAAGGAGTGACATTCGACATGGATTCACTCACACAGTTCGCCGCTCGCTCGACTCTCGACTCGACTCGCCCGTCCGAAGCATCGGCAATTCAACTTCACAGGCACCCACCCCCGACCACGCTCGCAGGAAGGGTTCACAGTTCAGCCTCAGCCCGTTGAGCGCCCAGCGCCCAGCGAGCGCCCTTCAGCCCACACAAACGGGCAGATCCGGCGGGCAGGCGGGCGGGCGCGCGGTGTGGGCGAGGAGCGCTCTCTCACTTGAAACGCACTGGAGTCCGAGATGGCAAAGTGGGATACGACTTGGAGCGTGATATTGACCAAGAGCTGAGGCTAGAGCTAAAAATACAGATATGAACATAGTGGGTATCGCGATTCGCACTTCAGCATCTAGAAGGGCATCTACTGCGGCGGCGTCACATCGCCGGCCATGGCCCTCGCCGTAGTCTCGTCGGTGCGCTTGGCGTTGGCTCCAACGGCCTGGCGGTCAGGAAAGATAGGAGGGATAGAGGGAGGAGTAGCGTCAGTGAAGAGCTCCAGCAACGCTCAAGACTGTATGATGTATCCCGGAATCCCCCCTCCCTCGCCTTCTTCTTCGCCTAGCTAGGATCAGACAGTACCAATATAAAATCGTCGGCACATCCTTGTTCAGGACTAGGCCAGGGATAACTAATCTCTCTCGCACCGTAGTGACGAGGAGACGACATCATTCAAAGCGAACGCGGCTCCACCACCTTTTCCCCTTGACTTCGGACGTCCGTTGGCTCACTCTGCGTACTCACGTGGTAGAGGACGATGAGGATCATCGTGAGGGAGCCCAGCCAGTTGGCGAGAGCGGAAAGTTGGACGTCGGTGATCATGCTGCGAGAGAGAGGGCGATGACGAGATGGTCAGCGGTCATGTCAAAGCAGACGCAGGGGTGACACCAAGCAAGCTCCCTTGTCTTCCTCTCTGCTCGCCCACCAGCACGCTGCTCAGTGCTGCCTCCAGCCGCTCCTACATCTCAATCAGAAGCCGACGTTTTCCTTCAAAGCTATCACCTCGCTTGACCGACCAGCGATTTTGTACACTTGCCAGCCGGCTGCAACCTCGAGAGGAAGCATGACGAGGGAAGCCATTCGGTCCGCCTGTCGGTGGGTTTCATCCCGTCGAGATGGAGAACGGGCGGGGCAAGCAAGAGCCAAATGCGATGGATGGTGACGAGGGCAAGACCACAGATTGGAGGGTCTTGCGGATACTCACATCGTGGATCGTCGAGTCTTGAGCTCAGCGGATGAGGGTTGCGAATGCTGGGGTGTCGTCTAAACGAAGCGGCGAAGACGAGTGCGGACGAAGGTCAGCATTTCGTGCTCCTCCTTCTTCGTGGTATCTCGGGCGCATGCTAGGGCTCAGACAAGGCTGAAACTTGGATAAAAGAAAGGTCTCGCCACTGAGAAGGCTGAGTAATTCTAGAGCTTGGTTCTTATGGGAATCATCACAGAGACGGGACGCGCTGCGATGCTGATGGGAGCATCGCAGCTGCCTTGAGGGGTGCACTTGTCGAGGACTTACCTTTTCGTGGGTGAAGCTTGTTGCGAAGCTTGTGGAAACGCAAGCTGTCGTGCAAAGCGTCGTTTCTACAGATCGATCACTTGGGCCTGCCCAGAATGAAGGTACTTTGGTGACGGGAGGCAAATGAAGAAGAGGAAGATCGTCGACGCGCCGCCGTCTGTCCGTCCATCTTGACTTCCAGCACGGCGTGGGCGCGCGGAGCCGGGCGCCAGTCGACGTCGACGTCTCGGACTAGGAAGCGACGGCGGCGTCGACCACTGTCCCCACATCCTCATTGATCATCAACATCATCGTCATCGTCCGTCGAGATGGCAGCCATCTTTGGTCCCCTTCGCGGCACTTATAGGTACCTCGTGAGTACTCGACGCCAGATGGGCTCGCTTGAGGACGATACAAGGGCACGGCAGCTGGCTTCGTCGCGAGGAGGCTGCCTGTATGCTCCTCCCCTCACCACTCGACGCTTGCCTTCTCAATCTTGGCCTGGACGGCAGGTCGCTGACTCTCCTTCTTTCCCCTCTTCGCCCCTCTGCAGCAACGCTGCGCTCACGAGCAGCCGGTCATCTTCTACTCTCTGGCCATTGGATGGATTGGACCCGTAGCAGTCATCACGGTCCCCTCGTTCAGAAAGAACTACCTTGGCTGGGTCCCCCCGGAGGCCGTGCCTACTACTTACCCTCGTGAGTGGGCGTGGGCGCACAGGGAAGGGCCGTGATGAGAAGGCGAAAGCTCACGTAATAATCTCGCCCTCTTCGCCCCTCGACAGTCCCGCAAAGAAAAAGAGAGGAGGTGACGGGATACGATGACGAGTAGAGGACCGAGCTGAGCGGAGCAGAGATGGACGAGGGAGCAAGGCACATGGCTAGGCATGCTCACTGAGCACGGCAGAGTAGGATCGAAGATCAGGGTAGATACCGGTGTCGCCCGCCTCGCTGTAGAGCGCCCAGGATGGTCAATACAGACACGAGATTGCAAGCATCCTCGAGGAGCAGCCGTTGTTACGGTCCTTTCACGGCTGTTGCAGCCGACTCGTTGCGGCAAAGAAGCCTATCCTGATTACGGGAAAGCTCGAATAGCTTACAGCTCGCCCTGCCGCTTCACACATCACGCGCCTTCCCCCTTCCCATATAATCCCCTCAACTCTAATCCAAGCTGCACCCTCCTCTTCCCCTCGATCCACCGCATAGCCTCCTGGTACGTCTGCGGAGAGACTCTCCTCTTCCTTTCGCCCGCTCCCAGATCAAAAGAGAAGTCAAAGGTATTCGTCTTCTTCCTCTCCCCCGTCTCAACGTCGATCGTCTCCACCAGCACTGAGATAGCCGCGACCGTCCTCTCTTCCTGGCCCGCAGCAAGTGTGGTGGTCGTTGTTGTGTAGTCGATCTGCGATGTCATGCAGAGGATGGCACCAATGGGCACGGGCGAGTGGAAGGAGAGGGCGTCCAATGCGAGGAAGTTGACGGGTGCGTGCGCAAAAGTAGCCCCAACCATCCAGGCTAGCTCGTAGGCTTGACGCATGATGAAGCCGCCGAAGAGGCCTGCAACGTTAGAGCGAGATGGAGGTTAGCTGGGAGCGTTTGCGGGAATGTGTCGTGCCCACGTACGCTTGTGAATGTTAGCGCTCTGCGGATGGATATGCTGGGTAGAAGTCAATCTTGTCTTACCCGCCGGCACGACTTCGACGTCCTGCTTTACGTCCCTACCTGTGAATGCCCCGCTCCCCTTGACCTGCTCCTCTAGTACCCTCTGATCCTCCAACCATCTTCCATGCAACTCTCCCGCCTCACCTTGACTAGGCGGTACCCGTTGCAAGCTCGTCTCCACCTCACTCCTCTTCCTGTCCTTGTGCGACCGTCCAAACTCAAAGAGTTGGCGCTCATCGTCCTCCACTACTTCGAGCGGAGGGATACGTTGGCTACGCTTCGTGACGCCATTCATGGCCACCATGGTGAAACGGCCGGACATGACCGTCTTAGCCGCTGTCCCCGGTGCTGCATCGTGGGCAGGCAGCTCGTCGATCACAACTAGCACTTCCATGCTCGAGGAACCCACGTAGATCGGCAGGCCTGACAGCCGGTAGTCTCTGTCCACTCTCAAGTGTTCCGTCCCCACCAAATCCAGCCTGTCCACAGCAGCCGTCACCAGGAAAATGGGCACGGCCTCATCGCCGCTTGAGGGCCTGCCACCGAGGACATGCTTGTAGGAGATATCCCCCGCGAGGGAGTCGAGGGCCTCGAAGACCTTGCCTAGCCTGATCTTCCCCGAGGTAGCGATGTACTCCTCCAACAGGGAAGAGGACGAGCTGAATGGGAGTAGCAGCTCGATATACGAGGAATGCATACGCTTCGGCCGAGACATCAAGGTGGTCAGGCGCTCCGATGCAGCTTGGGCATCCGGGGTAGGCGCGGCCGATCCTGAGGAGGAGGAGGAGGAGGAGGAAAGCGGTTGCGAGGAGGCAGCGGCTTGCCTTTCGAGATACTCGAGCCATGTTTGATTGCTCATGCGAGTCGGCAGACGACCTCGGATGCCAGGATGACGCTGCTTTACTTGGGAGAGGAGGACGCGCAGTCGTTTGACTGTGGCTGCTTCGAGTTGAGAGAAATCGGAGGGCGTGCCGGAGTCTGAGCTGCTCGTATTTGGATGCCGCCTTGCTATTGATGCTGAGAAGTGACGACATGAGCTGCTTGCTAATGTCTGCCTTGCTCCCCTGAGCCACGATGATGACGCTTGATAGCCACTTTTGAGCTTCAGAGGACGCATGACAGGCTCTTGTTTCGCCGATGCTTGTTTGTGGGGAAGAGATGCAGAGGAGGAAGCATCGCCCGTCCGTGCGAGCGAAACAGACGGGGAAGGTGGTTGGACGAGAGCAGACCAACACCTCGGCAGACGAGGCGGGCGTGGGACCGTCGATTAGTGTGCAAAGAGATCAAGCTTGGCTCGCTTTCGTCATGACCATCACTGTATAATCGATTGACAATAGGAGCATTTCGTCGCCTCATCTCACATCACAATAGAGTCCTCTCGCCCTCCATCCCTCCCACCCGGCCATCCCACCACCACCGGGTCCTGCGTCAGACGGCAGGAGCGTCCATCTCTGTCTCACCCCAGCAGACGCTACTGTCCATCCAATCAAGAGCAAGCTCGTCGTCAACAACGGGCTACGCGGGTGGACTACAGCAAGACAGACTCCTGCAGAGAGACCTCCGAGAAGAGTCCGGACCGCGAAGTCTGTCGACAGGGTGGGGAGGGGAAGCGAGGCGAACTGAGGGAACACGAGGAGAGAAGAGGGAAGGAGGTCCCCAAGCACCGAAGGCTGCGGAGCAAGTATGTCGGCGCGGTCTTGTCGGTGATGGTGCCGAGATGAATTGTCGACGCCTGAGCGTGGCAGCTTGCTCTCCCAGAGAAGCACGATAAGGAGCAAGAGGAGCGTGGAGAGCGAGGAGAGGAGAAGGGCAGTTGAGATGAGCTGTGGACGGTAGAGGTCGAGAAGCTCGACGCCCGGAGGAGGATGATCCAATGGACCAGCGCTGTGGCAACTATCGGAGTCGGAAGAAGATGAAGAGGCGATGGAGAATGCATCGTCGTCTTCCGCTGCCTTGTCGTCATCATCTCGTCGGATTTGCGCGAGGCCATGCTCATGCTGAGCAGTATGCTGATGTTCTCCCACAGCCGCAGTGTTCTGCCTTCTTCTTCTCATCCGCTGCCACCCGACCCAAACAGCCGACCCAGCAGTGACGGTAGCGTGAAAAGCGAGCAGCTCAGCCATCGTCGCCAACCACACCATCAGGTAGCCCTGCACCATCACCTGCGTCGCGTCCGATGTCGCCGTGACGGAGCTTGTAGACTCGACCACGGCGGCCGCTGCTGTCGCGAGGGCGGAAGCGGCCAGGCCTGATGGGGATGGTCGTGGCCGAAGAGACCAGGGCCAGCTTGACAGCCTAGTAGAGGTCGACAGTCGTGGAGTCCGCAAATACCCGCCCGCCATACGAAGGAGAGAAGGCAACGTCCACCAGGGTGACGAGCCTGCAGCAGCTTTGAAGGCGCCCGCTCCATCTGCCATGGGATAAGCGCACAGATAGAACCATCTCAGATAGGCATCCACCAGGCTGAGGGCGATGAACCGCTTGATGACCGTCTTCCAGCTTGACCAGTCGTCATCGCTCTCGTCGGATTGCAATTCTTCGTCCTCCCCTCGTGCTGGGCTGATTGCGAACCCCTCCCTGCTCGGATGTCCAGGCGGAGGTAGGAGAAAAGGCACATTGTACAGAAAGTGACGGTACGCCCTCGGCTTGACTAGGATGACGTCCATCCAGCTGATCCCATGGGAACCCCAGGCTTTTCCGTCCGCCGCTCCCTGATCCTCCTTCTCTCTACCTCGTATCGGTGGTGGTCGTCTCCACTCCTCGTCGGCATACGAGTCAACAACTCTCCCGCATCTGGGATTGCCGCAGCGCACCAGTACAACGAGCGAGGGCGTGTACCGGCGGTAAAGTGTAGAAGCGGGGGAGGAGCAGTGGATGCAGATCGGGTAGCGCGACCTAGGTGGGCGATGAAGCAAGGTCATGGTAGCTTCTGATGGTGATCGGTGAGGCGAGGCCATTGGTTGAGGTTCGGTGAAATCGAGTGATTGAGTAGACGGGGAGGAAGAGGGGTATCGATGCGCACGTTGTTGTGCAGCGTTGATTGTTGGGGAAGAGTCAAATGAAGGACGAGTTGAGCAAGATGCCGAGTGTGTCGAGCGCGTCGAGCGCGGTGGGCCATTGATTGGGGCAGACGTCGAGGGCGAGAGCGAGGCGAGGGGTGCAGTACAGGTGACCGGTGGCGGATGCGCGATGACATGCGGCGGGTACGTAGGGGCAACGTCCTGGAGTCAATCCCAGACCAACTGACCCTGCCCATTGACCGAAGCCTTCGCATCGAGCCCACCTCTCTTGGCGCTTCCGTTGCCAGCTCCATTGGGCTTGCCCTTGGGGGATCCACTGGCCCTCTTCGCCTCCTCGGCTCGAATACGCTCCATCTGTACCTGGCGACGATGGGCCTCCATCTTGGCCACCCGAGCCTGCTCTTCGGCAGCGCGAGCCTCCTTGGCCGCATTGTTGCGCGCAGCATTCTGTCGTTGGCGCTTCGTCTGTTCAGCGGCGGCTGCGGCTGCTGAGGCCGACTTTCTGGCCGGCGAGGGCGATGATGCGGCGCCGCCGATGGAGATGGAGTGACTTGCCGAGGAGGACTTGGGTGCCTTCGTTGAAGCGGAGGGGAGGACAGCGAACGGATTCTTGGAGGCGAACGAGGACGACGAGGCAGTAGAAGGGGCAGCGCCTACACAGAGAAAGGAAGAGCAGGGTCAGACTCACACAGCCGCCGCTTTGTCGCATTCGTTGGTAACTTACCTGACTGGTTGACCACGTTCTTTGCAGCGCCCCTGCCGCTGACGCTCTGCCAGACCTCCTCCTCTTGAGGCTCTGCATCCTCATAGTCATCCATAGTGACGGTACCTCGAGGGACGGCAGAATTGTCAAGATTGGTCGCCGAGGCTTCCGATGAAGCTGCGTCCAGGTCGTCTTTGCCGGCGGCTACCTTGCTGTACGTGACGGACGATGTACGAGGGGGAACGGCCGCATCTTCAGCAGGCGCGACAGCAGGCACGTCAGCAGCCCCCTTGACCTCTTGAGGAGCTGCAGGTACAGGTGTGGGCGCAATCACTTCATTGACTGCCTCCTTTGCCGACGCCACGATATCAGAGGAGTGCGCCTGTTGCTGCTGCTTCTTGACCTTCTTCTTCTTCGACTTTGCCTTGCTCGAGTTGGACGCAGACGTGGCCGCTCCTGGCGCTTCAGGCGTCAGCTGCGACGCCTTGCCATCGCTACTGGTCTGTTTGCTCGATGTCGCCTTGAACCTGGGCAGTACAAGCGACGCAGCGATGCCTGCTGCCGCGAGGAGAAAGATGGCCTGCGACAGGTTGATGCCCATCTTGACGTCGTACGGTGCGGTGATGTCAAGCTGTGTCGAACGCTGTTCGCCGACTGTGGTATGCGCAAGCAAAAGCGAAGAAAGGGCTGGTAGTGAGGAGGTGATGGAGAGGAAACAAAGACGTGGAAGGGTAGGAACGAAGGAAGCTAATCGACAACGCGATCCATCCCACTTAGGGTTGGCCTTGGCGCAGCGACAGCCAGACGAGCGCCCTCTCTCATCCGCGGGCCCAGTCAACCAGTCGCGGCACGAAAGAGAGCTCATAGAGCTCCACACGCGGCGAGGTGCGGCGGCGTCGAAAGGCTCATCAGCTCGGCTCTCTCTCATCTCTGTGCCGAACAACGGAGTACGACGGAGACAACGCCGATGGTCGGCAAGGATTGAGGGGTTGCTGCCAGATCCGCTACGGCTGCTCAAGATGAGCATCTTCCCTTTCGCAACATTCGAGTATCCGATCGGCAGGATTGAGCGGGCCTCAGCAGAGCCGCAGAGTAGGGTTGCCAGCCAGCAGATTGTAGACGAATAGTCGTCAGCAACTCGCTGGAGGTCAGCAACCTCGCCTTGATCAGCTCATCCCGCGCCTCACGTTTTTCAGACGGAGCCCAAGATGACGGACTCCACTGCACACCCGTATCCTCAGCCACCTTCCAGTATGGTCAACGAACGCTCTCCGCTCCTCGACGCTCGTCGTCAATCCGCACTCTCCCAGGACGCAGATGGGATTGAGGACCTGCATTTACCCCAACGTCGCCACCTGGACCCTCATCTTCCAGCCAGCCGGCACTCCGATTCACGTCGCTACTCAACAGTAAGCAGCACATTCGACATAGAAGAGGACCAACCTAGGGTGCGGCCACGCTCCTCTTCCCGACTGCTCAGGGAGACCGTCTCCTCCGCGCGCCTATCCATTGTCTCCGCCACCACTCAGCTAGCCCAGCAAGAGACTCTAGGTCTCTCGCTCCTTCTCCTCGCCGCCTTCTTCTCCTCCTCTATGGCACTCACCTACACCCTCCTCTCACACCTCACTGCGGCTTCGCAACATCCAGTCACAGCCCTGCAAGTCATCTTCGCTCGTATGGGCATGACATACTTGGCTTGTCTAGCTGCGCTGCACATCAAGGGGGACCCACACCCCTTCCTCGGCCCTAGAGGGGTACGGAAGCTACTTTGTGCTCGCGGAGTCGTCGGCTTCGGTGGCATCTTCGGCTTCCTCAGTTCGTTGCGCTACTTGCCGCTCTCAGACGCCCAGGTCATCAACCTGGGCTTGATCCCTATTGGGACTGGCTTGTTCTGCTCCTGGTTCCTTGGGGAAAACTTTGCTCGCCGCGAGTTAGGAGCGGGTATTGCGAGCTTAATTGGGGTAGCATTGATTGCAAGGCCAAAGGCCATCTTCGGGACTGTGGGGGGAGGGGGAGACGTGGCGGTTGGGGTCCCGGGAGAGGAGGCTTTCAGCCTTTCCACTGGTGCGGGCGGCAAGCAAGGCGAAGATGAAGGGCAGCGCCTCTTCGCTACCTGCCTCGCACTCGTGGGCGTAGTAGGAGGAGCAGGGGCGTTCACCATCATTCGCGCCATCGGCACGAGAGCCTCCCCGCTCCACTCCGTCTCCTTCTTCGCCCTATATTCCACGCTTGTCAGCCCAATCCTGGCATGGATACAAGGGGAGACGTGGGTTCTCCCGGGCGGTGATCCAGCGGACCCCAAGGGCCTTCGCACCCAGGCAGCCATCCTCCTTGGCCTGACGACAGGCTTCGGTCTATGTGCTCAGCTCCTCTTGACGAAGGGGCTGCAGATGTGCAAGGGTGGAAAGGCGACGACTACCGCGTACACGCAGGCTATCTGGAGCTGCTTGTTTCAGCTGGTGTTCCTGCATGAGCCAGTGAGTACGGGTGAGGGGCAACAAAGCCCGAAGAGTGCGATGCTGACAAGCGAACGCCTTATCCTCGCCACAGATTGCTCCGCTTTCTGCCATCGGCTGCACCGTCATCCTCACTGCGGCGCTCATCGTCGCCATATATCGATGACCCTCGAGCTGCAAGGTGTGCGTATATGTACATTGGATTGCGGGTGTAGATTACATTGCATTGTCCGCCTCTCGTCCCTTCCCTACTATCCCAATGATACCCTCTTCACTATTTGGCCCTTCATTGTTGCGCATCAGATTCTCTTGGCTACCTCAATCGCCCCTTTACATCCCGCCTGAATCACCGCGCTCAAGAGGGCGTGCGCCGGAGCCTGCTGCGCATCGTGTTCGACAGCGGTGTCCAGGTGCTCCAACTCGTCATCCCTGAACTCCTCTAAGAGGCCACGCAACGTCTCAATAGACTTGAGAGCCTCTGCAGTAGCCGCGTCGTTGACCGGCGCCGACGCGGTAGCAGAGCTAGCTGCCGCAGCGGACTCTGGCAGGTCCTCTTTTACCTCCGGCTTGAATGAAGCAAGCACTTCGTCGATGTGCCGGATCTGGTCGTCGTAATGCTCCCCAATGACAGTCTCTACCGCCTCTGTACAAGCCATAGCCGCCTCCCGACCCATGGCTGCTGTGACTCCTCCCAACAGACTGCCCAAAGCCCCCCACACCGGATTGAGCGCACTAGGTCTGACCCTATGCTGGCGCAACAGCATCTCGGCGACCTTGAGATGCTTCTTCTCTGACTCCCACATCTCTAGCGTCAGATCCTTCGCCGTAGCATCGTTGCGCAGCGGGGAAGAGAATATGTAGGCTTGCGCCGCGTAGATTGTATTGGCTGCTATTTCCCCTGAATGATCCACGCGCAGAAGTGATGCAAGGGTGGCTCGATGGTGCGCTGGTAGGGAGGGAGTCGTGGACGTGGCGGCTGTTGGGTGAAGTGGGGGGGAAGTGTAGATTGACGAGGCGAGAGATTGCGCTTCGGCGGTGGCGGTGGCTGAGGAGGAGGAGGAGGTGAAGGCGCGGCTGAGGACAGCTTGTGGTCGAGGAGTGGTGGTAGCGACGAGGCTGCGCTTGAGTGCGCGAGTGGACGACTCGGCGAAGGCTGATCGTATCATTGCTGCGAATTGATGGTGGTGATGGTCTTGGAGTAAATGGCGCTGCTGCAAGCCTTGATCAAGTCTGGCTGATCAAAGCCACTTGCGAGGCCGCCGGTCCGCCGTGCCTGCCTCCATCCCGTCGCCCGCCCGCTGCTTAGTCATCCGACCCGCGCCTCCATTTTCGACATCAGCATCGGCGACCTTCGCATCGTCCCAACCATCACCTCACAACATCGACTCGCAGCCAATCATGGACAACATCTCATCAGCTTTTGCGTCACTCAAGGGCGGCTCGCCGCAGGAGAAGAAGGAGACGATCAAGCGTCAGGTCTCGGCGGAGATTGCCATGGCTAACGTGAGTGTTGTCGACCACGAAACGCCTTGCCGAGCTCGTCTGCGATGATGGCGACGTCGATGGCGCAGTGATGGACGACGACAGACATGTGCAAGGGGCTGATGAGCTGACACATACTTCTCCTCCATCCGACAGGCTCAAGAGCTCATCACAAAGTCGACTGAGAAGTGCTATGCCAAGTGCGTGCCATACCCTGGTTCGTCCCTCTCGTCCAAGGAGGAGACTGTGAGTACTGCGCCCGCCATCACCTTGGGCCTTCATCTGCTTCCAACTCAGCTGCTGACATTCTGTCTCATTTTTAATTCGTTGCGTCTGTCCACTCGCGCTCACAGTGCTTGGACCGATGCCTGCAGCGCTACTTCGAAGCCTTCAACATCGTGTCTCAGTCCTACGTGAGGAGGGTCGCCGCTGAGAGGAATACGGGAGCTACCCTGGACACTCTTTGAGCAGGAGAAGACAAAGAGTAGACGATGGGACTGCATACGGGTAGCGCCTTGTATAGTAGACGGTGGCACGCAGCAGCCAACACATTTCACTCCTCAGATCCAGCAAAGAGCGTGCAGTGAGGGTGACGTTCGATGGCATTGAAGGCGTGGCTACAGAATCCTACTGAGCACACCATCGAGCGTTCCTCGCCCGCCAGGCCCGCCTTGCTCGCTGCTGTTCCCCCTAGCATCATCGTCCTGCCCTCTCTTCCTCTTCTTTTCGCCGTCCGCCTGCTCCCTGACATCGCGCAGCACTGGCTTGCGCTGCTTGAAGGTGCGCATGCGCTGCTCGTCTTGATGCTTGGTGGCGGCGGCAGCGGTCGACGAGGCCGAGACGCTGCTCTCCTTGTCACCTCTTGTCTTTGATGATGCCGCTCCCGCTCCTGTCTTGCCCTTCTCCTCTTCCCTCTGTCTCTTCCTCTCCTCCTTATTCCGGGCCACCCTAGCCCTCTCTACCTTCCTCAAATAGTCCTGCTGCTCTACCTTACTCTGGCTGAGCTCCGTTCTAAGCCTGGACGCATGCGCTGCCCTCTCGTGCGCCATCTGCTCGCTCAACATGTGCCACTTGAAGCCTGGGAGGTACTTCATGGTCCAGACATCGTCTTGCCATCTGCGTGCATTCTTGTTCGCCTTTCGGGAGGAGGATGAGACAAATCCTATCGGTTGGGCATTGAGGGAGGAAGCGATCAACTTGGCAGTAGATTTGGAGAGAAACTCGACCCATCCCTCGGTGAAGCGGCGGGCTGCGGGAGCGAAGGCGAGCCAAGATGATCAGCTCGTCGCACCTATTGCTCTTACCTTCCTGAGTTGCCGCACTCACTCTTTTTCCTCTTCTGTTGACCTCCCTGCTCTCTCTCGCGCTGCTTGCCCACACCGTCTTGAAGGAAGATCCTCTCCACCTCTCCAAAGCCCGAAAGCAGGTGTCGGACCTTAGGTGGTGTCATTCCCGGTGGGATGCGCGAGATGTAGATAATACCGCGCTTACGCTGTTTGCGGTCGAACGCAGCGAGCTCTTTGGGTGTGAGAGAGGAAGGGAGCGGAGGAGCATCGCTAGAATGCAGAGGGTGAGAATTGCCATCTTCGAGAGCGTCTACATCGTCGTCGTCTTCGTCGTCCTCCTGGAGCTCTACCTCATCGTTGTCCTCTTCTGCGCTCTCTTCGCCACTCGAAGACGAGGTAGCTTTTGATGGCCCAGCCTCTGCCTCTTGCGAGGTCCAATGCGAGGTATCGAAGCGCGGGTCCTGTGTCGTGGCCGGCATCTTGGTGACTGGGTATGTGTGGATGGTTGAGGATGGCCATCCAGCCTCGCAGCCAAAATCTCACCTCGGCCTCAGTCCGCCCTCTCCGCTTCGACTGGGCGCTCGAGCTCAAATCTTGCGCGCACACGACCGGCTGGCCGCCCGCTCTCAGAGAAGCTCGGTCTACTTCTTCTTTCCCTCCTTGCCCCAACACACAACACACCAATTTAGCACTCATCAATCACGCCTTCGGGCTCTTGCGCCATGGGTCGCCCAACCTTCTACGACGAAATCGAGCTAGAGGACATGTCCTACGACGAAGTCAAGGACCTTTTCCACTACCCGTGCCCCTGTGGCGATCGATTCGAGATCACGCGGGCGCAGCTCAAAGAGGCAGAGGATGTTGCGCGATGTCCCAGCTGCAGCTTGATTATTCGCGTCGTCTTTGATCCTGTGAGTATCGTCAAAGAGGCGAGGGGCAGGGCAGGGAAGGGCAGGGCAGAGGGGCCAGGGATCCAAAGGACGAATACAGTTTCATTTGCACGTCAGGCGTAGTGTCCTCCTTGAGAGGATGCAATGCCGAGACCTTGAACCAAAAAGCTTTTCATCTTTCCACTGATGGATCAGGAGAAGAGGGGAAGGATCGATGACGCCAATGAGAGTCGCAGAGAGCTCGAGCTGATCATCGGCGCTTTCCTCACCCGCTCTTCGCAGCTCGACTTTGAGGAAGATGATGATGTCGCCCCGTCGACGGCCATCGATACCACTGGAGCGCCTCAAGTCAGCGTTGCCGCTTGAAGGCCCAGGATCATAGTCGCTTCTAGGAGCACCATCAATACCACTGCCCAAGCTGCAACCGGCCGCCGTCTGCCGTTAAGCGGCCTGCTTGCTCTTCGGCGTCGCACCACGCGGCAGCCTTGGCGCTCTACTTCGAGATGACACATCTTACAAGGTACGGTCAACACTACCGGCACCGTACCAGCAAGCCAGCGCTGTCGGCCATCGGACGCTTTAGGCTAGCTCGCAAGCTGGCAAGACCAGCGGCTCGCACTGGCATACCTCAATAGCACCCTCAGTTCTGGGGAAGAAAATTTTGCATTGCAGTCACTCTGACTCCATCAATCGGCGCGCTGCCCGCTTCAGACGCTGCTGGACAATCGCCTGGCCTGATGAACGGCCAGGAAGCTCGCAAAGCTCCAGCTGAGCTCCCTCGCTCCCCTCATCCAACCAGAGTAGCGATCAATCTGCTCGCTCATCTTGCCCTTCCTCTGCTCAGCAAAGCGCGCCGCATTCGTAAGGTACACTTCGGCCATCTCGCGCATGCCGCGCATGATGCTCTCCCACTCGTGGCTGCCGCGATGGTACGTAGCTCCTGCGCGGGCGTGGCCTGCATCGAGGAAGTTGCTGAAGAAGGACAGGGTGGCAGGGGTGAGGGTGATGGGGAGGGAAGTGCGTGCGTGGTGAGCTAGGGTGAGATAGAGGACGTTTGAGACGGCAAAGGTTGTCAGGAACCAAGGGTTGCCAATGCCTGAGTGCGCGGGGAGGGGCGAGAAGGTTAGCGAATGACGCCTGTCCTGCTGCGGTCTCAATTGAATCTCACTCTGTCCTACGCCATCGTAGACGTCCTCTGGGTAGCGACCACAAAGCACTCCATCCCTGACCGGATCCCTTCCCCTATTGACAGGGTAGACCTTAGCGAAGACCTGGACATTTCGCCACAGGGTGGCCAGGCAGCGCTCTCCCCAAGGTTCCCACGTATCGTCTGCCTTGAGTCCGACATCTCCATCCCACCCGTGCGTAAAGCCAAGCAGAACAGCGCAATCGGCTTGTGTTGGCTTGTGCTGCCCGCTCACCCTGTTCAGTGTGGGAAGGACGTGCGGCGATGCGAGAACTATGTCGCCGATAGAGGACAGGTGACGCTCGTCGTGCCAATCGATGTTGCTTCCCTCATCTGGCCCGCCTTCGAGGTTGAGCTTCCCTTGTGCGTTCCAGAACTTCTCCAGCCTGTTGGTGATTGCAGCTGCAGCTTCGTCCCATCTTTTGGCTGCTACCTCATCCAATGTCTCTGTGCGGCGTGCCAGGGCAGCTCCCTCCAGCAGAGCACGGCGTTGTGTCATCAAGACGTGGAAGTGTCCTCCGCCGGCTCCAGCGTCAGCGCAGACCTCCTCCCACAGTTCGAACGTCTTGCTCTGCCACTCTCTGCAAATGTAGTCGAGATCATCCCTGATCAACAAGCGTCGCTTGCCCTGCGCCTCTGGATCCTTGACTCCATTGGCGGCCCAAAGCTGCTGCGTGACAAAAGTCCTGGAAGCATCGCTGATCGAGCGCGTGTCCAGTACGTGCGCCATGTACCTCGCAGCGGTGATGGATCGCAAAGCGGGGCCATCGTTTTGTGGTCGGCCCCACGAGCCAGTGAAGGGGGAGCCGTCGACGTTGAATTTCGGCTCGCCAATACCACCCGTCTGGAACGTGCCAGATGGGTTGTCTGTGTGTTGGAGCTGAAGAGACATGATGAGGAAGCTGGGCGAGGGCAGCGGCGGCGGCGAGGAATGAAGGTCAGTACGAGCTGTCCACCATCCTCGTCTGTGCGCTGCCTTGCCCGAAATCACTCCTTGATACGACGTTCGATGGCCGATGCATCGTACTGGCCTAGACCTTTGCCCTCCTCAGCCTGCTTCAGGGCCTCAACCAAGCTCCTCACGCACAGCCCGGAGTCGCGGGGCCACTGGAACCAGTAGTTGTTGCTATCCCCATCGCCCTCCTTGCTCGGGCTCGCGACCATGCACCCTGGCGCAGTTCCCAGAGCATTCCTACCGTCGGGGCCAAAAGCTGCGAGCAGATGGTCTAGGGCAGTCGCATCCTCGGAGATGGACGTCGACGAGGTGAAGAGCTGCTTAGCTTGCTTGCGCGTACGCGTAGGCGGGCCGAGAGCCTTGTAGGCTGCCAGGCCTGAGAAGACGGCAGAACCAGTCGCACCGGCGAGGATGAGCCAGTGGGATAGGGGAAGGTCCTTCAGAGAGCGTTGTGGAGCGGACATGCTGGTGATGTGGATCAGGGAAGTCAAGGAGTGGGGCCCAACCTCTAGTCACGAACGAAAAAGGCCAGCAGCAGCCTCGACTTAGACCCTGAAGTGGAGTTGAGCTTGAGCCACGTGGTTAGAGATCCAACACCGCGTCTTGAGGGGCATGCTAGTGTAGGCCTGTCATAGATAGGTTGCATTCAGATGAGCCTGTGCCGAAGATATTGCTCGCTGCTTTGCCCACGCTATGTTGTTGAAGCTGATTGAAGGGCCTGGCTCCTTTGTGTGCTGAAGGTCCTGGGCATCGACGTCGCTCACCACGCCCACTGGCGCGGGCGACGCGTCGACAAATTGGTCTCTGTCGCTCGCTCTCCGTCGCTGCATCTCGCTCTCCCCTCACTTGCTTGCCTTGCCCTCCGATCTTCTCGTCCCAATTGATGCTGGTCAGGACGACGTGGCGACCCGCAACAACATCGTCCATCTTCCGTCCTCTTCGCCACTCGTTGCCGCTAGTCACTTCTCTGAGACCACTCACCATGGGCAAGCAGTCGACGCTCGGGTGAGTAGCAGCACGCGGACTGTGCAGCATCATTAGAGGTACCATCACTGACCTCGGCATACCTCACGCCTACGCACGCGCTCGCAGCAACTTTGTCGACTATCCACCAGGCGCAGCCAAGCCTCCTCCTCAGCAAGGCGACCTTAAGACGATGTTCAAGAAGAACAAGTCGACGGCCAGCACCAGCGCCTCTCCCGCAGACGAATCCGCTGCAAGCTCGTCCAAGAGCGTCAAGGACGAGGCAGCACAGGTCGATGACGACGTCGCTATGAAAGACGCAAGCAGCAGCAGTCGCGCAGCCTCGTCTTCATCGTCTGCACCTCGCAAGCGCAGCAGAATACAGATTTCGGACAGCGAGGAGGAGGAGGACGTCAAGCCTGTCGTCAAGAAGGAGCAAAAGATCAATGGCAGCGCAAAGGCGGCGGGGGCTTCCTCGTCCAAGTCGAGTGGCAATGCAAAGGCCAGCAGTAGCAACAGCGCTGTCAAGAAAGAAAAGCAAGACGCACCGGCGCTTACCAGCGAGGCATCTCCTGAAGCCGAGGATGAGGGTAGCGACACAGCGTCATCGGAAGGAGAGGAAGAGGAGGAGGACAAGGCTGAGGACCCCAAGGCGCACGTCAAGGTGGCCGCCATGTTCATGAAAGCGAGTGAGCGCAAAGCTGCAGCGGCGGGAGCTAGTTCCTCCAACAAGAGCGACGCAAAGTGGCAGAAAGGTGAGAACAAGCCGCGAACGAGATGTCGTGTGAGCCAGCAGAACTGATAGCAATTCCTCAACGCCGCGCTTGCAGGAAAACCGATACCCTACGCAGCCTTGGCCGATGTCTTCTCGCAAATCGACAAGACCACAAAGCGACTGGAGATCCAAGACATCCTGAGCACCTTTCTCGTCACAGCCATCGAGCACGCCTCCACGCCCGAAGAGGTGACACAAGCCATCTACCTCTGCATCAACCGCCTGTGCCCTGACTACCTGGGCCTTGAGCTCGGTCTCGGAGAGAGCCTCATCATCAAGGCCATCGCGCAGAGCACGGGCCGTGGCGTAGACAAGATTAAGAAGGACCTCGAGGAGCTTGGCGACCTGGGCAGAGTCGCTATGGCCTCGCGGGCTAAGCAGCCTACCATGTTCCAATCCAGCGCCCTCACTGTCCCTGGCGTATTCAAGACTCTCAAGGAGATTGCGACGACGTCTGGCAACAAGTCTCAGGACAAGAAGATTGGCCTCATCATGAAGCTCCTCTCAGCATGCAAGGGCGAGGAGACCAAATGGATTATCAGGAGCATCGAGGGCAAATTGCGCATCGGTCTGGCCGAGAAGACGGTCATGATCGCCTTGGCGCGTAGTGCCGTCTTCACGCGCTTCAAGACGAAGAACATCGACACGCTGAGCGATGAACTCAAGATGGCAGAGGAGCAGTGCAAGGCTGCCTTCAGTGAGATGCCGAATTACGACATTCTTGTCCCTGCCTTGATCAAGGACGGGCCTGAAGGCCTGCGCAAGACTTGCCACCTTACGCCCGGTATCCCGCTCAAGCCTATGCTGGCTCGGCCTACGAAGGCTATCACGGAGGTGCTGGATCGTTTCGAGGACAGGTCGTTCACCTGCGAATACAAGTACGATGGGGAGAGGGCGCAAATTCACTTCTACGTGCCTGGCGAGGCGAATGCGATTGAAGGAGAGCAGGCAGCCCCGACAAAAGAGATTGCAGGGAGCAGCAGCAGCAACGGCGCGTCGTCGTCGTCGTCACAGGGCAGGCTAGGAGTGTTCTCACGCAATTCGGAAGACATGTCAGTCAAGTACCCTGACCTCCTTGAGAGCATCGCCCGATGCCGCAAGCCGGAGACGAAGAGCTTCGTCATTGACGCCGAGGTGACGGCGTGGAAGGCTGCCGTAAAGAACGAGGCCGGCGAAGTCATCGATGCTGGAGGGCTTCAACCCTTCCAGCAGCTCAGCACCCGCAAGCGCAAGGACGTGCAAGCGGACAAAGTGACGGTCAAAGTCAAGCTCTTCGCCTTTGACATCCTCTACCTCAATGGCGAGCCCCTCCTCCAGTACGACCTCGCTACTCGTCGCGAGAAGTTGCGCTCCGCCTTCAACCCGAACGCGGACGAGTTCGACTATGCTACGTCGCAGGATTGTAACACCGTAGAGGAGATTGCTGCCTTCCTCGAGGCGTCGGTGCAGGACCGCTGCGAGGGCTTGATGGTCAAGATGCTCCAAGGCAAGGAATCCACCTACGAGCCGTCTCGTCGGTCCCAGAACTGGCTCAAGCTCAAGAAGGACTATCTCAGCGGGGCGGGCGATTCGCTCGATCTCGTTGTGCTGGGCGGGTACTATGGGAAGGGGAAGCGCACAAAGGTGTACGGAGCCTTCCTCCTCGGATGCTGGGACGTCGACTCGGAGTCTTACCAGACGGTCTGCAAGATCGGAACGGGCTTCACAGAGGCGAACCTGGAGGACTTTACGGCGCAGCTCAAGCCACTTGAGCTCACAGTGAAGAAGGGCTACTACGACGTCGGCGGAGCAACGCCGGATGTCTACTTTGAGCCCAAGGTCGTGTGGGAGGTCAGGGTGGCAGACTTGTCGCTCAGCCCGATCTACACGGCGGCCAAGGGAGCCATTGAGGCCAGAGGGATCTCATTGAGGTTTCCGCGCTTTATTAGGATTAGAGATGATAAGGATCCAGAGGACTCGACGGGGCCGGAACAGATTGCTGAGATGTATCGCAAGCAGGCTTCGGCGCAGCAGGGCAAGAAGGGGGGAGGAGGTGATGATGATTATTGGTAGATGCGAGGGGAGGCCCTCTCCCGTATGTCCATGCTTGTTCCTCGAGCGGCGAGCTAGTCGCCCGACTTAGTGGCTCAATTGCCATTCATTCGCCCATCCGCACCTTCGACCGCTACCACGTCCGCTCTTGCTTCTCGGCCGTGTAAAGAGAACCTCCGTTTCCGCCGCCGTGAACTCCTTCTCGCCTTCACTCCGCTCTTCGCGACCTCTAGGCCCACCTTGTGTCCTCAACGCCTCCTCGAATGAAATTGCGAATTCGCCTTCCTCAGTTCACTCGCGGATTACCTTGACGTGGCGTGCGCCCGTACGGCCATTTCTAGGACGTAGCGTGCAATGTACGCACGCCTAGGCGCCTGCACGCACCTCGCGCAGCTCTTTCGGGGATCTTGCGCGAAGATACGGCCGAGTAATGGAGGTGAGCCCAATCAATCAATCTATCTATGTCTGCTCACCTGCGTCCTCGGGCATCGATGATGGGACTGCTTGCAGTCTGCAATTCGGGGCAGGTATTGACAGGCGTAAGTGGTGCGGGACGACGGGTAACAGGTCTTTGCATTACGCCGCTTCTTGGTCGATCGAACCAAATCGGCCGGATAAAGTGTCAAGTGGGATTCAGCCGTAACTTCCTTCCGCTGAAAGGGAGCTGAGAAGATCTTTCGTCGAGGGTAATGCCACGGCGAAAGCGGCGTACCATGGACGTTGCCAAGCTCACGGTCCTCTGGTCGATCATCTCGGCGAAACAAGGATTGGAGTGGCACCGACGTCGTCCCATTGGCAGCGAGGCATCGCAGTGAAAAAGGCACTACGGAACTAACGGAGCTGTCCTTTCGCTGAAATGATTGGTGAGCGTACAGAAAGAAGGCGTTGTCAAAGAATGCGGTCGACATTTGTCTTGAGCGGGGGACGCGGCAAGGAGCACTTGAGAGCATCGTTTTTCTGGCAGCGCCTCGACGAGCCAATACGCGGATGTATCTAGCACGACATCAATTCAATTCGCCCCACCTTAGCCACGCTCAGCTCACGACTGTGGGACAATGTGCGCCAGCGAGCCGCCGCTTTGTTGACACAGCGGAGCTCAAAGGATAAAGCCTCGAGCTTCCTTTACACCCATTGCCCTTCCGGGCCCCGAGCTGACGGCGCTCTCGTACATGCTCGGGAAGCGTGAGAGTTTATCGCGAGCTTCGCACCTCAGCGTCATCGTGATGCCGTGGTCTTTCTTGTTCTTGTCAGTGCACTCTTCTCGGCGTCATCGGCATCGTCGCGGCAAGGAAGCGTCTCATTGCTGATGATGCTGACCGCCTGAGCGGCAGGCAAGGAGCGCTTCCTGCCTGCCGTGCCTGCCGTCCGTCAGCCTCGCAGCTTGAATCGCTTGCTGAGCTACGAAGTTCAAGACCTCGGTCTCGATGCGCATTGTGGACGGACCTCAGCCCAAAGCGTCTCGCTTGCTTGCTACTCTCAATGTTCACCTGACAGGAAGCTCGTACCCACGGGAGACGGCGGCGAGGCTCTTGCGGGCTATTTCCCCATTCTCCTCCTTCTCTACATTCCGCTCGGGTCAAAAAGTCTCAGCCTAGCGCTCTGCCGGGCCATCCTTATCGAGCGTCGAAGAGAGACTCAGGAACAAGTCGCCTACCAGATCGACTGCGCCTGCATAATACACGAGGGAGCGAGCGAGCGAGTGATGAAAGCTTGGCCTTGCCCTTTGTGTGGCGGTGTTGACTCGTCGGACGTGGAGGTTGGCTCTCACGCGGGCGCCACGATTATGGGCGTACTTTGGTGAACTTCCGCCGATCTCACGGCGGGCAATGCAGTGCCTCGGCATCCTTTCTGAGACGCCATAGCGGAGTTCATTCTGACATCGCAGCTCCGATAGGCGGCCACATTCATCATCAGCATCGACGAGGACGGGCGACGGGGAGCATTCACGGCGAGCATACGCTTGATTACGGGCGTTTAATGCGCAAGTTAAGGGTTGCTACGATGCTCGCGATGCTCGCGATGCTTACGAATTTCCCCCACCTGCGCCGCATGTCCCTTCGCACCGTGTGTACCTGAGGTTAAAGGCTGCTCAGCGGGCGGCGCGGCCGCCGGGAAGAAAGACATGCGAAAGGGAGAGGGGAGGGGGGCACGCAGCAGCATCAAAGCAACCCCGCGACGACGGCGGCAGCAAGGCGGCCAGAGTTGCTGCTACGAGTGTAACTTGGCCATCTTCGGAATCCTGAAGCCGGTCTGCATCTGTAGAGCAAGTCGACGGATGCCAACGAGATCGAGGTCTGAAGACGTCCGGACGCTGCATGCCGGAGGCCACCATTGGAAACCATTCTGTCTTTTTTGCACGCACGAACTCGCACCAGACCTTGCACACGATACTCTTTCTTGCCCCTTCGCCTCGCCTGCGAAGTCTTCGTCAGTCTTCGTCATCTCCTCGCACTCATCCGCGCTCCGGTCTGACGAGGCGACATCCAGTGTCGTGTGCGCCAGCGCGAGCGGGCGTCTTTTACATCCCTTTTGCTCCGCGGGCGGGCGCCCCGCTTCTGCTCCTCTTGCTCCTCCGGGCCTAACTTCGTAGCGAATCAGGGGGGACCGCTCAAGCTGGCTCCCTGTCTGTGCTCGCCAATCAAGCTTCGCTTCAAAGACGACTGACGTCGATACGGGTCCAGTGCCGCGCGGAGTATAGACATAGCACGGCGTCCCACGAAGACGACGTCCCGCAACGTCCCAATCGTAGGTTTGGATCGCGCACGACAAGCAGCCGTGGAGCCTGCGCCAAACTTGGAATCAAAGGAAAGCGAGCGATACGTTGCTCGGTGATCTATTGAGACTTTTCGCTTAGTAGGTCGGGCACCGCTCCATCTGCGCTTCGTCTGTGCATCAAGTAGGAGGGGGGAAAGGTGTCTCGCGAGGCTCGGTCGTTCACTCATCGTCGTCATCACCAGACGTCTGCTGCTGCTATCGTCTTCACCGCCACACATCGAGACTCACGGCGACGCCTCTCTACATCGTTGGCCGTCTTTCAGCCGCCGTTTCCGACGCCCGGTCTGGACGTTGCAAGCAGCGCAGACGCCCACTGCTTGCATCTTGCATACAGGCCGCCATCTGCCCACTCTACCGAAAGGGCACTAAAAGTCAGCAAAGCAGCAGCGGATCGCACCCGCGCTTGCCTCATTTCAAGCCGGGAGTTCCGACCAGAGCAAGAACAGGGCAACCCAATTCCGAACGCTCTGGCTGTACAGGCCAGCACCCCACGTCGTACACACTTGCGTCCTCTGCCTTCTGTGCGCTCTGTAGGTGGCAAGGAGGTAGGAGAACCGGGAGACTGAGGACAGAGGCGACGATCTCTCGCATCCCGCTTGCAAAAATAACTCCCGCACGACCAGTCGAGGCGAGGATTCAGGGACACGACTCGTCTCAACTCAAACATACCCCGACAAGACAAGAGGCGGGCAGGGACGAGAGGAGAAGGCCCGGGCCTAGCGCCTCTCACACGTCAAAGTTGAGACTCACACTCCCCGGCGCAAGATCACTTCGGTATCTAACATAGAGCAGCCTTCGTTTGCGATCTAAGCCAGCCAGGACCCTAGCTCTCGCAGCGCCGCACGCCATCCCCCTTACTCCCCGCCTTCTGCTCTTCCTTTCTTTACTACCTCTTCTTACACACCAAGCTTCTTTTCGCCGTCATTGTCGAGAGCTTTTCGACGTTCACTTTTCGACGCCGCCCAGACCCCCTATTTACGCTTCGCACGCTTCCTTTCAAGCTCCTCGAAGCTACTCACAACGCCCTTTCGCGCTAGGCCGGCCGTCCCCCCCCGCGCGCCACCCTCCCCCGATATTCACGCCGCCACGACCACTACCCCGCTGTCAAGCAGCTCAAATACTCACTCGAATGCCCCTGGAGATTCAGCCGCAATAACGTCTAGCTTTCTCGACCATGTCGTATCGAGGGGGTCACGAAGAGGAGGATCGCGAACAGCGTCATCAGCAACACCAGCACCCAGCCATCCGCCTGCCGCGACTGCAGATCATGGACGAAGGCAGCAACGCCTCGATGTCTCACCGCCATCGTAGTACTTCGGGCGGAAGCCAATCCGGAATGGCCGCCTTTGCACCATGGTCTCCCGGTTCTGAGCATCCCTCTGCTGCTTCCGGAGGAAGCCAGAGCGGCATCTCATCGCCGACGACGTCCTTGCCACCGTTGCACGGCCCAAGCAGGTCGCAGCCATTCTCCGCCTCGACGAGCCCCAAATTTCCTCTTCTTCCTGCTCCTACACGGCGTTCGACTATGATGGAGGGCTCTCTACCCCCGCTGTCTGCTACCATGTCGTCCTCGGCTTCTCTCGGCGCCGGAGCATCGCGCATCAGGTCAAGCTCAGGGTCAGCGGCGCATCTCCTCAATCGCTCGCCTATGCTCCCATCGTACAGCCATTCGACCGCCCCTCAGCACCCTCCTGCAGCTCCCTCAATGTCGTACTCGACTTCTCCCTCGACGAGCGCCGCAACACCAAGGGGCATGCCTACGGCTGCTGCCTTCTCACCGCCCGAAACCGCCGCCATCGAGCGTAAGCCAGCCAAGGCGCACGTCTCCTCAGCCTGCCTCAACTGCAAGCGTGCTCACCTTGCCTGCGACGCCGAGCGACCCTGCCGTAGGTGTACCAAACTGGGCAAGACGGCGACGTGTGTCGACGTGCAGCACAAGAAACGTGGCAGGCCCAGGCTCAAGGACCGTGAAATGCCGCCTGCATCTTCAGCTAGTCAGGACCCCATAGCTGGGCCGGCTGGATGGTCGCCGGCTCACGCCGAGGGATCGATGCCTCCCAGTGCATCCTTGTATCATCCCAGCAGCACGCCGCAAGGCTGGGGACAAGCCGGCCATCACGATGCCGCACGACCCCGAAGCTACACCGCGGCGGCTCCCATGTCATCTTATCCACCCTCATCGTACCGCTCACCACCCTCATCATTGCACTCTGCCTACGGCCCGCCGCAACCGCAACCGCAACCGCAACGTCGGGGCGAGCGGACGATCGCTACACTCCTTTGCGGCACGGACCTCGTTGCAGCGCATGTCTCGTACGAGTCGCAAACGATCTTTGGTCTTCCGCCCGACCAAGTACGTCAGCGATCAGCCGTGGAGCTCGTCCACCCTGCCGACCACCAGCGCTTTGAGGCGGCGTGGGCTCGCCTGGTCCACCCAGTCGAGATTGCGCCCGTCGAATTTCCTGCGCTTGGGGAAGAGATTATGCGCAGCGAACCGACTCGGTTGCTGGAGCCTGCCCGTGGTACCATCTTTGTCGAGGAGACGATTCGTATGCGTCTGGCTGGCAACTTGTGGGCGCCGTGCTCCGTACGCTTCTACCTTGGTGGGGCCTTTGGGCTCGACTTGTACCGGCCCGAGACCAAGGACCGTGCATTCATCGTCACTTCCATCTATCCGTTGGCCGCCGGCGAGTTGGCTACCGCCTCAACATCATCGTCCTCATCGGCGTCGACATCGCACCACCCCAACTTCGAGATGCTGCGCTCTGTTGAGTTCCCACCTACCTCGCACTGGTCTCAGTCCACCTTTAAGACTCCCTCGACTAACCCATCGCCGTACATGCAGCACAGCACCTCGATGCCTTCGTGGTCGGAGCGTAGCTGGGGTGGCGAGCGAGCGTGGGATGATGCGCAGCCACCTCCTCTGGCTCGCCGGACAAGCATCAAACGTGGGATGCCCGCCGACTTTGACCATCACGAGCAACTCCCGGCTAGACGTCCAAGCTACATCTCGGCGCACTCCGATGTCCGACCTCGACTCGCAGCTCTGAATATTTCGGCGCCCGACCGCGATACCACGCAAGTGCTCGCAACGACGCCGTCGCCTGTCGAGCGCGGTGCGATGCCGCCGCCACCTGCAGGTGGTCCCTCTCCCAGATCGGCTGCCAATGGCAGGAGCGCAATGGCAGACGTCCATCATCCCTTCTCTTCCTTTCCGTCGTCCGCCTCCTTTGCCCATGACATTCCTCATCACCAGCGTCCAGCGGGCAGCTCCAACGTCAATACAAACGGGAGCCTGCGCCATCCCCCCCTCTCCAACGCACGGGATCTTGCCTCCGCTACTAGCAGCAGTCCTAGCAGGCTCCCACCTACCCCTTCTTCAACTCCCGCCGCCTCCACGCATGGTGCGAGGGGACTCGCAGCCGTCGCAGCCACCAAGAGCAGAGTTACCACAGGCTCTGCACCCGCTGCCGCTACGACAACTGTAGGCGGAGGAGGTGGGAGCGTGGGCGCGCTGGCTTGCTGAGCATGCGTGACACCACCAAACTCGCAACATCATACCCCACAGGCCCGCCGCCGCGCATACACGAAGGCGAGCCCAGCACCCGGAACCACGTCATCGCCGCAAGCAACAAAGCCGAACAGGAGCGCGGCTGGTCCACAATCCTCTCCGAGCTACTCTCGTTTCACGCCGCTCATCCAGTCTCATCGTTCTATCCTTTCCAGTTTTTGTCGCTGTTGTATCGTCTCAGCCCTCTCGCACGTCAGGTCCGTGATGCTACAAATACGTAATAGCATCTCCATCGCCACCAGCTCTCTAATCATACTGTTCTCATGAGTCCATTCCTCTCAGCATCTCATCCTCACGAGTCCATGATTCTCAGCATCTCCTCTACCTGCAGCACCTTCTCGCGCTCCTTGCCCGCCTCCTTTCCCCTCCGTCTCTCCTCGACGTCCAATCGCTGCCACGCTGTCCAGTCTACGATCTGCTTGCCCTCGCGTGTTCTTGCCGTACGGATCGTTTCGGGGACTTGCGACTCGCTCAGCGAGCCTGTCAACCCAGCTGCAGAGGTCGCGCTGCTGTGGTCTTCGAGAATGGCATCCGCGACCGAGTAGGCATCATGCATTGTTGAGGCAATCACGCCTACCGGGCCGCGCGCCAGCCAGCCGGAGACGTACACCTTGCCGTTGAGGCCGGTGACGCGCCCGGCGTTGTTGGGCACGATTCCGCGTGATGGGTCCCATGGTATTGTGAGAGCTGAGGAGGAGGTGGTGGTGGAAGAGGGGGAGGGCGACTCCATCGCTGCGCCGAGGGGAGCACCCTTGTATCCTACACTGGATACCACGAGATCTGCTCTTGTTTCGAAGGTCGAGCTGGGCAGGGAGCGGGTGGGTGACGTCGAGCCGGAGGGGAGGGTCGCTGCACCCTGATGGCTGCCTCCTTCTTGTGGCGCAGACGTCGGCTCGTTGCCCCACACGGCTCCAGACGGTCCGCCCGTAGCTTGTGCCGCTGTGGCTGCTCCACTCAGACCAAGCGCAGTGGCCGTCCATTGTATCTTTTCGAGTCGTGGCGTTCCAGCCTCTGACCCAAGGAAAGCAGCCGGTGCTCGAAAGAAGTTGACTCCCCACCTCTTGTCTGCCTCGCCCGGCTTCGTCTTGCTCCCCTTGGCAAGCAAGCTCAGTAACCTCTTCTTGACCCTCGCCTGCCCAGCAGCATGCGCAGCTTCTTCCTTGTCCGCCTCACTCAGCTCTTCCCCCTTGACCTTTTGCCTTTGCTCCTCTTCCTGCTCCGCCACACCCTTCTCCGCCTGAGCAATGAGTTGTGGGTCGACCCCCTCGAAGCCAACGCCGGGGAGGGCGAGCATCTCGCGCAGCTCCTTGTTCGTGAATGCTGCTTGTGCAGGGCCTCGTCGAGCATTTATGTCTACGTGACTGATTCGACTCGATGATAGGTAGCTCAACACGCTCTCTGGCACATCAGAGTGGGCCAGCTCGTCCCTTGCTGCGGGCGTGGAGGGGTGCGAGGCACGGAGCACGATGCGGGCGACATCGAGCGCGACGTTCCCCGCGCCAATGATGCTCATGTCTCGCATAGATTCGGAGAGAGCGACTCGCCGCCAAGGCTCCTTGGCCAGTATCTCCTCATCGTGCGCCGCAGGATGGCCGTTATACCAGTTCACGAAATCGAGGGCGGAGTGCACGTTGAGCACCTCGCCTGGCGCTGAGCCTGGTATGCCGAGCATACGCGAGTGGGAGCAGCCATATGAGAGGAGCAGATGGGTGTAATTTTGCGCGAGGTCGGAGAGAGGGATGTGTAGGGCGTGCGGGTATTGATAGCCAGTTGCTGGGGTCGAGGACGATGACGCAGTTGATGTGGGTGAGTGGGGCGCTGTCACGTTGACATTACCGAAGAAGGAGAAGCGTGGATCGCTGGCCACCTCTGCGAATCGATTCTCGACGTTCTTGACCTCCAAGTGATCGGGAGCCACCCCCCACCTCACGAGGCCATTGGGCACGGGCAGGCGCTCGTACATGTGGACGAGAACATCTTGGCGGGCCTTGAGAGAGGAGAGGACGCGAGCTGCTGAGTAGAAGCCCGAGGGACCAGAGCCTATGATGGCTAGGCGTAGGGGAGGGACAATGGCATGCCGCGGGACGGAGGGGGAGACCATGCCCGCCAGCCGCTCATCAAATGATTGTAGGAAGGAGTCAAAGGATCCGTAGCCGGCCGGCCGGGAGCTGCCTGTATGCCGCCGCCTTTTGCGCTCAGTCCGCCTTTTGCCGCCAGTCCGCTCGTCTGTCCGCGTTCGAGGAGCCCCGAGGGCGAGATTTCCTTTCTCTCCACCCTCTTTCAGTCGCATACATTCTCAAGAGAGCGCCTGGACCAACGAGTGGGGCCAGCAAGCCATGCCTATCCGGCCTTATGTCTGTGCGTTGGAAGCGTGGCGTAGAGGGCGCTGATGGAGGGGCTTTTGCTGACTCGCATCGTTGATCCCTTTGCAGCCCTCGTTGGCGGGTTCGCAAAGTACCTGACCAACGTGCACTCGAGCTCATGCAATGTCATTGGCTTGGAGCGCTTTACGGAGCTTCTGGCTGACGAGGAGCGCAAGAAGGACGGGCGTGGTGTCTTGACATGTGAGAGTGAGCGGTGAGCTGATACGCTGGCGCAGGACGGCTGACCAATACCGCTCCATCCTCGCTGCTCAGACGCCAATCACATCTCCGTCATGGACGACCCTGGCGTCTTTGGCTGTATGCCCTGGTGGACATTTCAGCGACCAGACACAACGCGATGGACTTTGGGAGCGTCTGATATCTTGTTCACCAATCGGTACGTTCGCTACCTATCCCCCTCTCCTCGTCCTCCGCTCACCTTGTCCCTCGTCCGCGCAGCCTCTTCAACCACCTCTTCAACCGGGGACAAGTGATTTCAACGGACAGAGGGCGCGGCATCTTCCAACCGGCACTGGACCGCGCCATCGCTAAGCTGGAGGAAGGGCAATGGGTCCACCTCTTCCCCGAAGGGTACGTCAACCTCTCGAGGACAATGGTGCTCAGACGGTTCAAGTGGGGAATGAGCAGATTGTTGCTGGAGAGTCAGCAGAGGCCGAGAGTCGTGCCGATTTGGATTGAGGGTGAGATGCGCGCGAAAGTCGAGGACATGCGTTGCTTGCGCTCATTCTACGTGCCTCCTCTCGCTAGGCTTCGACCAAATGATGCCCGACCCCCGTGGCTTCCCTAGCTTCCTGCCACGCCCCTTTGCTAAGCTCACCATTCACTTTGGCGAGCCCATCGACCGAATAGGCTCGGCTCTCGACACAATGCTGGACACCCTGCGTTGCAAGCACTCGCTGAATCCAAGGGGATGGGAGAAGGAGCAGGAGCTCGTCTCGGCCAAGCAGCCTAGCGATGTGCAGCGCGAGGAGGCTCCCTCAATACCTATCCCTCCGCCTTCGACTTTTCCTAGTGTTCCGACGCCAGACCCAGCGGTGATGGGCTGGGCGCCTCCTCCTCCTGACTCTCGAGCCGCCCAGGCGCAGCAGGCGACTTTGGACGACGAATCTGCAGCTATGGAGGCCCGAAGTCGCCTTGTTGAGGTGTTGCGTCGCGAGCTGGCTTGGTTGGGCGTGAGGAGTAGGAGGTTGAGGGGCGAGAAGGAGGGAGAAGTGGGCAGGCTGGTGCATAGCTTAGTGCCTGATGGGAGCGATAGATGACTTGCTGCGGACGTTCTTGCTAATATACACGATAGAGTCTTCGCATGTCGAGGTGGTCATGAGAGGCCTGCCCATGGATCCTCGAGGGAAGAGGGGTCGAAGAAGCCCTGCGAGGCGTGAGAACTCTTCGTCAGTCCATGCTGCGTTCCCCTCGAGAGCTTTTTCAGACTCACCTGAGCAGGCTTATCCGGACCTATCGTCGCACCTCCTCTGCCACCACCACCTTGATGTCCCCCTCTGCCTCTGCCTCGACCACCATCCCCTCCAGCGCCTCCCCGGCCACCTCGCTGTGCGAACTTGCCTCCGCCCCTCCCTCGCCCTCGATCTGATCCTGCCGCGATGCCTCCGCGTCCTCTGCCTCTGCTCTTGTCACCACCTCCCCCTCTTCCTCCTCGAGGCGCAGCGTTGGCGTTGTTGCTCCCGCTGCCGCCCGCTGAGCTGAAGCCAGCAAAGGAGGACGGCAGGCCAAAGGATGCAAAATCGGGCTGCTGATCGTTGTTGCCGCTCGTCATGGTCAGCTGATAGCCAGGTAAATCCTGCGGCTCAGGGCGATGGATCTTGGACCTTTGAGACGAGGATAGCAGCGGCGGGCGCTCGCTTTGACTCGCGGATGACGGGCGTTGAGTTGGTCTCGTTTCGCACGCAGCACGAGATGAGTTGAGTTGCTCGCACGGAGGCTTCAGAGCGGAGAGACGGGCGAGACGCAGAGCGGACGGGCGCAGCGGCCAGGCGGGCGGCCAGGCGGGCGGCGGCAGCTTGCTTGCCTGCCTGCGAAACGAGGCGAGTTGACGAGACGGAGGAACGGACGAGCGGACGAGCGGACGAGCGACAACGACGAGCAGCGCCTGCCAGGGCCCGGTACCTCTGAGCGATTCCTGCGTGAGCGTGTTACTCTTCCCATTCCTACCACATCGAGCAGCACGCTAGCATCCTCGGACCGCCGCCTGTTCACATCGGCCCGGCTCTCGTCCTGCGATCTCCTCACCTCATCACCTGCCGGACTGGCCCTCGAACCTCTCCCAGTGTCGCCGCCGTCCTCCTCCGTTCGACGTTGCTCCCAAGACAAGCAGCCGGTCAGGCACCACGATCAGGCCGTAACGACGACACGACGACGACGACGCCGATTACCGAGAGGACAGCGACAGCGATCCAGAGCGTCGCGACTAGCCAGCGCCGCTTCTGCCTTTACCCTTCATCCTCGCACAGCTGCGACGATAGCCTCGCGACGACAGCCTCGCGACGACAGCGTCAAAGCACGTAGCATCGTCGATTCGACGCCAACGTAGACTGGCACCCGTCTAGCGCCCACCACGCAGAAGTCCTTGCTTCCCACCGCGGCTTGCACCCGCGATGATGTCTGCACAGGAGAGGGACGAGGTGCAAAATCAGCTCGACAACGACGTCGATGCTCTGAACAGTACATCCAGTGCAGTCTCTACTACTGAGGATCCCTCTACTAGCGCTCTCTCAGCTTCTGCACCTGCTCGCGGCCTGGTGAGCGTGCCAGAGGACGAGCAGCTGCATGGACGTCACTTCAGCGACCCATCGCAGAGACCATCGAGTAGACAGCAGCAGCAGCAGCAGCAGCAGCAGCAGCAACAACACCAACACCAACGCGAAAACTCACTCGTGGAAACGGATGATCGGCCGTCACGCAGCCCAGTCGCTGCACCTGTCAATCGACCTCGCATGTCTCAAGAGCCAGACGTCTTTACGAGTGGTGGAAGCGGTGCCAATGTCCTCTCGCCATCCGCATCCTCTTCATCCTCGTACGATGCTCAGGCGCCAAGAACACCAAGCACGAGCGGTAGTCTCGTCCACCCGTCGAGTCATGTTCGGCGCGTACCATCAGATTCGTCCAATAAGGCTCTCCCGGTCACGCCTGGACAAAATCAGGCGGCTCCTCACTCGAGGGCTTCGCCCGCACCTCCTCACAACCTCGAGCAGATGTCGCTGCCCCTCAATGGCAACAGTCAACCTCCAGCCTCTTCGTCAGCTGCCTTTGGAGGACTTCACTCTCCGAGCGCTGTACCACCTCAGCACATCCCACGACCAGTTGCCAAGATGTCGTCAGAGGAGCGCATGCACATGGCCACGCCCATCTCAACGCGCGGGCTGAGCCAATTTGAGAGCCCCTTGTCGCCGCCAGATGCTGATCCCGGTCGTACATTGGCAGAGAGCAACCGCTCCAGTATCGACGACATTCGACGGATGCACGCGCAGAGGGCAGCGGCAACGGGGCAATCACCAGAGGCTGCGTTCGCGCAGCCCCACCCTGTCAATCGAGAAAACGATCCTCCTCGCCCGTCTAGCGTTTTGGAGACGAGGTCAGCGCGCTTTGAAGCGGCGGCGGCGCAGAGATACCGCGCAGACAGGCCGCGCTCGAGTGGAATGGCCATGGATGCGTTTGCGGGGGCCAACGGTACAGCAGCAGCACCGCGATCAGCGTCGAGCAGTCACGCGCAACCTCAGCAGCGCCAGCAGCCAAGTACGTCGGGCAGCGAGCATCCCTCTACAGGCAGTAGTCGGAGGGAAAAGGAGCGCGAGAGGTCAGAGCGGGAACGTCGTTCGCGCAGGACGCTGGGCGACTATGCGCTTGGCAAGACGCTCGGCGCTGGTAGCATGGGCAAGGTGAAGCTGGCAGTCAAGATGGGGACCGGTGAAAAGGTGGCCATCAAGATCATACCGCGACACACTTCGGTGGGCGCAGCTCAACATCCCAAGCCGGACAATGAGGGCAAGATGCCTCCTCCTGCGACGGCGTCGTTCCTCGCCAAGGCGGCAGCCAAGGACCAGTCGAAGGAGGTGAGGACCATCCGCGAGGGCAGCTTGCAGATCTTGCTGCACCACCCGTACGTTTGCGGGATGCGCGAGATGATCATCCACCCTAATCATTACTACATGGTCTTTGAGTACATCGACGGCGGGCAGATGCTCGATTATATCATTTCTCACGGCCGCTTGCGGGAGAGGGCTGCAAGGAAGTTTGCTAGGCAGATTGGTAGCGCTCTGGAGTACTGCCATCGCAACAGCATCGTTCACCGCGACCTCAAGATTGAGAACATTCTCATCTCCAAGACGGGCAACATCAAGATCATCGACTTTGGGTTGAGCAATTTGTTCTCGCCCCACTCCCACCTCGCGACGTTCTGCGGGTCGCTCTACTTTGCTGCGCCGGAGCTGCTCAACGCCAAAGTCTACACGGGACCCGAAGTCGACGTGTGGTCGTTTGGGATTGTGTTGTACGTGCTCGTGTGCGGCAAGGTGCCCTTTGACGATCAGAGCATGCCCGCCCTACACGCCAAGATCAAGCGCGGCCACGTCGAGTATCCGGCCTGGCTGAGTGGCGAGTGCAAGCACATCCTGTCGCGCATGCTGGTCACCAACCCGGCGCAACGAGCGACTCTGCCCGAGATTCTCTCACACTCGTGGATGACAAAGGGGTACGATGGGGCGCCGAATGCTCACTTGCCAGAGAGAAAGGCACTCCGTGCTGGTCAGCTAGACCCGGAGGTGGTCAAGGGCATGACGGGTTTCGAGTTTGGCACTCCCGACGAGATTGAGCTGCGTCTCACCGAGGTGTTGACGAGCGAGGTTTACCAGGCGGTGCTGTCGGCATGGGACGCAAAGCACTCGCCCGATGCAAGTCAGGCCGACGTTAATGCGTTGGGTCGAGCTACGACGCGTGGTAGTCAAGACTCGCGCAGCAAGACGGGATCGAGGCGGTTCAGCGGCATCGACTTTTACCGCAAGAAGATTAGCGTCTTTGGCAACCGGGACGACTCGGGGAGTAGCGGTACGCTCAATGGCTCGCTCAATGGGTCGACGGTGCCGACGTGGCCTGGCGCAGGCAAGGAGCCCTTGGATCCCACTCGCGGCTTCCACCCGCTGATCTCCATCTACTATCTGGTGCAGGAGAAGATGGATCGCGAGCGTCTGTACGGGCACTCCTTTTTTGCATCATCCCACGCCTCGCTCCTTGCTCAGCAGCGACCGCCGCCGTCCGCGTCGGCCGGTGGATTTGGCACCTCCTCGATGCCTACGACGGCGGACATTCCACAGGAGGTGCTGCGCGTCCCGGAGCCCTCTCGCCCATCGCATCGAGGCGACTTTGCCAGCAAAGAGATGCCCACTCCACCCGCGAGCGCTACGCTTGCCTCCCCCCTACCGGCCTCGCCTACGCCCGTCTTTGAGTCGCGCGAGAAGAGCAAGCCGCTGCCGAATATGGCTGGTCCACCGAGGGCAAGGGCGAATGGCGATGAGGTGGAGCAGGCTTTGCGGGAGAAGGGAGGGGCATCCTCCATGGCGCCTAGCGCCTTTTCACCGCCTGAGCCTAGTGAAGGCCCACGTCGCTCCGTCAGTCTTTCGATGCGCAAGCCCAGAACGGCAGGCGGCGGCGGCGTGCCAGCAGATCAGGACGCTAGGGCGCCATTGAGCGGAGCTACGGCGGGCGGTACGCTGCGAGCCTCGCGAAAGAGCTCATCGCCTGAGAATCGTCGAAGCATGCACGTCGTCGAGGCGCCGAGCACGCCTTCGTCGGCTGCTACTTCTCCTGCTGCGGGATCCTCACTTGTGCGGCGTTTCGGCTCGCTACTGGGCAGGTCGCCGTCGAGTGGTGGTGGCGGCGGCGGCGGTGATGCGGAGAGACGGAGAACCGCGAGGATGTCGACGGGTCAGATGACGGCCCCTTCAACCATCTCAAGACGATCTGGTGCTGGCGGATTGGGAGGGGGTGTCAATGAATCGGCGGAGCGTCTCAATGCTCTGGCCCTCGAGGAGCAGCCGGAGGACAAGGCGCAGGAGAAGCCTCTGCCTGCTCCTGGCATTTCCACTTCGCCGTCGGGCGCTACCGTCAAGAGATCGGGCACGGTGCAAGGCTTGTCCAACCCTGCGCGAGAGCACGGCGCGCGCGAGCATGGGGCGCGCGAGCATGGTGGCAGTCCAGGATCGCCGAGGCGCACGAATGATGCGCCGCTCACTGCGCAGCACAGTACGATGAGCAGGCTCATGGGCGGTCAGATGTCCCCATCGAGCGGGCGCTCGCCACGTCGCCCGGCTACCATGCTCATCCCTACGTCGGCGCAAGAGAGCAGCAATGGCGGCGTGGGCGGCGTGGGCGGCGCGGGCGCAGCGAGTGGCGGCGGTACCTACGAAGACTATGGCGGCTGGCAAGGCCCTCCTCCCTCCGAGGCACAAGCGAACTGGCTCTCAGCAGATGCCGCTGCGGCCGCAGCGGCAGCAAGTAACGCGGGCGGTACCACATCTCCGTCCTTTGGGTGGCGCTCTCCCTCCCAGCCAGGTGCAGCTCTCACTGCCAAGCCAGTCTTTCTCAAGGGTCTCTTTTCTGTTCAGACTACAAGCACCAAGCCGCGCACGATCATCATTGCCGACCTGGTGCGCGTCCTCGATCGCATCGGCGTGCAGTACCGCGAGATCAGGGGCGGGTACGAGTGCGTACACCTGCCGAGCATCGACTTTGAGAGGGGGCAGGGAAATGCGAGGATCCCGATCGAGCAGCAGCAACAGGCGGCAGCAGCTGCGGCGGCCTCGAGCCCGGCGCAGTCTCCTGACGAGGCGGCTATGAGTCCAAGCAGCGAGAAGGCCCCGCAGCCGAGGAGAAAGCAGAGCCGCATCTCCGTCCTCTCGGGCATCATGGGAAACAGCGGGGAAAAGCACGCGCGTAGGGAGAGCATCTCGCAAGCCTCCTCTTCGGGAGATCCAGCTGCGCCTGCTCACGGTAGCATGTCGCCACGCCAATCGCCAGAGGCACTGCAGGCGGCGGGGGCAACGCGAAGTCGTGCCAGCTCGCTGATGCTGGGCGACTCGCGCGATGAGCCCGGTGAGGCGGCGCCGAGCGACGATCAAGGGGTGGAGAATGGCTCTGGCGTGGTGGGAGGCAACAGCACCATCGCTGCAAAGCGCAAGTCACGACAACGCACCGATTCGTTGGGCGCACCGGCTTTCTTTGCTGCCGCCACACCGGCTGCGATTCCCAATTCGCCCTCGAAACCTCAACCGCCCATCCCGACCGCGTCGACGGACGCTGCGACGACAACCAACGACGCGACCTACAGTAGTGCGGCTGGGTCGGGGAGCGGGAGCAATGGCCTTCCCCTCTCTACGGAGCTGATTGTGCGATTCGAGGTCTTCATTGTGAAGGTGCCGCTGCTGCTCGGCGTGAACGGCCTGCAATTTAGGCGCGTGTCGGGAAACCCGTGGCAGTACCAGATGTTGGCGAAGCGGGTGTTGCAGGAGTTGAAGCTGTGAGCGCGCGGCGAGGCCGCACTGCGGAGCGGTGCCGGGGGTTAGACGATGAGGTGCGGCGGTCCTTGCGCGGCGGTCAATCTTCGGTGTGGGGTCGCTTCAAGTCACGAACGAACTGCTACATGGTCACTCTTCTTCTCGCTCTACACTCTTCTTTTCGTTCCCTTCAGCATGCGGGCTGAACGCAAGCGAGTTGTGCTGTAATCGATTTCTATTTTCCAGACGCGCACAGGCTGCGTACGCATTGACTGGCCGAAGCTAGCGGCATGATGCTCACCTGATCGATCACGAGGAGCAAAGAGTGCTTGTGACGTTGTACAGTGACTGCTTCTCACTGGTGTCATCACAAAGCGCCCACTGGTCTCGTTGTGGTGGGAAATGGTCTGCAGATGTACACCAGCGCGAGGGCACGTCGGGTGGGCAAGAGTGGCTACTGCCTCGGGAGGACCGTAGCAGGTGGATCGCCGTCGCTGCGCTGCTGGGCTGACAGCCGACGAGGCGAGCGGTTCTTGCGCCGAGCCCTCACGGCAGTCGCTCCCTCAAGTAATCGACGAGCCCAGCGAGCGATTCTTGCTGAGCCGTACCATCCTCCATCGCCCGCTCTCTCCTTCTCCTCGCCGCAATCTCCACCGCCTCGATTTCAGCTTTGATGCCTTGCGCGAGCATCTGCGTGAGTTGCAGCCTGTGCGGGCAATGACGAGGTTGTCAGTGTGCCGCCGCGGAGGTACGGTCGCAGGACTACTGACTTAATCCTGCTTGGCATCTCGTTCGCAGCGCTGAGCATGTCGTTTGCCTTTTTTCGATCCGCTGGCGAGAGGGGCTGCGTGGGCAGCTCGAGGCTGAGGAGCGCGGGTCAGGCGTGGGTCGTTGTGTGGCCGCAGCTGCGGGCCGCCTCACCTGCTGACATCGGCCATGGAGATGCCTACGAGCTGAAACGATACCGCACTTGGTAGGGAGCGACGATAGAGCTCCGAGATGTCCATGCCATACGGGTCAGCATCGACGAGTGTGAAGATGGGAAGGCTGGTCGCGGGTGGATCAGCCTCTCGTGCTCGACGCGTGGTGGGGCTGCAACGCGTGCTCACCCGGGCTTCTCCTCGCACAACCTCGTCAGAAACTCGCGACTGGCGAGGTCTGGATACCCTCTACCCGTCATGATAATGCCCTTCGACGCGGTACTGTCGGCGAAGCGACATTCCAAGAGCGTACGAAAGACTGCCTCTTTTTCCACGACGAGGATCCACTGCGCCTGCGTCTCGACGCCCTCGAGTACATCGACATCCGGCACACTCGTCGCTCTCGCAGGCGAGAGGTGCAGCGAAGCTTGCGGCTCGAGTATGTCCGCCGCCGCAGCCTGTGCTGTGGTGAACGTCAAGTGCAGCGTCCCACACCCAGCCAACAGTCCCTTGGGGGCGGCCACGATGCCTGTAGCTGAGCGTCTCACGCCTAAACGCGCGACTACACTGTCCACGATGCGGTCAACGACGGCCTGCTTGCCGAAGAGGGACGGGGAGCGATAGTAGACGTCGCGTTTGGTGACTAGCTGGTTGGTGAGCAGAGCGCAGGACATTTCTTCGAGGACGCGAAGTAGTTGAGCGAGCCGGCGGGTGCTTGTGCTGGAGCGACTGGGGAAGAGCTGGGTACGCGAGGTGCTGGCGTCGTCGCTGCGGGCGCTGCGGGTGAGGGAGAAGCGGGCGACGCGTGGGCGGGTGCATGGACGCTGAGAAGGCGTGTCGACGTGTGGAGAGGCGAGTGCTGCGTCGATGCGCAGCTGCCTGAGGTCGTCGAGGAAAGAGGTCACTGCAGATTGGATTGCTTGCTGTACGGTTGCGCGTCTGGCGTGTGGGTACGATGCGTGAGCTGGCGGCGTCGTCCCTTTTCCCCCAGGCCTACTCACTGCTGCGCAAGCCTCGCTCGATGTGCGAGTGCGTTTTGACTTGGCAATGGCGCGAGTGCATTCTGACTTGGCAATGGCGCGAGTGCATTCTGAATTGGCAATGGTGTTCGCGGCTCACCGGCCTCGGCGCCCAGATCTGCTGCCGAGGGTACGCTGCTCGCATTGCTCTCCTCGACGGTCGGGATGGCATCCTCCTCCTCCTCGTCGCTCATCTGAGAAGGCGGGACCTGATGCTGCCCCTGCTCCTCTTCCTCGTCACTGAAGCGCAGATCGTCATACTGAGCCAACGCACTGCTCGAGGCGTACTGACCCTGGCTAGGCCACGCTGGCCATATCTGCGACTCTGGCAAGTCGATGTCCATGCTACGAGGAGGCGAGAATGACAAGGAAAGGTGGTGGGAGGCGTCAGGCCAGCCTGTATGCCCCCTGCGCGTCAGCCAGGAACGGCGGGCCGCCGCGAAATCGAAGCAAATGAATGCGGCCACGTCTGGGTATCGATTCGGTATTTACAAGTCCACGCGCCGCCTCACGCCGCCATTGCCACCACAGCAAAGCTCAATGCGCTCCCCGCTGCGAGCCCGATTGTCAACCAAAAGCTCAAGATGGCCCCCGCCGAAGCGCGCTGCGTGTCCTCCATCTCACCGTCCTCTGCAGCGCACACAAATATGCTCGTGGACAGCAGGCCGTTGCTGAGTCCAAACGCCACGACGCACGCGAAGAAGAACCAGTCCGGCAGGCCGCCGCCACCCTTGCCGAAGTTGCAAGCCAGGAACGCGGGCACGAAGGCTGTTCGAGCAAGAACGGCGACGGCGATGATCTTGGGGTTGGAAAGGAGCGGGCCAGTGATGGAGGGCAGGGTTCGCCCCGCCACGTCGCTGAGATTGAAGGCGAGAAGGTGCCAGGCGATGAAGACGAGCGGCGGAGTATCTCCGTGCGAGATAACCCTGGCGGTCAAGGCTGGATAGACGCTCAGAGTGACGACGTAGATGTAGAAGACGGAGAGCGAGAGGAGGGCGACCTTGCGCTGCACGTCGAGTAAGTCGCGCCGGCTGCTCCCCTGCGCGTGCACCGCATGAGCGACCGTAGCCGCTTCGTACCCGCCGTACGTGCGACGAAAGCGCTGCGTGCGAACGAGCCACGCGAACGCAGCGAGGACCAAAGCCATAAAGGCGGTAGCGAAGGCGAACAAGGCGGTAGCCGCGCCTGAGGGGTCAGCTCGCTGCACCCTGTATGCCGCTGCGAGTTGGACAGCCGCTATGATGGCGCCTACGACTCCCTGTCCCGAGAGCATGAGCCCCATTGCCTGACCGCCAAAGATGGAGCATAGCGCCACGACGGCGTTCTGCAGGTAGGCGGCACTCCCTGCAATGAAGGCGACGCCGGCGAGAAGGGCGTAGTATGCCGCCGAGGTCGCCACGCGAGTTGTGATGGAGAAGAGAAGCAAGCCCGCCAGAACCGTGGAGGCAGAGATGAAGATGCGGCGGGGAGGAGTCGTCTGTGCGCGCAAATAGCAGTCAGTATCGAGGGTCTCACGCGCGGAGCCACCCGGACAGCATACCTTGGTGAGGGACACGGTCGCATGAGCGCCCAGCGAGATGGACGAGACGTTGTAGACGAGGAGGACCCAGCTCAAGAAGCCCTCCGAGCGCGAATGGTCCGCTGCGAAGAGTGTGCGGTAGTACTCGGTGGGCGTCACGAGGGTATTGCTGCGAGGGAGTCAGCTTAGGCAATGGTACGCTTGGCCCTCGCACGCTCTCACAATGGCAAAAGGATAGCTGCGCCCAAGAGCGCAAAGACGGTGAGCAGAGCCCAATTCGGCGTGTCGTCCCGCTGCGGAGGCTCCTCATCGCTCACAACCGCTTCCTCGTCGTCTTGGTCGTGCTGCTTCAGCGGCTGATACAATCCGCTCCTCCCCGATCCACCGCCAGAAAGAGCCCTTCGCGAGTAGTGATTCGGAATGTGGTACGTGTGATGGTTCAGCTCTGGCGTCGGAGAAGGCACTCGGGTGCTCTGCTGCGACGACGACGACGGCCCCTCGTCCTCCGGAGATCGCAGCGAGGTAGGCATGGTGGTGGACGAGGTGGAGTCGATGAATGAGGAAAGCGGGGAGGGGAGGCCACATTCCTGGGAGCATGTGTGGATCGTGGCGTGAATCATCACTATATGTACCAAATGGTTCGACCCCGACGGCTGTCATTGGTAATTTGATCAAAGTAATGACACCTGCTTGGTGCTATGGTCCAGTGGTAAGGACTATTGGTTTTGATTACGTAATCACACTGTTCCAATCAGCCCCGGTTCGAATCCGGGTAGCACCTCTTGTTTTTGCAACCTGGTGATCTGCTACTATTGTTTGCGCGTCGCCGTCCCAAGAAGATCACACGGGCGACTCAGCCAGCTCATCGTGCTGCGGGCAGAGTCGAGGCTCGCCAACTGAACGCGTGGTAGGCCGAGTAGGTGGCAGGGTCAAAGGTCCCTGGTCAAGCGGTATTGCGTGAGAAGGCAAGAAGGTGTCGTGGAGAAACGAAGCGGGAGGTGATGATAGTGCTACAGCGATTGCCTGCTGATGCATCATCAGACGGGGTCCGCGTCGATTCAAGCCGCATCGTCGTCGCTCTCGACCTAATCTCGTCGTTTGCGCTTTCTCCACTCCTGCCTACCTCGTTGAAGGTGATCTCATCTCCGCTCAGCAGCAGCAGCAGCACCAGCCGAATTTGATGCCGATGTGATCAGCGTTTGCGGGGAGAAGCCCTCCGCAATCTCGTCGCCAGCAGTCTAGCTACCTCTGAGGCCCAGAAGCTTAGTGAAGCTTGATGTGACTGGCCGGGCGTACTGCGTGCGATTTGCGCGCAGCATCCGCACTGCCCGACGATGCCACTCATAGGACTGTCAGCAGACGATACACACCCGCACGGTACATACTCAGTCAGGACTCCCTCGACAAGACCGGTGCAAGGCGATCCCTTGCTCGCTCATTGCCATCGCGCCCTCGTGAGCCCAACAGCACTCCCATCGACGCAATATGGCCTTACCTTACTCGGATCTACCTCCTTCTCCGATGCTCACTTCGATACTCGATGATCTCAGACCATTCGTTCGACTCGCTCGTCGGCTCAACGATGTTCGGGGACTCGTATTGCCGAGGCCTGCCTGGCGAACATTCTTCAACGAGCAGCTCAATCACATCGCTGACCCACCCTCCCCTCCGGCCCCCCGATGTGCCCGTAGAATCACAGGTCGATGCTCATCCACCACGGCTGGCAGCATACAACCACGCGGCCGACTTGCTGCTGCGGCCCTCCTAATCAACGCAAAAAGCCCCTTCGCTGCGCAGCGCTTCAAGTCGGTCCCAATGCCCAGCTCAAACTCTGAGCGCAGTGGCTTAGCAAGGGGGGCAGTGTCACCACTTCGATGCTGTGGTGCAGTCAGAGGCGGCAATGCAATCACTACATCGTCTTCAGCTACACAAGTGCTCTACACTAGCAAACATGCGGTCTCCTTCTCAACTGCAGTCACCTAGAAAGTCTCCTTGCCACGGCGAGAAGGCGTGCTCACCACTGCCCTTGGAGCTGCGATGAGCCATCACTGACAATGAGCAGAGGGAAGGGAAAACTCGACGCGGTGGCGCTGGTGATTAGCGTCGCGGGCATGCGGGCAATGCGTCAAATACGCACGATTTGATATTGCTACGGCGTGTGCACGCGAGCGAGGTTGAGGATGACCTGCGCAGAGGTGGAGAGCCCGAGTCTTTGCGTTGAAGTGCAGGGACAACACAGGCACAGCTCCGATGCACTCAAGCATGGCCTCAGGGATGTTGCGGCGACTGCGCTGAAGAGGGAGCGGGAGACGGTCGTTCCGCCTGGGAAAGTGATCCATGGTACGCGGTGGCTCAGAACAGGGCGGCGTAAGTTGGCCGGAGAGCCCCGGAGAGGTGCGAGGTCGTGCTGTCGCGGCACCATGCTGGGAAAGTGTCTGCGCTGCGAGTACGCCGCCCATGAATGGTCATCATAGATGCAGCGTCAATGGACTCGTAGAGGGGAAGATGGGCAATGAGACTGAGATGCTTGCGAAGTCATCGGACAAGCACAATTCGAAGCAATTGATAATGATGATAATGATGATGGTAATGGAGTAGAAGAGGCGCTTGGCGCGAAGAAAAAGCAAACAGAGTACGGCAGCGAGTCTACCTCCCTCTCGTCGGGCGTCATCTCCCCACGAGGTACCCGCTTGGCAGCTGTGTTTTCTCGCCACTGCTGCTTGAGCCTCTCCTCCTTCTCCGCTGCCGTCATGCCGAGGAGCCTCTTGCCAGGCATCTTGGCGCGATTGATGTCGGAGGGAGGCTGTCTCGACCCACTCACGAGCGGGAGAGTACTCGTCGGGGACGAGGGCAGGGCCGAAGACTCGCCAGTCGTTCGCGATTGGCTGGGCGAGTTGGCTTCCCTCCTGATTCTCCTTCTTGACGGTGCTGCTGTGGGTAGGCCGGGCAGAGGCCAGGTCGTCGACACTTTCTTGCTTGACGCTCTCATCTTCATCGTGAAGGTCTGTGATGGAAAGATGGAGGCGAGTAGATCGTCCATTGCCTTTTGTTGCATCTCAACGCCTTAGTGATTGGACTCGGAGAGCCGTGTCCAGGCAGCACGGGCGAGCAGCGGCGTGGCCAGCTTGCCCTTTCTTGACTTGCGACTGATGATTATCTGCAGGATATCCCTCGCCGTCCAGGCCTCGCAGGTTGGTCCGTTGCCGTCGTTGAGAGGGAGCGAGTGGTGACATTGAGGCGAGTTTGAGGGAGAAGGTACGCTGGCACGAGGAAGGAAGGTGTAGGCGAGTGGTCGGGGCTTGTCCCGTTGTCGAGACCTACACGTACTACTGGGTACTCCCTCGAATACTACGCTGGGCGCACCCTGCTCCCACTAGCAGCCGCGAGCGCTTTCTTCTCTGCGCTCCTTTTGACGAAACTCCTGTCATCAATCTCCCTTTTCTTGGCCCTTTTTTCCTCCTCCGTCATACCTCCTCGCCTCTCGTACGCCCTCGTTGGCCCACCAGCCATCCTCCTGGCCCTCGCCAGGCGCCTCTGCACATTGGCGCGTTGAGCCTTCGCCTCTTTCGTCCAGCCAGACAAATCGGCGTTCACACGGTTGCGCAGAGGCACAGCGCTCGGCGGGGCAATCTCCGAATCCTCCTCCTCATCATCATCCTCATCTTCATCCTCCCAGTCAGCCTCCTCCCCAACGGCGCCGCCATTCCTCTCCTGTTGCTGCTGCTGCTTCTGCTGCTTCTGCTGCTGCTGCTGCTCCTCCTCCATCTCGGCCTCAGCCAGGAGGGCCCTCTTCTTCCCCCAAGGCATCTGCGCCCAGCGCAGCTTCTTGATCCTCGTGTTGACTTCGGGATCTTCGTGCTCAACATCCGTCCAAGGCCTCTTGTTGATCGCCAAGAAGCCCATGGAGTCGTGCGGCGAGATTCGATCGCCCCGGCCGCGGCTGTTGAGATGTGCAGGCGCAAGAGCGGGGCGACCAGTGGCGGCCGACGACGAAGAGGAGGAGGAGCTGGAAGGGCCAGCAGCACGGGAAACTGACGATGGACGAGGAGCGGCGGCCGACGACGAAGAGGGGGAGGAGGAGGAGGAGGAGGAGGAGGGCGAGGAGGAGGGCGAGGAGGAGGGCGAGGAGGAGGAGGAGGAGGAGGAGGAGGAGGGCGAGGAGGAGGCCACAGAGGGACCTACGATGGGCAGGAACGAGGACGAGCCAGCGGCGAGGGTGGACGGGCCCGAAACGGCCAGCGATGAGGAAGAGGAGCGGGAGGCGGCGGCAGTCTTCCAGTCCGACGGTCCTGCAGCGGCCAGGATCGGCGGGGAGGAGGGCGAATCGTCGATCAGGTGCGCCAGAGTGATCCTGATCTCCGTGGTGAACTGCGTGGTCTTGACAACGGGCTCGCCGAGGAATTGTCGCTGGACGAAGGATGGCCGCGAGGCTGGACGACGCTGCAGGTCGAGGTGAGTCAGCGAGGATGGTTTGTACTCGCGATCGCATCGCGCATGCTCACCTTGCCAATCGTGTGCTCTGTTGGGCGGGCGTGAGGCGCTTGTTCTCGAACAGATTGTACCTCTTCGTCTCCGGGGCCATTGCGGGACCAAGGTGATCTACCTCGCGACGGGCTTTGCCGATCGTTTTGATTCCCAGAGCCTCTTCTTCCTTGAGAGCTTCTCCGGGTCCTCATCTTCCCCATTCTCATCGCACCATGGCCTCTTCCTGAGCATCTTGAAGGCCAAGGGGTTCGACGGCGACCACTCGTCCGAGGGACCGCTCGAGCTAGGTCCGGCGCGTGGTGCAGGGGCGGCAGCGCGGAGGGTCGAAGATCCCGCTGCGGTCGAGGAGGAGGACGATGAGGAGGCGGAGGCGGAAAGACCGGCGACGAGCGAGAATGACGACGACGAGGGGCCAGGCTTGGCAGAGGAGACGGCGCTGGACGAGCGTGAGGCGCCGAATGTAGACGAGGCGGCGGAGCGGGCGGCAGGCAGGGTCGAAGGTCCCGCGACGGCCAGGATCGGCGACGGGGAGGGCAAATCGTCGGGCAGGGCGTGCGCCATGGTGATCCTCATGGTCTTGCAGAACTCCTTGCTGCTGACGACGGGCTCGCCGATGACCCTCCTCTGGACGAAGGACGACCTCGAGGCCGGGCGACGCTGCGACGACACGGGTGAGTGGTCAGCGAAGAGCGTCTCGAGGCGTAGAGCCGCGTCTCGCTCACCTTCCCAACCGTAAATTCCGTTGGGTGGTACTGGAGGTCCTTTGTGGCAAAGACCTGGTATCTGTGCGTCTCCAGCGCCATCGCGAAGCCAAGCGAGTACGTCCCACGACGAGCTTCGCCGATGACCATTTGGTGCATCAGCTCGCCCTCTCGCTTCACCCCAGACATCCTCCTATGGACCCATCGAATCAGCTTGCCCTCGCTGCTGCTGCTGCTGCCGCTGCCTCTCCCTCTCCTCTGTTTCGGCCTCACGGAGCAGGGCCACCCTTTCTCCATCGGGCGACTGGATCCACCGCAGCTTCTTCGCCCGCAAGTCCATATCCGAGTCCGGGTAGTCCATGTCCGTCCATGGCCTCTTCTTGATCGCCAAGAAGCTCATGGGGTCGTCCAGCGAGAGGCGTTTGCGCGCTGCCAGGAGCTTGGACGAGGAAGCAGCGGGGGCGACAGGCTGCAGCGTTGAGGGTCCGGCGATGGCTGAGGATGATGACGACGAGGTAGAGGGCGATGGGCGGGGAGCGGCGGCGAGGGCAATTCTTGAGCGTAGCGCGATGGCTGATGATGAGGACGAGGCGGACGGGCCAGCGGCGGCCAGGACGGAGGAGGAGGAGGCGGCGGCGGTGACAGGAGATGAGGAGGAGGTCGAGGGACCAGCGGCGGCGACGGCGGAGACGGGGGCGGACGGGGGCGCCACCTCCAGGATCGGCGAGGACGGGGGCGAATCCGAGAGAGGGTGCGACAACATAATCCTCATGGTCTTGAGCAATTGTGTTGTGGAGAGGATGGGCTCTCCAAGCACTGTCCTCGAAACGAAGGACGAACCCACGGCAGGGCGGCGCTGTGCGGGCGATGAAGAGCGGTGAGTGAGGACAGCATCAAGTCGCAGCGTCGAGTCTGACTTACCTTACCAAGCGTATGCTCAGACAGGTCGTACGTCTGACCCTCGGTCGCCATGAACTGGTGCCTGTGGGTCTCCGGGGCCATGGCGTAGCCAAGATGGTGCACTTGGCGGCGGGACTCGCCGATGACCATCTGGTGCATCAGCTCGCCTTTGCGCCTCGCCGGGTCGCTTGCCATCTCCAAGTACTCTTGCACCGTGCGAGCCTCAAACATGGCGCCCCGCCTTGGCATCGCCGAAGATGTAAAGGATCATGGCCGTGGGCCGAGCGTGCGAGAAGATGGCGGCAGCCAGAAACGAGGAGGCGACGGCGACGGCGGCAGGCGATGATGATGAGGAGGAGGAGGAGGAGGAGGAGGGCCAGCGGCGGGCGAGAATGACGACAACGAGAGAGCGGCTGCAGGCTTGGGAAGGGCGGCAGGCAGGGTGGATGGTCCCGCAACAGCCAAGATCGGTGACGGGGGGGGCGTGTCGGCGATCGGATGCGACCATAGGATCCTCATCGTCTTCTTGAATTCCCTGGTCGTCTTGATGGGCTCGCCGATGACCCTCCTCTGGACGATAGATGAGGTCGAAGCGGAGCGACGCTGCGTGGGTAGAAGTGAGTCAGCCAGGACGCTCTCGAACCGTAGAGCCGTGTCTTGCTCACCTTGCCGACGCTGTCTTGCGTTGGGCGGTATTGGAGGTTGGGCTCCGTGAAGAACTGGTACCTCTTGATCTCCGGAGCCATCGCAACCGCGTTGTGAAGCGTCCCTCGGCGGGACTCGCCAATCACCATTTGGTGCATCAGCTCGCCATGGCGCTTGGCCGGGTCGCTCGCCATCTCGAGGTAGTCTTGCACCGTGCGAGCTTCGAACTTGGCGCCTCCCTTCGCATCGCCGAAGACGTAGAGAATCATGGCCGTGGGTCGAGCGTTTGAGAAGAGATAGACTGCGCGGGCGAAGGGTTGCTAGAGGTCAGCTGCCGGACTCTCAAGACACAGGCGCAAGGATGGCTGCTACTCACGGAAGCTCCTCATGTCGTCACAAAAACCATCACGCCCCACCAACACGAAGCCGTCGGCGTCGGTAATCTCCTTGACCGAGGGCTCCCACACGACGTGCGACACCTTGCCCGTCCTCGAGTCTTGCTGCAACCCCGCCGTCGCCTTGCCCGCGCGCTAGTGGTGCTTCCAGATGAGCGAAGCGACGTCCTTCAGCCGACCACCATCGCTACCGTTCTCCGCAAATACGTGCCATAGCTCTTCAAGCGCGTTGAGGATCTCTCGGCTCCAGTCGTATTTTTTGGAACCGAGCTGCTCCAGCGACCGCTTGCCAAGAGCGTAGGCTCGGTGTTCTTGGTCTGCGTTTTGCCGAGGGCGGGGATCTTGAAGCCCATTGTGCTGGCCATACCGTAAGCGGTACGGACCTGCTTGAAGGAGCCTCGGAATCGCTTGGCCTCAACGGCGTCGAGCTGACGACCCAACAGCAGAGCGCAGCACGTGTAGGTAAAAAGAAGCCAGACCAGATCGCCTTGCCGTGGGACTCGCCTTACTCATGATCGTGCGTCCTCCGATGAAGGAAGCAACGTCCTTGAGGCGACCACCGTCCGCCTGGTTCTCCGAGAAGACGTGCCACAAGTCCTCAACGCCATCGAAGACCTCCTTGCTCCAATCGTATTTCAGCGGTCGCCTTCCACTCCAGCGGCCAGCGCAAAAGAGCATGGGCTCCGCGTTAGCAGAGCGGGTGACTTTGCGGACAGGGATCTTGAACCTGCCCCGGCCCGCAAGCGCGTAGGCCTCCCTAGTCTGCTTGAAGGAGCTCGTGAAGATGGCGACCTCCCGCTTGTCGAGCTTGTGGTGGAGGGCCCTCTCGTGGTCTTCGAGGCATCTGCGCAGAGCTTCATCTCCGCTCGGATGGGCTCCATTCCATCCATCAGCTGCTTGACTGCATCCGGCTCGCAGCGCCTGGCTGCGGCCCAAAGAGCGTCGCTAGGAGCAAGGGCGCCGAGGATGGGAGGAGGGGGCGAGCTGAAGGCGAGCTCGGCCGCGGCGTTGCGTAGGGGGTCCACTGATGGCACTGTGTGAGCAGCGAGGTGTTGTTGGTAGAGCGAAGATCGAAGGAGGCGACAGGCCAAGAGGCGAGGAGCGGAGCGGCGAGGAGCGGCGAGTCGAGGAGGTGTGATTGATTTGTTGACCTCGAGCTCGCTGAGAGCCAACTTGGGACGGTGCTTGACTGCACTGGGCTGAAGTCGCTCTGCGGCCTCCCAGAGAGCGTCGCTGGCGGCGGGAGGAGGCGACTTGAAGGCGCCTTCTGCCGAGGCGTCCATAATGGTGTCGACCGACGGCATATTGAGTGTGTGATAGGATCAATCGTTGGAGCTGGTGATGGTGCGAATAGGGTAAGGAGGAACTCAGGTGTGGTTGAGTTGTTTCCATCGAGCTCGCTGAGAGCCAACTTGCGACTGAGCACGATTCCTTCCTCCTTGACGGCGGCAGCGCAAAGCTTCATCTCAGCTCGCACATGCTCCGAGGCGTCTAGGACCTCCCTCGCGGTAGCGGGCTCGAGTCGCTTGGCTGTTTCTCAAAGTGCGTGGCTAGGAGGGGCGGCGTTGGAGACGGGCTGAGGGGGCGACCAGTCGTACGTCGGCGGCGGCCGCAACTTGCTTTAGGGAAGGCTCCCACAGGACGTGCGTGATCTTGCCCGTCTGCGCGTCACGCTGCAGGCCTGGCGTCGCTTTGCCGCATCTGAAGTGTTGCTTCCAAAGGAAGGAAGTAATGTCCCTCAGGCCATCTGCCTCATTCTCCGAGAAGACGTGCCAAAGGTCCTCGAGTGCCTCGAGGATCCCGTCGCTCCAGTCAAACTTTTTGGGCATCTTGCCGCTCCACCTGCCCGATCCGAAGATCATGGGCTCCGTGTTGGCGGCCACGGGGGCGACAGAACGGTCAGGCGGCACGTATTTGGTCACGCTAGCGAGGGAGTATGCTAGGCGGACTTGCAAGAACGATGCCTTGAAGGTCGCGGCCTCAAGGCGGTCGAGACTGCGACCCAGCTTCTGCTCGTGATCCTCCTTGGCAGCGGCGGCGAGAACCAGTTCCTCGTATGCCGGCTTCATAGACGCCAGAATCGCCCGGACAGCAGCCGGCTCGAGGCGCTCGGCGGCGGCCCAAAGATCGCGGCTGGGAGGGGCGGCGACGGAGATTGGCTGGGGTGGGTGCTGGAAAGCGTTGCTGGCAGCGGCGTTTCGTAGTGGGTCGACAGACGGCATTTTGAGTGTGTGAGGGATGCGATCACGGGTGGGAGAACTCAGGTGTGGTTGCTTCCATCGAGCTCGCCGAGAGCAATCGGCTGGGCCTTCCACCGTGCCCTCCTGTCTTCTCTACCATGAGTTAGTGAGAGACTATTGATGGCGTATCACTGTGCGCGTAAGGCATCAGAGAGGTGTTTCGCCGTTGACTCGAGGTTGATAGTGAGGAGCTCGGGTAGCCACGCTGAGTGCCGACGGAGACGAGGGGGAGCAGAGTCATTGATGGTGGCTCTGTGCCCTGCCTCAGCGCGAAGATAGCGAAGCTGGCTGGGCTGCCACCGTCGGTGCTAGCCGTCGTTGATGACATGTCGCGACTCAGGCTGTAGTGAGAGAGCGTGAGGGTGTGTGCCAACGATGCAGGGCGGCGTGGAGGCGACCAGAGGTTTGCGCGTTGGCGGGCGACTGCAGGTAGTCGAGCTCCACGTCGTGAGAGGAGAAGACTTGATCACCCTTCTTGAGCTCCGGACTGCGGCGGTGGGGAAGAAGAGTGGGGTCGTGAGTGGCGGCTCATGTCAGCGCTTAGACGAATCCACTCACTCAATGTATCAATGTCGCAGTAAGTCTCTGCTCTGTCATTGATAACGAGACCGTCGCCGTGGAGGAGCCTGCGAGCGTCGAAGGTGTCTACCGTCGAGACTTGCGAGACGCATCGTGGGCTTGAGCCGTTCAGCCGTGCCTTCTGCGTGATGGCGCAGAGAGCTGGGAGGCGTGAAGCTAGGCAGCGTGGTGTTGGCGTTGGCGCCGTGTCGCGTACTGCGAGGAAGGGGAAGAGGTGCGGGTCAGCAACTGCTCAGCCGTGACACTCAACCTCACTCGTTGTAGTCGCACCCACCTGACTCGCTATAATGCCCGAACACGGGCGTGCCTTTTGCGAGCAGCGTGACCTTGACGGACGCCAGGACGGCTTGACCAGCTCCTACGGAAGCCACGAGCGTGGTGCGACGAGGTGACGAGGGTGACGCGATGAAGCCACGGATGAGGTGCTGAGCACGGTGGGGGAGCCGGTAGGAGAGTGCTGCTGGTACAAGTTGATGAACAGATGGAGCTTGATGGCTAGCTTGGAAGCTTGGAGTAGCGACAGACTTCGACGTGCGCGCGGCGCGTGGGAGGACAAGGCCGTGAAAGAGAAAGGAGGTGCGATAGGGTGAAGCACGTGTGCCTAGCCTTGCCTCGCCAGGCCTGACTCGGCCGGTGCGCAGGTCGGTGCGCAGGTCGGTGCACAGACCGGTGCGCAGGCCGTTGCTAGACTTTGAGCTTGTCGCGGACTCCAGGCGAGGGAGAGACGGCGTGCTGAGTCGTCGACACCGAGTGGAGATTCGATACCAGCACGGCGCGGTGAGACCGGGCACCGAGCGGTCAGAGACGGACAGGTGGACGGTGTGGTACAGGTCGAGCGAGGTGGAAGAAGAGCGACAGCAGTGTGAGATGGTGCGATGAGGTGCACGAGGACGAGTGGCGAGGAGTGGATGGAGCGAAGCCAAGTTGCTACACAGCCCGTCTCGCTGGCCTTGTCTTTGTTCTTGCTGGCAGATGAGCCGTCGCCGTGCGGATGTGCTGGCCAGGGCAGGTGATTGCAGGTGCTGAGCGTGTGCTGAGCGTGTGTGCTGGGCGCGAGTGCTGAGCGCGGGTGTTGATTGCGGGTGATCAGCGCGGTTGCTGAGCACGGCTTGTTCCTGACGGCGGTCTCCCCCTGCTCACGGCGGTGATGGCGAGTGCTTGCTCTTGCTCAGCATGACGGTCGGGCTGTGCTAGCGTTGGTGCGACATTGCTTGATTGCGGAGCGGCGCAAGTGCCTGATGTGACTGGGTATTGCTCATGGTCGTCGTGATTGATGGTGTGGTGTGGAAGCAAGATGAGGCGAGAGTGGGGCGGTGGCTCAAGCTGGGTGTTGGCTCTCGTGCGTCTGGCCCACTTCCGCCTCCCCTCGGGGCTCCGGTCGCCACGCGACGTTCGCGCCTGGCCACGCTCCGCGCCATTGACGCCATCGACGCACGCTCAAACGCCTTGTTTTGCTTTGCATGAGATGGTGTTACCCCCGCCCCTTGATAGCTCGCTGTCGAAGCAGCGCAGTACAACGCAACGCAGGCAACGCATCGCAAGCAACGCATCGCAACACCTGCGCCAGTCCCGCGGGTAGGCTGCCGGCCGTGCATCCACCGGACGTTGACGCTCGAGAGCGAACGTGGCAGTGCAGGCGGAGAAGAAGCGGAGCACCCAGAAGGACGGACGCCATGGTACGGCTTGCTCGCCATGCCTATTTCGGTGCTGCAACGCCACGCACGGCGATTGAGAGATGCCCTATTTTCCCGATGGTGCTCCTCATGTCGAGCGGGTCGGGCGCTCGTTGAGCGGCCCTGGAAGCGAGGGCGATTGAGCGCACGGTGTCGATCAAGAGGGCCACGGGCGCGCCCGCGCGCCATGGTACGCGGGGGTCGCGACGGCCGTTGATTGCTAGTCAGCATAGGCTGTGCCAGCCGTCGCCGCGATCCTCTCCCCTCCTCTTCTGCAATTTAGTTACGCTCCTTCTCAACTCCTCGCCACCCTCACTGCGCTGCCCTCATCGCGATGCCTTCTCGCCGTCCCTTCTCGTGGACGGTCCGTCAGGAAGTCGCCTCGACCATCTCAGCGGCTCTGCGGTGGATTCTTCAGCGAGTTCCCTTCCTCACTCATTTCCTCGTCGTCCTCCTCGCTCTTCTAGGCCCCATCGTCTGCCCTCGACTCTGCGCTTTTGTCCTCGTAGGCACGCACATAGTCTTTGTCCTCTGCCAGACGCGCACGGCGTACGGCATCTATGCCGCTTGGCAGGGCGTCAAGAAGCACTCGTTGACTGACTGGGCTCTCGAGTGGGAGAGTGGTGTCAAGGGAGCGCAACATGAAGTCCTCAACTACCGCGACGTCCAGCATGGGATCATCTTGCCGGCTTACAAGGAGGACCTGGCAACGCTACGCGAGGTGAGCCGGCCCGGGGGAAGGCGGCAGCGCGGTTACGCATCGTATTGACCGACACACATCCTCAGACCCTTGATATTCTGGCCTCGCATCCCATGGCCTCGACGAACTACTGGGTTTGCCTAGGCATGGAAGAGCGCGAGGCAGGAGGCGTCACCAAGGCTCGCGCCATCGTAGACGGCTACCGCGCTCGTGGAGCCTTCCGTGACATTGATTTCTCTTTGCACCCCGGCAACATCGTAGGCGAAGCAGCAGGCAAGTCGTCGAATGTCAACTGGGCAGCTCGATTTCTCGTCAACCGAATTCCAGAGCGCCACCACTCGCAAAGCATCATCACGGCAATGGACGCCGATACCGCCTTTGCCGCCGACTTCTTCCTTGCCTGTGCCGTCAAGTTTGCTTTGGCTCCCCAGCACGAACGAGCCCGAATGTAGGTCGGAGCGGGTCGTCGTGATCATGGCACGCCTGTATTGACTCATTGCTCGCGCGGCACGCGCCACCCACGCCGCCCGCACCACCAGGATGTTTGTCCCGCCCATCGTCTTTGACCGCAACTGCGCCGAGGTCCCCATCTTCACTCGCGCCACGGACATCTTCTGGTCTTGTGCCGGTATTGGTGGCATCTACCCGTCGAGTCAATGCAAAATCCCAACTTCCGCCTACGCTGTCAGCATGCAACTCGCCGAGTACTGCGGTTACTGGGACGCAGGACCAGAGGCCATCGGCGAGGACCTCCACTTCTACTGCAAAGCCCTCTACGAGACGCGCGGCAACGTCATCTCGGTCACCGTCTACTCGCCAGCATCACAGTGCAACGTCGTAGGAGCGCCAGCAAAGGGCCCGATCGCCAACTACGTCAATGACATGAAGGCTCGGTGGACGCAAGCATGCCGACATCTGTGGGGCAGCCTCGACTGGGGCTATACATGGCATCGCACCCTGACTGGCGCCTTTGGGCCATCGCAACAGAGCACCGCCGCGTACATGGCGCTTCAGACCGTCGAGAGCAGCCCAGGCTCAACCTGTGTCGGTGACGAGGGCATGGACGTCGAAGCCACGCTGCTGCCACCTTCTGCCTTTGACCAGCGTACACCATCCCCGAGCGGCTCAACAAGTACGGCCTACAGCGTTGAGGAGGAAAAGGGAGAAAAGGTGGGCCAGCTCGATCCTCCTACCGTTGCGCCCAAGCCACTTCACCCTCGTGTGTCTTTTGCCATCGATGACGATCAAGAGGACATCGAGGAGGTGGATGAACGCAAGCAGTTCATGGCGAGTGGCTACGTCGACGATTCTGCCAAGCCGCTGCGACGAGCTTTCCGATTCATTGTCCTCCACACGAGGCTCTACGAGGTAAGCGCAGCCGCCGCGCTGCTTGAAGCTATCGACTCGCGCATAGCTGACGTCTGTCTTCCCGCGCGCCAGGCTCACCTCATGGTCGCTCACGTCTTTGTCATGATGTTTGTTCTCACCCTGTTGCCCGCCGTCGTTCACCGCAACGGTACCATCTCCCTCGTCGACCCGTATTCGCGCAAATGCACCTGGGCCATGTGCAAGCATGCTCTGCAAGTCACGCCCTTCGCTGCTACGGCTGATCTGCCCTCAGATCTCGCACCAGGCTATCAGCCGCAGTGGATGATGCCGGACCTGATTCTCTGCGCCATGAACACGGCCCGCCTTCTTGGAGCGCTCGGCATCCTGGCCACGATCGTCATGTGCGCGATTCACGACTTCTACCATGCCGAGGCCGCCAAGGCACGCTGGGCTCGATCCGACGCCGTCATTGCTTCGTGGCGAACGGCGGGCAGTCTTGGCCAGGTCCCTACTCGCTATCTAGGCATCCGAGCCCACCAGCTCGCTGAACGTAGATGGCCCCGAGCCCTACTGGATTACACGGCTATCCCTGCCGGTCTGCTCTACGGCATCCTGCCCCTCCTTTATGCTCAGCTCCATCACCTCACCACCAACAAGATGACCTACGTCGTCTCCGCCAAGGGCAAAAACGTCGTCTTCCCTGTATCGGACGAGGTGCTGCGCAGGAGCGTAGACGCGAGGCGTAGCTTGGACATCAACTCGCGGAACCGTCGCGCGTCCTCGAGCGCAGCTACCGTCTCGCCTCATACAGCAGCCGTCGTAGCCGCTGCGGCTATGGCACGCATGTCACACGATGAGAGCCCGCCCTCCTGGCTCGAGAGGACAGCATCGATGCGCAAAACGAAGCGTTGCGAAACGAAGCAAGGGGTTGATGGGGACAAGGTCGACCCGGACTCGTTGCCGATGCACCACCTTCGATGGGAGAGCGGGACATAAGGCAGCAGCGTGAGATCATGCTCCTTCTTCATTCACTTTCGCGGATCAGTCCTCGATACCCTTACTCTTGTACTTTGATGGCCACACGCTCGCTACGCGCTCGCTACACACTCTCTACACGCTAAAAGTCGATGCATTTCCACGCCTCACTCACGCCCTGAGCATGAGTGAAGTCACCGCCATTGCAATGAAAGACAAGAGCAGCGCAATGCCTCTGCTGGCTGCTCCTGATGCTTGGCCTCCCTCCCTCTGCTTCCCATCGTAGCTCTCGCACAGTAGCGCAGCGGGAGGTCCACCCACCTTGCCCTTGTTGGTGAACGCATAGCCCACGGCAAGTTCCCCCTCATCGCAGGCTCCTGCGCTGGTACCTGGTCCTGCAAAGTCACCATGAACCGTTGCCGCAGCGTTGCTACCTCCGTCGAACCACACAGTGCGCCGCATGGCCAGGGTAGCATTGGTCGTCGGCGCCTCGCTGACTATTGGCGCGCAGACGGCGGACTTGCTCATCGGAGCAGAGTACGAGTAGCCTACGAGAAAGGAGCGCGAGGGGCACTCAAATTTCGTATAGCCGCGCGCCCAGTCCTTGGAGACATGTTGCTGCGACTGCACTACGGTCAGGTCGTTCGTGGCATCCCAGAGGTTGCGACCGAAGTGGACGTCGGTGCAGAGTCCACGCGGGTTCGGCGTATGGCTCAAGCCCTGTAAGCGCAGACCGTCCGGGCACGAAGCCTTGTTCGAGCCAGACTGAGATGGGTTGTGGGTGAGAAGCCAATTACTCTGTTGCTGTGATCCCCAATCAGGCGCCAGCATTCTCCAGACTTCCACCGGCTCCACCGCATCGTTGCGGCTGTACGTCGAGTCATTTGTGAGATTGCGCCATCCGCTGAGCCTCCAGTCTCCCGAGTCGAGAATCGAAAGCTTGGCTCCTTGCGAGTCGTAGGCGTTCAACGCCCACAAGTCACCTTGACCATTCTCTTGCCACCCCAGCAGCGGCCAAACAGCAAAGTCCAGATCGCCGTCCCTGAGGATTTGCGTAAAGTTGGCCCACCAGCGTCGATCTACCGCAGAGAAATCGTTGCGTCCGCCGACACCAAATTCAGAAATCCAAACCGGCGCCGTGTAATGTTGCTGAACGGCGTCTACGGCGGTGGCTACGTAGCCCGCCAGGGCGTTGAACGTGCTGCGAAGCTTCTCCGTGCTCAGGTCGCCATAAGTCGGATCATTTGTAGACCCAAAGCCACCACCTGCACCTGTAGCATTTGGGCCGGTATAGGCATAGAAGTGCGAGCTGTACACGAGCTTGTCGGGGTAGGGCAGCGCGTGTGAGAGATGTCGGACAGGATCAAGCTCGGGCCGGTAGTGAGGCAGCGAAGGGATGGGGACGCCAACCCAATTGATGCCCTCGATTACGATCAAGACGTCGCGGCTTGCCTCGCGTTGGATGCGTGATGCAGCCATCATCGAGGCCGTGTACCAATCAGGGTCACCTCCTCCACCCCAGATCGGGTCGGTGAAGAGGTCGCGACGTACCTCGCTGCACGTGAGGAGGCGTTGCGCGAGGTCAGCTTTAGCGTACTGTGTTCGACCGATCTGCTTCTCACTCACTTGTACAGCGCTGTGCCAACGACGCGGGAATTGTTGGCGTAGCGGCTGACGATGTACACCCAATCCCGGATCCAGAGCTCAGTAGATTGAGCATCGTTCCACCTGGCATTCTGATCCAGCCCGCAGCACCATAGACTCTTGACCGTGTGGTTGTTGAGGATCACAGCCAGCCCTTTCTTCGTCAATGCCTTGATCACCTCATCGAATACCTCCAGCGGCGTCTTGTTCCGTAGCTGCGGGTTTGCCCCAAGCGCCTTATCAGGCACGTATGCCTCGGCGTGAATCATCTCATTCGAGAAAGGCAGTCTTATCGAATTGACGCCAAGCGCGATGATGTCGTCTACCAGGTCGTCGAGAGGCTTGCGATCCAAGCAGAGAATGGTTTGATAGGCCACCTCGCCCGCGTGATGGTTGGCAGCATCGTCGTAGTCGCCGCGGCCAAGATAGGTGCCTGATGCGCCGTGTAGGTTGCCACTGCGCAGGTGGAAGCGCTTACCAATGGCATCGACGACGTAGCGGCCGCGAGTGCTGAGAGGCGGCGTCCAAGAGAGGAGGAGGGGTGCATCGGCGAGAGTCGAGGGGGCCGCGCTGGAGGGAGCCGCCGATGTTTGAGCCAACGCTGCTCCTAGCGTCGCTGCCAGAAGGAGTATAGACTTGGCGGGCCTCATGGTATGAGTTTGCCTCTGCCAGCTCAAAGAGATGTTGAGATAGAAGTCAGGGCAACGGCATGCTCAGAAGAGCAAGCCATGGTCGCGCCCGTCTGGAGCCTTGGTAGCGATGAAAGGATCAGCTGCTCCTTTCCGCTCTTAACGCACGCTAGAATGAACGCCGATGGTCGCCTTGGCCCTCAATTACTCCTGTCGATTGAGATCACAGCCTCGTTGAGACTGCTGAGCGTCGAGGTGAGGCGAGCACGTTGCCGCCGTCTTGCCGACCCAAGGGGATGGCGTCAGACGGTGAGGCGGCCAAGCTCCGCCTCCGCCTCGCCTCCGCCCCGCCACACCGGTCTCATTCGCTGCCGCGTTGAAGTCGACCTGCAAATTGGTATTCAAGTGACTCGAGAAGAGAGACCAACAGAGGAGAAAAACGTCAAAAGCCGATCAAGGCATCGTGTATGCATGACGAGGCGAACGAGACATGCTCCGTTTGAGGAGATCGAGTTCGACCCGGCTCAAGTGAAAAGAGAAAAGAGACAAGGACACGACGATGAGTTGGGGAAATGCGAGGAGCCGAGAGAGGTGATGAAGTGATTTCAATGGGGGGGCCATCATTGCGCGAGTAGTGATGGTGGGGAGCACCGCAAGGTGAGGGACCGTCGAGCGTAGGGGCGTGCACGCCCGACGGACCCATCTCATTGCACAAAGCTCGAGTTGCCACCATCACCGTCGCCGTTACCGTAGCGGTCTGCCGTCGAAGGGCGAGTGAGCATGATAGGCCCGAGGTCCCCCGCAGAAGGGTCGATGTTGTTGTGCTGCTGTTGAGACAGCGCGTAGTGCTGCTGCTGCTGGGAAGGAGCCGCCATTTGCTGAGGCGAGCTGTTGTAGGGCTGGGCGACGCGGCCCGGTGTGCGGCTGCCGTAGACGTCGAGGCCAGATCCTTGGTGTTCGTTACCGCCATTGCTGTACCAATAGTGCTGCTGGTCCGTCGACCCGGTCTGCTCCTGCCATCGCGGCTGCTGTGACTGCTGCTGCTGCTGATAAGACATGTACTTGGACGTCTCAGGCGTCTCGCCCATCATGACGGAGGGCTGGCCGTAGACGGGGGCCAGATTCTGATTCTGATTCTGAGCTGCAGCTGGTGACCATGATATATTGCCCTCAGCGCTTCTACTGGCCTTGAGATCGTAGGCAGACGGGTCACGGAACCCCGCAGAGTGGGCGAGGTTCTCGAGGCTGGCAGAATGTGCGGCGACTTGCTGTTGATGATCGAGATTGGAGCCGAGCATGGCAGGGAGACCTGACGAATTGTGGGGCTGATGATGAGCAGAGACTGGCCGCCCATCGCCATTGGCAATCTTCATGCCGCTCAAGCCCAAGGTGGTCCCCGGGAAGCCTGCATCGCTGCTTCCCGTAGACGAGCCGCCTCCTCCAGTGTGGAAAGAGTCCCGGAGGGTCGCATGGCTTGAGTGAGAGTGCCAAGTGCCCGTCGTCGCTCCTCGTGGTCGACCGAGGGCCTCGTTGCCGGCGAGTGTATGCTGAGCTGCAGATGTCCAAGGGAGGACACGATTCTGGAAGGATGGCGATGGTTGACTATCGTCATGTTTCATGCCACCCCAGCTGCTGCTACCGTCGTCGATGCCGCTGCCGCCGAGAGGGAATGGCCCGGGATGGTCTCGTACGCTGAACGTGTTGCGGTGTCGTACAGGGGCTCCCACGCCGAGTGCGGAAGAAGATCCGCCAAACCACGATGCTGATCCGCCACCTGCTTCCATCGGCGAAGCCTCCCCGGATGTGCCCATCGAGAGGCTAGGTCGAGAGCCTGGTAGCGGATATGGCTCGTACCGGCTGTTGCCGCTAATCCTCGACCCTCCCGTGACACCGCCTCGTCCATCACGTGAGAGCGTCCCAATGGAGAGTCGCCGTGGGAACCCTCCTCCTCCTCCTATTGACACCGAGTCCGGACCTGCGTAGTATCTTGGGTCCATGCCGAGGTTCATCATGCCGGGTGACTGCATGCCCGCATGTGCGCTTCTGCCGTCGCTACCATCACTTCCCGATCCAGTCCCTGCTCCTGCTCTGCGCGACGCCTCGCTGCCATCACCGCGGTATCGGAGCGATCCGTCCGGCATCACCTCGATGTCCGGCGGGTTACGGAAGTTTGACTTTTGAAGGATGATGGGCGAAATATGGAGACCAGAGATCTCTGGCAGCGAGAGGGGCGTGCGAAGGCGGCCGTTGCGGACGTCGTCGACCTTGTAGTACGAGACGAGATGCTGAGTGGATCCGTCGACTTGAATCGAAATCGTCTTCTTGCAGAGGCCGTCCTTTGCGAATGGGTAGCTGTTCCGCAGGCTGCCTACGAGGGCGCGCTCGAGGTCGGCTTCGCGACGCGCCGCAGAGTGGGACGCGTGTGATGGCAAGGCGGCCGCAGCGGCGTTGTAAGAAGAGGACATGCCTTGGGATTGCGGCGAGTACCACTGCGAGGATGTCGCAGGAGCTCCTCCGTCGAACCAGACCGACGCCGAGTCGGACGCGCTGCTCACTGCTCGTCCGCGTCCCTTGATGTCGTGTTGGGGAAAGCCCAGACGCGCTTGAACTGGAGAAGTTCTCGTCGAGCTTGGCGCAGAGTCGCTACCGGTGCCAAAGCCGTGAGCCAAGGGATCGATCGACAGGTCCGAGGTAGCCAAGGTGGATGCCGTGGCGTCTTGTCCCTTGCTCGACTTCTTTTCAATCTGGCGATAGACCTATGCAGGGGTGGCCATGGCGCCGTGATTAGCGTCACGACAAGATGAATTGGTTCTTCGTCGCCGGCGCGCAACTCACCAGAAAGTTCCACAGAATACGACTGGGACTCCACAGCAGACCATCCGTCCATCTCTTGATGCCGCTCTCATGCTCGTCAAAGACGAACACCGACCCGCTGCGAATGAGCTTGCGCTCGTCGTCTCTCAATCGACGCGGCACCTTGGGCATGATGCCACGGCGAACGCATTCGAAAATGAGAAGGGCATCGTGAGTGCTCGAACTGCGGCAGCGCGGGCGAGAAGGAGGGTCAGTCGTCTCCCACGACGCCTTGATTGTCATCGCACCCGCGCTCGCACCCGCGCTCGCACCCGCGCTCGCACTCACATATAGCCTGTGAAGGTGGGCTCGCCGATGGCTTGCGACATGTTTTCGAAGCAGCTGTGTTCGACGGTAGACAGAAGGAGCTGTGTGAGCGAGAGGCGTTTTCCAATCTCAAGCTCAAATACGTACCCGGACGGCGAATGAGATCGATTTGCCAATAGCGTTGAACGTGAACCTTGACGGCCGACGTCGGCGAGGGTGGTACCGAGTCAGGTCGAGTCGCTGCGTGGGAACGTAGCGGTGGCTGTGCTTTGGAGGAGATGTTTGGAACAAGGAGAAGATGGGAGGAAGCGAGTGTCAGTCGGGGTGGCATGACGCAAGCTTCACGATGAGATCCCTCAGCTGCGCGTGCGCGAGATGGTCCAAGCATCAAGGAGTCTCACCGAAACCGCGGACCTCTGGCTCAGACTCCATCACCTAAATGCCGCCCAAGGGTCTCACTTTTTGCTGCCGCCAAGAGCAAAGGTCTCGGTGCTCTCGCCGCTGCCCTCGCAGCCCTGATCGCAACCCGCTGACGAGAGCCAGAGCTTTGACGGCTGGCGATCGGGCAAACGAGAGCAGCGGTGTTTGCTGCTATTTCCGAGAAGGACGGATTGGCTGCTGCCCGCAGGGAAGGCAGGGATGGACATCCCGTTTCCCCGCTCTCCGCATCGCTCTGCTTTGGTCTCGCTGGATCGAACTCACATCTATGACAAGATCGGTATCTGTGTGCTTGGCAGCCTCCAAATGACCCGAGTCTCGGAAGGCGGTCGTACGCGTGGGGAAACCAAAGACCCGAGGAACCAGCAGCGGAGAAGAGGAAGAGGGGGGTTGCAGGGAGGTGTCCGCGGCGGCGGAGTTGTGCACGGACGGTGAAGGAAGTGTTGCTGCGCTCCTGGCGGCTGCAGCAATCGATTGCTGGCAGTGTGTGGTAACGATGGCGAGGCTCACTGAGGAGAAGACGCGTGGCGCGTGTGTGACAGTGCTTGTCGCGTTGAAGTCCTGCGGCGGTGTCAAATGGGGGACAGTCGGGAGGCTGCCAATAATATATCGTCCTCAGCTGCCAAGAATGAGAGGATGAGGTTCTGCACGTCGAAATGACGATAGATTGTCGAAAGGGGTTTGACGGCAAGAAGGATCTCGTAGTCGACTTGTCAACGACAATGACGGCGACGGCGATTTCTTGGTGCGCTGCGCGAAGACGGGTGGCAGCGCCGGGATGCGTCGTGGATGGGACCTGGCCTATCAAGGGGGCGAGATGCTGCAACTAGCCTAGCCACTATGCCCGATGGCGGCTATTGTTGACGAGGATGAATGGGGAGGAGGAGAGAGGGAGCAAGGATGCAATTCGCCTGATTCCTGGCTGTCAGACTGGCTCTACTCCTCTTGAGGGAGGGAGGGAGCTAGCTAGCTGGCTGTCCCGTGTCTATGCGGGCCGGCTAAGGTTGGCGTCGCTGCAGGACGTCTGACGAGCCTGAGAAGATCGCACTGGGTCGCCTTTGGATCGACAAGGTCCGGGTAAGGTCGGACGTGCTGCCCGATATCAAGGGGCAAAGGGGAGGGCAGGCGAGCGCTGTACGAAGGTTGACGTCGTGCTCGAGCTGGAGCTGAGTTGGGTGTCGTCGTCCGGCGGTCGTAGTAGCGTGGCTGTGAGATAGCTGCCGCTTGGCGCTGCTTTGCTGTTGCAAGCTGCCGCTGCTGTCCTTATTGACGAGGGCGCTGTTGTGCGTCAAAGAAGAGTAGCGTTTGCTGGGCGCCTCTGTGCATTCGCGAGTGGACGCGCACAGATAAATGGGGTTGACGATGGAGAAGAGAACGAGAGAGACAAGAGGCAGACAGAGACGAAGAAGAGGCTGCAGTCGTGATGGTGTTCGGTGGGGGGTGGCGAGGGTCCGTCGTCGAAGAGAGTTGCAGTTGTTGAGCTAGTCGAGCGACTCAATGCATCTGGCACGCGCGTTTAGAGTTGAGGAAGATGAAGGGAGGCGGGGCAGCAAAGGCGTCACTCCTTGTCGAGCGGAATCGAGGTCGAGGAGCTGCTGAAGTCAAAATGGAGCTTCCTTGGTACAGTAGAGCCGCCGCCCCCCTCTCTCTCTCTCCTTGATGTCGCAAGAGGCTGGGCTGTGGAGAATGAGCGCAAGTGACGAATGACGAGGAGTCAAAGGCAGGTCAAGTGGAAGTGTGTGTGTGTGGGAGAGTTGCATCGTCTAGTCTCCACCATCCGCCTTGGCCCTGCTCCTGGCCGCCGCCGCTGCTGCCGCCGCCGCCCTGCTCTTTGTCCGAGACCACAGTCGATCTCGTCTCGTCGTTCCTTCCTCACGATGAGACGTCGGCTAAATTAAAAGACAGACGAGAGTCGACTGGTCGCGACTCGCGAGGCGGGCAGCTTGGCGTTCTCGCCTCTTTCCCTGCGCCCGCACGTCCGAGCGCAAGACTTGTCCGCGGCGTATGAGCAGCCCGCGAGGCACCCAAGGCCTGAAACCAGTTCCCATCAGAACTTCGTCCCAACAGAGGCCGCCTCGAGCTCTCTTTTTCCACGCCTTTTAGGGACGCAACCGGCCCCCTACCGTCACCGCCGCCGCCGCCGCCGCCGTCGTCGCCGTCAACAGGGTGCGACGACACAATGTTGCTCACAAAGCCCCGCCGAGATCGCATTCAAGATCGAGATTGGATGGGAGCAATGCGGGAGCGCGACCGAGGACCCTGACTCACAGTCTTCGCTCCTCGCTCATCGACGAGCGTCGGCGTTGATCAACAAGCCTGTCGCTGAGTGCGAGTTGAGGAGCAGAGGCGAGCGTGGGTACGTACGTAGTAATTCAGCACCGCTCTAGGCCTCGCCTGAACTTCTTCACGCTTCTTCCCCTCCCCATCCCACTCCCACTCCTAGCTGTCCAATCGAGTCGTAGCAAAGATACACCGGCATGCAGAGTCTCCCCGATGCGTCTGCAGATCCGGCCCTTGAAAGACGTCGATGATTGTCCTTGCTCACTTTCTCACTCAGGCGCCAAACTTCGCCTTTACGAGTGTGGGCGCAAGGGCGGCTAATGGTGGTACCCCACGATCCAAGAGAGCGCCGCTCACATCTTCGCCCTCGCCTACCAGACCGAGAGTCGCAGACTCCGAGCGACGTCGGTTGGTGGATCTGATCCTTTCGAGGGACTAGTCTCAGGCGGTGCCCCCACCCATTTTTGCCGGGGAACTCGCTTGCTTGAACAGACGAGCTGAGAAGCAATCAATTCACTGACAGGACTGTCGGCGGTGATGACCATCACGACGACCACGAAGAATTAGCTCGGACGCCTCCCTTGTTACGCATGAGTCCCTCGCAGTGTCCAAAGGTCTCAGCGCCATCTTCAAACGTCTATGCTTTGCTGACAAGACCGCCCTGACCCTGTTCTTCATCGACAAAGCAGCCAGTCTCGGTGATGCGCCGCGCTGACGGCCGCATGAGATTTCCCACGCCTGACGCCTGCAGTCCGAAGTGAATCGCAGCGTCGCCTGCGCCAGTCAGAGGCGAAGAGGAACGACGAAGCTCCGACGGCGAATCATTTCCGTGCCCCGATCCTGCTTTCCCCTCGTCGTCGTCGACGTCTTCGACTGTCGGCTTACGCACGCCAAGCGGCCCCAGCTCGAATACGAGGACGACCGTTAGACGCGAGGTACTAAGAACGAGCGGCATTCACTCTTATTTCGACGACCGAAAGGCCGTTTAGCATCACGACAAGCTGTCAATCAGGCGCGCGTGTATGGTACCATGTCTCGGGAATAGTAAATTGGCAGGTTGGCATGCGGTACGGACATTGAGCGGACACACGTCTCGCGTGGGCCATACTAAAACGTCATTGGCTGCTACGGACCGCTCGCGTGTACATCGCCCGACTCCCGCTACCACGTCTAAGGCCCATGGAGAGACCTCGGCGGGCTGGTAAGATTCATGGCATTCTATCATTGCAGTGGTGTAGTGGCCGACCAAGACCTGCGATGCGAGACAGTTGCTTTATCGCACCTCAGTGTGCTGGCCGGCCTCACCAGACCTTGACTAAAATCGACGCGGAAAATGCGAGCCTCCGAAAGATCCGCAACGCAATTCGATCGAGGAGAGTTCAGGGGTTGGCGGTCTCTTGAGCTTGACGGAGCACATTACCATCGGTCAAATCAAAGAAAAGAGGAGGCGTCGTCTTGTCGTCGCCGTCAACGGGGCTCTGAGATGCCGAGGACATGGCGAGCAACCCGTTGCAAGGAGGTGCGGGGTTACAACCAAATCGGGATGACGTCTAGAACAGCACGGACGTTGTCAATCAGACATTGCTGCTCATCGTCATCCTTCCTTCAGCGTGGGAATACGATCTGGTTGAACCCGGATGTTGCTAGCCGGACAGATCCGAGCGAAGGCGTCTAATAAAAGGCGGAAGGATCAGTGATCACAGAGATGGAGCAAGCTGAACTGCCCTTGCAGCTTCGCCGAGAAGACACCGCTACTCAGACGCGAGCTATGGAGCAAGCTCTCGACCATGACTGAGCCGCCTGGCCCATCGATAGGCCTGGCGAGGGCAGCATTAGGATGTGACGAGCGGAGATGATGCCACCGATTGCGAGATTTCGCGTAGTGCTTCACCGCTATGATGCAAAAAGCATGACTTGCGATCTCTCTCACGCATGCTGGGGCCCGAGCTCGATCTCCCCGCAACGTGAGAAGCCGAGATGAAAGGCAACCAGGGCAGCGGACAAGGTTGACGAAGATGGCGGTGTTGCGGAGTGGCGTGTCGGCGCGTCGCCTCTAGGACCAGGCGGAATTCACCTGGGAGGGCAGCGTGTGTGACTCAACTCTCCTGACTGGTTCGTTCGTGACGATCGGAGCTCAACACGGCACGACTCGTATTGTCAGTCTGGCATCTCTCGATTGTCGACCGCCTTCATACCAAGCAGGTCAGCTGCTGTCAGTGACGAGGGGCGCGTGAGCGACTCTTTGATTGCAAGGTAGCGCTTGCTGCGTCGGGCTCCGCACCTCACCTTGTCCTACATTTCACAATCGCCGTCAGGCTCCCCGTCTGATCGCTTCTTCGTACCTCCTCCGCCTCGTCTCCTCTTGGCCCTCCTTGGTGTAGAGGTCTCTACCACCGCCACCGCCACCGCCTCCACTGTGAGAGGACGACGACGTCTCTCTTCCGACCTCGTGAGCATGCAAGAGGGGACGACTGCCCAGCCCTGCCCGACCAGAGGTCGTACGAGCTGCGATTGGGTCTTGGCTGGCCCACGATGTGGATGCGGATATTGACTGATCCTGTGCTGCGCTCGCTAGACATTGACTGTCTCTTGCAGTCATCTGCGCGAAAAGCTGGTAACCGCGGTTGTCCGCTGAAAGCGCTCGAGGTGGCGAGCGAGATTGGAGAGGCGCTGCAGGGGCGGTATACGACTGGCCGGGAGGATAGGGCGACGACCGAGAACGCGGCCCAGTGGACAGTCCTTCGAGCTGCCTTTGTGGGACAGCAGCGCTACGCATCGATGGTGCTGGCTCATTGGGATGCTGAGCACGCCTCTGGGCGGCTCGGTCTTGGTATTGGCTCGTGCTGGTTGAGCGCGGTGAAGTGCCGCCTCCGAAAAGGCTGGTCTTGGCGCCATCAACGTCAGGCGGCTTTGCGCTGCTCCTTGGCTGGTTGCTGCTGCCCCCGGCCCCGGAGAGGTATGACGACCTGAGCTCGGCCATCTGACGCTTGCGTTGAGCTGCTGCATCGAGCTTGCGATCACCAGAGCCACGCACTTGCGCGTAAGTGGTCGACGCCGAAGACGATGGTGTAGCCATCTGCTTGAGCTGCGAGCCTGCTTGCGTGGCAGAAGACGGCGCACGAGACGTCGAAGCGCCTGCGTCAGCACCTGACGAATGCAAAGGGATCTCATTGGAGCCATCTTGGTGCAGCGAGCACTGCTGGCAAGAGTAGGGCCACGAGTGGATGTGAACGACAAAGGTAGTGTGACCAACGCGCAGCACATCTCCATGCGCTAGCTTGCAGGGGCCTGACGACTTCTTAGCCTCTGACAGCCGCCTGTATTGCGATGTCGGCGGGAGGCGCGCGAGGTCTCGTGGAACCTGAGCAGCACGCAGCAAGAAGGTTCCATACGTCGAGCCCATGTCGGAGGCGTGGAAGTCTTCTTGGTTGGTGTTGTTGTCTTTCATCATGAAGAGGCTGGTGTGATGCTTAGAAATTTCCATGACTGGCAGGCGGATGCGAGGGGTAAAGGCTTTGTCACGTCCCTGTCCAAATCAGGAGGCAGTAATGTTAGGCCAGCTGACCGGATGGCACGAGCAGGAAGTAACTCTTTTGCTTGGCCAGCTTACAATGGAGGTACCCTCGGAGCCCGCATCGATGATTGCGACTTGCTGGTTGTCTGGCAAGATGTCTGACGACACCTTGACCAAGCGCATCTGCTTGCCTGACGCAGATGAGGCGCTCGGATCATTTTCTTCAGCAGGCTGAGTGGCCTGAGAGTCGTAGTGAAGTGCGAGCTGATACGTCTTAGACGGGTCGTACGGCTGAGCCTTTTGGGCATGAGGAGAAGGGAGCGAGAGGATGGAAGGTCAGACGGGCGATCATTAAGAGAGCCTTCCAGGCTAAAGGGCGGGTCGATTGTTTGCAGCCACAAGCGAGGCTCGTGCCTCAGAGTGGGAGGCAAATCTACGCCTACGCAGGTGTCATGACTGCATCGCGTCGAGGCACAGGAATCTACTTCGTTGGTTGCTTACGGGCCAATGATTCACGTCAAGTGGGCTCTGCTGCATCGAAGGAGGAAAGGGACTCGCATTAGAAGGCGGCGATGAGGGCGAGCTGTGGACATCGTCGCAGCAAGAGTGTTTTCCTCTCACTCTGCGCTGTCTCTTGTTGCTATGCTGTCGGCCATAGTGTCCCTCCTTCTCCTCCTCAAAGAGGCCGGCCATGGTAGCTCAACGTCAAGCTTCGAGCTGTCGGTCGTTGAGTGGTTAGGGAAGCAAAGGCGGCGCGCCTCGCAGATGAATCTCAAGAGATGCCAAGTCGGTGCTCCTCGCCGCGCCTGCGTTGTCCTCTTTCCGCGCTGGCCTGACCCTGACCGTCTGTGCGTCATTCGAGTGTGTGGCCCGTGGCTGGCACTGCTGCCTCTTTGGCCGCTCTGGAGCTGCACACGCACTGCCTCAGCGGCTGGGCCGGGACGGGTCAAGCCACTCGAGACGCGGCGGCGGGGAACGACGTCGACGTCGACGACAGACATCGAGGATCATCGACTTCGATTTCCAACTTCCTTGTCTGTCGACGACTACTACCAACCAAGTCAACCTTCTTCATCGTCAGGTGTCAGGAGTAGCTTCAGAATCACCATCACAAGGCCTGCTCATCGGGCCACTCTCTTGAAGACCTTCTACTTCCCCGCCACGTCAGTCTACATTGCCCACCTACTCGCCTCGCATTTGATACCCACCAGCGCGTCACACGCCACCAGTCGTCATCATGTCATTTCAAAACATGGGCAAGTCTGCCATGAGGGTCGGCAAGAACTACGTCAAGGGCTACACAGACGTACAGGTCAAGGTGCGAGAGGCGACGTCCAATGACCCGTGGGGACCCAGTGGCACGCAGATGAATGAGCTCGCTCAGTTGAGCTACAATCAGAATGACTTTATCGAAATGATGGAGATCATGGACAAGCGACTCAATGACAAGGGCAAGAACTGGCGTCACGTCTTCAAGACCTTGACCGTTCTCGACTACCTGCTTCACGCCGGCAGTGAGAATGTCGTCATCTACTTTAGAGACAACATTTACGTCGTCAAGACGCTGCGCGAGTTTCAATACGTCGACGAGGCGGGCAAGGACCAGGGAGGCAATGTCAGGCAAAAGGCAAAGGACATCACCAATCTCTTGATGGACGAGGCACGGTTGAGGGACGAGCGCAGAGGGAGGTCGAACATGAGGGACCGGATGCAAGGATCCAATATGCCGCCATCGGGCAGCTTTGAGGATGACGAGGGAAAAAGGCGAAGGAGAATGGAAGAAGAAAGGCGCAAGGCAAGAAGTGCCAACGAAGACGACGAGCTGAGGAGAGCAATCGAGGAGAGCAAGCGGATGGCAAAGGAGGAGCAGGACCGCATTCGCGCAGAGGCGCAGAACGAGGACGAGCTGCAAAAGGCGTTGGCCCTGTCCAAAGCAGAAGAGGAGAAGCGTATCAAGGAGCTGGAAGCAAAGACGTCCAATGCTCTCTTCGACGACGACTGGTGAGCAAGCTTGCTCGCATGTGAGAATGCCGTTCTTGTCGCTCATATACTTACCTTTGCTCCGCGCCCGCCTGCAGGAACATGCTCTCCAACGCGCCCAACCAATACGCTCAACCGACAGGGATGTGGGGCAACGATCCCAACGCCATGTACATGCAGCAGCAGTACACGAGCTACAACCCTTACTTTTACCAACAGCAGCAGATGCAGGCCGAGCAAGAGGCCGAGTATCAGCGTCAGATGCAGCTGCAAATGGCAGCTCAGCAATACCAGCAGATGATGTCTCAGCAGCCGCAGCAACAGCCTATTCAGCCTCAGCCTACCGCATTTGGCAGCAACAACCCCTTCGCATTCTCTCAGCCTCAGCAGCAGCAGCAGCAGCAGCAGCAGCAACAACAACAAGCGCTGCAGATACCGCAGATGCCCGCGTCCTCATCTGTGCCCATCGCCGACCTCCTCGGCGGCGAATCCGAGCCGACGCCCGCACCAGCGCCAGCGCCGGCTGCCGCTCCTGCCCCGTCCCAGCAGCAGCCTCCGCGTACCAAGGTTTCCATGGACCCGCGCCACGCCGAGCTCAATCGCCTCTTGGCATCAGGCGAGGGAATCGACACGTTTGGCAACTTTGGTGACATGAGAATGGGCCATAGCTCGGCGAGGCAGAATATTCCTTCACAAGCCACAGGCAAGCCCATGAACGGACAGGCAACGGGAAGCAATCCATTCTACCGCGGCTAGAGCGTGAGGGTGCGACAAGAGGAAGCGCTGTGCACTTCCCACCCAGGATCGACTCAGCCATCCCATCTCAACCTTGAATCGCCGGCACACGTATCCAGCTTGCCGGCCCCTTTCCCTCTGTCATTGCTCTTCATTCCCATCATTTTCCTGCTCCCCTCCGCTTTCGTCAATCTCCATCCAGCCTTTGCACTTTTACCGCCTTTGTCTCCGCTCCTCTCCACCTATACTCCAATGCCATCTACCCTTTTTGCTTCGCTCCTGTGAGCGCCGGGATGACTGCAGTCGAGGGATCAGCCGAGAGGCGAGGACATCAGAGCTTGCTCAGCTTGCTGATCTCCTTTTGTAGGACGTTGTTCATCTTGAGGCCAAGCATGATATTGCCCTTTGGCTTCAGCCGACCTGTGTGCGCAGAAGAAGAAAGTCAGCAACGTAGTTCACAATCAACCATCATCCTCTGGCCCGTGCTTACCCTTCAAGAACATGCTTTGAGGCGCCACCTTGCCCATCGCAAGGGCCACCATATCCTTATCAGCAACACGAATTGTCACGTCCGGCTTGGGCTTCGCGGGACCTTTGCCCTTGATGATGGTCCCACCCGAGCGCATATCGACGCGGAAATGCGAAACATCCTTGCTCGAGGAGCTTGCAACCTCGAAGAGGAAATTACCATTGATAGCCTTGCGTGCAGCCTCGCGGTCCATCCTGGCAGCGATACGCATACAGCTCAGGATGAGTGAATGTCCAATTGTTCGGGCTGAATGCCCGCAGCACTGCACTCACATGTCCGTCCCGGCAAGCAGGCCGTCCTCGTCATTTGCATGGCGCAGACCAAACTCGATGATGGCGAAGAGCTTGGAGATCTCGTAGCCCGGCTCGATGAGATCGGCGGGGGAGGATTCGTCTGGGTGATCCAGGTCTGAGAGGTCGAGGTCGTCAATCTCGCTCATGAGCATCTGCGAGCGCACGTCGAGCAACCCAGTCAGCATTGCGAGCGGCATGCCCCACGCCTCGCACGCACCTTCAGTAAATTGCCAGATTCATTCTCCTCCTTCTGAGGAGCCATGCTGTGCTAGCCAGGCAGTGCCGTATGTACCTTGAGGTAACTTGACAGGATAGCTGACTACTCGCACAGTCATTGACGAGGCTTTAATTTTCGACCTCCTCGCTCGATTCGTTCTCACGCTCACCTCGTCTCTACAGCAAGCAGTGAAAGCGCGGGGAAGGTGCGCCTCGAGGCGAGAAGAGTGCGGGGTAATGCACTCCGCCGCCGCCGCCGCCGCCGCTCTGACCCGAGCAAAAAAGCCTTCTTGACCTGGCCAGAACTCGTCGGCCCTTTTGAGTCGATCATGGTCACGCACGCTGCGCTGTCGGCTGCCTGCGGGATGGTGATCCTGACAGACAAAGCCAGACGACGCCTTTGCCATTCGGCTGTGCAGCGAGTGGCGAGTGAAGACTATCCCACGCCTAGCCTTTTGCGGCACGACGGCAATGTTGATCTCCGCCTATCTATCTCGATGCTGCGCTCACCATGCTGTGCGTGGCGCGTGCGGCATCGTCTTCTTCTTCGCTGCGACTATGAAGGTGGGTTGGAGGGTGAGGTCGCCGAGGCATGGTGACCGCCGACCTCTGTCATTGGATATCGTGCGAGTGGACCACACCGAACTCGAGGCGACCTCGCAAAGGCATACGCGAGCTGATGAGCTTGACGTAAGTGGCCACGGAGGCACGGTACACTTCATTGCGAGCCAATGCTTGAGCCTCTTCACCGTTTAACAGGGGTTGCACTATCGCTTTGCGCAGCCACCTTCCTCTTCTTTGGGCTAGCGTTGCCGTCTTCTCCGTGACCCGCGATTGTCGTCGTCGATAATAGCCGGCAATTGGCGGATCTGCGCGCGAATTAAGCTGCATGGAGCCCCTAACCGTCGCCCGTCCGTCGCGGCGTCGCCCCGCTCGTAAGTCGGCCCGCCTTCTTCTCTCCGAATTGGTCGCAGCACGCACGCACAAACGCATGAGCACTCAGGCAACAAGCACTCGCGCAGCAGGTCAACGATGGGCGGGCGAGCGGAATGTCCATCCTCGTAATCTCAGTAGTCAATCGTCGGCCTCTTTCGGGGGCCGCGCTGGTCCAGAACGTGGTCTGACGGTTGAGTCATCAAGCACTGCCCGATGGTCCATCTGATGCCCACTACCGCCTTGCCACGGCCCACGGCTGATTTGCTCCGGGACAACGGTAGCGTCAGGCTGAACCTTCGCGATAGGTGATGATGGTGCCGGTTGATGACGACGATGAGCGAATGACTTGCCGTATCAACTCAGGATCATCCCCCTTGCTTTATGCCTTTTTCCGAAAGGGAGGCTCGACAGTTGCTTGCAGTCGCTTCATCCTCAAAGTTGCCCTTTCCTCCTCTGAAGACTGACTGCCTCGAATACTCGCTCCCGCTGCTGAGCTGCGATATGATGCGGAGATGAATGCACGCGGGCTGAGAGGAAAGAGTCGGTGCTGCACAGCAAATGTGGGCTCATTTTCAAGCGAGGCGTCAAAGAGGAGTGTTGGTCTCACTCTCTTGTCTCCTGCCCGTCCGTCTCAACTCGTCTGGACTAGGCAGTCGGATCCCTTTGTCTCCGCCAGTCCGTCTGTCTTCTGGTTAGTCGCCCCTTTCTTCACCCTGGCTGGCAACGAGCAGCGGGCCTGCTGCTACCGCTGCTTTGTTATTTGCTTGCTTCCTTGCGAGGTGTGTGGAATCGCACCGCAAGGAGACGAAGGGTGAGCACGCGCACCCAGCACCAAAGCACCACACACTGCACTCACTCGCCGGCAGCGGTGGTGCAGCACGACGCCCGTCGTCATCACCATCACTGCCCGGTCATCGTCTCGTCGCCGTATTCTTGGCGTCGATTCGCAGCGGGTCTGCACAAGGTTCTGGCGGCACTCGCGGCATCACACACACGCCGCTTCCTAGACGTCTGAACAGAGTTGTACACAGCCTAGCAGGAGCTTGACGTCCCGACGTTCCTCGGCGACGACACAGACACTCGACTCGACACTCGGGCCTCCGCCACACTATCCGTCTCTTCATCTCTGCCAGGGTCTGCTGCACGTACTCGCTCGTACCCCCTTGACTGTTCGTCCTCGCTTCCTTTGAGGCTTTCCTGGACCGAAGTCCAAGTCCCGCGGGTCTGGCTAGCTCGGAGCAAAAGTGCATTCAGCCTCAAGGGGCCCATTCGCTCGTCCTTGTCACTGTCGTCGGTAGGCCTAGCACCGAACCCTCTTCATCCTCAACCTCGTATCCCTTCTAGCTAACGAGCGGTAAGCTTTGGTGGGCACGTCTCCCTCGAAAGCAAGCTTCTCTTTTTCCTCTCGTCGTGTGGACCCATCTCCTTTTATCTCAGCCTGCGCCACCCCCGCGGACGCCTTTCGTTCATATTCAAGAAATACCATCTCCGACGGCGACAAGCTCGCCGCCTTCGCTCAGCGCCGGACATCCACGACCATACAACAGCCACCGACCTGAGAAGGGTCCAGGTTCCCACTCCCCTTCATCCAGCTGCCGGCAAGCCGTAAAGGCCTCGACTTGGTCCCGCGAGTAGTGTCATCTTTCGAGAGAAGAGCGCGAGGCGCTTGGCACGCTGCCGCCATAGGCTTTGCCCAGCCGCAGGAGCGTCAAAGGACTCAGCTCCCCTTGTCACTGCTACCACCATCATCTCTTCCTCCTCGACGCTCATCCATCTTTGCCTGGCCGCGGAGAGAGGAAGCGGTTCATTATTGTACCAACAGGACAGTCCTTCGAGTCCCCGCATGCGATCTTGATGCGCATTTAGCTGCTCCTATCGCGTCCATCACCCATCTCATCTCACCGAGGCCACCATACTCGATTGGGCATCGAGCTTGGATCTACTCATCGCCGCCATCGCCTCACTATATCATCCGGCAAGCTCTGACCGCAGGCTCGAGCGTGAGTACATGTTGACAAGCAGGACGGAACCAGACCCTGTAGATGAGACCTGCGCTCGAACCGCACCGCGTCACCGAGCGAGTGGGCTGATCGAGCACACGCAGGAGGATTTGCTGGCCGTAACATCGTCGTTGACCTGCTTGCTTCCCTTTTGCGTATACACAGCATTGATTCGCTCCACGCACCCTGGTCTTGGTGATCATCATCATCGAATTGCATCAAAACATCACTGAACCCCTCCCACGGACACAATGGCCGCTGCCACCGCCATGTCCAGGGTTCAATTTCCGCACGGCGCACCATTCGCCGCCTCACCTCACTCCTCGGAGTCCTCACCTGCAGCGGCATCATCTACGTCAAGCGCCGCTCAGCCGCGACCACGTCGCACCTCGAGACGCACCTCTCACCGTGACGCTGCCCCTCAATCTTCGGCACCGATCACAACTGCCACCGCTGGCCCTCCGCCACGGCCGCCTCGCAGGCGCTCATCTACTGCTGACCATCCTGGTCCGGCATCATCGTACGGCAAAGCTTCATCTTCCTCTTCAACAATACCTTCACAGCCTGCTCGCCCAGCTTCGGCTACGTCTCGGATGAAGAGAATCTCACTGGCGGCTTTCGGGGTCAACAAGGGCAAGGAGACCAAGAGAAGTCGCGACGCTCGTCCATCGACAAGTCAAGGAAGTGATTCTGACGGGGCCCTCGGCAAGCTTGCCTTCGCTGCCCTGAGCACACCCGAGTTGCACCTCTCTTCCGACCCTCTCATCGACGTCGAAGACGCCGAACATCGTCACTATGTCTTTCCGTCCAAGCGCCGGGGCGCAGTAGACGATGATGACGATGGCATGGACGCACTACCCCTGAGTGGAGATGCTGCGTACATGAGTTTTGGCGCCATCGCCCTTCAGACCCATGGAGACGCTGTCGAGCCCCGTCGGGAGCGCAACGGTAGCAACAACACCACCATCATCCGTCGCGATTCGGAGGACGAGACGCCTGCACGCCCGGCGCCCTCGACACCCTCATCATCACAGGGCAATTGGTTTGCAAGGAGAGTCAGGAAGTTGAGCGCGAGTGCCACGACCCCAACCAAGTCTATCGCAGCTCCCTCCGCGCCGACGCTCCAGACACCGCCTGCGCCAAGCAGCTCACCAGGAGCGGCAACGGCAGCGGCGCCTCGCCCTTCAATGTCGAGCTCGCTCTATGACAGTGGCTCCGACATGTCTCTTGGAGGCGGCGAGTACGGCTCCGGCTTCTTCAGTGACACGGCGAGAAACTCCTCTGTCAGTCAGCTCACAAGCCCCACCGAATGGTCCGTCAATGCGACTGCTTCCGATGCTTGCACCGAAGCTCTTCAGCGCCTTCGTACGGCAAGATCCTATCTGCACGATGAGCTGTCCAAGCTCACCATCGAGGAGATGGCGCAAGACAAAGGCCGGATCACTGCTCTTGCGCTACGACAACGACGAGGCAGCGACGCTTCCGTGTCACGAGAGACACGCGAGTTCTGGGACTCGATCTCAAATGGCGTCCTCCTTTGCCTGCTACTCAATCGCCTGATGCCAGGTGTGGTAGAGAAGATTGACCGCCGCGACGTCGACTGGGTCAAGGCAGACAACCTTTCTCGCTTCCTCCGCGCCCTTCGTGACCACTTTGGCATCAAGACGCAAGACCTCTTCCACCCACTGGATCTTGCCGATGCCACGGTGGAAGGCCTAGATCGCGCTGTGCACACCATTCTTGCCCTGCGAGCGGTCGCAAAGAGCAAAGGCATCACTGTCAGGTCGCCAAGCATCCACAATGAGCGCCGTCATTCGAAGCGCAGGAGCCTCATCGCGTCGACTCCGCAGACGCCAGAAACAGCCTACAATGAAATCTCGCCCGCCGATTCGGGTCGTCTCAGTGCGTCACCAACAAAAAATGGTGGCGGCTCGGATGATGCTTCTGAGATGACAGTGCTGCAACACCGCCAGGCAGCTGAGGCTAAGCTCTTCCGCAATGTGGTCCCTGTCCCCGCTGGTACGAATGAGGTCAATGGACGACAGCGACGACGCCGCTCCAATGAGCAGCCAGCGCCGATGCCCCGCCTCAAGACCCCGAGCATCACCTTCGATGAGAGCACAATCGCACCCAAACAGTCCGTCGATGATGACTTCTCTTCCCGTACTCCGTACCGGGATCGCAAAATGAGCGAATCTGCTCTGAGTCTGACTGGAGTAGCCGAAGAAGAGCACGAGGATGCGCACTCACATTCGCACCCGAAATTCTCAGAGGGCGAAAGCCTCGAGGTGGTCGTCGACGACGAGTCTACAGTCGACGATCGCTCCGTCTCTCCTCCCATGGCTGGCAGCGGCAGGCCTCGTCTCATTGCGCCAATGGCTCAGCGTAGGATCAGCCAGGAGATTGGCATTGGCGGCATCGCCCTCAGCAGCAGCCCGCGTAACTTCCGAGGCTCCTTTGACGGCGCCATGCTGAGCACAGACAGTCTCAATGGCTCCCCAGTGCGCCACGTACCAACCAGACGACACAGTGCTCGAGCCACTGCCTCTGCGCTCAATCCCTCGCGCGACTCGCTACTGTCGTCGACGTCTACAGCGGCCGGCTTGAGCTCGTCGCCGCCAGGTATTTCGACTGACAGCCTTATGGCTTCCCCACGCTTGCCCTTTCCCCGCCCCTCGACGACGGCGGACACGCCCAATGCTCGCCGCATGAGCGCCAATCTGAGCGTCGATGTTGCCGCGGCTTCCTCGCCCAGGGCGACCCCTGTTCGACCAGCATTCCGTCATATGCGCTACACGTCTGAGGTTCATCTACCTACCTCGGGCGCCAGCACCGACTCCTTTGTGACCTCGCCAGCCACCCCCTCGCCCTTCGAGCGCAGCGAGCGGGGCAGGATGTTCGGAACACCCTCGACTGACGTCACGCCTCGTGCGCGCTTCGACTCTGGCGTCGGTTCCATCTACGGCTCGAGCGCCACCAATCTCCTGAGCCAGGAAGACTTGGCCACGCCCAGCTCTGCAGCCGCGACTGCCAAGGCTCAAAGCCGCAGCGAAGCAGCATCGCGCCATAAGCTCGTGCTTGAGGAGGGTGATAAGAATGTGACGTACCAGATGGGCAACTGCATTGGTCGAGGCCAATTCGGATCCGTCTACCGCGCGCTCAACCTCACGTCGGGTCAAGTCGTTGCCGTCAAGCGCATCAAGCTCGAAGGAAGATCGGAAGAGGAAGTCATGGAGCTGATGAACGAGGTCGATCTGCTGAAGAGTCTTGTGCACCCGTCTGTCGTCAAATACGAAGGCCTTGTACGAGGCCCAGAGGTGGTGTCGATTATCCTGGAGTACGTCGAGAATGGCTCACTCCTTCACACGCTCAAGGCCTTTGGCAATTTCCCGGAGAAGCTCGTCGCAAGCTACGTGGTCAAGATCCTCGAGGGCCTCTCCTACCTCCACGAGCAAGATGTAGTGCACTGCGACCTCAAGGCGGCTAACATCCTCACGACCAAGAACGGCAACGTTAAGCTCTCGGACTTTGGTGTATCTCTCAACCTCAAGGCTATGGAAAAGGTCCAAAAGAATGACGCCATGGGCACGCCCAATTGGATGGCGCCCGAGGTCATTGAGCTCAAAGGTGCTTCCACTGCCGCGGACATCTGGTCGCTCGGCTGCACGATCATCGAGCTCCTCACGGGCAAGCCACCCTACGGCGACATGCTGGCCATGTCTGCCCTCTTCCGCATCGTAGAGGACGAGCGCCCGCCCATACCCGAAAAGTGCTCCGACTCGCTCAAGGACTTCTTGGTGCTGTGCTTTCAGAAGGACCCAACGAAGCGACCCACTGCGGAGGCACTTTTCGAGCATGATTGGCTGCTGGAGATGTGGATGGGTCACAAGGAGCTTAAGGAGCTACGAACGCAGGATAGCGTGCCATTCCTGCGACGCATCAGCCTCGACTCGAGACGACCGGACGTCAAGAAGCTGCACGCTGCAGTTAGTGAGCTAGCCGAGACGACCACGGCGGAAACGAGTCCGCAGCGGCCAAAGTTCGATGGACGCTCCTTCTCTACGCCGGCTCATGAGGCATGGTCTTCGACTGACAGCGGTGCCGGAGGCGGTGCTGGTGGAGATGCCAGCAACGGTTCCAGCCGCGGCGGTCACACTCAGAACGACAGCAGCGAGGACCGCAACGAGGACAGCGCTATGCTACAGTCGCCCGAACCTGCCTCTGCCTCGCGGGATGGCATCCCCTCTCTCGACCCATCCATGCTGGACCTGAGCAGCCCCTCGCCCGACATGGGCCCCCTCACGCCAGAGGAAGAGACGCGTCAGCACTCCTTTGTCAAGAGCACATTCAGCAAAGCAGTGCGCTGCCGCATCTGCAGGGAGAGTGTGCGCAAGCATGCTGTGCTGTGCGAAGACTGCGGGCTGATCTGCCACGCAAGCTGTGCGAGAGAGGTGGGGTCGCCGTGCAACCTGAGGGCGCAGATGATGCTATTGAGGCAAAGTGAGGTGCTGGACAAGACGACCGCGAACAACAGCGGTGGTGCCAACGGCACATCGGCACCCTCATCGCCTGGCCATACGTCTACGACACTGCTGCCCGTCTCCTTTCGCTTGCCATTCGGCAAGGGGAAGCGCTTTTACTCCTTCAAGACAGCCGACAGCAGCGCCGAGAGCTCCGATAATGCGAACACGACGGCGGTGTCTGCAGCCGATACGGCCAAGGGCAGCATTGGTGGTAGCAGCTCACAACACTCGACGGAGCGCGGCGGAGCAGCAGCATCGGGTGGCGCCAGCGGTGGGCGTAAGCGTCGCATTTCACTTATGCCTACGCACAAGTTCCGGGCACGCTCCCCAGCCCCAGCCTCGAGGCCTTCCTCTCCCAGCACGGAGACGAAACCTCTCCCCAGCATCGCCTTTGCGCCTCTCCCTGACACATCAACTCATGCGCCGCCAGCTTCACCGCCCCTCCCACCCTCCTCGCCCAATCTCATGCAATCACCAACCGCAGCAGAGATCGTGCATGCACGCACCGCCCCCGAGCGGAGAGCGAGCGCCGTCTCCTTTGGTAGCAGCATGAGCCCCTCGAGCTCGATCTCGAGCGCGGCGAGCGCGAGCCACAGTCATATGGAGGTAATCTGGCAGAAGGGGAACAGCGCTTCTCCGGCTGTTGCCGCAAGACGACCCTCTTTGACCACGACAATGGCTGCCTCTGGGCCGGGATCGCCTGTAGACGGCGGTGGCAGGCGAGGTTCAGCCACGACAACGACTGCAGCATCTCCCACCTCGCAGCAATCCCATTCCTCTCCCGTCGTAACCACGACGTCAACTACGGCCACGCCGCGCCCGCGCTTCAAGCACAGGCCGAGCCACTCGCTCGCCACCCTCAGTCCTTCGCGGATCAATGTGAACGATGAGCGCGATGAGGCTGTAGAGAGTGCCACGCCAGGCCACGCTTCTGCTGATGCGACCCTGTCTGCCAGCGCTGCCAAGGCGAACGGGGCCGCCCCCAAGGAGGAGGCTGGGAGGCCGAAGCGCAACAGGAAGACGTCCTTTGCTGGGTTGGGGAGCAGCAAGATGGGCGGAGGCGCCGCTGGCTCATCGGGCGGTAACGGCGCAAGCGGCCAGGCAAAGGAGGACTGCCTCATCATGTGAGGAGTCCCGGATGACTGCACCGCCATGAGGATGCTATGGCGCAGCTGTGACGTCCTTTCTATTCCTTCTATCTATTCCTCGGATTCGTCTCCTCTCCCACTTCCACTGCAATACCTCTCATACCCGGACACACACCAACCACCCAGTGCCGAGCGCCTCGACGTACCTACCCTTTCATCCCATTTGTCGGACTCCGTACAACCTTACCTATCTCTCTTCTGACTTCTTAGCTGCGAAACCTTCTATTCAGTCTCTGATAATCAAAGCAGTTCCTTCTCCTCACTCCCCGCAGCTATCGCCATCTCTGATCGTCTGTTCATTCCATCTCATCGCATTGCAAAGCACAGAGTCGCGGCGACGATGTCGGACCCCTAACGAACCCGGTCTACTCATCGCACTGCTCGAAGGCAGGCTCAGACTAGGGGATACGGGGCTCGGATAAGTCTTGAAGTTGATTCATTTCCCACTCCATTACCCGGTTACCAACCCGAAGGTGGCAATGGGGGAAAGCCCTCCTGACCTGCCCTGAGAGGGACGTGGGGAGGGCTTCGGGAGTGGTTGGAAGTGGGGAAGGGAGGAGGGGGAGCGAGAGCGAGGCATGGCCGCGGCAGGTATTCGAGTTGTGATACGGAGGGGGGACGTGAGGGGAGCCTTGGCCTTGTCTGAGTTTCTGAAGCTGATGCGGATCGCGATTGAGCAGGTGGGTGCCTGGGAATTGAGGGGTAGGAAAGAAACATGGAAGAAGAGCGCCTCGCATTGTCGAGCACAAAAGAGCGGACCGAGATGAGCAGCCACGTGACGGAACATTGGAGGCGGTGGCTGTCTACGAAAGGGCGCGCGCCTTCTTGTATGCTGGCAAGGCAAGAAATCGCTACAACGATGAGCGGTGAGCACGTCAGAATGTGATCGTGCTGGTCCCACCAAGCTTGGGCGACTGCGGATACGGCGGGACTTGTCTCGAGGGGTCCACTCCATCCCGCGCCTGTCGCTGCTGCCCACTTGGCATCCCGTTCCCGTTCAACCCAGCAGGCACGTCCAGTCCAAACGCCGCGCCATTCGGCACCACCGCAGCGCCGCTGACTATTCTCTGTCCCATATCGCTTTCCACACTACTACTGAACACCAACGGCGAGCTCCCATTCGTGAGCGTTCGCTTGTGTCCCCCTGCCTCCGCGCCTTCGGCGCCTGCTGCGCCTGAGCTACTCCTTCTCTTTCCCTTGCTGCTGGACAGGCTCGACCGACGCTCCGAGACGCGCGGCTGTAGACTCATGCCTGAGGTGGAGCTGCGTGGTGAGGTTGGCGGAGAGGTGGGCGAGATCTTGCCCGGGGAAAAGGGAAGCGGAGGCGGAGGTATTGAGGAGGGCGCATCTGCTGAACCAGGCCGTGCTGACGGCGCTGAGGAAGATTGCTGCTGCTGCTGCTGCTCCTGCGCTCTACGCTCTCCGATCGCCCTCTGCACCTCCGGCGAAGCCTGCAGTGAGCGGTCGATGAGCTGCTGGCTCATGAGGTCGACAAAGCTTCGCTCGAGATCGGAACGTTGGCGTAGGGTTGCGCCGCCGCCGCTAGCTGACGACGATGATGTCGCCTCAACATGGCCCAGCGCATGAAAAGGCTCCATCTCTGCCCTCAAAACAGCATCACTCTGCTCCCTCATCTGCAGTGCCCCGACGCCTAGCTTGTCCATCTCTCCCGCCAGGGCCTCGATGAACTTGTGCGCCTCCGCAAGCGTCTTAATCTCCCCTACACCGGGCGAAACATCGCCTAGCAAGGGCAAGATTTGCCTCATGGCCATGATTGTACTCGTGTACGTCTGACGCAGTACGGCGACGAGATCTCCGACTGTATGCCTTGGCAACAACTGCCTGAGAAGAGGAGGGCGAGCAGGTGCGGTAACGAGGAATAGCTCTGCGCTGGCCAGAGAAGCCAAGAGGGCCAAATGCCAATACGACCAAGGCGAGGCAGCTCGACCTGCTGCTGCTCCTCCCAGCCCGTTGAGCCAGGACAGTACCGCAAAGATGGCGCTGTTGACGACCCACCAGAGGAGGCTCTCCCTGAGCCCAATGACCATGTATTCCCTCACTGTAAGCGCCCCTCGCCAATCCAGTACAGCGATTCCAAATCGATCGTAGGCGAAACGTCGCACTGAGTCGGTGAGGACATCATGGCTTCTTCTGAGAGCAATGAAGAAGCGCTCCCCACTCGGCCCGACCTTATCTGGGTGATGCACCTTTGCCAGTCGACGGAAGGAACGCTTCACTACCTCCACGTCGGCCTCTACATCTACGTCGAGGAGGCGATACGCTGTTGGCTCGCTCGAGGAGAGAGATGTGCTGAATTGATAGGCCAAGTAGGCACCGATGAGGAGAATCCGCGTGCGGGTTGCGTGGCTGTGGGCCTGTTGTGGAGTTGTAGGCCGGGGCAGGAGATGCGAGGTATAGAGGGCGTCTAAGAGGTACTTTGTAGCGAGAGAGGGGAGAAAGGCCCATCCTAGCCAGGGAGCGTAGGAGATCAGGGCCGAGGACATGCCGCTGATGCTGCTGATTGGAACAATGAGGATGCAAGTGTTGGTTGCGGAGAAAACAAGTGAGGTGGAGTCGCCGTCGGGGCCAGATGCAATCGACGCTCTCTCGTCTGTCCGTGCGTCCGTCGATGAGGCGGACCAGCGTCAAGACCTTCGTGCCGCTCAACGGTACCTTTTCCTCCAGATTGGTCTGCGCAATCAAGATGGTGGCGCCGCAACACAATGGGAGCGACGAGACGTCCAACGCCCAGAGAAGCATACCTGAAAACAGCAAGCAGAGCAATGGCAGCGCCGGCGCTAACGATAAGGCTGCAGGCAAGGGCAAAGGCAAGAACAAAGGCTCATCCCCAGCGCTCGACCCCGCCATAATCGAAGCAAAGCGTAAAGCTCGCGCCGAGAAGAAGGAGCGTGAGGAGCAAGAACGTGTACGAAAGGAAGAAGAAGCCGCAAGTGGAAGCGCACCTATTGCAGTAGACGCTCAGGGTCGTCCGCTATACCGACCGAGAGAATGGGCAGCTGTCAATGCAGTCGATGGTGTTGAGCAGCAGCATGGTCAGCCATTACAATCACGATCTTGTCGCCCCCGCATCAAAGTCCTCAGCTGGAACATGCTCGCCCAAGGTCTAGTCCGCCGCAAGCTATTCCCAGGAAGTGATGCCATGCGCTGGAAGGACCGTGAAGCAGGCCTGTCCGCCGAGCTGCTAGGGCACGGATTCGACGTTGCCTGCTTGCAGGAGGTGGATAGGGTGGAGACGCATACAGCTACGCTCAGCAAAGCTGGATACTCGCATCTGTACGCCAAGGGGTACGCGCAGAAGCAGCATGGCTTGATGCTTGCCTGGAGAAGCAGCTCACGTAGGCAGGGGGCGAAACCACCGCTCTTTGAGGAGAAGCCTGCGGCGAGTAGGATCGTGTATCTGGACGACGAAGAAGTGGCTGCCGGAAGGACGGGCTGCTCGAGGGTGACGAGGAACATCGGAATTGTGGCTGCTTTGCCCTTCGTGAAGGAAGACGCCCAGCCTGCCGCGGACCCAGGCGGTATCATCCTCGCTACAACGCACCTGTTTTGGCACCCAATGCACGGCTACGAGCGGCTCAGACAAGTCGGGCTCCTTGTGCGGGCAATCGACCGCTTCAGACGGTCCTCAGTAGGGAACGACACCATCGCGCCCGTGTGGGCAGATTGGGCAGTCGTCTTCGCGGGCGACTTCAATGATCAGCCGCACTCAGCCAGCTATGCCTGCTTGACGGGCAGGCTGCCCATCGATGAGCATGGGAGGGAGGAGATCAGACAAAGCTCTGTCGTACACAAGAGCGTTGATGAGAAGAGGGAGAGGGAGAGGCAGACTGGTGCGGCTGCGCTGCAGGAGGAGAAGCAGGGGCAGGCGGCATCTACGTGCGAGGAGCAGGAGAGCGATGCGCTGGACGAGGCGGAGGCTGAGGACGCGGAAGGTGAAGGAGAGGAGGAAGAAGAAGGGGGAGCAGACGATCAGATCCTCAAGAATTGTCGTCCTGCCACTCCCTCTGACGGCCTCCTCAGGCTGGAGGAGCTGGAAGCCCTCTTCGACCTCTCCTCCTGCTCGGTCTCTTCATCGACTCCTCCTCGTCACCTGCGCTCAGCGTATGGCTCCTCCTTTCCTCAACTATGCGGACAAGACGAGAGTGACAATCTCTTCTCAACGCCTACTCGAGGGCGGGAGCGATGGGACGATCCAGACTGGAAGGAGGGAGATCCCAATGTGCACACTTGGCTGGCGGGGACACAAGCTGGATGCGAGCCCATGTGGACTCTCTTCTCGAGCTTGTTCAGCTTGACGCTGGACTTTATCTTCCTCTTCCCTAGGACGAAGAGCGAGGGAAAGGAAGGGGTAGAGTATCCAAAGGTGACAAAGCTGCTGAGGACGCATAGGACGGAGGTGCTCAAGGAGGGCTTGCCCAGAAAGGGCATCTGCGTTAGCGATCATGTGGCCATTGGGGCTGAGCTGGAGCTATGATTGTATTCAAATGTAGCAAGAGGATAGCAAGACTGTATACAATAGAAGGTCAACCAGTTGAGCGATGCAACCGCTGTTGAGAATTGATGCAAGAAATGGCCGGGGCCCGTGCGAGGTGAAAAGCCGCCGACCCTCCGCCTGCCGCCATGTTCAGGGCCTTTGGGTCCGGCCCGCATCGCTTATCCATCTTTCCTTTGCTCCCACCACTTCAACTTCCAATCAACATCCCTCTATCATCGCGGCGACACAAAGAGACATATCGCTACCCCCTGTTCCATCTCGCCCGGCCAAGATGCCAGTCACAGGCGACTACTTCATCATTTCGACCAGCCTGCGTGGTCTGCCCCAGTACATGCGGGACGTACTTGTCCCCATGCACAAGTCCAAGGTCAAGTTCCTCGGCAGTCTTACCACCCCTGGAGGATATGAGGAGGTTATGGCCGCTGTCTGTGACGCCTGGGGGATCACACGTGATCAGGGGCAGCTGGCGCTGCTCGACACTTGCGAGGAGGAGGAGGACGACAATGACGACGACGCCACTACGACGACGGCCACTGTCAGCTCCGCCGACTCTTCCTTTGAAAGCTCTCGTCGTCATCACCGTCGCAACAAGGCAGCAGCGACATTCGGCGCCCTCATGACGGCAGAGAAGGAGCCTGCTCAGCTGATCTCCTCCCAGCGCGAGTGGGAACTCTTCTGGGATGAGCACCGCGATGACATCAGCGAAGAGCGCGGTTGGTGGTTCGAGATCGTCGAGCGTCCGAGTCTGCCCTTCGCCTTCACGATGGCCGCCAACATCAGCGAGAAGAAAGGGGCGGCCAGCACCACCGCATCTCAGACGACGGCAGCTCGCACGTCCACCCCTCCCGCGCAACCTGGCTCCAGCAGCGGCTCAAGCACTACGAGCGCCGTTCCTCCTCCCTCTCGTGACAATGGCACGACCTCTGCTCATCCCTTTGCCGACATCCCTGTGCTCGACCGTGTCAAGGACAGTGTTCTGCAAGCCTTTGGGCAACGCGTCCCTCAGAACGGCACCGAGGCCGCGCATCGCGTTCTAGACACGCTGGAGAACATCATTGGTCTCGTGGGACCTGTCAGCGGCGCCACTGCTAGCACCCAACCTGCGCAGCAAACCACGAGCGGCAATGCGGCACCAGCTGGCACGGCGTCGACTGCGGCTGCTCGCCCCACGGAAACTGAAGGCGGCAGCTCGCAGACTCACCGCGAAGAAGCTGCCGCTCAGCCTCTGCCCTCTGCCCGACCCGTCTCTGATCAGCAGCCGCAGATGACCGACTTCGAACGCCTCATGGCACGCTCGCGCGCCCAAGGCGAAGCACTCAACGCATTCTTCGGCAACGTCACGCAGCGTCGCGCTGAGCGACTCAACCCCGGCAGCGGCAGCCGGTCCAACGAGTTGGGCAGCGACAACAACAGTACCGACACGCCTCCTTCGGAGCCGCTGAGGGAGAGCGAAACACCTCTTGCCAGCCGTCCTGACTCTTCGTATGCCTCTGCTACTGGCACTAGTGCCTATTCGATCCCATCCGCCGCCGTCTCGACCTCAACCTCGACCTCAAGCGTGCCGGACGCCGTACGAGCTCAGAACGACCACCTGGCCAGCCTATGGGAGAAGCGCCTCCAGCAGATGGGCCACGAACTGCCCGAGACGCATACGTATCTGAACAGGTTTCCGCAGCAGAGTGTAGGGCGCGCACAGTCTACTACGGCGACCCTTGAGTCTCAGCAGCCTCAGCAGCCGCCTCCAGAGGACCATGACAAGGGACAGGGCAGGTCCACATCGACCACCTCGCCATCCACCCGATCGGAAGGCAGCGCCTCTGAGTGGGAGATGCTTCGCCAGGAGACGAACGAGGGCACCGTGGGCGTCAATTCGAGTGCCAACACGAACACCTCTGCCCCCGCCTCCACCTCGACTGAGCTGCCCACCATGGTTCCGGCCACCACCACGCCTCCTTCGATCGAGCAGAACAACCAGACGCTGGCTGACGCCTTCACCGAAATGCTCGCGCGTAGCCGCAATGCTCAGAGCTCCGGCAGCGGCGGCCAGTAGAGCAACCTTGACGCCTGTAGGGCTCAATCGCGCCCACCATTTCGACTCGCTTCCCTTCTTGTCACATTCACCCAGATCTCATCGCCACCGACGCGCCTTGCCTATCGGCACAAGCTCCACTTGCTGTCTCGCTTCCTGCCGTCCTGTCTTACTTCTTGTCATCAATCCATCTTGTCTCATCACGATCTGCGCAGTGTTAGCCTCCCTGGACCCGCTCACTCCAGTCGCGTCCTCAGCAGTCTACGCGATGCTCCTCCTTATCGTTACCATCGGCCAACATCACTCGAAAGGTCTATCTTTCACCCCACCGATGACGTCGCCCTTCCACGAATAGCTACATGTGGAGCTATGGCAAACTGACTCAGAGCTAGAGGTACGATCGCCTGAGTTGTCGACTGTACGAATCGAGGAATTGTCCTTGTACGATGACGAATGAGACGAGTATGGCAATGCTATTCCGCGTTCATCAGACTACTCTACGCAGAATGCTCCCCCGAGCTAGCCAAGAGAGCGACAACCGTCGCACCGACCTTCTCTGCGCACGCAGCTGCATAAGCATCTTCGTCAGGCACCGTCGCTCATTTCATTGAAGCGGCGACTACCTGTCAGCGGTAGGGGCCTGTCACTGCGTTGCCCCGTTGCAGTCGGATCATCATCGTTGCCCCTGCTGGCTCGTGGTCCGGCGTTACCGGCGAACTCACAACGCTTCCTCTGCGTGAATACGTGAACCTCATGCGGCAAACGGCGAACTCAATCGATCGATGGTTGCTGATGTGACCTGCAACGCTCTAAACCAGCCACAGAAGGTCGTCATGCACCGGCTTTGCCTCCCGCCCGTACCATGATTTGCCGCTGTGAGCTCAAATTTCGCAGCTAAGACATGCGTCGCAGCGCTGATTGCAACGCACCCACGAGTACCAAGCAGCTTGGCGGTTCACGTTGGCGCCTTGGCCTTACGCACTCAGAGTGAGCGCCCCGAGGTGGCTCACTCAAAGAAGTCTACGCCGGCGCTCTACGCCTACACTCTGAGGTACGCCGTGCGGTGCGGCTGCGTCCGGCGTCGCGTTGCTGCATGCCCGATGACTGGACGACAGAGGGCGAGGATTTTTTGGGCTGTCAAGACGCTACGCATTCTCGGCCGCTTCCACTCCCGTCCTTTGCCCTTGGCGAGGTGCGAGGACGATCGCCAGGATGAATCCGATCAGAGGAGGATTAACCATCCAATATGAGCGAGCTTGACCCTACCACGACGTCGTCATCATCATCATCTTTGGATCTCCCGTTCGTTTGGCCGCCGGAAGCTTGCTGATGATGCACACGCACGCTCGGTCGGTCACTGGCATGCTTCGGGGACCTGGAAAGTCAGAGTGGGGCGAAGGCAGGATGGGTGATCATGACGACGTCCGGCGGGAACGGCCTGGTACTCGTGGCATGCAAGTGGTCTTTATTCGCCCGAAACCGAGACGTCGCGTGAGGGTCCAACTATACTCAGCTTCGACCGCACACCTAGTCGCCTCTCACAATCCCACCCCTTGACAATGGCCGCGAAAGGTGGATTCAATCGCAGCGAAGTCTGAGCGTGAGATCACGTCGGGGCTCCCGCCCGCTCTGCTCTACTGTAGTCTGTCATGTCGTGCGAGGCATGGTTGTAGAGGGATTGACAAGCTCGAGCCAGTCTTCGTGAGAAAGCGTACAATCCAGATATTGCTCTCTCGGCATCGTTGCGGTCGTCATGGCCGAGGTGCCATGGCGGCCGCTGCCTTGGTATCCTTGTAGTCCTGGCTACTGGTCGAGATGAACGGGAGAGGGAAGGGGAGGCGCAAGCGGCGGACACTGTCAAGCCGAGGCAGCAAGCAAGTTTTGGGCATCCAGCCAGAGGTCGACCGCTTAGAGCCTGGCTAGGTCGCATGCATGGCCGCTCGTCCTATCCCGTCGCCGCTCAAGTGGCGAGACGAGACGAGACGAAGCGACAGGGACCAAAGCGGCCTGGCGCCTCGTCAGTGTTGCGTCGATTGGCTCAGACCTTCCCTCCGACTCGCCTCGTCCGGTTGGTGCTGCTCAGTCAAGGTCCGATTCCAAAATCATACCAGCCTCACCCACCGCTACCACGAACGACCGACGGCGACGAGCTACTCACGACGACGACGATCTTCATCTTGCTCCATTGAGACGCTCGATTGCTCCTCTCGTCTCCGTCGCCACCAACCAGCAACTGCTCATCGTCGAGACACTGTCCGCATCTTGGCTGATTGGCCAACCCTCTTATTCAATCTCGTCGTCGATTGTCCAACCCACGGCCTAAGCAAGCCACACACCCACACCTTCATCCCTTACCACAGCGCATCGCATCGCATAAGTCCAGCTGCGACAGCGCACGACTACCTACAGCGGACAGCTAAGCAAGCATCGACGACTAACAAGCACGCACACTAGAAGCGGTCGACGGCGCCACTACTACCTGCATTGCTCAGCACCGGCTGGCCGAGACGACTACTGCCGCCGCTGCTCCCCACCTCATCATCACCTACTATCACCACATCGCCACCCGCGCCATCGCCTAGCATGACGATGCCAGCACCCATCCCGATTTCTAGGGTCAATGACCCCTCATCGTCCACCTCAGGCTCATCTGGTGGCATTGGCTCATATCGCATGGGTACATCGTATGGCAACTCCTTTCCCAGCTCCAATAGCGCAGGAGGCAGCGCCAGCTTTCGAGAGGCGATGATGATGGCAACATCCTTTGGCAAGGACGTAAACGAGTGAGTCGCGCTTGCCTTCCACTCCAAGTCACATCCACGCCAGCATATACTCACCTTTACCGCTCCCGCCCCCGCCTGCTTAGCATCATGGATTACTCGTCCAATCGCTTTGGCTCATCCGTCGACTCGGAAATGACCATCGCCCCATCCACATCGCAACCGCGCCTCGAATCAACCTTCTGCCGCGACTTCAGCTGCTGTGGCCAAGAGCTCGATGACCTCCACGACCTCCTCCAGCACTACGAGGAATGCCACGTCCGCTTCGACGACGATGGCATGCCCGGCATGGTAGAGGACGACGGTAGCTCGTCAGCCGGCTCAGCTTCCACTCCCTCGTCCGTACCGCCGAGTCCCCGTGTCGCTCATCAGCGTGCGGCTACGGCCCCTGGTGGATCCAAGCTTGGCGGTGGTGCAGGCGCAGCTGGTGGCAATCATAAGCGGGTGTCCACACTTAATACCGATTTGACATCGCAGGGACTCGATTCGACGACGGGTGCCAGCAAGGGCAAGAAGCGTTCCTTTGGGCAGTATGACGCCAGTTCAAATGCCGGCGTCAATGGCTCCTCGGTCCACCAATCACTGCGCCGAGCTCTCATCGACGGAGGCGTCGGATCACGCAGCGGCAGGTCATCGCCCTCGGTCTACTCTGCCAATTCACCCTTCTCAACGCCAGGCAGCTCCATCCCGGGCACACCAGTGGGTGATGACGAGGAGTTCGCCTTCGCCGGTAACAGTGGTTTGTCAGCATTCTCAGCCCTCTCCCTCAGGCAGTCGAACAACGACGACCATCTGCCGGCCTGCGCACCCCCGAATCTCTTCTTTCCAGCCCCCGGTGCATCAAGTGGCGCAGGTGCCAATGCCACTACGCCGGGCATGCCAGGCCTCAACCTACCCACCTTCAGCAACAGCATGGTCAACGCAGCACACGCGGCCAGTGGCGCGCAGCCACCGCCTGCGAAGCGCGAGCGCATGACCTCCTCCAACGGAGTAGGCGGACAGGGAGGCAGTGGTGGCGGCAGCAGCTCGTCAGCCAATGTGGGACCGGGGGGCGAGAAGCTGGACAAGGATGGCAAGCCCATTGAGAAGCCATTCAAGTGCCCCAATCCCGGATGCGATAAGGCGTACAAGCAGGCAAACGGACTCAAGTACCACAGACTGCATGGCTCTTGCAATCGCAACCTTGCCGGCAAAGCAGGTAGCAGCGGTGGTAACAGCAGTAATGGGCCTAGCACACCGACGCCGTCCGGGAGCGCGGCTGCAAGCAAGGGTCCAGGAAGTCCCTCCACCCCTTCGCCTGTCACCGCAAATGCCAGCGCTGCGCCCACCAAGCCGCCGCAGGCAGCATCGAGCGCTGCACCCAAGCCTGCTCAGCCGCCGCAGAATGCTGCGCAAGCGAAGTCACCGCAACCACCCGTGCCACCCAATGCAGCAGGCGCGCCAGTACCGGCAGGAGCTGCTGTGGGAGCGTCAGCAGCCAAAAAGCCGGCCGCTCCCACCACGGCCGGAGGCGGGCCTGCTCCCTTCCCTCTTCCGCCTAACATCAACTCCGCAGCCCTCGCAGCAGCCGCAGCCCTCCTTCAACGCGGTGGGCCCCTTCCTCCCTCACTGCAGGGCTCGAACGGACCAATCGATACAGCTTCCCTGCTTAAGACGCTGCAGATGTTGCAGGCGCAAGTGGCCGCGCAGCAGAAGGCCAATGGCGGTGCCCCCGCACCCGGGGCGACGGGTGCAGCTGGCGCGGGCGCGGCCGCGGTCAAGAGTCCGCCAGCACTTCCCAGCAAAGCGGCCCCGGGTGCCCCCATCGGGGCAGGTGGGGCCACGACGGCTACCTCTGGGCAGGCCCGACCGCCTCCTCCGAGGCCGACGGGTGTCACTGCGCCTGGTCAACAGGCCAAGCCTGCAGGCGCAGCACCGTCAGCACCAGCACCTCCCGCAGGCTTGGCGCCAAAGAAGGCTTCTCCTACCGTCGCAAGCGCACAACCTCGTCCACCTGCTCCACCCGCTCCTGCCACGGGATCAGCCGCAGGGCAGCAAAAAGCGAGCCCGGCCGCCCCTGCAACATCCTCACCGGCGTCGGCAGCTCAGCAAACCCAAAAGAAGTAAAGCGGCTCATTAGAAGGGCCCCTCTTCACCACTTGTACTACTAGTCTGGCCATCACACATGCGCTACTACGCAAAGAGCCCGGCCGAGCGGGCTATACCATCGTCGCCGCCGCCCAGCGTGGCGCCACGCCCGCCGCTCTCACCATTAAGTATCTCGACCTTCACAGCGTCCGATTCTAATCTCAGTCTCAGGTTCTCACTTGTTCCGTATCAGTCAGCCAATACATGCACGCTTTCTCGTCCACCGCCAAGTATGCTACAGTCTTGTCGCTACATTGTCGCTCGCCGCTGACAGGCCGTGCTGCTCTTCCTCTACGAAAGGTGCGGGCTCAGAATTGATATTTCGAAGTGCGAGCGGCAATGCTACAAGTACATGAATGGTTGTCACGTCACGCGTTGGGCAGGACGTCGTCCTGTCCAACCGAACCCTCTCCTCCTCATTCCCCTTCTTTACTACGCGAGGTCAAGGGCCTCCAATCCGGCAGAGATAGGATGCGACGAGTCCTCTTCATCCTCGTCCTCATCCTCATCCTCTTCCTCTTCATCCTCTTCCTCCTGCTCCTCGTCCTCATCCTCGTCCTCATCCCCGACCTCCTCCCGCATCTCTTTTTGACCAGCAGCTTGTCTCGCTCTAGTCGCATCGAGCATAGAAGGGGCAGTAGCAGCGGCCAAAGTCGCAGTGCGAGTGCTTGCCTCTCCCTGGCCCTCCTGCCTCTGGGACGATCGTACGCGTCCTGGCGCGAGAGGGTCGGCACGGATCGTTGCGTCGCCTTCTTCGCCTTCGGTCCCATCTTCGGCGCCCTGGAGCGAGCGCTGTGCGACGTACGGGGAAGTTGTCCGCGGTACAGTATGTTGATCTGCTTTGCGACCAGCGTCGTCCTCGTGGCGAAGCATCGGCGAAGCCAGTGCCTTGCTGCCCTGCCCTCGCAGTTGCGGCTCATTAGCTTCGCTGTCATTCTCTCCCTTCCGCATGCTCTCCTCCTGCAGTGCTGCCCCAGACTGCGGAGGGACAGCATCAGCACTCAGCGGATTGGCCCTCGCCTGAGCCTTGGGGGTGAGGTGACGTTCATCTTCCTCGTCCTCGTCCTCGCCCGTCTCGCTTCCCAGCTGGGCAACGGTCGCCGTGCGATTCGGGCTGGGCCCATTACGCGCGAGGGAGGGACGAGGAGTCGCCGGTTGTCCCAGCGTCGAGCCTAAGGAAGTCGCGTTGCTCTGCTCCTCTTCTTGCTTGACAGCGCTGGTCGTCAAAGGCGAAGGAGTGTTCGACGCAGCCACTCCCGTCGTTCCCGATGATCGCCTTCTTCGTCTCCAAAGCGCCGTAGCGGCAGAAGCGGGTACATTCTCCGTCGACTGAGCCGCACTAGTCGTCCGCGATGCCGTGGGTGTCATATCCTGCGACCCTAGTCCGCCATCGGCACTGCCCCTCCTCGTATCTCTGCGATGGTCCGGACGTGGCGAACCTCCGCTGGGCGATCGGTTCATCTGCGTAGGAGTGCGAGGCAGGGGAAACCCGTCCTCATCGAGCTCCTCGTCTGCGTGACCACCAGGAGGGCCGGAGGCAAGGGGAGGGCGAGCCACATCCAGAAAGGCTAGGTCTGGCCTGCGATCCGGAGCAGAACAGCGTGGGTCACGCCCGCCGAAGGTGAAACTGTTGCTCGCCGCCCCAAATGGACCTCCTTTTCGTGCTGCAGGAGAGGTCTTTGATGCTGGAAGTGAAGTAGGTCTCAAACGCTGCGCCATCTCCAAGTCGGGGCTCTCCGTGGCACCATCCTCCGCTTGAGTAGACCCGAGTCTCAAAGCTCTCGCTGCGCCTCCACCGTCAATGTCAATTCCAGAGCAGGTGATGGCAGCAGCGGCGGCCGCTTCTGTCATCAGCCCGGCGTGGGCTTCTGCTGCTGAACCTGCGGCCGAGCGACCCTCTGAGATGGTCAGACTGCGTTTCCGCCCGTGTGTACGACGGCCCGAAGCTGGCGGGAGTGGAGCGTTGGAAGAGTCAGGGGAGGAAGCGGAAGAGGAGGGCGCTGAAGATGGGCCGCTGGTGCTGGCGGACGCTGTGCTAGTGGGCGGTGGTGCTCGCGGGATAGGGAGAGGTCCTGTGTTTGTGGTGGCTGCTGTTGTCGACTGGGAAGGTGATGGCGCACTAATCTCCGCTTGACTTTCTTCTGCGGCAAGTGAAACACCTCCTTCGTTCCCCTCGATTTGTGAAGCCGTCGCACCGGACACGTGCATCGTTGTGGCCTCCATCCCCTCATCCTCTGGCAGGAATTTGAGCTTGAGGAAAGGATGCACCACTAGCGGTGGGGGCGGGCTGCCTGATGATGATGAAGCGCCAGCCATTGATGGTGCAGCCAGCGTACTAGCGCGATGCGGAGCGCGTGGCACGCCATGAGAGCTCGACGCCGCAGCCTCCTGACCGTGCTCACCATTCGGCGAAGCAGCTCTTGCCCCGCTCGTATGCGATGCTCCACGATTACGTCTCGGCTGCCTCAATAGACTCAAAGCCGTTCCTGCCGGCCACACCCATTCATGCACGCTACTCGCCCTCACACCCAAGCTCATCTCCTTGCCAACCCACCCTTTCACCCACTTCTCACACGCAACGCGATCGTCCTCCTCTGCCTCTCCCTCCAATCCTATGCGCAGCGCTCTCCCCATTTCCGGCAGGATGCCACTCGTCGCAGGTTCTAGTGAGTGGCCCTGTACCAGACGCAGGATGCCGAGCACTGCGGCGAGGAGCTGAGGGGCCGTCGCTATCACAAGGAGAGGGGAGGCCTGGACGTCCACGAGGTGAGCGAGGGCTTCCTCGACCATTGGACGAGTAAGGGAAGAGGGGCCGCTTTCCTTCCATTTGGGGACTTGAATCCAGTGGACTTTGACTTGCTGCAATTCTGCCCAGCTTTGAAGGGCGGGGAGCTCCTCGAAGGGATGTTTCGGCGAGAGGGCGAGGAGGGTCTTGAGTCGCAGCTGGGTTAAGTAGGGCAGGTGACGCGGGAGAGGATGCGTCGAGGACCAGACGCGAGATGTTGATGATGAGAAGTTGACGCTGGAAGAGGAGTCGGCACCGAGAAGCGTCAGACGCAGTGGAGGCGTCAAGGTTGGTAGATGGAGCGTACGACGAAAGACGGCAGTGGGTGAGCCATCGTCGTAGCCGCCATGGCGCGAAGTGGACGTCATCGTCTCCCCGGCAAAGCGTGCCGGTAGACTGGGTGCGATGACTGTGTCGGCGGAGGGAGCAGCAAAGCGATTGGCAAGGCAGATAATGTTTAAGCGTCGTCGAATGTATGCGCTCGCCTTTCGACGTCCAAATGTAGCGCTCGGTCCGCCTCCGCTTCGTCCACTCTCGTTCCGGCGCACGTGGCAACGGAAGTGGACGTCGGTCCGTCTGTCTCGCAGCTCAAGCCAGAGAAATCGAGATGAAGGGACGAGGGGCGAGGCTGCATTCACTCCACTCTCTGTCTTCGACCAGTAGCATACAACCAACCAGCAATGGCTAGCGCTTCTTCCTCAACAACACCTGCTGCGGGTAGTAGCCGAAGCAATCAGGATGCCGAACTCCTCCCTCCCATCCCCAAGTCGAATGCCATTCTTGTCATTGGCATGGCAGGCTCAGGCAAATCGACCTTGGCTGGTGCTCTCTCCCGCCATCTCGAGGCCGAGGCTGCCAAGCGCAACCCCTCTGCAGCCTCTTCAGACCCCTCTGCCTCCTCTTCAGATGCGTCGTACTTGGTGAATCTGGATCCGGCAGTCTCTACACTCAACTACGAGCCCAACGTCGATATACGAGACACGGTCGACTACAAGCGTGTAATGGACGAGTATAACCTCGGACCCAACGGAGGCATCTTGACTGCCTTGAATCTATTCACGACAAAGTTCGATCAGGTCATGGGAATTCTCGAGGGCAGAAGCAATGAGGTCGACAACATCATCCTCGACACTCCCGGTCAAATCGAGATTTTCACCTGGTCCGCCTCCGGAACAATCATTACCGACTCTCTCGCCTCGGCCTTGCCTACTTGCATAGCCTACGTAGTCGACACTCCTCGTACAACGGCACCGGCGACGTTCATGAGCAACATGCTCTATGCGTGCAGTATCATGTACAAGACGAAGCTGCCCTTTATCATCGTGTTCAACAAGGAGGACGAACAGGATGCCGGCTTCGCGAGGGAGTGGATGGAGGACTTTGAGGCGTTTCAGGAGGCGCTGAACAAGGGGAATGCTACGGACCAGGTCGATGTTGGGAGGGGCAATCCGCGAGCGAGGGGCGCAGCTGGGCAGGAGGGAGAGGCGAGCTATATGAACTCGCTGGTCAACTCGATGGCCTTGCTGCTGGAGGAATTTTACAACAGCATCAGGGTGAGCCCCTCGCCCCAGTCCACTTTTACACCTTTCCCTTCACTAACGTCGTCCTACTTCTTCACGCAGGCCGTATCCGTCTCCTCTCTCACCGGCTCAGGCATGCCCTCCTTCCTCTCCGCCGTCCAAGAAGCCCGTCAAGAATACGTGGACGAGTATCGCCCCGAGCTGGAAGCCTTGCGCGCCTCGCGAAAACAGAAGCAAGAGGAGAGGAAGAAGCGCGAGGTGGAGAAGATGATGAGGGACTTGAGGGTGAAGCCCAGCGGAAAGGCGGCGCCCAAAGCAGCGACTGGGGCGAGGGGAGGGGGTGGGGAGGTCGACGATGACGATGAGGAAGACCCGCGCATCACCCGCATGGCGGATCGAATGCGCGTGCCGGGGTACGAAGGCGATGGGCTTATCATGGAGCCTGACGACGATGATGTCCTGCTTCAGACGCATGGGGCTGCACAGACTCAGGCGGGACAGGTGCCGAGACGAGGAGGAGCGCAGAGGGGGGAGGGGGAGGACCTGGCTTCAGTGGGTCAGAGGAGAAGGGAGGAGCAGTTGGCGAGGGCGAGATTGGGATGAGCGAGACGCAGATGGAAGGTGGCGGGTGAATGATATGATTGCAGACATCATCTCGCATCGCAATGTAGTGGACGTCTCGCCATCAATCCTCATCCTCGCTGTCGCTCCCATACGCTGCCAGCCCGCCAAGCCCACCAGTAGGCGCTGCTGTCTTCGCTGCTGCCGGCTTTGGCTGGGCCTGCTTCGCGGACGCGGGCTGCTGCTCTTGACCTTGTTGCTTCCTGAGAGCCTGAATATAAGCCAAGCCGCCAAGCGCATCTGAAGAGAAGAAGCCTGTTGGGGCCGTGGCCGCAGGTGGCGACGCTGCCGTTGACGCTGACGCTGAGGCGCTGCTGATGTTGGGTACGACAGGCGCAGGCGCAGCCTGTGCTTTTCTTTCCTCCTCGTCTTGCCTGTCCATTTCCTCCCAATTTCGCCGATTCTCCTCAATCAGTCTAGCCATCTCCTCTTCATCCATCTCTTCCCCCTCCCCAGCCTCAATGCGCAATCGCTTGCCATCATGCTCTCCATCCTCCTCGGGCTCTGGCAACCCAGCCTCCAGCCTCGCTCTCGCGGCCAGATACTCCCTCTGCTCATCAGTCATCCTCTCCTCGACCCTCTTCCTGCCCTCGCCCTCCATTCTCGCCCTCTCCCTCTTCTTGGCCGTCGGATTGGGGTCTTCTGTTGCCCATCGAACGTTCAAGATCTCCCCATGGTCCAGAGACTGGTTGCTCATTGCTTCCTTGGCGAACTGCGCGGAAGCCTCAGAAGAGTAGGTGACGAAAGCACAGCCTCGGTGCGTGAGGACGCGCACTCGCTCTAGCGGGCCGAACTCGCCAAAGTGACGTCGCAGTACCTTCTCTGTTGCAGTGACAGGAAAGACGGGTGCGGGTGGGAGGTTGGGAAGGTCATTGCTGCTTGTGTCATTGCCCGCGGACTTGACCTTGCCGTTGTCGTTGCGGATGGCTACGTCCCTTCTTGCTTGACCCACCGACTTTCCACCCTTTACCGTCCTTCCTCCATCCCTCCACTGCGGCCCGACTCCGTTGGCGCCACCTCCAGTCGAGACTTTGCGCAGATCTTCCTCTTCCTCGTGTATCTTGCCAATGTATAGCGTACGATTGACACGCTGTATGGAGCCCACGCCACCCATGTCATCTCTGTAATCCCCTCCCTTCTCTCGTCCAAAGATGTCCTTGCCTTGGTCCATGGTGCTGGTATGTTCTCCATGAGCCCCTTTGACCTGAGTACGCGGCAGACGGTGTAAGAAGGTACAGTCTGCTCCAAGATAGCAGCATCCTCTAGCGAACTGCAGGCAGATGAATGGTGTCTGCAAAGCATCGCCGCGCGTGTAGCCGGCATCGCGAGCTATATCGCAGCGAGTCTCGGACTTGTGCTTTACATGGTCATCGCGGTCCCCGCCGGACCATTTGTTATACCAGATGTTGTAGGAGACGCCGCTGCGAGTGGGGAGGGGAGATGGGAGACATAGCGAGAGTCAGCATGACGAAGCATGTAGTGAGCAGAGTCCAGCGCTGGAACTCACGTCTGGTTGCTCTTGTCTGCCTCATTTCGGATCTGCTCGAGACGATGGGCCGTAATCTGCTTGCGAGCAGGGCGAGACTTGGAGACGATCGTGGGGAGGGCGGATGTTGAAGCTGATGCTGACGAAGATGACGAGGAGGTGGATGCCACCATCTGGACTGTGGGCGACGACATGATCGCAGCCAACGAGGGATGATGGTAGCAAACGAAGCTGAGCAGCCATCTCCACGAGCGACCTCGTTCCGTCGTTGCTCGTCGCTCGCGTGGCACACTCATTGAGCGCGCTGAGCAATGGCAGCTCGCCGGCCGGTCGAGGCCCATGACGACGACGAGGGCGGATTCGCATCGCAACTTTGGATCATCCTCACTCACCTCTCGTCACTACCACACATCACATCGTCACCATGCATCCCACATCGATTTCGCACAGCGGAATGCCTACGGGCAAGAAGTACATGGGCTGGTGGGGATCAATGGGCGGCCCTCAGCAAAAGGGCATCACCGCGTACTGTGAGCATGCACCGTGATACGTGGCCATATACTGGCTCGATGTACGCTGACCTTTGCCGCATGCCCATCTCACGCACGCAGCCATCTCCTCCAACCAGCAGAACATCATGGGTGGCGCTTTCCGCCAGTACATGATCTTTGGATACAAGCGTCTCATGGCGCAGCTGCCTTACTTTGGCATTCCTCTGGCTATTGGTGAGTGCCCGCTAGGCCAGCCTTGACTTACTTGGCTTCAAGGCTGATGGATCATCCTTCTCCCATCTTGGCTCTACAGGCTACGGCGTCTACTCGTGGGGCGTCTCTCGCAACCACTACCTCAACTCGAAAGCTGGACACCTCGAGTTTGGAGAGCATGAGGAGTAAATGGGGGCAGAGGTTAAGGTGGTCAGGTCAGACCTATCGAGGGAGGCCAAATGGAATCTCGAGCAGATTTGTTACCATTGATAAGCAGTCGCAGTGGGTGAAAGCAGTGTGAACTACGGTCGACGATTTGTTGCCTCCCCAACCAGCGGGGGAACAGAAGGAGCAGGCCGACAACGACTGCGTCGCCAGGATGAAGCTGGTGTCTAGCTGCATCGCTCCGCCACGAGCGCGTCCGCAGATAGCCTCCAGCACCGGCATGATGGACTTGCTCATGCGTCACGAGATTCTGACGACGACATCGACACGAGGAACAAGGCAGACAAGCGTACACGATACATTGAGAGCCTCATCTCTATTGCGACAGAGCGTAACAGCCTCGCCTTACTGCCCCGTTGACCTCCCTCGTTGCCTCCTCACTTGCCTCCCTTCTTCTGCTGCTGCTGCTGCCCCGCTCCACTGGGTCCGCCAGCTGTCCCCGTCCTTTGACCACCCTGCTGCCCCGCTCCTGCACCCGGAGGGGGTAGCGGCGGTGGCGGTCTCGGCGAGCTCGTCGCCCCACCAGGAGCCGGGGAGCCGGTAGCTGACCCTCCCCCACCTGCTGCCCTCTGAACCGCAGGCCCACCTCTTGCCTGCTGAGCCTGCAACGCGAGCTGAGCCTGATGTTGCTCATGCGCATTGCGGAACAGAGTCATGGCGAGGTTCTGGATCTGCTCCTGTGTCAGGTTCTGCGAGAGGGACTGCTGAAGCGTGTGCTGGATCTGAGCGACCGTCACCGCCGGTAGACCGCCTAGGCCGATGGCTTGCCCTCCTTGCCCTTGTCCCGGTTGGGCGGGCGTCGATGGAGCGTTGCCCGTGCTATTGCCAGCAGAGGCCGCATTGGATGCAGGAGACGAAGTAGTAGCAGAAGCGGCCCCGATTTGCGGGCTCGCCGTCATATTTGGCGTACTTGCACCGGGCATGGGAGGTCGACCAGCAGAGTGCGCGTGGCTCATGCCCGCCGCCATGCTCTGTGAGACGGCCATGCTGTACTGCTGGAGCCCAGGGTTCGGGCCTGGCATGCCTTGCTGGCCGCTTTGCTGCTGAGCCTGTTGCTGCTGTTGGGCGTGCGCGCCACGCATCTGAGACGCAAATGCTGCCTGCTGCTGTGGGGTCATACGAGCCAGAGCGGCGCCGAGGGACTGCTGCTGCTGAGGGGTGAGTTGGGGCCCGCCACCGTTGTGGCCTGGCTGCTGGCCTGGCGTGCCAGGACGAGCAACATTGCCGCCGGCGGAGGTGGGGCGATTCACAGGCGGCATCGGGGGTCGACCGGCATTCATTGGCATGCCACGTTGCTGCTGAGCGTGCGGCTGGCCCTGCTGTCCGGGCCCCTGCTGCTGATTTGACTGGCCTTGCTGATTGGGCGGTCGTACGGCTTGCTGACCTTGATGGTTGCCATTTACCTGTGGCCCCTGCTGTTGCTGTTGCTGTTGCTGCTGCTGCTGTTGATGGGCCTGAACCTGAGCCTGAGCCTGCGCTTGAGCAGCAGCAAAGCGCTGCTGTTCCTCCGCCATCCTCCTCTGATTATACAACTGCACGTGGCGCGCATGCGCATCGTCCCTGTCAGCCTTATGCTGACTCAACTGCTGAGGCGTAGGCGTGGCTCCACCCTTGGGCGTGTTGTGCGTCTCGTGTGACGCTAGGTTGACCTTGCGTACCTCACCGGGGGCGAGAGGAGGACGAGCAGTGGCTTCGCGCCGCTTGGCCGTCTTGCGCATCGCTTCGAGGATGTTGCTGTGTCGCATCTTGCGGCGCGACCCATCGAATTTCGCAGTGAGCTTCTTGGCCAGCTTTTCGCGCTTGACTGCCATTGAGTTAGGCGGCAGCGATGCCGCCGTCGGTGGCGCTGCGGAGGCCTGCGGGCTTGGCCCATTCGTGTCCGTACTCGCGTTTGCTGCTGCGTCGGTCGACGGCGTCGGAGGTGCAAGCTGCGGAAGGGCAGGAGGCGGCGGCGGTGGCTTGCCCTCTGCTGCCGCCTTGGTGATGCGATCCCACCTATCATAGCAGTCCCACGGCTCGCGACGGTCTGTGGGCACCATCAGCCGCGACGAGTTGAAGACATCAGAGATCAAAGGCCAGTTGGTGCCGTAGTGCTGCACCAGCTTCATGAGGAAGCCGTCTTCCTCGCTCGACCAGAATATCTGCGCTGCTCTGAGCTCTGGCTCGCGCGGCTGAACGACGTGGTTCATGGTCGAGGGCGCTGCTTCTCTGCTTGGCTTGTTGGATCGGCGGCTGAAGATCGTCGTAGCTACGGGAGGGGGCAGATCAAGATCCTGCCTGCAGATCCCGAGATTGGGGTCAACTATCCTCGCGGCAATGATCCAATCGCTGTCCTCCTTCCACCGTCCTTGCGCACGATTCTTGCCGGGCTCAAGCGTCGATACCAAGAGCGGCTTAGCGTCCAACAGCCTGCTGACCTGCGTCAATCTCGAGCCCTGATGATACGCTCCCTCGTCCACTCGCTTGTCCCCCTTGCCCGCTTCTGGGATACCAGGCGGACCGTATTCCATCAGCTCGGGGAAAAGGGCCGCGATCGACCACGTCTGATCCGTCTCCAGGACGCTCTGCATCTTGTCGATGTCGACACCCAGCATCTCGGCTGCGGCTTCGGCATCGAAAGACTCGAGAAGAGCAGCAGGCGAGACGCTAGTTGCAGAGATGTCCATGGAGAAGATGGGGGCGCGCAGCGTGCTGGAAATGCTCTGAAGAAGGTCTTCCGGTTGGGGCTCTTGACGAGTGGAGGGCGCCGGCGGTGAGGCTTCGGCGGTGGACGTCGCTGCGCCAGCTAGGGTGTCGTCGCGGCGGAGTGGGACGGCTCGCATTGCTGGAGTCATGGAGCTTGCGTCGCGAGATTCTTGCCGCCTCTTGTCGCCGGCCGAGGGTCCAGAGAGCTGAGGCATGGGAGCTTCCGGCCTTGCCTCGTTGATGAAGACTGTTCGCGGCTCATCTTTCTCTCCCTTCAGCGCCGCCTCGACCTCACCATCGTCGGCGTCGCCATCTGCGTCAGCGTCTGCCTCACCGTCCGCGTCAGCGTCTGCATCGCCATCGCCATCGGCGTCAGCTTCAGCGTCAGCGTCCACATCAGCATCTGCGTCTGCATCTGCATCTGCATCCACATTCGCCTCTGCGATGCTGACTCGTCGAATCTCTGCTGCTCCCTCTTCCTTTGTCTGCGCCGCAGGGCGCTCGTCGACGTCCATTGGCGCCTGTATCCCTTCATCCCTCGGCTCCTCCTTGATCTCCACCTCCATGCCGTCCTCTTCCAATTCTACCTCCTCGCGTTGCCTCTCGCTCTCCCTCCTGCCACTCGCGGTCCTTGGCACGCACATGCTTCGTTTGGCTTGCGGCGTCTTAGCCTTGACCCATGCCCGACAGGCGTACGCCAGTTGCACACCAACGGCCATCTTCCATCTCCTCTCCTCGCGGAAGTCAGTCTGCATCCACTTCATCTCCTCCAACATCAAATCCCAATGCGCTTTCCTCACCACCGGGGCTTTGGGCTTTTTCGGCTGTCTGAAGCTCCATAGCCCCGCCTCCTTGAGCTTCTCGATACGGGCCATGGCACGAATAAAGCGTTGCTCGGTGAAAGCGACGCGCCAGTCTCGGGTGAGGAGGCACTTGTCTGCCTTTCCCACCAAGCCTGAACCTGGTGAAGCACGGGAGCGGACGTACCACCGCCAGAGGTCTGTTTGTCCGGCGCCAGTGGGACCGGACGGCGGAGGTACGCCGGGCTTGGTTTGGGGCACATGAGGCGCTTTACGAACGCGTGATGAGGAGGAGCCCCCAGCGCCTGCCCCGCCGCTGCCTGCACCTGTGTAGCGGCGGAAAGGATCGGGTGGAAGAGGGCGGAGAGAGGAGGCGTAGGTGACTGAGAGGGGGTTGGGCGAGAGTTGGACGAGAGTGGGATGCAGGGGCACAGTCTCTGGTACAGTGTCGTTACTGACGGGGGCAACGGTGCCGGTCAGAATGGCAGCTACGTCTGCTGCAGAAGGCTGAGAGGCTAGGAGGGCGTTCGAAGCGATCGGAACAGAGAGGGGCGGCCCCGTTGCTGCTGCTGCCGCCGCCGCTTCATTAGACGAGGTATTGCCACTGTCGTCGGTGACGGAGAGCGCTGGCGAAGAGGTGACCGTACGATCGACGGCCGTACCTGCAGCCAGCTTGGAGATGAGAGCAGAAGAGGCAGCAGACGGTGTTGGCTGCGGTGGCGGCGTAGCTACGCTTGCAAGTGCGGGGTCATAATCTGCTTGCTGTCCTGCGCGCTTGCTCGTTGAGGCTCGTCGAGTGGCCGGGCGAGGCGTCGTCGTATTCGGTGTCGTCGGGGAGGTCACTGCCGGACCCTTCTGCGGCGTGGCAACAGTCTTGGAAGCAGCACCACCGGACTTCTGTCCTTCTGCAGTCTTGATCGCCTTTGCCCTTTGGGACGCTGACTTGAGCGGGGGAGAGGATCCCAACTCGGCGAACAGCTTGCGCTTGAGGTGGGCCGACGAGGGCAGCTTGACGCTGGCAATTGATGACGACTTGTCCTTATCTTTGTCCTCCTGACTGGCGGAAACTCCAAGTGGATGCTCTCGATAAAATACCTCAAACTTGTCACGATAGGTTGACTCCTCCGGAATCTCGCGAGGCATCACCGTCGCTGGCTGGCTGTCCTCTTCCTCAGCCTTTTCCAGCGAGCCTAGCGCGCTTGTCCTCGTGTTCTGCTCCCACAGGAGGTAAAGATCACGCAGCTCTGAAGCATGGTCGACTTTGAGGTTGCTGTACAGAGCAGAAAGAAGTTCGGATGGTCAGTCTAGGGACGAGGTGCACAGTATATGCTGTCACGCGGCGCCTCGGACGCACCTCAACCGCTCCTCTGCCTCTTCTAGCCTATCCTGGCGAAGATCCTCAAGCGTCACTCTCGATGAGCTTGCTTGCGCGTTGTTGCTTCCATCTTTCGCCGTCGGTACAGCTGTTGGCTTCGCCGGCAACGCCATCCTGGGCGACGATGAGGGTTGTGAACGACGCGGATGCTCAGCGGCTCGTCCAGCAGCCTAGAACGCGCCCGGTCCGGTGTCCCTTGCAAAAAGGAGATGATGAAGATGGAGGAGAAGAGGAATGGGTCCCCTTGCTGACGATGTCAATCTGAAACTATCGAAATGCCTGCGTCGAGACTGGGCTTGCAGACGTCGTAGTCCTCGGCGTCGATGAGGCGATGGCGAGTGACGAGATCGATGGTGCGGACGGCCAGACGCAAATCGCGTCTTTCCGTTCCGGGAACGCTTCCCGCTCATGCGGCCAGTAGTCACCGTCATTCGATCACAACCGTGGTAGCGAAGCAAGGGCGACCAGATGGCGTGGTCTTTCTATAGGTATTGATGATGATGACAACGAAGCAAATGAGAGCAATGATACAAGGTAGTGGTATGACGGTGGAACGAGGGAGGGCGTGCGAGCTTAGATCTCCTTAGCAGCAACAGCCTCAGCCGCTAGCTCGTCAGTCGCGGCGGCGGCGGCGGCGACTCCTCGCGTGCGAATCTCCTCATCTCTCTCCTGACTGACCCAGTTGCCTACGACGGTGTAGCCTCTCGGGGCCCTTCTCGCCTCCCGCCCCCAGTCAACCACATCACCACGGGCATCGAGCCAGATTGCCTCCTTGTCGGGCGTCTGCGCGTGCCAATCCGCTACATCCTCCAGGTCAAGGCCGACAGGCGGGTCAAGGCGCCTCACGTTGTCGACATGAACAAGCTCCTTGACTGCGAGAATCTGTCCTGCAACGGGTGCGTCCTGTGGAAGGTAGACGGACTGGAGACGCTTCTTGAGGCCCATGGCCGAGAGGACTTTGCTGATGCGAGACGGCAGGCCAATGGCCGAGCGACGCAGCGTGACACGGTAGTGGGTCGTGGGGCGGAGCTGGGCGGTGGACGAAGTGGTTGCGGATGGGTCCTCTTGCGCTGATGAGGCGCTCGTTGAGGACATGGGACGCACCCACCCGTTGAGGGTGTAGGCGGATGACGTGGCGATAGGGGAGGCACGGAGAGCAGGGGTTACGAGGGCCATGCGGCGCATCGTCGAGGGGAAGAGAGAGGACATGCTGTGGGAGAGGGAGAGGGACTGAGGTCAGCCTCTCTAGTCCTGAATTTTCAATCCGTGCGCCCGACTCTGCCCATCACTGCGCCGCACGCTCTGCGTTCTTTCAGGGTAACCTGTTTTCGGCCTGGCCCGTTGCACCGCTCTTCGTCTCAGCCAACAAGGCGGGACCTCCAGCGCATGTAGGGTGTCGGTAACAAGAGGTGACTCGGCGAGGGCACAGCAGGACGAAGCAGCGAAGTAAGTGATCTGGCCAGCCGTGAAAACGACGGGAGAAGCAGAGGCCGAGCGTTTGACCGCCAGCACAAAGCCTCACCAGCCGCAGTCAACAGATCTTCCGATCACCACCTGCGCCGCGCCGAACCCACTGCTCCTCAGCCGCCCTCGATTGCCGGTGACTCCCAACGCGAGGTCATCACACCAACGAAAACTGTGGAGACGAGGCCTTGACATGCAGGGGCTAACGACGGCTCTTCCTAATGCTTTACGGTAAACTCTATGCTCATCACTCGTGCTGGTATGCAACCGAGCGAGAGCAGAGCGCGGGCGGCGATGCGCCTTTTGGAGTGGTACTCACGTTGCGGTGGCGCTGGTAAATGTCTTGAGAAGCAAGAGGAAGGCCAAGAAGGTGTGCAGCTGGGAGTGGACAGAAAGGTAGACGATGTCAACCGGCTGTGCACGAAGTCGTAGAACCGAGCTGCGCCATCAACGTCGCCGTCACTTCCACCGCTGCAACTGTGTGTGACTCCTCGGACTTCCAAGGAAGGTCTGCAAACCCTCATCAGGCCAGGGCCGGCTGCGATCCCCATGCGATGCAAACGACCAATAACGAGACGCCACTGGACGGTCCGACACTCCTGCCGAAGCAGGAGGGTTCGAGTCGGTGCCCTCTCGCAAGGAGATGGACGTCTGTCGGTAGGTCTCTCGCTAGGGAGAGCCAATGAAACCCCACTACAATATAGTCACGCCGGTGAGCGTGGGCCCTAGAGTGGAAACTGCGAATTTGGCTGGATACCATGATCTTCATCATCGGAGTCGAGTAGCAGCGGGGAAAAGGGCGGACGACGTGAAGGCTGCATCTTGGGTGTGCGATGCTTACCAGCTAGGCGAAAGGGCGGCGGCGGTGCGGAGTCGATGTAGTAGGGCAGGAGATCTACGCGCGCAGAGGAGGAGCAATGATGGTCAGCTCAAACTGCCCGTGTCTAGCTAGCGTGATGCGCCATTATCGTGGATCCATCAGACAAAGTCGTACTGGCAAGTACAAAATAGGATGTGCAAAACCCCGTGAAGGGCCCGCGTTGCTCGACAGCGATCGAGCTCCTTTTCTTCTCGGCATGGTCGGGTAGGCCGGGGAAAGGAAGTTGCGAAGATCATCGTGTGGAAAGGAGGGCGCGAATGCGATGCAATAGGGAGGTGTTCGACTGATGCTCACCTGATGTTGCTGTCTTTGAGAGTTCTGGTTCTCGTCGCGATGGACGATGGTTGAATGGACAAGGAAGTCAAGAAGTGAGATGGAGGTTCAACGCTGGCTTTGACTTCGCACCTCGCGCTTGGCTTGAGCCCGACCGAACCCCCCCAGCCAAAAAAACTCGCGGCCCGCGTCTGACCCACAAGCCGACTTTGGGCTGTGGCTGTGGCCGTGGCTTGACTGCAACCCGAGACGAGGCGAGACGAGACGAGACGGCCGCGCCCCGCGTGGCGATGGCGGAGCGGAACAGGGACAGAGGAGTAACAACAGTCAGCTCGTCGTCATCCCGGACTGGCGGCGGCAACTTGGCTTGGCTTGGCTTGTCCTCCTTGCCACCACCAATTACGAGCCTCGCTGACCGCACAAAGGAGCTGGCAGCAGCACAGACAAGAAAAGCGCGGCGCCAGTGGGGCGTGAGGCGCTCGACGACCATCCGCTTTCTTCATCGTCATCATCATCATCATCATCATCATCAACCTCTCGACCCTATTCGTCTTCAAGAAGCATACACGCTGCAAGCCCAAGCGGAGCAGCGCTAATACAGACCAACAGCAGCCTTGACACCTCCTTCAGCATGTCAAATACCATCGACCTGACGCTGGACTCGCCGCCTCGCCCAGCCATCACGCTGCCAGTAGGATCCTCGTCGAATAGCACCTCCACTCAAGACCAAGGCCAGTCTACTTCGTCATCATCGGCAGCTGCGCCGAGTGGCAGTGGCACCGGCAGCGGCAGTGGGAGCAGTCGACGCCCAATGCGATCGTCAGCATCGGATGATGGCTTCGAGATCAGTCATATGTCAGAAGGTGCGCAACGAGCCGCCGATGCTGCCAGAGCAGCTCGGCAAGCCCAAATGATGCAAACAGAGGATTCAGTACGATGGAGGCAAAGTGAGTCCTTGTGTCAAGCGCATACCCGAATTGAGCTAACCCCGTATTCGTTCTCTACCCCTGCACTTAGACTTTCTGACCTCAGAGGGACGCGAGCCACGCCGACGTCCACCAACTTCTGCAGCGGGGGGTGGTGCGTCCTCCTCCTCATCATCATCATCGGCAACTAGACCTACGTCAGGGAGCGGATTCTCTATCACCAGCACCACCCACAACGCGCCCGGTGTACGCATCCACGATGGTCTGCCCCCTGGTCCGCACGCCAACAGTAGCAACGCAGCAGCAGGCCCCTCAGGCACTCGTCGTGTCGCAGTAGACATGATGATCAACGGCGGGGTTCATCGAGTCTATGTCCCCGAGGATCAGATGCCTGGTCGTCGTGGTGCCAACAGCGCTGCCGGAAGAGTAGCCGCGGCAGCAGCAGCTCCCCAACAAGCCGCCTCGGGCTACTCAATGGGCGGCGTCCTCGCCAATCTTTCCCATCTTGCCACTAGAGTAGAAGGCGTTGCGACCCACATGGCTGCTCACGCTGGCTTTGGAGGCGGGGCAGCTGCTCGAGGATTGCCTCGACGAGGGGCATTAGCTGGAGTCGCGCGAGGAAGGGGAGGAGGAAGAGGAGGTGGCGGAGGTCGAGGAGGCGCAAGGGCAAGTGGGGGTTGGAACCCTTCTGCGGCCATGAGGAAAGAGCTCGAGAAGGTGATCCCCGCCAAACATGATCCCAAGATGGTACTCAACCACACCAGCCATACGCCAAAGGGCAACGGCCCAGTCGACCTCACGGATAGCAACCCCAGCAAAGCAAATAAGAAGACCTTCTCTTTCGGCATTGTGGAACCACCCCTCGACGTGGAAACATTCGAGCAGGACCCTCGTATCATTCGCGGCCCTCTCCCTGACACGAGTCCCATTTGCGCCGGATGCGATTGTGCGCTTGTCCTTGGCGGCAGTGGACCAAGGAGGATCTGGGCGTTGCCCTGTGGCCACGTCATCGACGGGCGCTGCTATGAGAGGTACGCGAATGGCATCACCCCGGCCAGGGCGAGAGACATGGCACGCGAGGAGGTGGAGAAGGCGAGGAGAGATGAGGCTGTCGTTCTCAAGGAAGACGGGGAGGAGGATAGCAAAGCGTCGATCATCCCCCTGGGTGTGGACGCAGATAGTAGTATGGAGGGAAGCAGCAGCAGCAGCAGCAGCGGCAGCCACAGTCGCCTGCGCGTCAAGCGTCCCCGAGAAGATGACGATGGCGAAGGTTTCGAGAGGGACGAGCCTCACAAGGCCTTGAAGCCAGACGAGGGCAGTTCTGCTACACACAGCGTGAGGAACTCGCCCAGCGACAAAGGCAAAGGCCGCGCCATCAGCTCGGATGGAGACGTATCCGCCGGAGGAGACACCGCCACACACGCCACTCTTACCGACGCCCCTTCTCACCAGCGCGGCGCAAATGGCATCAAGATCGACGCAGAAGAAGAATACGCCGCCGCCGCCCCTGTTGACAGCGAGACGGAAGACGAGCAATCAGTCTCTCACTCAACAGTGGGCGCCATCAGGGGAAGGGGGCGAGCAAGGGGTGGGAGTAGAAGCAGGCCCGGGGGTCGCACCGCAAGTGGCGCCGCATCGCTTGCGACGTCTCCCCGCGGCGCGAGCAAGACGAAGAAAGCCTCAGTGGCCGGAGCGACAACAACAGCAGCAGCAGCAACAGAGAAGCCCTGCAAGCGTGTCAAGACGTTCGTATGCCCTGTCGAAGGGTGCAACCAGCGCGTGGCTACACAGCAGGGGAGGGCGGCAAGCGGTGTGGAGCTGTACGTTTGAGGCCATTACGCGAGAGAGGCAAGGAGCAGGGAGGCGGCATCATCTTCATCAGCATCACGACCATTCCCGACCATCATTCTTTACGACACCTGTCATTCAGCATTCCTCCAATCGCCAAGCGCGCTGTCACCCTTTCTTTCTGCATCTACAATTATATCGACTGACATCCATCCATTCTCCCACTGGAAGAGTGCGACAGTTCCTCGCTAGCAGGCGCGAATTCGAGGGTACCAAAATGCATTATCGCGTCTTCGAGATACTCGGTAAGATCAGAGGGGATGAGACAGTGACGAAAACGAGCGAGGTGGAAGGAGAACGAGATAAGCTGACCAGCAGCGGCACCGATCAGCCAAGACCCTACCCCTTGACGTAGCTCTCCATGGACTGGGCCAAGCTGGCCATATTGCCGCGCCTGAATTCACCCTGCCCCTTCGCATTGCTCGACTCATCGTTCTGCGTCTTCGCGACCGCAGCCTTCGCTTGCTCGACAGCCTCGACGGCCACAGGCGCCTCAGCTTCCTCCTCCTGCTTCTCCGCAGGCCCATCGCTCCTTTCAATCAGCTCCAAGAAGCACCCTGCCTCTTCCTCGCGCAAGAAGAATTGCCTCAGCCCACTCAGCATGTCCTTACTGATCTTGTCGCTCGTCGTCTGCCATCCTGCGCCCCTGACACCGGCAAAGGCGGCCTCAACATCGCCAACTTGCAGAGCAATGTGGTGCACGTACGGGCGACGCTTCTTCTGGAGGAGCTTGCTGAAGATAGACTCGGGGATGAGACCTTCAGTGATAACGAGGACACGCTGCGTGTCGAAGGGAAGGGCCATTACATGATTGAGCATGTCCTCCTCTCCTTCCGGGGCTGCGCCCGCATTCAAGGTGATGGTTCGCAGGTGCGTGTAGCCTAGCATGCGCTCGTGGAACTCGCGAACTGCGCTGGCATCGGGCACGATGAGGGTGTAATGATCGAGCTGCTTGACTTCAGAGACAAGGGCGTGCGAGATGAGCTCCAAGCCGTTCGAGAGTGTCGTGGGGCCTGCGGCTGAGGGGGAGGAGAGGGACGCGCTGCTAGACGCGGAGGGCTCAGCTGACTGGCAGAAGCTCATGGGGTAACCGGCTTGCTCGCCCGTCAATTCGAGCTCAAAATCCCCCTCTTGGCCCTTCTGAGTGATTGGACGCTCCGTGAAGGCGACGTTCTGCTTTGCCAAAACGCGGCGCGCCTTTTCCAGGTTGGCAACAGCAAAGCGGACGTGCAGTCCCGTATCCGCTGGACCGGCGTCAGCAGGGGCCTGCTCGATAGAGAGGGTTGGGTCGTCGATGCCTGGCAGGCGAAAGAGGTCGGCACCTCCCTCGACGCTGACTACCTCGCTGACGTTGCCCACGCGCAGGAAGGTCTCCTTGGATCGCTTGGCGTCCGGCGATATAAGCGTCAAGTGGGAGATGCGCTCCACTCCCAGCAGATTGATTGCTCCGGCTTGACGCCTCGCTGAGGCTACCTCGTCGCAAGCGTGCCACAGGGCGGTGCTGGTAGAGCTCGAGCCACCTACCCGTGAGAAGACGGCGTCAATGAAGCTGGTGGTGTCCCTTGCGCAGGCGGCCAAGTTGCCTAGCGGCCTGCCTTGGAGGGCAAGTCCACTGCACGTTCTCATGAAAAGATTGGCCGTGCCGGAGTTGCTGACCCACTCGGGCATCATAGTAATCCCAGCCTCGTCCAGCTTGGCAAGGCAGGCAGATCGCTGCGCCGTGGCGGGGAAGACGTTGTTGGCGCCCGCTACAACGTAGCGCTGTGCGTTGGCGCAGAGGTCGGAGAAAGTGTGCGAGACCAAAGCGGCCGTGACCTTGGGCGTCAAGATGTAGCGGCAAGCGCACGGCACAAAGACGTCCGCACGTGCAGAAGTGAGGAAAGAGACGAGGTGATCCTCATCGGTGCTAGCCGTCTTGCGGCGCGTGTAGGTCGGCAGAGCACGCTGCTGGGCGGTCAGACCAGCCTCGAGGCTGTTGGGGTCCACGGTCGTATCAGGCGAGGAGCGGCGCGCCTTGTTGATTGCCGCGACATCGATGCCAGAGTTATCGCATAGGAAGCCGTATTGGCTCGAGATGCCCACGATCCTCCCAAGTCCTAGCTCTTGAGCCGCTTGAGCGAATGTAGCGCCAACGCAGCCGAAGCCTTGCACCACAAGACGAGCACGTCCAATGAGAGCCGGGTCCGTCTTCTCGAGCATGCGCTTGAGCGTCACGGCCATGACGTAGCCGACTGAGTACTCTTCGAGCGACCACTCTACGCCCTCCACACCCGCAGGGGTCGGGACACTCTCCTGCAGCAGGCGGGGCACATCTTTCGCTGACGTTGGGCACTGCAAAGCGCGGCTCAGCGCATCAAGTGCCGTCTCCGTTCCCTGTGTGCAGTACTTCTTTGCATACTCGTCGATGAGCGAGTGACTCGTGTTCAGATCACCTCCTGTGCCCCAGTACGTTGAGATCACCGCGGCATTGTCCCGGATGAAACGCTCCAATACGTGCGTTGCCTCAGGGTCACGGTGCGAGAATCGAATTCCGCCCTTTGCGCCCACGATCTGCGGTTGGGAAGAGACGGCCAGCTTGGTGCTCATGGCGCAGGCCACGTCTCGGACCTCGGTGAGAGAGGCCTGCTCATGAAGGAAAAGCCCTCCACCTGCTGCGGTGGGTTGAGGGGCGTCGATGACGATCCAGCCTTCAGCGATGGTGTGCTTGTCTTGCCAGTGCCAGACGCAGCGCCCATCGATGATTTCGGGGGCGGGGGGAATCAGAAGCGAAGCTGTGGTAGCAGATGGCGGTACGATGCGTGCCTTCTTGATGGTGGTGGGCTCGAGAGAAGGCGAGGCATTGAGCGCCCGCTCCGAGCTGTAAAGAGGAGTCGCAAACGATGCCGTAGGTGCCATACTGTCGGTTTGTGTTGCTCACTCGGGCGATCTTGCTCGTAGAGGAGACGAGTGAGCCAAGATAGGAGTGCATTGCCTCTGCCCTTTTCACCTTTTGTACTCTGCGTCGACGCAACCATGGTCACAGAGCTGCGTTCCCTCGCAGGCACTGGAACTGCTCTGTCGGCTCTGCATGACTGTTTCGTTGCTACTTGCAGGCTGGCCCATGTCTCCGCAAAACTTTACGACGGGCCTCGGGCCTCAAGTGGAGCTGGCATCTTTGTGTGAAGCAACGAGCCGCCTTTTGACCCTGGGCAAGGGGGCACTCGCGAGACAAGCGCCATCACTAGAGTAGACCGGCACTCGGGCGAGGGCACTTGAGCATGTCGGGCTCCCTCGGACGCACGTTGAAGAACTTTGCCTGTCGCCGCGTTCTCATGGTCGCCCTTTCACTGCCCAGCGCAGGTGCTAATGAGCCGCTGGCAGCTGAGTGTCAGTGGCAATGACGACTTGTCAAGCTGAGCTCGAGTCGGGAGCCGCCCTATCGCGGCCGTTTCTCGGCCGGCCTATGAGACAGTTGGCGCCTACTGATAGCTCAAAAGTGCCGCTCTACCTCCCTCCTCTCCATTCGCACCTAGTGGAGCTGCCTCGCCGAATTTTGGGCCGAAAGTGGATGCATCTTGAGCATGCAATGCATTTTGGTACGCCTCGGGGCTTGGCTCCCCTCTGTACTTCCAGAGGCACCATGGCAGCCTGTAGCCTGTCGCCGGGCAAGCTCGCTCCCCATCGCTTACTCCTCTGGGCTTGCGACGGGGGCGTGAGGGCTGGCCCCGAGGTGAGGTCAATTTGAGTTTAGACTTGTGTCGGTGATGCTGCCGATGAGAGAAACGGACGCAGTGGCAGAAGCAGGAGCGGCGAGGCTGGGTCAGAGAGAGACGCGCTCGCCCAACAGCTCCCTAATCGAGGAGGCGCGTCGTCGATTGTCACGTAGGCCCCCTTCCTCCCTCCGCCACCCCGCTCTGTCGCTCAACTCGACTCAGCCAGGGAAGCCGTCGAGCTCGCTGTAAGGCCTGGATGAGAATCCAGAGGAGCAGCACGAGTTACTCTCGGCTGTCTCGCCGTCGCGTCTTTGCTCGACCTGACGTCTCATCAGCCACGGTAGCCCCTTAAGTTCCGGCGCTTGGCCGTCGTCTGAACCTTATTGGGTGGGCAGATCTGTATCTCTAACGCCCCAATGATCACCCTTCAGTGCTGTTGCGCCACGATGTCGGAGCAGTCTTCCTGTTTCGATAGCTGACCATGCGTGGGTAATGGACACGAGCCTCGCTCTTCTCGCAGGGCTGTGCTCGATCAGGGCAGGACCTCCTTCTCACGTTGGCCGCGGCGGCAGCGGTGGCGCATCGACCAAGATCTCACGGTGCTGCAGCCCTCAGTCATCCTGAGTCCGGTGATGCGACGACAAAGGGGTAGTCCGGACCCACCCTGCTCTCTTGCCTATGAGAGGATGAGTGATGGGTGGAGAGGAGCGAGCTTCGCCTTAGACCCGCGCTGCCGCCTCCGCCGCGCTCGCCAGGTCCCTTGCCTGACCCGCTACGCGAGTTGCCTATTCGGGCGCGCGCCTGACGCGTAAAGTGGCCCTCTACACCTCCTTGAAACGTAAGCTCCGCACAGCCAGGAGAACGCCGCCGTCGACCGATCAGGCCACCTGTCGACTCGCCCAGCTCGGCCCTGCGTGTGCAAACAAACTGTGCTCGAACTTTAACCTTGCTCTCGTTCTTCGTCTGCGACCCAGAAAGGACGCTATCCTTGGCCCTCTCACTCGACCCCCTTCTTGATCGAGAATGCCAAGCTACCGAGGCCACTCATTGCTGGGCTGCCATAGTCAATGCGACGGGCTTCGATAGCCGACGTGCGTACGGTCTGTATGATCAGAGGGAGGTGAATCATGATGATGGCGATTGGATTGATCCGAAGGATTCGGTCGGCTCGAAGAGGAAATTTACAAGTGGATAATGGAAGGGAAGGAAAACAAGAATGCGTGTGCTCATAGAGCAGCAAAAGTCCGTTCAGCTACAACCTTCTCCCCTCATGTCGTCTTCTGCTTTACCCCCTCAACCTTGACCTTCCTCTTAATCTTCCGACTGCTCTTCCCGATCAGGATCTCATACTCCCCCTCCGATCGGATCCACTTGTGCTGCTTCGCACTGTAATGGGAGAAGTCGTACGCATTGAAAATCCACGTGACCTCCTTTGTCTCACCCTTGGGCACGAAGACGCGGTCGAATTTGCGCAGCACCTTGGGCGGCTCTCCCGCCGAAGCGGGGAAGCGGAGGTAGGCCTGTGGTACCTCGTGACCATCGTAGTCTCCGGTGTTACGAATGCTGAATGTCAGCTTGTAGACGTCCTTGAAGAGAGAGGCGGGCAGAACTTTCGTGCCCACGAAAGGAGACTGGGTTGGGATGGTGTTGGGCGGAGAGTTGCCATCGTCGTGCCCAACTTGGTCGTCGTAGCTCTTCCCCGGGTGACCGTGGCTCTTGCCGTGCTCCTTGCCATGCCCATCATTGTTGCGCTTCGAGTTGTGGTCGCCATTGATCCACTCGCCGTGCGCCTCTCCAATCTCAAAGCTCGTGTAGCTCAAGCCGAACCCAAACTCAAAGCGCGGGGTGATGTTCTTGGCATCAAAGTGTCGGTAGTCAACGAGTAGTCCATCCGTGTAGTTGAGCTGCGGTGCAACGCCAGGTGCGGAGCGGTTGACGTACGTCACCTCGGACTCATAGTCAGTGCGATTCTTCGCTACGGTGTACGGCAAACGACCGCTAGGCACGTAGTCGCCGTAGAGGACGTCGCGGATCGAGTTGCCAGATTCGGCGCCGGGCATATGCGCGAAGATCACTGCGGTGACATTAGGGTTCTCGATCCAAGCTTCGACGTCCATCTGGCCCGGGGAGTGCATGACGACGATCGTGTTCGACTGGACGGAGGCGACGGCCTTGACCAGCTCATCGCCGGCGTGCCATGCCGTGAGGTTATTACGGTCGCCCGCGTTGCCGTCGACGGTAATGTAGCCTTCTCCACTGTCTGACTGAAGGAAGACCACAGCAGCGTCAATGCCGATGCGCTCGTCGCTGATCTTCTTGGCCTGCTTCAGGTTGTAGTCGTCAAAGCTCCACGAGAAGGCCGTACCGTCAAAGACGGCTCGACCTTGCAATGCCTCGTAGGGAGAGATGAGGTAGCTGTAGTCTGCCGAACCACTGCCCCATCCGATGCCGAGCGTGCCATCTACCCCACCGCGGTCTGCGATACCATTGGCGCCGAGGAAGGCAGGCCCAGCGTCTGATCCAAGGACAGCCAAATGATTGGGGGTATGGCCGTTGGGCTTCTTGAGAGGGAGAGCGCGGTAGCCATTCTTCTTCTTTTCATTCTTGACGAGAACCGTTCCAGCCGAAGCGATGTGCCTGCGAAGCTCCTGTGTATTGTAGAGCTTGTTGACATTGACGTGCTTGTTGATGGGAGTGCTCAGATCGAAAGAGTCGAAGTTCGGCTTCGGGTAGTCGGGGTCATCCTGGCCGAGAAGGAACCAGGCAGCAAGGATACGAACGCCCATGTTCTCGAGCTGGGATGCGGCGACGGTGCCGTTGTTGACGGCTTCAGTGAGATTGCGGCCCCAGAATGATGAGTTCTGTCCGGTGAAGCAGCAGAGCTCGTCACCGGGCATCGTCATCGAGAGCCCAGCATTAGCTGAGGCGACACCGGAATGCTGCGCTCCCCAGTCGCTGATTACGGCGCCTTGGAAACCGAGCTCGGTGTAGAGCACTTCGTTGAGCTGATATGAGTTTTGCGCTGACCACGAATTGTTGAGCAGGTTGTATGAAGCCATGAGAGTGGCGGCATCGGCTTGGACGGAGCGCATAAAGGGGTGCAGGTAGATTTCCCTCATAGCGCGAGCCTCGATGTTGACCGAGCCTTCGTTACGGAAGTGTTCCTGGTCGTTGCCAATGTAGTGCTTGGCACATGCCTGGACGCCAGATTCTTGCATGCCCTTGATGGTGTGGTAGGCAGACTCTCCCGAAAGGTAAGGGTCTGCGCCTCCCATCTCCCAATTACGGCCTCCTGCTGCGAATGCATGATGGTTCATGCCAGGTCCTAATTGAATGTTAACGCCCTTTGTCTTGTGCTCTCGACCCATGCCCTTGCCTCTCTGGTAAGCCAGATCGCTGCTGAACGTGGCGGCAGTGGTCAAGCCGGTAGGCCAGACGTTGACGTTGTCGGCGAAGCGCACACCAAGGGGGGAATCCTGCAAGCAGAGGCCGGGGAAGCCGACTTCTGGGATGGCTGCGATGTTGCCTACGCAGGGTCCTTGCTGCCAGCCGACGCCAGTAACGAGCTGGACTCGCTGCGTGAGGTTGAAAGACTGGATATATTCGCGAGCCTTGCGGACAGGCTCGGCCCAGATGCCCTGCCCAGAGGCATTGGGCGTGGGGTAGAAGGGTGGCGAGTACGGGAAGGAGCTGCGATAGTCAGAGGAGGCGGAGCAAAGGGGTGAGCGAGCTGTGTCTCCTCCTCTCTTCACCAGCATATACCCACTCGTTCATTGCAAATGGGATGTCGGGGAGAAACGGGACCCCCGGTGGCTGATCAGTGCCATCACCACCGATGCCCTGCGACTGACGAGCCCACAGGTAATGATCGCTGAAGGCCCATTCACTCGTGTCAACGGGAGGAAAGACGTGGCTGTTCGCCGATGCCGACGTGCAGAGGGTAACAGCCGCAGCTGCCAAGGAGAGTGGCCTCGAGATGGAGGCGAGCATATTGGGATGTGGCTAATAATCAAGGTGGCAATGGGTGCTGTGCTTGGTAGTGGTAGCAGTGAGGGTATGGAATGATGAAGACGAAGATGATATGTCCACAGCAGAGGAGTCGAAGTCGGGCGCGGGTCGCCTGTGGTGTTCAAAGGATAGGCTTCAGGAGTCGTATGTAGCACGATGAGCTTGTGTGGGGTAATGAAGGAAGCCAAGAGTTGGAAGCGAGGGGCCGAGAGAGTAGGGCGCTAGGGCGCCTTGTTTGTTCTCTGAAGAACAGAGACTCGAGCTGGGTGTGATGGCGAGGCTTTTGTCTGGGTGGCAATGTCAATCAATGAATCGCCAGCCGTCAGGGACAAGGAACGAGGAGGAGGGAGACAAGGCAGAGAAGGCCAAGACCCAGCAAAGCCGCCGTTACTCGCGCTGCCGGAAGGCGCTGCAGCGGCGGTGATTGTGTCCAGGCAGGGCAGACAAGCAGGAGGCACGCACGCAGGCTCGCAGCGGTTCCCGGTTGATTGTGGAGCCCCTGTTTCCTCGAATGAAGCGTTGGAAGCGAGAAGTTCTTGAGCAAAGGAGGGAGGTGGGATGATCAGGCCGCAATGCCGGCATTGTCAAGAATACAGTTCGCCCGCTTTCTGACGATCAGGGGCTCATCACAACACCACCTTAAGCAATCGACCACCTGACCCCACCCAGGGTGTGACTGGGTGATAGGCTGCGTCGGTGGGTAGCGACGGCGTATGCGCCGAGTCGCTAGCTGCTCAGTCTCTGGCGAGCCTTAGGTAGTCAGCTCTGGTTCAACGTCTCTATCGGAGAGAATAAGAAGAGCTCACGCTAGCCGGCAGCGGCTGATCGAGAAGCGGATGAATCATAAGATCCGCTTGAGAGTCCGCGTCGAGAATGAGCGATGATGCCGCCAACGCTTCTTGGAGTGCGTGTGAGCTTGGCAAGATGGCGAGTGGGAGAAGAGTGACGAGGGAGGGGGCGTACGCACGCGAGCCATCATTGCAAATCATGAAGATGGCTTGAGATGTCCTATTCTATTCTTCAAAACGAGCATCCCAATGAAGGGAGCAGGCTGCCAAGTAGCGTAGCGTAGTGTACCGTCCGTGATGATTTGCATCACTTGTTCCTTCTCCTCACTCGCCTCCCGCACCGCCCTCCCACCCGCGCGCCAATGCCTCACATCCCCTCTTAGCCACATCTTCCACATGCACCACACGCTTGAAGCGCCACCCTCTAGCCTTAAGCTCGTCCACCATGAGGCCACGATAGCCCTCGACGCCGAGCAGCGAGCCTCCAAGACAGAGAACTGACTGCTCTGCGAGGACGCGACGACTGTCTTTTCGGTCTGTTGAAGCATCTCTGGTGCTGCTGTTGGCGTGACCATTCGCATCCTTGGACGGCGCTGCCTCTGTCCGCTTCAGAGTCCTCGACCGTCTTGGTCGCCTCGGCCTCTGCAGGAGGAGTTCAATTTGATCCACAATGCTCTTGATCTCTCCCTTGAGTAGGTCGAGCGACATTGCGTCGCCATGAGTGAAGGCAAGATGGAAGACGAGCGGGGCCAAAGACGCCAGACGGAGCTTACGCGCGCCAGCAGTAGTTGCTTCGGCTGGTGAAGCGGGTGATGGTGGTTGTGTGGCTGTGCGCGGAATGGCCAGAGCAGCACTGAGGGCTGAGCTAGAGGGCTGCTGGCTCGTGAGGCAGCGCTCTGAGCAACTCTTTGCAGAGGTGGTGGAGAGGTTTGACGTCGCTGCTGCTCCTTTGTGCCCCTCGTCAGATACAGACTGCCGTCTTGGGCTGCTCGGGTAGCTGTCGATCGCAGGAATAGGGCTGACGCTCCCACCATTGACTGAAGGGGGATGAAGGCGAGCTCCAGGAGGCAAGAGGCTGTGCGACGGGTCATCGAGTTCCATGCCGTCAACGTCGGTGGTGTCCTTTCGAGCACGATCCGAGATGGGGCTGTCGCTCGCCACGCTGGACGCCATTGAGGCTGCTACAGAGGCTCGCTGGCCCCCTGGGCCAGAGGAGGTTGGGACTACGATGTCATTAGAGTAGACTGTGTCGAGGAGGTCGTCCGTGCTGTTGAGATTCCAGTGAGCAAGAATGCGGTCCCGCAGGAGATGCTGTCCCTTTGAACGGCCGAGCCCGCTGAAGAGCTTCGACTGGTCGATCCCCAGGCCATCTCTCGCTGCACCGTCCTCGGCTTCTTCTTCTTCTTCGTCGTCGTCGCTGCTGTCGTCGCTGCTTAGTCGCTCACGATCTGCCTGATCAAGGACAGCTCTCACTGCCTTTCTACCGACCATGTAGCCTCCCGCCTCGTCTCCAAGAAGCCACCCAAATCCCCCCACCCTGCCTACAGCCTCGAGCAAGCTATTGGTACCGCTCTTGCTGCTCGATCCAGGGCTGAGCGTCTCTGTCGTCGCCCCATGACTCGTGCCCGGCTGCGGCTGGTTTCTGCTCCGGAACGACATAACGATGGATCCGGTCCCAGCGATGCAGACGACGCCCTCGCGTACAGCGTCTGGTGGAGAGTTCCCATCTCTCTCCATGACGGGCGATGCCAAGAGGCTGGTGTCGTTGGCTACTATGAGGCGGGAAGAGGGATACGGTATGCAGAGCAGGCGGGAGAGGTGAGGCGACAGGACGGAGATGTTGAGCGGCGAGTCGACACCTGCGATTCCGAGCCATGCTGCGTAGAAGAGTTGGGGGAAGGGGGCGATGCGGTTTGCTGAGAGGGGGTCCACTTTGGTGAGCTCCGCCGATGAGAAGGTCGAGGCTTGGGATGAGGAGCGAGCATTTGAGGTGGTCTTGTCTGTTCTCCACTCGATTTGCGCCTCATCTAGAGCGTTTTCGACTGCCTCTCTGACGCTGAGGAGAAAGCGATCCAAGCCCACATCGGTATAGTTGGCGGCACCGCCGAAACCTCGAGAGAGGAAGGAGGGTGGCTTGCCCGGCTCTACGGACGAGATAGCAATGGCTGCGGCTGCCTTTGATCCGCCGCAGTCTACGGCCAAGTAAAGACGACGAGATCCCAGCCCTCTAGACGACCGAGGCAAGGTGGTACTCGCAACCGGCGTGGCTTCGTCACCCATGCCGGCTGCGAAGGGAGGATGAGGATGACTTGGCAAGCTACTGAAGAGGCTCTCTTCGACGCACTAAAGCTGAAGCTTGTCCCCTTTGCTGTCTGGTGTGGCTGCAGTTCCTGAGGTGTCCAAGACAGCCCAGCGCCTTGTCTGATCGGTGGGCGGCGGGGAAGCAAAAGCGGGGCCGCTGGGAGACGCCGAGCAGGGACCAAGTGGCGCTCTCCGGAGAAGGCGTGGGCTAGAGACGGACGAGAAAGAGTCTGAGTGATGGCTCGATGACTCGGTACTACCAAAGCAGCATCCAGGACATGAAATGAAGCGTAGGAATAGACGAAGGAGTCCGCCTCAGAGCCGTGAGCGTGAGAGCTGGGTTTAGAGTCACCATCCTGTCTTGTCTGGTCCTGCATTGGCCCAAGCTGCAGCCTAAAAAGCCTCGTCCACGTCCGTTACTCCCGGCAGGCCGCCGCTCGAGCCAAAGCCAAGAAAGATCGACACTTCGACCTCGGGCTCCGCCTGATTCGCCCTCTCTTGCCCCGCACGACGGACGACGAACAAGACTGAGATCGATTGTCTCTGCACGGTCCTCCTCGCTCACAACACACCCACGAAGGAGGAGCACAGCTAGCCTCGCGATCTCGAAAGAGCATTGACGGCAGACGATGGAGATGACTTGCCTGACCTCTTCATGTTGAGATGGATCCGCATCGGCACAGCATAACTACTATCGTGCCTTGGCGAGATGACCATCTTGCTGCGCGATGCAGTGACGCAGCGAGGCGGAGGCGGCTGCGAAGTGAGCGTTAGGCGGTACGAGATGGCCTCGCCGAATGGTAGTTGTGAAGGGACAAGATGAAGGCGAGGCCAACGAAGGTCCGTTGAAGCTGCTTGCCGTTGCTGCTCTTGCTTGCCCCCCTTTGTCGCTCTTCTCCCATCTCGGCGTTGTCGCCGGCCGTCCTGCTGCGCCGAGGAAAGCAACACTCTGGCCGGTGAGGAGGCAGCGAGCGCCAGGGCGGACTGCACGTCGCCGCCTTACTGTCCTCATCTCCTCCTCCCTCTCGTCACCTACTCACCATCACATCCATATCGCTCGCACGCTCGTCAGCTGCCATTGGAGTACTGCGAGCATCATCATATTCGGCACAGCCGCTCAATCCGTCATCTAGCTTCCTCCTCGCTACTCCAACGCACAGCGTCATCGCAGCCATGAGCGGACCCAATGCCCTTGCCAAGTTCAAGAATCGTCTCTCAAGGTCCTTCAGCGGTAAGGCACCTGCTTCTGATCCCGCCAAGGGCTCAGCTCCGGCGACGACTACCAATGGCAGCAGCGCTACGGCTACCAATCAGCCCACACCTGCGCCATCCTCAACAGAAGCTGCGGCTCAGTCAGCTGGTGCTGCATCTTCCACAACCGGACCAGCTCCAGGCTCAGCTTCAGCTCCAACTCCAACGCAGCCAAACGCCAACAAGGGCGCAGCAACAGCGTCCTCGCGCAGCCCGCCCCAAGCCCCGCCCAAGGATGAAACCCCGCCCGAGGCCGCAGCTGGCGCTCATTTGCCCAACTATTCCTCGTCCGCTCGCTCCCTCAGCGGCGCCAGGTCAAAGCTCAGGACCCTTTACCCTGCCATCGAGCCCTACAAGACGGGCACGCTCAAGGTCTCTTCTGAGGCCGAGGGTAATCACGAGATCTACTGGGAGCTGTCGGGCAAGGAGGGCGGATACCCGGGTGAGCCCAAAGTCAAGTCCATACCAGCCTGGCACAAGCTGATCAAACCTTTTGCTCCTCTCCTGCAGTCGTCTTTCTCCACGGTGGCCCAGGTGGTGGCTGCTCAGAGGACGACCGCCGTTGGTTTGACCCGAAGCACTACCAGATCCTCACCTTCGACCAACGCGGCTCCGGCAAGTCGACTCCAGCTGCAGAGCTCACCGCCAACACCACCTGGCACCTCGTCGATGATATCGAGCGACTTAGGACGGAGGTGGCTAGAGCAGACAAGTGGCACGTCTTTGGCGGTTCGTGGGGATCGACCTTGTCCCTTGCCTATGCACAGAAGCATCCGCAGAGAGTGTCTGCGTTGATCCTGAGGGGCATCTTTACATTGAGGAGGGCGGAGCTGCTCTTCTTCTATCAGGAGGGAACCAGCTACATCTGGCCGGAGCAACATCAGCCTTACTTTGAGCACATCCCAGCCGCAGAGCGAGGTGACATCATCGAGGCCTACTACAAGCGCCTCACAAGCGATGATCCCGACGTCCGCCTCGCAGCAGCCCGACGCTGGTCTACCTTCGAGAATGCAACTTCCAAGCTCTACCTCGATCAGCAACACATCAAGCGCGGCGACGATGACAAGGTGTGTGCTTGTAGCGCAGTGCTCGATCTCTCCTGACCCATTGCCTGCTCAACCACTGACCTTCCCACCACTGTGTCCTTGTCCCCATACGCGGCAGTGGACTCTCCAATTCGCCCGCATCGAGTCCCACTTCTTCCAACACGGGGGCTGGATGGATGACGGCGAGCTGCTCAAGCCCAGCAACATCGCCAAGATTGCTCATATCCCTACCGTCGTAGTGCAAGGAAGGTACGACGTTGTCTGCCCAGCGAAGACTGCTTGGGATCTACGCAATGCTTGGCTACAGAGCGCAGAGGGGGGAAGGAAGCTGGAGGTGAGTGTAGAGCCATTGAGGCGGAGGGGCAGCAACGGTCGAGCAGAGAAGCATCTAACCAGTTCTTCTTCATCCCCATCGCTCCCCGACCGCAGTTCTTCATTGTACCGGATGCGGGCCACGCATCCAAGGAGCCAGGAATCATGGACAAGCTCCTCTACGCTACCGACAAATTCAGGGCCATCGGAGCAACGCCCGCTGCTGCGGCTGCCACCTCTTCATCCACCGATGTGCCCATCGCAGCTACTGCCGCGACCGACAACGGTACCGCGGCTGGAGCTCCCGCCGAGTCCTCCGCTGATCGCTCCCCGGCAGCACCGGTTGCTGCGCAGTAGAAGAAGACAAAGACGGCAGGTCGGGAAATTCAGCATGGTCCTGCTGCGCGAGAGAACCTCGAGGAGGCTGTAGGAGGGAGGCGAACGGGAGGAACGAGGTGAAGGAATCACTACCCATCTATCCAGCTAGTCGCAGCATCGTTCAGCTGTACCGTACCCCCGTACTGCTCTGAATCTGCTTTTCGTCGCTCGCCAATAGCACTCGTGGACAGATCAAGCTTTCAAAGGCTGACGTGAGACGAGCAAGGAAAAGCAGTGAGGCAATTGCGCTGCGCTACCTGATCCTGATTGAAGCAATGAGAGACAAAAGAAAAGAAGAGAAGCCGAGCATGAGTAGATGATACAGAGACACTCAAAGGTCTAATGAAGAGGCGGTGCGTGAATGAAGAAGCCGAAGACGACGAGTCCGCCTTCCAAAGGAAGACAATGCTAGGTAGTCTATGAATGAGTTTTGGTACGAATCAGGTAAGAGAGCGGGTGCATCGATCCAGAGTCGTCGTGGGCTTATGCCTCCTTAATGGGCTTGATGAGCAGAGGCATCTGTGTCCCCTCACTCTCGAGTCCCTTGACCCTCGGCCTGGTAACGATGATCTGCTTGCTTGAGATATCCACCAGGTCCTCTGGCAGTGGCATGAACTCGAATCTTCTTAGAAGGTGAGCAAGGATGACCTTGAACTCGGTCAGGGCGAACTTGCTGCCCACGCAATTCCTCGGCCCAGAGATGAAGGCGAGGTGTCCACCCGGGATGCCCGACTTGGTGACGGCCTCGGGGAGGTTGAGCCAACGGTCCGGCTTGAACTCCATGGCGTCTTCGCCCCAGATGTCCTTGCGGCGGTTATAGACCACGACGCTGAGGATCAGAGGCTGGCCTTTGCTCACAAGCACGCGGTCAGTGAGCGTGCCGTCAGCCTGCCTGATAGGCTTGGAGAGGGGAATGTACCCGTCCTTGGCCGGCTCACGGTTCGTCGAGTGAACAGGAGGGTGAAGGCGCAGAGTCTCCGAGGTGACACGGTCGAGGTACTCGAGCTCGTGGATCTCGTCGAAGAGGAGGTCGTCATCGACATCGCACCAGAAGTCCTTGATCTCGTCACGTAGCCTCGTCTGGATCTCAGGGTGGGTAGCGAGGGCCCACAGCGTCCAGGTGAGGGAGGTAGACGTCGTCTCGTGGCCGGCCAGGATGAGCGTGGTGAGCTGTCCAAGGACTTCGCGGCGGGACATGCGCTGCGAAGCGGGCACTTTGGGGTCTTCATTGCAGGCGAGAATGCCGCTGAGGAGGTCCGACTCCTCGACGACCTGGGCTTTCTTCTGTTCGTCGATCATGCGGCCAGCTACGTCCTCTACCGTCTTTTGCGTGTCGATGGCCGACTTGTTGAACGAGGTCTTGAGAGGGCGGTGACCATCGAAGAAGGAGAATTGCTCGATGTGAAGCAGCGCACGCTCCTTGATGGTGAGCTCCCCAACGTGGGTCATCATCTTGTTGAAGGAGGCTGCGATTGCCGTACCGTTCTCGCCACTCTTGAGAGCCGCCAGGTCATAGGAGAATGCCGTCTCGCCGATGACGTCGAGGGTAGTGCGCGAGGTCCAGTGGAGCACGTCGATTACGGTGCCTAGATTGCGTTTGCGGAAGGCGCCCTGAAGACGGTCCGTTGCTGGCGAGAGAGCCTCGTGATCTTTGTTGTGGTAGAGCTCGTCGACGGCCTTGACGAGTGCACGAGCGTGGCGATTGAAGACGGGCGTGAACTGGCGGACCGAGGCGTTGTTGAAGGTAGGATTGACCATCTTGCGTTGGATCTTGTGCTTATGTCCTTCAGCGGTGAGGACACCTTCGCCGAGGATGTTGGCTAGCGCAGCACGCAGGCCAGCAGGCTTGGGAAAGTTGTACGAGTTCATAAGGACATGCTGCAGAGCTTTTGGATCTGAAACGAGCAGACGGCGAGTACCGATCATGCCGCGATAGCTCACGACGCCGCCGTACTTGTCGGTCCACTGTGCGGCAAGGAGCGAGCATGATTAGCGTCGTGTGGAGGGAAGCAAGAAAAGAATGAGGCTGGGCCCCGACGTTGGTACGCCTCCTGCTTGGGCCCAAGGCAGTGGTACCTGCCGCCCCGCTCCAGCTTCAACCGAAGCGTGGGAGTCACGGCATCGCAGACACTCAACGTCGTCGTCGTCGAGGGTTGCAGACGGCGCTCAACATCGAAAGCTTTGCTACACTCACCTCCATCTGCTTGACACCTGGATCTTGCTCTTGAAGCTCTGGCAAGTTGCCCATCATGGCAGTCACAAGCTTGCCGAGGAAGCCGCTGCCAGCCTTGACTGGAGGCTTCTGAAGCCTGCGAAGTGGCGAGAAGACGGTGGCCATGAGGAGATGTTGGATCATGCCAGAAGAGATGTAGACGACGCCGACTGTGAGAGCCGCGAGGATCAGAGTCCTGATGTGGGCCAAGTCCAGGAGCTCGAGGACCTCGAGGTACGGCTCAGCCGGCAAATGGTGGCTGAAGGCCGTGACGGTAGCGTTTTCCGCGAGAGAGATTCTCATGGTGGAAGAGTGAGGGAGGAGAATCTACGAGTGAGAGTTGGTGTCGAAGCCGGTGTGGATGCGCGTGCGAGAGAGTGCACAAGTAGAATGTCTAGAGGGCGATGTGGTGGTAGTGATGACCGTAAATAGCCCGTAGGAGACTGGGTGATGAGAGGAGTAGCGGTGCGTGCCTGGGCTGGTGGTGGGAAGGGGTCCAGAGGGGGAAGGCAAGCTCTCTCGGGTTGTTGTTGCTGGGATGATGCGAAGAGGTGTGTGGTAGGTGGTCGTTGAGAAGAGAGAGATGTGAGGAGGGGAAAGGAAGGCAAGAAGGAAACGAGATCGAGCGAATAGCCTTTGAGTCAGTCGTAGGAGAACGAGGGCGGGCTAAAGGCAGCGTGTCGAGTGAAGTGGTTCGAGGCGTGGAAACGATCACTGGGCAGGTTGAGCGAGCTGAGCGTGAGTGTTGAATGTGCTGAAAGGCAGGCGCCCGCTCGCTGACCGACTGACTGGGACGAGAGCACGCAAAGTCCGCTGACCGTCGACGTTTGCAGGTCGCGTCCCAGGTCAGCAAGGCAACGAGCACGCACCAGGCGGCCAAGTGTGTGGCGGAAATTGGACCAGACGTCATAGCCAACATCAACACCGAGAAAACGCACTGCTGCAAAGAGAGATGGGGCCGGCCTTGTGTCGAACCCTGACGAATCTGCGACACAGCGGCCTATGCTATGGCTGCGAGACGGGGGCCCGGGCAGGCAAGGGCGCCGGGCGGGCGAGAGAAACGCGTTGGTTGGTTGGTTGGTGCGGCGCCCTGAGCTCCACCGCGGCCGCCGCGGCACCCTGAACAGCCATCAGATCTTCTTAAGCGGACATCTCGACGGCCGGGACAAACCTTCATCGTCGAGCCACGCAAACGCATGTGAACGTGGTAGCGAAGAGAATCCTATGTGCACGATGACGAGAGTGCATGTGGCCAGACGGAGCCCAAAGAAGGGTGTGTGCGTTACGCGGAGGTGTGCGTAGGCGTAGGCTTAGGCTCCGTCGTGGCTGGCTGCTCCAATGTGTTGCTCCTGACTGCGTGTGCACGATTTTTTGGACGCCGACCGCTATTCTCGACTCGACCCGACTGTGAGAGCATCAAGGGCAAACGTGCTGAGGCAGGCCAGGCCCGGAGCGGGCGAAAGCGGACGCAGGTGCAAGCGTCGATGTAGCCGACTACGGCAGGCCGTCGATCGCAGGTGTACAGAAGGGAGTACGAGTTTGGCCGTCCCTGATTGAGTAGCTCTCAATTCCCGGGGTTGCGGGCCAACACCGTCGAGGGTCCGATCCTGCAAGATGGCAGCGGCATCTGCGCCTCGTAGCTCAGCATCACTAATTCCCGGGAATAGCCACACGAATATTTAGTCGCCGACTGCTTCCCGCACGCACGCATGCACGCTTGAGCTGTTCGTTCGACGTCGACTCGACGCGAGTCGAAGATGGCTGCTGAGTGGAGCTTCAAGCCGCGAGAGCCAGGCGGGGCGCGTCCAGTTCCGCCTCGCAACGCAAGCAAACGCAACGACGACACGGAATAACAGCAGCAGGCATGCTCGCACTCGCCGCCGCCGTCGCCGCCAAGCTGAAGAAAGGGTTCAACAAGTCGGTCTGCTCTCCAAGTCGAGAAAAGCGAGGTCAATCGTCGCTTGAGTGGGGTTCAATTGTATCTTGCCCTGCTTTCCCTTCCAACAACTACCCCACTTGCTCTCATTGCTTCACTTGCTTGCTGTGCTCAGCATTGACACCTCTGCTCACTAGCACTCGAGATCTCCACCCTGTCACTCCCTTGAACAGCCTCATTGTCTCCTCACCGTCTGCTTGTCGTCATGACCGTCTCATCCACGACCAAGCCGTTGCGACCCAACGATCACTTCAAGCTCGAAGACCTGCCCGCCGACATCCTCGAGGGCATCGACTTCTGGGCCAAGAATACCCCTCAAGAGCCAGCGCTCAAGATACCTCGCGGCAACTCGGTCAGCGATGGCTTTGAGACCGTCTCTTTCGGCGAGCTCAAAACGCTTCGTGACCGAGCAGCACCCTGGCTCGCTAGCAAGCTCGGCCTCAGCACGCCAGCTAACAAGGACGCACCTGCCGCCGAGCGAACCGTCGTCTTCCTCATCTCGCCCACGCACGAGGCCCTTGTACCCTGGATGGCCCTTGCTGCCCTAGGGTACACCTGCCAATTCATCTCGCCCGTCCATCAACCAGAGGTGGTCGCAGAGCTCATTGCGAAGTCGACCGCTCAGAGCATCATCCACTCGGACATGGAGCCCAATTGGCTCTCGCAAGTCTTCAGCCTTACTCGTACCTCATCGGATGGCCATCCGCCCGTGATGCTTGGTCTTACCGCCGAGGATGAGCTTCTCGTCCAGCTCGCCCGCGTGCGAAGTGAGTACGGCCGCACATAGGAGGCAATCCTGAGCCGACGGCTGACCAAAGCTCCTTTACTTCTTCCGTTGCCCTTTCCACCGCTGCCAGAAGGTGAAGCAACTTCCCTGGTCCCTGCTGCTCTCCATCAGGTCAAACCAGAGCCTTGTGAGTCGAGCATCTCTGCTCAGGCAGCTCATCTCCAGACGATGGATGCTGACCTCTGCCGCCTCGTACCCGCCGCCAGTCGTCATCTTGCACTCTTTTGGAAGTACCTCGACTCCGAAGCTCTATCCCCTTCCCCTCGCTGCCGCCAACATGAGCGCTCATGACTCTGCATGGTGGGCCTTGATCTCGCCGTTTGAGAAGCGTTGGCGCTGCCAGCTGCAGACGAGTGTGAGTGCCATGCTTACCCTGGAAGCCATTGAGCGTTTCCTGATCGATCTCACCCCTCGCACACACACAGCTCCCCTTCCACTTCTCCTTCCAGAATCCGGTTTGGCGAGCACTCAAGTGCGGCACCACACTCGCCTTCCCCTTGATCAACCCTTCAACCAAGCAGCACCGAGCTCAGCTCCTCGTGCCTGATGCCGAGGACACACTCAACTCGATCTGGCTCGCCGAGGCCGACATCCTCTACTGCTCTCCCCAAGGTCTCCAGAACATGCTCGAGACGTCCGTCAAGCCCGAGTCGCCAAAAGAGTGGCGCAAGGCCGTGGAGAAGCTCAATCAAGCCCATACCGGCGCGGCACCCGTCAGCGAAGAGAAGGCCGAGTGCTACGAGCGTCATGGACTCCTCGTCTTCCAGGTCTTTGCTACGACAGAGGCTGGCCTCCTCTTCTTTGCCCGCAAGGATGTGACGGGTCACACCACCTGGCTTAAGCCGCTGCCGCCTCGCAAGGAGCACATGCTATTCCGCAAGCAACCCAACTCGGACGTCCATGAGCTTTGGCTGAAGGATTCCTTCCCTGGTCTACTCAACCAGTACGTGCGAGCGAGGATGTGGATGAAGCAGACTAGAGCCAAAGGAGTCTAATTGGCACCTCTCCCGTTCTCATCGCAGGTCCGTCAACTTTGAGCCGTACCCAGGAAATCCCGCCATCAAGGCTTGGAATACGTCGGACACGTTCCGTCTTCTCCCCGCCTTTGGCCCTCACGATGACCTGGTGAGAGCGCTGAGGTAGGCTGCAAGGATCTGAAGGTGCGGTGTTGCTGACCTCGCTGCTCTTATCTACGCGCCCACTGTCTCACAATAGGTCTCCTTTGCCGGCCGCCAAGACGATTGGATTCGCTGCACACATGGCACAGCCGCTCGTGCCCTCGAGATCGAGGAGCAACTCACCAAGGACTTGCGTGACGACTTGGGCTTCGAAGCCGTGCGCGGTGTCACCGTCATTGGCAATGGCAAAGCAGGTCTCGGCGCCGTCATTGAGCTCGACAAGGAGGAGGCTAGTCCCATGACCAAGGAGGAGGAAGCCGCCTTGCTCAAGTCTACGACGTACATCAACGATAAGCTTCTCCACTACCCCAGCGTTCTGCACCCTTCAAACTGCATCGTGACCGACGCATCTCGCCCCATCCGCATGACGCAGAAGGGGTCGATCCAGCGAGCCCTCAACGAGCAGACATTCGGTCCAGAGCTGGAGCGCCGTCTCTCTGCCTAGACCATCTGAGACTTGCACAAGAAGCAGGCGCTCCGTGCTTGCCCCTCAGTGGTCTCTCCGGAAGGAGTGTGAGACCCTTTCCCCTTGCTTTCATTGCCCCATGATCCTCTGTACTCGGACGCGTTCATCTTAGTCGCCTCGCTCATCTCATTGTATCTAGCTACTGCTCAACTTCAAGGATTCGAAAATCATGATGCTCGTATTGCCTCTTCGTGTCGACTGCTCCTTCATTGTCCCAAGGCAGCGAAGGTGTGGGCGAGGCTGGGGTCCCAGGGGCCCCGACCCAGACCTGGTGTGAGCTGATCTCTGTATTCGTTTCGGCCCGGAAAGCCCCTGCTCTCTACGGCAAGGGGAGGCAGAGCTGGATCAGCCAAGCCTTTGAAACCCAGGAAAGCATGCAGGCGAGAGCTCATCCTTGGCCCGCTGCACGGCCGTGGTCCAGCGTCCAGAAGCGACGAAGAGTTTGGCCTTGATCAGCGGCTCGAGCTCATGAAACCTGCATTCGCCAAGGTCAGGAAGCAAACAGCCGATTGGCTCAAGCTCACAAGGCGTTGATCAAGGGGCCGGGCCCTGAGGCGGGATGCTGAAGTGCGACAGAAGAGCATGATTCAGTCCCCCCGCACATCAGCGTGACACACTTGTCTTTGCTTGGTCTGGGTGTCAATCTTGCGCACTTCCATCAGTGAGACTCACGCGACCTCAGTCGTGCGTACGAAAAGCGCTGTGCTCTGGCTGGCTGGCCAAGGCTCGTCGTAGGCCTCTCCGTACGTACGAGGCCGCCAGCCCGCGGTGGCCGCGGCGGTTCGGCGTCTTCTTTTGATGCCAGGCAGGGTGCACGCAATCAACTCGAGCGGCGGCCTCGAGTCGAGCGTCGAGTCGAAGCGGGACAAATTTGGGTCGGCTGAGAGGACGGTCGACTGGCCGGCTCATGCACGACCGGGCTGCAGGACGGACGGCAGGCAGCAGCAATCGAGCAACGATCGTGTTGATCACACGTCTCTCCCCTCCTCTCCTTTCGTACCATCCTTTTTGTCGCCTCTCGTTCTCCTCCCTTGTGTGCCGCTATACCCTGGCGAGCTGCCCTCTCCCTCCTCTTCTTTGATATCTCCTTGCTCCCACGCCTGGGACTACGCCGACGCTGCCGCAAGCCGACGCTTTCCACCGCAATTGCGCCTTTGTTGCCTAGTGCCGCCAAGCTCTCTCCCAACGCTGTAGACGCTGTAGGCGCTGTAGACCCCGCCCTCGCCCTGGCTCTGCCTTCATTCGTCATCGAGATAGTATGAATGGCAACGACGACTTAAGAGCAGGGTCGACGACATCCCCTTCGACCATCCCTTCGCCCCGAGCTTCTAGACTTTCGCGCTTCTTCCACGCCATGGCAACCCTCATCGATCCAACGGGCGGCTCGCGCCGTAGCTCCGCCCAGTACCCTCGCCCTTCTCTACAGTCGGGTGTGCGACCCTTCGTCGACGCTGCTGGTACAGCACATGGAGGCAATGCGGCATCCATGGATGGTCGACCTTCCCGTCAGCTTCCCCGCGTCCTTTCCTCGACGAAAGAAGTACCTCCTAGCGATAGCGGCCATGGACATGGTGACGCTACGGTGACCAACAACAGCGTCTACAGTCCAGACGAGATTCACAGAGCCAACAAGAGGGTTCTTTTGAAGACGGACCTCACAGTCTTGCCTCTGATGTGCGTCATCATCATGCTTCAATACCTCGACAAGGCCATTCTCTCGTATGCGGCCTTGCTCGGCCTCACGCAGGATCTCCAGCTCATCAGCAACGAGTACTCGTGGGCTGCCTCCATCTACTACTTCGGCATGCTCGCTGGTTTGCCCATCTGGTGGCTCTTGCTGCAGCGCGTCAGTCTAGCAGCCGTCGTCGGAGGAGCCGTGTCCATCTGGGTGGGTAATCATTGCGCTCTAGCCATGCCTTCTCACCCGTACTGATCCGCTCTCACTTCCGCAGGGAGCTGTCGCTATGTGCCACGCCGCTTGCCACGACTACAGCGGCATTCTCGCTGCAAGATTCTTCCTCGGCTTCTTCGAGGCAGCCATCGTACCGGCCTTCATCATTCTCGTCGGCCGCGCCTACACCAAGAAGGAAACAATCAGCCGCACCGCCATTTGGTACTCGTTCAACGGCGTGGCCCTTATCATTGGCGGCGGTGTGTCGCATGGTCTGCTCACGAGTCGCTCAGCTGCCACAGCTTCCGTTGCCATCTGGCGTCAGCTCTACCTCATTCTCGGCGGCATCACCATCTTTGTTGGCCTCCTTGCCGCCTTTGTTGTGCCGCTGGATCCGACGCGATCCCGCCTTTATACTGAGCGCGAGCGCATCGCCGCCCCTTACCGTGATACCCATCTAGCCGCAAGCAACATCGCTCAAGAGACTCACGACTATCGACGCATGCTCAAAGACGCTGCAGAGGCTCTCCTTGATCCACGCCTCTATATCATCTTCCTTGGTCTCACCTTGGGCTCCATTCCCAATGGAGGTGTCACGGCCTACTCTCTGCAGCTCATCTCTGGCTTCGGCTTCCCAGTGGGACAATCTCTGCTCCTCACTCTGGCTCCTGGAGGCTGTCAAGTCGTATCCGTCATCACCTTCATCGGTGTCGCCCTCTTCACCCGCTCTCGTGCGATTGGTGGCATTGTACTACTCGCAGTAGCTATCGTCGGCGCTGCCCTCATGTACTCGGCAACGGTAGGCAAGGCGGTCCACATGGTTGGCTATACACTCTTGAACTTTGGCTCACCGGCCGTTGTAGCCCTGTACAGCTTCAACTCAGCCGCCGTAGGCTCGCATGGCAAGCGTGTCGTCTTCGCCGTTGTGGCTCAAGTCGCCTACGCAGCAGGCAACATCATCGGACCTCTGACCTTCCTCGCTCAAGAGACGCCAGTCTATCGCACAGCCAAGATCATCATCATTGCGACCCTCTGTGGCGCTGCACTCTCTTTGGCTCTCATCTACGGTATTCACACCTTCTGGAACATGCAGCGAGACAAGGCTGGATACCCTGCCGCCGTTGAGGTTCAAAGCGGACAAAGCAAGAATCAGATCAAGGAGACAGCCACGCCAGAAGAGAGCGGCATCGTACAAGGCGGTGCCGCGAGTGAGCTGCAACACGAGCCCACCGATTTCAAGGACAAAACATTCCGCTACGTGCTGTAAAGAAGCGACTTGGCCATCAGGTCCTCGTCAGCTCGACATCATTCGACGTACCAGCATGGCACTTCCCTCGCTCTGCATCTGTCTGCCGAATCACCCTCATCACCCTCATGTATTATCCATTCTTCTCGTTATCCACAATGTAGCTCTCAGTGCTCCCCCTCTTTCATTTCCTCTAGATCATGCACGCTATACAGTAGAATCACTACAATTGATGATGATCAACGAGTACTGCAGCACTTGAGAATAGACGGCGGCAAAGCTAGCCAACGATCAAACCGTGACGAAGCTCAGCAGACGAGAGGATACGGGACGAAGCGCTGTTGTAAGGCAGAGGTAATGGTATTGCAGCTACGTTAGAGCAAGAGTGATCAGTGCACAATAGAGTAGCTGGATCTGGGGTGCGACGGAGCCTAGAGCACTGCCACGCCTAAGACGACTCGTACGACGAGTTGTCGCCCTGATGGAAGCCATTGTCGTTGCCCGACGAGATGATGCCCGAGTTCTTGCCGTTTCCAGAGAGGATGTCGACATCCAAGCCTCCTCCGCCGTTCTTGTGCCCAGCGCAGGGTGCTGCCGAGACGAGGGAGGTGGACAGGAGGGCCACGAGGGCAAGGGCGAGGATCTGAGAGCGCATGACTGTGGGATGTGATTGAGGCTCGGGCGTCAGCTCGGAGGCTAGAAGCCTGAACGCTTCAAGGACTCACTGGAGTGATGAGAGAGTCGAATGGGGTGATTGGTGCGAGGCAGAGAGGTAGCTGTACGAATGAGTGGCAAAGAAGACAAGGGAGTGCAGACTCGAAGAGGCCTGCATTTACACTCGCTCGCAGCTCCTTTTGGCCGCCATCTTTGGATTTGTTGCGTTTCCCCGTCCTGTTGGCCGAGGTGCGTGCATCTCGGTCCGCTAGATGCATGCAGGGTCGAAGAAACTCGGCAGGCTGCTTTGTTTGGAAGCGGGGGCTGCAATCGCCGCGAAGCGGAGCTGGGCAGCGGCCAAAATTGGCTCGCTTGACGGGGCAGGGCCGCGGGAGGCCGCGGCTTTGAAAGGCTACAGGTCCTACGAGGCGCTTCACGGTGGCGCTCTTCGATGACGCACGGGAGAGCATGCTGAGAAGCAACAAGGAAAGCAAAGCGTCCGAGCAGAGTAGCAGCTACATCGCAGCAGATAGTTACAGCAAGGCACACAGAGAGAGGTAGGACATTGGCATGGCCAACAGGCACCACCTGCTCACTTGCGGGTAGCCAAGACGAGACTGAGCCACCAGCCAGCGGTGAAAGTCCCCTTGGGCCCACCGACGGCCTTGTGTAGAGCATCGAGCGTGGCCTGGTACTCGGGCGATTCAGTCAAGTTTTGCATCGGCATGCCGAGGGATTTGATGTATTCCATCAGGTCGCTGCGTGGGCAAAGGTGGGGGTGGAGAAGTCAGCGATGATTTCTTCTCACTCGGTCTTTGCGATATGAACTCACTCGGTTGTCCATCCCTTGCGCTGCAACAAGCACTTACCTTCCTCACCGCCGTATTCAAATTGCTGAGCTCCTTGACTTGCGTCGGGCACCTCCTCAAAGAGTGCTCGTGAGGACGGAGCATTCTCACCCAAGCCCCACGGGCCACCAACAGCCTCTGGGAGCTTCCACTTGTGTCGCTCTTCCTTGCTCTTGTCGAAGAACGACTCTGATACTCCGACGCTATCGAACTTGGTGACGTGAGGAAGGAGCGCGTTCTTGGGGAAGCCGATCTGGGCCCACGTCGTCTCGAAGACTGGGAACACATTGACGGTTAGTGACAGCAGTCTCATGGCAGTCTTGGTCTCGCGTCCACTCACGAATGCTGAAGAGCTTATTGCAGAAAGGCGCCGCCTCTGGAGGGTCAATGATGGTTGCGTTGCAGCCGTAGTAAATCATGGCGAGAGTACCGCCTGGTCGCAGCTTGTCCCCTGCCTCTTTGCCCCAAGCTTCCATATCGAACCATTGAGCAGCTTCGGCGGCAATGAAGAGGTCGGCTGAGTCGTCCTTCAGCCAATCGCACTCGCCTGCAGCACCGTGGTGGAAGGCAACGCGATCCTTGCCGTAGCGCTCTTGAAGTAGTCGACGGCCTGTATCGACTTGCCATCGATTGAGATCTGAGGGCCAAGGACGAAGCTGGTCAGCCTCGGTGTGACTCTCATTGACTTCTCCTGCTGCGCTCACCACTTGCTTCAACCCGCTCAAATCGGGACAATAGACTTGGCACGATGGTCCCCGGCCCAGAGCCAAAGTCAGCAGCGAGCTCAAAGCTCTTCGACTGCTTTGCGTGGTACGCGAAGATGAGCTCAAAGAGCTCGTCGGGATACTCCGGTCGCACATCGTGATATCGCTGCCAGACCTCTGCCGTGTCGAAGTAGTTGGGGTTTTGTTCAGACGAGCTAAACTCGCCGTTGGCCGATCCCAGAGAAGAGCGGCGGCTCTGGCTTTGCGAGCTCATTGTGGTGACCATGGTGGCTGAGGACCGGGATGTCAGTAGTGGAAGAGATCACAACCAAGAGCGAAGGATTCGTTGGATGAAGCCTGCAATGCTCATTGCACCTCCACGCTTAGGCTCGAAAACGACGTCGTCCCTGGGCGGCAAAAGGGTCAACGACGTAACCCATCCCGATTGCCGCTCCCACCGACAGCAAGCTGCGAGCTCCGCCAATCCTGCTGACGACATGGGCTCGTGCGACCAAACGCAGCCTGAAGAGATACTCCTGAGCAGATGAAGGGACCTATATCCATGGCATTCACAAAGGGCAGCCGGGACCTGCCGTCAACTTGCAGGTCGTCGGAAGCAAACACGCCATGCGGGCCGGCAGACTCGGATGGCTCATACAAGCGACGGGACTATCATCTCCATTCAAGTCGCCGAGTGACGAAGCGGCGCGGGCGTATTAGTTTTTGACCGACTCTCGCATCCCATCTTTGTTCGAAGGCAACTCCGATTTAGCAAATACCGCGTCCTCGGCGGGGCGGCAAAACGCACGCGATCGAAGTTGGAAACAGGTTCGCCCACATCTGGTCTCGGGACGCGAGCCTGCCGACCACTTCGCGATCGCATGTTTTCGACGAAGTGGGAACTGAGTAGGGCAGCTTGCTCTCATGCCTGTGAACTCTGCACCTCAATTCAGCTCCGGGCCATTCATGGGAGGCCGCCATGGCGCTCACGGTCGAGCCTTGGCGCATGGTCCTCCAAGTTTCGATTTGCAGTCACGAGAAGCTAGTTTGGCGCACCTCGCCCTGTGATGCCCGCCTTGCTCGCTACTCTCGGGCACCTTGACCCGCGTGAGAAGCTGCTCTTGCCAAAGATCGGGCTTACGATGCTCAACTCCCCTGACCGAAGCCGGCGACGAATCTTTGCTGCACGATCAGAGCCAGCCCTATCCGGTGCACCCTGGCTCAACGTCCGATCGAGCAGGCAGGCCACCAACCGACCAACATTCTAGCCACTTGTTCATCTTCTCCAGAAAGCAGACGCAAAGATACCTTGCTACACGGCAAGATCCTCACCTCTCGCAACGCTTCCCCTCGTCGCACCAGCATCAATATGGTCACTGCCTCAGGCGAGACGACAGCTACTACCAGCCTCGCCCAGCGGCAGCTAGAGGCAGAGCAGCTCCTTGGCCAAGCTTTTGGTGCGCCGCAGAAGGGCAATCTGGTCGCCGACTCGAGAGCCCCTACGCCGGATGCGCTGAGCACCAGCGACAGCAATGCGAACTTGAGAGCGCTCCGTCGCTCTCATAGCCATCCCTCTGTACGGCCATCAGAGTCGAAGCCAGGTGCCGAGACACCTTCAAGTCTACGGGCCAAGTCTCCCATGCGCTCGCCCCGCCCTTCCATGTCTGGCGTATTGGAATTGCCCAGCGACTCTATCGCAGCGTCACGTCGGACATCAATGGCTAACCCACGCCTATCGATCGAGCCGTCGAGTCAAGTGCCGACACTCGAAGAGGATCCGCCGCGACTCTCAACTGGAGCCTTTAGCTCTCGACCATCGACGGCCATGGCCGGCGGACGACCTTCCATGAGCAACGCTCCCTTGGCCAGGCCCTTCCGCATCGAGAAGAGCAATCATTCCAACGAGTCTTTCTCCAAAGAGAAAGGCTCTCAGCGCAACACCGGCAAGTGGACGTTTATCGAGGAGGACCCAGTTGAGCTTCCTGAGGGCCAGCAGCTTGGTCGCGTTTGGAGCGAGCCCACGGCAGGACCGATGATTCGCCACCACGAGGAGGCTCGTATTCCAACATTCGCTCGTGAACCCCCCCAAGATATGGCCGAGGCCATGACGCGAGCCATCAAGATCCTCGAAGAGAAGGGCAAAGGAGGTGTCAAGGCCAGCAAGGGTCGTGGCGGGCGCTTCTGGCTTACCTTCTTCGCCGTCTTTGTGACGGCTTTCCTTTCCGCCGTCGACCTCACCATCATCTCTCCAATCCTACCTACCATTGCCGAGGAGCTACCTCGTGGCGACACAACGGTCTCGCCTGCTTGGATCACCTCGGCCTTCCTGGCCACAGCAGCGAGCTTTCAGCCCCTTTTCGGGGGCCTTTCCGACGCCATAGGACGTCGCGAGGCTCTTATTACCGCCATCATGATTTTCCTCGTCGGCAGCATCGTCGCTTGCGTTGCTCAAGATCTGCTCACAGTCGTCGCCGGTCGTGGCGTACAAGGAATGGGCGGAGGAGGAATGCTTGTCGTGGGCGAGGTCATCATCTCTGACATGACCACGCTAGCCGAACGAGGCTACTTTTTGGGCCTTCTGTCCATTGCATTTGCCGTGGCAGCGCTGGCAGCACCCATTGCTGGAGGATGGTTTGCAACATTCGACTGGCGTGTCGCTTTCTACATCAACTTTCCCATCGGAGCGATTGCCATCCTCATGCTCCTGCCTACCAAGCTCAACAAGCCGAAGCTCTCTCTCAAGGAGAAGTTCGAGCGCATGGACCTCGTCGGCAGCCTGGTCCTCTTTGGTGCCATTGTGTCCTTGCTCATCGGCCTCACCAATGGCGGAGTGTCTGCACCATGGTCATCGGCGGAGATAGCCACGCCATTGGGACTCGGGGCTGCTGGCCTTGTTCTCTTCTTCGTCCTTGAGTTCGTCCCAAACCCTCTCTGCAGCTACCCTATCCTGCCAGCCAAGCTCTTCCGCCACCGCACGGCAGCCATCTCGTATGCGCTGACCTTCCTCCATGGCGTTATCCTCTACGGCGCGACGCAAGGTCTGGTCGTTTATTTCGAGAACCGTGGTTCCTCACCACTCAAAGCCGCAGTGAATATTCTGCCTGCCAATGCTCCTTCCACCCCAGCTGCATTCATCGCTGGAGTGATTATGGCCGTCACCGGCAAGTACAAGGGACAGATCATCGTCTCGGAGATTCTCATGACGCTGGGTATTGGCCTCTTCATCTACCTTGACCTAACCTCTTCGACCGCTGAATGGGCTATCTTCCAAGTCATTGGATCTTTTGGCCTTGGAGCTCTTTACTCCCTGACGCTGCCGCCGATCCAAGCCACTTTGCCAGCCTCGGAGCTTGCACACGCTACGGCGACCTTTGCCTTCTCGCGCTCCTTCGGTGCCGTGTGGGGAGTGTCAGCATTCCTCATCGCTTTCCAAGTGGAGAGTGGGCAGCGCCTGACCAATATTCCTGGAGCGACAGAGGCGGGCATCAACGGCAGCACGGCGATCAACTATGTGCCCATCATCTCGACGATCCCAGTGGAGCTACGTGCGCCAGTGTCTCAGGCTTTCCAAGACGCTATTCGGATCGGCTTCATCGCGCTTGTGCCTTTTGCTGGGCTCGGCCTCGTCCTATCTTTCCTCATCAAGCACGTGCCGCTGCCTGACTTCAACGACTCGCAGTACGGCGTTGAAGGACAACAGCAGCAGAGGGCGAAGCAGCTTGATGAGCCTGCTGATGTGGAAAAGGAGGCGACCGTGGCCGCTCCTGCCGAGAAGCAGGTCAAGAAAGGCAAGCTGCCATGGCCTAAGTGCGATGCGGATAAGTGGCAGGAGCAGCCTGCGATGGAGATGCAGGAAGCCGGATCAGCCTCGCTCAGAACGCCGTCCCTTGCACCCATCGCAGCGGCAGGCGCTGACTTTGGGACTATCAGGACGGGCAGCACCTCTCAACAGTCTGCCATGGGATCCTTTGGCGCACCCTCTCGCCACTCCGTATCTTTTACGGATGGGCCATTTAATGGCGTGCCTCCCATCCCCATCGTACCCGCGTCACCACCGCCGCCGGGCTGGCTCGACCGCCTGTCCCTCGACATTGACCGCATCGGTCCCAGCGCTGGTGACCCCGTGCAACGTCGTGCAGCAAAGCTGGAGAAACAGCGCCGCTCGCTCGAGCACCGGCGCTCCGTCTTGCAGAAGAAGAGCTTCGAGTTGGACAGCCAGCTTGAAACTCTGTATGACGAGGTTCGGCGAAACACAGGAGACGAGTTCGAGGAAGGACCGAGCACTCACCAGCAAGGAAGTGACAGCTACGTCGGTACATTCTCGTCTCGAGCAGGTACGCCGAGCAATCCTCTGGACCAGTCGTCATCGTCAGGCCGCTGAGCAGCTCCTGAACAATGTCGCGTGCAATCCATTTTTGTCCATCTATTTGTAAGTGTGTCAGTGTGGCGCACGTTCCGCCCTCGAGCAATACCGGTAGCAGCGAGTGTGTTCCGTAATCTATGCATCGTGCACTGTCCTCTACTCCTCCTTCTCACACTCTCAATCCTCTATAGCACTCATGTGCCTCCTCATCATCCACGCCAACATCACGCCACGTCTGCCCCTCTTCCTCCTTCAACAGCGCATGTACCCTCTTGCCCTCCCTCACCCCCGTCAACAAAGGGCCGTGCACTGAAGCAAAATGGTTTGGGTCGGTGTGCTCCCCACAGAAGCCGAGTCGTTCATCCCAGAGAGGGTTGGAGAGCTCCATCATGTCCAATGGCGTTCCGCCCGAGCCGTGGCCGCGGCGGGCGACGGGAAAGTAGGAGTACGAGCCGTACGAGTGGGGGTCCGCGGACCAGCGGGTCACATGAACATGTGCAGGTGGGGCTGGAAGGGGTGTGCTCGGATTGGCAACGCATTCGACTAGCCGATGATGGACAATGGTCGAGACGGTGGCCTCGTCTAGCTGCTCGAGGTGGTTGGCAAGGGGTGGACCAGCGAAGAATAGAAGCATGGGAGAGTTGTTGATGATTGCATAGTTTTGGGCGAAGAGAGGGTGAGAGGCTAGGCGACGACGTGACTCTGCGAGGCCATCGTTGTCATCGACGTTGCTCAAAGCTGACAGAGCAGTAGCTTGCGGATCCGCCTTGAGGTAGACCCAGTCTGCTGGCTCGCCATCGGGTCGCTTAGACGTGTCTTGCCACCACGGTGTAGGATAGATGAGGACAATTTTGTTGAGCAAGCCCATGCCGACGCGTTCGATGGCTTGGAGCCGGCGAGGAGGAAGCGGTGGTGTAAAGCGCGGAGGGGAGCGCTGCATGACGCCCAAAGGCAGACTCGAGATGAGGTATTTCGCGGAGAGGGTGACCGCAGCTGAACCGTTATTGGCGGTGACGCAAACGCCCTCACCGCTTTCATCATTGTTCTGGGCGCCATTGCCATTCATTCGCTCTACGGCTTCTATGCGGTGGCTGAGCCTGATCTCGCCTCCATGTGATTTGACTTGACTGACGTACCAGTCGATGAGTGTCGAGTAGCCCGGTTGAACGACGGCATCGTTGCCCCTGAATTCGCGCTCGAATCCCCCTGTAGTCGCAGCAAAGAAGCCATCGATCAGCGTCCTTCTCCACGTCGTCTTATGCGCTCATCGCCTCATACTCACACCATTTGACAGCTACATCGTCCAGCGCTGCACCCGTCCACCCACTGAACATTTCAGTCATAGCCAACACCTCCTTGCGCTCGCTATCATCCATTCCAGCATACAGTCCTTCCCCTGCTCTAGCCTCGCGAAGCGCCTGCATCATGCTGACGTCCTCCCCCGGCGAGTCCTGCCCCTCTTGCGCCATCTCGATGAGTCGATGAAAGACGACGAGCTCGTTGAGATACTCGACTTTCTCCGCTCTGCTGGCCTCTTCAGGAACGCCATGCGCTGCAGGAGGGAACATGCTGACGACTTCAACGTCGGGCAGATGAAGGTCAAAGGGCACCTCCTTGCTCAGCTTGGTCAGCGGATTATTGAGGACGCCATGGACGAAGCTGGCGCCGAGGTCTGCTTTGAAGATGCGTGGCTGCTGAGAATCACCAGATGATGAGCCGGCGAAAGGCACTGAGAAGTCGACGGTGTTGATGCGCCCGCCTGTCCGATCGCGACTCTCAAGAACAAGGACCTTACGTCCGCTCAGAGCGAGGTAGCGAGCCGCTGCTAGGCCTGAGATGCCTGCGCCTGCAATGATGACATCCCACTGAGGCTTGCCAGACATGGAGCCGGTGGCTGCCGTAGAGGGCTTGGAAGGGGACGTGGCGATAGCAGAAGAACCAGGTGAAGGTCGCGGCATACGGAGAGCAAGACGTTGAGGAGAAGAGGTAAAGCAGAGAAGATGAAGAAGGGAGATCGCGCTGACGAAGAAGACCTCGGGAAGCAGAAGGGGCAGTCTATCGAAAATCTATGGAGGCACGAAAAAGTCGATCAGGACGAAGCTGCTGAGGAGAACGAGCGAGGTGAGGAATGTTGCGCAAGAGGAGAGGGCGGGAAGAAAGCGGGAAGGGGCGACTTTCGATCGAAGACATCGCTCGCCACCGGCGCCGCGGACTGGAAAGGCGGTCCGTGCATTTGTCGTGGGCCCGCCATTCCCAGCTTCATCTAATCTACGGGCCCTGCTTTTCATCAAAGACAGTCCATAAGCACCTGCGCTTGTAAGCAGCTGTTCTCATCAATCAAAAGGAAAGCTATTGTATGCGGCTGTTCCTCCGCGCCGGAATTGCTGTGATCGACAAATGCATTACCCTGAGCGCTCTCCTACTTCGTCTACTGCTACGAGATGAGGGGTGGTATGTGTTGCTGGAGGAGTGGAAACCAAGGATGTGGTGCTTGATGCTTCTCGCAGAACATGCCCTCTGTGAAAGGCTGGTCTGAGGAGAATTCTTTGCCTGCTATAGGCAGTAGACGGCGCATCGTTTCCCGAATGGTGAATGCGAGACGTAGATACAGCTGTGTGGCGACCAGGAGACAATTTGTCAGCTTCTCGTCCTACTTGAATGATGAAGCACTGCTCATCGCCGATGGCCAAGCCGCCATCTCACCATTTCCGCTTCCTCTCTGCACAAAGTCCATCTGTCCCCGCGCATACTCTCAACCGTGCAGCCAATCTGCCGCGAGGCGTCCTGGAGGTGGGCCACAGCCTGCATTGCTGAAGTAGATGGGGCGGCAGCGAGCGTCTCGAGTTGATCGGAGCGAAATTGCTGCCACAAAGCATCGAGGGCAGCGAATCTGTCCCCGCGGCGTCCATCGAGGGTCAGGGTAGGTACCCCTCTCAGCCACTTGAAGCGACGTCGAAAAACGTCCCTACTGTGCTCCTCTGTATCAGTCCAGGGGGCCGTGCTGCTGCTTGCGATAGGGCCGAGAGGAGGAGTCACAAGGTACTTCCAAGCGGCGCAGCAGGCTCGTATCCAATCGTCTGCAAGAGGCCGAAGATCGCCGATCTCGGCGCCAACGGCCTCTAGCATCTCATCCACCTTTTCACGAAGCTGGCGTCGCTCGCTACCAAGATGCTCGCCCAGCCAGTAAGCCATACAACGCTCGGTCGCAGAGTAGAGCTGCAGGTCAAAGCCGGCCATTATGATCTGCTGGGCGATGTTGAGCCTTTCTATGTGCAAGATGTTGGAAAGGAAAGTAGGGCCGAGCTCGAGTTCCGCCCACGCAGGCTCGAGCAGCTCCGTTTCAGCCGCAAAGCTCGCCCACTGTGCGTACGATCGATGCAAAGACCGCTTGGCGCGCGGACGGTTGGCCATCGTCTCAAGGATCACATTGCCAACGAGACTCTCCCCCTTGTTGAGCCATTGCATGAGCCTGCCGTGCGCATGCGGGTCGGTGATCCGAGCGACGCGACTGGTCCAGAGGTCGAGGTCGATACCGGCGATACTGAGGAGTGACTGGAGGAAGAGGTCTGAGTCTTCGGCACCAGGAGGAAGAAGGCAGGATTGAAAGAGGGAGCGGTCGAATGCCGTGCTGGGTTGCTCGATGAAGAGGGCTCCGAGGGTGCAAGTGAATGTGCTGATCATATCCCAGGAATTGCGTTGCGTCGATGCGGGTCTAGAAGCATAGATTAAGCCCGCCTGCGCCCAGTGACATCGATTGCGGTGCCAGAGCTCCAGGATTTCCTCCTTGGAAGGCAAATCGATGGGCCTCGGTGGAACACCTCCTGCGTTCTGCAATCGACGGCCATATGACGGGTCAAAAGAAGCTGCGGCAACTCTTGAGGGGGCCGCTTTCAGCGAGACGGCACCGTGCAGGGCAGGGTGTTTGAGTATATCAAGCTTTTGGGTAAGCTCTTGGGTCAAATCGCGAACCATGCAAGCGAAGTCGTCCGGAGATGATCTGCCTTCCAGGTCATGCTGTTGTCCTTCAGGGGCGAGCTGCTGATTGAAGACGGTGAGGAGCATGAAGACTTTCTGTGAGCGCACGCGCCGTGGTCAGCAGACGAAACGGACGTCAATCTCTAAGCCGCCTACGTCTCACTCTACGAAAGCTCAGACGGTGAATCAGTCCATCGATGGGCTCCTTACTCTGCCCAGAAGCCGTCAAAGTTGCTCGGCAGTGCCTCAACCAAGCATCCGCTGCCTTAAGGTGATGAAGGGTCTGATTCGTCGATATATGCTCGAAGAGCGACTTGCCGCATGTATCTGTCACAGCGTCTTCTCCCTCGTGTATGTTGCCTTTGGCCAGCTCCGACCAGACGAGACCAAAGCATTTGACCGTTGCGACGAGGTAGGCTTGGAGGACGAGCTGGGCGAAGGCTGGGTGAGGCGAGTTTGGAGATGCTAGAGGTTGAGCGGTGGGATTTGTGCGGGGTGAGAGGGCTTCTATGTCATGGAAGTAGAGGCAAGTGTAGAGGGTCTGTGAAAGGGGAGCTGATTTGTGGAAGGCGGCCTAGGCGTGAGGGTATGACAAGGTGGTGAGCTCGCCAAAGCTGGACTTTGCGAATGGAAAGGCCGGCGACGTACCTCGCAGGCAGTCAAACGATCCATGATCCAAGCTACATCCTGAGCTGTCAGAGAAGAATACGGATTGAAAGTAGCCGAAGAAGAGGCTGCAGTATCGTCTCTGCGATCGGCTTCCGGGACGAGACTGGAGGGAAGAGGATGTATGCCCGAGTCCATTCTGGGATCACCGATGGAGATGCAGGCCATGGTATCAAGGAGTGTGAATGTAGGAGGGTGGACCATCTGACCGAGAGCTAACTGCGAGCACGTCTGCCAGAAGTCGCTCGTGGCATCGACGAATTGACGTCGTCTTGAGGTGTTGGAAATGCGTCCATCTCGAGGTGCTGGTGCCCGCCTTGGAGGGGGCAAAAATTCGGGCGAGTCTCCCGATGAACGCACTGAGATGGATATCTGATCCTCCATGCTACTGCCAAGTGAGCTGCTTCTGCTTACGATGAGGGACAGAGCATATCGGGCGGCGATTGATGCTGAAAGGAAGGATGATGCCTCGAATGCTTTCGCTTTTCGCCTGCGCTCTTCTTGACTTGCTTCCCCGCACGGACGTCAATGTCGACTCGAGATCACAGGGCGGCAAGACGGAACTGGAGGCGCGTGGCTCCAACTCTTCTCGCTCTCAGCTCATTACCACGTCCTGCAACAACCGCACTCGTTGAACATATTGCGCTTCGCTACGACTCACGAGGCCTCTGAGCCCTGAGTTGTTTTTGCCCCAGCATGCCCTCGTCCGAGGCGGAGGCCGCTTTTGATGATGGCTACGAATCGGCATCATCATCTGCGTCTTCATCCTCACCCTCATCCTCATCCTCGTCATCACTCGCGCCGCCCATTCTCGACGAATCCTTCCTCCCGCGCATTCTCGCCCTCTTCTTTGCCATCTTCCATCCCACGCAAGGTCCGAAAGTCGTCTATCAAGTGCCAGAGGGTAGCGTCACTGCAGATGAAGTCGGCGACGTCAAAGGCAAGGGCAAGCGTGGAGCCAACCTTTCCTCTTCACCCCGCCATGGCAACTTGGAGCAAGAGCAGCTGTTCGACTTTGATACCCTCAGCGACTACCTCATACCCAAGGCACCTCTTTGCGGTCGTCTCATTACTTGCACCACCAAAGGGCTGCCCTCATCGAAAGACCGCGTGCCACGTCATTTCAAGGTTCTCTCCTACCCAGTCCTTATCGAAGACTCAGAGAAGTACGAGCGCAACACCTTCATCTTCAACCTCGCCTTTGTATTTGATGGAAAAGCCGATGTCAAGAGCTACGAGCCTGTCGTGCGGAAATGCGCTCGCGCTCTACAAGGACTGGAACAGAGCTCGTCCTTCTTATCGTCGACGCTCAACCAGCCTCGCATGTATGGCATCGTCGAGCATCTCTATCAGGATCTCAACTCCTTCTGCGAAGTATTCGTCGACCTGCCAGAAGCACCACATACAGCGTACGAGAAGGATCAGCGCAATCTCGCCCTCGACGCCATCTCGCCTTCCTTTCGCGGCCACAGTACTGGAGCGATGGTGACATCAGCGAGCCAAAGCAGCGCGCTTCGCGCTACGAGAGCGTTGAGTACCGCCGCCGATGGTGCGATCCATGGCAGTAGAATGCCAGCCAGTCTACTCGAGAGTCGGCGCCCAAGCGCAGCAAGTGTGAGTTCGACGGGCAGTCGCAATGGCAGTCGCAATGGGTCTCCGGCCATCGCCCCTGCAACAGACGGTGCAGGCCTGCCATTCGGTATGAGCCCAATCGAGGAGAGTAGCAAGAGCGGACCCCGGCGAGGCTCTATTGCCGGTCTTCACCATCATACCATATCCCCGCTATCGCCTTTCACGTCGAGCAGCATGACGAGCCCTCCGCCAGCCCCCTTGACGGCTCTGGGAGCGCCAGCCATCGATCCACTCGCGGGTTCAGCCACATTGCCAGGCTCTCGCCGTTCTTCTGCCGCAAGCACAGAGGCGCATCGAAGACCAAGCATCAAGAGGAGCAAGACGACGTCGACTGCAGCAGTCAATGAGGCAAAGGCGAGCGCCGTCTCTGCCAGCATGCAACGAGCCTTTAGCAACGGGTCGACCGGTAGCTCCTCGAGCGAAGACGCTCTTACACGCCGGCACGCTCTTGGCGATCGTTCCTCCTACGAGGCGATAGCTGCCGACCTGAGCAGTTCACTCGCATCGTTGCGCAACGTCAAGCCACCCGCAAACACAACGATAGCAGACGGCCTGCCGTCAACAGACCCGGTCCTGTCCCTCCTCCCACAGCCCCCAAGCCGTGCCCCAGGACAACGTGAACCACCCCACGGTCTAGGGCGCACAGTGCGCGAGGCTATAAATCTCAAGCTTTTCCCAACCTACGCCAATCCGCCTCCAGTGAAAGACCACGACGTCCCCGTCTCCCTCCTCGACCTTGGCCACAAAGCTCGGTCGAGCTCCTCCAACTGGGACCTGACCATGAGCGCCGTCTACCCCTACATCAACGGCATCAACCACGTGAAGCGCATTGCACAATTGGCCGACGCGGATCTGGAGCTGACGAGACAGTGTATGGAGCATTTGCTCTACTATGGCTGCATTCTGACGGTGGACGTTTTCCAGTTTTGGAACGTGTATGCGGTCAAGCCTGCCGTCGCGAGGATGGCGGACGATCCGTCTATTCAGGCTGAGTGTGGGCCGTACGTCACGAGACCAGGACATGCTGTTCCTGCTTGGCCCACCCTCCTCGCTCTTTATACGGCGCTCCGACCAGGTATGCAGCTTGAGCGCTGGATCGAGGAGCGACAGGTTGAGGCGCTAGGCATCGACGTGCGGCGCTTTGTGACCTTTGGGGTCATCAAGGGCTTTTTGAGACGGGTGCATCGCTACCCTGTGCTCATGGGAGGGCAGGTCGTCTTGGATGAGATGCTGGCCTGGCTGCGTGAGGGAGGGTCAAGATCCCAGTCAAGGAGCAGGGAGCGGGATCCGGCAGAGCAACGCAAGCCAGCCGCAGCGCCGATGGCTTCCCCGTTGGCTTCACCTTCGGTCGATGCCTCGTCGAAAGACGACTCTCTTGGTCGGCCGGCGTACAATCGACGCCAGCCGTCGGATGGTGCGTCAATACGAACTGTCAGACAAGGTGATGAGCGAGGGGCCAAAAGCTGCGTTAAGACGCCTACGGCTGCAGCTCCACCACGTACGCCGCGATTCCCTCCTTCCTCGCGCTACACGACGGCTACTGTATCCGATGTGGCCAATATTGCCTTTGATCAGTTTGGCGAAGGCGAAGATTCTCCATCACAGCAGCATCTGGCGTCTCGTCGCGGCGGCGGTAACAGCTCTCTGCAACCGGGCAGCACCAACGATAGCGAAGGGTACGGTTCGCGTTCCTCCCTCACGCTCCGGCCCTCGATCCCCAGCTTGCAAGGCTCTCTATCTACTGCCACACCCTCTTCCTCCATTCGCCCCTCCTTTACGGGCCGCAGATCTGCCAATCGCCCTCCCATTCCAGACTCGCTTTTCCCCTCGTCATCGGGAAGCCTGGACCTCCCTCCCGACCTGCCCGCCATGCTTGATGGAACAAACAGTGAGGACGCTCTTTGTGTCCACTTCGGCCTCTCCTGGCCGCAGCTGCGGCGTATGCTCATCCGCCTAGGAAGAGCGGTAGCGAATTTCCAGCAACAAAGAGAACGCGAGCGCGAGCGTGAACGACTGCAGAGGGGAGGATCATCCTTGCAGATGAGACCTAGACGGAGGGATTCGTGGAGCAGTCGGCGGTTGAGCGGCTATGCTGCGGGCGGAGCAGGAGGAGAGAGTGACGACTGGATACCAGAGGCGCCAGCTTTCGCGAATGCGAGTGGATTCGGCGCGAGTGGGTGGGCGAGTGGGGTGAGCGGTCAACAGGGTGGGTCCAACGCGACTGGGTCATTGGCCACTTCGCTGCGCAGTAGCGGGAAGAGAGCGGTCTTTGCGGGTAGCATAGGCAAGAGTGGTACATCAGCAAGCGCAGCGGGGGCTTCGGGCTCGATGATGTCCTCGGGCTCGTTTGGACCCAAGTCGTGGAATCAGTCGCTGGATGGGCTTGAGATTGAGGACGAGGAGGAGGAGCTGGAACGTACGGGCGAGTTTGGGGCTGTTGTGATTATCAGCATTTGAAATACCATGTCAAAGAAGGAATGTTGCAGGCAGCATGCTCAGCGATGATGCAGAGCATCTTGACTTGTCGTGGATTGATGGTCGCAAAGGTGAGGATCCGCACAGGCTGGCCAGTCGATGACGGCAGGCGTTCAGTCCAAGGCCGCCCGCCAGCCGCGCGCGGGCCACCCGTCTCGACGCTCAAGTCGTCTCCACGCCTGCGCGACCAACGAGACCAACGAGCTGCTTCTTCCTTCCTCATCACCGCTTGCTTCCCCTGCAAACCGTTGCACACCGCCCGCCTGGACTCGTCGCCTCCATAACTACATCTTTCACCTTCTGCTCCTCCTTCGACCTCACCTCATTCCTGGCTGAGGGCCCTGTCCCTTCCTCCCCTCCGTCTCCCTCGCCATGACGTCCCTCTTCACCCGCTCGCAGCAGGTGGCCGCCCTCGATCCTCGTCTGGGCGGTCTCATGGCCTCCTTGGGCCTTTCCAATCTGCGAGCTCTTATCAAAGCCATCCGCGCTTGCAAGACCTACGCCGAGGAGCGAGCCCTGATCCAAAAGGAGTCGGCCGCGATCCGCACCTCCTTCAAGGACGAGGACCCGCTGCTGCGACACAATAACATTGCCAAGCTTCTCTACATCCACATGCTGGGCTATCCTGCACACTTTGGGCAGATTGAATGCCTGAAGCTGGTGGCCACACCCAGGTTCACGGATAAGAGGCTGGGCTACCTGGGCGTCATGCTGTTGCTGGACGAGAACACGGAGGTGCTCACCCTCGTTACGAACGGGCTCAAGAACGATATGAACCACTCCAACATGTACGTCGTGGGGCTCGCCCTAGCTACCTTTGGCAACATTGCATCGGAAGAGATGGCGAGGGATCTGAGCGAGGAGGTGGAGAGGCTGATGGGGTCGAGCAATACGTATATCCGACGAAAGGCAGCTATATGCGCTATGAGAATCGTGAGTAGCCGCAGCGAAGTGAATGACGGGATGTCGCCCCGCTGACATGTTGTCGACTCGCTGCTCTTTCAGGTACGCAAAGTGCCAGATCTGCTCGAAAACTTCTCGGGCAAGGCAAAGGCGCTGCTCAATGATAAGAACCACGGCGTACTGCTCTGCGCGGTCACTTTGGCTATCGAGGTGTGCAAGGATGAAGAGGCTCGTGACTCCTTCAGAGATGTGAGTGACTACTCAACGAGCCGTTGGGCTAGATCGCAGCTGCTGAGGCATAGTCTCGTCCCCTTTCCCGCAGGTCGTTCCTCTGCTGGTCCGCCACCTCAAGTCCCTTGTAACAACAGGCTACTCGCCAGAGCACGATGTCTCTGGCATCACGGACCCGTTCCTCCAGGTCAAGATTCTGCGCCTGCTCCGCGTTCTGGGCAAGGGCGATGTCGAGGCGTCGGACACGATGAACGATGTCCTCGCACAGGTGGCCACCAGCACAGAGGCGTCCAAGAACGTCGGCAACGCCATCCTGTACGAGACGGTGCTCACCATTCTGGACATTGAGGCCGAGAACGGGCTGAGAGTCATGGCGATCAACATTCTGGGCAAGTTCCTGAGCAATCGCGACAACAACATCAGGTGAGGCGCCGAGGCTGATCGCGCCAGAAGCAACGAGCAGTCAGTCTGACCTCCTTTCCCTCCTCTGCGCGCAGGTACGTCGCCCTGAACACGCTCAACAAGGTCGTGACGATGGACACGAATGCCGTCCAACGGCATCGCAACATCATCCTCGACTGTCTCCGGGACGGGGACATCTCCATCCGCCGCCGTGCCCTGGAGCTCTCGTATGCCCTCATCAATGAGGCCAACGTGCGCGTCCTGACTCGCGAGCTGCTCAGCTTCCTCGAAGTGGCCGACAACGAATTCAAGCTCGGCCTTACGACGCAGATCTCCCTAGCGGCAGAGAAGCTGGCGCCCAACAAGCGATGGCACATCGACACGATGCTGCGCGTGCTGAAGGTCGCAGGCAACTATGTGAGGGAAGAGGTATTGAGCGCCTTTTTGCGCTTAACCTGCCATACGCCTGAGCTGCAGACGTACACGGCGCAAAGGCTGTACTCTCTGCTACATGCCGATTTCAGTCAGGAGTCACTTACCCTCGCGGCGGTGTGGGCCATCGGAGAGTTTGGAGAGCTGCTCACCCAGCCTGGTGGGGGAAGCATGGAGGACGAGGAGCTGGTGCGCGACCTGACCCCGCGTCAGGTCGTGGACTTGATCTCATCCCTGCTCGACTCGCCCTACGCCAACTCAAACATAAGGCAGTGGGTTCTCACATCCCTGTCCAAGCTAGCGGTGCGCTTCTCGTCGCAGGATCGCAGTCAAGCGGAGCGTATCCAGCAGATCTTGGGGAGGTACGAGACCTCCGTCGACTTGGAGCTGCAGCAGCGCAGTGTGGAGTATGACGCGCTATTGAGCAGACGAGACATCAGAGAAGGAGTTCTGGAGGCAATGCCGCCCCCCGAGATCAAGACGACAATGGTGGGGACCGTCAGTGAGAAGAGGAGCGTAGGGAGCACGAGAAGGGACAAGGATGCGCTGCTTGACCTCATGGGTAGTGATGATATGGGAGGGGCGTCGGCACCTGCGCAGGCAGCAGCATCGAGCAGCAACAACACGCACGACTTGCTCGCCGACATCTTTGGTGGTGGAGGAGACGGCGGTGCCAGCAGCTCTACAGCGCCGGCAGCAGCTGCCACACAACCCAAGTCATCGGTCAACGATATACTCGACCTCTTCGGCAGCAGCTCGTCGATCTCAACACCTGCAGCCAGTGCGCCACCTGCATCGAGCAATATGAATGGAGGGCGCAATGGGGGAGGCGGTGCAGACTCGTTGGCGGGTCTTGACATCTTCGGCGGTGGCTCTTCCTCAGCGACAGCAGCATCGCCCTCAGCCCCAGCCGCTTCTCCCTCACCTTCATCATCCGCTCGGGCCTACACCGCCTTCAGCGGCTCCGGTCTCACCCTCACCCTCACACCACGCATCGCCCAACCCACTCGCCCTGACCTGGTCTCAATCCTCGCCACTTTCACCTCAACCCTGGACGTCTCCAATCTCTCCTTGCAAGCCGCGGTCCCCAAGTCACAAAAGCTACAGATGCTTGCTGCGAGCAGTACAGAGGTCAAGCCAGGCCCGGCAGGGGAGGCAACACAGCAGATGAGGGTCATGCTGCCTAATGGAGGTAGTGGAGGTGTGGCAGGCGTGAGGCTGAGGATGCGCATTGGCTTCAAGGCGGCAGGGAAGGAGGTGCAGGAGCAGGTCGACTTCGCGGGGTTTCAGTAGACGGGCAGAAAAGCCAGATTGGGTAGAAGTGTGGATAATCACTGAGCAGGCGACGACGACGTGGACTAATGAAGATGACGATTACATCGGAGGGGAACATGAAGAGTGATCACAACTGGCGTCGCTGGCCGACAATTAGCAGCTCAGGTAGAGGTCTGCGTCCTGCTGCACGGTAAAGATGGTTCCCAATCCCCTCAAGATGTCCTCGGGCTCACTAGACCAGTGGCCCTACAGCGTCCGATTCACGTCAGCGTCAGCTCATCCTTGACCCACACCACCTCGCGCGCACTCACGATGATCCCCGTATTGTTCAGCTCCAGTCCACTCGCTTGACGTAGGCCCACTCGAGGGATATGCCACGTCACGCCGCTGTGCTTCACGTTTGTGGCCCATCGCCCGCAGTACCCATCCGCTCGGCCGCTCGAGCCGTACGTGGAGAGCTGCGCGACCAGGTATCGTGGAGTAGAAGCTGACTTCACGATGCCGTAGCCTACGGACAACGGAAGCGGGAGCGGTCAGTGGTGAGAACATCGACGGCTGCCTAACAAACTCATGCACCGGTCAAGACGATATTCTTCGACGTTCTTTGGCGGCGTGAGGGAACAGCACAAGGATCTGAGCTTCAGCAGTCGAGCGTATCCCGGCCCTGCGGCGCATCATGCTGGACACACAGAATGCAAGTGTACCCAGACCTCTTGATACAGCGTCGATATAGAGCCAGATCAGCCGCGACCGACCTTGGGTCAGGCCCCTTCGTGGGCCCCTTCGTAGCTGTATCACCTTCGATCCAGCGTACCGTACTCGTCCCATCTGGCTGACGGGTGAGCTTGACGCCTGCCTCGGCAGTGCAGAGGAGGGACGCGAGAAGGAGTGTCAAGAGTGTCACGGTGAGGGCGAAGTGCATCGTCGATGGACTAGAGATGGGTCGTTCTGAAGGAAAAAAGTGGCTCTGTGTGGGAAGCCTGCGTTCCGGAGTACACCCTTCTGTTCGCTGACGGCTTTCAATGGGCCAGAGGGCACACACATTGTCTGGTGGAACCTGGCTATGGTTGCAGTGAGGTAAGGCGCATCATACGATTGACAGCAATCAAATCAGGGTCGACGGCGAGACTGGTTTCGAGACGCTGCTCATGAGCAAGAGCGTAGGAGGCGAAATGTCTTCCATGACCGCAAGCTCATCACTCCTCAAACCCATCTCAGCACTGGATATGCAAGTCTACCCCCGGCGTGTTCGAAACAATGGTCCCTCGGCCGGTCATCTGTGGGCTCCGGTTGATTAGCTCTCGTCTCTCCCGTCTATCTCTCTGGTCGTGCTCGCACTCACCACCTTCCCAGCATTATCTCCAAAGTAAGCCTTGAGAAGTAGATTTCCCTCTTTCCCCCCCGAGGCGCTCGCCAGTTGCGGAACATTGGCTGGCGGAGTGACGCTCGTATAGGCCCAGTCGATGGTGTCCGTTCGTGTGCTATTGGGACAACTTCCGAACGCCTGACCCATGACTATCTGGGAGGAGAGAAGGACGATGTAGTTGTCGACTGAAGGAAAGAGAGCGGGGTTAACGATGTCGAGGGGGGGATCAGATCGAAACAAGCGCCTCGCTGTCCGTCTGCTGCGTATCGATGATTCCAGATGAGCGAATCGAGATGTAGCTTGGAGCACTAAAAAGGTAATAGACGAGATGAGTAGCCAGCTTGTCGGACACGGCATACTGCCACATACAAGATGCATCGTCTGCCTGGCTGAGAGCAGACGGAAGGGCTGAAGCCTCGAGGTGCTGGCCCGGAAGTCGTAGCGATGTTCAGGCCACCTGCAATCGAGGCTGCGAACACGGTCTGGCTGAGGAGGAGCGCGAAGGTCAAAAGCACGCAGATCATGGTGGCATGCTTTGTGATGCGAGGGTAGGTAGGTGAGAGGGGGGGGAGAGAAATTCAACCGTGAGCCTGAGAGAGGTCATCATGGTCTTCAGCCACTGAGGCGACCCGGCCATTTTTAGCGGGCCGACGGCGTTTCCTCGGCGGCTAGATAGTAAGCTGCCTCACGGCCGGTAGGTGGCTTTGAGATGGCAGACCATTCTTTCTATCTTTCCCAAGGAAGACCGCCAGCCACTGCGTTCAGGATATTGAGCCTCGTTGTTGACAAGGAGAATGCAGCTGCGGCACTCGTAAAGTGGTAGGAAGAGCGAGAAGACGAGGTAAAGAATGGCTGAACGGCGCCAAGTTGTGGAGCGACGCTCGAGCCACCCCGATTTTGGCTCAGGGCACCTGACCGGCCCATTGACCCTTGTCTTCCATCAGCACCACCACCACCATCATTGCCCGGCATACGTTCCATCGACATGTCGCCCCTCCTCCTCACGACACTGCTGTTCATTCTATTGGTCTCGTCAGTGACCTCAACGCGATGGCAGCAACACCAGCAGCCACTTGGCGAGCTTGCTGCCCAGCGTGTGGACCTGACTCTAGGCGTCATGTCCCGCTGTCCTGATGCCGTCTTCACTGAGACGGCGCTTGACAGCGTCATTGAAAGGGTCAATGACAAGGTGCGACTGCGCTTTGAGTACATCGGAAACTTCACGGACAGTAGCCAGCATGACGTGGGTGTGACCGAGGTCGGTGGCGTGGTATGCAAGCATGGCGATCAGGAGTGTGAGTAGCAGTGGAGCGGGTACAGCGATATGCTCGTCACCCTATTCTGACATAACAACCGTACGCCTCCTGCCTTTTCACCTAGGCCACGGCAACATCCATCAACTGTGCGTGCAACACGCCCTTCGCCCCTCCCGAGCAGGCAAAGACTACGACCTCTCCCCTTCGGCCGCACAGCGCAAGGTTTGGGACTTTGTTCAATGCCAGAACTACGATGGACTTGCTCAGATCGGTACCGACGCCCTGGCCAAGCAATGCCTCGGACTCGTCAAGGGCCCCAAATGGGAGGGCGAGGATGGAATCGGCGCCTGTGCTAATGGTGACGAGGGAAGGGCATTATTGCGCGATAGCGTGCAAGTGAGCAAGAAGCGGGGTATCATCAAGAGTGCGACGATTCAATTGGAGGGAAAGACGATATGTGTCAGAGATGGAGGCGAGTGGAAGGAATGCCCCGGTGGTCATGAAACGAGGGACTTTGTGAGGCAGATTGAGGAGGCTTGGAGGAGGAAGAATGGCCAGTGACCGCTGGATAGCAATGACGAAGACGACGACCCGGACGCAGACGACGACACGAATCGCTCACATCTTGTATCTTATTTTTCTCCATCCACTCGCATCGATGCCTCTTGATCACCCTGCCTCGAGATGCTGTGGCGTCGCCGTCGTAGTCGCAGGCGCTCATGCCTCCACGCCACTTTACGCGCCTATGATGCAGGCCGCCGTCCGTGTTTGGATCAGCTCCATCCGTCCGTCCTCACCACGCCATCCACCACCACCACCACCACGGTCTACTCTCTCTCCTTGCGACCTCCTCTCAATTTTTGCCCCTCGCTGCTGTACACCATGCTCCATCCAACCCTCATTCACCCACAGCAATGAAGACAAGGGCTCGTCCCGACTCATCTCCCCCAGCAGCGTCGTTCAGCCAAAAATCGGGAACCTCGTCCTTCGGCGGCGAGGATGCCGGCTTCCTCGAGGCGCTCGCCGCCATACCGCTGACGCAGAGCGATGGTAGCCAAAAGGCAGAATCTGCTGACGCTTCGTCTCCTCGTCGAAAGAGGTTACGCTTCGCATCGCCACCCTCGCCATCATCCTCATCGCCGCCCATTGATGCTTCCCCGTCTGCCTCGCCCGAAAAGGCTGCGCAACCTGACTATATGCAGTCAACGACGTACGATGCGCTGCGGTTTGGGGATTTCAGCACTTACATGCGCAACAAACGAGCCAAACTCAAAGTGCAAGAGGCTCAGCTCAAAGAGCAGGAAGACGCCTTGCGCGCAGCGGCGGCCAAGTACCGGGATGGCAGCGACAACGCCCACCAATCATCTCCCCCACCCCCGCCCATCTTCAAAGGCTGCACGATCTACATCACAGGTCATACCGAGCCGCCGTACCAAGAGCTGCGCCGGCTCATTGTACTGCATGGCGGCAACTTCATGGCGTATCTCGATCAGAAGAAGCCAGTCACGCACATCGTTGCTTCAAACTTGACTCCAAAGAAGCGGGAGGAGTTCCGAGAGTACAAGGTCGTCAGGCCGGAGTGGGTCATGGAGAGTATACGAGCCGGGAGAAAGCTGGCTTGGCACAACTTCCGAGTTGAGGCAGACGCAGGTGGGGCGATTGGCAGCGAAAGACTGCCCGTTGGGGTCGCCGCCAACGAGGGGAGACAAGATGGCTTCCTTGCTGCGCCGGCCTCGATCTCAGCGCCGAAGCAATCCGGCTACCTCGCTGGGGCTACGCCATGGGGTAGGGCTGTAGCGCAGAAGAAGTTGACTGGCTTTACAGTCGCAGAGAACAAGAAGGCAGCGCCAGCCCCAGCCCCAGCTCGCCCGCCATCGCCACCTCGCCAGCCGACGCCCCCACGCTCGCCTTCACCCTCCCGCGAGCCATCGTCTCCTCCTCCTCGGATCTCTCCCAGTCGACCGGCCACACCCGATACCTCGTCGCCCATCACGGCCTCTCAGGAGGAATGGCTATCCACCCTCGAGACCCCTCCTCGTCCCAAGCCGGAAACGCCTCGCAAAGACTTCGAAGCCCTGGTTGGTACCGACCCAGTCTCCAAGTCTGCTGCCCTCGCGCATCCTTACGCCAGCCGTTCAGCCAACACTACCGCAGCCCGCCTCATGGCATCCCCCTCATGGCGGGAGCGCAACACCGCAACGAGCGAATCCTTCCTCTCGGGCTACTTTGCCAAGTCGCGTCTACACTACCTCAGCACATGGAAGGGTGAGCTCAAAGACCTCGTCAGTCAGGCGCTCAAGGACGCCGGTAGGGAGGACGACCATCTGCAGCCTCTTCCAAAGGGAGCCTCCCGTGTCATCATGCACATCGACTTTGATTCCTTCTTTGTCAGCGTGGGGCTGCGACACCGGCCAGACCTCAAAGACAAGCCTGTGGTCGTGTGTCATAGCGGGTCGCACGAGGGAACCTCGAGCACCTCGGAAATTGCCTCGTGCAATTACGTTGCACGCTCGTTTGGCGTGCACAATGGCTGGTCGCTAGGGAGGGCACGCCAGCTCTGCCCACATGTCCAGCCGATACCGTACGATTTTGAAGGATACAAAGACGTGTCGATTCAGTTCTACTCGCTGCTATTGGCGTACGCAGATGCAATCGAGGCAGTCTCTGTCGACGAAGCGCTCGTCGACGTTTCGCGTCTTCTGCAGTCCATGCGAAGCGGCGGTGCCACTCTCGAGGACGATGATGAACGCAAAGTGCTGCTCAATGCCTATCGCGGCCATGTCAGCAGCCAGGGCGAACGCTGGACTGAGGAGAAGCAGCTGGCCGAAGCACTCCGCGATGAGATTCGACGCCGAACAGGCTGCGAAGCCAGCATTGGCATTGGAGCCAATACGCTGCAGGCCCGTCTGGCCACTCGGCACGCTAAGCCCGGCGGATCGTACCACCTCGAGCCTGCGGCGCTAGACGACTTCCTCTCCAACCTGGATATCGACGACCTACAAGGCGTGGGATACTCGACGCGACACCGTTTCCAAGCCCTCTTTGGCACGGCTAACATAGCAGAGCTAAAGCGGGCCGCCAGTGTGTCTCAATTCATGAGCGAGCTCGGTCCCAAGCTGGGAAGACAAGTCTGGGACAAGATGCATGGCATCGATCGCGCCGAGCTCGAAGGGACCAAGCAGCGACAAAGTGTGGGTGCGGCCGTCAACTATGCCATCCGCTTCAAGAGTCAAGAAGAGGCGGAGCGCTTCGTTCGCAACCTGTCAGAGGAGGTGGCGAACCGTCTCGCGGGCTACAAGCTGAAGGGCAAGCAGGCAAACGTCACCATCATGGTACGTGACCCTGCTGCCCCAGTGGAGGCTCCCAAGTTCCTCGGCCACGGGGTATGCGATGTGCACAATCGTAGCTGCGCATTGACGGGGCCTGGCGGCGGAGCCACAAACGAGCAAGAGCTCATATTCAAGGCTGCGTGGAAGCTGATCAAGGGGCTGAACGCTGATCCGAGAGAATTGAGGGGGATCGGGATCAGCTGTACCAAATTGGAGCCGACGGAGCCTGGCGTGATCAAGGCGAAGCCGGGGCAGAGGTTGCTCAACTTTGCCAGCGCGCCGGTGACTCCGTCCAAGTTGCCGAGGAGGGTCGACGTGGACGAGGATGACGAAAGTAATGAGGAAGAAGAGCACTCTGCCCTGACGCCAGGTCCATCTGCGCTGCGCTCTCAAAGGCAGCCAAGTCCACCAACCTCACCGACGAAGCCTCCCTTGGAACCGGCGATGCCGATGCCTTCGCTCGTCGACAGCCCAGCACGTCCAGTCGAAGCGCCACCGCAGCTGCCCCTCCCCACTCGCTCCCAGTCGTTGGAGCCTACGCCGCGCCCGCCATTGCCACCGCCTCCGACCCGGGCACCTGCGCCACGGCAGGTAGCTCTCAACTTACACCGCCTACCTACGCCCTTCGATCGAGCAGCGGCGACGAGACGTGGGGTAGGGCCAGGCAAGAACGCCCCCCCTGCTGGCCCTGCGCTCCCTCTGCCCACAATGTCGCAGCTGGATCCGTCCGTCCTCGGCGAGCTTCCCCCTTCCATCCGAGATGAGGTGCTTCGTGAAAGCCGCAGGATGGCCACGACTCGATCAGCAGCTGCAGCTGCAGCCACGGGCATGAGTCGCTCCCTTTCGGCCTCCCCATCTAAGCGTCAGCTTGCAGCGATGAAAGGCGGCACAGGCACCTCACCTTCGAGCCAGCGCCTTCTTCAATTCCCAGCAATTGCTCGCAATCCACCAGCCCCGCTGCGCCTTGAAAAGGACAAGCCCGCATCCTCGACTCACTCAGATCCGTCAACCATCAGCGCCTCGCAATTGCTCGCTCTTGGCATCGACGCAGGTGTGTTCGCCGCCCTTCCCTCCAGTGTGCAGCGCGAGACGCTGCTGGCGCACAGTCGTGAGGCGAGGGGTAAAGATGCACGCTCGGTCGCTGGGAAGAGGCATCAAGAGATGAGTCTTGCCGACGAGCGTCGCCTTGATGCGGAGAAGGCGCGGGGGGCTCTAGATGTAGACGATGAGAGGACGTATCTCACTGCGATGCCCGTCGCAGGGCGAGAGGAGGCTAAAGCTACCGAGGAAGGCGAACAAGCTCTGCCTTCCATCTTGCGCCGCTGGTCGTTCGAGGACGTTCATTCCCTCCTCACTTCGTGGGTGCAACGCTACGCGACCAGAGCACCTAGACCGAATGATGTGAATAGATTCACGCGCTTCCTCGTTGGCAGCATAAGTGCCGATGGTATACCCGGTAGTCGCATGTGCGATTTGGAAAAGGTGCAAAGCCTGCTACGAGGTTGGGAAGAGACGGTCGACACCGAGGTGGACAAGACCGTGGAGGCTGCCGTGCAAGGGTGGAAGGAGGCGTTGCACGGCGTCAGGACGGAGGTGAATGCTGCGACACGGGCGCGCTTCGGTGGCCGGCTAAAGCTGTGAAGCGCGGATGAATGGCTCTCTCTGTATTTTTTGTCCTTTACTTCCCGCTTTTGTGTAGAGATGCTCGAAATGCTCGAAATGCTCGATGCTCGATTGAGTGCTACCAGGAGCCTGCCAGAGCGTTGCGTGACCCGGCGGCTCCCACGTTCGGCCTGCCCGCCCGCTCAGGCCGACGATTGCTTCCGCCTCGGTCGCCGTCCGTTGTGGCCCTTGCGTCGCGGGGCGAGAGTCGTCTGCCTGCCTCACTCTTGATTCCACTTCACATATCCAATCCATTTCTCCTCTTTCTTACCGGCATTCTCAGCTGGTAGCCACGGGCGATGCCAAGACTCAGACTGCGCCTCTAATCTTCGCGAAGATGCTGCCTCATCGCCCCGCGACTTCGCCTGGCGGCGGCATGGCCTCGCATTCTCACTCCCATGACTCGGCGTCAGCATCAGCATCCTCCTCATCCTCGAGTGGGCAGCCGCCTCCCATCTCAGTACATCAGGCGGCAACAGCGGTTAGGATGCCCATCTCCCCGCCTACACCTGCCCCTTCGCCTCGACCTCGTCCTGCTCACTTCAACGCCCACGAGGGGCACGATCCAGCTGGCGGGGCAGGATCCGGAGGAGCAGCATATAGCGATCACCTCGAGTCGAGCGAGCAGCTCGTCTCCCCTCTGAGTGGGAGCGGATCCAATCCCCCCTGGTCTTCCAGTGCTCATATCGACCCTCAGTCGCTCACACGAGCAGCGACAGCACTCCTCCCCACCTTGGCTCCCTCAGCGCGGCTCACCCTCATCTCCGACCTGCTTATGCTCCTCTCCTCTCGCGAGCTGGCGCAGATTTCCACCTTCATCGCTTCGCGCCTGCGCATCGACTTCCTATCTGCGCTGCCCATCGAGGTCAGCTTGCAAGTGCTAAGCTTCATCGATGACCCGGCGACGCTGGCTCGTTGCAGCCAGGTCAGCCGCTTTTGGAGGAGCTTGGTCAACGACGAGCATACATGGGAAGCAATGTGTCTCAAGTACCGCTATCGATACAGAAGACCATCAAGCGTCTATCCGAGAGTAGCAGCCGCGGCGGGTGCGGACAGCTCTGCGTCCTCTTCAAAGTCGAAGCGCAGTCGCGCAGGGCCGCCTGCATCGACGAGCGAGTCCCTCTTCCTTGCCTCACTCTACAGGCGGTATAGAGAGCGAGGTCTCGACCCCGTCAAGGCGCGAGATGAATTGCGGGCGCTGCATGACCTCTTTCTCGCAAAGCAGCAGCAGCAGCAGCAGCAGCAGCAGCAAGAGAATGACGGGGCATCGAGCGCTGACCTCTCCGCACGCTTCTACGAGCAGCTTGACCAAATCCTCATGGCGGAGAATCTGGCTGCGGCGCAAGAACAAGGGAGTAGGGCTCAACCTTCTTCCTCGTCGTCGCAACAGCGTCGCCCATCAACAAGCAGCGACCCGACCGCAGCTGCATCCTCCGCTTCCCGAGGTCTGGGCTGGCTCTCAACCGGCCACCCATCCTCGCAACCACCCGCCAATCCCGCCGTCTCGCCGACCGCGCGCTCTCGTCTGCCCATCCTAACAGGGGTGGGAGCTAACCCCGGGTTCCTAGAACGCTACGGCAGTACTTCAACTTCAGGACCAACATTGAGCTGGGCGAGCGGTCTCGGCCTTCCTTGGGGGCTGGGAGAGTACATCCACTTACCCGCTGCCCTGAACCGTGTCAACGGAAGCGGGAGCGCCAGCAATCCCCCCGTCGACGTCACTGGTGGGATGAGGTTCGCGAATGGCAGCAATGACAGCAGTCACGCCGACAATGAAAACGCCGAACGGGATGATGTCATGGTCGCCGGCCCCAATGCTTCGAGGAGCGCAAACGTCGCCTCACATTCTTTAGGTCTGGGGAGGAGCTCCTCTTCTGGTGAGCTGCGCTCTCGCTCTTCCTTGAACTCCTCTACCATGGGTCTAGGCATGAGCAGGCCTGACTCACAGCCCTCGGGCAGCGTACCGCGCTCTGCAACGTACACGCACGGCATGCCTCCTCCCGCGGAAGCGCAGCCGCAGCAGCCGCACCCTTTCAGCTACAAAGCACACTTCAAGCGCAACTACCTAACCGAGTCCAATTGGCATCGTGGCGGGCATCTTCTCACCCATCATGTCTCCACCGAGAGTGGGTCAGTATGCACATGCATGGCGATGGACGAGCGCTGGCTTGTGGTGGGCATGGCCAATGGGAAGATCCACCTCTTCGATGCGCGCTCGGGAGAGTTTGAGAGGACGCTCCAGGGTAGGCATGAGAGTGGGGTGTGGTGTCTAGCGTTGGTGAGCAAGACGCGCGGCGCCAAGAAGAAGCAGCGCAAGGGCAAAGGGAAGGCAAAGACCGCTGAGACGCAATCGACGTCTAGTAGTAGCGATGCAGCTATGGGTGCCAGCACGGGTGATGCCAGCTACAGAACGGCTCAGAGCAATCCTTCGTCGCCGCACGTCGCCGACGAGGCAGAGGACGTCGATATGCATCACGACGACGACGACGATGATGATGGCGCCGAATCCGACTCTTCCACCTCCACCTCCTCCTCGTCGTCCACACCTTACGAAGGCTTCTCAATGGGCATTGGCGGCTCCGCGTTAGGCAACGGGACGCTTTGCTCGTCCACTCGCGGTTTCGGCAATGAGACTGCCCTCCTCATCTCTGGAGGGTGTGATCGCGAGCTCAAAGTCTGGGACCTGTCCACGGGGCAGATTCTCCACTCCCTTCGCGGGCATCACAGCACCGTGCGATGCTTGCGCGTCCTCGAGGGCAGGCCAGTAGCCGTCTCCGGTGGGCGCGACTCGACGGTGCGTGTCTGGGATGTAGAAAAGGGCGAAGGCCTGCGCGTCCTCGCCGGCCACATCAATTCTGTGCGTTGTCTCGAGGTGGCGGGCAACAAGGTCGCGAGCGGGTCGTACGACTGTACCTGCCGCATTTGGGATGTGGACACAGGGGAGTGCCTTCACGTTCTGCGAGGACACTACAACCAGATCTACTGTATTGGATTCGATGGGCTACGTGTTGCGACGGGGAGCCTAGACTCGACGGTCAGGGTTTGGGACGCGGTCAGTGGCGAGCCAATTGCGCTCCTCCAAGGCCATACCATGCTGGTTGGTCAGCTGCAGCTAGTCAACGGGATCTTGATCTCGGGCGGGTCGGATGGGAGGATCATCGCGTATTCCATTGGAGGCGCAGTCCCCGGCAGGGGAGCGACAAGTGCTGCTGCGGGAGGTCGAGCCCTCGCCTCCGCTCCACCCACCACGACCTCGTGGCCACCGGGCGCCACGTCCTCCACCACCAACACATCGTCGCGCTATCCGACCCGTCTTCCACCTTCAGCAATAGCGGACGTCCGACCAGGTTCCACCACCGCCGCCTCACCTTCGCTCGGCTCCTCGACGGCAACAAGCGTGCAAGCCCTCTACGCCATCTGTGCGCACGACAACTCGATCTCGTGCATTCAATTTGACGAGCACTTTGTGCTGACGGGGGGCAACGATGGGACTGTGAGGCTTTGGAATCTGCATGATGGAAGCTTTGTGCGAGAGCTGGTTGGGCCGGCAGCTACGATGTTTGCTGCCCCGGCGGCCGGGGGCACGGGTGGAGCAGCATCGACGATGGCAGGAGGTGCGACGTCTGCGCAGGTCAGCGGGGAGAATGCGGAGACAAGAACGCCAGTCGATCTTCGCATGGAAAGTGTTTGGAAGCTCGGCTTCCGTGACGATCGAGTGGTATGGGTGGCCAGACGAGGGGATGAAGCCATGGTGATGGGTATTGTCGACTTCAGGCCGTCCAAGGTTGAAGGTGGAGAGTCGACTACAGCGACGCCAGGAAACGAGGATGAGGCGATGATTTCATGAGAGGGCAGCCGAGGAAGTAGACGGGGGATTAGATGTAGATTTCTATACAGAGCACACTTTGAACATTATGACACGTCACATCACAACACTGGGCGCGCTCGTTTGGTCGCTGCTGTTGTGCTTCTTGTCTCTCTCGCCGAGGTAACCGCAGCATCAGCGGACTTCTGCTTCTCCTCTTGTCCCGCTCCACCAGTCTCCTCCTTCACACCTACCGTCGATCTCGAAGCAGCCCAAGCATACATGACGGTCCCCGCACCCACAGCGATGGCCCCCGTTACCAAGCCGGAGGTATCGCCCTGGTCTTTTCCCCTATTCAAGACCAAGACAGAAATGGCCAGGCTGGCCGCCTTGCGCACGACGAGCACAAGGGTGACGGCTACTGAGCTCACGCGAGCTGTCAGCCGATTGACGCCGTTGATGCATGCCAACTGGGTGAGCACGTTGAGCGTCAAGAGGGGAATCAAGCTTGGCATCTTTGCTCCTCCCAATTGCGAGGGGAGGACGACTTGCGGCGATTTGAGAACGGCTTGCACCTCGCCACGGACATCCGAGTAGCGGGTACCTAGCACCAGAGGGAGGGAGAGAGCGTGAGAGTAGAAGAGAGCCTCACGCCACGTATCGCGTCCGTAGACGGCGAAGGTGGCTTCTTGCCAGAGACCCATCAGAGAGGAGAGGAAGAGAGCAAGGGTGAGGAGGGAGATGCCTGTCAGGTAGTTGGAGACGGGCGGAGCTGAGCCGGCCGAGCTGGTAGAGGGTGTAGAGGGCTGCGTTGACAGGGTGGACAGGACTACTCCTCCTGTCACGAGGATGACCGACAGAACCTGGAGAGGGGAGTATCTGCGCGGACGAAGAAGGAGAGTGTCAGCTGTTGATCTTCTTGCTGCGACCTGATCCGCGCATATATTCACCTTCTGCCTCTGACGACCCACCCCATCAACATATTCACCACCAACCCTCCGCTGCGGAAGATGATATGCACGGGCATGGGCACCTCGTACGCGAATGCAACATTGTTGAGAAGGCTAGTCGTGGCGTATAGTACCACTTGTACCGCCCAGCGACTCATTGGCACCGCCCTGCTCTTGAGTCTCCAGCCCACGAACGGGATCCCCCCCGTTGAAGATGTCTTTGGTGAAGAGGAGGGTGCTCGCTCCAGCTGCGCAGGCAATGCGAGCAGCATAGTAAAGAAGAATTGCAACAGCGTGATCAACGTCCCTAGCTGCGGTGCTTGACGAGTGGAGAGTTCGAGAAATACGGCATTACTGCAGCAACCGCCGAAGATGAGGGTCAGGAGGGGTAGCCATGCTGGGGCCAAGGTTGCAGCGAGCGTCGCGAGAGAGGGACGACGATCTTGTCCTGCTACTGCGGGCCTGCCATTGGCCTGCATGGTCACCATGCTGCGTGACGGCAGCAGAAGGGAGGAGATCTGCTCGAATGCACTGCTGGGAAGAAGTAAGAGACGTGGGAGGAAGGGCAAGTCGGGAGCAATGGGGCAAAAAGGTACAAAGTGTTGCTTTCGGCACGGCGGAACTGGACCTCGCTGCGCCTCCATTTCCTCGGCTCGTGCGAAGACGTCTTTCGTCTCTCTCTCCATCCCTCGCCATCTTCCCTCCCAACCTTCCTCACCAACACGATCACAAACTCGACATCCGCGGCTCTGCCGCATTACAAACAGCATGGCTTCTATTACCTCTTCGTTTCAAGTCCCTCCCACCAGCTCTGGCGGGCTCGACTCCCCCGCCACCTTCTTCCAGATCCTCACCGTCCAAACCCTGCACTACCTCACCCTCTCGATCCTCATCCCCCCACTCCTCTCCCTCTTCTCCGCCTCTCCTACGGCCCTCAACTTCGAAGGCGGTCCAGCACAAGTGGGCATGGTCCTGGACTGGCGCGAGTTGGGCGCGAGGCGGACGTTTGATTGGAGTCCACTCGGGGAGGATTTTTTGAGTTGGCGCAAAGGCGTGAGCAAGGAGGAGTTGTTGGGTGGGATGGATGAGGGGGATCGGGTTGCGGCAGCAAGCTGGAGGATGGGGAGCGTTTGGGTGGGCGATGTTGCGCAACAGGCTAGAAAGCCCGTCGTGATTGACGTGGGCAAGATACTGAGGGTGGGCGATGTCATTCCTCCCACGAGTCCGCAGGCAGCAGGCGAGGAGGTGGCAGAGCAACAAGCTGAGATGGCTGATGTGGCGGCTAGTGCGGCCACCGAGGCGGAGGGTGATGTGGAGCAGTGGGAATGGAAGATTTCGAGGGACCCGAGTAGGGGATGGGCAATCGCTGCGGCCTGGGCTGTCGCTTGTGGGGTTGAGTGAGTAGTCGCGGTCGCGTCCAGAAACGCAGTGTCCTGTTTACTGATCTCTCGCTCGTCTTCTTCCCCACACGCAGTGTCTTCCTCCTCACAACAGTAGTGCGTCGACCGAAGCACATCCTTGACCACGTCGTCACACTTCACCTGGTGCACCTGCTCCTCACATCCTGGTACTCCTCGAGCATCCCCACCTCCCTCTTCTGGTGGGGAGCCATGCTCGCCCATGCGACGGGTGCGGTCTTACTGGCGGAAAGGTACGCCATCAGGAGAGAGATGCAGAGCGAGGTGGGATATGGATTGGTGGGGAGTGGAAGGGAGGAGACTGGGCAGACAAGGGGAGAGACAGGGACCGAAGCAGCGCCGCACGTTCTGTTCGACGAGGCAGAGGACGATGAGGCTGGCGAGGGGACGGATGATGTACGCAAGCCGTTCATGGCGGCGCCATCGAGTGTCTTTGGTAGAGGAGCGAACGGCAGTGGTGGTGCGAATGGCCACAAGGGGTCCAGCGAGGAGATAGCCATGAAACCGCTCAAGAAGTAGCTGCGGGGCTACGAACGAAATACCACGTCATCTACAGCGTCATTTACAAGCAGTCATGGGATCAGGCGTCGAGTGTCGAGCGCAAATAAAAATCTGTTCGGGTGAGGAGCACGTGCGTGCCTCGGGGCAGCAGGAAGAGGAAGAGCAGGAGCAACGAGGTGGAGCGCACATGAGAGGGGAACATTGGGGGGAGAGAGCGGGAAGAAGTGAAGACTGTTCATCGAACATGCTTGCCGATCGTTGATGTCGTCCAGTCGTCTGAGCAAGGAGAGCTGCGTACGGAGCATTGTATGCCTTCCCGCGCTCATCCTCTGTCACAGGTCCTGGTAATGACTGATGATCCCGCCGTATGTCGTGCTCCTCGCCCCTACTCCAGCACGACCCCTCACCCACTCCTCATCGATTGTGATTACGCCCTTTTCCTTCTCACTAGCGCCTTCGCTGATCTGCGCAGCGGGAAGCAGCATTTTCCCGCCGACGATGCCCGCAGGACGACGTCGTTGCCCCTCACTCCCCCACACAGCCTTCTCCGCCGATGCGAGATTGACCTTGCTGTTGACGAGCAGGAGAGCCTCGGAGGACGAGGCAACGGCGGCGGCGGCAGTGATATCTTCAGAGGAGGCTGCGAAGGGGGGTGGTGGCGGAGCTGGCCTGGCAGCCATGGCCGCTGCGGTGCCTGGGGCGACGCGAAGCTTGGGTCGCGCCCCACCACGAGGAACGTTCTCATCGGTGAAAGGGTCTTCGTATCTTGCGCCATGGGCAGACTGCTCGAGAAGACTGGCTGTGGCTTCCTCGCCGTGCCCAGGCGCGTCGGCTGGCGCCAAGTCGCAAGAGGAGATCCCTCCTCGACCGGCGAGATGGTAGATCCCAGGCGAATTATTGTCGGGCAACAATGGCTGCCTGCTCGGCGAGGGCGAGGTGATCGGGGACGGAGAGGTGATAGGCGAAGGAGGAGTTGATGGAGCTGGCAAGTGCACCTCGAGCCTCGAAGGAGGGGAGCGCGGCGTCACCTTGGCCGGTGAGCCAGCAAAGGCGTCACTAGTCCTCGCGCTCGACACGGGTGAGAAGAGAGTCCCGTCGACAAGGTAGGAGCGTCTGCTGGGCGGGGTGCCGGCACTGTTTGATGCGAGAAGCTGAGAGAGGGAGGTATTACTGCTGCTCCTGTTGCTTTCGCCGCCGTTGGTGTGATTTTGAGCGCTGCCACTGCTGAGACCATACGTTGCCGCATCGTAGTTGCCATATGGTCCCAAGAATGGACCGCGAGGCCTTGCGCCTATTTCGTCGGCTCCAGCGAGGTGCCCGCTCGAGGATGACGTGGAGAGACTGCCGCTCTGGTACTCCTCCGCCGCGGAGTAGACGAAGGGGTTCTCTGCCACCGAACTCACACTGGCCCTTGCAGATGCTAGTCGTCCCACCCACTCCCCGCCGCGATGCCCCGTCCCGGGCAACTTCTCCGCTGGCGCAATGTAGGGGCTACCTCGGCTGTCGGGGTAAGGAGGCGCAGCGCTTGGTGGCGTGCATGGCGTGCCGAGCCAAGAGGGGGTGCGAGAGAGGATGCGCGGACCCTCAGCACTAGGCTTAGTGTCCTGGGTACGATCTTTCCCGCCAGTTCCACCAGAGCTGCTTCCCTCTGCACTCCCATGCCCACTGTGCGACGTCTCGCGAGAAGCAGGGCGCCACACCCATGCTCCCTTTGCGCTCACGACAGGTGGGGGAAGGCTAGGCCAGAGCTGCCCGGAGTCAAGAATGTCTTGCGGGCTCTTGCGTCGATTTTCGACGGGAGCAAAGGGTGGACGATATTGCTGAGAACCGCCCAGGCCGCCGAACGCACTGCTAGCGAAGGCTTGCGTTTGGTAAGGAGGATAGGGCGGCGTGTCGAAGCCACTACTTCCGCTCCCACCGGCACCGTAATCGAAGGCACGATACCTCGCCACTTGCGCCGCAGTTGCTGCTCCGCCCGTTTCTGCCATGCGCGTATCCAGGGAGCTCTCCGCCGAAGACCAGTCTGCGCGTGTGCTCGCTCGTCGAAACGAGTGGAGCATGTGTGGGCCTGGGATGTGCTGATCGTGGTAGAAGGCCATCTCTGGGTGCAATGTGCCACTCGAGCGGTGCGTGGCAGTGGCTGGATTGAGCAGCTGGCTTGAGACGGCGGTTCCTTCCGAGTCGACACGAACGCGTACATTCGGTGGTTGCATGATGGAGTGGCCGAATAGCGGGGACGCGACCATTGATGCTCTGCGGTCGGGGATGCAACGTGGGTCAGCTCAGCGTGCAAATGGCGATGATCAAGCTGCATGCCGGCTACGCACCTGTTCCTCTTCTTCTTGTTCGGCTTGAGCTTGCGGAACCAATACTTGAAAGGCAATTCGTCCCAGTACAGCATCGTCGCAGGCACGATGGTGAACATTGGCAAGAACCACACCCAGTTGATGTGCGTCATGTGAACGACAAAGTGCGCCAGGCCCGTGATCAGCGCAAGGTAGAAGATGACCAGGTGCCCCACATGCCAGGACTTTTGCCCAAACGACTCGCCACGACTACGTTCGGCGGAAGAGCGAGCTGAGGTGCCCCAGCTGGTCTTGCCCATGGTGGTCAGGGCGAGGAGCTTCGAGGGTAGCAAGCCAAAGAAGTAGAGCAACGGGTAGCCAGGGAAGAGGAGCATGCGCCAATCCTTGGAGATGATGCAGGCCAAGACCCCTTTGAGACCCGCAGTGGCGAACATGGTTCCTGCCCAGGTGCACAAACGCAGCCACGGCGTCTGGCCGTAAAGGATGTTGAAGACGGTGGCGAGGAGAATGAATGGGTACAGCCCCTGCTTCAACGTCTCCACGCCGAGCCAGATGTGGTGATAAGCAAAAGCGCGTGGAAACCAGATGGCCTCGCGGTAGAAGGACTTGGACCAGCGTGTCTGCTGGCGGATCCAGCGAATGAAGGTCGAGGGGCTCTCCGAATGGCAGCAGGTACGGTGAGTGTAGGCGGTTCGCAGTCCTTTTCCCAGCAAGCAATTGGTGAGGTGTCGATCATCTCCGAATGTAGTGTGGGTGCCGAGGAAGGTCTGGCAAAGCCACATGCCGATGATGGAGTCGAGATCATGGGCACGGTAGAGGGCCATTGGGCCTGAAATGCAGGTGACGCAGCGAAAGGTCGATTGGCAGGCGCGCTCGATATTGAAGGCCATCCAGTAGCGGAGGCGCGACTGCAGCGATATGAACGAGTCCTTCCTGTCGGGAGGGAGGGATTGAAGGTCAGAACTGTGACGGTCACGTCGGCGGACAGACACCCACCAATTTTCAATCTTGACGTCTGCGGTGACGGCGCCGTAGTTAGGGTCCGAATCGAGGAGGATCCACATCTCCTGGAGCGCGTTGGACTCGAGGAGCGTGTCCGAGTCGGTCGCAAAGACAGCTTCCGCGCCCAAGAACAAGCTGATGGCAAAGGCAGTAAACATGGCCGTCCGCTTGTCACCGTGCGGCTGCGTGTAGAGCGTACGGTAGCAGCGCGTGAGGTCTTCCTTTTCGTGCAGCCCGACCATGTGATAGTAGAGCGCCTTTCTCGCGTAAAGATGGGCGGCCGCCTCTTCAGGATACGGGATGCTTGTGAACCAGCGCTTGAATTTCGCCCAGCGTGAGCGTGGTTTCCAGCAGAGTGACTTGAGGCTGGCTGCAAAGGCGTCCTTGTAGACTGAGGCTAGCGTCGCCTCGAGGTGGATGATGCGACAATCCCGATCGGCGTACGCCTCTGCGAAACCGTGCGCCATCTCCATGTCGGGAGCATCGTTGCCGTCGACGCAGCACCTTGACGTGCGAGTCAGGAGAGAGACGTCAGCTTCGGTTCCCAGCCGCTTTGAGCGCGCGCGCACTCACACAATAGCCTGCGGCATCATCCTCTGCGCATCGAGCGTCCTCAGACATCGCTGCCACGCCTCTCCATCTTCTCGATATCCGACGGCGGTCATGATGATTCTTGGCGTCTTGGGAGTCACACCCGCCTCGATGAGTCGCTGTTCTCTATTCCTGGCCTTGTTTGCGATCTTGTTGACTCTGCGTCGATTGTATACCGCCGAGCTGAACTGCACGATGAAGTCTGTGGTGATAAAGAGAAAATAGAGACCGAACCCGAAGTTATCGATGTGGAAGACCTGCGAGCGAGCGGTGCGCGAGAGGCTGTTAGTATGGAAGTCCTATGCCGATGATGTGGGGCGTACCGCGCAAGCGCACCTTGAGACTGAGCGCGTAGCCGATGACGAGGGCCGTAACGACGTTGCTGGCCAGCATGACCTTGAGCGTGCCAAGGATAGGCCGCAGTTTAGGAGGCACACGGCCTAATGGCGCCGTTGTTTGCCACATCGTCGCTGGCGTTCAGGCGACCGAATAGGGGAGGGAGAGGGTAGAAGTCGTAAGGGAGGTCCACTTTCGCGTCGATGATACTATATGTGCCGCAACCGTATTCGTGAGGCGTCAAGTTCTCAGAGATGATGTGCAGCACGTACGTAGCCGTGGGTTGATAAAATAAAGAGCGTCGATGAGACGATGAAGCGAGGTGCCAACCGCCACTGCGAAGTAGACGGAGCAGAGGATACGGTCAAGGGTGGTGAGGGGGATGGCAGATGGTGACGATGGTGCTGCTGCTGCTGCCGCTGCTGCTGTGTCCCGTCGACAGGCGACGACGGCGAAAGCAAGAGCGAGCGACGACAACTGTCGGGCAGGGAGGGCCCTTGCTCTCATTACCTCCTCGTGGGCCCTGCACCGCCTCCGCCTACGCTGGCTGCCTCGACCTCGACGGATCTTGACTACTTTGGACCCTCCGTCTCTGAGTGCGTCGACGGCCATCTCCGCCTCCTCCTCGCCGTCATCGCCGTCATCGCCGTCACCCCATCGCGATCAGGGCCGCCTGTTGCCTTCCCACTCGGGGCGGTCCAGGGTCATCGCGGCCCGTCCCGCACCGCTTTTCTCGTGATGAACATCTCGTCCTCCCGTCTTTGGCCGTCTCAGCGCCGGTGCGATTCTGTTCAGATGTTTTCGATTAGGCGCCTTCGATGAGCTTGGCGACGGTCTAGCATCGCGCTGTTCGTCATCATTGCGATATGATTGTTGAGTGGAGATTTGAGGATCGAGAGTTGACGAGGAGGAGAGGAAGGGACGGAACTGGAGGTGCAGGGACGCGGAGACGGAGGCGGGAGCGGGAGCAGCGAGGGCGTCGGTCGCGCTCGCGTAGAGTGTCGGACGGGCGGCTGATGCTCCTCGCAGCCATTCCTTCGTTCCTTCCTTCCAAGCGCTCAACCTCGTCTCATCTCACGACAGCCGCCACGCAGGGTCGACAAGATGTCGAAAGCAGGTGGCGCCGCGGAAGAGGTGCCCGTGGCCTCGACGTCGGCTGCTGCCATCCAAAGGCCAAAGGAGTCTCGCAAGTTGCCCTTCCAGTATGCCGGCTTCTACCCGCCGCCTCCGCTCAACACCAAGTGTGAGCATGCTCGATACGAGCGAGTAGCTCATTCGCTGATACTGATCCTCTCTCTTGGCCGCCTCACCCGCAGACGTCTCGTCCTCGTTTCTAAAGACGGATCTCCAATCGGTCGCGGGCAGAATGCTGGCAAACGGTACGAGAACAGGAGGTGCCTCGTCTGGCAAGAACAAGCGCAAAGCTGAGGCGTACGATGATGACGAGGATGGAAGCGGGCAGGAAGACGAAGAAGAAGATGTGAGTGAGGGCGGCAGCCGCGAGACGATGTTGCAGAGCCTGACGATCTGCCGCTCCTCCTGTCCGCCTAGCAACAAACACCAGCATCGCAGACCATCATCATTCACCCTGGCTCGACGAGGATCAGAGTTGGGCTTGCAACGGACGTTGCTCCCGTCGAGTGGCCATGCATACTCGCACGGAGGCCTCGATTGGGCGCTCCTCCCATCACAGCGCCCACGCCAGCTGAACCGGCAGCCGAGGACAAGACGGAAGCTCGTGACGCAGATGGGAATGTAGAGATGAAGGAGGGAGGCGAGACGGCAGAGAGCAGCCAAGGAGAAGGAGGCTCGAAAGATCCAGTAAGCATCGCAAGATGGTGAGGAGGCCAAACTTCTCACGCTGATCCCCCCTTTCTCGCCCGCCGCCCGCGTAGCTGGACTCCCGCATCGGCCTCCTTCGCAACGAGCTCAAATCCATCATGCGCTTCATGAAGCTGCGTGGCGTCTCAAACGGCCGTGGCCTGGCAGCGCAGTACAATCTCAACGCAAAGGCAGAATCCATCCCCTCGCACAACGATTTGGGCGACGAGTGGACGCCAGAGAAGGGCAACGATGCGACGGAGGTGGAGCTTGGCGAGCGAGCCCTGAAGATTCCATCCCTCTCGCCTCCGCCGGGCTCTGCGCCACCCACGTCGACGCGACCTTGGAAGCTCTTCAGCCCCTTTAAGGCAGGCAAGCTCAACCATGCGGCTTACATTGAGGCGTATGGAACCACGGCGGAGCGCAGGTTGAGCGCGGACATTGCGCACCTCTTTTCGTCCATGCTCACCTCCCCGCGCGAGGACCTCGCCGCTCCGGGCAAGGTAGAAGAGGGGCGCGGTCACACGCTCAACGGGCTTGGCATCGCAAAGCAGGACCTGGCATCCCATTCTATCATCCTCATTGTCCCAGACCTATTCCCCAAGGACGACCTACGCTTGCTCGCCGAGGTCATCATGGACGACTTGGGCGTTTCGCAGCTCATCCTTCAGCAAGAGAGTACCGCTGCTACTTTTGGGGCTGGAATGAGCTCGGCCTGCGTCGTGCATGTAGGCGGTGAGCGTACCAGCATTGCGTGCGTGGACGATGGCCTTTTGCTCCAAGACACGCGCATGCACCTCGACTTTGGTGGCGAAGACATCACAGCTTTCCTCTACGAGCTGCTCAAGCGTGCCAATCTTGCGTATAGGGAGTGCGACCCGCGGGTGAGACTCTCGGACGTCAAAATACTCGAGGACCTCAAGCGCCAGATGATCACACTGGACGCGGCGCAGATCGGCTTGTACATTTACAACTTCTTCCTTCGCCTGCCCAACGCGCCGACGAAGAAGTTCGAAGTGCGCGTCTACGATGAGGCAATCCTGGCGCCTATGCTGTTGTTTGGGCTCGGCACGCGATTGGTCGACTTCGCCAGGAAGGAGGAGGGTAGGAGGGCGGAGGCGCATCTGACGAAGCTAATCGTGGATGCCGAGGAGGAGGACGAGCCCCCAAGCGTAGCAGCACCCACCGGCGCGGCGTACGCGAGTGACAAGAGGATGCCTGTGACCGCTGCGATGCTGCAAGCGGTGAGGCATCTATTCCCGCAAGTGGGCGGCGTAGCGACGACGGCGGAGGACGAGAAGGCGGCGGCAACGCAGCCAGCTGAGGAGAACAGCGTGGCACCAAGTCGGGACGCGAGCGTAGCACCAGGCATGGCTGCCGCTCCTTCCGACCAGGGCTCGGCCGCAGCTCCGAAGCCGATCATCAAGCCTCCACCTACAACGACGACGACCAGCAGCCTCATCGCAACCAGCGGCACCTCGACCTTTGGTGCGGTAGAACGCGCTCCTCCCGGCTTCGACCCGTTTCCCCCTTCCACGCAGCTACCCCTCGAAGTAGCCCTCTACCACTCGCTTGTCCTGTCAGGTAACCCCATTGCGCAAGGTCCCTTCCCTCAGGCGCCGACAGCAGGGCAAATGGCAAGCGCCACCGCCCAAGGAGAGGAGAGAGTGCGACGCCTTGCATCTAATATCTTGGTGGTGGGTGGGAGTGCAAGGATTGCGGGAATGGGTGGAGCAATTGAAGGCAGAGTAACGCCAACCTTTGAGAGAGAGTATGCGGCGCGCAATCAGAAGGCGCAGAGGGAGTATGCGGAAGCGCAGCAGAGGGTCGTGGAGCAGCAACAGAGGGCTGCGGCGGAGGATGTGCTGAAGGCGGCGGCTGCGGTTGGTGGTGAGGGAGACGCGGCGCCCGTAGCGGCAGCCAAGCTTCCGGCTACCCCAATTCCAGTACCCACAAACCTGGTGCCTCCGCCGATCAGCGTTATTCCTCCACCGCGGGACCTCGATCCTACTCTTTTGGCATGGAAGGGTATGGCCGTCCTTGCGCGACTGGACAGTGCGGCGGATATGTGGACGACGCAGGGCGAGTGGGCGCTGCTCGGGTGGAAGGCTGTGCGTGATAAGTGTGTGTTTTTGTAGGCCACGAGACGGGGGGGCATAGAATGAGAAGCTGGTCCTTGAGCTGCGTTTGATTGTGCGTCTCTCGTTGGCCCGTGCGGAGTTGCTTTGAAATGCCGCGAGGAAAACAGTGCGCCCCTTCGTCCGTCCGTCCTCGTTGCGTCTGCATTACATACACCGTCTCAACATCATCCCTCGACGATGGCGGACTCGTCCTCGCCATCGTCTGAACTGCCGCCCACTCCTCCAAGCAAGCGGCGCTCGACTCGCTCAATGTCACCACACAGGCTTTCGGCGTCCACGCGATCCCTCTTAGGCAACCCTGTCCATCTCCTCCCGGCAATCCGCACCACTTCCCACCTCTCCGCACTCGCCTTCTCTACCTTTCTGGTCGTGCACCTGGCTTCGCCCGTCGCCTCCGCTCTCCACACAGGCGTAAGGCTGCTAAGCGGCCATGCACTCAGCGACGCGGTGGAAGGGAGCACAGATGCGGCGAATGGGTACCTGCTGTTGGGCAGGGTTTGGTATCGGCCCGGGGCTGGAGAGTCAGCCAAGATTGGGTGGACAGAGAGTGTGATTGTGTGGGGTAGTCTGGCGGTGCATGTCGGGTGTGGCATTGCCAAGAGGGGAATACTGGTTGGAGAGCAGGTCAAGAGGCGGCGAAGGAGGAAGGCGAAGCGGGCGGGGCTGGATGGTGATATTGAGGGGCGGCAGCAGCAGGACCGAAAGCGAGATCAAGGATCCTCAAGCACAGAGTCAGAGGCAACGTCAACGTCACCATCACCGCCCTCATCATCCGCGTCATCCCTCCCATCGCCCTCCCTCCTCCACGCCCTCACCGGGCATCTCCTCGTCCTCCCCCTTTCAGCACACGTCCTCCTCACTCGCCTAGGTCCAGCAGTCCGCTCCCTCTCCGGCAGCGGCCGCAACATCGAAGTGGATCACACGCTGGTAGCGCACGGTCTCGTCTCAGAGTCAGGCACGCGCACAGCGGCGATGAGCTGGGCGGTACTCGTAGGCACGACTGCGCTATCGGCGTGGCATGTAGCGAGTGGGACGCATTTGATCGGGCAAAGCATGGCAGCGAAGAGTAAGGCGCGAAGGAGAAGGCAAGCTGCCGCCGCTGGTTTGCCAGATCCAGCTGCCTCTGCAGCTTCGCCTCCTCCTTCATCACGCCGCAAACAGCTCGCTCGGACAGCCCAGCCCGCTCTGCTTGGTAGCGCAGCCGTACTAGCGGGTGCGGCGTGTATAGCCACGGATTATGCGCATGGAGGAGGGCTTGCCGTGGGACCGTGGGTGAAGAGGAGATTTGATGAGGTCTATAGAGGGACTTGGCCGTGGAGTTCGTGAAGGGTAGAGCGGGAAATGGAAAGGTCCGTAGAGAGGTGTGGCAATTCGTGTGGTGGGAGTAGGTTCACAGACGAACCTTTGTGGGCAAGCGTGGCTTTGCCTCAGTAGCGCACCATCCTTCGCGGCACAAATAAGCAGAGACTGTGACGTCAAAGACTCATTCTGTAGTATTCTTCATAAAAGTGGGTTCTAGCCAGTCATCAACGAGTCGTGATGCGAGCTCAAGAAGTGACGAGCGGAGGAGTGGAAGGGAGGAGTGGACGCAACTTGCAAGCGAGGGCAGCGTCGCGCACACAGTCAGAGAGCCTGCGAACGACGCGATCCCTCCTCTCGGCCCCTCCTGCGTGAGCCGATGGGGCTCAGAACGGTTTGATCGAAATCACTATCGTCTTCCTCTCCTTCTCAGAGGCACGCGTACGATGTCAAAGTGGGTGAATTGATCGAGTTGATGTGAGGAAAGCATGGCGAGCTGCTCGCGGCTTGACGGTTAACTCTCTGCACCCGCGCCAGACTACTCGCTCACTCCTCTTTTCCTCTGTGAAACCAGTATGGGGCGCCTGCTCAGTGGGAGGAACTGTGGCAGCGCTGCACGCGAGGTGGGACGCTGAAGGGAATGAGCATCTGGCATTGGTCGCAGAGAAAGGCCGCCGATGGCAGTGGTCCCTTCTATCGCCCGACTCACGAGAGCCTCTTCACGGCACTTGCGCCTCAAGTCGGCATGCCGGACCCAGAGGCACTGCGTGTCAAGATGGCTGATCATGTTGGAGATGAGAAGAATCGAGGAGGCAAAGAGGTAGAGCCGCTGAAGGAGCAGTGGTTGTCCATCACGCGGGGGGGTACGCTTCCCGGGGTGAAGGTGCCTTTCTGGGAGAGGGGCGAAAATGGGCAGAAGGAGAGGGGCAAGGGCAAGGAGGTGAAGAGGGGCAAGTAGCTGTGGAAGGATACGGTAGTCGGCGTCAGTCAGGAAGGGCAGGGAGTCTTACGACGAGCCCCTTCACCGCAATCATCTCGTCATTTGGCCACCTCCTTGATCTCTTCCATGCACATCTAGTCTCAGCTCGCGGCGTTGCAGCGCCTTGCTGTCTTGCTGTTTGCTCTGCGCCTCGCCGTGCTATGCCAGTACCAGCAAAGTAGGCCAGCACTTTGTGTAGTCACTCAGGCCAAGAAGCAGACATCGTGACGATTGTAGCGGCGCGAGCTACGAAGGCGGGATCGATGAGATTGAATGTATTTGAGAGCTCTGAAAGAAATCCAGTCGACTGCTGTGCGAGCTGGACAAGACGCTGCCTGCCGTGAGAGAAGAGGGCTTTTGCTACAAGTATGAGGTCGTGGGCGAAGTGAGAGGCGAGGAGGGCCTAGTGGTATGAGGAGAAGGGACGCGCGTGCCTTGATCTAGGGATCTTGGCAGTCGAGAAGATCAGGGTCGTACAGTGGGTAGGCAGCTCTGCGCGGGCCATAGGGTTGAGAAAAGGATCGTGAGCAACGAGCTTGATCGAAATCAATTCTAGCAAGGCCAGAGTGCTCACACTCTGCCCAATGGTGTCTCCATATCTCGAAGCGAAAGATGCACGCGGCCACGCCGAAGATCCTGTGTAGTCGCTCGATGTCCCTCGTGGTCCCTTCGACTCCACTGTTCGGAAGGCCAATTGCATGGTGCTTGTCCTTGCCAATGAGACTGCCCAACGCATGACAGCTCATGCCATCGCGAAGCATGGACTCCTTGATCCTGTGCACGAGGTTGCTGCTCGAGACGGATGCGGGAATGATCACCCCGCCGCCAGGGCTGGTATCGTCGCTGAAAAGCTGCCGCAGCAGCATCATCAGCGCCATTAGCCGTGACGGCCGTTGTGGTGGCATCGTTGGCAGTGGATGTGCTGCTGGCATTGGTCGCGCTCTTGCCGTTCATTCCGAGGGTCTATCGAAGGCACTGGCAAAGACAGATGCGAAGGCAGTAGTGCTGACGGCACTTTGGCGGCGCCGCTGCCCGTCCGCAAGATTTGAGCGTTGTTGTGATCGATGCTTGAGCGAGACGTGAGAGGTAGAGCGGTGATGACAGAGTGACAACTGGCTCTTGCCCGTGTGAAGATATGTGTCAAGTCGCGAGTAGCGCGAGGCTGGACTTGTGAGTGGTTGAGAAGACGGCAGCCGCAGCAACATTACCCTTGAGCCATCGATGGCCGTCCCGTAACGCCCGGGCCGTAACGCCCGGCCCGCTCCGCGTCCTCTACATCCGCTCGGCCGAAGCAGGCTCGTCGACAAGGAGTGCCAGCGCGCCGCTTTGTTTTGCTTTTGCTCTTTCTCCATCGCCACAACTCTACGACCCAACTGCCCAAGACAACTGCCCAAGACAAGACCTCAGAAGACAAGACCTCAGCAAATCAGCTCACGATTAGCCCACGCTCAGGAGGTGCACATCTCCTGGGTGTGGGCTCCAGGCCACGCAGGAAACGCCCGCCGCTCACGCTGTAATCAACTGGTGCGTAGCGAAGCTGAGGGCTAATCAGCACGGCAGAAATGCCATCATCAGCACTTGCTCACCATACATTCTCTGCTTCTCCTTGCGTGATCCCAGTGATTCCTCTACGACCAGCACCAAAGACGCAAAGTATGCCACCAAGAAGAAGAATTCCAACAACGCCACCGACACTCGTCCTACCTCCTCACTCGAGGCCAAGCTCGGTCGTAGCTTCCTTGCCTCGCACGCAAGCAAGAGCTAGGACTTGAATACCGTCGATTCAAAGTGATAGATCAAGAGACGGCAAGTCGGGAAGGCACGCACACACTCAAGCCACAGAGACCAGACAGGGGTAGCGAAAGGGTCCAAGCGGCCTCTCTCCAATCGCTTCAAGTAACTTCGTTGTCACGCACCGACTGAGCAATGAGTCCTTGCCTCCTCACCTGTGCCACTACACTCGGGTGCAAGCGGCGTCCGCCAAGAAGGAGAACGAAGACAATCGAGGGCACCAGCCTGAACATCAAGGTACACACACGATTGGAGCCTTCAGCAATCCGTGGGTGGCTACTGTACCAACTAGAAGCCTCTCGCTCTCAGTTCAACGGCTTGCCCACTCCAGCTTGCTGCTACACGACGGTGTCGAAGTACTCGTGCTCCGATCACGCTACTCGGTCCCGGGGCGATGTAGACTTCCGGATTGACGCAAATCAGGCCAAGGACTCCGAGTGGCCAGCCCGCGTGGGCCGACCATTCACATTCTCAAAGACGGCGGAGGGGCTGGAGCATGCCCGCAAAGTTCTTGTCTTGCCCGTCGTCAAGGCCTTTACCATCGCTGGCATGCCGGGCACCTCAGCGCCCACTGCCCCACCTACCGCCCCCTCAGCACCCGCCACTTCGACCACCGCCGCGCTCGCACCGGCAACGGGGCAGCTGATGGGCTACCGTCCCGCCATCAGCGCGGAATTCATCAGCCAGCTCAAAGCCCAGGCAGTGCGCCTCGAGCTCTCCATCGCCGACCTCGGCGAGAAGATCAAGGAGGACAAGGAGCATGTCGTGGGTATCTTTGCCGGCCGCATCAAGCCTGGCCTGTCGCACCTCCAGTGCCTGGCCGATGCCCTCGACGTGCCATTCGAGGAGCTGAAGCAGCAATTTTGGCACTATGGGGAGCATGCCCAAGCACGCTCGCAAGCATCACCATGTCTTGTCTTGATTCGCATCTGTCCACCTAGCTGTCGTCTTCTCGTGTCAGCTTGCGCCAAAGCCCGCAATCGCAGCCATCATAGTCTAGTAGGCGGATCAAGTTCAATTTGGTCGGGCAAGGATGGCGGTGCGGTAGCGTCCTTCGCCCCGCCGCCTCTACGCCCTAGCCGGCCGAGATCAGCACCACTGGTTCGAGACCGGATGGTGGGAGAATCAAGCAGCGCTTCACTACGGAAAGGTCATTTTGTGGTCCTCCGCAGCAAGCACGCTACCGCCTTGGTGGATTCATCCTACTGCCCTTTGAGACCTCCAAGCTCATCGACCCTCAAACGCCGCAACTCTCTCGCGCCGCCAAGGCCTTCGAGGATATCGCTGCTGGGCAAGCAGGTGTCAAGCCAGCCGACTGGATGAGCAAGCTCTCCGCCGAGACGATCCGTCAGGCAGCGCAAGGTGCGTACAAGATGGCCACGCCTTTCGCCCTGGAGCTCGTGACGGTCCTCAACATGGGCCTCGTCGACGTCATCAAGGACGGGGAGTACTGGGAGGCGAGGCAGGGGTCATCGGCAAACAGCAAGCTGAGCATGGATGCGTCTGCTGAGGTGATGACGGCCGGTGTGGTCTACCTACGGGTCGAGATCATCAGCGGCAGGCTGGCGGGCATCTACGTCGGACGCACGGGCTGGGCTTGGTTTCGCCTCACCGAGCACATCGCAACGATCCTGTTCGATTACCTCAAAGATTCCCAGTATGCCTACCAGACGGCGAGGGCGGCGGACGTGGTCTTGACTTTCAATCTCTTCGAGGACAAGACCGCGGATAGGCACGACGCTGCAGCCTGGCCTACACGGGCGATCATCGAGGCAATTTGGGCCCTCCTCCTCGGCTCATACGACCGCAACGAGGAGTGTTGCTTAGTCAGGCGCCGCTACGGCCTGGTTGAGCTGGGAGAAGCTGTGCGTCGGTGCAACGGTGAGTCAATGGGCGAACAAGCAAGGCAGTAGGCGCCTTGCTGCATCTGCCACCACCGCTCAATGCGACAAGAACTGAGCTGACGCTGACTTTCTTCTTGCTGTGATCCCCGCACTCACAGGAACGCGCTGCTTCGAAGCGCCCGAAACGGGAATGCGCACGATGGCCTTGCACAACGTCCAAAGGAGGCTCCAGCTGTACCTCCATCAGATCCGTACGGCCGTCCCCAGCGCCAATGGCCGCAAGCACGCCCATTTTCTTGTGCTTTACCAGATAGGCCAAGACGTGCGATGCGGACTGACTGGTCTTTTGCTGGCAAGCGGCGCGTACATCAACGTCAACACGACCGGCCAGAATCCGTTCCTCTTCCCGATCGGAGGCAGGGGACGAAGGCAGGATGTCGCGAGGCTGAGAGACATCGCAAAGTCGGGCAGGTGGTCGTTCCGGCTGGTCGAGGGTGGCGAGACGTCTCTGCTGAGCATGGGCCCAGTTGACATGGCGCTTTACGGCAAACTGGCCCTGATTGGATCCTCGGCAGACAAGAAGCGATATGGCGACGAGGAGGTCGTCTTCTACTTCGACGCTGCTCCGATGGCCGTAGAGACGAGGCTTTTCTGGGAGCAAGTGCTGCTGATGCTCCCCGCCGAGAGCGCCGCTCACCGTCGTCGCGCTCATCGCGAGGCGGCCGATGCCGTCATCGCACGTCGAGCTGCCGACCATCACGCGCTCGACATCAGGGTCAGGCTGGCATGGGACGGCCTGTTGACCATGAGCACAGTCTCTGGCAACATCAGCCTCTTTGACGTGGTCGTGCCCACGCTGCGAGGCGGCGGCGGCGGCGGCCGCAGCGACACTGTGGTCACTCGTAGGCGGTCGATGCTCGGAGCGCTCCAGCAGGCTACAGGCGTCGGGCAGGGGGTGTCAGGGCGGGGTACGACGGCTGCTGTGCCGCTACAGCTGGATGTATGGGGCACAGGCGCAACATCGGGCATCGAAGGCGGGCGCAGCAACTGGACGTGGCGGGTCTTTGCCGCTGACCGCCACGAATGGGTCGACCAGCCGTATCAGATGGAGGTGTCCGGACTGGCAGTTGCGGTGCAGACCGAACCGCTCTTCCGCGTCTTCGGAGATCTGGAGCGGGTCTACGGCAGCGATCCCGCCCGTGCACCGACGCTCGCCTTCTTCCGCAGCATCCTTCGCCCGATCACGCTCACCAGCCCCGACCCTTTGCCCAACAAAGACGACGGCTACGGCAAAGCTTCCGTCACTTGGAAGCACGCGAAGGCCGGTGGAGCAGGCACGGAGACATTCAAGCTCGCATTCGACGAATCTGGGGTCTGCACAATCTTCGCCAATCAGCGACGCAGAGGGCGACATCATGTGGGCATCCTGGACGGCTGTCCGGACGGACGAGGCTCGCAACTTCTTCTCCGACCATAGGGCAGCGCTTGCTCATGTCAACTCGTGGATCCCTCGAGCTGCCCAGGAGTCGACCTCGCTCTCCTCACAGCCCTCTTTGCCTCCCTCTCAGCAACGACTCCGGATAGCTCTGACATCGTTGACTCTGCGTCCCTCTCACCACCACTTACGACTCAAACCGACATACAGCTCCTTCAAAATGACGAACAATCTTCGAAAGCGCAAGGCAGATGCTATTGCCCCCATCGCCGCCGAAGCCCGCGAGAAGAGGAAGAAGCCAACACCATCGATCATCGAGGGAGAAGTTGAGCTCGAGGAGGAGTCGTACTCTGGGAGTGAGTGCGAAGTGGACGACGATCTCATTGGCAGCGGGGACTGCCCATGGGATACCAACTATGACGACAACGACGAGCAGCACCACGAAGCAGGAGACGAGGCATCGCACAGCACGACACACCAGGGAAGGCAGGGCCAATCGCTCAAGAGGGACCGCAGCTTCACCGACCGGCAGCGTTCAAAAGCGGCTCTCTTGGCATTGGAGAGGTCCTTGACGGAGTGAGTCCCGCGGCCGTACAGCATTGCTTGACTTCCTTGGCAACTGACGCGACTACCTTCTGTGCACAGAATCCCTGGCAGTCGTACCCGTCGGGCGCCACTCAGCGGCGCAGGGCGAGATCATGAGGAGATTCTGGACGGCTGTCCGCTCGGGGGAGGCTCGCAGCTTCTTCTCCAGTCATAGCGCAGCGCTTGCTGATCCCGACTCGTGGATCCCTCAAGCTGCACAACGCCAAGACGGATGCCGAGAGGAAGCGCCTTGCAGGGGACATGACCTTTCGCTGGCCTTTCTCCGAGGCAGCCTGGGAAGTCTTCGGATACGAGCTGTCTAGGGAGGCCAAGGCACATCTGCAAGCCCGCTACTTGAAGAGGCACCCCGGTGCCAAGTACGGCGAGTTCAGAGCGCGCTTCAGAACGACCAACCACTACAGCATTGAGACAGAGCTGGCCATCTCCCTCTCTGAAGAGCGATTCGACTTGTACCGAGGCTTCGTCCTCGAGGCCACCAGAGCCGACGACGAAGACTTCAGCAACTGCGTCAAGGTCCACAACTACCGCGCCGAAGTCCCGGTCACATTCCAGCGCCTCTTGGACCGACTCTGGCGATGCCTTGATGCTCAAGAGCAAGAGGCACGCCTGGCAGCAAGGGATCACAGGGTAGCTCAACGCCAGCAAAGGCGTGCAGAGCTGCCACTCACCCCCTTTGCAGCCACTCGAGCAGAGTACGGCTCCTTGAAGCCTGTCGCGCAGCAACTCTTGGATGGGACGATCCCATTCATCAGCATTCCCACCCTCAAGCTAGGCAAGAGCGATGGCACCGACAAGACCAGAAAGAAGGTCGAGTTGAGGGTCGTGCGCGCTGCCAAGGCAGGAGAGGCGATGAGGAAGGAGTGCTCAAAGCGTTTGGGCTGGGGCAACAAGCTACATCCGAATCTACAAGTTCCCCAGACGTTCGGCCAGCTGCATGGCAGAGTCGCTTGGGAGAGAGCCGGATTAGGGAGGCAGCGGCGGCAGGCATGGCTGGCATCACGCCCATCGGCTCGGAGCTGCTCGCGGCTTTGCAGCGGGATGACCTGGCGAGCACAATCCTTCGAGGCGACTATTGGGCCTCAAGGCAAGCTCGCTCCATCAACGCTCGCGCTGCAAGGCAAGGAGGTCAGCAGCGGTGGTTGACGGCCGGCACGGTCTACCTGCGCGTCGATCTTGCGCGTCATCTGCTCACCAGCATCTACGTGGGCAGGACGGGGCACGCATTCTACCACTTCATTGAGCATTGGACCAACATCCTCCTTGCTCAAGACGGGAAGTGGGCATATCAGACGGCCCGCACAGCAGACACGGTCCTGACCTTCAGCATCTTTGAGGACCAATCTGCAAGTCGACATCAACGCCCGGCCTGGATCAACCGAGCCGTCGTTGATGGGCTCTGGACTCTCCTCCTGGCATCATACACCGCCAGCGACACCTACAACCCGCTGCGCGCCTCAGACGGTCTCCCACGCCTCGGCTGGGTCACCGGCTCAAATGGTGAGCAATGGATGCGCTCAAGTCGATGCGCTCCGCCTTGAGTGAGGAACTGACAGTAGATCTTGCTCGCTTTGCAGCCACGCCCTGCTTCGAGGCGCCCGAGGCGGCGTCGAAGCTGACCGACCTCGAGCGTGTGGGTGGTAGAATGGAGACCTACCACTCTCTGCTCCTCAGGGCACTTATTCTCGGACAAGGCCTTCAGCACGCAGCGGCTCTTGCTCGATTCCACGCGGCTCAAGAGGTGCACGATGCCGTCGTCTTGACTCCCCTTCGCGCTGGCCGCTTGCCCTACAACCGACGAAAAGGGCACAACCCAACGGGCATCTTTATGGGAGGCTACATCTCGGGCGAGGACCTCGACATCCTGGACCAAGAAGCAAAGTCTGGCCGATGGTTCTTCGAGCTGCGTGAGGGTAAAGTCTCCTCGCTCTACAACCTCTCCCTCCCCGATCGCGCTCTCTTTGCCGGCTTGGCCCTCGTGGCATACTCTGCGTGCCCCGAAGAGGACGGCTACGGAGAGGTGGTCCTCACGTGGGACGCAGCACCAATGGGGATCTGCCTGCGCCGTTTCTGGGATGGGCTGCTGGGCATGTTGCCTCCGGCAAGCATAGAGAGGAGACGCCAAGCTCACCGGGCTGTAGTGGATGGCATCATCGCCCAGCGCCACCCTCGCCACAATGAACTTTCGCTGAGGGCAAGACTCGGGTGGGACGGCCTCGGAATCTTGACGTAGACGGCAATCTGCTTTCCGGCGATGCCCTCGTGCCGACCATCCCACGGCAAGGAGCAAAGGAGCAGCAACTTCTGGAGGACCTTCGCCGACACTGCAACCTGGCGGCAGGTGCCAGAGGCCGACGGATGAAGGCCGGTGGCGCCACTGCTTTGGTTGCAGGAACGACGGAGATAGGCCCTGCTCGGCGGTGAAGGGAGGCGAGGCGTGGTGGGCGGCAGACGTGTGGCATGAGGAGCGAGAGGAGTGGATGGCGCCGCCGCACCAATTCTACCGGCCCTCGCGCAAGTTGGACAACGGCAGCAGATCTGAACCCCTCATGGATCTGTTCCGAGAATACGACTTGGTCTTCGGAGGCCGACGATCGGTGAAGGTGCCTAACCTCTTCGCCGTGCGCAACCGCAAGGTCAGCCTGTGCAACGAGCCTGCGGGAGAGGAGGCCTACGGTGCTGGCACCATGCGGATGACGGCAGGCGGTCGCGTGGAGTACTTGCACTTCTGCGAGGATGAGGTGCGGAAGCTCTTCGACTCGCCTTGGCAGGGCAAATATACGACTGGCCGTGCCCTTTTTACCCGCATCGACGGCACTGACGCTCAAGGACCTGTACGGAGAGTACGACACGCTCCTTGACAAGAAAGGCAGGCTTCCACCTGAGCACATCGCGTAACATATAACGCACGCCAGAGGAAGCCGGCGCCGTCTTGGATTGATGCGATCCTTGAAGCGCACAGGAAACAAGAAGACCTGTTTGATATAGCAGTGACAGAAAGCAAGTGCCATAATCGCCGCGAACAATACCATCTTTTTGCTACCTCACGAGCGTAACGACTCACCACTTCTGAGCATGCACAGCTTTGTGAGCTGAGTGATTGATGCCCGAGCTCGCGTCGAAGATGTGAGAGCACAACGAGGAGGGGGCAAGACATGTACGTCAGTCTTTGGTCAGTCAGATCCTCAGCGAGTCTTGGTTGGGTCTTTCGCTCTGTCGTGATACTGACAGGGCCTGGCAAGAGCTACGTCTGATGCTCTTGAGCAAGAAGGTAGCCCGGCGCAAGACGTGTGCGAGGACAACGCGCCGGGAGTGCGACACCACCGCCTAGCGTGACGCCGCGTGCAGCGGAGTTGAGCGCGGCACTCCGCCAAGCCACGAGCATGGCCTGGGTCAGCTGTGAATGCGGTCAGTCTGTTCGTGTGATCGTGTACCAGAGAAGGTCAGCAAGTTCACTTTCACGCCACATTAGTGATCGAAAAGTGGGTGAGACAGCCATGCTCGAAGACGTGCTCCCTCCGCTAAATTGGTTTCAGCCCCGCAGTCCCACTCAGCGGAGATTCAAAAACGCGGGGAAGCGAAGCGAGGCGCAACGCCCAGGAAGGTACAACATCTTGGGGAGGCGTTTAGAGCTCGGCGTGGCGCGGTGAAAGGCGACGCTGGAAGATCGTGGCGAGCAGTCAAAGCAATTGGTCGGGCCGAGTGCGCCGGTGAAGGGAGTCAGGACAAGTAATAGATTGCGGACGGAAAAGAATGCAATGGAAATGAAAGGGCTACGGGTGCGTAGTGAGAAGAAGTCGAAAAGGGTTGGCGAGTCTCAAAAGAATGTGGTGGGAAGGTAGAGATAGTGTTCGAGAAGGGGGTGTGGGTGCTGCGATTCGCAAGCTCAAAGCTCCCAGCGGCGCTGAGCGCCACAGACGGAGTTGGCGTACGAGCGAGCCTGCTCGCACAAGCTGGGGCACGAGTCTGAACCAGAACCAGCACCAGCTCCTGCGCCGTTGCCGCTTGAACCGCTGCCGTTCGAGCCGCTTGAACTCGAGCCGCTGCCGCCTTGCGATGAGCCGTTTCCGCCTGAGCCAGAGCCTCCATTGGAGCCCGAGCTGCCGCTCCCGGAGCCAGAGCCTCCGTTGGAGCCTGAGCTGCCGCCGCCGCCTGAAGACCCTCCTCCCGAGTTGCTGCCACCATTGCCTCCCTGTCCGCCATTACCACCAGATGAAGAGCCTCCCGTGTTGCCACCGTTCCCGCCGTTACCGCTGCCGTTCCCTCCCGGACGAGGGTGAGGGTGAGGGTGAGGGTGAGGGTGCGGGTGCGGGTGTCCGCCGTTGTTGTTGGTGCCGACTGGGACAATTGCCGTGGAGGTACCCGTGAAGGTCGCGGTGATGGAAGAGACCTCACCATCGGTCGTGGTGAGGCCAGTCGAGGTGCTCGTAAAAGTGGTCACAGAGGTTGAGGAGATGGTGGAAGGCTGTGCGCTCGTAGAAGGCGCGCCGCTTCCCGTAGACGCGATCGAGGAAGGAACGTTGCTTCCCGTAGAAGCCACAGAGGAGGGGACATTGCTGTTCGTGGAGACGCCCGTCTCGATGGGTCCAGAGGCGGTAGATGTGGCACTGGCCATGCCGGGACGGTCCAGGCAAACATGCACATCAGCCGCTGCGGCGACTTCGACGCAGATTTGGTCTGGGTCGCAGGTTGTGTCCCGCGCACACGATTGTGCCGCCGAAAGTGGTACACAGAATCCGCCAAGGCACGAGCCACTTTGACAGTCATCATCGGCTGAGCAAGTCAGCGTAAGTGGTCCAGTACCCAGCCCGACACAGACGTTGTCCAGACAGAGGAGGTTGTTACTGAAATAGACGCGTAGGAGGGTCAGCTGCGGCCAGGACGCTTCGTTTGTCTTGTCTCGCGTTCAACTCACCCACAGTCCGTCTGAGCGGAGCATCCGAGGCCAAGAGGGGGTACGACACCGCTGGGCAGGACCGAGTTGATGGCGCTGTTCGGCAGGATAGAAGAGACCTGGCTGGCAATCTGCGACGCCACGCTCTCCACGGGCGTCAAGACAGGACCCGCGGCGCTAGTAACCCTAGAGACAACTTGAGAGAGGTCTGAGGCCAGAGTGTTGAGAGGAGGCTCCGCTGCTGAGAGCACGGGCGAGGCCGCACTACCTACGTCGGATACGACGGAGCTCACGATCGAGATGGGTGCCGAGGCTGCAGAAGTGACAACGCTGAGTACGCTGCTCAAGGCGCTGGCCCCATCGCCTACAGCAGAGTTGACCGCACTGAGGACGGGATCAAGGGGCGAGTCGTCAAGCTGACGCTTCATGTGAGGTACGCGAGCGGCCTCTGCCTGGGTGATGGCCACGAGGGCGATGGTGTAGAGGGCAAGCTTCATGGTGGGCGGAGACGGGTGGGAGAAGAGGAGGGGCGGGGAGGAGTTGATGAGGGACAATCAAATGGGGGCATGAACACCCGCGTTCTTATAGCGTTTCGTCGTGAGATGTCTTGCTTCGACTTGATTGCTTGGGGCGAAAGCGCTGGACGCTGGGGACCAGGGCCTCTCCTGGACAATGAGGCAGCCTGCTCACCTCGGCGTGCCCGTGAGACCCGTGTCACGCCTCTGCCCCCTCAAGGACACCAAAGTGTCCTTTTCTTGCTACTTCACGCCGCATTCGTGGAACAATCATCGAGGGTGGCTCTCACGTCCTTGCAGAAAGGAGGGGTGGTGAGTGATTGATATGCCACGGTGACCGCGAGCAAAGACCTCGTTCTCGGCGTCGAGCGGCTCCCGCGTTCCTGGCTGATTCCCCGTCCGACTACACCCTCATGGATGTGAGACATCGTGGCAGCACAGTCTTGTTAGCGAGCGGCGACGCAAGTGCTCGACGACATCGACGTTGCCCAGCTGCAAAGGCAATTACTGGGGTGAGTGAGACTGCGCATTCAAGGCCCGCCGACTTTGCGGGGCGGGCGCGCGAAAGAGGGCGGAGTCGTGAGCGAGGGTGAGATCCACTGGGCTGAATCGGAGGGATACAAGCAGCACGGTTTCTCCGCCGAGGTTAACAAGCATCGCTCGGCACTTGCTTGCACTCGCCTTCTATTGCGTCTTGTCACCACCTGATGTCGCACTGGACGTGTGGCTGCAAGACAAGCGCGCGTGAAGCCTAGAAGTCTCTGTGCTGGACCGAGGCGCTGCCAACAAGCAGTCAGAACGCACAAAGACAGCTCTCACGGTAAAGCGCATTCATTGAGGGCGCACAAGGGCGCGCGAGGGCGAATCTATGCCGGGTCAGCTCATTAAGCTCCTTGCGCGCGCGCGGCGCTGCTGCCGATGATTTGTGCGCCGGGAAGGCGAGCACTAAGTGCTTGAAGGTGGGAACCAGACTTCTTCGGCGAAGGATTCCACAAAACCTTGAATACTGGAAACAGGCAGTCTCGGGACCTGACAACCTTGCTTCTTCGGCTTCGATTCGGTCAGGCCTGGACAGAGAGCAAGGTACAGCAATCGCTGGATGCTTAGCCGAAAGAAGCTCGATCGGGGATCCTTTGACCCTGCCGAGGTTCCCTATGCGTGGGAAATTGCGGGCGCATCGGGCGTGCGCGCTGCGACGCGTCAGCGTGGCGACTTGATCAATGCGATACGTTTGCCGTCGTCATCATCAGCGTCGACGTCACACAAATCATATTGCTACTCGCTCATGGCCGCGATCTCTCTCTTCCATCACCTTGGTCGCCGATGAAGAGCGCGGTGACAGCGAGAAGTTGGGGCGGGCCCATTGGTCGTCATGTGGAGTCAAGTCTGACCGAGGTATCATGCAGGGATGTGCAGGTAAAAGCTTGTATTGACTCTCCGCAAATCTAATTCTTATCGAGTCTAAGCAGGAGGGTAAAAAGCAATATAACGAATTGCAGCGGAGGCCGCCCAAGGAAGGCGAAGATGAAGATGAACAGTGGATGTCACGGCACAAAGGCAGGTAGCGCGAAAGGGTGAAAAGAGCGTCGATAAAGTTGGGGGACCCGAGGCAGAAGAAGAGAGCAGTAAAATGTCCAGAGAGAGGGCGAACTAATCAACTTAGTTGCCGCAGATGCTGTCGGCCAGCGCTCGGACGGCTTGGCACATCTGCGAGGACGACGACGAGCCGGAGCTGCCCTTGTTGCCGTTGGACGAAGAGCCCGAGTTGCCCTTGTGGCCAGACGACGACGAGCCGGAGCCGCTGTGGCTAGACGAGCCGTTTCCTGAGCTGCCAGAGTTGTGGTGAGGGTGCGCGTGGTGGTTCTTGGACGGGTGCGAGTTGCTACCGCTGCCGTTGTTGCCAGAGTGGGGGTGAGTGCCGTGCGAGGGGCGAGGGTGTGGGTGAGATCCACGGCTGGCCGATGGGTGCGGGTGAGGGTGAGGGTGAGGGTGAGGGTGGGGGTGCCCGTTGCCGCCGGCACCAGCTCCTCCGGTAGACGAAGGGCCCTCTACAGTCACGGTCGAGGTAACTACGTCAGTGGTCGTGACAGGTTGAACCTCAGAAGCCATGGAGGCGCCAGAGCCTGATGGGGCGGCCGTTGTAACGAAAGTCGTCGTAAATGTAGTTGTGAAAGTCGTCACGGAGGGCTGCGCCGAGCTGACAGCACCCGTAGAAGAGGCGCCACCGGCAGCGGGGTTAGCCAGGCAGACGGCGTCATCGTCGGCGGTTCCGTAGGCGAAGCACAGCTCGTCGGCAGCGCAGTCATTTTGCGTGTCGTTGCACTCGGAGAGCACGGCGCCAACACAGTAGCCCTCGACGCAGGTGTCGCCGTTGGAGCACTGAGCGCTGGTCGAGCAAGTCTGGTCGAGCGTGCCTTGGCCGAGGGGAGTGCAGATGCCCTTGTTGCAGAGGAGCGAGGAGCCGCAGTCGGTCTGAGCGGAGCACTGGTCACCGGCAGCGGGAGCACCAGTGGGGAGCGTGGTGGGCAGGACCGAAGAGGGGACGACCGACGAGGGGATCGAGATGCTGGGCACCTGAGAGGGGACCGAGACGCTGGGGACATCCGAGGGGTTGGCGATGCTGCTGATGATCGACGAGATGCCAGTGGGCAGGGCGGTAGGGGCGCCAGAGATGGAGGGTGCCGCAGTGGGGATGGCGCTCTCGATCTCGCTAGCGCCAGAGGCGATGACGGACGAGGCCTGGCTGACGATCGAGCTGATCAGAGAAGTGGGGATGGGTCCGTCGGTGATCTGGGATACAACGGACGAGATCTGCGACTCGACGGCGCTCTCAATGGAAGAGATGAGCGACGTAGGGATGGGCTCCTGCGAGGCGATGGAGCTAAGGATCGAGGAGACGTCCCCGGCGACGGATGAGGCCTGCGAGGCGATCTCTGACGCAATCGACGTGGGGTTAGGAAGAGCGCTGGCCTCTCCCGAAGCGATGGAGCTGATGATGCTCGAAGCCTCGCCGGCTCCCGAGCTCGCAGCGCTCTCGATGGCGGAGGCTACGGACGACGGGTTGGCGGGGGCATCGCTGAAGATTGAAGATACCAGCGAGGTAGCCTGGCTTGCAACGGAGCTTGCAATGGACTCGACCTGAGAGATGATGCTGGTGGGGACCGGGCCCTGATCGCTGATCACCGAGGAGATGATGCTGGACGCATCGCCCGCGACGGAGCTGGCTGCAGACTCGATGGCTGAGATGACGGACGTAGGGTTAGGGTCCGGGATGCCATCGCTGAAGATCGAGGAGACGATGGAGGTCCCCTGGCTCTCGATTGAGCTCGCAATGGACTCGACTTGGCTGATGATGCTCGTCGGGAGAGGGCCTTGGTCGCTGGCCACACTTGAGATGATCGACGAAGCGTCGCCTTGCACAGAGCTGATGACGCTCTTGATCTCGCTCACAATGCTGGTGGGGAGGACCGACGGGCCAGCGCTCTCCAAAGAGGAAACGATGGACGCAATGGGCGCATCGGTCAGGATCGACTCAATGGCCGAGGGAAGACCCGAGGGGCTCTCGCTGACCACGCTCTCGATGACGGAGGCGATGCTCTCGATGGGGGGGTTCACGGGGTCCTCGGGGAGGGCCTGGCGGCGGTACATCCAGGGGACGTGAGCGGCGTTGGCCTGGCTGATGGCCAAGAGGGCAAAGGCAAGGAGGTAGGACTTGTTCATCTTGATGGGCGGCCTAGGGGAGGGGAAGGGGCGGGAGAGGAGGAGGACGGATTGGAGAGGGATGAGGAGAAGACGATGGGTGGTCTCACCTCGTCCTCCTTTTATCTCCTTGTGACGGTCAGAGTGGGAGGGTGTTGTGGGGGCGTGGCTGCTCAAGCTCACGCGCTTCGTCCGCATCCATGGAATGCTTCCACTTCGACTGCTGAGGAAAGAGAACCCTCATTGGTGCTGGCAAACGTAGAGCTTGTCAATGGCTACCTCGATCAACCTGAAACAAATTGACAGCGAGGCTTGACAGTCGTGACGGCCGGATGGTATCGCACCGCACTCGTCGCGCCGCCGCACTCGTCGTCGAGACCCTAACTTCAATTTCCGACTAGCTCAGATTCCTACGAAGCCTAAAGCCGTAGACCCACCTTTTTGTTCATGCTCCGACAGAAGATCCGCTCGACTGCCCGACCGTGCGCACACGCGCGCTTTTCCGCGTGGTACAACGGCGAGCTGACCAAGAGGTGTGCAAGCACTTCGGTGAGGAGTCACCATCACTCGCTGAAGTCGCTTTCCTTACCACCGCTTGGTAGGCGACCGCGATGCTTGTTACTCCCGTCCTCGGCCCGCCCTGCGTTCGCTGTACGTGAGGCACGCATGGTGCTCCCAACAATCAACCTTCGCTCGGCTCGGCGGTGTCAACGAAGCTTCGCTTGGCTCGAGGCGGCATCGAACATCTCGTGGTCTTCACCACCTGAGTTAATTTGTGGAATCGACGAATCAGAAAAAGACTGCCATTGGTCGACACGCAGCGGGATCCGCGAGCTCCACGAGCTTGTGTTCGCTGCCTCGAAAGGTTCGCTGCCGACTCGTCACCCCCTTGGCGACGTCGTGCCGACTTACGTAGCGACGAACCTTGACCATCGCAGCAACAAACCTTGTTGGCGAGTGACCCTCCTGTCGTGCCTGCTTAGGCGACCAAAGAAGCTCAGGACGTCAATGCGGGAGACGAGGCGACGTCAAGCCACCGAGAAAGTTTCTTGCGCATTGCTAGCAAGCTATCGTGGATGTCGCTGCCCTTGCTTGGCCCTCGACACTGAAGCTTGAGGACCGCATCGTTGCGTGAGTGGTACGCGGTTTGCGGGGAACGAGATGCGGCGACGGACTCGTGGTGAGAGAGTGTTAGCTGACCTCAGGCCACCTGCCCATCTGTGTGCAGCACGAGGAGTGCGGAGATTGCGCGGAGATCGCGCGGAGTCCGCGGCGGAGAGCGGAGTGTGGGATGGATTTGATCGATTCATTCGGCCTCGACTCGGGCGACGCTACAACTTCTCCGCCGCGGAATCCTCCTCAATGCGGTCGAGAGGAATGACCTACTCTCGCGCTTGGTCTCGCGCTTGGTCTCGCGTGGCCGGTAAGCTATAGGCTTCGAAGTGGGTCCCGTCTCACATCGTTCGCCAAGCCCATCGCGTGGGTGGAATGTTCGTCGTCGGACGGCGACCAGACGTTAAGCTTCTTATGAGACGTCGTTTTGAGCTTCTTCTGTCGCGTGGGGACATAGCAAAGGGCGGGGCGATAGCTACGTTAGCTCGCAAGGATCTGGCTGACTTCCATTCGTGGAAATCGGCGTTCTCTCCAGCCCACCACCTCGGCATGTTACCATGTCGAGAGGAAGGCGAATGTGGCCGGAACGGGAGCAAACGGCGCCTTCCCAACCACGTGGTGATGGTCACCCCGCATGGCCCGTGCGAATTTGGTTCGACGGCGATCACGCAAGCAACCGCTCGCCTCGCGTTGTTCTCGCCGCCGTGGTGACCTGATCGCGAAGCATTGCGAGATGGAACACGTTTCGCCGTGTGCCGGGTCCGTGGTAGTCATTCTCGACTGTTGAATTCTGTCTTGCACCTTCTCAATCCAACCATATTCTCTTGCGCCCTCCTTTTGCGATGCCTGTAGCACCATCAGCCTCGACGGTCCTCGTCACCGGCGCCTCCGGTTACATCGCCGTGCACGTCGTTCACCAAGCGCTCAAGGCTGGCTTCAATGTCGTCGGAACTGTTCGCTCCGAAGAAAAGGGCAGGTACCTCGAGCAGCTCTTCGCCAAGCAGTACCCGGGCAAGTTCAGACATGCCATTGTCGCTGACATCGAGCAGCCGGGAGGATTTGACGAGGCGGTCAAGGGTGTGCAGGCCGTCCTCCACACCGCATCGCCATTCCACTTCAATTCCGAGGGCAAGGCGCTCGACGCTCTCGTAAACCCCGCGGTCAACGGCACCAAGTCCGTTCTCAAGAGCATCAAAGACCATGGCACCGAGGTCAAGCGTGTCGTCCTCACGTCATCGTTCGCCGCCATCCTTGACCCGTCCAACAAGACGCCGAAGGAGTACACCGAAAAGGACTGGAACGAGTCCAGCCCGGCTAACAGCGCAAAAGAGGGCAACAGCCAGAACCCAATGGACGCGTACCGCGCCTCCAAGTCCATGGCAGAGCGCGCTGCATGGGACTTCGTCGAGCAGGTCCGTGTAGCCCCCGGCTAGCTTGCTTGGTCACCTACGCTGACATTACACCCCCGTCTCTTTGCAGGAGCAACCACAATGGGACCTCGCAACCATCAACCCGCCCTTTGTCCTCGGGCCCGTCCTCCACCAAGTCAACTCGCCAGACTCCCTCAACACGTCAGTCGCCAGCATCTGGAAGCTCATTCAAGGTACTGGCAAGACCGAGCAAGACCTTCCCGGGCCGGCAGGCTGCGTCGTTGACGTACGCGATGTGGCTGCGGCTCACATCAAGGCACTTCAGGTCGCCGATGCGGGTGGGGAGCGCTTCGCCCCAACCATTGGCCAGTGGACTTGGCAGAATGTCGTCGACATCGTGCATGACGCGAGCTGGATCCCCGGAGAGTACAAGGACAAGGTGCCCAAGGGAAAGCGTGGCAACTACGACGTCAAGCAGAATGATTTGTCCGGTGCCAAGACGGAAAAGGTTCTCGGCGTCGAGTATCACTCGCTCAAGAGTACCATTGAGAGTGGGTACGCGGCGCGACATGTGGCGAGGAGATCGCTGCTGACCCCCGTCACCCATTCTCCTGCGCAGCCACCGTCGGATCGCTCCTCGAGTACCAGGCGCGCGACTGGCAAGGCGCCCCCGCTCTCCCCGCCGTGTAGGTGTCTGTGCACCGTATCATGCAATACTTCATGCCTCTCACATTCTCTCATCCCGCTTGCCTGAATACCCGCGCATGCTGATCGCCCCACGTACAGCGACATCGACCTTCCTCCCTGGATCCCTCCCAAGCAGACTAGCGAGTCCGGCCTCGAGTGGGCGCCCCTACACACCCTCGACCTGAGCCGCGTCACGATAGAAGGCGACCACACGCACGTACCTGAGGATGTGGTGCGCGATGTAGGCCAGGCATTTAACACGATCGGCTTCATTTATGCCGTGGACCACGGACTGACCTATGGCGAGCTGCTCAGGCAATTTGCGATTGGACAGTACCTCCTCAACAACGTGTCAGACGAGGACAAGGAGAAATTCCGCGCGAGAATTCGCGAAGACGGCTCCTTTGTCGGATACAAGCAGCAGGGCAAGTGGCAGCTTGATGGTGTGCTTGACCGCGTAGAGCAGTGTGAGTGCGCGCAGCGGAGGTCGAGTCATGGCATTGAAGTTGGTGCTGACACCACGCACCGCGTTCAGGCAACTTCGGCTCCAAGTCCTTCCAACCGTCGATCGCGTCCAAGACCTTCCCGCCCTCCGTCCAACCCTTCATTCCCGAGATCTTGGCCTTTGCCCGCTTCAATCACGCAGTCATTTACCGCAAGCTCCTCGCCGTCTTTTCGCGCATTCTCGATCTCGACTCCGAGTTCCTCTGGAACCTCTCGCAGAACCCCGAGGAGCGTGGCCTCGACCTCCTGAGGTACGCGCTGTACCACAAGCCGAGCCAGGCGGATGACGATAAGCTCGGCGGCGTGCGTCTGAACAGCCACACGGACTTTGACTCCGTCTCGATCCTCTGGAGTCAGCCCATCACCTCGTTGGAGGTCCTCATGCCAGACAACCAATGGCGACTCGTAAAGCATCGCCCCAACGCTCTAGTTATCAATGCGGGCGACGCGCTCGCTTTCGTCTCGGGCGAATACATCAAAGCGACAATTCACCGCGTTGTCAAGCCTCCGCAGGACCAGGCTTCCTACCCACGTCTCGGCGCATTCTACTTTGCCTTCTTCAACGAGGACACCCCGCTCTCTCCTCTCACGCAGTCCCCCGTCGTGCAGAAGGCTCTCGCGGGACGACAGGGCAAGCCGTTCTGGCCTGCCGAGGTGCCAACTTCGGGCAAGTGGGAGCAATTGCGCGTTAAAGCGTACGGTGCTGGCGGGGAGAAGAAGGGAGAGGACGGACACACGCACGAGGAGTTGGCGGGGAGGAAGGTGACGTACCATCAGGGTCAGACTGTTCAGGCGAGGAGGCAGGCGCAGGTTGCCTAGTGCGCGAGGCGTGCGATCACACCATTTCGTCCTTGAATAGAATACTTTGTGCTTGAGCGATGCAGCTAGCTCGAGGTCATGGCCGCGTGGGCGCATGGCGCGTGGCGTGTGAATCCCTTCTCGCCCCTCTCGCCCCCACTCGCCCCTCTCGGCAATCGGCCCGAGTCGAAGAAGCTCAATCGCTCTTCCAATTGCCGGACGCGGGGCGCGTCAGCTCGCTCGCCGTGGCATCTCGTCGTGTCTCGCCCGCTACTCCACCTTCTTGTCCTCCCTTCCATCACAGCACCACGATATCGTCACAATGGTCACCACGCGTCGCCAACAAGCCTCAACGGGCGGTCCCTCCACGGGCTCACCGCTCGGCCCCACCCCTCCCGCATTCGAAGGGGCAGTCACCCACATGAATGCGGACCACCGGGCCCACCTTTCCTGCATCGTTTCGCATCACCTCTCCCTGCCTGGCCCTCCGAGCTACGTGAAGCTGGTACGAATGGATGAAGCGGGGTTGGAAGTCGAGTACGAGGAGGCGGAAAGCTTTTGGAGGAAGCCCGTCAGGCGAGGGGTCAGGATTGGGTGGGAGGAAGTAGGAGGTAGTACGATTGAGACGGGCAGCCAGGCGAGGCCGCTGTTGGTCAAGATGACGAGGGAGGCGCAAGAGGGTTTGACGGGACGCAAGAGAAAGGTGAGTGCGGGCGGCGGATGTCAATGGTGCTGCAAACTCGGCTGATGTATCCGCCTCTTCGCTCGCGCAGCCCCCAATCCGCTACTCGCTCCCACCCGAGGTCCCAGGCGCACTCATCCTCTTCGCCGTCCTGCACTACCTCTCAACCACCCACCCGCTCACTCACCTCCCCGAGCCTATCCTCTCGTCCATCTATATTCCCCTGCGCAAGGCACTGCGCCTCGAGACGTCCATCCCGTTCCTGCTGCGCTGGGTCGCCTACGCGCATGTCGCCGAGTTCTTCCTGATGCTCGGGCTGGTGCTAGGCAAGAGGGAAGGGCGCGTAGGGGCTGCGCTGGCTTGGGCAGTCAGTACTCTACCTGTAGGCTTCCCGACTTTCCAGCGATTCAGCAAGCTGAACCCGACTTGGAAGCTCGACGAGGGAAAGAAGGAGCACTAGCCGGGCGAAGGGTCATGACAGATAGCTAGTTGGATTGCTTCGTATAATACACATGTACAGGACACCGCACATCTCTCGCCCGCTCACCTGCCCCTCTCCCCAATACTCAGCCAAGAGCGGAACGCCCGCAACTTGGCCTCGCTCGCACCCTTTATGCCTACATTCATGCCCAATGTGGCATTCCCACCCGAAGCGAGGGAAGCGTAGTTGAGGAGGATTGGATCCACTTCATCTGCTCCGGCGACTGCGCTCGCGGCTTGGTGCTGTGATGCGTTCTCGGCGCCGCGCATCGCCATCAGCCGTCTTCGAGGACTGTCGTGCGGCGCTTCCCCCGCGCCTGCACCCGTACCCGCCGCATCGTAAGTCGCAGTACCGGCCGCCAACACCGGGCACGTCCCTCGCCTCACAGCTTTGACATACACCTCGACATCCGCGTCCGCCAAGTGCACGTCCCCGCGCTTAGCCCCTACAGTCCGAACCTCGAGGGGTGTCTCCCCCCACATACCTGCACCAGCGGAAGCGTCCAGCGTCAGATCGCCCGTGAACTGCTCGAGCCACAGAGCGTACTCGCGCGCCTCACTGGGCGCTACGGTTGGATGCGTCGAGGACTCGAGGAGGGTCTCAACTGGCTGGTGCGCTTGCGTCGAGGGAACAAAGGGGTTCGTCCAGCCGCCGATGCCGGCGGGGCCAGCCGAGGCGCTGCTGGCTGGACCCTTGCTCGCGAGTGAGGCAGCCTTGTCATTGCTCGAGGTTGTAGAGGAGGTTGCGCCGGCTTCTGGTTCGCCAGCGGCACCCATACCAGAGGCGCGTCTCTGACCCCTCTGTCCACTCAGTGGAGATGCCTCGCCCACGCGTCGCCCATTATTCAAACTCATCCACCTCCTCACACCTCCAATCAGCGCCTTCGGATCGCCTGCAGCTGAAATCGCTGTAGCCGTGGGCGCGCTTGACCCCACCGCGGTCGAGCTGCTGTCCCACGTAGTCGATGCGCTTGACGATCCACCAGACGCGAAAGACGACCCGGACGTCGACCGTAGCCTCTGAGCTGCCCTCGAAGTCGGCTTGGCGGGGGAAGAGGGCGTACGACGATGCCCGACCGCATTTGACCCTAATCGTCCCTGTTGCGCGGGCGCCAAGCGAGAAGTAAAGGGAGAAGTGACGAGAATAGCCGCGTCCGTCGGACCTACGCCGCCATGACTGCTTCCTCCTGCCACGGTCCCGCCAGACCCTGAGCCAGGTCGAGCGGTGGAGAGTGTGGCCATGCTTGAAATGCTGTCCTTCTTCGAGCGATGACCAGGAGCACTGCCGCCAGAGAAGCTGCCGCTCGCCCTACCCGTCAATGACGGGCTACTCGTCCGCCCCTCGTCATCCCGCTCGCTGGTCGGAGCCGTCACCACCAGCCCCACGGGCTGATGCTGCATGACCGCGGTCATCTTGAATGCATGGTGTCGCATCAAGTCGGTGAAGAGTCTCGGTCGGTAGTACTCCGCCCAGAACCCCTCCTGCCTACGCACCACCTCGTGCAGTCGCGCAACACGCTCCGCCGTGGCTTCTATTCGTTCAACGTGGCGCGGTGTGTACCAGGCTTGGTAGTCTCGCCTATTGGCCTGACGACGACGTGGTCGATACAGCTGTTGATCACTGGGGTTCGCACGACGCGTCGCCTGGCCACTCGGGGCGACGGTGAATTCGTCAATCCCAAGAAATAGGTTGATAGCCGCTTGCTTGTCTGCATCCACAAACGAGTTGGCGTAGTAGCGCTTCAGTCCCTCGAGCATATCGCGAGAGTGGCTCGTCCACTGGTTGATCTTGCGGTACGTCTCCATCGTGTTGACCAGGTGGGAACCGCCATACTGCAGCGCAATGGTGTCGCCGAGGTCGTGGTACATCTCCGTCAGCATGTCGACGGCGTCTGAGTCGAAGGGAAGGGCGGGATGTTCGAGGAGCCCGAGGGCGTGAAGTTGGTGCCCCAGGGCCGCCTTGCCTATGACGAATTGGGCGGCATTGGTACGGTCCAGACAGTCTACGCAGTTCACGCGTGCTACGCCCGTCTGTGTGAGGATCGTCTGCCTGCGTGGGTGTCTCGTCGTAGAACCATCCGAACCCGCTTCAGCTGCTGGCGCATACTCGAATCGCGTCGGCTCAGGTCCAGAATGAAAGAACCCAGTCCTCTCAATCGTCTCTTCAGCTATATCCTCCAGTATCCCAATGACATCCTGATCGTGTGACTTGCTCGCCCGACTCATGTCCCAGGCGATGTAGACCATCTTCTTGTCGTCGGGGAGGAACTGATTGAGATAAGCGACGCACTCCCCAAAGGCCTTCAGGAGCTTGGTCTCGCGCGGCGTCTTTTCGCGTGATTTGATGAGATTCAGGATGATGAGAGGCGAGCCATACCGGGCGAACATGTCGTCCTGATAGGGAGGTGTCGGGTCAGCGAGACCTTCGGTCACGCAAGCTCGTCGCGCTAGTACCCACGAAATGGAGCGCTGCGCTCGAGTAGAATGGGTCAGCGACGGGTATCTCGATCGGCGGTCTAGGCGACATGTTTGTGCTATCCTGCGTCCAAAAGATGGGTATAGAGCCGCGGTGCATGACGTAGGATGTAAAGCGCGGATTGGCAGCGTAGCAGTGGGCATGCTCCGCAGCGTAGAAAGGCGTGGTCAGGGCTTCGCTGACGATCTGCTCCGTCTCGACGTCGTTTGCGACTTGTCCTGCATCATTTGCGCCACGCTTGAGGAAGCGCGCCCCTGCAAAGTGGCGCGAACGTCGGGCGATGAGGGTTACGTGGATGGTGCGGTTGAGGACGGACAGCTTGGCTTGGTCCACGAAGCCGTAGCAAAGCGGGCTGCGCGAGGTGGTCAGAGATGATACGTCAGCACGGCTAATGAAGCGACCTTCCGATGTTCCCCGCACTCACAGCACCCAATCTGACGCTGCGGCAGACGAGTCGAATGCTGGACTGAGCAGGTGGTGATTCCAGATGAACTTCTCGCAATATCCCCACGAGCTCGCATGATCCTCGAAGCGCTTTCCCGTCAAATTCTCCTGCAGAGTCCTCGTCAAGTCGTAGGTGTACGAGAAGTAGAAATTCTTGCTCAGATCCACTTGCTTGAAGATGTGCAGCAGCCTCAATTCCTCCTGATCCATCGCCTTTGTTCTGCCGGGGATGGCGGTGGAGGGGTGGCAGACGGGGATGATCTTGGTCTCGTCGCAGTGATAGATGTAGTGTCCACCCAAGAGCGCCACTACAGAGCGCCGAGAGATAAGAACCATATAGTATGTGGATGTGAAGCGGATCAAGCCCACGAGACCGAAGAAGTGGCCTACCTCTTTGAGCCCGCCATTGGCCTTGTTGCCGTCCGATATCATGTCCAGCAGTTCGGTGATCTGGGCTCGATCGTACTCTGCAGCATCGGCGACGATGTTGAGCTGCCAGTAGGCGGAGCTCGAGGGGTGTAGAGGTGTCGCAGCGTCGTCGCCGCCAGACGTGGACGTTGTGGATGGTGCTGCGCCGCCATGTCTGTCCTCTGCCTTGCTCTGGGATGGTCCGCCTTGAGCTTGGTCTTGCTGACGATGGTGGCCAGCTGGCGTGCGATCAATCTTGAGGACATGGAAACGTGTCTGAGCCGTATTGTAGGCGACCAAGTAGAAGCCTGGCGGGCGGCGTGACGGGCGTGACGATGTGGTCAGACATTTCAGTCGTGTGAGCGGATGGCCCGCATATACTCACGAGCTTTCGTCTCCCACAGCGTGAACCTCGACGTGCGAGAGAAGTCTGTGCCGACGACATCCTCCTGCGTCGACCGTGAGAAGTCCTCAGACTTGCTCTCCTGCGCCATGATGATTAGGCGGCCTCGACAGCCATGGTTGCGGTGAGCGCTCGAATCATGAACTGAATGACCGAGTGTTGGTTGCTCCCCGCCCACGAAGTGAGTGGGCGTCGAGGGCGGTAGGGCGGACGGGCGGAGGCGGAGAGCGGAGAGGGCGACGGAGCTCGGGCGCCTTTCTGTCGTCTGAGACTCGAGTGAGTGACTGCCAGCCAGTGAGGCAGCGGGGCGAGCGAGCGAGTGAGCGGGCGGGCCAATGGCCCTGGCGCAGGCGACGAGGCTTCTCGTCCATCACTACCATCTCTCCTGATTCCTTCTCTCCCATCCTCTCTAGCACACAATGGCTCACCAAGATGGTCTCGGAATTGGTGAGCAGCCGCGCAAGAGAAGCAACGAGAATGCAATCTCACTCTGATCTGCCTTCGCTCCCTCGACAGGCATTGCCAATCTGCCCAATCAGGTGAGGAGCTGCAACGAAGTCCAACCTCTCGTCGTCTGATCGGCGATGCTCATCATACCTCTTTCCCTGTCTTCTCGCACGCAGCGTCACCGCATTGTCTCCAAGGCTGGCGCCCACTTCACTCTGATGGTCGTCGGAGAGTCTGGCGTAGGCAAGACAACTTGTAAGTAGCGGCAGCTGTCTGTATGCAGTTGGCCATTCATTCATCCTCTTCTGGACCCCCCGCAGTGATCAACACCCTCTTCTCTACTGAGCTCGCCGCCAGCAAGGTGAGTCTGCAGCGTCTCTCGCTCCGCTCAAAGTCAAAGGCTGATCCCATTTCCCACTTGCTCGCTCTGCCAGGACTACTCTCGCCGCCATGCCAAGCAACTCGACAAGACCGTTGAGATCGACATCATCAAGGCGGAGCTCGAGGAGAAGCAATTCAAGTGCAAGCTCTGCGTCATTGATACTCCCGGCTTCGGTGACTACGTCAACAACCGCGACTGCTGGACGCCCATTGTGAGCGAGCGAGCGAGACTGCTGAATCGTAGAGGGTCGATGCCTAGGACACGAAGCTGATATGCTTCTACCCTTGCACTCTCAGGTCGACTTCATCGATGACCAGCATGAGATGTACATGCGTCAGGAGCAACAGCCTGAGCGTAATGAGAAGACGGTGAGCAGAGAAGGCGAATGTTCAGACGCCGACTGCGATGCTGACTCCTCCTAACGCCCCAACCGCCAGGACCTTCGTGTTCACGCCTGCCTCTACTTCATTCGTCCTACCGGCCACACTCTCAAGGTGAGCAGCAACGGCAGCAACGACATCGCCGCCGTCATCTCATTGAAGCTGACGATCCGTTTCCCGCACCCACGCAGCCCCTGGATATCGAAATGATGAAGCGCCTCGGCACTCGTGTCAACCTCATTCCCGTAGTCGCCAAGGCCGACACTCTGAGCCCCAAGGACCTCGCCGTCTTCAAGCAGCGAATTCGTGAAGTCATCAACACGCAAGGGATCCGCGTCTACTCGCCCCCCATCGAGGTAGACGACGAGGCCAGCGCAGAGCACGCCAAGACGCTCATGAGCGCCATGCCCTTCTCGATCATTGGGTCCACGCAGGACGTTCAGACCCACGATGGCCGTACAGTCAAGGGCCGTGACTACCTGTGGGGTGTGGCAGAGGTAGAGAATGAGGAGCACTGCGACTTCAAGAAGTTGCGTTCGCTCTTGATCCGCACGCACATGCTCGACCTGATCACAACGACCGAGGAGCTGCACTACGAGAACTACCGTCAGACGCAGATGGAGACGAGGAAGGTGAGCGAGCGCGGCCCAGAGCACTCATCTCCACGCATGCTGACGTGCTTCACCCCTCTCTTGCACAGTTCGGCGAGCCCAAGGTCAAGAAGCTTGACAACCCGAAGTACCGCGAGGAAGAGGAGGCTCTGCGTCGTCGCTTCACCGAGCAGGTCAAGCTCGAAGAGTCGCGCTTCCGTGCTTGGGAGTCGCACCTCATCGCAGAGAGGGACAGGCTCAACAAGGACCTCGAGCAGGCCCATGGCTCAATCAAGGCGCTCGAGTCGGAGCTGGACGCGCTGGGAGGCTACGGCAGGCAGAATGCCGGAGGGCAAAGCACCGCTAGGCGTTGAGCGTCAACCGTCGTCTTCACCTGTTGCCTTGCTCCTCCTAACTCTCTTCCTTCTCTTCACCCCGGCGCATCGTCATACGGGACTTTGCCTTCTCCCTCTTGAGTCCGTTCCCCAATGTTCCTGCTATTCCGAATACCTAGCTAGCTTTCGTGCTGCCCACACCGTCGGAGTGACATCACGTTACGCTCCTCGCAGACTGCCAAGCTTCTCTGAATGTCTGTCCATCTATTAGGCAAGCGGGGCATATCGTACAGCGCCTGTCTCGACTGCTCATCCGAAGTTGAAACCAGGGTGGCCTCCCCTCCTGCCACCACCGCCGAAGCTAGCACCTCCTCCAGGGAAACCGCCTCCGCTACTGAAGCTCGCCCCACCACCGCCGGGGAATCCACCCATCCCGCCCATACCACCCATACCTCCCATTCCTCCCATACCACCCATCCCTCCCGCAGCACCAAAGAGCTCGCTCAAATCGACACCTCCCATTCCCCCCATGCCGCCCATGCCACCCATACCTCCTCCCGCAAAGGGGCTCTCACTCTCTGGATCCTCGGCGCCCGAGTCGTACCGTCTACGCTTCGTCGGGTCGCTCAGGATGTTGTACGCCTCGCCAATATCCTTGAACTTGGCTTCGTCCCCTCCCTTGTCGGGGTGATGCAAGAGACTCTGCTTCCTGTACGCCTTCTTGATCTCTGAGTCCTCACAGTCCCTCTTCAGACCCAGGATCTTATAGTAGTCCTTGCGCAAGCTGCGCTTGTGAAGCATTTCAGCCTGCTGAAGCTCCTTACGCAACCCGCGAGCCGTTCCCTCCGGGTCGGGGTCGGAAGCGGGGGAGATGGAGTCGATTGCCTGCTTGAAGTCGCGGATTGAGGACTCGAAGTCATCGAGGGCGAGGTGGGCACGGGCGCGTGTGCGGAGGGCTTTGAGGTAGGACGAGTCGAGGGACAGGGTCGTGTCGCAGTCCTCTAGTGCTGGTGAGTAGGATTTGAGCTTGAGGTTGGCGGTGGCACGGTTGGAGAAGAGGGTCGCGCGGAGCATGCGTGATCCACCGGCCGTTGTAGGGGCGGTGACGCTTGAGAGGAGCGTGGACAGTGAATCACCCGACGAGGTCGTAGCCTCTGCGGCATCGCCATTCGTTTGCTCCCCATTCGCCTCGCCATCGCTTACCCCCAACTCCTTGAGCGCCTCGGTGTACTTGGCCTTGGCCGCCTCCCACTTGCCGCTCTTTGCCTCATTATTCCCCTCATCCTTCATCTTCTCGATCCTCCTCGCCAGCCTCATCAAGTCGCGCGCATCCCTCAGATCCGGGTCATTCCTCAGGGCAGCCTGGGCATGCTGCACGCACTTGGCTACATCTCCTTGGGCAAAGAGGATGCGGGCACGCAGCAGGAGAATCTCCGAGTCAGAAGGGTTGGAACGAAGCAGGTCGGTGACGCGGCTCGATGCCGTTTGGAGGGAGGAAGCGTTGCGGAGGAAGAGGAGAGAGATGGAAGCAACGCGCCAGGATGTTGGTGGGGACGGTACCAGGCCAGTGGAGGCAAGAAGCTTGTCCATTGCCATCGAGGCCATGCGTGGCTCCTTTGCCTTGACATCTCGGATCAAAGCATCCCAGTGCGCTTCGAGGCTGCGCAGCTGTTGAGAGAGGGTCTCGACTGCTCCTCGCTCTTCCTCTGGAGTCGAGGCCGTTGGCGAGAGGAGCTCGTCCAGCCGGCTTCGAGCTGAGGGAAAGTCGCCGCAGCCAATCGAGGCACGACAGAAGCGCAGCTGTGCCTTTGTGGTGGCAGAACCGCTGCTGGCCTCCTGCACTTCAATGGCTTTGCGACAGTCGTGGACGGCGTCTGAGTGGCGGTTCAGGGCCATGAGGGCGGCGGCGCGATTAAGATAGAGGGAGCCGTCGCTGGGCGAGGCCGACGAGGAAGAAGAAGCAGATGGCTCGGCATGTCCGTTGGGTCCATCACCATTGGGAGCAGCATGCCCATTCTCCTTTGGCTGCGCCTGCGCCTTGAGATTGGCAATACGCTGCGCCTCCTCTTCATCAATGGCAGCATTGTACTTGTCCAGGGCAGCCGAGTACGACTTGGCTTTGAAGAGGTCGTTGCCCTCTGCTCTGAGCGAAGCCACGTCCGTCGTCATGCTGATGGTGGGTGAGGACGGTGATTGGTCGTCGTCGTCGTCGAGGTCAGACGAGAAGTGGTTCGACGGGCCTTTCTCACTTGCACCCCGCCCGCGCCTCTCTCTGTCTGCGCGCCTTGGCCTGCTTCCGGTCGACAGGACGGAAGAAATTGAAAGTCGTCGCCGACGCGGATTGGCGGCATACAGGCAGCAGCACCCACACGCCATTGCTGCTAGCGTCTCGCCATCAACTTCACATTGAGACTCGTAGCCCATCACGGCTCTTCGACCTTCAGCACCCCGCTACAGCTGGCTCAGTCGACTCGTGGGATTCACTCGCTCCCTCATGGCAGACTCAGACGCCGCGGCTGCTGCGCCGGCCAAGCGATCACCATCGCCCGCACCACCCTCTGCTACTCATGCGGCTGGCTCATCATCAAGCGCAGACGCCCCAAAGCAGAAGCGCCAACGCATCGATCGCCGCGGTGACGATTCGCGTGGTCAAGACAGCAATGACAACTCCTCGGGGGCCGCCGAAGGGGAGGTTCGCCTGCCTAAGCGACCCGTCGCCCTCCTCTTTGGGTACTGCGGCGTAGGCTACTCTGGGCTCCAAATCAACCCTGGCGTAAAGACGATCGAGGGAGACATCTTTGACGTCCTATGCAACGCAGGCTGCGTATCAAAAGACAATGCTGTCAACCCGAACAAGGTCAGCCTGCAACGCTCCGCTCGAACCGATCGTGGTGTCCACGCTGCGGGCAATCTGCTCAACATGAAGTGCATCCTCAACCCTCCTGTCTCGCCGAGCGGGGAGATGAAGCCGCTGATCGCCTATCTCAACTCGCAGCTGCCGCCTTTGATCAGAATTTGGAATATCGTCAAAGTGCAGAGCAGCTTCAATGCGAGGAGTAGCTGCGATTCGAGGTACTACCAGTATTTGCTGCCTACCTACGTCTTCTTGCCGCCAAAGCCGGGATCCGCTATGTGGAAGATGTACAAGGAGTGGGAGAAGGAGGAGGAGGAGGGCGTGGGAGAGGAGGAAAAGAGGAGATTGCAACAGATTCTCTATCACCCTTTCTGGGCGGATGCATACGCGGCGTACAAGGAGAAGGAGGAGAAGGGTCCTGCCGCAAAGGAGGGAGAGGGAGAGGGTGAAGCTTCGGCGGCGACAGCGACATCAGCAGAGGACCCTACGGACGTCAAAGTGGACTCAGCCACCACCGATACTGCCCCTCCTCCTGCCGCGGACACCTCCCCTTTCAAAGCGGACACGATCCGCAAGAGAACCTATCGCCTCTCAACCGACCCTTCCCCCTACGGCGCCGAGCTTCTCCCGCGATTACGCACTCTCTGGTCCACCTTCCTCGGCACTCGCAACTTCCACAACTTCACAGTCGGCAAGCCCTTCAAGGACCCCTCGGCCAAGCGCGTAATGAAGAAGATGGAGATCTCCGACCCTTTCATCGTGGACAATACGGAGTATGTCAGCTTGACGTTGCATGGCCAATCGTTCATGCTGCATCAGATCAGAAAGATGGTAGGCTTGATCGTCATGCTCGCCCGTTCTCCCGCTCCGGGCCCCAAGCTGCTCAACGCAAGCCTAACGACGAAGGACAAGATTCACGTACCCAAGGCGCCCGCATTAGGCCTCTTGCTGAACAGTCCCGTCTTCGTAGGCTACAACGTCAAAGTGCGAGCGCACAATGCCCAGTTGGAGAAGATGCACAAGGAGGGCAAGATCGACGAGACGAGAAAAGCAGACCAATGGCGCGAGGAGATCTCTTACGATCCTTTTAGGGCGGAGATGGAGGAGTTTAGGATGAGGCACATCTACCAGACCCAATACGAGACGGAGGAGAGGGAGGACGAGTTTGCTAAATGGCTCAACTATCTCGACTCCATCGTTGGGCCGGACTTTTTGTTCCTCAATCTCAAGGGGAATATTCCGAAGGAATGCTTAGTGGGAGGTAATGCCGTCGGTGGGGGGAGTAGTGTGATGAAGGGACTGGGAAAGAGCGAGAGGGCCGAGAAGAGGAAGGAGAGGGATGCGGCACCTGCATCTGGGTCGATCGGAGAGGTGGCGAAGCAGGGCAACGATGAGGAGTACAAGGGCAGCGATGATGAAGATGAGGCACTTCCTGCTGGAGCAAAGGCGGCAGACTACGAGGGATAGACGCGTCGGGTCTTATCAAGCTTTCGAGCATGCAATCGGCATCATCATTGTATCGTATCGTACATGGCGTCTGCGCTCGCCCGCCTTCACTTGACGATAACCTCGATCTCCCCTTGCTCGCCACCCCCACCCGGCTCATTCGAGGGCTGGAAGCCCAACTCGCCCAATGTCTGCTTCAGAGTCAGCATCTTCCCCGTACTAACCATCTTCAACTTCAAGCGACTAGCTCCCGTATTCGGGAAGCACTCCGCCTGACAACGGTCACGCAACGTAGCGACCGTCGTGCTCGGTTGAAGGTCCGAGTAGGTCTGGGTGCGAGAGAGGGAGGGGAGCGAGAGGGTGACAGATAGGGCAGAGGGAGCTGCTTGCTGTTGGGGAGGGCCCCAGCCGGTCCCCGCTGGTGGGTAGCCCTGCGGTGGTTGGTGGTGGTGCTGCTGCTGCTGTTGCTGCTGCGGCTGGCCATACTGACCTGGTTGGCCGTACTGTCCAGTCTGCACCCCCACTTGAATCGGGACCGGCCCGCCGTGCGCCCCCTCGTACGCCATGCGCTGCGCCGGCGGAGGATACATGTTGCCCTGCGGGTACATCTCCTCCGCCGGCCTTTTCATGCCCGCCGGTCCACCAGCTGTATAGTTTACGGGTGCGGAAGAGGCGTCGGCGCCGACCACATGCTCCGGCTCTGGGTACGCCTGTGGCTGCTGTGGTGGCTCTGGAGTAGCCTGTGCCTCCCCACCTTCCTGACCGGGCACACGAGGACCAATACTCTGCGTGTCCTTTTGCGGGAAACGTTGCTCCATCTCCTTCGCCCGCTGCTCAACCAGGTCCGTACGATTGAACTCATCCATCGTCCTCCCCCTGCTAGCAGCATGTCCATCCCAGACCAGCTTCTCCCTCTCTCTCGCCCTTTTCCTTTCCTCTTCCTCTCGTTCTCGCAGCGTCCCCTCCTGCTCTTGCAGACCGAAGATGTCGCGCCTCGCTCCGGCGAAGGAGCGCAGGAATTTCGCAGGGTCAGCCCCTTGGGTGAGGGCGGCTTGCTGAGCAATGCGCGACTCGAGCTCGGCGCGTTGCGAGCGGTAGGCAGGGTTGAGGAGCTCGATGCGGACATGCTCGTCGAGCTCGGAGGTGGGGATTTGTTGGTGGCAGATGGGGCAGGACGTTGTTTGCTGCGCGGAGGCGGCTTGGCGTTGTGCGAGGGTCTTGGGGACATAGTCTTTGCGGATTTTGATGTTGCTTGGTGGGGCTGATGCGGGAGGCTTCGAAGGGTTGCTCGCCGATGCTGAGGGCTGCGCTTGTTGCGATGCTTTCTCGCCTTCATCCTCACTGCCACTATCCATCTGCATCTCCTCGGCTCCGCCCTGCCCATTCGCCTCTGGCGCATCCTCCTCGGCGGGCTCCTCGCCCCCGCCCTGCTCCATGATCATAGCCGCCATCCTCTTCTGCGCCATCGTCATGTTCTCGACATCCCTCAGCGACATTGGTACGGGCAAGTCAATGTGTGCGTCCGTCTCGGTGATCTCGACCGTAGAGACGACGACAAAGTCTTGCCAATCGATCTGATTGAACGCAGCTCGCTCCTCCTCCTCCTCGTCCGCCCGCTTTTTGCGACGTTGCTCTGCCCATTTGTTGTAGGCTGCACGACGGCGAGCTTCAGCGAGAACTAACTGACGTGGCCCGCCTGCGCCCATACCCGTTTTGCTCGTCGAAGCGACGGGGCCTGCCTCGCTGCCGCCGCTGCCGCCGATCTGCTCGAGGAGGTCCTTGGGCGGCTCGAGTACAAGTCTGTACTGCTCGACGAGCCGATTGAAGAAGCCGAAGAGACTATGAGATGGGCGTAGGAACTCAAATTGGTAGCTGCGCGCCTCTCGTTCGAGGAGGGCAGTGGCGAATGCTGGGCCTTTGCGGGCGACGAAGAGGGCTGTGAGCTTGAGGACATCCAGGTCTACGGCGGTGATGTTGGGGAGGTCTGTGGTGAAGAGTAGAGGGCGAGGCTCTGGAGGTGCAGATGATGATGGGTCTTGCAGGAGAGCATTTGCTGCATCCTGGGGTGCACCGGAAGCCGTCGTCATGAGCTGCCCTTGACCTGGTCCATCCGCTGTTGCTAGAGGGCCAGTGCCATCTCGTATTGCCTCGATCCTAGCACGGTAGTATGCATTAAAGGCATCGCCATCGTTGAGAAAGGCAAACTTGGTGTTTGCTCTCTCATCGCCTTTGATCTTTGACTCGAACGTCGCACCATTACGAGCGACAAAGGTGGCCGTCTTGTCAACGATGGAACGAATGTCCGGCGGCGGGTAGATGAGGCCGCCCGTCGAGAACTTTGGCTTCGAGGCCGCGCTGGTGGAAGCTTCTGCCACCTCGTCGACATCCTCGACTGTGGCGCCCTTCGACGGCGGTGGCAGCTCGAGGGCTGGCATCCTTGAGTGGTGGATGGGAAGATGCAGTGATGGAGTCGCAAGACAAGCTGCCCGCTCACACTCTGTCCGCTGCCGCCCTCCTCCCGCTCGCTCGCGCAGTCCGGCAGAAAAGTTGGTCCGCGTCGTTGATTCATGGCCCGAGCGGATCGTGCCTGGCACTCCTTCTTCTCTGCCACTCGAGCGCATACAGCCAGCGGGAAAGGTCCATGGTTCTCGGCCTCAGCAGGGCAGGCTCATCGCTGCGAGCATCAGCAACATGTCACTGTGGCTCGTCCACGCTGGTCTCGCTCCAGTCCCTCGCCAGGCCAGGTGGGGGACGCCTCATCCTCGCTCGACGACTCCATAGCAGTCCCTCCTCCCTCGCACGTCGCAATGAGCATCAATCAACGCTCAACCTTCCCAAGACCGCTTTCGCCATGCGAGCAAATGCGGCAGCGCGTGATCACCTCTTTTCCCGTCGAACAAATGAAAATCTCTATCGTTGGCAGCGCTCCCACTTGCCTGCCACGCATGAATGGCATCTCCAAGACGGTCCGCCCTACGCGAATGGCTCGCTACACATGGGTCATGCCCTCAACAAGATCCTCAAGGACATTGTGAATCGCTATCAACTACTACGCGGACGCCGTGTTCTGTACAAGCCCGGATGGGACACGCATGGTCTCCCTATCGAGCTCAAAGTCTTTTCGCAGCCACAACTCAAGGACACGACCGCACGCTCTGCCGATCCACTCCTCGTCAGACGGCTGGCCAGGGAGTTTGCGCAGAGCCAGGTGGACAGGCAGCGTGAAGAGTTCAAGGAGTTTGGTATCATGGCAGATTGGGAGGAGACGTACCACACCTTCGATGCCGAGTACGAGAGCAGGCAGCTCGAGGTCTTCGCAAAGATGGTCGAGAAGGGCTTGGTCTATCGGGCGCATCGGCCGGTCTACTATTCGCCGACCACGCGTACGGCGCTTGCTGAGGCAGAGCTGGAATACAATGACGCGCACGAAGCTAGGAGCGTCTTTGTGCGCTTTCCACTCGTCAAGGTGGGGACGCAGTTGATGGAGGCGATCAAGGGCTCGCGCGAGGCAAGCGAGGCAGTGCAAGCAGGAAAGGTGGATGCCATCATCTGGACCACGACGCCTTGGTCCCTGCCGGGTAACATGGCGCTGGCCGTCAATCCCGAAATGGAATACTCGATTGTACGGTCGAAGCTGCACGGCTACATGATCGTGGCCGCAAATCGCGTCGAGTACCTCTCGCAGCGTAGGGCTGGGGCGGTCGTCGAGGTGAGCGACCCCAGCAGCAGTAAAGGCAGCAAGAAGAGGCCTGATACACGGCCAGAGATTGGTCGACTCGAGGTTCTGGCTACCTTTTCTGGATCAACGCTCATTGGCTCGTCCTACCGACCTCCCTTTGACAGCAGGGAGCGGCCCATCCTGCCCGCAGACTACGTCACCGACGATTCCGGCACAGGGCTGGTCCACACGGCCGCGGCGCATGGCCTGGACGACTATCACCTCTGCGCCAAGCATGGCCTGCTCGACGATGTCGGAGGCAAAGACGGCTCCACCTCCAACAACACCCACAGCAGTGCCTCTGCCTCCCCTCTAAGCCCAATCGACCTCGACGGTCGCTTCACCTCCTCCCTTTCCTCCATGATCCCTGGTCTCGCTGGCCAACCCGCCCTAGGCTCCGGCACACCCTTAATCATCTCCCACCTCTCTACCTCAGGATCCCTCCTTGCTGAGCAGCGCATCACACATCGATACCCATATGACTGGCGCTCCAAGCAACCAGTCATGATGCTCGCCACCGATCAGTGGTTCGTGGATGTTGAACCTCTCAAGCCTCTGGCGCGTCAGGCGCTGGAGAACGTCGAGTTTGTGCCGGACAGCAGAGGTGCGCGGGAGAGACTGGCGCGAATCATTGAGTCAAGGACCGAGTGGTGCGTGTCACGACAGAGGGCTTGGGGAGTGCCTTTGCCGGTCGTGTACGAGGAGGCGACAGATGGACAGAGGATCCCGCTTTTGACGCCAGAGAATGTCAGGCATATCGCCGACCTGCTGAGAGAGAAGGGAACCGACTACTGGTGGTCCGGCGAGGCAGAGCAATTCGTGGCCCCGCAGTATCGCGCAGAGGGGAAGCGATGGACAAAAGGCACCGACACTTTGGACGTATGGTTCGACTCTGGCGTCTCGTGGCTCGGATCGGGCGCTCGTACTGTGGGCGATGAGGAGACACCGGCCGATCTCTACCTCGAAGGAACTGACCAGCATCGCGGCTGGTTCCAGTCTTCTCTCCTCACAAAGCTAGCCCACTCCTCCCACTCCTCCACCTCACCTCCCGCCGCGCCGTTTAAGCGCATCGCAACGCACGGCTTCGTGCAAAATTCGGCGGGGGAGAAGATGAGCAAGTCTTTGAACAACTTCCTCGGTCCTCTGCCCTTCATCAAAGGCGGGGAGAACAAGGCCACCGAGCCCGCCTGGGGATCAGACGTGCTGCGCTTCTGGGCCGCGGGGGTCAGTTGTTGGGGAGAGGATGCGAGGGTTGGATGGTTGACAATCAAGCATGCTGGGGAGGGGTTGCGCAAGCTGCGTAACACGCTGCGCTTCTTGCTCGCCAATCTACCACCTAGCAGGGTGGAGGAGAGCGCTTCGACGGCGCTGCTGGAGAGGGAGTCGATTCGCTCCCACCTCACCCTGCTGGATAAGCACGTCCTTTCCTCCCTGACCTTCCTGAGCACAGAGTGCCAGGCATGCTACGAACAGCTCGACTACCCAGGCGTGGTGAGACGCCTCTCCCATTTCGCGAACACGACGTTGAGCAATGTCTACTTTGCCGTTGTGAAGGACACGCTCTATGCTGATGCACCCGAGGGGCCCAGAAGGCTAGCAGCATTGGCAGTCTGCGAAGAGGCGCTGCGTACGATTAGTAGCGCTCTTGCGCCTATTGCGCCCAATCTTGTGGAGGAGGCTCATCATTACTCTCAAGGGGCCGAGGCGGACCCGCCCTCGAAATGGGAAGGCAGCGAGGTGGAGCCTAGTTTCTTCCACGGCGGGTGGCGTGAGGTGCGCGAGGCCCGTCGATGGAGAGAGGAGGATGCTCGTCCTGCCGGAGCAAAGCTACTTGAAGTGCGAGACGCGGTCCTGAAGCTCGTGGCGGCGAGGCCCAAGGAGGAAGCAGGAGGGAGCAGTGCAGCGTACGACGTCTTGTTGGGCTTGACCCGCAGTGAGAGTGAGGGCGACGAGATGAGAGCGCATGAGGTGGTGCGCTCCCTCTCTCACGATGATCTCGCGGAGACTTTCATTGCTGCGAGTGTCGAGGTCATAGAGGGTGAGGCGCAGACGAACGAGGAGAAGCTCACCGTAGACGGTGTCACGGTCTGGGTCCGACCAACGCACAACGTCAAGTGTCCACGATGCTGGCGCTTTGCGGTAACCGTGGAGGAGCAGAGCAGGAAGGGTGAGGATGCATTGTGCGGACGATGTACTGACGTCTTGGAGGAGAAGGCGCAAGGAGAGAGCGAGGCGCGTTGAGAGGTCAGTGCTGAGGGCACCGTGGATCGTCACCACTTGCCTCGTAGATGGACATGTTCAAATGACCATAGATAGAATTAAAGCTCAAAAGAGCATCTCAGATGAGGCAAGCAAGAGCAAGTGTGAAAGGTTGACGCAGACGAAGGACAAGGTGCGAAGAACGAAGGACGAAGGACGAAGGACGAAGAACGAGGGGCGACGGACAATGCTGCGACGACGAAAAGGAAACTGCAGAGAGTGCGATACGGTGCAACCAGCTGTGCACGTCGACCGGGCTGATACAGAGGATGTTGAGGGGACTACAGAAGCATTTGGGTGAGCATGGGCAGGTGCAGGTGCGGGTGCAGGTGCACAGCAGGTTCGCGGTTGGTGAGCAGCTGAATGGGTAGCAAGGAGGTGATTGCGTGGGGCAACTTGGTATAAAAAGTGTGATGTGCCGGGTCGAGACCAGGATGGTGGGTGATCTCGCGTGCTGAGTGCTTGGTGCTTGACCTACGCTGCCCTTCCTCCCAGCGAGTTGAAGCGTCCCGTGGTCCCGGCCCTTGCAAAGGGCCTACGCGCCGGAGCGAGAGGCAAGGAAGCTGGCTTGCTGCTAGTGTCAGCGCCGAGAGCAGCCCGCCTCGACCCAGCAGAAACGACAGCGCAAGGGCTCATGTTAACGCCCACACCTGAGTCGCCTAGCAACCCACCGCCGGGACAGCTGTCCATCGAGTCGAAGCTCGCGTCGCCCATGCTGGATGAAGCCGTCAAAAGCGAGGGCGGGGTAGGCTCCGTTTCCTCCTCCTCGTCGTGCCCACCACTGCCCGCGCGGAGATGCTTCTTGACAGCAGCAAAGTTGCTCGGGCTACTCTCCTGCTCAAACGAGCTCTCCTCCTGTTGCTCACAGATCATACTGCTCAGCGTGCGCGTCGCAGGCTTGGGGCGCGGGTCCACCATCGGCACAGCGGTATTCCCGTACGCGGGGCCCCCACGCCCTTGCCCACGAGTCGTATCTCCGTACGTAAAGGAGCGATGGCGGCTGAACTGCTTGCGGAATCCATTGAGCTCAGCAGACCTGCGATCTTGGTAGGTCGGATCGTCCATCTTCACGTACGCGCTGGGCTGGCAGACGTGCGCAAATCGCTCAAAGAAGCCGCTGTACCCTCCCTGCAAGATGTAGATCTCAGGGTAGTGGCAATTCGGGTAGTCTTGCGCCAAGCTGCGGTCCGCCTGACGCAGGGCGAGGGCCATGGAGGGTGCGCGCTTGGCGCTGAACTCGCAGTGGAAGACCAGCACCTTCTTCAGCGTGTTGCCATGCGCGTCGGGCTGGCCAGATTGAGAGCGCGAGGGGAGGTTGCCCTGCTTGGCTACGGGGCCTGTTGGTGAGAGAAAGTGCTCCTTAACCCTGTCGACGGTAGAGAGATTGATGGCGCCCGGGATGTGTCCACCGTCATACTCGTAGCCAAATCGACAATCGATGATCTGGCAGCTGGCCATCTGCCCCTCGTATTTGCCGCCGAGGAGGTCAACGAGTGTCTCGGGTTTGATGCGCATCAGCCCGTCCTCCTTGACGTTGAAGCAGGGCAGAACCTTTCCGCTGCGCTCAGAAGCGCCGAATCCAGGCATGCACTCTGCACCGAACGAGGACGAGGCGGATGGGTCTTGGAACTCGTCGTCTACGGTCGAGAGGCCGGATGCGTGGTTTGCAGCAGCTTGGCGACGCGTACCGTAGGGCAGCGGGGAGGTGTCGTCTTTGCTCGTTCGGCGAAGCAGACTAGGCCTCTTGCTGGCGGGAGCGATGGGTGAGCCATTGGCGTCGAAGTCGTCGGGGTAGCCGCCGAGCATGCCCTCTCGGGAGCGGGAGGGCGGGAGGAGCATTGCGGCGCTGTGATCGTAGCTCGAGATGGCGCGACGAGGCGCAGGTGCAGTCTGCCTCTGAGATGTCTCGGTGACAACTGGCGCGCTCTTGTTAGCAGCCTTGAGCCCCGGACGGCCAGCTGCGGGGGCTTGCTGGCGGTCAGCTACTTTGCGCTTCGAAAAGGGTCCCAACGTGGCGGATGGGGCGAGGATAGCATCGGTGTGCGCCTTTTGCAGAGTGCGAGGTCGCAAGGGGAGCAGGCTGGGCTTCGACGAGGATGCCACATTGGCTGCGGATCCCAGCTTGGGATGCGCCGGCGCGACAAAGCTGTGCTCGGGGGACTGAGGGTCGAAGAAGTAGCTGCCCAAATCTTGCCTCTCAAAGGTGCCCGGCGAGGGCGACTCGAGAATGGTATTGTGGGACGCAATGGCGCCGAGTCCCATTTGGTCCGCCCTCTCTCTGCATCTTGCCTCAAAGGAGGAGGAGGACTCGGGCTCAGAAGATTGGCGGTTGGATGACATGACTGCGCTCGTGAGCGAAGGTGCCGACGAGCGGTTGCCCTTGATGTGCAGAGAAGGCAGTACGTCGTGGCTGGAGCGACGGCGCGGCGCATCGTTGCTGTCGGTCCCAAACGAAGTCGTGAGCGAGGACGAGTTGGTTCGCATACCGGCACTGCGCAGGCTGGGTCTGACGGGTACTTTGCCCTGTCCCATGGGCAGCGACGTTGGCCTGCGCTTTGAAGCAGGAGCGAGAGCCTCGAAGCTGTTGTCCGCGTCGATGCCGCTGCCAAAGCTGTCGTCGCCATCGCGTGCGGCATTGACCGAGAGGCAAGTGCCAAAGAGCCTACCCAGCGACCCTCCTTGCTGCGATGCTTGCTGCCCCTTCTTTGTTGGCTCTACATCGGCCGGGCTCGCGCTGCGACTGACGCTGCGACTGGAGCGACTGCTACTGCCTGCTCGCGAGCTTGGACGGCTATTGGGTCTGCTGCTGACTCTGCGTCTTGCTGCGGGCACAACGGGCGTGTCCTCCTTCATCGCGCTGCCTGGTGGGAGCATGGGCGAGGACGAAGAGGCCAGGGGCTGACGAGGAGCAGGCGAGATGTCCATGTAATGGGGTGAGCTGAGCTTTGCTGCGAGACCAGGCGACTTGCCATTGAGCTCGGTACCCATGGCCTCGCCCAGACGTCGGCTTGATGTGGGAGAGGACCGCTTTGCGCTGCCCAATGGCACTCTGCGCGGTGGTGATGGCGACGAGTGTGACGAGGATGTAGAGGAAGAGAAGGATGCTGATGTCGAGGGACCCAGTGCAGCATTGATTGTATGGCCCGAGTCTGACTTGGGTAGGATGTTCCTCGATGACGATGAGGACGAAGGCATATGGCCAGACTGCGCTGATGGGAGCTCGAACGATGAGCCCAGCGACATGCTGGACCCAAAAGATCGATCTCCAAACTCGGCGGGCAGGTCATCGTGACGCAGCGTCGGCGAGCTGGGCTGCTGGTCGAAGATGTCGAATCGCATCGGGGGTCCCATTGGTGAGGAGAGGAGAGCTGTCATCGCAGCAGCAGCGGCGGCGGCGGCGGCGTGAACGACGTTTTAGGATTGACGATGAAAGAGGGAGCGAGAAGTAGGATATGAGAGTGTGTTGGGGGCAGAAGAGCAGGAGACAAAGCAAGGGCAGTCCTGTGTTGCGTTGTGCGCGTGAGTTGAGCTAAGGCTGTGCGTGGGCGTTGGCAAGACAAAGGGAGGTGCGAAACCAGCCTGAGACGGACGAAGGAGGATCGTCGGTCTATTGAGTTGCGGTCTCGGGCTGCAAAAGGGTGGGAAAGGGTATCACTGATGGTGAGACGATGGTGATGTCGTCACAAAAGGCGGTGGGGATGGCAGTAATGGAAGCCAGGTCAAGCCTCGTCGTTGATGGATTGGCACCACCTGCGAGCATTGCCCGCTCTCTCTCTCTCTCTCTCTCTCGCTCTCTCTCTCGCCCGCCCGCTCGCTCGGCCCTGCCCGCTTGCCTGCCTGCTTGACTGTGATTTCAAGGTGGTGTTGGTCTGCCCGCCCCGCCCGCCTCGCGCCGCCTTCCAGTGCCTCCTGCTTGGCAGCAGCGGCGGCGGCAACGGCGGGATGGATGAGAGATGCAAGCCACTCGGCGCGCCTTGCCTGTGTGTTGAGTCGACGAGCGCGAAACGAGTCGAACAGCAGGCTCAAAGCTAGAGGAACGAGACGATGCACACAGCGCACCCCCATCTTGAGAGCAAGTAAGTGACCGAGCGAGCGAAAGGATGCGACCAGCGTACGTCCGATCTGGGGACATCATTCGATCTCTGTGGACCGAGCTTCGCTACTACGAAAACGTCCCTCACGCCGCGAGACGTCGGGATCGCGCTGCAAGACGCCTGCTCAGCGTGCTACGATGACGATGGGCCTCCAATGATGGCCGAGTGACAGACTTGCGCAACGCCTTGAGATGCCATGCCCGCATCGTCATCCTGGTGCGGGCAAGCTTTCGGTGTTCTCCGTCTGTGCGATCAGTCGCTCTCACCATTGATCGAAGCTTCCACGAGCAGGCCCATCAAGCAACTCAGAGCGAGGAGCGAGACAGCCAGCCCGAGCAATGTTCGAGAGGTCACCGCCCCCTCGTAGCCGCTGCTCCGACCACAGGTGCGCGTCCTCTTCCTTGCTCGCCGCCCCGGCTACTCCGTCGATTCCGTTCAGCCTTTCGCCCTCGGCCAAAAGTAGAGTAGACGGTTCGCTCGACGATGTCGCCAGACTAGGGCCTCTGCTTCTAGCGAACCGACATCGTGGTCTGCCCAGGACCCTTTTTCCCGCCCAGGCTTCACACATTGCCTCGCAAACGCCCACGCACACACTTGGCTCGTCACCCAAAATGATACGCCAAATCGAGGCGCTGTGCTGTGACTTGAAATGAGAGACGAGCAGGAGGACCACAGGCCCAGTTGGAGATCGGGGTTGGACCGGCCCAATGAATGTCGGTCGCAACGTCCGGTGCAGCAAGGGTCTTGTGACGCTCCATTCGTGCGACTCGCCAGCGAGCGTCGCTGCACCACACTGATCATCACCGTACATCCGCGCGCGCGACATCAAAGAGCTGAGCACAGCACAGCCAGCGAATTAGCAACTACGACGATTTCATGGGGTCCATGAGCGTTTCACACCACCCCTTGAGGAGCGACGAAGCCTGCTCGGTGTTGCTACGCGTGCTATGCTGCAAATAAGCAGAGCAGTGCGAATGTGATATATGTCTGGAAGTGAGCTTGACTGAGTTAGTAGTCTCGTTGCGTTGCAGAGCCGCGGCGGCGTACAGGCGCAGCAGGGCGTCAAAAATGGTAAACACGCACTCACACGCGCTACAATTCAGGCGCGCCAGTGCGGGCAAAGCCCGGCCCAACCAACAACAGGCGGGCGTGAGCCGTGAGCTGAGGCCAACAGGCGTGAGCCGAGGCTCCGATTTGACCGACGGCCAAGCCACGTCGTTCCGCCCTTCGAAGCTTCGACGACGATGATGTCAACAACGACCCGAGGGGGCTTCGACGAGAGGAAGAAGGGCAACATCGAGCAGGCGGAGCAGGTAATGAGCGCATGCCGAGTGATCCGCTTGGAATTTAGAGCTCGTTCTGAGAGGCCCGAAAAGAAGCAGTCAGCTTCGTAGCGGGCAGAGCGAAGCCTGCTCGTGTGACGGTGAGACAAGGCAAGAGCAGCGTGCGTAACTGTGGCTGGCTGCTGACTGGCTGACTGTCATGAGGCTCGTATCAATGAAGTAGATGGAAGTACAGATGATGCTGATGAATGATGAGAAGCACTGTCGCACGTCGCGCTCACGCGCCCACGCCCCCCGTATAGCTCTCGAGCGGCACCCTCCAGGCCCTTGGCCCAGCAAGAGCTACAATCGACCCTGCCCCTACTTGCCCTCCTGTCCCTCCTGCTCCCTTCTGTCCCCAACCCCTCCCACCACTCCACACGCAGTCCCCCAATGGCTCCCCACCTTCGCCGACCTCCTCGACCCCTACCGTCCCGCGTGTACACATCCTTAAGTCCCACATCCTAACCTTCCCATCTGGACAGCCCTGAATGCAGTAACTGCCATGAAAGGCTGGTCGCCCCAGCCTACCCAGTGCCCCTACACTCGTCGAGTCGAGCCAGCCAAATTGCGTGACGGGCTGCTGTGCCGCGCGCAGATCGTAAAGCTTATGCTGATCGTAGTCGGCCCGTAGCGAGGTTATGTCGAGGATGTGGGGCAGGCGGGTGCGAGTTAGCTTGGAACAATGGTCCGTCGAATGCCAGAAGCGGACCATCTTAGACGTGCGACCATCGAAGGCCATCAAGTCCGTTCCATGGCCAGAGGCAGGGTCTGTTCTTGGATGCCCCGCCGTAGTAGCCTGCTGTGGGGGACGCGAGGCGCTCACCACTAGCTCGATGCTCGGAAGCGTCTCGAGCGCGTAGATGGCATGACGATGCGGCTGGACGTCGAGACGCTGCACGCTGGCTTTGGATCCGCGACGATACGACCACGAGTGGACGTGTCCGTCACCCCCACCGGTGATGAAGCTGAGGGCGTCGCCTTTGCCACTGTTGTCGTTGATGGCACCGTCGTTCATGGGCAAAAAGGGCGCGACAGAGGTCGCTCCGCCGCTGGAGAGGTGAGGCTGTTGCGGCAGGGCAGTGAGAGAGGCACGGACGGAGCGCCGTTCTCGCTCGTGTGCATCCTTGTCATCGTCGTCCTCTTCGCTTTGCGAGGGCCTTGCGAAGACCAAAGTCACCTGCGTCCCCGCCTCTCGCCCAGTCTTGTGCTTCACGCTCTTCGTAGGCGACGAAGCGATCGCTACGGCGTGCGTGCTCAGCCTCCTAACATCGCGCGGCTTGATAGCAGGTGAGAGGCTCGACACTTGACAGTCCCTACTTCTCAGAGCCAGCGGTACGTTATCCTGCTCGTCGTCATCTTCCTCCTCTCCAGACAGGCATATTGACGTCCTGCCGCGAGAAGAAAGGGCAAACAGGGTTGAGAGGCCGGTAGATTGGGATCGCATGCTAGCAAGCCAGTGGAAGCTCGCAGTCTGGCCGTGCCCGAGGGGTATGCGTTCGTGACGATGCCAAGGGGCAAGACGGAGCGCGGTGCTGCTGCTGCTGCTGCTGCTGCTGCTGCTTGTGTGCGGCTTTGTGGACGGCAAAGTCGACGTCGAGGCGTCAGGCTCTGCTGCGGCTTTGCCATTACTGTCATCCGAGGCCGTAGACTTCGCAGAGGTCAGGGCGGGCTTTGTGCCACTGTCCTCCGATCGCGCGATGGATGGGACAGGACTGGCATCCCGGCCGAAGAAGACGTCGTTGAGCTCGAGCTGGGCTGGTGGTGGCGGCAGGGGGGTAGTCGCTTCAGCGGGCGCAGGTGGCATGCCTTCCTCTTGTGCGGGCGCCCCTGAGCTTTCCTTCAACCATTCGTTTGCGGCCTCGATCGCTGCCTGGAGAGCCGAGCCACCCATCAAGTCGGCTGAGAGGAGAACAGGAGTCTCGGGCTCGCTGCGCCCTGCAGGTGGGACATGCGCTGGTAATGCTGAGGCTGCGTTCGATTCTGGCGCTGCTGGCTCGAGGTGCTCTTCCTTGATGGAGATGGGAAGCGGAGCGGGCATTTCAGTCGCTTCTACTGGCTGTTTTGAAGCGACCGAAGCCGTCGTGGCGGGAGCAGTATCATCTTGCTCTTGCCCCTGGCGTTGCTCGCCGACGTTGCTGTCCGCTTCCATCTCATCAGCAGGCGCGGTACCCAGATCCTCTGCAGCGACTCTTGGTGCCGCCACGGGTGGCTCGGCCTTTGTGCCTATGCAGCCGTCTTTGTGTGGGGCTACACTTTTCTTCTGGGCAGTCGCCTCCCGCGGCATTTGTGCAACTTCCACGATGGACAGCTCGTCGTCTTCGTCTGTGAGTTCTTCGTCGATGGTCAAGTCTGCCTCAGGCTCCTGTCCACCCGCACGCCTCAGCGACTCTGGAGCGGTTGGAGGTGTTCCTCTGACTAGCTCGTCCTCCTTGGCCTTGGCCTTGCCTTTGCCTTCGCCATTGTCGTGATCTACAGTGGCCGCCTCATGCTCTTTGCTACGTGGAGGTTTCTCCTCTTCTCGAGTAGCGACACCACTCGTCCCGCTACCGGAAGCGGCGGACCGCCTTGCATGATCTTGCGCAGCCCTAGCCTCCTCCTCTTCCTGCCGCTTCATTCTTCTGTTGAGCTTCTTCCTTTGCGACTTGCTCATTCCGCTGTCGGCAGCCAGCGGCGGGCCACCTCGACTCACAAAGGCTGCCGTCGCAGCTGCATGCTCCTTCTCCTTTTGCGCCTTCGCCTTCGCCTCCCTCTCCCTCGGCGCTTTCACCCTCTCCTCATTCTCTCGCTTCTCCTTCTCCTTCCGCTCCTTCTTCATCCTCCTCTCCCTCTCCTGCCGCTCCTTCTCCTCTCTCTCCCTTGCTTCCCGCTTAACCCTCTTCTCCTCCTCCAGCTTCAAGACCTTCTCCCGCTCGTGCAAAGGCAGCTTCTCGAAGTGCGCCTTCTTTCTCTGCTGCTTCGCCTCCACTGCCTGAGCATACGCTTCTTGTCTCTTGCGCTTCCTGGTCTGCTTCTTGAGCTCGAGTTTGGCGGCCGCGTCTGCCTTTGCAGCCTCGGCGTCTGATTGAGCAGGGGTGGCTCTGCGCGAGGACGGGACCGAGAAGGAGGACGAGGACGAGGGAAGGGGGGAGTCGGTTCTGGAGGCGGATGTTGAGGTGGGAGTGGACATTGACGGCTCGTGGGCTGGAGATGGGGCGGCTGTACTTTTCGGTCTCGGAGCTTGAGGTTGGTGGTCGACCTTCGCCTTCTTCTTGGCTCGAGGTGGACTGCGGGCTTGTGACAGCGATGAGCTGCCCTTGGCGTTTGCGGCGTCGCTGCCTTTCTTCTTCTTTTTGGTGGCGCTGCGCTCAGCTTGCGAGCTTGACGAGCTCGCCTGCGTCTGAGGTGACTGGGGTTGTCTCTCGCTCAGCCTCGAAGAGGATTGTTCCGACGACGTACGATTCGAGATCGAAGTACTAGTTGACGACTGCCCTGTGAGCCAGGCGGGTGCTGCAGGAAGTGGGTGAGACACAGCGGCTGGTAGATTGGATGGAGGTGCAATCGTCCGAGAGGGTCCAGCGAATGGTCTTGCTGATAGACTGCCGCCTCTACCAAGAAGTGGTCGTGGAGGTGGATAAGGCCGGGTCCCTCCCGAGGACGACGATGCTGCTGCGTTTGCTAATGTGAAGCTGCTCTTGGGCCGTGCAGGCACAATGCTCGGCGGAGCGCTAGGCTTCTCCGGCGCTACATGACGTCTGGTGGTGAACATGCTTTGCAGCGCAGGCTGCGGCCCGATCTCGTTAGGCTGGACATCCTCTGCCCGTTTTGGCGGCGCCTGGACGGCTGCTGTGGGTCCAGCGGGAGCGTTTCGAGGTGGGCCTCGATCGAGCCGCGAGGGAGGCTGTGACCTAGAGGACGGACCATGCTGTGTACCGCTGGGCTGTCGTGATGTACTGCTGCTGGGCGACGATGACGGAGGGTCAACGGCGCTGTCGTGGCGGCTGCTCCACCCATTGTCATGTCGAGGCCCAGTCGGTGCACCTGGCCCAGTCCAGCCGCTCTGACCCCAATTCCAGTGCTGTGCGTTACTGCGAATCATAGCGAGGCCTGCAATGGCGCCAAAGACGCAGGGTTGGTGGCGATGATGGCCATGTGAGCGATAAGGTCGATGATGATGAATGAAATGAGGCTCGAGCTGCCTCCGCTCCTCGCTGCCTTTGTCCAACTTCAAGATCCGACGACGCGGATGTGAACGACGCCCACTCACTCTCTTTCCGTCCAGCCCAGGCTACAAGTCGGATCGGAATGGCCCTGTGCAAACCACGTGGCCGACAATGACAAATGGGAAGGCCGGCTGGACGTGGTCATCGTCGTCGACGCCGACGTTTCCCCACCTCCTCAATCTCCACTCCGCCACTCCTCATCACACGCCATCATGTCCCTCCGTGCAGCAGCTTCGAGCGCCCTCCGTGGCGCAACTAGGTCATCACGCGGTGTCGTCGCCAGCTCGTCATCAGCCCGCGCTATCAGCACATCGGCGCCGCGAGCTTCGGACTCCATCTTCGTTCATCGCGATACCGATTACAACAACCCGTCGATCGTGAGCACGACCACTGCTCAGATCCCCACGCCACGTCTTGGCGTCTCACTGACTTTGCCTTCCCTCCTCTCCGCGCATGCAGCCCTTCAAATTCAATGACCAGATGCTCGCCCAAGCGAAAGAAATCATCTCGCACTACCCTCCTCAGTACAAGAAGGCTGCCGTCATTCCGCTCTTGGACTTGGGGCAGAGGCAGAACAGCGGCTGGACGTCGATTAGCGTCATGAACTACGTAGCGGAGCTGCTCGAGATGCCTAGGATGAGGGTGTACGAGGTTGCGTCTTTCTACACGATGTGAGTGCGCGAGCAACACGAGGCTAGATGAGGGATGTATGCTGATCACGGTCCACGCTCTCGCCCAGGTTCAACCGCGAGCCCGTAGGCAAGTACTTCATCCAGCTCTGCACCACGACCCCCTGCGCCCTCCGTGGTGCCTCCCCCGGCTTCTCCTCATTCGTCCAACCGGGCGAGTCCATCTTGGAGACCATGGTCTCGCACCTGGGTATCAAGCCCGGCCAGACGACCAAGGACGGTATGTTCACGCTCCTCGAGGTTGAGTGCCTGGGAGCGTGCGCCAATGCACCGATGGCGCAGGTTAATGACTTCTTCTACGAGGATCTGACCCCGGAGACGACGAGGAAGTTGTTGGATGACTTGAAGGCGGGCAAGGTTGTCAAGGCTGGTCCGCAGGGTGGGGTGAGGCATACGAGTGAGGCGGCTACTGGAAGGTGAGTGCGCGCACTGCTAGAAAGACGATGAAGACAGAGCCGTAGCTGACCGCCTCGTTGTTGCAACCTACTCCCTCTTCGCCAACAGGACCGCCCTTACGTCGAAGCCGACAGGCACGGAAGTCTTCAGGGCTGACTTTGCTTGATCATCGTCTCTCTCATGCGTCTCGTGTATCTCTCATATCCTCTCATACGTCTCGATGTGAATACAATGCGAGCGTAGCGACTCCTTGTGCCTCTCCTGTATGCTCCCCGACGCCCGTGGTACGCTTACATAATCGCCTCCGCCCTGTCGAAATATTTCTCAACTTTGGCAGCGTCGTTGGCCTCGTTCCGTGCGTCCCTTGCGATTCATTCTCCTCTCGCACCAGTGTCATCATGGTCCGCCTCCCGCGCGAGTCGCTCCTCTTCTCATCGCCAAACCACCTCTGTCTGGTCGATGTCGCCCATCCAAAGCCTTCAGCGCCCGTCGTGAGCCTCAAGCCGTCCTCTTCGACGCCTCCTCCAGCGCAATGCTTGTCCGTCGTTCCTCCTGACCCCTCGCGTGGTAGCCAAGGATTGGCAGCATGGGTCGACGGTCCGAAGCGCAATATCATCTACGTCTCGCCTCTTTCCACGCCGACCTCCTCATCATCGTCAAGTAAACAGGCCTCGCCAACTGCAACACGCTGGCATCCCCCGCAACCGGTCTCCTCACTCTTGCTCAGCCCGGACGGACGCCTCCTCCTGGTAGGATGCGACGATGGGCGTGCCTACCTTTGGGAGGTGAGCAGCGGTCTGCTTAGAGCGACGTGGGAGCCACACTTTCGTGCTGTGTCAGCGATAGCATGGAGTGCTGATGGCGGGATGGTGGCTACGGGGAGTGAGGATGGCAGAGTGTGTGTTTGGAGTATTGTAGGGTGAGTACGACTCAGGCTCGATCTGGGCTGGCCGAGCTCCTAGCTTACGCATGACCCTTTGCAGTCTCTACCATCCCTCTGGTCCCCATCCGCAACCCTACGCAACTCTCTCCTCCCACCTGCTCCCAATCACAGCCCTCTCCTTCTCCCCGGCAACATGCAATTCCACCCCTTCGCGCGCCCAACTTTGGTCGGCAAGCAAGGACGGGACAGTCAAGCTGTGGGATATGCGCAGCAGATCGCTGCTGGCGGATGTGGTTGATCCGGCAGGTATTGCAGCAGGAAGCGCGAAGGGTGGGGCATCTCCTGCGGTAGACGCTCTGGCAGTTGATCAGACGGGACGCTTTGCCTTCGTAGCGGCTGGTGGGCAAGTGAGTCGCATAGACGTCTACAAGAAGATCTCGGAGCCTTCCTTCGCAGCAGCAACAGCAGCATACGAGACTTTCGACCCCTCCTCCTCCTCTTCTGCAACCGCCTCGTCATCGCGAAGTATCTCCCTCCCCACCAGCTCCGGTCGTCCAACGTCTCTCTGCGTCTTGCCCTCCTCTTGCACACTGGCAGTAGGAACTGCGCAGCCTTCCGCCTTGCTATTCGTGGATATCGCCTCCCGCCAGGTATTGCGGAGTGTTTCCCTCGCCGGGGAGGGGGCGACGGCAACCTCAGCAGCAGCAACGGGCGCTGTAGGAGTGACAAACGTGGCGGGGATGTACAGGCCCAACGAGGACGAGAGGGGCGAGGGATTCGTGGCGAACAAGGCAGCAGCAGCCCCGAGGATCATTGCAGCCAAATTGGATCGCGTCGTACGCTCGGCGGGCGGGGTTGGCGCTCATGGCGTCGAGGAGGGAGAGGAGGAAGACGATGAAGAGTACTGGGCTATCCTCCCTGACAGGTGGGACGCTCACATGGCTGAGGTCGCGCCCTCTGCGTATCCCGCCACCGCTGGAGCAGCAGCAGCAGCCTCCTCGGTACCTCAGACGAACGGAGCCGCGGCTTCGACTAGTGATACGGAGCTTCAGTCGCGTCTCAAAGCCTCAGAAACCCGTACGGCGCAATTGGAAGCGCAGGTCAGGCGAGCGGCCAAGTTGAATGACGATTTGTGGGGAATGTTGGTCAAGGGAGGACATGTGAAGCAAGGCGAGCAAGCTGGCGCTGCGGCTGTGGCAGGGACTGAGAAGGGAAAGGGGGATGAAGATGATGAGGAATCGGAGGTGGAAGAGGAGAAGGAAAAGGGCAAGACGACACGCGCCTCACGGTCCAAGGCAACCGCGGGTAAGGGGAAGCAAAAGCGGAAGCGCCACTGAGGCGAGGTCACAAGGCGTTTGCTCAAATGGCGCACATATCGATCTACGCTCATCTTGCACGTCTGAGAGCGTTTCCATTTCGTTCCGAATCAAGCTACAGCACGATCCAACGCGATCGTTCAGAGGTAAGAAGAAAGTCGAGGCCAAGGTTCATTCGCCGATCAGCGACGCGTCGCGCTCCTGCCCTCACGCGTCCTTCCTGAGGCCCGCAGCAGCCGGCGGACTACTGCTCTTCCTCCTTCCAGCCCCGTAAGCCTGCGCAACCCCCTTCCTCGTCGTCTCATCATCGAACACCACCCTGCCCCCAATGAACGCATATGGGTAGTCCCGCTGGTACGCGTTGCACACCGTCTTCCTTCCCGCGACACAGGGAGTGCTCGCCCAGCTCCCACCCAGGACAACATCGTGTCGCCCGTCGTGGAAATCGGCACTGTAACCCGGGTAGAGGATGGAGGGTACGAACCCTTCATGAGCGGAGAAGGCGGTACAGGTCCATTCCCACACACCGCCGTTGTGTCCGGGAAGACCGAGGGAGTTTGCGCCGCCTTTGGCTGTGATGTTGGTGGGGAGGGCGGCAGGGACCGGGTGCCAATAGCGGAATCCGACGTTGCTGCCCGGTCGGTCCACGCAGTTGGGAGACGTGGCAGAGTCGAGGAAGCGACGGAGCTCGGCATGCGTAGGTAGACGTCCGCCTGCCCAAGCAGCGTAGCGACGTAGCTGTGCGCCTGAGCCCGTGACGGGCCAGAGGCGGGCGACGGTAGCCAGGGGCACGGGGCCGTAGATGGTGCGGACATTGTAGTCATGGCTGGACTTGCTGCCGGTGCCGGTTGCCTTGATCCAGGAAGGGGGAACGTCCTGCTCCTGATAGCCGGTGGCGGCAACGAAGCGCAAGTACTGCTCGTTGGTGACCGGGCTGGCCGTGATACTGAAGGCCTTGGTCTGCTCCTTGCGCGCGGGCTGCTCGTTGTCCCACCCGAACTCCGGGTTGCCCAGCTGCGCATTGAGGGCTCGCACATCCTTAGAGGGAGCTTTCGTCTCGAAGTCTGTGTCGCGGCGGTCATCATCATCGTGACCGATCACCACGGTGTCGGCCTTGAAGTTGACGAGAGCGTTGCGCTCTTCCTCGCCTCCCTGTCGAGCGTCTTCCTTCTCCCACTGGCGAGTAAGAGACGCCCAGTCCGGCTGCGAGAAGCCGACGGGAGGTAACGTCTCGTCGCTCTGTGCCAGCATGTAGAGCAGTGTCTCCTGATGCAAGTCGATGTGCTCCTGCACCATCTTGATGCACCTCGCGACATGCCTGTTCAATGTGCGCTTCCCGCTCGCGAAATCAGCATAGATTCCCACGAGCCTGTCCATCACCTTCTCCCTGTACGCCAAGATCTCTTCGACCTTTGGCCAGTCCTCCTCCGACTGAGGCACCTCGCTGTGCGAGTGGCACTGCGTGGGATCGTCGACGTGTGGGTCGATGCCGCGCTCGAAGATCTTGTTGTAGTATGCGTCAAGGGGCTCAAGGTCGGGAAGAACCTTCAACAGGAGGATGTCCACGAAAGCGGGAATGTGCCCGAGGTAGAAGAGGCAGATGTGACGCAGGTCGATTGGTTTGACGTGGAGCCTGGTGAGCAAAGGGGGAGCAAGAAGGTCAGTTGAAGGCGATCTCTTCGTATTCATGGAGGTGGTGCGCGTGCTCACATTCGGCGAGAGATCATCGTCAGGGTAATCACGTCCCAGCTTCGCCAGCTCGACTCCCTGGGCACGAAGAGGGCACGAAGAGGGCACGAAGAGGGCACGAAGAGGGCGCGAAGAGGGCGCGAAGAGGGCGCGAAGAGGGCGCGAAGAGGGCGCGAAGAGGGCGCGAAGAGGGAAGCGATGGGTCAGCGTGTGCCTACGTATGACGCGTGCCGCCTCTGACTTACCACTCGTCGAGCGAGGGCATCCCCCAGGACCCCCAAGCCTCATGAGGCTTGGGCGGCCCACCAACACTGAATGCGCTGGACCCTCCATCAGCGTCAAACTCGTGCGACCCATTACTGTTATGAGCCTCCTGCACCGACAAGCCCTTGCCGACTTGCTCGCGCCATCCAGTCAAGAGGCGCGTCGACTGGAAATGGAAGGGAGTCTTCTCCACCAGCCAGAGGTCGTAACGCTCATCGTCATCGGTCCATTTCTGGACGACGCGCAGACCAGCATGATCGAGGGAGTCGAGAGTCTCACGCTCAGCGTACTTGTAGCTGCGCTCTACGTGGATGAGCTCGCCTTCCTCCAGCTCGACCGTCTCGCCGTCTGGGAGGGTGAGGAGTTGCGTCAGGAGAGAGCGATAGTAGCTTTCGTGACGACCCTCGACATCGTTGTATCGATCATGATACTCGAACCTCGCGGGGTCAATCACCCCTTGGCCGCCCAGAACGCGGTCGGCGTGCTTGAGCCCATTCATGACGAATGAGGCTGTCAAGCCCTTAGGGTCGTTGTACGCCAGCTCGATGTCCCTCGCAGCGTTGCGGCGGTCAATGCCGATGAGCATCTTGTCACCGGCTCGCATCGACTTGTCGGCCATGGACTTGAGGAACTCAGCACCATCACGGCGTTCGAAGTTACCAATCGATGAGCCCAGCCAGAGGAAGACGCGACGCCCATCCCCGAGCCCGCCGTCGGCGATGTGCTCGAGCCCTTTGTCGTACGTGGCCCACAGGCCGTTGATGGCTACCTTTCCATCGAGGATGGTCCACTCATCGCTGACGCAGGCCTCCTCCTTTCCTTGACCTCCACTCGTGCTCGAGCCCAGCTGCGAGCGGAGGTCGTGCAACGTGCGTACAAGCTCAGACTTGTCCAAGTCCAAAGCATAGTATCGCACGGGGTCCTGCTTCTTCAGCCCGGGCAGCTCGCCCAGACCACGAAGCAGGTGAATGGTCTTGCGCAGCGAGCCGGCGCCAAGCTCTACGACGGCGGCTCCGGCAGCTGGTGAGCCACCAGAGCCGCAATCGTCGAGACCGTGCTCCGAGTTGACGCCGCCGTTGTGACGGCCAACGGTAAAGTCGCCCCACTTCTCTTTGAGGGTGCGATACTCTTCGAAGTGGAGACCGTCGAATACGGGGACCTATGAGCGCGTGGGTCGGGGGAGTGTCAGCATGGTCGCCCATCAGCCTCGCCTTCATGTGCGGCACACGCACATCCTTGTCGTCCTTGTTGTGCTCGTGCTTCTTCTTGTCCTCGCGCTCGAAGTCCTGCTCGCTGAGTGCTTCGCGGAGCATCTGCAACGTCTCCTCAGTCTGATGACCGAAGAGACGCAAGGCAATCTCGCGGCCATGCTTCTCCAAAATTGTCTTCTCGGCCTTCCAGAGGTAGTACTCGGGTACCTCGACCATCTGTACGGAGGTGCAAGGGCGGGTCAGCATAGGGTCATCCACTCCTTGCGCCCTGCCACTCTCCTGCTCACCTGATCGTAGATCTTCAAGCCGGCCTCGTCATATAGCAGCGTGGTAGGCAATGTCTTCCTGTACGCCCACTCCACATCTTCTGCGCGGTCGGTGCTGCCAGGCACCGTAAGCGTGGCGTGGCCCTTGAGTCCAGCAATGACCTGACGCTTGAGCTCCTCAGCCTGGCCCTCACGATCTTGTTCGGGAGATCCAGATTGGAGGTCTACTACGGGCGGCTCCTCCTGCGCAGTACCATTGGTTCCAGCCACCTTGGACGGGACGCTACTGTTAGGCCCCGTCTTGAGCGACTTGGCGGCCGGTGGAGCCGTAGGCGTCGGTGCCGCCGACTCTACTGTCGTGGCGATGGGTGCCATGATGCGTAGATGAGAGAATGAGATGGTTGGATGGTTATGGTCAGGAAGACACAACAAAGCTGGCTGAGAGAGAGAGAGTCTCTTGGCTTAAGACATCACCCCCACACTTGAACCAAATGGTCCCGCTCTCGTCCCTGGCGCAGCATCATCACTGTCGTTTGGCCGACTCAAGTCACTCAAGCCCCCGCACGGGCCCTGGTTCTCGACCCAGTGACAAGGGTCCTTGTCCCACTCCTCTTCTTCCTAGCCGCCGACGTCGCCGCCCCGCGGTCGCCGTGCCGTCCGTTTTGCTTCCTCAGCTGCCAGAAAAGTGCCCGCGAATTCAGGCACTGCGCCACTCTTTGCGCAGAGTCGAGTCTATTCCGCCTGCCCTATGACCACGTACGACAGCCACGACAGTAGCCTGGCGCCTGGTGGAGGCGAGGCCGGCAACTCGCATCTGGAAGTCAATTCATTTGGGGACCATCAGCGCGGCGCAGCTCTCGCAGAGAGAGAGAGAGAGAGGAGAAAGGGGTAGTATTCGTCTTCGTGAGATGAGAGAACATAGATGGAGGGGTGAAAGGAGGGCAGCCGGCGCTGCCGTCCTGGCCAGCTCGGAACGTCGAGCGCTGTGGAACGAGCAACGCGTGGAGCGCGACGATTCGACGCCACGGTCGAGTCTGCGGTGTACCATAAGATCACTCGTACTTGACGGCTTGAGCGTCGCTCCTCAAGGACGCGCAGGACCTGTGGGAAATGCATTACGATGTCAGTATCATCATATGCTCCTCGCTGCGCAGGTCGAAGCTCTCACTGGCCAGGGCCGAACGGATTGTCCCACTGTGCAGCAATGCTCAATCCATAGACGTTCTTGAATGTCATGGCCGACGGCAGTGAGGGAAAGAGCACTGCAGTGCGGTGTCGTGCGCGACAAGTAAGCAACATTGCCCTTCTGAGTGAGCTGTACCGCCTCGTTCGCCTCCCGACACTCACCCTGTACCGTGCTGCCCTTGACTCTGAACGGGTGAGCATATGTCTCATCAAAGTAGAAAGTCTGCTTTGTGCACGTTGGGATATCCGTATGCTCGTACGGGGCACTGAGCACGCCTTTGAAGAATTTCGGATGGATCGACTTTCTGTTACTGCTGCCAGCCCTGCTGAAGATGGCATTCACCACCGGCGAGTCTGGAGTGGGCAGACCGAGCAGGCCGTCGAGCTTGACGCCGACGTCCACGCTCAAGCTCATTTGTCCGCCCCCGATGGACTTGTACGCGGCATCGGGAGGGTCGAAGTTAGCAAGGACCATGTTGTTGAGTTGTTGAAGGGTACCAGCTAGGGCAGGAACGAGCTGAGAGATGTAGATCACCGTCGGGATGCGAGTAAAGGCTGTGCTGCCGTCATTGCTGGCGTCGACGAAAGGGAGCAGTGTCCGTTGGATCTGCGGAGGAAGAAGGGATGTCCGATTTTTAGCACAGCTCGGTGTGAGAGTGACAGCGAGCTGATACTCACTACGAGGTTGGGAATGGTCACACCAACCTGCCTGATGTCGTGCTGCAGTCCGCCATACAGGATGAGGGGATGCTCGTCTTCCTTCAGGTACCCTGCAGGCAAGCCGCGTACGGGCAGCAGCTTATGCCCATTGGCCATCGACTGAGCGAGACTCTTCTTGATCGGCAGGGCGAAGGCCGTCAGGTTCCATGAGGCCGTCTGGCCTACCGGGTCAGAGGGGTAAATGGTGTTGGGTGCCTGGCGGGACGCGAAGGGCGTGTGTGAAAGAGCTATCGCCGCGGTGGCGAGCGAGAGAAGGGAGAGGATGGAGGGAAGCATGCCGGGAGAGAGATGGGCTGGATCGTGATGGTGCGCTCACAATAGGATGGCAGGGCGAAGGCAGGCTATATAGCAACTGCCTGAGATGCTCACGACCCCAATCACCCTCAGCGGTTCAACATCTCGCACCTCGAACCTCGGCGAAGATGTTAATCGAACCGCAAGCGCTCCTTGCGCTCCTTCCCTCCCCGCCAAAGTTATGAGACAATTGCTGACAGAGAACGGGGCTCGATCTCGTATTAACTTCGCCCTCTGATGACCCCGCTACGCGCCCGGACCGCTCGTGCCGTAGAGCCGGTCCGAGCTTAGCCTTTTCTGTGCATACAGTACCGCAGCGCAGGTGCAAGAAATTGGGGATGGGGGCATAGAGAAGGGGCTCCAGCGCGTGTGCATCTCCTCTCTACTCTACATTAGCTTGCTCTGGCTTAGCGTAGAAGCTGGGCAGGGGGATTCAGGCAAGATGTCACGGCTTGCGACTCCGGTTTCCGATCGCACGGCGGGACATTAGGGATAGCGGGGTGAAGCAGTTTGCGAAGCTGTTCTAATGAGCACGAAAGTACCGCTTGCTCACCCGGATTTTGGAGGCAATGGGCGAGCCGAGGGCGGCAGGTGTCATGCGATGAATCATCTAATCGACGACCTTTACGACCCGTGGCGGGGTGAGTGAGCACAGGAGGCAAGAAGAGCGTGACGAAAACGATGCGCGCAGACGAATGAAGGCAAGACGAGTGGAGAGGATCAACTATCGAGATTGCGTCTTTGTGTGTTTGCCTCAGTCTTGTCTGCCTATCTGTCGGTGAAGCGTGGAAGAAGAGGGAGAAGCTTTGAACATGGATCGAAAAGTGGGTGCGAAATAAAGGATGCGAAAGGCGTGTCAGGTGAGAAGGTGGGGGAAAGTGTCCATTGGTGAAAAGTGCATGGTCGATCGGCGACGGTGAAGACGATGACGACGACGACGACGACGACGACGACGACGACGACGTCGGGCGGGGAGCCGGGATGACGCGGGCTTAGAATCTTCTAATCGGCTGTTGTTGCTGCCCACCATAGCCCTGCTGCGGTGGAGCCCTGAATCCTCCCGCACCGCCGCCACCGCCGTACCCTCCCCCTCCCTGCTGAGGAGGCGGCGGCCTCGATCCACCGTATCCCTGCTGTGGTGGTGGCCTCGACTGTTGGAAGCCAGCGGGCGGATGCTGCCCTCCATATCCACCCTGCTGTTGCGGGGGCGGTCGTGCCGCGTAGGCCATGTTCTGCTGCTGTGGGTAGCCTCGCGGGTCTGCTGGGCCTGCTCCCGGCCGAGGGTTGGAGTAGCTGCGCGGCGGTACGGCTCCGTTGGCTCCGTTGGGTTGAAGACCACCACCACCACCGCCGCCGCCATTGCCGTATGGGCTTGGCCCATTAGGACGACCGTTCATCGGCGCTCCATTCGGTCGAGGTGCCGGACCACCCATCCCTGCCAGTCTACCTCCATTAGGCGCTTGCACTCCTCCACCTGCCGGCCTGCCACCAGCAGTAGGCCTCGAGCTCGGCACGGCTGCCATCCTGGATGGGGATCCCCCACTAGCTGCGGCACTCTTCTCCGCCGCCTTGATAATCTCCTCATCCAGCACGTTGAGAGCAGCACACAGCACGATCCACTCGACCATATCCTCGTTCCCCTCGCCCAGCGTTTGCCAAACGGCCTTCTCCTCCGGGCTCTTCCCCGTAATCGTGACCCTAGTTCCTCCTCCTCCCCCACCTCCCCCGCTTGAGGAGCCCTGCGTCGCATTCTTCTGGATCTTGCCAAACTCGATTCGCTTAGGCGGGATAAGATGTCCCGCGTACGTGAAGTAGAACATGGTCCAATAGGGAGCGTTAGGGTTTGGCTTGGAGATCTGAAAGAGTGGTTGCTCGTGGCCGGGAGCGTCGGGGTTGGGGAGGGTGAGCTTGTACACGGGGGCGTTGATGCCCGTGTTGGTGATGGACCACTTGAGGTTGCGCGACGCCTCGCAGCGCACTGAACGATCTCGATTCGGGTCGTTGCTGTGTCCTGGATCAGATGCTTGACCACCAGGACCGCGCGAGCCGGGGGGAGGGACCATCTTGGCTACGCATAGGTCGCCTTGTGGGGAGGGGGTGAGGAGGTACGTCTCTTTGTTGAAGTTGGTGTGGATGTAGCTGTACAGGGTGTGGTGCGGTTGGCCGTGTGGGGTTACTATGAGGGTTGGGAGGTGGTTGGGGATCGGGGCATGATTGGGAGACGTGAAGACTGAGTAGGACGCTGCGAGCGGGAGAAGAGGGGGGATGGATGAGATAGATGTTGTTAGCGGCTGCCACAACAGCCAGGCTGTAGCTACGTCTACTCACCTGACATCTTGGCGGCGATTGCGACGTCAGCGCCGCGATGTGGTGATGGATGCTCGGCGAGGTTGTCGAGGACGAGGACGAGTCGGACGAGGGTTCAGGGGCAAGCAATCGTACAATCAATGAGCCGCCCTTGTTTGTCGTTGCGCAAGCTAATGAGGGTGAAAGGACGCGCGGATGATAATGTTGATCAAACCACGCTGTGATAGCCGTCAAGGGATGAAGAGGAATCTGCGCTGCGGATGCTGTTTTGGGTGTGTCGTTGGTAGTGATGATGGTTGATTGAGAGAGGCGTTTCTTGGCTTCGCTGCATATAGAACGACGGAGCGAGCCAGTTGAGACGGCCGACAGGCAGGCAGGCAGGCAGGCGGGCAGGCAGGCGTGGGCAGCAGGGAGGCAGCCAAGGCGGAGGCGGGCAGCGGGCAAGGCGCGGCTCAAAGTAGAGGCGGCTCCACGGGCGCGAGAGCAAGCAGACGGATGCCCAGCCCAGCCAGGAGCCAGGGGCTAAAGCCGCCCTCATCAACCTCCTCCTACTGCAGCACCAGTCGAGGTTCCTTGGCGCGAAAAGGAGGCAATGCCTGCGGGGGAGGAGGAAGGCCAATAATAGGAGGCAGCAGCAGGCAAGTCATGCTCTGATATCATCGTCATTAGGCACACGCAGCGGCGAGGGGTCACACGAGCTGCGCTCACGTTCTGCTGTAAAATCGCTCTGCTCATTGAATCGAGACGACGATGTAGGAGGGACAAAAAAGTACATGAGGATCATCGCATCGAGCCGACAAGCATTGCTGGCGCTGGCAAACGCCGTAACACCCGCACGCTTAGGCGACGAGGGTGGAAGCGGTGGCAGCCTCGTACTTGAAGGTGGGAGGGACAGCACCGACGCGCTTGTAGTAGCGGGCGAGGCGGTGGATACGCGACTCGATGAGAATAAGGCGGAACTGTGGGCGTGAGCGGGGCAAAAGAAGGTTAGATGCTGGCTAGCTGAATGTCGAGTGTCAGAATGGGCTCGACTCACCTTGGAGTCCATGTCCTTCCTGTTCCTCTCAAGGTGCTTGCGGACCGAGACGGCCTTCTTGATGAGGTGGTACAGGTCCTCGGGGATGCTGGGAGCGAGGCCCTCCGACTTGAGGATACGGAGGATCTGCGAGGGGGCGGTGAGAAATGAGAAAAGTCAGTCTTGTATTCACTCTCTCGGCTCTGTCCCTAGCCGCCCGCACGCACCTTGTTACCAGTGACGAATCGGACCTGGCCAATGCCCTGCGAGTCACGGAGCTGGACACCGATCTGCGAAGGGGTGAGACCCTTGCGTGCCAGCTTGAAGATCTGGGTAGAGACCTCCTCAGGGGTGGTCTTGAGCCACGAGGGGGCAGAGCGCTTGTAGGGCAGAGCGCTCGAGGCGATACCCTTTCCGTTGGCTGCGAGTGGGAGAGGGTAAGATGATGATGATGATGAGCAGGGGCGCTCACGCTGCCAGATAGGTTGGTGTCTACGCCAACTCACAGTGCATGCGACCCATGTTGGCTTTTTGAGGAAAAAGAGGGTCGAGCGGGTAACGAAGAGCAGCAATCAAGTCAGCTCAAGTCGCTCCCTTGAGAGTCCGGGTCATTCATCCAAATGGGACGTGCTGCGAGGCTACGCTCATTGGTCGAAGCCAGGCTGCCATTTGCTGAGCGTGGCCAGACCGCAAGTCGAGCTGTGATCAGCCGTCGATGACGATGACGATGTGATGGTCCGCAGAGCCTTTGCTCCCTCATGGCAGTCCTTCGCAGCACGTCCTCCAATTCTCTCCTTCCAACTTTCTCTGCATGTATGCTCACCTGCGAGAGGGTAAAAGCAATGTCAGCAACTGGCGATGAGATCCTCGAATGATCCGACAGCAGTGCTCACTCACCTTACTTTGATGTCTTGACGAACCGGGGAAAGGAAGAGGACGAAGGGTGGTGGTAGTGAGGACAGGCAGCAGCGAGAACTTCGGACCGAGGGCGGGTGGGCCGATTCGAGGATCGACGCCAGCGCTGCACGTGACTTGAGCCTCATCCATTTTTGCGGCCGCAGATTTCGAGGCACTGGAGCAGAGGTCCGTTTTGGCTGGCGCTGCACATCGCAGCCTCAGCTCAGGCTCAGGCTCAGCCTCTCAGACAGCGCGGGCGGGCGGCCAGGCCAGACGTGAGCTCATCAGCCTCGAGGCCGAGGATCCCACCTTGTCACCCTATCCCTCATCGCCACCACCAACCCGTGGGTATCATTTGCAGAGCACGCATCGAGATGGCGAAACATTCGCTGCATTGGGAGTGCTACAGGCAGGCAGGCTGGCAGCGTGGCGCGGCATTGGCATCGACACATCGACGTATAGAGCAACGAGCGAGGCTGGCTGGCCGCGCGAGGCATGGAATGTTGGAGGAGATAGCATACCACTGTCAGCGAACGACGTGGGCAATGGTGCGAGGGGAAGATGACGAATGAGGAGGGAAGAAGAGTGGACAGCATCGTAGCAGTTCGACGGAATGAAGAGGGCCTGCGTGTCGAGGCTTCACCTGCGATGGGTGCGCCGTCCTGCGCCTTCGACGTGCACCTCGTCCATACTCGTTCGCCAAAACGAGGACGACGATGATGGGCAGGTGGAACTAGTCTTCTGCGCCACCATCAGCGTCAGCCACACTTGCCAGCACACGCCGCCACGCCACGCCAGCCACCCTCCCATCAGCGATCTCGCCATCCTCCATCTTGCCACTCGCTGCACCATCTCTCTCTTCAGACACTGACCCTTTCCCTACCTCTCGCTCTAACAGCTCAACAAACAATCCAAAATGGGAAAGGTCCACGGATCCCTCGCGCGTGCCGGTAAGGTCAAGTCGCAGACCCCCAAGGTCGAGAAGCAAGAGAAGGCAAAGGTCCCTCGCGGCAGGGCAAAGAAGAGGCTCTTGTACAACCGCCGGTGAGTAGGCTGTCGCGACCTCAACGCGCACTCATTGTCAGTCAGTGACTGACTCACCCTTTCCACCCGTCTCGCCCACTCGCAGCTTCGTCAACGTCGTCGCCGGCCCCGGTGGCAAGAGGAGGATGAACCCCAACAACTAAGCGTCCACCCTCTCACGAGGAGGAGCGCACGCACGCACGCACGCACGCATCGTAGCGCTACCTTGACGCTCTAGTTGGTTCTTCCGAGTCTCCATCATGTACAATCGCACACACACTACACCTCTTGACTTCAAATCGAGCACTCATCCACACATACACACGCATGACTGGGCGAGGTGGTACACAGCGAATAGCGTCATTAATGATTAAGGATAGGGGATAAAGACGAGGGGAAGACGAATGATTTGCCGGTAAGAAGGGATAGAGTATCGTGAGATGAGCGTGCGCCATGCGTTGCGTTACACCGCCGCTGCTATTGCTGCCGCCGCTGCCGCCGCCGCCGCCGCCGCCGCCACCAACACCGCCTGCGTTGAAGGGATGGGTATAGCAGAGCGAGGAAGGTCACGGGTCGGCCGCTGGCAGTCCTTTGCCCTTCCATTGCCTTCGTCGTACAGAGTCGTGCCGCCCGTTACGCTGCTGCCGTTATCAGCTCTGCACACCTGCCCACACTCCATCCGCTGAGCCCCTCGTAGTCGCCTGGCCCCCCGCCAGGCTGGGCGAGGGCACCGTAGACCTTGCCGATGCTGACGTATTGGTGGAAGGGACCGCGCTACCCCTCTCTGCGTGTCCAGACTGGCCGAGAAGATTCATAATCTCGTCCTCAACACGACGACGCCCCGCGTCGCTCTGGCGCAGGAGTGAGGTGGTGGCAGAAGTGGACTTGCTGTTGAGTCCGCTGCCGTCCGGGCTGCTGGGGGAGAGGAAAGAGTCTCTGCCCTGCTGGCCAGTAGGGTCGTCCTCCTCCTCGCGATACGCGCGAGAGATGGGTCGCATCCCTGCCCCTACGTCAGAAGTACGAAGCTGTGCTCCTGGTTGCTCCGCTCCCTCTCCACCGACTGTTCCACCACCCTCCTCGAGCAACCTCCGCTTGACAGCATAGTACTGCTTAGGGTCAAAGAGGAACTTGCCGCCATCCTCGTGCTGTCGGGCCAGGGACTCGAGGAGTTGCTCTAGCTCGACATCATTGGTGTAGACCACTCGCGTGTCTAGTGCCTGATCGGCAAGACGGAGATTGAAGGCGCTCTGAGCTGCAGCCAGTCGCGCGTCTTCAGAGGAGAGGCGAGGTTGAGCTTCGTCTCCTTGCTGTTGAGCTGCTTGCCAAGGTGCGAGTGGCAAGTCGGGCATGCCTTCCTCGCCACCCTTGTACCCCTGCTTACGCTGTCTCATCGCCGCGGCTACGTTGCTCTCGGTCCTCTGTCTTTGGAAGAGACTGCGTGAGTCGTCCTCTCCGTCTCGTAGGAGGCCAGTGAAGGTTCGGCCACCTTCCTCAACGCTCGGTCGGCCCTGCTGCTGATACGTCGAATGTCCCGTAGCCTGCGGTAGGAGGCTGCCGTTGCTTGCATCGGCGTACGAGTCCCTGGGCGGTCGGTTGAGGAAAGAGAATTGCGATGCATCGCTGTTTCCCCTCGTGTGCCCGCCAGGAGGAGCAGCAGCCGTAGCGCCCTCTTCTCCGCTTCGTCTCTCGCCCTCGCCCTTGCCCAACCCAGCAATGATTTGCCAAACGACCGACCCGTCCGCCCTCTCCGTGACCTCAATATGACTGCCCGTGGGCACCTGCGCATGATTGAAGGCCGACGAGCCGGGGCGAGAACCGTCGTAGAGCGAAGCGCCATCGCGGTCTTCATCGCCGGCAGCGCCCGAAGGACCGATGTACATGTCGTAGAGGGAGCCGGCATACGAGCCGCCGTCAGCGCCACCAGTGGCGGTGGAGACGCGTCGCGTGCTGTTGGCGAAGCTGGGCGGTCGTAGGCTGGCGGCACCGAACTTGCTGGCGCGGGACATTCGCATGGTTGCTCTATTCGCTCCGCCGGCATTATCCTCTGATCGACGAATCTGCGACGAGGGTCGCGAAGCCTCATTGCCCGCGCCACTTCCACCGGCGATCAGAGCAGCGTAGCTTGCATTTGCCTCGTCGTCATCAAACTCGCCTGCCTTGTTGGGGCGAGACTTGCGTCTTGAGGCGACCGACGGGGCGACAGAGGAGGCGACGCTGAGGCGGCGGCGTTGCTCTTCGTTGGCGGCGGCTTCGTTGGGGAAGATGAGAGTGCGACGAATGATGGTGTTGCGTGCAGAGGAGGAGGCGACGGCTGGGGCGATAGATCCGTTGGCTGGCGGGTCGCTCGTCGGGAGGCTGCCGGATGTGGCCGTGGACACGCGGTTCTGCGGTGCCGAGGAAGCTTGAAGCTGGGCTTGCTGTTGTTGGGGCTGCTTCCACGCGGGAGCAAAGCCGCCAAAATTGTCCTCCTGGATAGCTGCAGGGGAGCCCAGCAGACCCTTAGAGCCACCGCTCTCGTTCGCTGCGAGCGAGTGATCTGCAGTACTCGAGGTGCGCCAGCTATCCTCGTTGGCCAGGGGAGCAGATGGCCCAGACCAGTGTCCCAGCGCAGACGTCTCACTGCGGTCAACGATGGGGCTGGGCATCATCCCCGTCAGGCGACCAGCGGCACCGCTCTCCGGCAACGTCGAGTCTGTAGACAGGCCGCCCGCACCTCCAGCTCCTCGCCCTGCAGGGCCGGCACTCTCGCCAATGCCGAAAGGCGAAGGGCCACGCATGGGTGTGCCCCTGTCAGGCAGCATCGCCGAGCCCGTTGCGCTATGATCAGCAGCAGAGAGGCTGGGCGACTGCTGAGTCACAGAGGGCGACCCTTCCTCGGTAGGCTTGCGTACGCGCATCCTCGACATGAGGCGACTGAGGCTGCCGTTACTGCTGGAAGCGGGCAGAGTCCCTGCAGCACTCCCTCCGCCGGAGCTCTTGATCGAAGCTGGGGTACCAGGAGCGACGAGGTTGCCTGCGGGTGCTGGCGCGCTTGCTGGCGCGCTTGCTGGAGGCTCACGTAGGGTGCGAGACGCTGGAGGCGTCCAAGCAGCCGCGGTACTTGCGGGCGCGGCAGATGTCGGGCTGGACCACTCTTCGGCTCTGGAGCTAGGCGTGTCCAATCGACCTCGATGACCGAAAGAGCTAGAGCGACGCATGTGCAGCAAGGTCGCAGGCATCGTCTTTGGATCGTTGCGGTAGTCGCTTGCTTGCCTGAATGGCGGGCGTCGTTGAGTCGCAGCGTCGGCCGTCTGACTGCGCGGTGACTTCTTGTTGACCGTCGGCTCAGGGATCGGTTGTGCGTGACCCATGTACTGGCTCGTCGTGAGCAGTTCGGGCGCGCCAATGAACTTGCCTGGGTTGCGCTTAGCCTTGCGCTTCGAGAGGATGCGCGACCTACGCGGCAGGAGATGAGGGCCGCCATCTCCTGAGTGAGGGCCTTTCAGCGCGGCCGTAGCAGCTTGGGCTTGCGCGGCGACGTCATCCACGAGATTGGGGGTGAAGCCTTGCCCCTGGCGTGGGGAGCGGGAGTCTGACCATACCGACTGGGCGGAATGAGGGCTGCTCATGTTGGCGGCTGCGCTGGCGTTGGCGTTCCCACCCGCGCTGGCGTACGGATGGCCCTGCTGCATCGATGGGTACGACTCGTCGTCGTAGCCACCCTCGGCATCGTCCTCTTCGATTGCGGGAGCGAACAGCCCACCGTAGTCGTGCGATGTGCTGCCTCCGGCGGCACGGCTATGCCCATCGGAGAAGCTTTCAAAGTTGGCCGCCTTGTCGAGTGCCTGCTCAAGCGACATAGAGTAGGAGACGCTGTCTGGCTGGATGCCGTTGAGGATGTTGAGGTCCTGAATCGTGGGCAGGCCGCCTGATGTGCGGCCAGGTGGTGGAGACGTAGGGCGATGACTAGACGTGACGTCATACATGACTTCGCGACCTTTGAAGGAGCGCTGCGAGTTGGAGTGGGACATTCGCGCAGATTGACTGGCAGGCCAAGCAGAATCCTCGCTGGACGTGACTTGAGCTGTTGGGCCTCGAGACGGTGAGCTTGGCGTCGATCCGCTAATCGAGCCTCCCCTCACTCGCTCAGCTGCAATCTGTCTCGCCCTCTCTCGCGCCTTTTCAAGCTTGACAGGCGAGACTGGTGAGAGAGGCTGCACTAATGCACTCTGCGCTGGCCGTTCTGGTGACAGAGGCTGCACCGTTGCCGTCTGCGCTGGCCGCTCTGGCGACATCGGCGGCGGTATCGCGTTTGGGTGCGAGGCAGGGAGTGGGATGGGCGGGGCGATAGGTCCAATAGGTCCCATGCCATGACGCTGGCTGACGGAGCGGACAAGGTTGGCCTGGATCTCTGCAAGCTGATTGACCGTATCGCCGTTGAACTGGCTAGCGGCCTCTGCGGGCGGCATATGGCTGACCGGGCGGTACTCGTCCATTGTCGGTACGAGGGATGAAGTCTGTCCGGCACCGAGTCCACGAGATCCGCTCGCAGCCGCGTCCCCTTCTTCTGTGCCCATGTTGCGGGCCACCTTGGCCCACACATCGTCGACTTCAGGCTCCTGTTCGAATTGCCTCTCAAAGTCGGAGATGTTCGACTCGCTCCCACCGCCAATGCTTCCAACGTCGCTGGGCGAAGCCAGGCTCGGCTGGCCGTACGTCTGCCGCCAGCGTTGTGCGAGGATAGGGTCGTGGGTCGGCGGCTGAGGAAAGAGACCGCCCGTGGTTGGACTCAGGACATCCTCCTGCGATGCATTGATTGCCCGCTGCGTGTCGACGTTGGCTGGCGGAGGCTGGCGCCGGACGATGCTGCTGAAGCCTTGCGAGGGAGTGTTCGTGGTCGCAGCCAAGGCGCTCGACGCAGCAGCGAGGCTGCCGTCATTGACCAAGGGAGCGCGATCTGAAGTTGACCCGGCGGGCGTCGATGGGCTGTTTCTGAAGCCGCTTGCGTATTCGAGGGGCAGCGTCGTCTTGATGCCTCCGCCAGCTGAAGGGAAGTAGCGCTGACTTCTCGCCGCGATGTTCCCAGCGGAGATAACTGAGGCGCTCGTGCCGCTGCTAGAGGAAGGTGGGGTACTCGCAGCGAGGCTCGCGTTGCCGGCAGACGAGGGCTGTACGGGTCTTCGTGGAGCTGAGTTTGCAGCGCCTTGCACCCTAGGCGTCGTCATGACTTCTGGCCTAGGGGTCTGCTCCAGCTGAGGGGTGCGTTGGACGTCTTCGTGAATGGCGACGCTGGTAGCCGTTTCTTCCTTGGCGGATCTGAACGACTCGCCGTCCGAGTCTGATGCCTCCTTGCCGCGTGAAGTCAAGCCTCGTAGGAGGTGACTCTCGTCGCTGACCTCGTCGTCCGCTTCATCCCCACGATTCGAGCGAGTCGCCATACCTTCTGCGAAGAGATTCTCCCCCGCCAACGAGTGGCCGCGACTTTGCTCCTCGTCTTCCATCTCATCCTCGCCGCCGTCTTCTCCGTCCTCCTCGTCCGACTCCTCTGCGGAGATGGCGTCGATCTCGTAATCGCCGTCGTCTCCCGGTGCGCCGCCAAAGCGAGGCAAGCTGCCAGGTGACACGATGCCGATGACCTCCTCGAGGGCGGTGCTGACTCGGCGAAAGGCTTCCGGAGAGAGAGCGGACAAGAGCTGCGATTGACGCTGTGGTTGTTGGAGGGTGGGAGGAGCGAGGTGTGCGCCGCTTCGCTGCGCAGCGACCTGTGACTGCGCATCGCCAAAGCCGCCTGGCACAGCAACATCGTCCTGAACCGCTCTCTCCTCTTCGGGGTACTGCAGCTCTACTTCTTCTTCTTGCGTTCCCTCGTCCTCCTCCTGCTGCTCCTCCTGCTGCTCCTCCTCCTCCTCTTCCTCCTCGATGGGACTCGCCATGCTAGCTACCTTGCTCTTGTCGAGGCTGCGCAAGTAGGCATTGTCCCTCTCTGAGCTCCTACCAGAGAAGAGACTGCCGCTGCCGCTCGACGGAAAGCTCGAGACGTTCTTGAGCTCGCCGAGACTCTCTGTCAAGGAGCCTATGCGGTCGGCTGCCGAAGACCTCTCACCAGTCGAGGATGCATACGATGCGCCGAAGCCGTCGCTACCGGATCCGACGGTGAATCGATCGCGATTGGTATCGCCATCCTGGCCATTCGCCTGCGCAAAGAGCGTCTGCTGTCTCATCTGGTCGATGATCTCGTCCTCTTCTTGCTCGGTGAGGAAGTTTCCCCCTGGCTGGCCAGTAGCGCGTGCTCTGGCTCTCTGAGCTCGAAGCTGCGCTCGCATTGCGTCAGGAGTAACCATGGTACCGTCTGGGGCTCGTAGAAGTGTGAAGCGACGAGTGAGGTGGGGCATGATTAGTGATGTGCCTGCGAGGATGGGATGGGGCGGGTAGAGCACGGGATGTCAGTCCGGCGTCTCTGCGACTTCCTTCGAGCGCATGTCATCCTCACGGTAGTCGCTCTCTGGTGGTAGGGAGAGGAGTGCTCCTGACGACGACGACGACGTTGATGCAGCATTGTCATTCTCGTGTCTTTGCTGTTGTTGCTGCTGCTCCTTCATCTGCTGATTGCGCTGGGCGAGACCGATGCGAATGCCTCCCGGCTTCGAGGGCTGGCGAGCTTTTCGCCGGAAAGGGTTGGATAGCATGGTGTGGTATCGCGATGGTGGATGGCGGCGGCGGCAATGAGGATGATGATGACAAAGAGAGGTCGCGGCCCTCGCTGCTGCTGCTGCTGCTGCTGCTGCTGCTGCTGCTCAGTTGGATACGAGGGAAGCGAGGGCTAATGCCGGCTGCGAAGGGGGGAGATGAGAGGGCGGGCGGCAGCGGCAATCGAGGGCCACTCGGCGGCGGCAATGAAGTGGGCACAGATGGAAGAGCCCCGACAAAAGCTGATCTTGCGGGCTGCGGAGCCGCAGGTCGAGATGATGCAGAGTAGAGAGAGTGATGAGGAAGAAGAGACCGCCTCGCTCGCTCGCTACCTCGGGGACTGTACGTTGCCCTCTTGCTTGCCGTCCGTCGTCGTCGTCGACGTTGCCGGGCCAAAGGGAACGACGCACGTAGATTATTTCGAGGTCCGACGCCAGAGATGAAGGAAGCGGCAGAGGAGAGCGGCAACAGGCCTGTCAACGAGCAAGACGCGGGCAAAGACGCGGAAGAGGACCGAGAAAGACGCGGGCGCGGACGATGATGCAGGGCGAGCGGCACCACCACCCCATCTCTAAGTTTGGGTCTCGCAGCCAGACCGTAGCGAGTGTGAGGTGAAGCAGGGATGCGATTTAAAAGGGAAGGATGCAGGATCAATAGCAGTCCTGCGAGATGTGAATGGGATAAACAAGGGGCAACAAATCCCCAGCGATCACTGTAAGCTACGCGGTGGTATCGAGGAGCAGCGGGAATACGGGCGCGCATCACCATCGTCACCACACATGCAGCTCAGTGGACAATCTGCCAGATGGCCTCATCATCCGCCGTCGCCTTGACACGGTATCCCTCCTTAGCCCACCTCTCCCTCTGCCTCACCGAAAAGTGCATCTTGGGCTCCGTCTCCCTCACAGTACGGTACCGCCCGCGATTCAACCCAATCTTCTTACGCCATATCCCCGTCTCCTTGTCCTGGATACGGTACTTGATGGGCCAGGCCAGCTCGAGGATCCACCACACCTTGGCCTGCTTGAGCTGGTCGTTGAGCGACGCAATCGAGTCAAAGTAGTCCTCGTGCGCCTCATCGAGGATGTCGAGTTCATCGACCGGGGAGCCGTTCTCACAGACGCCGCGTACCATTGAGCGTCGGGAGTCGAGAGTAGGCAAGTCGCCACGCGCATGCCTCTCGAGGTAATTGGGAGATGGCCCAACTGCAGGCTCGCTGCGGGGGAGCACCTTGGGGTATAGCGTCTCGACGTCGAGGCCATGCTCTGCCAGGACGTCGGTACGGTAGAGCAAGCCCGTATTGCACTTGAAGGTCTCGCGGATCATCCAGCGCAGCGGGATGCGTGATGCTTGGTGACGCTCCGAGTTGGGGACAGCACCGCCGCCTACATCTGCGTGGCTGCCAGCAAACCAGACCTGCGCGGGCGCAGCGTAGAAGAAGATCAGCAAAGCTGGAATTCGCGCGTTGAAGGTTCGGTCCCGACTCACCTCCTCGACGTCAGTCTGGAACGGAGGACGACCCCACTCCCTGGCATCCTTCTCCTTGAATTCCTTGATCAGGTTCAATTGCCGCTGACTCTTCTTCACCTTGCGCTTAGAGTCGCCGAGGTCCTCAGCCGTATTCGCGTCTCGGAGGGTGGTGGACGAGTTGGACGTGGCTAGCGAGCTGGGATCGGTCGTAGAAGGGCTCATCTGCTGCGACTGCTGCGCTTTCGTGGTCTTCGCTGGCGGCGCACCCTGCTCTGCGTTATCGTAGAGCCCCTCAAGATCAAAGGTACCGTACACTCCGTAGCTCGACTCGCGGCCAGACGAATCGACGTGGGTGCCTCGTCCTGCACCTCGAGTGCGGCGACGATGCTCGCGAACGGCATCCTCGGTCTCACTTCCCTTCTTGGCCTTGGCTGGATGGCGTTGGTACCAGTGATTGGCCTTAAATTTTGCTCGGCGCTCGTCGAGGGCGAGAGCGTGACGAAAGAAGGCGACGGAGGAATTGTCGCTCTTGGCTAGAGGTAGGATACGAGGGATGACTCCCACGCTGGCCACCGTGTCCCAGCAACCCAAGAAGTGCACGTTGACGTCGATGGAAAAGGTACGCTTGAAGTCGGCGCTCATCTGCCATCCGTATGCGCTATCATCGCAGTACCAATCGTATGCAAAGGGAAGCTGAGCGATGTTGTGCCTGGGGAGCAAGCCGACCTTGGTGAGCATACCGCAGAGAGCTCGCGCCGTGTATGCTCCCCTCGAGAAGCCCAGCACGCTGATCTTGTCACCCTCTCTGTACGTCTGCATCAGGAATTGGTATGCCTCCTTGACGTGTGTGCCGAGTGAAGAGCCGATAGCCATGTCGAGGGCAGCAGAGAAGCCGGTCTTCAAGGAGCTCTTGGCAGATGAGGTGTAGGTGCCGACACCGCATTGATAGTAGCAGAGCTGGCGCGGGTCGTCCTTGCGTAGGGCTTGGAACAGCTTGACGACGTTGCTGTTGTCGCCGTCGAACATGTCACCGGTCCCATCGCATAGGAGGCAGATGACGCGGGGGGGGGGCGTCGATGCTGTTGTAGAGTCAGCGACGGCTTCCACCGTGGCTGGTATGCGTCGGAGCACCATGATCGTGGATGGAAGAAGACAAGAAGGGGAGCAGGCTATTGACGATGTGTTGTCCCACCCACGATTGTCTCAGATTCGGTGCTTCGCTCGGTCTCACATCACGACAACGCCTCGCGCGGCCCCGCGTTCTGTTCTTCCTTGGCTGAAAGACAAGGAGCACCGCGACTTCCTCTCATTCACATTGCTTCGACCTGTGAATAGATCGCCGACACCTCGCCGCCTACTCTCGCACGAAGATCCCTCGCGCACCATCGCCGCTTTCTCATCACACCTCGTCCCGAGAGGCGATTCATCCGCTGCGAACACGCATCCCGCTGACCAATGACGTTGAGAAGGGCGTTGTCAAAAGAGGAAGGAGCTCCAAAAGCCGACTCACTTCGACCCAGGTAGACTACTGCCGGCAACGCAGCGCTCGACGCCCCCCTTTGCCCCGCTGCCGTCATCATCGCGATGTGATATCAAGATGGCATGCATGCTCGAGTCGGCCCTGCAATGACCTCTTGAATTGGTGCGCTCTTGGTGCGCTCTTGTCGCGCTCTTCGTTTGCTCTACTAACGAGTCGTTCTGCGCGTGAACAAGGTTCAGGAAGATTTGTGTTGGTCGCTTAGAGTAGAGGAGCGTCGGCAGGCTGGGACGGAGAACGGGTGCGTGGGAGGTCAGGGCCTTGAGTGCTTTCCTTCATTGGCCGGCGCTGCGCTGCGAGGTGGACTTGCACATGCGAGAAGTCGATGCGTGCACAGGCCGCCTCCCAGCCCGCGTTTCGCGAGAGGGAGAGAGGAAGGAGGCATCGAGGGTCGAGTGAGAGTGCGACTATCGCTTCGTCTCCTCGAAGCCGTCTCGGTCATTTGTCACCTGGCGGACAAAGGCGCGGGCAGCCTCGCCATTGCCCAGCAACTCAGCATCGACAGGCAAAGCATCGCTGATCGAGTCTCTACGCACCTGGCCACGATGCCCGCCGCTTTTGCTAATCAGAGGTTGGGCGCTCGTTCGTCGTGGCTGCCGCCGTCCTCGCTACGCCGTCCCCGCCACGATTGGCATATACCCAAGAGAGGAGATCAACTCTTCTTGACCTCTTACTAGTCCATACCCATCATGGCAAAGGGAGTCTCCAAAGTGAGCAGATTCGTGCTGTCAAGACGATTGCCCGCATTCTTGCTGACCCAACACTACGCTGACTCGCACCCAACAGATCTTTGATACCATCAAGCGCAAGGCGCCCACGGCGCCCGACGGCCGCTACGACGCCGAGGCCGCAAGCAGCCCCGCCGAGGCAAAGGAGACGTCTGTCCTCCACGATCTCTTCCACCTCAAGGGCAAAGACGCCGTCACCTTGGCTAAAGCTCTCGAGGGCATTGCCTCGGGAGAGCCCCTCGATGATCGAGACTTGCTGCTCGAGCGAGCTGTAGAGATGCTGCAGACACTGCCCGCTAACAGCGGCTTGTCACACTCTGTCAGCGACGCCTTCATCGGAACACTCTTCAACGAGATGCCTCATCCTCCTCAATCGACCATCGAGCCTCGATCTCGCTACCGCACCGCTGACGGGAGCGGCAACAATCCGTACAACCCGGACTTGGGCAAGGCAGGCTCGCCTTACGGTCGCACTGTTCCACCTCTCAAGCCGAAATCTCCGTTCCAACCAGACAACGCGCTGATCTTCGATACACTCTTCAAGCGCGGCAAGGAGTTCAAGGAGCACGAGGGTGGTCTGAGCTCCCTCTTCACCGCATTCGCCACCATCGTCATTCACAACTGCTTCGAGACCGACCGCGCTCAGCCGTGGATCAACAACACGAGCTCCTACGTCGATCTGGGCCCCCTCTATGGCAACAATCAAGAGCAGCAAGACAGCGTGCGCACTCGCGTGCAGGGACGCATCCATCCAGACTGCTTGGCTTCTGCTCGTATCTTCATGATGCCCCCTGCCGTCATCGCTGTCACTCTCCTCTTCTCTCGCCACCACAACTACCTCGCCGAGCGTCTCTTCGAGGTCAATGAGCGTGGCACCTACAAGGCGTGGGAAGATCTCGGAGAGGCCGGGCGCAAGGCACAAGATGAGGACATCTTCCAGCTAGCCCGTAACATCAACATCGCCTTCTTCGCCAAGGTCGTTCTGACCGACTACGTCTCGGCGATCCTTGGAACTGTTCGTGCAGACTCTGAATGGCATCTCGAGCTCGGCAAAGAGATCAAGGATCGAGCTGGAGCGAGGATTGAGCGTGGAACGGGCAATAATGTAAGCGCAGAGTTTGCGGTGCTCTACCACTGGCATTCTCTTCTCTCTGCGGCGGACGTCGAGTGGCTGGACGAGACAGCGAACAAGGCTCATCCTGGCAAGAAGATGAGCGAGCTAGGCCCAAAGGAGTTCATGGTGATGGCTCATGCTCATGCCGAGACATTCAAGGCGCTACCGCCCAAGCAATGGACCTTTGGCGGGCTCAGCCGCAAGGAGGACGGATACTTCGAGGACGCTGCGCTGGCTAGCTTGATCAAAAACGCCATCGAGCAGCCTGCTCACGCCTTTGGAGCTCGTACCATTCCAGAGGCCATGAAGATCGTCGAGTGCATGAGCATGGCCCAAGCCCGTGACACTTTTGGAGTCTGTACGATGAACGAGTTCAGGGAGTACTTCAACCTCAAGCCCTTTGCGTCCTTCCTCGAGTGGAATTCTGATCCTGAGATTGCTGCGGTCGCCGAGCGTCTCTATGGCCACATCGACAACCTCGAATTGTATCCTGGTCTACGAGCCGAGGAGGTCAAGCCCAATATGCCCGGTTCAGGTGTACAGCCCGGCCATACTATCGGGCGGGCCATCCTCGATGATGCAGTAGCTCTCATTCGCAGCGATCGCTTCCTGACGCTCGATCTCAATGCCTCTACGCTCACAAACTGGGGTATGGCTCAGATAGCACCGGCCCCGGGAGCGTACGGCGGCTTCCTGAGCCACATCTTGTACCGCGCTCTGCCGCGCAGCTGGGGCCGCTATTCTACGTACAACCACCTGCCCTTCTACACTCCCAAGTCGATTGCTTCCGTCCTCAAGCGCAACGGCAAGAAGCACCTGTACGATCTCGAGCGACCCATCGATGTCGACAAGCTTCACGGCGTGCATTCGTACGAGGCCTGCAAGAAGATCTTCTCAGACCGCGAGACGTTCAGAAACATCTATCACAGCAACCTCGACATTCTCACCGACAAGGGTGGCTTCATGATCGGCTTCGACGACCACCCTACGCATGACCGTATGTCCGGCTTCATGCACGAAGCCTTCTTCGAGCCAGGCTTCGAGAAGAATGTGCGCAGGGACTACCGCAAGATGACGATCACGCACATCGAGAACGGCACGCTCGAGTATGGCGACGGGCGTAAGCAGCTCAATGTCACGCGCGACGTCTTCAACCGTGTGCCCGTCATCTGGCTCGCCGACCGCTACGCCATCCCGCTCAAGACGGCCGAGCACTCACACGGCCTCCTGACCGTCTTCCAGCTTCAGGCCGCACTGACTGCCCTCTTCATCTACTCGAGCTTCGACGTCATCCCTCACGCCAGCTGGATCCTTCGCCAGGCGGCGCTGGAGCTGGGCCCGCTCATGCGCAAGGTCCTCGCAGCACGCGTTCAGACCAACTACGGTATCCGCGAGAAGATGCACGATCTCGTCGCCAAGGGGTCTGCTTTCGAGGTTTCCGAGGCGGCAGACCACCTCTACCACAAGATTCACGAAAAGAAGATTCCCCTCGACGAGGCCGTAGGCAACCTCCTCGGCACTATGATCCCCATCGCCGGCAACATCACGCAGCAGTCGACACTGATCCTCGACCTGCTCCTCACGCCGGGCTACGAGTACGCAAAGGAGCGCTGCATCGAGCTGAGCAAGCGCGACGATGCCGAGGCGGAGAAGGAGTTTGAGATGTGGGTCTGGGAGGCTATGCGCGTCAGTGGCGTGGTACCTGGACTGCCCCGCGTCGCTGCCAAGGACGTTGACATCGATGATGGGGAGCGCGGCAAAATTCACGTCAAGGCTGGTGAGCGATTGGTGATCGCTTCATCACACGCCCATCTTGATGAGAATTTCTTCCCCAACCCTCGCAAGCTCGACCCGACTCGTGACCCTAAGCTTTACATCCTCCTCGGTCACGGTATTCACTTCTGCTTCGGTGAGTGCGCGTGTGCGCCTGCCGTCTTTTCTCACCACCGCACTGACATCCGCTGGCTCCTTCTCGCTCTCAGGCGCCCGCCTCGTCGCTCCTTCAATCGTCTCGATGCTGCGCGAGATCCTCGTCTTGCCCAAGATCCGTCGTGCCCCTGGCCGATCGGGCGAGCTCATCCGCCTTCCCGAGCAGCTCGGCCACAAGGGCGATGCCTGCACGATCCAGACGTACCTGGACGCCTCGTGCAAGGAGAGCCCCGTTCCTTCGAGCTTCGTCATCGAGTACGGGCCATGAGCGGGCGAGCAAGTGTGCGCGTGTCGAGCAGCCGCGTCGTCTACTTCAAATTTGCTCGTCGAGATCAACACCACCACCCAAGCCTTGTCCACTCTGCTCTTTCTCTTTCCCTTTCGATCCTTTCAATTCATTCACCATCAAATGGTACGCCGAAGAGCACAGCGATTCACATCGACGGAGAATCTTGTTACATCATTGCAAGCGGTAAGGGTGACGTGACGTGACATGACATGCAGCGGGGTGTATCGACCAATGGTCGTGCTGATTTACAGAGTATCTAGTGTGGGTCCTGAGAAAACCTCCCTCCCTCTCTTCGGTGTTACCTAGTTCCCCACATCAAGCAATTGCGTCCCCTGCACAGGGCTAGCAGATGCATCGAACTGGTACAGGTTCATCCTGCTGCTGCCACCGCAAGCAATCGTCGAGTTGCCCTTGCAGGGCATCGAACAACCCCTCGTCGTCGGATCCTTTGAGCTCCCACCAGCGGGAGTGGGCGCAGCCGTGTAGTTAGGCTGGTCCTTGGCGCCGTAGCACTCGCTGGCGTACTCGAGACCACACCAGGTCATGTTCGCAGAAGCGCATGCGTCCAGGCATGACTCGACTGTCATCTTGTTGGCGCCGCCAGGCACCGAGGGGCTCATGGGCAGCAAACGAGCAGAGACTGAGTCGACTGCGCAGTCGGTGAAGTTCCAGCGGTCGTAGCGCGAGACGGTGAAGAAGGTCTGCTTCCAGCTCTGGTCCTCGAGGACGTTGAGGCGGTTTGGCCCGCCACAGAGCTGGCCGTTGTCGCCCGAGCAGGTCATCGAGCAGCCAGAAGAGGCAGCGCTGTTGGCGAGAGTGTTGCCGCAGTAGCACTCCGAGGAGTACTCGGTGCCAGAGTAGCGGAAGCCCTTGGCTGAGCAGAAGGCTGAGCACTTGGCGGGGGTGTTGTCTGACTGCGAGTACGAGGCGGAAGAGAGAGTGCGCGAGCCGCCGTCATCGAGGTAGCAGCCCTTGTCGGTGTAGCCGGAGGGGACTGCGGTGGTGGGTGTGCTCGAGGCGGACGTCGAGGTCGAGGTCGACGTTGAGGTGGTCGCGGCGGATGTGGTGGTGGACGTAGACGATGAGGTGGTCGCGGTTGATGAGGTGCTCGTGGTGGAGGCGGTGCTCGTCGTGCTCGTGGTCGCGGTGGACGAGTCGGTCACGGTCGTCGAAGCAGAGGTGGCGGTAGTGCTGCTCGCCGTCGTCGTGGACGTCGCGGTGCTCGTAGCTGCACCACCCGCCTTGGTGTACACCAGGATCCTGTCTCCGGCACCACAAAGCTCCGTCGAGTCGCTCGAGCAGGGCATATTGCACTCGCTCACGTCCTTCTTCACGGCAGTGCTACCCAGCGCCTGGTCACAGTAGCACTCGCCGCCGTACTCGACACCAAAAATCGGGTAGCCGGCGCAAGAAGCCTGGCAGGCCTCTACTGACCCACCAGGCTTGCCGACGGTGAGCACTCGCTGGCTGACCGAGTCGGTGTAGCAGCCAGAGAGGGTGTAGCTGCCGTCCTTGGTGGCAGATGCTGCTTGCGGAGTCGCCGCAACGGGGACGGTGCCGCTCTGTGCGCTGTACAGGGAGAGGCGATTGCCATTTCCGCAAATCTGCGACGCGTTGCCCGTGCAAGGCATTGTGCAGTCAGTGGCAGTCACGGCCGCGTAGTTGAGCTGCGAACCACACCAGCACTCTCGACCCCACTCGAGTCCGGAGATGCTGAGCTGAAGGGCCGAGCAAGCTGCGGTGCACAACTCGACGGTATTGTTGTCGCTCGAGTAGGCCTGCCGAGAGAGGAGACGGCCCTGCGAGCCATTGTCCACCACGCAGCCTTGGTAGCCCGACGGGGAGGGAGCGGCGGACGACGTTGTAGTCGTCGAGGTAGAGGCGGTAGTCGCAGTGGTGGTGGCAGTGGTAGACGTAGCAGTCGTCGTGGCAGCCGGCGCCGTGTTGTTGTAGACGGTCAGCCTCGAGCTAGCACCGCACAGCTGCGTATTGTTGCCCGAGCAAAGATAGCTGCACTCCGACGCTGTCGTGAGGGCACCGCCAAGCGTGTTGCTGCAGAAGCACTCTCGCGACCACTCCAGACCCATGTACTTGTACCCTGCGCACGAGGCCGCACAGCTTTCGATGGTCATGGCGTCAGAGGCGGTACTGTAGGCGTTGAGAGTGCGGTTGCTGACGTCGTCGGTGTAGCAGCCGATGTAGTTGAAGCTGCCTGACGAAGCCACTGTTGAGCTTGCGGGTCGCTGCGAGGGTGCTCCGCCAGACCAAATCGAAAGGCGCTGGTAGCCTCCGCAGTACTCTGCCGAGTTGTCGTTGCACGGCGTGAGGCACGCTCGGTCTACGACCTTCATGGCTTGGTAGGAGAGAGTGTTGCCGCACAGGCATTGGCCACCGCCGAGCATGCCAGCGATAGAGTAGCCCGCAGATGAGCAGGCTGCCGTGCAGGCCTCGACGGAGTTGCCAGAGTTGACGGAGACGGGGAGCGCGTGTCCAGTCGAGTCGTCAGAGTTGTCGGAGTAGCATCCCTGGAACGTCATGCCAGCCGCTCCTGTACCGACAATGGCCGGAGGAGGCGCATTGGCAGGATCGGGCTGCGGGCTGTCTCCGGCTTGAAGGCGATTGCCAAAGTCGGCGTGGCGCGAGCCGTCACCGTTGAGATTGTCCAAGAAGAGGCGCGCCTGACCTGCGGGGCTGGCCATCATGGCGCCATTGTCGTGCCCAACGGGCGTGTAGTCGACGTTGTCGATCGATTGAGGAGGGAAAGCGGCAATTTGGGCGAGGAAGCGCTCATCGCGATTGGCGCCGGCGGTCAAGGGGTTACACGAAGACGAGTCCTCTCCAAAGTCTTGCGTGCCGCGAGCGTAGATCTTGGAGCGGCTGTTGTAATTGGCGAGGACTGCAGCGCGGCCCTGATTCGTGAGGTCGGTGTTGTAGGTGGGCAGATCACTACCTAGACCTGCTCGCCAGGCGTCGTAGGTTGGGCAGACGGCTCCAGGGTCGCGGTAGACGGGACGCTTGTCGCTCATGTAGACGTAGTCGTTGGGGTTTCCGATCCAGAAGCGAATGGGCGTCGAGAGGCCCAGCTGCTTGCCAATGGCGGCATAGCGCTGCACTGTCTGGCCGCCGAGAGAGTGACCTGCAACGACGATCTGGTTCAGGTTGGGGTAAATGGCCTTGTTCGCAAAGTATTGCGTCATCTGGTCGAGCACCGCGTAGGAGGAGACGTCGGCGATCTTGTAAGGGTACTGATTGTTGAGGCCAGATGCCTACGTGCGCATGGAGTAGGTGAGATTGTCAGCGCGGTCAGCGGAGGATGGCCGTCCTCGACACGCACCCAATTCGCTCCCTTCCAGACGAGGGCGAGCGACGTAGAGCCCTGACCAGCCGCGAGTCCATCCGTCCAGGGATACGCGACGTCTGTGGGCGAGCGTAAGAGTGAGCGGGATATATGGAAATGATACACGCCGCAGCCGCACCGCACTCACTCTTCTGGTTGCCGTTGGCAAAGAGGGGCGCGACAATGGCAATGCTGTCTGCGTTGGCGGCGCCGTTGTTCGAGTTGGCCTGGCTCAAGGCATTGAGAGCGTTGGACATGTACAGCTGCGGATCTTGGCCAAGACCGTGAATGATGATGACAGCCTTCTTGACCTTCTTTGGATCTTGACGTTTGCCATTAGTGCCCAGAATGTGGTAGTTGAGGAGCGATGTCTGTAAACGAGGAGGCGAGAATCAGCTACGGTGACCTTACTGAATGATCTCTCGGCTGCGCTGTGAACGCACATTCTTGCCTGTGGCGCTCTTGATGTTCCAAAAGGTGACCTCCGAGCCGCCTACGCTTGGCATCGAGTTCGTGTAGTTGGCGCCCACATACTGCTGAGCGGTGACATTGACGGCGAGGAGGAGGAGCCCCACGAGGAGCAAGCAGATGCGTGACATGAGTGCAGCGGCGATGACGATGAGCGAGCGACGAGCAGGGTCATTGTCTCCAGGACCCCTTGTTTATGAAGGAAGAGGTCCCCATCGGACCACCTCCTTCACGCTCCTCTACGGCATACCGAACGGCAGTGGCGTGTCCCGTCTGGCGCACTCCTTCTCAACACTCAACGTGTGTGTATCTCCGCGGCAAGCCCAGTCACGACCGCCGCGGTCGCGTATCGAGGCTGGCGAAGAGCTCTCCGCTATTTTGGACAGGCGGCGGCGCCACCCGCCGCTACGCGTCACGCCTTCTTGCATGAGCGCGGGTGATCCCGCATCTCGTCACTGTAGCGAGGAGGCCTAGTCTTCAGGGACGGGACACTTAATTGGTCGATCTGTCAAGGGTCGAGACGGCCTTTAGGCGGACAAGGGGTCGCAACACCAGTAGCTCGCTTGCGAGTGATCTGTGCCTTGGCGGAGCTAGGCAGGCTGGCTGGCTGGCAGGCAGGCAGGCAGGCAGCGAGAGTGCAACACCATCGCCCCGCCCAATCCCCCGCCACAATGTGTCCAGCCTAAACACGGACACTGCTATAGTGCACACTAAACGAAGTTCGAATGAATGTATTGCCAACTAAGTGAGCTCCGGCTCACTTAGTATAAACACGACGAGCCCCAACCACTAGCGTCCCGGACACCACGTGGCGGCGGCTCAAGATGACGTGGATGTTGTGCCACGTGACCGAGTGAGACAACACCCGACTCGGGCACACTCTCTCCCTCCTAGCGTCTCGCCAAATCACCTATTACAACATCTTGCAGCATGTCGCCTAGCGAGGCTGAGCGTGACGAATCCAGCCCGAAGAGGTCGCTAGCGACGCTTCTGACCACGAGGGAGACCCTTCGTTCGGTACGGACGCTGAAGAAGCGTCCAACGGTGAGTCTTAGCGGTGATTAGGTTGAGACGCCAGTGGATGCAATCTGACCGAAGTCTTTCCTAGATGACGACGACGACAAAGGCGCCGAAGGCGACGATGAGGAGCTGCCGCCGGCTCGAAAGAAGACCAAGAAGACTAAGACGACGCCCGCTTCCCGAGTCGCTAGCGGTTCCCAGCGCCGTCGTCGAGGTACCGTAAGGCCAACGAGCACGGCTGGGTACCGAAAGACGCAGCCCTGCAACCCACCCGAATTCTACCAGCAGTTCTGTCTAACGTGTGGTAGTTCTGCGGTTTGCGAGATGGCCTTACACGGCTCGTCTTGTCGTCGGTGCCAAGAGAAGGGATTGACCTGCGATGCTGGCGGACGAGGTGAGTTTCGAGCTAACTGAGCATGGTCGAAGTTGACTTCGGTGTGCTGAACCAAGACTATAGTTCCCGCCTTCCGAGGCCCCAACGCTCGTCAGGCCAAACAAGCTTGGACGACTGTGGCGACGCGACGCAACCCCGATTGGTTCCTCAAGGACCCTCCTAGGAACTTCACGCCCGCTCCTTGGAAGGCGATCGACGTAAAGACGATCGGCGAGCGCTACGGCTCGCGCGGTAACAAGAGAGCTGTCCTGGATCCTTTGCGCACAAGTCGCAGTGCGGTTGAAGCGGCGCTCCCTCGAGCTGAGCTAGACGCGTCGGACGGTCGCCTCGCCATGGCGTTTTACGAGTATGTCCTCGTGTGTTACGACGAGTTGGTTACCAACCCTGCGAAGCTTCGAACGCAAGCTCAGAGGGGCAAGAAGCGAGGTTCGGGCGGCCGAAGGAGGGGTGGTCGCGGAGCAGCGGTTGGCGACGACGGTGCCGGAACCGACTACGACGACTATCTCTCTTCGCACGACTACCATGACGGTCTGACTTCTGTCGACGAGTCTTCCGACAACGACGACGACGAGGAGGCGGCTGTTGCTCAGGAAGTGGCCGGTGGGACGCAGGGCAAGAGCGCTACCAAGACGAGCAGCCGTAAGCGTAAGAGAACGGCGTTCTCCAACACTCGCTCTTCTGAGGCAGGGCCTTCCGGCTCAACTGGTCGTGGTAACCGTGGCGCTTCCCCAACTACCGGTGAGGCGGCGACTACCAGCGGTGGAGGAGATAAGGAGGCCGAAGTGGTGATTCCGGCACACTTAGTGGGACCGGAGGATATGACGGGGGGCCCCGAAGCTGGGTCCGCCGGAGGTGGTAACGGTGATAACACGGCCGGCGCCAGCTCTTCCCAGCGGGAGACTCGAGCTGCGCGTCGTGCTCGCGACGGTACGTCGCAGAGCTAGCTAGTGATAGCGACGCTCTTGTAAATAGTCTCTTCACCAGTCTCGTCACCCGTCTACCTTGTCTATCTTTATCTCGTCACCCGTCTACCTTGTCTATCTTTAATTCAATCGAATCCTTCCTCTCCGCCTGCGTGAGAGGGTGTTATCGAGTGCTATAGGGCGCCTCGCGCTCGCTATCTATCGTCCCAGACGATAGGGGTTGGCTCAACCATACCCAGCGCTCGGAGTGGTGCTCCAGGCACCTGAAAGCCACTTCGCACCCACTGAGTAGCGTCGAACGCCACTCATTGTGAGGTGATAGGAGGTAACGGCTGCACGATCGCCTCGTGTGGCCTAACCTCCTGGCTAGGATCGAGCTGACTGGAGGGCACAAACGCCATGGCTGGCGTCGAGTACTCTCGCTCGATATCCTCAGATAAAAGTCGTAAGGATCTTGGGTCCGTTGGGTGAAGGTGCTTGCGGACGTCTTCCTCCTGTCGTTCGTGGAAGGTATCGTCTAGCCAGAAGCGTGTCTTCTCCTCTCCCACCCTTAGAATCGCCTTCTTTAGGCGATTACCGTGAACCAACTGATCCAAGACGCGTCCGTCTGGAGTACGCAGCTGATAGGTACCTAAGATCTGCTTCGCCGTGACTTTCATCGGTCCGAACCACTTCGGCTCGAACTTATACGGGTTCGCCACCTGAACCAGCACCCAGTCTCCCTCTTGGAGTTGGTGCTCTACCACGGTCGTGTCAAAGCGATTCTTGGCGGTGACAGCACGCTTGTGAGCGAGACCGGTGGACGTGGTGCGATCCAAGTGCAGCTTTTGCAGCCTGCGACTAGGGTCGTCTTCGGGGATATTAAGTACTCTCGGAAGGAACTCATCTTGCGGGATACGTGGTTCGACACCGTATACGAGGTAGAAGGGACTGAACCCCGTTGTCGAGTGTGTACGCACGCGAGCTGCAAACAAGGCGTTAAGCAAATACTCGTCCCACATACGCGTAAACTTGCCAACCATCAAGCGCGTCAATAGCTTGCCAACCAAGCCGTTAAACGACTCGACTTTCCCGTTGGTGCGGGGGTGGAAGGCGGTGGTGATACGGTGACGCGTGTCCATATTGTGGTAGAGTCGCTTGTTAAGTTCTGAAGTAAGATTCTTTCCGTTGTCCGTAATGATCTCCTTTGGTGCTCCGAAGCGCATGAAGATCTCTTCGTATATGAACGAAGCAACATGAAAATCGTGCGCGGTCGGAATCGCTCTCGCAACAGGCCAACTGGTGTTGTAGTCAACCGCCGTAACGATCCACGCATTACCAGAGGGCGTCTGCGGGAGGATACCAATGAGGTCTACCCCCCAGCGCTCAAAAGGTTGCAACTTGTCGTTGCCCATCAGCTGCTGCAGCTCCTTCTCCTGACCAATCGTCCGACTAGACGATAGTTGACATTGGGGACATGATTTGACGAAGGCGCGCACATCTTTTTCCCAATTGGGCCACCAATAGCGATTGCGGACCAATCCTAGCATACCGTCTGCTCCTAGGTGAGCCATAGACGCGTGCAAGCGATGTAAACGGTGCGACCGTAGATACGCTAGCACATACGGCACAGGCGGACCGTCAGAACGGAGACGGAGCAGTAGGCCGTCAGAGTACGTGAAGTGTTGTGCTTGCTTCTTGATACGCTGTTCAAAACGTTTGTCGTACTCTTCGCCTCGAAGGTATAGTCCCAGCGCCTCGAAGAATGCATCATTCTCCGCTAAGTGAGCCCGATTCTCTTCCGTAATGGCACTAAGAAAATCAAGTCGTCGCGAGATTGCGTCTGCGATCGTGTTCTGCTCACCTGGTCGATACTTGATCGCCAGATCGTGTTCCTGGAATTCCGCTATCCACCGCTCTAACCGACGAGAAGCGATTTTCGTCGTTGGTAAGAACTGTAGCGTAGCGTGATCCGTGTAGACCACGGTCTGATGGCCGTTCTCGATATAGTGTTGCCAGCGACGAATCGCGTGCTTAATCGCAAGAAGCTCCTTTTCGTGGACAGGATACTTCATTTCGGCGGGGCTCAGCTTGCGTCCATCGTAAGCGACGGGATGCATCTTCTTATCGTCAGGACATTCTTGCATCAAGACTACGCCGATAGCAAAATCTGACGCGTCGGTCTCGATTTGAAATGGTCTCGTTGTGTCAGGTTGTCGAAGTGCAGGGGCGGAGCACAGTAGCTCCTTAACCTTGACGAACGCTGCTTCGCACGCGTGATTCCAGCTTAGTGGCGTCTTACCAGCCGACTTAGAGGGGCTCCCTTTCATGAGCTCGAAGAGGGGCGCCGAGACGTGTGCGAAGTTCTTAGAGTACCTTCTGTAGTAGGAGCACAATCCTGCGAAGGACCGCAGCTCCGTGACGGTCTTGGGTCTTGGCCAGTCTCTGATCGCGTCCAATTTTTGCGGGACGGGTCGAACCTTGCCTTTGCCGACGATATGACCGCAGAACTCAACTTCATCCATGCCGAAGAAGCACTTCTTTGGCTTCGCGTACAAGCGATTCTCACTGAGTGCGGTGAGAACTTGACGCACATGTTGAAGGTGGTCCTCGCGGTTGTCCGAGTAGATCAAGATGTCGTCGAGATAGACTACGACGAACTGATTCAAATACGACCTCAGAACTTTGTTGACGATAGTCTGGAAGTCGGACGGCGCGTTCTTCAGGCCGAAGGGCATTACAAGGAACTCGAACTTGCCTTCGCGCGTATTAAACGCCGTCTTTTGAGTATCTTGCTCTCGAAGGCGCACTTGCCAGTACCCCGCAGTCAGGTCAATCTTTGAAAACATCGCAGCCCTGCCGAGCGCGTCCAAACATTCTTGGATGCGTGGGAGTGGATACGAGTTCCGCAAGGTGACTTGGTTGAGCGCGCGGTAGTCGATGCACATACGCCATTTACCGTCTTGCTTAGGGACGAATAAGACTGGAAAACCCCAAGGAGAACTGCTCTCCTTGATCAGACCTTTCTCGAGAAGACTCTTAATCTGCTTGCTTTGCTCGACCAGCTTTGCCGCAGATAGTGAGTAGGAGCGAGCGTTGATTGGTTGCGCATCGCCGGTGTTGATAAGACTGCCCGATGCTAGGCGAATATCAGGTATGTCTTCCGGCCGCTCGTCCGTTGGTATGTCTTCCTGGAAGACATTGGGGAAGTCGTTCAGAATTGCTTGTAACTCTCGAACGTCTGTCCGTGGCACCGAAGAGCTCCCCTCGCCCTCCTGAAGTGCGCTTAGTGGGTTTTCGACGTTGTCGCTGATTCGCCTGAGGACGCCCAAATAAGCGTGTCGAGCACTTGTGCGTTGTGTACGATAGAAATCACGCAAAATCGAGTGCTTCGAGACGGCTTCTATGGTGTGCTCTGGGGACGCGTGCAACGCACCCAACTGTTCTTCATCATCCAGAGACGCGGTGTGCGACTGTTGTGCAGGCTCGACAATGTGAGCGTCACCGTGCTCATCGTGGATGGTGAATTGTAGACTACTCCAATCCGTCAACACGCGATTGGTTAAGTGCCACTTTTGCCCCAAAATCACGTCGAAGTTGGGCATAGTCAACACTAAGGCACTAATGAACGACGCATAAGTACCGATTGTGAGGTCGAACCCGGCTCGACCTGACGATGTCACGGTAGATCCATCCGGGAGAGTGATCGGTTCTCCTGGACCTCCGTCAGACGTCAAACGACAGCGTGATGCTGTATCTGCAGAAATGAAATTACCCATGGCTCCCGAGTCCACTAGGATTTGCACCGGATAACCGTCGATGCTGCCTTCGAGGGTGATAAGACGATCCATCGTCTTCTTAGCGTCGCCAATCGCCTCGATAGCTGCGATTGCGTGCGCTGCTTCTGGACTCTTCACTTGCTTACGAGGGTCGGACTGGGAGTCCTTCAGTCGCGACCCTTGCCTTTTTCCGACTTGACCTTGGCTTTGCAGTCGCGAGCGAGGTGACCGGGCTGATTACAGCTGTAGCAGCGGTTTTCCTCTCTCTGTTTCCGACGCTCTGAAGTTGCCTTCGCGTCAGAAGAACCACCTTTCTTGTCCTTCGTACCGCTCTTAGCGTCACCTGAACTCGATTCAGACGCGTCAGTCTTCCTTTTCCTCTGCGAAGATGAGGTCTTATTAGACGCGTTAGAATTGGACCCAGAATTGCCAGACCCGCGATGAGAGTCGCTGGAAAGCTTGAATTCTGCTTGACGGGCCTCGAGCATGGAGACTTGTTGAATGTAAGGCTGCAAGGTAGAGGGCAAAGGTACCATCTGCTGTGCTAAGACGCTTCGAAGCTGGTAATTGAGGCCTGATTTGAACTTCTCGAGCACTTCGCTGTCGGGAACGGGAGGTTCACATTCTGCAGCGAGGTCGATGAGAGCCCAACCGTACTCTCTAGCCGGCCTATTGCCCTGCACACACTTGTTATAGTCTGCGCGTGCTTTGAGAGGTGCACTCTGGTCGAAAAAGTTGTCTCGCAGCTCTTGGAGGAGTGCCTTGGCGGTGTAGCCAGAATGGACGCCACCTCGTTCGAGCGCGATGAGGTCCTTTTCCCTGCGGGACCACCAACTGGCAGTCATACCCCGCAAATGGCGAGCAACGAGCTTGATTTGTGACCATTCATTGGTAGGTTTCGAATCGTACTCCGCGGCGGCTAAGAGATCTCGCATGGTCGCTAAGAAGTCTCGAAGCGGCACCGTAGCCTTGGTCCCGTCATAGACTTGGTCCTTGGCTGCGTATTGAGAGTAGGCGCCTCCCAGCGCCATGTTGGTAAGAAAAGGCGTTGCAAGTGGTTCGGGTGCGGCCGCAGCTGCTGCGGGATTCACCACACCCGGAGGCATCGAAGGCCTAAGAGTGGGCCCCGACGGATCCACGAAGGTGAATCCGGTAGGCTGCGGAGCAGCCGGAGCACCGCTCAGACGCGTCGAAGACTCGTTCGAGGGCTCTAAGGGCGGGGATGGTTCAGGGCTGCCGCGTTCGGGTGGTGTGGCCACACCACCAGAACCAGCGTCGTCCGACGGTGCTACGCTAGCTTGGCTTCGCGTGACGCGTCGGGACACCCCTTGTCCAACCCTAGACGGCGCCCGTACCCTGGGCGTCGCCTGACCCTTGGATTTGTTCCTTGGTTCGGTCATCGTTCTTGTTGGGGTGAAGATGGGGAATCAAGGCTGTTTCAGCTACCAACTGTGTCCAGCCTAAACACGGACACTGCTATAGTGCACACTAAACGAAGTTCGAATGAATGTATTGCCAACTAAGTGAGCTCCGGCTCACTTAGTATAAACACGACGAGCCCCAACCACTAGCGTCCCGGACACCACGTGGCGGCGGCTCAAGATGACGTGGATGTTGTGCCACGTGACCGAGTGAGACAACACCCGACTCGGGCACAACAAGAGTTGAGTCCTGACGTCGGGACGGGCCAGTACGACGTCGAATTGTCCTCTCTTCCTTGCCGAGAGCGAGTCCGGCGACGAACGAGCCTAGGCGGCTAGCATCGGGTCTTTCTTGTCGTTGTGAGCAAGCTGCGAAGTGAAGTGAAGGTGCTCACCCGGCGATTCCGAGCGGACACGATGCCCCATCGTGGTGTCAGGACCTTCGCATTGGAAGCTCGACTCGAGATTGATCGATTCCAATTCGGCAAAAAGGCCTGGCCGGCTCCATGGCGCATTGCGCACGGCCTCGGAGGTGGGAAAACGAGAAGTGTGAGCGAAGGAAAGGGAGTTGAAAGTGGCATGAGGGCGGGGGCCTCGAGGCTATCGGCCCGGCGCGTCACGTGATCCGCCTTCGCGAGTCGCCCGTCGGACTGGAGGTGTTGGTTGAGTCGAGGCGCGGGCCACTCCCGGGCCAGCCACTTTAGCTGCGCTTCTCCTCGACCATTCAACGTCATCCTCATCATCATCACTACGCTCCGTCATGCCAGCGACGAGGAGGAGCAGCGGCTGGCTCAATGGCGGCATAGAGGGCACAGATACCATGGATTATGTCCTTGAGCATCTCGAGCAATGTGAGCAGGCGAAAAAATCCGCGCTTACACTCACCACCCCGCGCTCACGCCTCCCTCTCACTCTCATGCCACTCAGTCAAACGCAAGCATATAGCCCAGAATCGAGACGTCATCAAGTCGAACGCCTTTCTGCAGATCAGGATACGAGAGCTCGAGGAGCGGATACAGCAACTCGAAGCAGAGCGAAACCGCGTCCACTTTGAGAACTGCCAGCTGAGGAGTCGGGGAGGAAGCGATGCTGCGAGGAGAGTGTGGCTCGACTTGGGTAGAGCAATGGGGTTCATGGACCCGTCTTCGAGCTCATCATCGCAAAGACTCGCCAATCAACACATCACACTCGATCCGGATGCGCTGCCGCCGGGTATCGCTCGAGCGGTTGCAAAGGCGCCAGAGATTGAGCAGATTCGGGAGGAGCTGGAGGAGGGTGGTGGCGAGACGGAGGGAGAGGATCAGGAAGAGAGGAGAGGCGGAGAATTTGAGTCGGAAAAGAGGAGAAGGGTGGCTCAAGAGGAGGAGGAGCCAAGAAGAACGGCGCCGACGCAGCGAGTACAGCCCGCCCCCACAGCGAGTGCCGCTGCCCAGCGCAAGAAGACGGAGACGATGAAGGGCAGGCAGCAGCAGCGCAAATCTACCATCACGCGCGCCAAGAGGGCTGATAGCGAGGAGGCAGAGGCATCGTCGCCTCCGCCACCTGAGCAACCGTTGCCACCGCCTGCAGCTCAGCCCGCTGCTTCATCCTCCTCCACGTCCACACGCACTCGTACCCTCCCTGCCGCTCCTTCCTCTTCATCATCACGAGCCCGTTCGTCTTCACCACTCGAGTCATCAGCAGGCGAGGAGGAGGCCCCGGCAGCCTCATCACGCACACGTGCATCGAGGCGGTCAAGCGTGCGCACAGTCAACTATGCGCTACCCAAGCTCAACACCAAGATGCGCAAACCAGACCCAGAAGACACCAAGCCCGCTCCTTCCACGGCATCAAGCGCGAGCAGCGCTCGTTCGTCACTAGCAGGAACGGATGCGCAATCGAGTCCTCTAGGCGGAGATCTCAAGGATCTCAAGAGGGAGAGGCAGGCGAGTCCGAAGCTAGCAGCACCGAGGCAGCCTCGACTGCGCCATTCACGGTCGTCAGAGACGCTGCCTCGACGCAATGCGAATGCGCCCACCTCGCGCTCCTCGTCACTGCCGCGTGATCAGGATGACAGTGAGGAGGCGGGGCACAGTGAGGATGAGCAGGCGGATGGCACGCAACTCGCCACGACCGGTGACGAGGACGACACCATCGTAGGCCGGCCGGGCGCTGCGTTTTCACCAAAGGCAGCGATGGGAGAAACCTTGTCTGAGCTGTTTGATACACAGGCCAGCTCGTCAAGACCGACGTCTGCGCTTGATACGTCGGAAGATGATGGCGGCGAAGAGTCGACCGTACCAGCTGCTCCCCGCGCAGCACCCGTACCGCGTAGCATGAGCTCGACTGCAGCCTCGAGGAACAAGAGTGTCGGCACATCTTCGTCATCAACCGCTTCTTCCTCGTCGTCGTCGTCATCATCAGGCAGACGACCATCTTCATCCTCCGGTCTCTCCTCGTCATCGACCGCCGGCGGACCAGCGCCAGCTCGCAAACAACCCCGCGCATCAGCCTTGACGGACGCCGATTGGGCGATGCTGACCAGCGGCGCCAGCTCGACAGCGAATGGCCGTACCTCCTCCTCCTCCTCCTCCTCCACCACGTCGACCCTCCCTCCCTCTCTCGCCGACCTAGCTTCAACCGCCCTCTGGCCATCGACTCCCCAAATTAACGGCGGGCACAATGGCGGGCGAGTAGCGAGCGGCGGAGGAGCGGGTAGCACGGCTCTTGGCGGGCAGAGAAAGGTATCTGCGCTCAGTAAGAGCAAGTCGCTGACCAATCTTGGAGGAGCAGGAGGAGGAGGAGCGGGGTTTGTGCCCAGTAGAGCGGGTGGGATGAAGGGCAAAGCTACGGGCGTAGGGAATGGCAATGCGACGCAGCAAGCGATGAGGGCGTTGACCAGCTCGTCGGCTACGAATGCTTCGGGTGCCGCAGGGTCAGGGGGAGGTGGGGGAGGGGATTTCCTCTAGCCTGGTCGAGGAACCACGATGCGAAGGGAGCGCAGCAGCAATAGCAACAGCAACAATGATACCTTTTTCGCCCTCTGTCGCGATCGCTTCGATCGTACTGGATGAAGAGGCGACAAAATGCCGCAGACCGCGTCGCCCTATCACTCAACGTACCACTGTATTACCTCATGCCCAGATGTGGCGACTACGATCGTTGAGGAGTAATGGACGCATTTCCGCACGATGCTCTCGACCTTCTCCCAGTTTGGCTCAGCTTGAGTGGCCAGAGGTCGCCCTGGGCGAGCGAGATGATTCCGGTCGGGCCTTGGCCACGCGAGCGAGTGAGGCAATTATGTCGCCTCGAGCTGAGATGCGGGCACGGCAGCGGAGAGACCAGGGTTGGCGGCTGGCTGAGGCAATTAATTCCCTCGCCCCTGGCCATGCTCCAGATGATGCTCTTGTCCTAGTCTGCTGCTGCGATCGGCATCGACGACGAAGAATTGATGTATAACGAGGCGGTGTTCGGTCTTGCATCTTGTCTCTTGACATCCCATTCTCATTCTCACTTCACCCTCGCTATGTTGGAAGAAACGGCTCCAACTGCCTCGACCGCCACACAGACAGAGACGCTCCTTCTAAGCGTTCCTTCGCTGCATTGTTCCTCGTGCGTGAGCGCCATCCAGCAGACACTCTCACCCCACGCAACCTCGATCGACGTCGATGTCCCTGGCAAGACGGTCACCTTGGACCACTCGCCCGCCATCACCCCAGTGTCCAAGCTCGCAGCCTTGCTCCAAGAGATAGGCTACCGCGTCGCAGATGTTCAGGTCCTCGAACATGGTCGTGCCTCAAGCAGCGAGCTCACAATGTCGCCCCATTCACCTTCTGCAGTACTTGATAGTGTGGCTGGGGACGACGACGAGGAGAGCGTCATAGCAGAAGAGAAGCGGCGTCATCACGCACACTGCAAGGCGTGCCAGGATACCCTCAACGATCCCCGCCTTGCGCTGGACGTGATCGTCTCGTCTTCTGGGCCTCGCACCAAGCGCGTGGACCTCTCCATTGAAGGCATGACTTGCAGCAGCTGTGTCGGTGGCATCACCAAGGCTCTGCGCGGCGAAGGCTGGATCACGGGCGTGGATGTGGCCCTGCTTACCAACTCGGCTAGTGTGGCCATCGATGGCTCGCATGATCCGCAGGAGGTGGTGGAGTTGATTGAAGACCTGGGCTATGGGGCAAGCGTGGAGGGCATCGAGTTGCTGGGAGGCAAGGAGGAAGAGACTGGGGAAAAAGGCGAGAGACGGGAGGAGGGGCAGCTCATACGCAGGACAGCGACTATCCAGCTCAAAGGCTTTCATTGCCCGCGCTGCCCGCAGCGAGTCATTCAGGCTCTACATGCACTCAACGATGACGACGACACGCGAGCCGTCTCGGTCCACAAGGCGCCTACGGAAGCAGACCCAACGGTTGAGATATCCTATCTCCCCCACGCCCCCGGCTTCACGATACGCCGCATCCTCCAGCACATCGCCACGCTCGATCCAGCCTTTACCGCTTCGCTGCGCCAACCCACTTCTCCAGAGGACAGGGCAAACGCTATACGCGCGCGAGAGCGTCGTGGAATCCTATTGCGAGTCGTTCTTACGCTCGTCCTCGCCATCCCCACCTTCGTCGTAGGCGTCGTCTTTATGAGCAACCTCGCCCCTTCCTCCTCTACCGCCAGTCGATACTTTTCTCATCGGCTTTCAGGCGTCATGCGAAGCGAATGGATCCTCCTCGCCCTCTCAACGCCCGTCTACCTCTTCGCAGCGGACGTCTTCCACCGCCGCGCAGCCAAGACGCTCTGGGTCCTCTGGAGGCCCGCAAGTCGTACGCCGGTGCTGCAGCGTTTCCTCCGTTTTGGCAGTATGGACGTGCTCATCTCGCTCGGCGTCACGGTGGCGTACTTTGCTTCGCTTGGACAGGTAGCTGCTACCGCGAGTCGCAGCGGCTCCACCGGCCAGCTGGGAATGGGCGTCAAGCTGGGCCTGGGAATGGACATGGGACCGGGGTCCGGCATGCCTGGCATGGATGCGGGAATGGACTCGACTCACAGCGACTCGTACTTTGACTCTGTGGTGTTCCTCACCCTCTTCCTTCTGTTGGGCCGACTGCTCGAGGCGCTCAGTAAGGCAAAGACGGGGGAGACGGTTGCCAAGCTCGGAACCTTGCGACCCAATTCTGCCACGCTCGCCGAGGGAGGCGAGGTGGTATCCGCAGAATTGCTCGAAGTCGGCGATGTGGTCACCGTACCGCACGGTGCCTCCCCTCCCTGGGACGGAACACTGGTGGATGAGCAAGCCCAATTCTCCGAGGCGACCCTGACCGGCGAGTCGATGCCCGTCAGCAAAGCTTCCGGCGCTCCAGTCTACTCCGGCACGATCAACCTAGGCTCCCCGGTCTCGGTCCGTATCACCGCCGCGTCCGGCAAGTCCCTGCTGGACCAAGTCATCGACCTAGTTCGCCAAGGCCAGACAAGACGCGCCCCAGTGGAAGATCTGGCGGACAAGCTCACCGCCCATTTCGTCCCCGTGATAGTGCTCATCGCCCTCACTACTTGGCTCGTCTGGCTCGCCCTAGGGCTGAGCGGTCGCCTCCCCTCCGACTGGCTGGATGTAGCGCATGGTGGCTGGCCATTCTGGAGTCTCCAGTTCGCAATCGCCGTCTTCGTCGTGGCTTGCCCCTGCGGCATTGGCCTCGCCGCGCCTACGGCCATCTACGTGGGCGGAGGGCTGGCTGCAGAGCATGGTATCTTGGCCAAAGGCGGAGGAGAGGCGTTTCAGCTCGCGAGCCAGATTGATGCAGTCATCTTCGACAAGACTGGGACACTCACCCGCGGAGAGGTGGTTATTGCAGACTTTGTGCAACTCGACGACGCCGGCGAGCGGTGGGACGAGCAGACCACGCGTGCTTGCCTCTCGCTGCTGGAGGGTCGCAGTAGCCATCCGATTGCTCGCGCAGTGTGCGACTGGGCGGGCGATGAGGCAAAGGAGAGCGGTAACGTCGAAATGAGCGACGTGGTTGAAGTGCCAGGCAAGGGTGTGCGGGGCGTCGCTACTACGCCTGACGGGAGAAAAGCCGAAGTGATGGTAGGCAATGAAGCCATGCTCCAGCAACACGAGGTGGCCATCTCCCCCTCATCGGCCGGAGCCCTACAAGGTTGGAAGCAGCAAGGCAAGTCCGTCCTCCTCTTCGCCGGGCGTCACATCGACTCCTCGGACCTCTCGACCCCCTGGCAGCTCCTCGCAATCCTCTCGGCATCAGATACCATCCGTCCCGAAGCTCCCTCCGTCGTTACCGCCCTCGAGTCTCGCGGGATCCACTGCTGGATGCTCTCCGGTGATAATCGCCTGGCCGCGGCCAGCGTGGCCAGAATCGTGGGCATCGACCCCTCCCGCGTTGTGGCCGAGGTGCTCCCCGAGCAGAAAGTAGAGCAGGTCAAGCGCATCCGCACCGGCGATGGCAAGGGGAGACGCACGGTCGCCATGGTAGGAGACGGGATCAACGACTCGCCCGCCCTCGCCCTCGCCGACGTAGGCATCGCCATCGGCACGGGATCGGACGTAGCCATCTCGGCCGCTTCCTTCGTCCTGCTAAACGCCAACCTACGCACGCTCCTCGTGCTCTTCGATCTCAGTCGCGCCGTGCTCAGGAGGGTCAAGTCCAACTTCTTCTGGGCGATCCTGTACAATGCAGTCGCCCTGCCTGTCGCGGCTGGCGTGCTGTATCCGGTAGTGGCGGGTGGGAAGCACGTGAGGTTGGATCCGGTGTGGGCGAGCTTGGCCATGGCTTTGAGCAGTGTCAGTGTGGTGTGTAGCAGCTTGCTACTCCGCGTTCCTGTGCCCGTGTTGGGCTGGCGATCTGCAGTCAAGAAGCAGGTTGAGTGACCTCCCATCACGGGCGTCATCTCGACTCGACACCTCATCCAAGCTTGCCTCCCTCTTTCTTCTTCACGGATACCTACTTCTCCTTCACCACCTGCGCAATCTTCCTCGCCCGCCAACAAGCCCCCACCCCAGCAGTAATCATGGCCGTCCAGACCGTCCAAGCAAAGGCGGCCAGCTCAACCTCGTACACACCCTGCCTATCCGTAGGCGACGGCACGCGCATCAGCCTTGCCCTCAAATCAGGCAGAGCAGCCAGCGCAGTCCCCGCAAGCACAGCCACGAAGGAGAAGACGCGCTGCAAGGCAATAGCCAGCCCGGCCCAAGTGAAGAGACGAGCCCAATCGCGATGGCGCAAATACTGGCGCGATCTAGCCGTTCTCCACGTCTTCCACAGCGTCACACCTTGCACGACGCTTAGGATGGTAGTCCCCGCCTCGGTCGTGGGCAGCCAGCCTGCGTGCATGTGAAGCGGGTTCGGGTGGGTGTAGCTGAGCTTGCGTGGGGCGAGCAGAAGGCCAGATATGATCAGGACGCCGTTGCATAGCAGGGCGAGACGACCGCACCACCGATGGAAGGAGGGGTAGCGACGCCGCAGGGTGTCGATGTGCTGGAGGGGCATGAGGAGACACCAGAGAGCGCTGCGAGCTCGAGAGCGAGGGGAGACTGATCGTTATGAGCTTTCATAGACGCACGCCGCGATATGCAATAGACACTGTTCTCCACCTCCTCTCCTCACACTCACCCCGGTATTAAATGCGCCCCCATGTAGTGAAAGGGCGAATGCCCCACCCTCGTAAAGACGAATGGCACGCCCTCCTCGTTCCTGAAACCGGCGAGCAGGGGCGTGTTATCCACCAAGGTGAGCTCCGCCTCTTTCCATTCTGGATGCGCGTCGAAGTGCCTTGCGTGGTACTCGTGTACGATGGGGCCGAGTGCTGCGAAGAGGAGGATAGAGCAGAGGAGAGTGAGGAGGGGGAGGGGAAGTGGTTCCTGTTTGGTGATGGTGCGGGCCATGACGGTGAGAGGTCGATGGGTATGAAGAGCAAAGGGGGGAAATGGCGGCGAGGCTCATCTTTGTACCATTCTAGGTTCAGGCAAAGGCGCAGGTTGCAGAGTTGAAAGAGGGGGAAGGAGCCAAAGAACGGGGCCGCGAGTGTCTGTGCGCAAGATGCAGGTACAGCCATTTCTCCGCTGCGAGTCTTCCCGCTCTCATTTCTCAGCAAGCAAGCAAGCAAGCAAGCAAGCAAGCAAGCAAGCAAGCACGCACGCACGCACGCACGCAGGCACGCACGCACGCACGCACACAAGGCCCCTTCATTAGCATGAGAATGACAACGCAACGAGGAATGATACTCTAAGCCGGGTCTGTATCGATCTATAGTTCATCGTGGCCACCCTCGGCCTTATCGCCCTGGTGATCGTCCTTCCTTCCCCACACCCTGTTGAGCACCTTGCGCAGATCCCCCTCAACCTTATCCGGCAGCACCACCTCGTACTCAATGTACAGACTCCCCCGTTGTCCCTCCACTCCACCGCGCACAGGCATCCCCTCGCCCTTGAGCACCACCACCATCCCCGGCTGTGTTACGCCTTTCCTCCGATCCACCGTAACATTATGCCCGTCCATGTGCGGGAAAATGTCCTTGAACCCGAGCAGGGCATCGGGCAAGCTCAGCGTCCTACTGACGTACAGGTTGGTTCCCCTTCTCCTGAACAAGCTAGTGCTCGGATCGCTCGTCACTTTCACGATGACATCGCCTGCCTCGATGTCCAAGTCGACACTCTCGTCGCTCTCTCCTTCGTAGGTGAAGACTTCCCCCTCCTCCGTACCCGCGGGTAGGTCGACTTCGATCTCTGCCTTTTCGTTGATGAGCTTCGCCCCGCCGCAGAGTGAGCAGGCGTGCGCTATGCGGCTGCCCGTACCGCCGCAGACGGAGCAGACTGCTTGCATTTGTGTGTGAACTGGCGTGTGCCGGGGGTGGGATGGGGGTCAGTCAATGTCCGTATCTCCCTCATCGTCTCGCATCTCGCGCTTCGCACTCACAGCCGGGCATGATCTCCTGCCTGACGATCCTGACTCCTCTACCCTGACAAGCCTCGCAGGAATGCACATCCCCTTTACTGCGCGCCCCACTGCCATCGCACTTGTGACATACGACGCTGCGGTCGTATTCGAGGTGAATCGTCTTCCCCACATAGAGGTCCTTGAGTGAAACCATAATGTTGAACTGTTTGCTCTGTCCCTTTCTCACCCCTCCTCCGCCACCTGCTCCTCCTCCAAAGAAGTTCCTAAATATGTCAAAAGGGTCGTGCCCTCCACCCCCTCCTCCCCCCGCCTGACCAGCTCTATGTCGCTTCACCCCTTCCTCGCCATATCGATCGTACACCTTGCGCAACTCATCATCGCTCAGCACCTGGTAGGCTTCGCTCATCTTCACAAATTCTGCCTCCTTTTCCGGAAACTTGTCCGGGTGCAGCTTGTGAGCTAGACGACGGTACGCCTTCTTGATTGTGCGCGCATCAGAGGAAGGGTCGATGTCCAGCAACTTGTAATAGGACGTTTGTGCTATGGTGAGAGTGGCCAGGAGGAGCAAGGCAAGGGCGAGGGAGAGGGAGAGGAGTATTGACGGCCCTCGTGCCCGTGAGCGGGTGTGTAGGCGCATGGTGGATGGATGATGGTGACAATGAAGTCCGTCGTCGAGAGAAGGTCTCCAAAAGTAAGTCGTGTGCCTCGCCCCCGCTCTCCTTCCACGTTGCTCCTCGTCGAGGCCCGTGCGGCAAGAGCCCAAAGATGAACCGCGGGGCGGCTGCGACTCGACGCGTTGCACTCTCGCGCGAGTCTGAGTTGCACTTTCCACTTCTTCCTCGCCGCCAAACCAACACCCGCTCGCCCGCCATGACTACCTCGCACGAGGACGGGCGCCTCATCATCGCCGGTCCCTCTCGCCTCGTAGAGGAGGAACAGCGATTCCTCCTCTTGCCTCATCCGCGAACTCATGCTCCCGCTTACTTCGTGATGGACGATGAGCAGGGCGAGGCATACGAGCTGCAAGCGGTCAGTAAGGAGAGGAGAAGTTGGATGTTGAATGGTCGACAAGCAGCAGTAGAGGAGGGAGGACAGGGATGGGTGATGCAAGGTGCGCATCCTAACCTCTTTCTCGCTATTGTTGCGGCGGCTGTATACTAATCCACCCCTACGTGCGCACATGCACAGACGGCTCTCTTCATCTTCTCCTTCCCCTCGACCCAATCTTCCTTCTCCTCCCGCTACTCCCCGTCCCCACAACCTCATCGAGCTACCTCACATCAGACGATATCTTCGACTCGGCCGCCTCTCGACACTACGCTGCGCGAGTAAAAGCCTACAACGCTCTAGCGGGGCAGTCGCAGGCGCAGAATGAGGGGGTGGCAGCCCTGGATGAAGACGCGGGGATTTGGGAGGATGTCGTCGCTTTTGGGCGATCGAAGACGGCACAGAAGGCGCTGGAGCGATGTTGCGATGTCCAAGGTGAGCCGCGCGCCAGAAAATCTCGATGGACGTGGGCTGATACCTCCCTACTCTTCCTCTCCCTCACCCTCGCTCAGCCATCAGCCCCACCTTATCCGCGTATCGTCCCTCCCTCCCTACTCTGCGATCCATCCTCCACGCCAAGCTACAAGCACTCTGCACCACAATGGAGACGGATTACTCGGCAACGCTAGGCCGAACCCTGGCGAAGCGACTCGAGTTCAATGCAACGGAGGAGCAGGTGGCACGGGAGAGGATCAAGCTGGGCAAGGAGGTGCTCATGGGCTACATGAGTGCAGAATGGGGGAAGATGATCCTCGACGAGTTGTGATGCTACATGATCTGCATTTTGCGCGGGCTCGGTCTAGAAGTACATATTGCTGTCAGTCACGCGTAATCGATACCCTCACCCTCCCTCGCTACGCCCCCTCTATCCCCTCTTCCCCCACTGGCTCCTCCACATGACAAAGTCACACCTATGTTAGAACGAGTGAAAGCGAAAACGCAAGCTAGGTACCAGCACATCAGGTACCAGCACATCAACGAGAATCCGCAAGCTAGGTACCAGCACATCGACGAGAACACGCAAGCTAGGTACCAGCACATCAACGAGAAACACGCAAGCTAGATACCCGCAGACCCAATTCGGCGCCTTGCAGCCCAATGTGCAGATTGCCTTGGTGCAAGATGTCCTCGATGCTTATCACGTTGACGACTAGAGTATACCACGCCTTCGAGGGCCCGACGTCCTCTACCATTCCTATCCATCGACTCGGCAAGACAGCTGACACCACAATCTTGCAAGACCACTCCGTCTGCCAGAATTTGTCACCATTGCCAGATGGGCTTCCAGACGCCAAAGCAGCCAAAAAAAAAATCGGCGTCGACGGACGCCTAGCCCTCGTCATCCTACCCACCTCGGAGCGAGAGTCTTGGACCATCAACAACCCCATCAAGATCGTTCCCGAAGTCATTATCAGCCTTGCTGCCCGACCTCGTCCAGGTAGCTCCCCAGAGGCCATGTGGGTCTCAGCCCAAGCGGCATCGTCGATGGCCGCCGCACCCTCTGCTCAAGCCACCAGCTCCTTGTCGACGGCCGCCGCACCCTCTGCTCAAGCTACTACTACCTCGTCAACGGCCGCCGGACCCTCCTGTAATGTGAAGCACGTCGTTCAAAGTCATGGATCAAAAGGAAGAAGCTGAAGGAGATACAGACTCGAGCTCAAGAGACCAGATAAGGGCAAAGAAGGGGTCTGAACGCAGGCTAGTCTAGCCGAGCCAAAGCTCAACACGGCAGTCGCTGCCATAGAAGCCAGCGAAGACGACATCGATGGCATGCCCGCCAGCTACGATAAATACCCAGCCCCAGGCATGATCAGCCGTCTGGACGACGAGACCTCGAAGGCGTTTGATGCCATGCTTGGCGAGGCCGCCGAGGCCTTCGATGCTCTTGATCTGGACAGCGACCGTGGACGCGCCCTAGTCGAGCGCATTGCTACGCTTCCCACGCTCGCGCAGAAGACCGATTCAACGTCCCCCAGGAGGAGCGACATCGCAATGGCGGCGGCCCGACCATCTTCTGGGACTCAACTCAAGCACATCCTTCTCGGTGATCCTCGTCCTTGCCTTCCGCGCGTGGCTGCGCGCGCTGAGCAATTGTGAGATTCTCGTCATAACTGCCTGCGGCATCGACGTCATCTGGAAGGACAAAGAGGGATGGATCTACGTAATCTTCTCGTGGATCGTGTGCTTCTGCCGCCGTGGTCGCCGCGACCGCCTCCCCGGCATGGCCATGGAGTTCTCCGCCGACAACTTCCCGCCCATGTTCCCCTGCTTCGTCTCTCACGTCGACCACTGTCGGCTCTTTGGCAGGAGGTCCAACGGCGACTTCATCGGGGGCGACGATGCTGCGGACCACCTCATGGACGAGAAAGTATTGAACATGACGGTCATGTCAAGAATGACGAACGCGGTCTTGGAGACACACCCTCCTCGCCACATCGTTCAGCTCGTCGAAGTCGACCAGAGGGGCAACCGACGCAGCGCTCCACTTGATGCGCCAGGAAGGCCTCCTGCTCGAGATCTCAGTGGAAGAGATCGAGAAGGTCTGCTCCTCAAGGATGGTTGATGCTACATGGTCGACATTGACTGGCGCTGTCTGAGTCTAGAAATACATATTGCTCTTGGTAACACACACAAATCGATACCCTCATCCCGCTCCTGCCCCACACATACGAAAATCGCACTACGTCCCCCTCCCACCAGCCTTTCTCCTCTTGCCCCACTCACTCCCCCACATAAAGAAGCCGCACCTATACTCTCCGCCCTCCCCGCCACCCTTGGTGCTCTTAAATCCTTTCTCATATCCTACCCCCACCTCTCTCGAGCACAAGAAAAACTTACGGCCGTGATTTGGGCCGGGTTTGTTGACCGTCCATGCTCGTGCGGGCTCGCCGTGCGCTGGGCATTTGGGGGCAGAGGGAGGCGTGAGGATGGAGGACCAGGCGGATGCGGAGGATGCGTTGGCGTTGGCGTTTGCATTCGGGTTGGGGAGGGGAGGGGCGTCGGGGTCTGGTAGGGCGGCGAGGGCTTCCCAGTCTACCTCCTCGTCCTCCTCGCCAGTGCCAAGTCTGTCGGCAGGAGCTGTTCCTGCCTCTTCACTGCGGCTGACATGGCCATTCTCGGCTGGGAGGCCGAGCTTGGCTCTCTTCTTCGTTGACCCTTCTCCATCGACAATCTCAGTCGGCGAGCAGGCAGGTAGGCGCTTCTTCTCATTGGTCGAGCTGCTGCTGCTGGCAGGAGCGCCGAAGAAGGAGGCGAGCTTGAGTTGCTGTCGAGAGGCGGCGGCCTTCTTGCTCGCGGTGGTCGTGGCGGCTTTGATTGCCTTTGGGCTGGTTGCGGTCGCTTTGGCGGGCTTGGGAATGCTGGCCGGGGGCGAGGAGCCGTTGACCTTTGGAGGTGGAGAAGCCGCTGGAGGACTGATCGCAATGCTCTTCACCGGGCTGGGAGAAGTAGAGCCAGTAGCCCGAGCGATCCCCGCAGTAGCCGCGCTTGCTGCCGCCTTATCGAAGAATGACTTGAGCCCCTTTACTCGAAATTCATCCCACCGACTCGCAGCACCCATTGGCGGACTGGTCGGCTGACTCATTGCATCTCTCAGCTTCAACACTTTCCCGCCCACCTCTCTCTCATCCCACAAATCCACCCAAACAGGGCAATGATCGCTGCCTGGCACCTCGGCTTGAATGTCTGCCCCTTTCACCCAGTCCTTCAACCCGGACGAGACGAGCGTGTAGTCGATGCGCGTGCCGTAATTCGTTGGCCGAGCATTCTTGAGCGTGCTCCAGCAAGTGTACATACCCTTGCGCTGCGGATGAGCCTCGCGCTGCACGTCATGGAATGGGCCCTTTGGGTGAATGAATCGATCAAGCCACGACCGGGCTTGACTGCCCGAGTAGAATTCCTCATCCCCATCTGCCGGCCCATCCCCTCCTAGACCCTGATAATCACAGTGGTCTATCGGCTGCCTGGCAATATTGATGTCCCCTACAATGATGACATTACGCCCAGCTGCGAGGAGAGCGCGTGCCCTCTCATTGACGGCAGAGTAGAATGCCATACGAAAGTCGTGCCTCTCCTCGCTACCCATGACAGGGCAGTACAGGTTGAAGAGGACGAAGAGTCCAAAGTCGAGGACAACTGCACGTCCTTCCTCATCTATGCTGAAGTCCTCGTAATCACCCGCATACCCTCCTATCCCATCCCTCCCCTTCGCACCGGTAAGCCCTCGCTCGAAATGAAGAGGCCTAGCGATATCGCCACGAGTGTAAACTGCCGTTCCGCTGTACCCTCTCGAAGGGTGAAAGTCCCAGTACGACTCCCAAGAGGAAGAAGGGAGACACATCTCCTTGTCTTCTAGGGCTTGTTTGCGGGTAAGCTTCGTCTCTTGTAGGCAGACTATGTCTGCTTGGAGGTGGGAGAGGATGTCGTGCCAGGACTTCATGAGGGAGAAGGGCTGGTAGGTCCGCAGTTTGCGGAGCCCGTTTACATTCCATGTCAGGATCCGCATCGATGGCGATGGCTATGGCGATGACGAGGGTGATGATGATGGTCCTGCCGCCATGAAGGGGACGGAGGGGGAGCGATTGTCGTTGATGGCGTTGATGACGAATGTGCTGCTTCCGCCTTCCGCCCATCGCGCTCCGCATTCACGGCAGCCTCGCCCCGCCCCGCCCCTCCTCCTCTCCGCTCACACTCCTCCACAAACAAGGCACAGACAGACGGTGTCCACTCGGCGCCGCTGCGCCGCTGCAATTGCAATTCGCTTCAACTTGGCCCCGCTCAACGCTCACCACCCACCGTGTGTGCCTTTTCCCCGCACCTCCTCGCCCCTCACTCTTTACCCACTCGATGGAATCGCACGACTATCAGCACGAACCATGACGATCACTACCCTCGGCGCCGCACGCCACATCGCGCCCACTGTGCTCAACACATTCTTTCAGCACTACTTCGAGCAGGCAAAGAAGCGTAGAAAGGATCGTCATTTGGAAGCCACCGATGAGTTGCTCTTCCACGAGGCATTCTCCATCGTCAAGAGGTAAGGCGGCGCTTCAGAAGGACAGGTGGTTGATACTACACGACTACACGACTGCTGACATCTCAAGCCACCCCGCGCACGCAGATTCATCTCGCTAGCCACAAATGACACGGTCGAATCCCTCCAATCCTTCACCAACACACGCATCCCGCCTCCCCCACGCACCACCGTCGTCTCAGACTTGATCCCCCTCTCATCATGCGATAAAGCCGCAAAGGCAATCATAGACTACTTTGGGCCGGATGACTTGAAGAATGTGGTAGGCGGTGAGAAATGGTGGCAAGTCCGCGGACTAAACGGCGTAGAGGCAGAGTGGGTAGCCATGACGTCTGACTGGAAGAAGGCGAAAATAGTAGAAGAGATGGCCGACGGTGAGGCGCGCGTCAAGGCGGCCAAGTTTGCAAAATATCACCGCAGGCACGAGAGGGTCGAGCGCAAGCATGTGCGCAAGCAGGAGAGCAGCACCGACCCGGCCATCGAGGAGCTCGATGAGGCGCACCGCAGCTCGGGCGACGACAGCGTCCCCGTCGAAGAGCTGGATCGACTGCGAAGGTGCCTTCTCTACTTCCACGGCGGTGGCTTCTACTTTGGCTCAGCACCTACGACGCATCGATACCAGATTGTGCGCCTCGCCCGCAAGATGGGTGGGCGAGCATTCGCACCTACGTACAGAAAGGCCCCCGGATATCCCTGGCCCGCTCCATTGCAAGACTGTCTCGCTGCCTACTTCTACCTCATTGAACCGCCACCGGGCGCAAGACACAAGGCCATCGATCCCAAGAATATCATCTTCGGTGGAGATTCGGCAGGTGGAGGCATGTGCCTCGCCGTCCTGGCCGTTTTGCGAGATTTGGGCCTGCCCATGCCTGCTGGATGCACCCTCATCTCGCCGTGGTGCGACCTCACCCACTCTTTCCCCTCTATTCTCCAGAACACGGATAGCGATATCATCCCGCAGTACGGCTTCGTTCATAAGCCCTCGACCCTCTGGCCGGTGCCGGCCGTGGTGGACGAGAAGGACAGTCCGAGCAGAGAAGTACCCCAGGATGGGGTCAAGGCGGAGACGGGTAGCAACAGTGGTGGCAACGGGCAGCCAAGAGTCAAGGGAGTGGATCGCACACCACACGCCTCGCGTCCTCAGTCTCCGCAAGCCTCGCACGCCTCGCACGCCTCGCACGCCTCGCGCCCTCAGTCCCCAACCACTTCCAAGCCCAGCATCGCGGGCATCCCCCCCGCTCCCTCCCCCCTCAAGTCAGACATCATCGACGTCGAGCTCTCGAACAACGACCGTATCCACCTCACGCAGCAGATTCAGCTCTACGCCACAAATGACCAGCTCTACCACCCTCTCTGCTCCCCAGTCCTCCAGGGCTCATTGGGCGGCCTACCCCCGCTCTACATCATCGCTGGGGACGGCGAGGTGCTTCGCGACGAGGTGATCATGCTCGCCCATCGGGCCGCTCGCCCGGAGAAGTATCCCTTGCCCGAGCATCTTCTCGCCAAGAATGCCCGCGCTCGTGAGACGGCGGCGAGGTTCAATTCGCAACCGACGAAGGTGCACCTCCAAGTCTTTGACTACCAGTGTCACGTCCTCACCCTCTTCCCCTTCACTACCGCTGCGCGATACGCCTATCGTGCTCTGGCTAGCTTTGCGAAGCATGTGACTAATGCGCAGACGACATTGGTGCGCAATCCGTTCCCGGAGCTGAGGGAGGAGCCGAGCGTTTCGAGTAGTGTGTTTAGTCAGGGTGTCACGGGGGCGGGACATGGGAATGGAGAGGGAGGATGGGTCGATGAGCCAGAGGAGATGTTGCATGGCGAACAAGGATCGACAGACGACTCGACCAGGCAGCGAGATGCAAGCAGTACGACTGGCTCGTCTCTGGCCGCAAGCAACAGCCCCGCCACCGCAAGTCGCAGCGGCACGACCACGCCGGCCACCACCGCGCCCAGCTCCGTGCCCACCGCTCTCACCGCAATAGACACGCCTCCCTCGGCCACCGCCTCTGCGACGAACAGCGCCCACTCCTCCCGCCGAGCCACGCGGCGCCAACATGCCAACTCGCTCCTCGAAGAGAAGAGACGCAAAGCCACTTCTGGCGTATCCAACGACTACTCAGGCCAAGTCCCCTTGAAACGCCCGGACTTCCACGAGCACATGATCCGCGAACGTGTCAATGTCCGCGGCGCCGTTCGCCCCCTCGAGGCAGAGGAGGAGCTTCAAGCCGTGAAGCTCTTCATAGAGCACCCAGAGGTGGTAGGCACCATCCGCGAAGGACCCGTCAAGCGCTACCTGGAAGGCAAAGGGATCTGGGACAAACGGTTCAAGCGAACGGCAAAGAAGGTGGAGAAGCGACGCAGGGAGAATGAGAGGCGTTGCGAGGAGATGTTGGAGATTGCCTTGAAGCGTGGACTTTTGGACCAGAAGCAGAAGCACGGTATCACCGGGTCCGCGCAGCGCACCCCTACTGACTCGCCCAAGGGGACAGCAAAGGGGACTGGGGGCACGGCCGAGGAGACTCTCTGGGTGGACGAAGCGCGCTACGGTCCTGTGGACGTGGCTCTTGCACGGGAGACACCCCCACCCTCGGCCCTCGCCGGACGCAGGGACTGTGACGACTCTGTGACACTGCTACGCCTCTCCCTCCACCTCTCTGCGCGCGAAGCAGGCGTAGGCTCCAAGCGCACCCGTTTCCGTGAGGAGGTCCTCGGCCATGCGCCTCGACTGAGTGCGGCTGAAGCGTCGCAGGCTGCGCCGAAGAAGGTCAAGCCGGGGATGCATGGGATGGCTCTGTGGACCAAAGGGATGGGGGTGTTCGGGAGGAGGACGAGGAAGAAGGCGTACTTTGAGGATAGGAGTGGGAGGACTGTGGAGGAGGTGACGGATGCGGAGGGAGAGGGCGAGGATGATGAGGTGGGGCAGGAGGAGGCCGATGAGGCTGCCGGAGGGACAAGAGGTGGGGCTGAGGCTGAGGCTGAGGCGCCGCCTGTTTCGCCTATGCCGAAGTAGTGGAAGAGGCGGAGGAAGGATACATACCCGTCGTCGACCCTAGAGATTAGTGTAGCAGAGTTTCGTTCGTCTAATGATTCAGAAGATGCGTGTAATCCATCCCGGTACCACATCCTATTCGTCGAGTCTGTCGCAGGGCGGTGAGATCGCGCCCGTATCGCGTCCCTCTGCCGCGCCCGTGATGGCGCGCTCTCCTTTTCTCCCTTCTTGCGCAACCGCCCGCGCCCAGGAATCTCACGGCCCTCAAGTGACTCGACCCCGGCGCGCTGCATGGCCGAGCCTCGGGGTAAGAAGAAGGCTGGGCCAAGTAACAAGAAGGGGGCCAATCCGCTCAAGGCCAGGCTTAAAGGGCAGACAACTGCTGCGGGGGAAGGAGGGGCCTCAGCATCCGGATCAACACCAGGCAATGATAGGGACGAAGAGGCGTGCGGCCCACTCTTCGAAGCCACCCTTTCAGGCCCGCTGATCACGCTTCTCTTCACATCCAAAGCGAACCAGCACGCCACCTTGGCCCGAATCGAGGCCTTCTACGAGTCTGCGAGTCAGGCGAGACGATACTTGAGTCTGGAGGAGGCGGGCAAGGCAAGGCTATGCCAGAACTATGAGGCTTTCAACCTCCCGCTGAGCGTGGCGCGGGAGTGGTTGCGGGAGATGCGCGCGAAAGAGGAGGCAGGGGGTGAGGAGGAGCAGGAGCAAGAGCAGGACGGACAAGCAGTATGGTGGGCTGCATTCGTCAATGCAGAGGAGAAGGAGCTCTTGACCTTTCTCGACGAGAGAGGAGTCCTCACCAGCCCGCCTCGCGCTTCCTCCCCAAGCTACCTCATCTCCTCCCTCGTCACACAACAATCCACCTCACTCCCGCACGAACGCTTGCACGCCCTGTACCACCTTTCAGAGCTGTATCGCTCCCTCGTCACGGACCATTACTCGTCGCTCACGAAACGGGCACGGAAAGCCATCGAGACGGATCTGGGGATGCGGGGCTATGGGCAGACGGTGTGGGAGGACGAGTGGCAGGCTTATGTCGTGCATGGAGAGGAGGAGGTCGGGGGTGGGGTGGCCAAGGGGGAGAATGGCGAGGCAAGGCAAGCGCTGAGAGAGACGGTGCGTGAGGAGGGTTGCAGACTAGGCTTGGGAGGAACGGGCTTCTGGTAACGAAGCGCGGGGCTGCCCCGAGCCGCGATATCCATCTGTAAGCATGTTTGATAGACGAATCGGATTGCGACCCATGATTGGCATTGAAGCGTGCAACACCGTAAAGGGGCCAACAAAGGTACGCGAAGACGAGCTGGCTGTGCGACGAGATTCGGGGCAACGACAAGATGGCAGCCCCTGAAGGACGATGAATCAACGTTCTCTGTCCCATAGCAGCGGTGCCGACCGGCCTCCGGTCGCAGTAATCAGCGAGCCAACCATCTCGCCGTTCTCGCGAGATGTTCAGGAGTCATTCGAAGCTCAAGCATCGAGATGCCAAAGCGAATCGAAATCTAACCAACGCTTCAGTTGCTTCGACGCTGCTTCGACTTTGCTTCGACGCTGCTTCGGGAGATTCTTCTCATTGCCTCGCCGAGACGGACGGACGGACGGAGCGATCGGCGATGGGGGCTGGCTCCGCTGCCTGTCTCGTGTCGGTCTTGGTCTCATCTCACTCACTCGGCGGCGAGCCCCCTGCGGGCGGGAATGTTGGCGTCGTGGCCACGCGTGACGACGCGCTCAAGCTTCCTTGTTCTTGGACTGCTTGCCAAGCTCGACCAAGAGAACAAAGACGATGCCGAGCGCTTAAGCATGTGTGCATTGCAGCGCTGCGATTGGGCTCAAGCTGATTCTCCATCATCATCGGCGGCAACGCACCACCTGCTTCCTTTGTTCGATGTCATGCCACACATCGCGCCGCGGCCAAACGGGCAAGAAGAACAAGAAAGAGACGAGAATCAATGAGTGTGTGCGAGCCGATGACGCCGGAGAAGAGTGGTCGCTGCGACTAAGCAAGCGGGCTGGTTCATTGAAGTGATGATCGTTGATCGATTGGAGCCGGGCCCAGGGCAGCCAAGCAGCGCTCCATCGCAAGCCGTTACAAGCGCCCGACGTGCCGAAGCCTCGATGGAAAAGCTGAAGGCTGCAGAGAACCGAGGCTATTCAGGCGCGCACGGCGTGCGGGCTGTTGAGTTGCGCATTGCTGGGCCGAGAGTCCGCGATGCAGCGATTGAGGCACTGCGCGACTCTGTTGCTCCAAAGTCCGTTCGCAGCATTGGGCAAACAACCAAGCCGTGCCGCCACCCTCTGCTCCCCTGTAGCGCCCTCGATGCCCCTCGTCGTTAGCCCCCTGAGCAAGGGCAGGGCAGAGCAAGGCAAGGCAAGGCAGGGCAAGGCAAAGCAAAGCAAAGCAAGTCAGTCAGTGACGCCCGCCGAGGAGCAACCATCGCGATCACCATCACTACCACGACTGCCTCTTCTCTCTTCTCCTCTCCTCAATTCAACCCTCCGCTACGCCCCAATCCCCTCCCCTTCGCTCCCCACTCTCTTTCATCGCGCCGTGGTATTCCCTGACTCCTCGTCATCACGCGCAAAACCACATTCTTTTTTCTTATCCAGCCCCCCTTTTGCTCTAAAGTGCCCACGATGAAGACGACTCTCTGCACCATCGCAGCCATCGCGGCCGCTCTCTCGTCGTTCACGACGCCCGCTGAGGCCGCCCACAACACCCACCACGGCGCCATTCGTCGCGCTCACTCTTACCCTCGAAGGGGAGAGACGTACCAAGGCAAGGCGACCTTCTACAACACTGAAACGTGCGTGCGCGTGCCCGCCCGAGCAGGCCAGCCTTGATTCGCACAGCGAGCTGACCCGCTTCTTCTCCTCCTCTGTACGCACAGCGGAAACGCTGGATCGTGCGGTTCGTACCTCAAGAACTCGGGCTACACCGTCGCCCTCAACCGACCTCAGTACTCGCAGTCATGGTGCGGCAAGACGATCACCATCACGGCCAATGGCAAGTCGCACGAGGCCACCATCCAGGACGAGTGCCCCGGAGATGGCGAGACGTGCAAGTGGGGCGCCCTCGACATGAGCCCTGCCCTCTTCAACTACTTTGCCGACCCGTCGCTCGGTGTCATCGATATGAGCTGGTCCGTCGGCGGTGGTGGCGGTGGTGGCCTCCTCGGTGGCCTCCTCGGCGGCGGTAACAAGGGTAACGACGACGACAGCAGCAGCCAGAAGTCGAGCGGCAACTCGAACAAGAACAACAACAACGACGACGACGATGACAGCGCTGCCAAGGCTGCTGCTGCCAAGTCCGCCGCTGCTGAGGCCAGCAAGTCCTCTGCTGCTGCTGCCGCCGCTGCTAGCAAGACTGCCGCTGCTGAGGCCGCTGCGGAATCTGCTTCTGCTGCCGCTGAGGCTAGCAAGTCGTCTGCTGCTGCGTACGCCTCGTCAACAAAGGCGGCTGCCAGCGCCTCGGCATCCAAGGCCGCGGTTGCAAGCGGTGAGTTGGGTGCGCTGCGGGACCCCAGGGCATCACGTACTGATCACTCTCCCCTACCCACTCACCCGCACAGCCTCGTCCGTCTCATCAGCAAGTCGCGCGTCGGTCAAATCAGTGGCGAGTGTCTCCCGCGCCTCGGTCCAACACAAGTCCTACCTCGCATCAAAGTCGAGCGCCTCTGCCTCCAAGTCGAGCGCTTCGGTCGCATCCGTCTCTCGTTCCAAGGTGAGCGTCGCAGCGTAGCAGCAGCGCGCGTCGGGCTGCTGGGCTGCGATGAAGCAAGGGAACGGGGGGCATGCGGACCGAAGTTAGCAGCTTCGATTTGGAGGCGGGGGCGTGACACACGCGCGCGCGCATAGATATCACAGATGCCTCCCCTCCCCTCCCCTACCCTTCAGCAGAAGCAGCACTGCGCTCCCCCCGTCCCTTCTCGCACAACCACACCTGTCCTCACGAGCAGCATGCTAACCCTCCCTCCACTCCGCCCGCCCACAGGCCGCCGTCGCATCCGCCTCCTCCTCGTCAGCAGCAGCCGCAGCATCAGCAGAGGCTGCCCGCCCAAAGAACCTCGAGAACTTCGACCAGGTCCTCTCCGGCCTCCAGGCCATGGCCATGGCTGCGCAGAACTAAGCGTTGCGCTTTTTCTTCGTGCCTCCTGCTTTCTTCTTTGGTCCGGACGTCATTGCTACTACCCCACACACTCCTCCCGAGCACACACCTCTTCTCCTCTTCCCTCGGCGCAAAAAACGCACGCCCGCACGCACGCACGCTGCCCGTTTTTCTTTGCCGTTTCATCGACCAAGCCGTTCGTCATTGCTTTCGATTCCACTGCCACTACCATTACCTTGGACTGGATTGGTTCGGACCCGTTTCCCCGTTCCCGTCTTCCCTTTGTTCGTATCGCTGCATCATTGCAGCATACCCTTTCGTGGCCCCGCCCTTTTTCTGCTTCAGAAACTCTGTGCTTCTCTGTCTCTGGTAGACATGATGAATCATGCATCTTTTTCAAGTCTACTTCACACGTTGTCCCGCCTGAGATTGTAGCGTGAACACGCGTCATGCCACGCCAGACGTGCACCGTGACACTTGGCATTGAGATATTGACAAAAAGGATGGACCATGTAAGCGTACGAGAAGCAGCAGCCTCGAGGATGAAGGGAGAATCGTGTCGCGTCATTTACAACAAATGGGAAGCAGGGGAGAGTCCATGAACAAAGCAGAGATCGAATAGGTGGATGCATGCATGCGCGCACCATGCCGCATCACGTTTCATCAGAAATGGTATCGTGGCGGATCGTCGTAAGGTTGCTGCCCGTACGGCTGCTGCTGCTGCTGCTGGGCGTGACGCTCCACCTCGCTATGTCCGCCGTACGAGTAGAGGGAATAGCCATTATCCTCGTCTCCTCCAGCATTGGCGTCACTAGCCGCTACTGCTCTGCGGTAGCGTTGCGAATGACCGCCTGGAGCGGCGGCTGCGGCGGCGGCGGCTGCGGCGTGAGGGTTGGACTTGGGCGCCTGCGCTTGCGGAGCGTCCCCAGACGCCGTGACGTACGAGGCGGCGGAGACGTCTTGCTGGTGTTGTCCTGGTGCGCTTGAGTTGAGGGGAGCACGCATTGTGGCCGCGAGGAGGACGTTCATGTCTAGCGGCTCGACTGGGGTGAGAGGAGGCTGGTCGGCAGCTACTGGGCGGTTCTGCGTCTGAAGTGCGGACCGTCTCCGGTAGTCGTCGTCGTCGTCGTTGTCGTCGTGCGGCCTGTAGTCTCTCGCGTCTGGCCCCGCCGACGGGGGGAGCATTGCCATTCTCATCTCCTTGTTGGGCGAGTACGCCAGCAAGTCCTGCTGCGATGCTGCCCCCGGTGCGTCGCGCGTATAGCTGTAGCCGGTGGGCGTCGGGTCGTCTTGCTGGTAATAGTAGGCTGCGGCTCCGCCACGCCCCTGACCTCCCTCAACCGTCGCGCCCATCGCGCCTGCCCCGCCGTTGTAGTAGTGGAGCGAAGGAGCGCGCTGCATCGCCTGCTGTTGGTCGCGGACGACGCCGTGATTCCACTGCTGCCAGCTAGGCTGGTAGGGCGCCGTTCCTTCCTCGTCGTCGCATCCGTCGTCCCCGGCCTTGTAGCTGCGCATTGTATCGTCTCCGTCGACAATCACTACGGCGTTTCCTCCGCGCCCTGGCCCACCCCTCTGTGTAGCATCGACGCTCAACCCGCTACGCGCCTCGCTGAGCATGGTGTAGCGCTTCGCCCTCAATCTAGCCTGCACGGTCGGTCTAGCCTTTTCCATCTTGTCGTACAGATACCACGCAGCCGCCAGCGTGATGATGGCGGAGATGGCGAGGACGACGTACTTGATCACCTTACTCTTTGTGCTCTCCTCTCCTCCTTCTCCTGCCTCCCTAATCGCCTCACCTAGGTACACGACGGCGAGCTGCTTAGGCATGGAGAGCAAGGCGGCGAGCGTGAAGATGAAGACGTTCATGCCTACGGTAGCGAAGACGGCCGTAGTGAAGTGGCCAGGGATGGCGGACAAACGGGCGATGAGGATGACGAGGAAGCCTCCCTCGCGAACTATGTGCGCCATACAGGCGTAGTTGAGTGACTTGCGCTCGTACTTTTCTGCGAGGCGTCGGAAGCACCATTTGAAGGCCCAGAAGTTGCCGCTGGGCGGGCGAGTGGGGGCGGGCGCGGGGGAAAGGGGATGTTCAGCTGGCGCTAAAAGGGGAGGAGCTTGTTGGGTACTCGTGCCACTCACAGCTCTCCAAGCAGCGTACCCAGAGCCACGACGCCGAATGCGATCCACAATGGGTAGACGATACCGCATAGGATGGCGACGATCTCGTGGCCGAAGAGCGGCGGGAAGGAGATGACAAAGAGGATCGCAACAGGAATGACCCATCCCCACTTGACGCTATTGACTTTTTGACTGATAGGCGTCAGCCAATCGATGATCTGCCTGTGATAAATCGTAAAGAAGGCGACCATGACTGCGATGAGTACAAGGGCGAGGTAGTAATACCAGTAGCGCCATTTGATCCATGTGCGCCAATTGCGCAGCATCTTCTTTATCGAGGCCCACATGGAAGATCCCTCCTCATCGAGGTCCTCGGGAAAGGTCGAGGCGATACGACGTTGCTCTGGATTGAGGCGCTCCCATTTCAAAGGGCGGTCAGGGTGAACTCCGTCTGATGGGGCTGGGGAGGGGGAGCGATCCTGGAGGGATGGGGGCGGGTAGAGGGAAGGGGGAGGTTCGAGGGCTGATGAGGAGGAGTGGGAGGAATCGAAGGGCTGCTGGTGGTGAGAAGGGGGCTGCCGTTGCTGGCCATGCTGCACGTAGTGGTAGTTGTCCTCCTCGTCGTCATCGTAGCGAGCGCCTTGCGAGAGGCCTACATCGCCGCGTGGGGAGAGGTGAGGGTCAAAGGTAGGCCGTCTAGATGGTGTGCCAGCGCGTGATCCGCTAGGCGGGTAATAAGGGTTCGCCATCGCAGCGTGTGCGCGACGATGAGCGGTATCGAGAATGGCAAGGTGGTTTCAAGCAGCCAAGTCGTGATCCAGGGGGTCACAAAGCAGCGCGGACCGCCGTCTGTCACTTTGGGCGGTGCGGTGTGGGTGCCGCCGCCGCCCTGCCTCTGCCTCTACCTCTCCGCGAGCTGCCTTTGAGCTGCAGCCAAGAAAGCCCCGCCTCCTGAGTTGGGCGACGACGTGCAGGTGCGAGTGTACGGGGGAGCGAGCGCGTTGCAGTAGGTGGTGGTAATGATGAGTGTGGATGAGCAAGCAAAATATCACACAGTGTTAGCCAGTCAGCTCTTCATCAAGGAATGGCAGCTCAGAGTAGCAGCAATGCCCTCGTTGCCCTCGCCCTCGCCCTCGCCCCCCACTCTCATCTCAGTCTAAGCCTGAGGCGCGTCTGAGCCCGCCTGCAGCCACGCCACACGCTCCACGCTCCCTCCCGCTCGACGAGACGGAACTGGCTTTTGGTCAACGGGACGCGACTCGACTCATTTCCAGAAGTGCAACACACACGAGAGCACTTCACTCACCCTTTTCCCGCTTTGTCACTTCATCACTCTCTTCCCGCTCGACGCGGCATGCCATCATGGCTCACAGGGGCCACAAGTCCTCCAAAGTGCCCAATGTCAAGCTGCGACCGACCAACCCAGGATCCTCGTCTCGTCTAGAAGGTGGTGGTGGCGCCCGCGCTGCTTCCTCTTCGTCGTCGCCGCCGCCTACATCGCCTCATCCGGATGGCGATGGTGGTCATGACGGCGAGTACGATGATGGAGAGGATGGAGGTGGAGACAAGGACAGGCCACTCAAGGGGTGGATGTTCTGCTTCACTGGCGTGACGCAGGAGAAGGTGAGTCTTTGCGCCCAAAGCGTCGTTGCACTGCTCTCACCCTGACGCCAAGCCACTCCTCGTCCACACCCTCGCCCAGACGACACTCACTCAACAGCTCTACAGCATGGGAGGCATGGCGGAAGGCAACCTCACCGAGTCCACCACGCACCTCATAGCCTACAAGGTTGGCTCCTCCAAATACGACTGCGCCATCCAGCTCGGACTGCCCATCCTCCTTCCCTCGTTCATCACCGAGCTCCACGAGCAATGGCAAAAGGCGCAAGAGAACATCGACATCGATGGGCTGTTGCGAGAGCATACCATGCCGCCCTTGGCAGGTCTGAAAGTCGGGCTATGCGGATTGACGGAGAATACGCGCAAGTTGGCAACGAGGAAATTGATCAAGGAGCTAGGCGCCGAGCTCGTCGTGCCGATGCGCTTTGACGCCGACGTAACCCATCTCGTCTGCGCCCAGGCGGACGTTCGCCCTTCTACGACCCTCACACACGCCAAGAAATACCGCGCTGGCAAGATGGGCACGCAGGAGAACCAACGCGCCGCACAGCAACTAGCATGCGTACACCTCGAATGGCTGAAGGACTGCGAGCGCGCCCGCGCCCTTCTCCCACCTCATGACTACGATGCCTGGCCATGTGGGAAAGGACCCACCTCTACCGTGCGCGCGGCAGCGATCCAGTCGATCCCTGATCGGGCCGAGAGGGCGCTCAAGGAGCGGGTGAAGGAGGTTATGCAGAGGGAGGAGGAGAGGAAGAGGGAGGCTGAACCACCTCGCCCAACACGGTCCAATGGTACAGCAACGGCTGTGGGCAGGGTGAGCAAGAAGATTGCAGCTGAATCGCAGCTGCCTGAGCACGAGTCGATCACGCCTAGAGGGCTGCTCGGGTTGTCGAGGGAGGTGGCCGATGCGGCGGAGAGGAGTGAGCTGAGGAAGGCGCCGGATAGCACGCCGCTCGAGGAGGAGGAGCGAGCGGACAGAGAGAAGAGGGACGACCCGCCAGCCAAGGACAAGGAGGACGCAAAGCCTGCAGACCCACCTGCGGCAGCTCCGGCGCCCGCAGCTCCATGCGCCCCCTCAGCACCAGCTCCTCCAGCATCACGCGGCATCTTCAGCAACCTCACCTTCCGCCTCCTCTCCTGTCCCTCGGATCGTCTGCCTCTCCTTCGCTCCGCCTTGTATGGAGCCGGAGCTTCGGACGTAGTTGCGGGCACGGTTGAAGGCGCTGCAGCGGACTACTGCCTCCTCTCCTCCGCCTCCTCGCCTGCTCCACCCGATCTTCCCAGCACGTACGGCCAACCAGTGACCCTCCACTGGCTCGACCAATGTCTGTTCTATGAGCGGGTCGTCGAACCTACGTCTGCACCGTGGCTACGTCCGCCGGGCCTGGCTTTACCTTTACCCGCAGCAAGCCAGTGCGTCGTAGCCCTGACCGGCTTCCCTCTCAACGGCGAGACGCCCGAGCGACAACAGCTACGCAAAGCTCTAGAGACGGTAGGATGCAAAGTAACGGACACGTTCGCCGCGAGGGAGAACACGCATCTCCTCTCCGCCCGAGCAGTGGAGTGTCGATCCCTCGATCAGGCGGAGATGGAGAGCAAGGGATGGATCAAGGAGGCCCGAGCCATCAAGTGGGGAACGCCCCTTGTGGGGGTGGAGTGGGTGGAGCGCATCTGGCGCGAGGGGAGGGTAGAGCCGGCGCCGAAGACGAAGGGGGACGGACAGCTGAGCGAGTCGGCTCTTGCAGAGACGCAGATCGCGAGCAGTAGCCGGCCGAGTAGCAGCAGCAGCGAGCGCGCCCGCTCAGCAGGCAATCGCACGGGTAGCGCGGGAGGGCAGCGCAAGCAGGGGATCACGGGCGAGCATGGCAATCCTGCCGCCGAGTCCATACCGAAGAGCAGCCCTCCTCGCGGACCCTGCCTCTCCAAAGATCTCAACAACAGTCACACCCGTGACCAAGGCGAGGAGAGCGCGGAGAGCGCGGAGAGCGTTCGCCAGCCTTACCACGCAACACAGATGCTCTCAACACAGACGCATGCCTCGTTCCTCACAAAGATGCAGAATCAGGTTGCTCAGCTACTCCTGCCTACGCGCGCGGGCTCCGCCTCGTCCGGTGACGATGGCGCAGGACACCAGCCGCAAGCCGGCCCATCAACAACGTCATCGTCGAGTGCCGCTGCGCCGCGTCGCTCCCTCAACAGCACTACATCCGGCGGGAAAGCACCACCAAAGTCACGCCGCGTCAAGAGCCTCACGGGCGCGGGCAGAGCGAGTAGTAGCGAAAGCGATCGCTCCCGTACTGCCAGCCTCGTGCGGGACGAGAGTCGCTCCCCCGTCAAGGGCGCACCAGGCGACAACGACGAGGCCGAAACGCTGGACGAAGCTGCGGCTCGTGCTGCGCGTCTTCTTGCGCGGGGTCGTGAGGAGGAGGCGAGGCGAAGGAGGGAGAGGGAGGTGCAGCAGCACAACGAATTTGGCTCGGCTGGACCCTCGTCGGATGGAGCGGGCGAGCACAGCATGGTGATTACGTATCGGGATCCGCAGGGAGAGAGGGAGAGGCAGCGGTTGGAGGATCTACTGGTTGCGCGACAGCAGGGCGTAGGGGCGAGTATGACGCAGACGCAGAGTGAGGAGGAGCAGCAGCAGCACGAGGGAGAAGGGGGAGGCGGGGAGTCGCTCGATGATGGTGGGGGAGGAGGAAGGAAAAGGCCTAGAGAGCATGGAGAGTCTATGCGCTCTGCCTCTGCTGGTGGTGGTACCAGCGTGGGATCGGCCTCGAAGCGGAGGATTCAGGCGCGCAAGCAGCCGGGCGCGTAGGCCAGCGCACCCACCTCATGGAGCACTCCACTCTCACCACATCGCTCAACCTAAGTAGTAGTGACTTCTGTATCCTAGCCATTCCGCGCCGTGAATCCATTGTCATTCATATCTCACCGCAACGCCTCCTGCGCATACCTCTCCCGCATGACCGCCTTGAGCTTAGGCCAGATCTCCTTGCTCGTCTCCCCGCGCAGCGAAACGTAGGCTCGCTCCTGATCCCCCAACTCTTCCCGCGCACCAAAACGCTTCGACATTTCAGCAAAGTGCCGAATCATAGGCCCCGTCTGCCCCTTGAACGCCTCCAATCGCGAGCGGAATGTCGCCTCATTATCATCGCTACGTTGCACCAGTGGCTCCCCAGTCTCATCGTCCATCCCTGCGCGTTTTGGCGGGTTGTACGAGAGGTTGTACACCCGGCCCGACGCTGGATGGACCCATCGATCCAGTATTCTCGCGAGGATCACACTCTCGGGCACGTCCAGATTCACCACCAGATTCAACGCCTTCCCCTGCTCCTCCAATGCCGCATCGAGCAGACGGGCCTGCCCGCTCGTCCTGGGGAATCCGTCGAGCAACCAATTCCCCGCGCCTAGCTCGCGAACCGCTGATCCGACCATGCGCATCATCGTCTCGTCTGGCATGAGGGAGCCAGATGAGACGACACTCTCCGCTTCGATGCCGAGAGGGGTGCGTCGCGATATGTGGGAGCGAAGGAGGTCGCCTGCGGAGATGGTTGTGAGGGTGGGGAAGGTGCGGGAGAGGAGGGAGGACAGGGTGCCTTTACCTGAGCCCTGCGAGTGCGGGGCGAATAGAGATAGGCGTTTGAAGGTGTGAGATACGGCGAGGAGGTGAGCGCCGGACGTGCAGCGTTGAGTACGTACCGGCGAGCCGACGAGGAGCATACGAATTTGGCTTGCCTTCTTGACAGGAGACGAGGAGGATGAAAAGCACCTCGCTGAGGCTGCACCTCCCCACCTTGTCCACCGCGGCACCGCCGTAGATGAGAGACGGGTCAGGACCATTCGAATGGGGGGCGAGGAGCAGCGAGCAACGAGAGCAAGACGACGAGGACAACCAAGCGCCCCGCCCCGCCAACACGGGAGGTGGGGTGGCTCGAGCGCTCAGACTCCGCCTCCGCGTGGCCGTCGCGTCGAGGTGTCTCAGCCCACTCCATTTCCGACGCCAAAGAAAAAACACGACTCACACGACACGACATCTTCCTCGCTCAACGCCATCCTCATCGCGATAGCGATTCGGTGGTAACGATGGCAAAAGAGAGTAGGATCTTCCTTGCCGGGAGTCGAACCCGGGGCTCCCGCAGGCTTGATTCAACGCTTTGAAAGCGTAGAAAGTGACAAGCGGACGTCCTAAAACCGTTAAACCACAAAGAAGGAGGAAAGCGGCGACGCTCAGTAGCACAATATAGACCCCCTTGCCTTTCATCATCGGTCGCACGCTCAGTAGCACAATATAGACCCCCTTGCCTTTCATCATCGGTCGCGCGCTCTGCCTCGGCCTCCTACATCACCGTCGTTACGGGCGAGGACGAGCGGGGAGCAGCGATCCCTGCATGCACAAGCAAGCCACTCGCGTTCTCATCGCGCTCTCCTCTCCTCGATGCATGCAAACAAGATGGCCCGTATGATAGCTAGATTGGCTCAAAGCGCAGCAGCGCAGCAGCGCAGCGCCGTTGCGTTGCGCTTGCGCCACTGCGTCGGCCTCAACGGGTACGGCTAATCTGCTGATAGGGCAGAGCGCAGAATCTGATTGCGGGTTTTTTTTTTGCGCTCTCTTCTTCCTCGCACTCATTCACGCAGCCGCGCACATACACGCAGCGCACGCAGCGCCGCCACCTGCTCTGCGTCTGGCCGCGCTGCGCCTCCTCTTTTTCTCATTTCGCTCGACTGCCCATTGGCCACCACCCTTCACGTCCCGTGTCGCCTCGTCTCTCTACGCCACGACACGACGGAGCGTGGAGCGTGCAAGTCAAGGTTGATCTGATCGAGGCTGGCTGGCCGCACCGCAATGCCCGACGCGAGAGACAGGGAGGGGATCGGGATCAATGAAACGGCGGGCAGAGAGTCTAGACACTACCAGAGCGGTTCTCGCAGGGAGACGAAGACGGGGAGAAGTAGCTCAAGAGCGCCGAGGTACAGTGCGGCACACAATGTCAACGAGCCCAAAGCTGCTCCCCCGAGCTGCAATGTCGGCCGGACGTACTGGACTAGCGTGTTGGTGGCGATCGCCAATCGATCGGGAGAAGTAGGCTGTACCTTGGACCAGCGACGGCAAGGGCGAGGAGATGAGGGCAGAGGCGAGAGAAGAAAAAATTCTTGTCAGATCTGATGAAGTGTGGGAGGAGATCGAATAGCAATATCGCTTAAAGGAGTGAGAAGGCTGGGCGTCGAGCCTTCTTTGCCCCTCCAGCCCTCACCCTCTCAACCACGCGCTACGCGCCAACGATGGACCCAATTCACCCTCACCCACACCTCCCCACAGTCCCCATCGCGCGCGACGACGCGGACAACAAGTCCTTCAGCGACGACAAGAAGTCGCACGCCGACAGCGAGAGTGCCCAGCATGCCGTGGCCCCCTCCTCCTCTCAAGTGCCAGATGAGGACGCCCAAGCTGGCGTCACGACGGCGGAAGCTGTCACCTTGACCTGGAATCGCAAGTGGCTCTGGGTCGCCTACGCGTCCATGTGGTGTCTCTACCTCGTGCGCGCTTTCGAGAGCAACTTGACCGCAAACCTCGGAGCGTACATTGTCTCCGGCTTCGAGGAGCACTCACTCATTCCCGTCATTGGCATCGTGAGTGCCGCGTGCGCGACACCCCGCCCTGCGTAGCCCTCCATCGACATGTCTAACCATTTCACCGCCTCCCCGCACGCGCAGGTCTCCGGCATCATGGGCGCAGCCACAGCGATGCCTGTAGCCAAGATGCTCAATGTATGGGACCGTGGCTATGGCTTCCTCGTAATGATCCTCCTCTCCCTCATCGGCCTGATCCTGAGCGCGGCCACCACCAACATCTACACGTACTGTGCGGCGCAAGTCTTCTGGAGTGTCGGATACACGGGCGCAATCTTTACAGTGGACATTATTACGACGGACACGTCTTCGCTGAGGGACAGAGGACTGGCGTATGCGTTTACCAGCTCGCCTTACTTGATTACCGCGTTCGCCGGGCCGAAGGCTGCGGAGGTGAGTGCGCGCCGCAGCACCATGAAGGACGCGTCGCTCCTCATCCGCGACTGACCCTGCGCATCAACTCCTTCATCCTCTCCATCAATAGGGCTTCTATGCAAGAAATTGGAGGTGGTCGTACGGTGCCTTTGCCATCATCCTGCCCTTCGTAGCCGCTCCCCTTTTCATTGCGCTCGAGTACAACAAGCGCAAAGCTATCCGGGCCGGTACGCTCGTCCGCAGCGCGAGCCGCAATGTGGGCAAGCCTTTGCTCGAGAAGGTTTGGACCTTTGTCATCGAGTTCGATCGTGAGTGCGCGCGGCGCTCATCCATTTCTTATACATCAACTGATCAGCCCCTCTCTTCCCACTCGCGCCCAGTCCCCGGCGTCATCCTCCTCGCGGGCGGCCTGGCTCTCTTCCTCATCCCCTTCAACATCGCCTCGTCGTCGTCGTCCGACTGGCGCTCGCCCCACATCATTGCAATGCTCGTCGTCGGCCTCCTCATGATCGTCTTCTTCGGCATCTACGAACGTTTCCTCTCTCCCAAGCCTTTCGCCTCCGGCTCCCTCCTGGCCAACCGCACGCTCATCGGAGGCTGCTACCTCAGCTTCATGTACTTCATTGCCGCCAGCTGCTGGGGCGCATACTTTACGTCGCTGCTGCAGGTCGTCTTCAACGTTAGCCTCAGCGAGGCAGGGTACATCAGTAACACGAGCGACGTGGTCAACAGCTTCTGGCTGCTCATCGTCGGCTACGTAATCAAGCGATCAGGCCGATTCAAGTGGGTCCTCTACTTTGCCCTGCCCATCTACACGCTGGGTGAGGGTCTGCTCATCTATTTCCGCCACCCTGGTCAGAGCGTTGGATTCGTGAGTGCCCCGCGCGTCGCGGCGCCATTGCCTACCGATCTTGCTGACCTCTGCCCCTGCCCCACCCGCACGCGCGCAGGTCATCATGTGCCAAATCTTCATGTCCCTCGGCGGCGGCACAATGGTCATCGCAGAGCAGGTCGCAGTCCTCGCCGCTGCCTCCCACAACGAAGCCGCTTCAGCCTTTGCCATCCTCTCCGTCTTCGGCAACGCCGGATCCGCAGTAGGCGGTGCTGTCTCCGGTGCCATCTGGACGCACACTTTCCCCAACAAGCTGCAGGAGTACCTCCCTGCCGAGGCGTTACCCGATTGGGAGACGATCTATGAGAGCTTGGATACGCAGCTGAGCTATGAGGTGGGGAGTGCGACGAGATTGGCCATTGCGAGGGCGTATGGCGAGGCGCAACAGTGGATGGTCGCGGCGGGTACGATCTTCATGGGCCTGGCGTTCATCTCCATCTTGCTCATCCGCAACGTTCACCTGGACAAGATCGAGCAGGTCAAGGGGGTCTTGCTTTGAGAGTGGGCGGCGGCGCGAGTGATGGGAAGGTGTATCGTAGGTTCACGCTGCTGGAATGCAGAGAAGTCACGGTTTCGCAGATGAGTGAGACTGTGTGGCGTGCCGCATGAGGTGAGACAGGCGGGCGAGTCGACGGCTCCTTCCGTCCCGCTCGCCGCGCTCCACCGTAGACGCGCCTTCCTTTCCGCTCGACTCAACACAGGTGATTGCCTCTCGGGCCTTGCCTTTCTAACTTCTCCATCAATCAACAAGCCCGCCTCGATCGCCCATCTCTCTCTTCTCATCGCCAGCAGGTCTCGCACCCAGCCTTTCGATCACATCACGCCAAGACGGGCACGCCTCTTGATAGCAGGCTCGGCTCGGAACCACGACCAGCCGGCTCGCTGCTGAGCGAAGTCGATTCTTCGCATTGAGATCTCCTACATCCCATCTTCCTCGTCGATACGACACTCTCACATCGCGCGCCACGTTGCAATGCCCAGCGGTAAAAAGAGCCGCAAGCGGCAGTACTCCGCCCAGGCCCACGCCTTTGCCTCCTCCACCTCAACCACTCGCGCCTTTCAGCTCCCTCCTATCCCACACAAGACGAAACACACTCTCAACCCAGACCAAGCCGAGATGCACGAATGGGACAAGTACGTCGAAGCCCTTCAAGCCGAGACGGAACGAGCCATTGGGCAACGAGCAGCCGCTGCCGCCCTCTTCCGCCAGGCTCACGGCTACGAGTGCCCCACGCGTCAGGAAGCAGCAGAGCAGGCCCGTCTACGAGCTCAGGCCAAGGCTCAGGCGCAAGAAGCTAGCGCGAGGGCCAAGGTCAAGGCACAAGTGCAGGCTCAGGTGGCCGCCCAAGTTCACGTAGCACAGCAACGCTTCCAGGCCGTTCAGGCGGCAGCTGCGGCTGCTAGTCGTAGGTCGGCCCTTCATCCCTCGCAGCAGCGGGAACTCCTCCCTGCTCCGTCTTCTGCTCTTCCTCGCATGGGTCGCAGGGAGTACGAGGAGCGCAGGCGTCGTGCTGAGCAGGAAGAGCAGGAAAGGCTCGACCGTATTCGTGCTTGGGAGTCGCGCACTCGTGTCTCGAGCAACGCGGCTGGGCCGAGTGGGAGCGGCAGGACAAGCGCGGGAGGCAGCGGTAGTCATGGCAATGGACGCGACAGCAAGTCCAACTCGATGCCCGTAGATGAGGACGCTAGCAGCGCCAAGTATCTCCGCGGGGACCGTAGCTCGGCGGCTTGAGCGAGTAAGCTTGCACAGCAGCGGCCTCAACTAGGCGCAATCAGGACCGCCTCACCAGCAAGTGCGCTCCTTATACACACGAAGCTCGATCTGACGCCAGTCTCTCAAGCACATCCATTACCCACCATCATCATCTATACCTCGCCCTCTCCATCATCAGTGTCCCTCGTCTCTTAGATCAGCTATCACTTTGAGCTGCTCAGATCAGCTCATCAGAACGAGGTTTCGACGACAGCCGCTCAGCATCCCGCGCCATCGTCGTAGCCTCATGGCCTCAGTCTTCGGCCGTCATACTCGCTCGTCATCACGGCAAGTTGGATGCCGGAGGTGACCGCGTATTCGCAGCTCGCTCCCTACCCTGGCCCTCAGCAGCATGACGATCTCACGCCTCTAGCTTTTTTCGACTTTGTCTCCTCTCTCATCTTCAACTCAAGCGTAATACCATCTTCTTCCCTCAATGCTGTCCGGCCGAGCTCCTCTGATTTGATTGCCAGCACAAGCGCGTGCAATCACGCCACACGTCATCCATTTTCCAGCGTGCAGGACAAAATGACTGGTATTGCTTCACGACTCAGAAGAAGGCGGCGAGTACGACAAGGAGCAGCAGAGTACCACCGTTCACGGCGTCAAGCGTGAAACAGCTGCTGTAGTGACCGCTGCCGCAAAGAGACTGCACCAGAGTGGGCCGAGTTGGTCCAAGACGGAGGCAAAGGCCTTCAACATCATACTCCCGCTGAACCTGGCAGAGGAGGTCGGGAGAAGCTTAGGCTGCTCAGCCTGCTCCGCGCTTCGCACTTCTGCTTTGAGCGCATTCCAGAGGCTGAGCGGAATGGGTCGTTCCAAGAGGATATCCAGCATCTCGCCGCAGCGCAACGATCGAAGCACTGCTCCCTCCTCGTTGACCCAGCGCTCACGCTCCAGTCTGGCGAGCACGGAGAGGTAGATGCGAATCTCGAGCAAGACGACGGTTCGCCTCCGATCCGGGAAATTGCGATGGGCATCAAAGTGAATGTGTTGCTCGACGCTTTCCAGGAGCCCCTTGAGGGGGAAAGGGCGCCACGCATTCTCCCTCACGAAACGCATCACCTCCGTCGCGGTGACGAGGGGCTCGTCTTGAGGGGAGCGTGTGGCCGTCCCTCGTAAAAAGCTCTGCGCTGCAACCACGGTGGTATTGTATTGCTCCACCTCACGAATGAAGGATCGTAGTAGGCGAGCAGATTCTGCTCGCTCTGCGGCGGCGGCTCGCTTCTGTTTGAGTGCAAGGCGTTCTGCTGCGTTGATTTGCCAGAGGTGGAGCAGCTGTGTCGTGAGTAGGCCGAGGGCTAGCGCGATTTTCCAGACTTGCGGATCGAGGGGAACGTTACTTGACAGCGAATCAACGACGGGGTGGCCAAGAGCGCTGCGGTTGTCGAGACTGCGAGTGGATGGCGTTGCGGCTTGAGTGTTGAGGGAGAAGCCTAACAAAGCCAGCACGCTACCCGAGGCCATCCGTGGAATCGGGCGAGCTGTACCTGCCACAATGAGCGCCTCGAGCATACTTAGCATGACCTTGATCCGGGCAAGGAACTCTTGATAGAGGGCACGGATCTTTGCTCCACGCCTTGCGACGGTGATACTGGTAGCCACGCCTCTTGCGAGAGGCCGTACGAGCCTTGCTAGCCGGCAGCGTCGGGGTGCTCGCGTTACGCTTGCAATGTCGCTCACGCAAGCGGGCGTGATTGTGGGCAAAGTGATGCTTGCTCTTCTTGAGGGCGCTGTGCATGAGCGCGTGGACGGGCTCGAGGGCGATTGAAGCGTTGCTTTGAGCGGCAGTGAGCTGCATTCGGAGCATTCTTGAGCGGACCGCGGTGAGGCAGCGTAGCGATCGAACGGTGGCGCAAGTGCTGCGCGAGAGGCTCGGACGAGCGGTTGCGCGCCAGAATGGGCGGCGAGCTGATGAACCGTGCTTTCCCACCTTTCCCGTGAGCTCCTGAATGGTGGGCATGGGAGGCTGTGCAGTGCGACCGCCTCGGGTGTTACACTCCCTCTCCGCAGGCTCATTCTCATGCATGGCGAGCCGATTCCTCGACAGACCGTCAAGGCTTGTTGGCCTGTCGAAGAGTTCCAGCGTCACACTTCCTGGCGATGCGAGGAACGCGGCCACCTCTTTGATCTTGACCTTGTCTGCGAAGCTGACCGTGGACTGCAAGCTGTGACCGGCCCGCGAGGCTCGGGGCAGGACGCCCTGTCGGCCGTGACCTGCACGACCGCGATGCATGGTAGCAGCGGATGCCATGACACGATTGAGATGGGAAACGGTCAGTGGTACCCGCTGCCCCTTCGTTATATGCCTTAATCGTGCCTCACTCCCTCATCATTGAACGGTACAAGTCGGCGTCGCATTTCTTTGTCACGGCGTGGTGGGCGCGGACAAGGCAAGAACGACGCGAACAAAGCGCGACCCGTCCATGTGCGGAGGCGTTGAGGGCGCACCATTGTCCGCGATGACACCCCTCCTGCGCTGGAGGCTCGAGCTCATGGTAGCGAAGAGACAAAAGGCGAGCAATACTATGATGATGATGGAAAAGAATGCACAGTCTTGGAACAAAGCACTTCGATGCCTGATCGTGGCCGCTTCGGTTCGCTAAACCACAACGTTCGCGCGTGTGCGGGCGAGCACGAGTGCAGAGGTGCAGATCGATTTCAGGGTCCAGCGGCGCCTCGACAAAGGACAAAAGAGACTAGCGCTGAGCGTATTGCTATCGCCTCGTTGTTCCTGCTACTTGACTGCCACACTGCACGAGATCATATGCTTGTGTTCGATGAGCTTTGTTTCTGGGCGGTTAGAGATACTATCACAATGTTTCGTGTAGACTCAGGTGCAGCATTGTAAGTCAAGCTGCGTCTACGAGAGGCTCTTGTGCCCTGTTGGCGGCCGAACCTTTGGATCTGCTGATTGTTTCTTCTAAGCCGAGCTCGGTGACCTTCCCTTGTCTCTATGAGTTGAGGAGGAAGGAATGCTGACTCGGCGGCGCAGTCGAATCCGACGAATTCGTATGCAGGAGATGAGAGTAGCTCGCTCATCGTCCTGATCACTGTCCCCTGTCTGTCGGGCTCGTCCCTCTCCTTGAGCCGCCCCTCTGCCATCAGGTGTGTCGCTATGAAAACCTGAGGCTCGATGTTGACGTTTTCAACCCTCTCTACGGCTGGAATTCTGATTATCGTCTCATGCCGATTGTCGGCACGCTGAAAGCCTTTGAAACGCCGGACTGTCAGCTCGAGATCGAGAGCGAACGGGCAGTCTTCAATCTTGCTGGCTCCGGCAAAGAGGTGTCGCTTCAAAGTGATGTCTTTGGCGTTGAGGCCCTGTCTGTCCGAGTCCAACGGGTCACTCGCCGCCATGGACCCTCCTCTGAGGCCCGTGACGTAGCCGAGAGAGGTGCCTGACAGCGCGGAAGTCGTGTTCTCAAAGTTGCGAGGGCTCATGTGAGAGGCCCCGAGGTCGGCAATGAGCTGCTGCTGGAGCAGCTCGAGCTCCGGCCTCCCGTATGAGATTCGGGACTCTGCCCGGTGTTGTAGGTGGAAGTGCTCTATGAGTGCGCAGACTGCGGTATTGATTTGGCCGTAAAATGAATTTGCCGTGTGATACTTGGCGCCAAGGACATTGGCGAGTGCGTCACGACCGGCGCCGGGCGTGTCCAGGACGGTCTTCATGACCATCACGAAAAAGACGTCGCGCTTGCTCTTGCCATCAATCCAACCGTCCATGTTCGCGATAGGAGATGGAGTGAAGAGGGGTGAAGAGGCCTGACAGTCAACCTTGTGCGCCGTGTGTGGCCGCCGTCCCCCTTGCTCTCACTCTTGACCTTCATCTTGACCTTGACCTTGACCTTGACAATCGCCTTGGTCCTCAGTGGCGCTTCCTGAAATCGGCGTCGACGCTTGCCACCTTGCGATGCCTGTACTGATCGGCTGCCTCAGTATGAGATACTACACAGTCAACTGCTTTGCCATCTTCTGCGATGCGGTCCGGTCCGGTGCGGTGTGATTCGACGCCCAGGATCGCCCCCTGCGTACCGGACGTGGCTGCTGAGCATCAGTACGTGCCCACACCACCGTCGTGTCAGCGCGAACCACTCACCCTTCGATAGGGAATCGTCCTGGGCTTGTGACTCTCTTGGGATGACTCTCTCTGTGCGCTCGTGCAATGTGCGTGCGGTGGTGATGGCAGAGGGAAGGAGGGATGGATGCGTGGCGAGGCGAGTTGCGATGAGTGGTGTGAAGGCAAGAGGAGCGAGCAGCAAACGAGGCCAGCCAGACGAGACCAGCGTGGCGCGCGCTCACAGCTACTTACGAGCCGCCCGGTGCGCGCCGAGCCCGCACAGCCCCGTAAAAGTCGAGGCGGGTCGTCACGCCGGCTCATCACTTCGAGCACAAGAGGCCATCGACGTTGAGCGGTACGATGCGCGGGTGTAGAAGGGTAAAAGGTGGTGTCGATTCGCGAGTGATTAGGTGAGAGTCGAGGGAGAGACAGAGGGGGGGGGGGGGGGGAGAGAGAGAGAGGGACATGAGAAAGTGAAGTCAGGCCGAGCGAACGCCGCCTCCTCGTCCTACTCGAATAGGACGCATAGCCTCACACAACGGCCCCACCGGTAGTCCTCGGCTGGCTGACCACGGGCACCCTCTCCAGCCCCACAATGGCACACTTTGCCGTCCCCACCACATAGTCCGGGATACGGTTACAGCCAAATACCTTGAGTAGCTCCAAGGAGACACATCCTTCGATGAGGGAGAGGACTTGAGCTTCGGCACATTTCCGCACGAAGGAGACGTCGAGCGTGCGAAGAGAGACGCAAGAGGTGGCGATGCTAGAGAGCCCGCCGCGGGTCGTGGTGGGGGTGAGGCTGCCTGCCTCGCCTTTGACTTCGCTGTTCGTGGCGGGCGGGGCAGCAGAGGTATCAGCTTGGGCCTGGCCCTCGCCCTCTGCCTCGTCCACCCCGGCCCCGCTGACTTTGAGGCACGAATTGATGCTCAAGTAGGTAAGAGCCGGCCCGGAGTGCTTGATCAAGGCCTCGACCGCATCGTCGCCCACCTCGTTGCATCGCGTCAGGTCGACGTGCGTGAGCTTGGGGAGGCTGCGCTGCTCAAAGGACTCGAAGAGCTTGGCGAGGGACGCCGAGGAGATGTTCGTGAGCTTGGCGAGGCGGAGGGCACGCAGCGAGGTGCAGTACGGCATGATGCCCTCCAAGACGACACGCTCGGTGAGTTCGGTATTGCCCGAGAGGTCTAGATGCTCCAAGCGCGCGCCGATGTGAGAGAGGAGCTCGATGACCTCGTCGTCCTTGAGGGAGTCGGGGGGCATACCGCCCACGCTGACACCGGGATCGGAGATGTCTAGGTAAGTGAGCTCCTTGAGCTGGGCGAGGGGCTTGAGGCACTCGCCATTGAGAGGGCCGATCTGTGCCAGTCCGAGCTCCTTGAGGCCAGGGCAGCGTACAACGAGGGTCTGGACGCACGAGAGGTCGAAACGGGGCGTCTCGCGGATCTTGAGCGATTCGAGGCGATCCCCTACCTTGTCGAGGAAGCGATGCCACGACTCCTTGCGGACGAGAAAAGGGCCATACAGTTCCAGTCGACGAAGATGGTCCAGCTTGTCCGTCCAGGCGTCGAAGGCTGCATTGTTCAGCTGACCGCACTGCTGAAGGTTGATGGTGTGGATGCGCGGCGAGAAGACCCCTACTGTAGCTAGCGCGTCGGGCGTGAGGCGCGAGCAGTCGTAGAGGTTGAGCGTCTCGGTGTAGGGCTCGAGGAAGAGCTGGAAAGTCTGATCATTCAAGCGACGATTGCGGCAGATGCTCTTGCTGAGGATCTCGATGTTACGATCGCCGATGCCGCCGAGGGCCTCGACGTCCTCGATGTGGTCGGAGATGATGTTGATGCACATGTGCTGGAGCGTGGAGAGGACGCGCTTATCCTGCGGGCGCTTGACGATGGTTCGCTTCTTGCGGGGGGGCGGTTTGGTAGAGGCGGCTGACGACTTGCCCTTAGAAGAGCTCGCAGCCGCGTTGCCTCCGGTGATGGCAGCGTTGTACTGCGGCCCGCACTTGTGGCAAAGACCGCCCGACTCGGTCTGGACGGTGTACTGAGTGAGGCAGAAGCGCTTGGAGCAGCCGGGACAGTAATCAATGGCGCCGGATGCGACGCCTTTGAGGCTGATGTTCTCGACTTCGCCGCGTTTGATGCGCTGCCACTTCTGGGCTTCTGTATCGGCGCCGCCAAGGGAGGCAGCCTCTTTGCTTGACACTTTGAAATCCGAGTCGCTGCCGCCATCCTCGTCTGAATGCCAATCATCATCGTCGTCCTCCTCGTCAAAGTTCATCGATGCGCCAGCAGGAGCGGGCTTCTTGCGCTTCGCAGGCACCGCAGCGGGAGCAGCGGCGGCTGCTGCTGCTGCTCGAGAAGGGCGAGGTCGAGGGCGAGAGCGAGAGCCACTGGGCCCAGCTACGGCGGGCTCATCGGGGGTAAGGACGAGTTCGCGAGACGAGGAAGCGGCGGAGGTGGAAAGCTCTGCGGCGGCATTGCTGGCGCTATCAGCTGCACCATCTTGCTCCTCCGTCTGCTGCTGGCGACGACGTCGACTGTACGAAGTGTTGGGAATGCGAATGTTCTTCTCGCGGAGGAACGAGGTGAGAGCGCTGGCTGGCCCGCGAACGTCGCTCATGGCGAGTGACTGGCTGTATGCTCGGCGCGAGGTCGATGCGATGATGAGAGGAGGGAAAGAGGCGGCTTTTGCAGCAGACGCAGCGGATTCCACTCGCTCCTGGTCACGAGTCGGACGACAGCTGAGTCGCTGGTGGTGGTGGTGAGAAGACGAGGTGAGCGAGCGAGTGGCGTGCGGCGGACTACGAGTTGCCACTCCCGCCCTCGACGAAACTCGCCCATTTCGCCAGTCCGCCCTTGAGACGCGTCGAGCGGGGCGGGGCGGGGCAGCGCCGCCTGGCTGCTTGCTGGATGGAGCTACGGTGAGGCGAGCGACGACGACCACGACGACGGTGATGATGATGATGATGACGATGATGATGATTATGATACAAAGTGAAGACGTCGCGCTTCTCGTCTCAGCCACCCAAACCAGCCACATGCTCCCACTACCCCGCCCCTCGTCCCCCCACTCCCTGTCCTAACCCCGGCGCACAAAAATGCAGATGCACGCTAACATTCGCCGTCCCCCTCGTCAGTGCCGCCAAAGAGCGCTTACAATCTGGCACCCTTCCCAACGCCTCAGCATGCGTAACGCTCATTGCGCGCATGGTGACCAGGAAAGCGGTGACGGAGCGAACGAAGGCGACTCCCTCCTCGAGGAGGCGATGGCGAGAGCCGAATGAAGTCGGGTCGCCGCCCACCACGAGAATTTGTGAGCCTGTAGGGGAGGAGGAGGGGAGGGATTCCATCTCGTCTTGTACTCGTTCAAGCGTATGCTGGAGACGACGGGTCAGCTCAGCCGCTGAAAGACATTGTGCGCGTAGCTCGACGAGTTTGCGCGATGCGCCACTGCCGCCGGCGGTTGAAGATGGGGTAGGAGAGATGGCGCTCAATCTCTGCGTATCCTCTTCCGTACTCGGAGGCTTGAGCGTTGTTGTCGTTGTCGTCTCCTTGCCAGCGATTCCCCTCTTCTGCACGGGAGCAAGCGCAGTTGGTGTCGCCTCCTCTGGCGAGAGGATTCCGCTACTTCTCCAGCCCCCGCTGCCACCCTGAATACCGCCGCCATCTGCACCGCCGTCCGCCCAGCTGCTCGTCGCGGGTAAGTGGTCAAGCAGCGAAACCCACACGCCCGAGGCGGTTGAGGTGACCGACTGGATGAGGGCGAGGAGATGCGAATCGATGACCGCTTTACCTGTCGCGGGTGCCGGCCGCGCCGGGGGAGCAGACGAAGGGACGAGGCCGCCGGCTGCTCTGCGCTGCTGGTGCTGCGCCATCCCAGCCATTGGCGCGGGAGGGGCCGAGCCCGTCGTAAAGGCGGGAACACTGCTTGCTGATCCTACAGCGCCGTGGCGGTGTGGCTGCTGTGGCGCGATTCCCACCCCGCTACCCAGCCCGCTACCGAGTGCTCCGGCAATATCGCCCAGAGACCTTGAAAGGGGGCGATGTCCAAATGCGAAGCCCGTGCCGCCGCCGCCGCTCGACGGAGTAGCCGCCGCCGTATCGCTCGCGTTGGCGAAGCGTCGTGCCGCGCGTCGTGATTGCATCCAGTTGTTCTGTCCCTCCGACGTCGCAGGGCCAGCAGGAGCAGAAGCTGCTGAGGTCCAAGCTGCCGTCATTGGCGGTACATTGACTTCGCGTACCTCCTGAGCGCTAGCTGGCCCGTCGGAGTCGTAGCGCTTCCTCTGCCCGCGCATGTCTGTGTTCGGCGTCTTCGGATGACTCGACACAGGCGAGAGGCTCTCCGCAATGCTAGGCAGATTGCCTGGCCCCGCCACGCCCAAGTGGGAGGCAGCAGCTACGTTGAGTGGGGTAGGCCTTCCGCCCCTGCCCAGCCCCGTGACCGTCACTACCCGCTCCTGAGCGTGAGGCCGATCCTCGGCGCCCATCTCCCGCCACGCATTCCCCACCTCGACCGTAGCCCCATACAGCATCAGCACCAACGCCCGGGTGTAGCGCACATCTGCGTCCCTCTGCAGTGGCTTGAGGAGCAACTTCAGTACGCTCACCACCTTCCGGAAGGTCTCTACACTCTCCCGACTCGCGTCGAGTACTGCACCAACCGCCACGTCGTCATGACTGCTCGCAGCGTTGCGAGAGTCGAAGCGATCCAGCGTGGCGATGAGCGTCTCCAACGTCCCGCCCGCAACGGTCAGCACAGGCTCGAGCTGTTCGGCCACAACGGCCGCGCTGGCGAAGAGGGCGTACTGCTTGAGAGCGGTGAAGATCTGACTGAGAGCGAAGAGGATGCCGCGTGCTGCGTCGATGCGTTTGAGTGTCGAGGCGGGGAGAGGGGCGGGGACACCCGTTGTGGTGTCAATGTTGGCATGGTGGATGGGCGATGGAGTGGCGTCGCGCCCTTGTACGACGGAGAGACGCTTGAAGTAGGAATCGCGCTGTGTCTGATGATCGTCGGCGCCGCTGCTTGGGCGCATCCCAGGGACGCCCACCTTCTCCGCGTCGCCATCCAACCCGACCGCCTCGAGTAACGCCGCTCTCCTCGCTGACGGCTTGCGCACCACAACGACCGAGGGCGCCGAGGCGGAGGGGGTGACCCCCTTCGACTGCAGGGGGCTAGGAGAGGAAGGCTCAACAATGGCGATTTCGGGCGCGGTACCCAGTCGTGGGACGGCCGGGACGACATCTGCTGTCGTGGCGTGGTTGAGGAGTGGGCGAGTTAGGACGCTCCCAATCCCATTGACATGGCCCATCGTCCCGCCCCCGCCTATACTGTAGGATCGATTGCGTGTGCGGGCGAGGTCCATCGCTGCGCCCCCACCTCGAGAAAGAGGCTCGGTGGGACTGCCCGTCATCGCATTGGTCGCCGAGGAGGACGACGAGGAGGGAAAGGGGAACGCCTCTCGCATCGAGGAGGTGGTGCTGCCCAAGGTGGCCCCGGCTGATCGCATGTCAGGAAGGGACTTCTTCGTCTTTAGTAGGCGACGTTTTGCGGTGCCCGTGGGAGTGAAGGGCGATCCCGCGCTCGTGCTCGCGCTTGGGGAGTGCGAGTGAGACTGGGCCATCGAGTGCGAGTTGGTGCGGCCGTGACCATGTGACGCACCGCGCTGGGTGAAGACTGGGCTGGAGGAGGTGGGAACGGGAGGAGGCGGGGGAGCAGGGCGTGGATTGTCAAAAGCCTCGTCATTGCGGGCATCGACGCGCTGTAACTCGAGAGGGGGCTGTAGCTTGGTCGCGACCGTTTCGCTTCGTTCGCGCGGCGGTGTAGGCGTGATAGTTCGCGCGGGCGAAGCGGGGAGCTGTGCGTGCGTGTGCACTCGAGTAGGGCTTGCCATCTCTTCCACACCACTCGCCTCGCCGACGCCGACGCTCGCATTGGCCTGACTGGACGAGTTAGGCGTCATGCCCGCGCTCGCCGCGCCCCTCCCACCCGCAACACCCGCAACGCTAGGCTGCCTAGCGAGCATCAATGGTCTGATCTTGAAGCCACGCTCTGGCGAACTGCGTGCTGATGTTGCGTTACTCGCTGCACTTGCGGCGCTCATCGCGCTCGTGGCTGAGGTGTTTGCATTGATGGCGAAGCTCGAGTCGGAGGATTCGTTGGGAGAAGTGACGCCCGTCGAGGTTGCAGACGCGGGTATAGAGGAGTCTGTCCTGTCTGGAGGCAGGGCACGTCCTTGCATCGGAGGAGTAGCTACCATTGCTGCTGCGGTGGACGTGCTGCTAGCTATGGACGCTTGCTGATGATGTCGGCCATGTCGTTGCTGCGAGCCGTTGTCGTCATCGGCCTCATTGAGTGCGCGCTCCCTCTCGCTCGCTGCGTTATCCAAAATCCAGCGCTTCAACGCCGCGATCCACTGACGGTGTTGCGCCTCTTCCTCCCTTTTCCTGCGCTTGTCATCGTCGAGATTCGCATTCGCGTTCGTAGCCGCGCTCACCGCGTTCGCCGCGCTCGCCTCAGCAGCAACACTCGGCGCGATACTGACGTGCGGGGGAGGCCACTGTAGTGGATTCTCCTCAATCTTGAGCACGCGTACATGCTCCATATCTGCCAGCCAGGTGGGCAGCCTACGCAGCCTATTCTGCCCTACGCTAAATACTCTGAGCTGCAAGAGTTGGCGCGGCTCTTCGGGGAGACGGCGCAGCTTGTTCTTGCTAACGTCGAGGATCTCAAGGCGGGGCATGTCTGCCAACCACTCGGGGAAGGTGGAGATTGCATTGGAGCGCAAGTTGAGATAGCGCAGTCGATGTAGCTGGGTGAAGCGTGCGGGGATGGTGTGGATCTGATTGTATGCTAGGGCGAGACGGACAGCTTCGTCCTTGATTATGTCGACGATCTCCTCGGGGATGTCCCGCAAACGACGATTGGAGAGGTCGATGGTGTCCAGCACTCCTCCGCTCGTCGCGTTTACTGCGAGACGCTTCTCGACTACGAGGGCTAGGAGCTCTTCGGATGGCATGGCGCGACTACGGGATGAGCTGTGACGGGCCATGGGTTGCGCGAACGAGGGAGGAGGAGAGGACGAGGAAGAGGCAGCGGCGTGGTGGCCGTGATGGGGATGGACCATCGAGGGTGCGACGACGTTGCGTGAAGGATGGTCCACCGACATGTTTGGATGCAACCGCCTGCTATGCGTGTGCGTGTGCGTGTGCGTGTGCGTGTGCGTGTGCGTGTGCGTGTGCGTGTGCGTGTGAGTGTGAGCTGGCCATCCTGGCGAGGAGCGGGCGAGGAGCAGGGAGGGTCGGGAGCAGGTGCAATCAGGAGCGCATCAACGGATCATCCCTCGCTGCTCGTTGCTCGCCGCCCGACGGACACCCAAAATCGGTCCTCGTCTGACTTCGAGGGGGGCGGACAGAGCGAGGCGAAGCGGCGGCTGCCAAAGGCGGAGAGACGCTCAGACGCTCCCGTCGGCTTGACGTCAATGCACGTCGCAGGCGGGCGCAGCAGCACCCTGGAATGGCCGCCTCGCGATGAGACAACAACCAAACACTTTGCCAAATCGCTCGCAATCAATCAATGAGCCGGGTGAGACGGCAACGTGAGACGACAACGTGAGACGAAAAGCCCAGCATATCTCTCAGCATCACCATCCACCATCTCCACTCCCCAACATGGCCCCTTCCTCATCAGCATCTCATCGTAGACCATCCTCAGCAGCTTCGACTTCCTCCTCCTCTTCCGCCGCCTTGCAACCGCCTCGCACGCCCATCTCCTCACCGCATACACGCACACCTCGCACGCGCAGCCTATCAGCGACTTCGCCTGGTGGTGATAGCGGGAGCAGTCTATCCCTGACACCCTCTAGCTCACGCACCCGCACTACCTCTGCCTCGGGCTCCGTAACGCCCAAAGCGTCGGCGCGACAGCACGCTCAGCACGCGCAGCAGCAGGGGAGGAGGCTCAGTGGAGCTGCGAGCCCCACGCCGACGACGTCGGGACCACCCAAGACAGAGTATCGATACTCGATTGGGCCGGCACCGGTGCGTTTCCCCCGCTCTCCAGGTGGTAGTGAGAGCGGCGGAGGAGAGAGGGAGACCGGCTCTGCCCACTCCTCACCCGTACCGCCCTCGAGCTCGAAGGGTGGTCGCTCGACGAGGGGCAAGAGTACTGCGACTGCGACGCCTGGCTCTAGCACGCACGCAGCACTTCAGGCTGCAATGGCTAGGGATGACGAGGACCCGACAGCACAACGGCCCCAATCACCCCGCCCACCTCCTCCCCCGCGACCAGGCGCCTCGCCCACACAACAAGGCGGGGCTCGCTCCTCCTCCTCCACTCGACTGAAGCTCACCACCTTCCCCTTCCCGCATCCTACGACCCCAAAGGGCTCCACGCTCGATGCGCGCTACGGGCGAAGGGGAGGCGAAGGGCAGGGTGTCCTTGGTCTGCCTGACATGCTCAGGGCGTGGGGAAGGGGATTGGCCGGCTTGATGTCCTGGAAAAGTGAGCCGAGAGAGCCAAGAGAGGAGAGCCCCGCCCCTCCTCCTCCCCCTCCTTCGGGCCCGTCCTCCCGCCATCTGTCGCACGGAGTCCACGCAAGGGACTACGGTACGCTGCCCCGCTCTAACTCTCATGCGCGCATCATGTCCGAGGGGGATGAGCCTGACCCCTCCGATCCTTATGGGTATCGTCGTCTAGCGGGCCCGCAGCTGCTCCCGACTTATCATGCCGAGCATCTCGAGCCCAGACGCAAGGCTGCTGCCAAGAGGCGACGACGATGGCGTGGCTGGGCGGGAGCGTGTGGGATGGCGGGCAGGGTTGGAGAGGAGAGCGACGAGGATGGCAGGGTCAGCAGGAGGAGGAGAAGAAGAATGGCGATGGCGATGCTGGCAGGAATAGGATTGGCCGTCCTGCTCGCGTTGTCCTGGTGGTTCTTCTTTCGGTTGGGGCAGGATGAAGGGGCGGAGGAGGGTCGGGCGAGATGGGGAGGCAGTGCGAGGGTAGGACCACCAGCTACGCACGGCCTCGGATCGTAATCGTACATTGCTGCTGAATTGCTATTCAAGGAGCTCAAGAAGCTATCTTGGGAATGCCTATCGCGCCCAGTTTCGCCCCTTGCCGCCACCACCACCACCACCATCCCGCCTGAACTTGTCTGCTCCCACCGCCTTGCGACCCTTACCACCCTCGTAGCCGCGCCGTGAACCCTTTGCGACTTCCTTGCGTGACACTCCTTGGTCGTCGTCGTCCTCCACCACCTCATCCTCCTCACCTCCATCTGCGTGCTTCCTCTTCCCCGCCCCCTGCCCACTCTGCCCACTCTGCCCGCTCTGCCCTTTGAGACTACCTCCAATGCCCAAATTCACCTTCGGCGGCACCTTGAACCCAAACGCCCTCCCAACAGCAGCGACGTCAAGCTGATGAACATCGAAGATGCGCTTGAGCGAGTAACTCCCATACGCCTGCAAGTAGCTCCTATACCCCTCCAAAGCGCTCTGATGCAAGTAGTAATTACTGCTGATCAACTTCTCCAACTGACCCTGCACATTAGCCACCTTGCCCTTGGGAAACGTGTACTCGTTGAGGGGTACTTTTGCCACCTTGAGGAAACGGAGGAATCCCAACTCCTCTGGCAAGAGGAAGAGGAGACTCTTGCCTGCTTTCCCAGCTCGAGCCGTTCGCCCCACGCGATGGATATAGTCTCTCGGGTCGTCGGGCGGGTCGAATTGGATGATCCAGTCCACCTTTGGTATATCCAATCCGCGAGCAGCCACATCCGTACACAGTAGCGTGCCCTTGGGCGCATTGCAGAATTCAAAGAAGGTCGAAGTTCGCTTTTGCTGTTTCTGCTTTCCGTGTAGGTCCAACACGGGGATGTCGATGTAGTTGAGCAGTTCGGCGTGGTACTTGACCGAGTTGCACGAGGACATGAATACGATGCATTTCTTGTTTGCGTTGCGTTTGAGGAAGGTGAAGAGGAGGAGGAAACGACCCTCAGAGGGACAGACTACGTAGCCTTGTTCGAGCTTGGCGACGGTCGAGGCGGCCAGGTCGGCGTGGACGTTGATGTAGAGCGGGCCGGGTCGAAGGGAGATGCGGGCTAGGTCTTGGACTTTGGTGGTCTGCGTCGCGGAGAAGAGCATGGATTGGCGAGACTCGTTGGGTAGGATGCGGACGATTTGACGCATCTCGTCTTCGAAGCCCTGCGCGTGCGAGCGTGCGAGGGAGCGAGAGGAAGGGAGGGCAGTGGTGTGTCAGAACGACGAGGGCTACGGCAGTCTCGCCGCCTCGCGAAGCGGCGACTCACGATCTCAAGGATACGATCCGCCTCGTCGATACAGAAGGTCTTGAGGTTGGAGAAGACGAAGCCCTTTGTGTTCTGGAGATGGTCCAGCAGTCGACCGGGCGTGGCAATGATGAGGTTGACGCCCTTTTGCAGCTTGTCGGCCTCGGCCTTTCTGTTTGCGCCGCCCATGATGATTCCGAATGTCTGGTGGTGATGTGCCATTAGCCTGTGCGGGTGCAGCGCAGCGGGGCGAGGGAAGCGCAGCAAGACGTTGGTCAGTGAAGGAAAGGCGGTAACGGGCTTGGCGGCACTTACTCCTTTGCTACACCAAAGATCTGCAACGCCAGCTCGCGGGTAGGGGAAATGACAATGGCCCCCGTACCGTTACGTGGCTTGAATTTGAGCCTACTCAGCATCTCCACAATAGGGATCAAAAAGGCCAACGTCTTGCCCGAACCAGTCTGCGCAGCGCCAAGGACATCCTTGCCCGCCATGAGCGGGGGGATGGTTCGCGCCTGAACCTCAGTCATGGTCGAGAAGCCCATGGCCTCGAGGGCCTTGAGTGTAGGCTCCGAGAGGTCGGCGGAGCTAAAGGGCTGGCGAAGGGCGGCGGGGGTTGCGCTCGAGGATGAGGAGGAGGCGGCAGTGACGTCCTTGGATGCGTCTGCTCCAAGAACGGTGGAGGAGGATGCTTCGCCTGACTGGGCAAGACGGACGTCCTCTTCCAGCTGGGAGGCGAGGGCAGCCTCGGCCTCTTCGCCAGAGAGAGGAGGAGCGCGGGATGGGGCCATGCTGTGCGCGTGCGTGTGCGTGTGCGCGTGTGCGTGTGCGTTGATGGGATTGGTGATGGTGAGAAGTCGAGGTGACGAGACGCAATTCCAGTCCGCCTTTTGCCTCCAAGTCGCACTCGCACTCGTCGTCCGTCGCTCGACCAAATTTTCGAATCGAGGCAGAGGCGCACCAGCAGAGGGGGCGGAAGGCGGAAGGCGGGCGGGCGGGCGGACGGACGGGCGGACGATGGCAAAATGTCAAAAGTCGATTCGCAGCGCAGCCTCGCAACGTCGCAACCTCACGACCTCGCCGCAATTTCACCTCGCCATGGCCGCCTCTTCGTCCAAGAAGCAGCGGCGGCAGTCTAACGGCGCTCCCAGCGCAGAAGAGGATGGCGTCGCGCCTACGCCCCGCGGCCGCCACGTATTCGCGCCTTACCTGGCAATGGGCATCGTAGCCAACCAGATCCCCTTTGTAATGCAAGTCAGGCGAGGAGGAAAAGACGCACAAAGAGCAGATGTCAACATCGTCACCTCACTGGGAGACTGTTGGAGCATCTGGACGGCAGAGTCCCTCGTTCAGGTCTTCGTGGGACGAAGCTTGCCCAGCCCGATTACCAGCCTGGCACTCAGCACCAGCCCAGACTGCATCCTCGCCGCAGCTGGGGATACGATCCATCGCTTCGTCCGCGCTGCAGTGGTGGCAAAGTACACGACCGAATCGGGGCCAGTGGAGCGCTTCATCGTCTTTGGCGACTCCATCGTGGCCATTACGCGCACTACGCTGCACCACTTTTCCCTCTCCACGGGAGAAGAAGAGCAGGCCATCCCCCTCCCCCTTTCAGCGGGCGTTGCGCCAACCTGCCTAGTCCACCCAGCGACCTACCTACACAAGGTCCTCTTAGGCCTCTCGGACGGGACGGTTCAGCTCTGGAACATTCGCACCGCCACGCTGCTGCATACATTCGACCTCTCTGGCAGACAAGGCCAGATGGACGTCGCTACACCCTCGATCCTCTCCCTTGCCCAAACCCCGGCCCTTGACGTCATCGTCGCAACCACGTCGGACTCGCGCATCATCCTGCACAACATCAAAGAGGACAGCTGCGTAATGGCTTTCTCGTTGCAGGCACAGTTGAGTAGCACACCACCCACGTTTAGGACCGACGGGCGCGCACATACGATGGCTGTGGGCTCGCGAGCGGGGGATATTTTCATCTTTGATCTCGAGAATCAGGACTCGCGCGAGGGAGTCGCGCGAGGGGGAAGACTGATCCACACGATTCGCAATGCGCATGCGGCTCCGGTGGCAGGGTTGGAGTTCGTGGCGGGCCAGCCGTTGCTCATTTCCTCTGCGGGCGACAACAGTATCAAGGAATGGTTCTTCGAGCCTGCCTCCTCCGCCACTGCCACTGCGGCAGCAAATTCCTCCTCCTCCTCCTCGTCCAGTAGCAGCACCTCCCTCCCTCGTCTCCTGAAATCACGCTCCGGCCACTCCTCCCCTCCCCACCTCGTCCGCTGGTACGGTCACGACGCGCGCTCTCCACTCCTAACCGCAGGGCGTGATCGCTCCCTCCGACTCAGCTGGGTAGGGCGGGAGGCTCGCGGCGGTGAACTTTCGCAGGGAAGCGTGGAGCGAAAGGCCAATCACTTATCACTCCCTGCGCAATCCCTCAAACAGACCCCAGCGAGCAGCATAGCCTTCTCCCTCACGCGTAGCCGCGATTGGGAGGATATCCTCACCACACACCCGGGAGCAGCACCGCGCGTTTGGCTGGGTAAGGATAGGAGGATGAATGCGGGAGCACTCGTGACGGGGAAGAAGCAGCGCGTTGCGGGACAAGGGGCGGACGAAGCTACGTGTGCCTTTGTGACGCATTGTGGCAACTTTGGTGCGGTAGGCATGGGAGATGGGCGTGTGGTGCTCTGGAACATGCAGAGTCGCCGATACGTCCGGACGTTCGATTGCGCAGGCCCAAGCGCGACCAACGCAACGGCTACGTCGAGCTCGAGCCCGGGCCGAGTAGTGGGCCTCGCAGTCGACGAAGGCAACACGGTCCTCACAGCTGTCCTCTCCCGAGGCGTCATTGTCGCCTTCGCCTTTCACAGCACGGCCGTGCTCACTCGCACCTCTCAACCACACGCGATCAGCTCTGCTCGCTCTTCGCCACGCAACACGCTCTTGGCCCTCATCCCCGTCGGGGTGAGCCACCCGCTCGTCCTCCTCGACCTAGCAACGCATCGCGTCGTTAGGCGATTCGGCCCCTTTGCTGCACGGGTGACGGACTGTGCCTTTTCGCCTACGTTGCGCAGTCTGGCGGTCGCGACGATGGATGGGGCGCTTGCTACGTTCGACGTTCCGAGTGGGAGGTTGATGGATCGGATGAGGTTGAGGGAGGCGATGTTGTCGTTGGATTGGAGTCCTGATGGGGGCACGCTCGCAGGGGGTGGGACGGAGGGGCTTGGGGTGTATTTGTGGAGTTGGACGGGCGGGAGGGGGAGGGTGGATGGCGATGAGGAGGAGGAGACCAAGGAGGGCGAGGTGGGCATGCCTTCCGTTCGAGGACCGGAGGAGGAAGAGGCGGACCAGGCGGAGGATGACCCTCTCGCACTCGACAGGCTCAGCTTGGCAGACACGTACCACCCTACGTCCGAACCTCTGCAGCGACGGGACGCTCCTCTCTTCACTCTGAGCATGCAGCCCCGCACCAAATGGCTTACCCTACTCAACCTCGAAGCGATCAAGGCGCGCGATCGACCCAAAGCCGCCGAGGTGGACAAGAGCAAGGCGAAGCCCGCCCCTTTCTTCTTGGGCATGTCGGCCGCGACGCCTGGTAGTGCGGTGGATGGGACAAAGGGCAAGGGGATGACCGACGGGCTGGGTAGCGGGGCGACCACTGACGCTACTGGAGCTCTCACGTCGCTCGGGGAGGGAGGCTTCGATGGGCCAGCATCTGGGCAGGAGGAGGAAGAGGCAAGGACCACACATCTAGAGCGTTCTCATCGTCTCCAGCTCGCGGAATCGGCCGCTTCCCCACTGGAGGCCCTGCTGCTCAGCTCCGACGCGGACGATGCCGCGCTCTTCAGCTACGTGCTTCCACTATCTGCGCCACAGCTGGACCTCACGCTCCGCCTCGACCTCACGAGCGTGCGCGGCGTGACCGCCCTTCTTCGCAGCTGTGCCCGACGGGTGGGCGAAGCAGGGCGGGACGTGGAAGGCGTCACCGCCATCGTGGAATCGCTGCGTCGTACGCGTTGGGGCGAGATGCTAGGGCTGGAGGATGAGGCATCGCAGCTTGAGCTTGGCGAGGAGGAAGAGGAGGAGAGGCGAGAGCTCAGAGCAGCGTGGAGCGAGTGGCTACGAGCGGTCAAGAGGGCGAATGAGAGGGTGGGGGAACTACTCGACTTCAATATTGGGACGTTGAGCTTCTTGCGCGGATTGGCCGTCGTTTAGACGTGAGAGCCTCGCGCGAGACAAATCACATCGCATTGAATGAAAATAGGGTATTGATTGGCCGCAGCGCTCCACGCAACGCTCCACGCATCGCTCCACGCATCGCTCCACGCGTCGCTCCACGCATCGCTTCATCGAAAATTCAGCTTGATCAAAAAGAGGAGCATATCCATGAGCACGTGCACGCTCGTCCACACGCAAGTGGGTAGTAAGTCGGGGAAGGCGCGCATCTCGTCCAACCCCAAGTTGGTCACGTCCACCCCCATGGTCCAGCGGCAGAGGAGGCGCGCCAGCCAGGAGGTGAGCAGCTCCGACGCCCAGATGGCCAGGGAGCCGAGCATCGTAAGGCGATAGTTGTACGGGTCGTCGTTTGTGCCGCGATTGGGCGGGTCGTCCTGTTCCGTCGGTTCCACGAAGGAGAAAAAGGGGTACAAGGCCTGATTCTTGCCAAAGTGTAAGATGCTCACCCACCCCAGAAATGCCACCATCGTAACATTCTGGGCGAGGTTCCTCAAGTAGAAGGCTAGCCCTACGCTCTCGACGTACTCCTCCCAGGACTTGCCCGGGCGTCCCGGCGGGTTGAACCAGGAGACGATGCGGTGCGAGAGGGAGGTCATGGAGAGCGGATACCAGATGCAGACCCAGAAGGAGGAGAGGAGCTGGACGAGGGCGAATTGGTCGAAGGAGCGTAGACGCGCGAAGAGGTTGCGGTAGAAGATGAAGTAGACCTGCGCGTGCGGGGAGGGAGGCGTGAGATCGAGATCGATCGATACTCGCGCGCGACTCGCACGCCACTTACCAGAAAGTAGTAGTACTTGTTGGCGAAGAGGAGGGCGCGGGATCGCACCTTCTCCTCGAGTATCCAGTGCGAAATCACAGCAAGCAGGTTGACCGTCGTCATCCAAAAGGTCACGTAGGCTGTGCCGTCCAACCCTGTATGCGGGAGTGTGCTCAAGTAGACGCTCGCGTACCCCTGACCGGCCAACAAGGCAACTAGACTCAACCCAATCGTAGCGATGAACCAGAGGAAGCGAATATAGCTTGCGGGTATACGTCGTGCGAGCTGACGTTCCAGGAACGTCTTCTGCGCTTCGGTGAGGGAGTGGCGATACGTCTGTCTCCCGGAGCGTCTGAGCCCAATGAGACAGACGAGCGCGGGCATGGCCATGCTGGCAAAGGCCAGGGTGACCCAGAGCGTCTTGCGCTGCCACTGGATATCGTCGTCGTCATCCTGGGCGTCGTCATCGTTGTCTGAACTCCCTCCTGGCGCGGTCAGCGAGTCGAAGCGCAGTCGATGGAGCAGGAAGCCAGCGCCAATGGAGAGGAGCCAGAAGATGGAATAGGACGTCTTTGCACCCAGGCGAGCTGGCCACCAGTTGAGGCGGTACAGGCTGAATAGCTGAGTGATGTAGACGAGGGCAACGGAGAGGTAGAGGCCGTAGTAGAAGAGGAGAAAGAAGTAGAAGTTGGCGTCCGTCGTCGTTGACGCGGCGCTGCGTGGTGACAGGGCAAAGGGACGACACCACGGAGCCTCGGGCGTGTCTTCGCACCAAGGTACGCCTGGGTCATCCGGGTGAGTCTTGGGAAAGGGGACAGCGCACCAAATCCAGACCTGGAGGGGCGCAAAAGGAGTCAGCCTTGCTTGCCTGCCTCGCATCTTGCTCGTCGTCTTCGCTCGCGCACCCACCATGACACAAGGCGCCAGAACTAAGACGCCATGTCTACCCCACCAGCTATCGAGGACGTCCTCGACCTTGTCCCTCGTCGGGCGAAAGAGATCCATGTACCAGCGTCGTTTCTTTGCCCTCCCTGCCCCGCCGCCTATGCTGCGCACACTGAATCGCGACGTCGAGGGCACCATCCCCGCAGCGGCGGTGGGATCGGCACCAGTCCTCCTGAGTGGCGCCACAGAGGAGCTGCTGAGCAGGGGTGAAGATTCCAATCGACGAGCAGGGGCGGAAGGTTGGTTCCACCCGGTAGCTTCGAGGGCGGCGGACGAAGCAGAACCTTTCGGTCCAGCTAAGCGCGCTTTGCCCTTGCTCTTGCCCTTGCCATCACTCCCTGCGGCGGCGGCGGCGCCCCCGAAGTTGAAGAATCCGCCCATAGCGTTGCTGACTCTCGATGCAGCGTGGGGAGGAGTTGATGGGCCGGAGCTGAGGATACGCCCTGAGGGGGCGGCTAAGCGCGCATCGAGGCCGACGCCGCGATATCGCTCCCAAGCCGAGGCGACTGGCGCTGGAGATTTGGCGGTGGTCGTCTGCCGTGGCATGTTGGCGTTGCGCAGAATAAATGTATGCTATGGCGGCTACTATGAGATCATGGCGTGGCGTGGCGTGGCGTGGCGTGGGCGTGGTCGTGGGCGTGAGAAGAGCGGCGAGGTGATTGGGCGGGGCGAGGTGATTGCAAAGTGAGGCGGATCCAAAGTGGCGCCCCTTGTCCTGGGCGTCGTCGATTCGGCCCCTTTCCCTTTCCGCCGGCCCTGGACTTGACTCGGTCCGCTCCCGTCTCGCGACTCGACTTTGTTCCTTCCCGCTCGCGCCATCCCCTCCCCTCCACGCCACGCCAGCGCATCGATGGTGCAAACGCACTCCTCTCCCTCCACGATACCCCTCCCATTCCCCCTCCTCTGCCCCGCCTACTTCCTTCGCTACCCAAACCCCTTTGCCCAACACGTCATAAGCGTCGATGTACTGGATCGCCTGATTATTCAGCGTGACCCCACCCAGCCGCCCACTTTGCTCACTTCGCGGCTCCTCCTCAAAAAGGGGACTCTACCACGCTGGGCTCCGAGGGGGCTGATTAAGAGTGCGGAGAGTTGGGTGCTGGAGGTTAGTGAGGTTGAGTTGGAGGGATTCCAGAGAGGGGAGGGGAGCGCGAGTGCGAGTGGGACGACGACGGGGGCAGTGGAGAGGGGAAGACAGATGCGCACTTGGACGCACAATCTGGACCACACGACGGTGCTCGCTGTTGCGGAGGGGTTAACTTTCACTGAGCAGCTTGCGTCGTCGCCGCCTCGTCCGCCAGCGCGAAAGGGCAGCGATGTCACGAGCGACGTCAAGGGCAAGGGGAGGGCGGTGGACGAGGAAACTCAAACACACTGTCTCACGACGGCGCACATCACTTCGGACGTGAGCGTGATATGGAAACGGATAGAGAAGTTTGGCCTGAAGCGATTCATGGCGCATATGGATACGGTGAGTTGCGTGGGAGCGAGGCGGGGCGATGGGCCAGCCACCCGACTGACTCCCCCCCCCCCCCCCCCCCCCCCCCCCCCCCCCCCCTACGCGCCGCGCCTAGTCGCGCCAAGGTCTCCTCTACGCCGCCTCCCATCTCTCCTCCCCTTCCTCCTCCTCCTCCACCACCACCTCCCCACCCCATCCCACCACTCCCTACAAGTTGCGCGAATCTCTCCGTCCCCCCTGGCTAGACGGGCTTCCCCTCTCCCCTATGGCCAAGCTCCGCCAATTCGCAGACAGGACGGCGCAGCGCTATCGGACGGTCAAGGAGGAGGGGCTCTGGGGCTATACGGGGAGGAGGGAGCGCGAGGACGGGATGAAGCGCTGGCGCGATGAGTTGCGTGAGCGTTTAGTGAGGTTGAGGGAATGGCGAAGACCCACGTTACCTACGGCAGGGGCAGGGGCACAGCAGGAGCAAATCGTGCGTGATCGCGGCGAGAACGACAAGAGGACAGACGCACGATCCCCCTCTGGCTCTAGCACGCCGGTCGAGACTGAGGTAGAGCCGCGAGAGGAGGAGAGCATCGAAGTGCATCGTGAGCGGTTGGCACGGATGTTGCACGAGAGGGCGACGGGTGGGTGAGGTTGAGAGTGGGGCGTCGGTTGGGCGTCGGTTGTTGGCGTCGACTGTTGTAACATTGCATTGCAAGGGCATCTATGGGGTTGGTCGATCGATCGTACAGTCACTTCAAGCTTTTCAGCTCCTACATCCCCGCCACCTCGCCCCGCCACCTCGCCCCGCCACCTCGCCCCGCTCTCGCTCACACGTACCCAAAACCGCGACTGTCCCTCCTCGCCCCCTCCCAATCCCCTTGCCAGGTGTACCACGCCGGGCCTGAGCCTGACGAGGAGGCAGGAGGAAGTCGAGAGCCTGAGCCCGCCTTTGAGGCCGACCCCGACTCCACGTCCGAGTCTGGCTGGAAGGGCAGAGAGGGAAGACGTGGAGGTCTCTCCCCCTCTGAAATCTTCTTGCCGGGTTGACCAGTGTGCTGACGTGAAGTAGACGAAGCAGGCTCCACCTCCCACCACGCTCCCCCATTATGTGCTCCCTGGCTCGATTGACGACGATGTAGGTGTTCGTGTCTCTTTCCCGCTTGTTGGACTACGGGGCGACGTGGTGCTGATGGAAGTTCGTGACCCTGTTGCTCTGCTGGGCGTGCTGGCTCGGCCTGCGCCTCGGGCTGCGCCTCGGCCTGCGCCTCGGGCTGCGGCTGCTGCTGCTGCGCAAGGGTCCAACCTTGTGGAACACTCGGCCAACTCTCCCCTCTTCGCTCTGTCGCGCGTGGGTCGAAGGGGGAGACGCCTCGCGTACCGCCGCCGTGGGCGCTGGCGCTGCTGGCCGCTGCTGCCGGATTGGCGAAGGATCGCGGTCCAGAAGGGGCGGAGGAGCGTTTTCCCGATGGAAGGCGGCGAGTCGCGCTCGTGCTCGCGCTCGTGGATGGAGGTGGGGCCTCTGTGGCGGGCTGAAGCTCGAGGCGTGGAACGTACTGCGGTGGAGGGGAGACGGGAATGGATGCATGGGAGTCGCGACTTGAGAATAGAGTCAGGTCATGCGCTTGTGTAGCAGTACGACTAGGGGGAGAGGGCTGTTCCTGCTCGCCAGGCATATCCCTCTCCGATTGATTTCGTGCCACTGGCAAGCTACGCTCGAGGGATGAACTCGCCGCCTCTCCCTCTTTCGGCGGCGTGCTGCCCTTTCTGACCTCTGGAAGCATACTGGTACGTAGCGCCGCCGGGATAGGAGGAACAGGCGGGGTGGTCTCGTTGGCATTGACGTTGTTGCTCCATCGGCGCGACGTGCTCGACGCCGCTCCGCTACTGAAGCTTCTCGGCCTCCCTACGGGACTTGCAACGGCTGGTGTGGTGCCCCCGCTGAGCGTGCGCGGCTGGCCTGGAGCACCATTCCCGACTACGAGGCTGGGTGGGAGTGCCGCGCTGCCGACACTTTGACTAATGGGCAAAGTGGCAGGTGGTTCGGCGGGCATGGAGGAGCGGCGAGGCTGGTTACGAGGCGGGGAAGAGGCGCGCGGGATGACACGAATGCTTGGCTCCCCCGTCGCGTCCTCGTGCTCCCAGCTGTTCCTACGACTGCGCGTGCGGCTATGACGTCGTGGAGTAGCAGGTGGAAGTGGTACAGCTTCATAAGCCTCGGAACCGCGCGCATCGCTCTCCCTCCTCGTGGCCCTCGGCGAGGGAGGGGTGGCGGCTTCGGCCACTTGGGCTAGATAGTAGTCGTGCAGACCAAAGGGGGCAGACGTTGGGGCCACGCCGTGCTGCGCGGAGGAGCCACGCCGACTCTGAGTACCGAGCGTCACGTCTGCCAAATCGCCGCCGCCGCCAGCGCCGCCGTCTTGTTCCTCGTCTTCCTCGTCGTCGGACGAATCCGTGAGTACCTGCCAACGAGAACCGCCGTGACCTCGCGCGCGCGACGTCTTGCGCGAGGTCGCGGCTGGGAGTACTTGGGGCGGCGCGAGGGGCGCCGTCTCCGCGGCTGCGCTGTTGTTATACCTCGACTCATCGTAGCTATAATCGAGTCCATAGCCTTGGTCGTATTCTCCCTCCTTGTGCTCGCGCTCACTGGCGTACGTGTCCTCGCTCCCCATCACATGCTTGTACGGCGCGCGTTGCTCCGCGGAGGCGGTGACCGTCTCGAAGAAGAGGGAGGTTGGGTGATGCGTCATGAGGTCGTCACCGCGGGCTGATTTGGCGAGGTGGCGAGCCTTGCGACGGCGTGAGCAGCTGCGGGCGAGTGGCGGGAGAGCGGCGGGCGAGCGGTCAGCGTGAAGCACTAGTATGGGAGGGAGGGGTTATCGCTTTACTCACAGAAAGAACAACGCCACACCGAGGCAGATTAGCACGACGCTGGCCGTGATGACGACAGCGAGGAAGATCCAGAATGAGCCGGCAATCTTGGGGGCGTGTGCTAGCATGGCCTTGTCCAAGGCATCGCCGTCCTGGCTCTGGCTCGGGGTGGAGCTCATGGTGGCGTGATGTGCAGTGGTGCAAAGAAGTTGGCGTTGTGAGGTGAAGCCGCCGCGAAGAGTGAGGTGCTTTGCGGGTCAGGGGTTTGAGGAATGGCGCGCTCTGAAAGCCTTGATATCCAGCAGCGTGTTCAATGGGTGTAGCCCCTGACGATCTGTGGCAATCTTATATCCCCTCCTGTTCCCTATGCGTGCTGGTCATCCGTGCGCCCGAGTCGCGCTGCTCACGGTGAGACGGAGCGGTGAGACAGAGCGGTGAGACGGAGATGTTGGTCGGTGTCGTCGCGAGTAAGACAGGGACTTGTACGTCTCGAATGTGTTGAGAGGATGAAGGACGAGAAGTTGTCATCTGGAAGACGCAGAGATAGATGTCCTGTGTCACTCCTCGCAAGCGCACACCTCGCCTGGGTGTCAAGCATGAAGCACGGCATGCATCGTGCTCCACTCACCCATCGACCTACCCACACCGTTCGCGGTCTTCCTCCTTCCCAAGTAGGCAGGTAGAGGAGCTGAACCTGAACACCGCACGAACAAGGGTTCACCGCGCACGCTCGCACCGCCTTGTTCGCGGACATCTACCCGGCGCATAGCCTCGCATAGCTTGACTTTTTGGCCCCTCGCCGCCCACTGCAGCCCTGCCCAGTCGGCGCGCCGCTGCGAGATCAACCGGCGGGGCGCCAAAGCGAGCCGCGACGGGCGAGGCAGCCAGACCACCGCCCGACGTCCGTGCGCGCGCACAACGACGAGCAAAAGGCGGTGCAAAAGTGCGTGCGTGCCCGCGGGCTCTCATTAACGTCAAAAGGTCACGTCGAATCGGGCAGGAGTTCGGGTGCGGGACAGGCGATCTCGATTGTGAGCTGGGCGTTGAGCTGAGTGGCGAAGAGGCGGGCGGGCGGTGCTATGCTATCTGAACGTCACGGGAGCGGGGCGGGATGGATGGGTAACTATGTGTTGATTCGAAGTTCAGCGCCCGATGGCGGGATGAACGGACAAATAGAGGCGATTTGCAGGTGAGGGGATGCGGGGGATGCGATTACGGCTGGGACTTCGCGTACCTACACCTCCACTGGCATAGCGATAGCTTCTCCGTCTCCGTCTCCCTCCCCGTCCTGCTCGCCCTCCGCCTCTGCCTCCCCCGCTCCCACCACGCCCTCATTCGGCTCATACTCGGTATCCTCGCCACCCACAGCGGCAGGCAACCTCGTCACCGCCCGCCACGGCTTGCGCTCCTCGCCCACGCACAACTGCGTACTCCAACTCATGATGCCCCACGCGTTTGTCCCGACCTTGGACTCCCCGCCTACAACGGGCCTTCCGTCCCCTCCGCTGTCCTTGATGCCGGGGAGGAGGGGGCGGGCAGCCAGCTTGTCTATGCGCGCCTTCTTGGGCTGGGTGGCGAGGGCGTAGTGCGGTGTGTTCGTCGTAGGGTCGTACAGCCCGAGAGGGGGGAGGTGGTGCGCCGCGAGGTCTGAGGGGCGAGAGCGCTTCGCCGTGCCAGATTCGTCGCCGTCACCGTCGCCATCGTGGTCGTCGCCGTCGTGATGGAGTGAAGAGGCCATCTCTGCGTCCCTCTCTCCCCCTGCCCTCTGAAATCGCACCAACCTCTCCAATCGATTCTCGGCCAACTCCCTGTTCATCCCCACAACATTCCTACTCATCTCAAGCAGCCAATTCTCCTCGCTCAGATCTGCCCGATGTTGATTCTGTCGCCTCTGCGGCCAATTCCTACTTCGCATAAATGGACTCGCCCCGTTATCTCCAAAGACGGTCTTGACCATTCGACCCTGCGCATCCGAGCTCACGTAGTCGAAGGAGTCGGGAGGGCGACGCGTACGATCACGCGTTCGATCGTCGTCACGTCTACGCTCTGCTGCTCGACGTACGTCCGTATCGGGTACGAGTTGACCAGCTTTATCGGCTCTTCCCAACTTCTCCAGCTTGGCGCGAGCCTCCGCCTCGTAATAGTCGTCCACGACCGCCCGACCGTTGCGAACCGTCTTTGCGCCGAAGATCTTGAACATGTTACGCGCAGCTACAAAGGTTACGTTGCGCCCCTTTTGCTGGCCGTGCAGCCTTCCAGCGGCTATGAGGTCCTCGCGCTCCTGGGGTAGCAGATTGATACGGATCAGACGAACGTCTGAGCGGAAGAAGGTGAGGGAGTCGCGGAACCCAACGGCGCGAGCTGCGTCTACTGCGAGGAAGTAGACTTTGTGCGGGTTCGCTCGTAAGGTCGAGGTGAAGCTCGGCATCTTGTACTCCCTACCCCCGAGCAGGCGGCCCAATTTGTCGATCTTTTGCTCCCCATCCGAGTCGCTCGGCAGGACGAGCTCATCGCAGTCCCAGCCGTAGACTTGGCCTCCCACTTTGGCGCGCATGTTGGGCTCGATCTGCGGGACGTCTGCTGGCTGGTCGTAAGGGGGCGGACCGGGGGGGCGGGGTCGATCGTCCGAGGACAGGTCGTCTTCTGAATCTTCGAGGATGCGAACTGCGGGCAGGCCGCGGCGGCGGGGACGACCGGGACGTCGAGCGCCGCCCCTGCCGCGCCCACCTCTACCGCCGCGAGGACGACCGCGACCGCGTGGGGTTGAGGCGCCGCCGCCGCCGCCTTCGCCGTTCTCTTCGTCGTCGTCTTGGGGAGTCTCGTCGACGAATTGGAGGGCCGTTTGACCATTGTCTACGACGAGCTTGAAGCCGCGCAGGCGGGAGTGGCGCTTCTTGAAGGCAGTGGGTGTGGGTGCGTCGTCTGCGCCGTCATCGTCGCCGTCGGAGTGATCCTCGTCATCTTCGTCCTCATCGTCTTGTTCCTCGTCCTCGTAGCGATCTAGATAGTTGGGGCGACGCACTGTTCGACCTCCGCGACCAGAAGTTGGGGTGCCTGCGCCGCGCCCTCGTCCTCGACCCCTGCCTCGCCCTCTACCACGACCACGTCCGCGACCGCCGCGAGGTGTTGATGCTAGGAGTGGCGTGGCGTCTTGGTCATCGTGTGCGCCATCTTCGTCGTCTTCTTCCGCGCTTCCCTCCTCGCTCGCGCCGTCCTCGTCTTCGTCGTTGCCGCCAGCTCGGCGGGTCAATGTGATTCGTCTTCCACGAGAGCTACTAGCTCCTCGTCCCCTGCCGCTGCCCCTGCCTCTTCCCCTACCGCGTCCACGCCCGCGCCCACGTCCCCTCCCTCTTCCTCTGGCGGATGCTGGTGCACGATACTCGTCGTCCGATCCGGCGTCCCCGGCGTATATGCGTTCGGTACTATGGTCTCCCTCTTCCTCCGCGTCGCCATCTGCAGCGAATCCACTCGGTCCCGCTGCGTCTTCGTCGTCGTCGCCATCACCCTCTTCCTCCTCGTCTTCGTCATCGTCCCCAGCAAGGAAACGCGCCTCGGCGGCCTGCTGTAATGACATGCGCGCAGCAGCTGCACGGCCGGAGGATCTCTTGGGCGTGCCCGTCCCCGCGCCTGGAGAGTCGGGCGCATCTGTGAGGCTGGATGAAGAGGGTTCACCTCGCGATGCGACATTCGCGGATGACCGCTTGAGGCGGATGGGGGCCATCGCCGGATGATGATGTCGTGGTGGTGAGGAGCACGTCGAGTCGAGTCGAGTCGAAAGAGGTGCAACTGCATCTGAGTCCGCCCGCCCGCCCGCCCGCCCGCCTGCCCGTCCGCCCGCGTCTCGTGTCGCGAGTCGAGTCCGCATCACCTCGACGCCATCCATCGGAGCGGAACCAGTGGGTGGGAGGGCCGCCAGGCTGAGTCCGTCCGTCCGTCCGACGATGCCGCCGCGACTTCTTGACTTTGCTCGCTCGCCTGCCTGCCTGCCTGCGTGTCATCAACCACATCGTCTCGACGTCGCGATGCCATCCGTCGACTCGAGGGGTAGGTCGCCCTTGTCTCCGGCTCCAGTGGCAAAGAGGAAGAGGTGAGTGGGTGAGAAATGCGCGAACTAGCATAGCATATATTGACGTCCATCCTTCGCGCTCGCACGCAGATCCTCTCGCTCGCCGTCATCTTCTCGCTCCTCGTCCTCTTCTCGCTCCCCGCCTCCCCCTCGTCGTCGCAGGGCATCGCGCTCACCGCCACGCAACAATGATCCCCAGAAACTCGCATCCGACTCGGCGCGCACCGCCGAAACAGGCGCAGCGTTGCGCAGCACCCTCTCCACCCTCTCCACCACCCGCGCAGGAGGAGCATACATTCCCCCAGCACGCCTTAAAGCGCTCATGGCCGAAGCAGCTTCCGCCGATCCAGGCTCCAAAGAGTACCAGCGCATGAGCTGGGATGCCCTCAAGAAATCCATCACAGGCCTCGTCAACAAGGTCGCCCCGGACAATATAAAGCACATCGTCCCCGAGCTCTTCGGCGGGGCCAACCTGATTCGCGGCCGTGGCCTCTTCTGTCGAGCCATCATGCGGGCTCAATCCCTCTCTCTGCCCTTTACGCCCACGTTTGCCTGTCTAGTCGCCATCGTCAACACCAAGCTTCCCCAGCTGGGCGAGCTACTCGTCGTCCGGCTCGTATCCCAATTCCGTCGCTCCTGGCGTAGGAACGACAAGGCGACGTGCGCGTCCACGCTCACATTCATCGCGCACTTGGTCAATCAACGCGTGGCGCATGAGATCCTCGCACTGGAGCTCCTCGTCCTCCTCCTTGAGCGACCCACGGACGACTCGGTCGAGCTCTCCGTCGCCTTGATGCGGGAGGTGGGTTCTTTCCTCGCCTCGGAATCGCCGCGCGCCACAAGCAGCATCCACGATCGATTTCGCGCTGTTCTGTACGAGGGTGGAGTGGGAAAGCGAGTCCAGTATATGATCGAGGTGCTGGCTCAGGTGAGACGCGAGGGGTACAAGGACAATCCGGCAATTCCCGAGGGGCTGGATTTAGTAGAGGAGGAGGATCAGATTACGCACAAGGTCGGGTTGGACGATGAGTTGGATGTGGAGGAGGGCTTGAACATGTTCAAGGTGGATGCGCAGTTCGTCGAGCATGAAGAGCAGTATCGCGCCATCAAGGCAGAGATTCTCGGCGAGGGGAGTGGGAGTAGCAGCGGCAGCGGCAGCGACGACGATAGCGACGACGAGAGCGGGAGCGATAGCGACGAGAGCGATGCGGGTGACGCGCAAGAATCGCTCGCGATCCAAGATCGCACCGAGACGAATCTGGTCAACCTACGCCGCACCATCTACCTCACCATCATGTCCTCCGCCCTCTTCGAAGAAGCGACACACAAGCTCCTCAAGCTCTCCCTCCCTCCCGGCCAAGAAATCGAGCTCTGCAACATGCTCATCGAGTGCTGTTCGCAGGAACGCACCTTCTCCTCCTTCTACGGGCATATAGCCGAGCGCATGTGCAAGCTGCGTGGGCCATGGAGCGGTCTATTCGAGACGTGCTTCACGAGCTACTACGAAGGGATCCATCGCTACGAGACGAACAGGTTGCGCAATATTGCTCGCCTCTTCGGTACGCTCCTTGGTACCGACTCGATCAGTTGGGCGTGCTTCGGGGCGGTACACATGAACGAGGACGATACGACTAGCTCGTCGCGCATCTTTGTCAAGATCCTCTTCCAGGAGATGCAGGAGATCCTAGGCCTCAAAACACTCGTTACTCGCTTCACTCAACCAGACGCGGGCGTTCAGTCGTGGTTCACGAACTTGTTCCCGCGGGACTCGCCGAAAAATACGCGATTCAGCGTCAACTTCTTTACGTCCATTGGACTGGGAGCGCTTACCGAGGGGATGAGGGAGCATCTTAAGCAGATACCGATCCTGCTCGAGCAGCAGAGATTGGCAGCTCAGAGGGAGAAGGAGGAGAGGAGGAGGGCGAGGGGTGGGAGGAGTAGCGGGAGTAGCGGGAGTGACGAAAGTGACACTGACAGTGATGAGTCGAGCGTGCTGAGTAGCTCGTCGTATTCGCGATCGCGATCGCGATCGCCGCGGAGAAGAGGGAGAAGCTATACTCGTTCGAGGAGCTACTCGTACAGCGGGAGCGACTCCGACTCGGATGGATACAGTAGCGACGACTCTCGACGCTCGCCAGCTCCACGACGCCGCCTACCACCAGCGAGGGAGAGGAGAGACGCTTTCAGCCCCAGTCGCAGTCGCAGTCGCAGTCGCAGTCGCAGTCGCAGTGCGCCACGAAGGGGAGGCGCAGGAAGAGGTCGGGGAGCATCCTATGACTCGCGGGACTCTCGTTCGCCACCGTCAAGAGGAGGGAGCAGGAGCAGGAGTAGAAGCAGGAGCTACACGCCACCGCCGCGCAGAGGAAGAGGGGCAGACAGGCGCGACCACTCGCGCTCGCGCTCGCGCTCTCCGTCGTACTCGAGGAGCCCGAGTCCGTCCCGCTCCTCACGATCGCCACCGCCACCACGTCGAGACCACGTCAGAGAAGCAAGATACAGGGAGACGGACGGAGATGCTCCCCGTGGCAGGTCCTTGAGTCGTACTCCGCCTAGCGAGATGAGTCCCTCACGTAGTCGCTCGCGCAGTCGCTCTCCACCAGCAGCGCTGCGTCGAGGCGGCCTCTCACCTGGCCCACCACCGCCTGGTCCACCACCGAGGGCACCACCACCGAGGGGTAGCGAGAGACCGTTGCCGCCTCATATGCAGATGCAGGACAGGAGGGGTGGAGGTGGGTATGAGCGGGAGAGGGGGGGATACGAGAGGGGAGGGTACGACAGGCGACGTTGAGCGGTATGGTCGAGACTCGATTCTTGCATCACGTAATGACATTCTTGATTAGCAAGCAGTATGAAATCTCGCGAGGGAGCGAGGCGACGGAGCGAAGAAGTAGCGCGGTCCGCGGTCCCTCCTCGTGACCGCAATGTAATGTAAAGGAGTCTACCCTCTCAAGCAGCCCCACTCGCTCCCCCCGCGACACTCCCCGCACTCGGGCTCGGGCTCGACGGAATGTATCCCCGCGAGATGTAGCCTATCCCTGCGCCAGCACCGGTGGCACTAGGAGTGGCCGGTGTCTGAATCTCCTCTACCTCCTCTCCCTCACCCTCCCCGGCCCCCTTATCACCATCGCGCTCACGGTGAGCAGGCGACGAATCGCCCTGCTGTGCGGACAGCGACGTAGAAGTGGTAGGACTGACGGGCTGCCCGCCATGCAATGATCCCGCAAAACTACCGCGATGGTGCAACTGCCCGGTCCCATTGCCGCCGCTCGTAATGCTGCTCGTGGTCGAATCGCCCCTTCCCCTGCCTACCCCGCCAGCCGAGGACTGCGCGCTCAGTGCATTCACGACGTGCTCGGGGAAACCGTACCCGAAGCCCAGACCGGCAGCCGCCGCCGCCGAGCCTGGCGTGGTGACTCCTGGTGCACCGCCGGCACCAACGCCGCCAGGAGTGCCAGGAGTGGCCGTAGCGGATGCGAGGGGGAGACTGAGTCGTTTGAGGGCGCGACCGCCGCGGGCGTTGGAGATCGAGGAGGGGGGAGCGTCGATGCTTGTTGGTGAGGAGGGGGCAAAGTACGACGAGGGAGGGGCACCGCTCACTGTTGGTGTGCCCGCTGCCCCACCACCGAGACTCAGGTCCCAACTGTCGTGCCCGTGCCTACTGCCCGGTCCTAGCGAGAAGCCCGCACCGCCCGTACTCGCAGTCGCGCCCGGTCCCGCTGGACCGCCCCCGCTCTTCCTCGAGTTCTGCAACCTGCGATGCTCGTCGCGTAGCAGCTTGTAGGCGGAACGGATTTGCGACTCGCGGGTGCGTTGCTCCAGGAGCTGGGATTGGAGCTGTTTGACTTGCTCTGTTGGCGGGACGCTAGAAGCGGGGGTGGTGGTCGCCGCGCTAACGCCCCTCGTCGGACTGTCCTCAAATGTAGATGCGGCGCCCGTAGAACCGCCGCCCGTGGACCCGCTCCCGGCTCTTCCCCTCTCTCGCTGTTCCTCCTCCCACTTTGCCTTGTACTCGTCGCGACTGGCGCTCACCTCGCTCAGCTCCTCTTTTAATCTACTCACCTCCCCCTCCCTCCCATCCAATCGCTCCATCAACTCCCGCTTGGCGCGCACCCCTTCCTCCTGACTCTGCTCCAACGCCGTTATACGCGCCTGAAGCTCATCGACCGTCTCTGCCTGCGCGCTACGCAGCTCAGCGAGGGCTTCGGAATGCGTAGCCATGAGCTCTCCCGCCGCGCGCTCGATCCCCTCATCGCGTTCAGCGAGCAGTCGGTCGTGTTCCTCCTTGAGGTTCCAGATCTCCCGCTCATGCTCGGCGCCCAACGCCTCGACGTGGGAAGCATGATCGCGTTCTGCCTCTCGCAGCCCTTCGAGCTCCTGGACGAGTTGCCTCTCCCTCTGTGCCCCCTCGCGCTTGACGCGCTCAGCAGCCATAAGTCCCACTCTCGCCTGCTCGAGCGCCGCAATAGCTCGCTCACGCTTTCGCTCCTCGTCGGCCACGCTCGCCCTCACTCGCGCTGCATCCCTCCGAGCATCGAGTGCGTCGCGCCTGGCAGCTGCCAGCTCGCGAGCCCCCTGCGCCGCGAGAACCTTTTGCTGCTCCAAAGCCTGCAACGCCTCGTCGAGCTCATCGCGTGCCTCGTCTACCTCGTCCAGCTGGGCGTCCAGCTCTGCCTCGTGGATGCTGAGCATGTAGTCCATCGTCGCGCGCTGTCGTTCCAGGAGGTCGAGGAGCTTGCGGATCTCCCCCGAAGAGAGGTCGAGCTTGGCGTTCATTGCCGTGAGGTAACGAAGGAACTCCTCGCCATTCTCCCCCCAGCCGCCGAGCGGGGTGGTGGAACGAATGATCGATTCGAGGGTGCGTTTTTCTGCTTGTAGCTGTTTGAAGGCGACGGCGATTTCGCCAAAGACGCCCGTGAAGCGTGTAGAGGCGCGATCAGCTCGTGCGGCGCCCGAGTTGGCGTGGTGCGCGCCCGAGCTGGCGTGGTCCTCTGCCATCTGGGAGCGACGAAGCAGGTCCGAGGCGGATGCTTTGCGGGAGAAGGGGGGCGAGGTAGCAGCGAGGCCTTTGCCGCCACTGCCCGCGGTGCTGTCCTGGGACGTGTCAGCCGTCGTAGGCGGGAGGGTGTCGGCAGTCGTAGGCGCGGCTGTGTCCGTCGACGTAGAAGGCGGCGGCGACGTGGCCCCCTGCGCTTTCCAGTCGCCCTGTAGTGCCTCGGAGGATTTAAGTCGCTTCACCTGTACGAGCGAGGGACGACGCCCGCTCTCGTCGTGGCTACCCGACTCGCTGGGCGCTGCCGTGTTATTGTTTGGAGCAGAGACTTTGGGCGCGGGTGCTACTCGATCCGCCTTGCTGAGGGAGTGGGCGCGCTGCAGGCCTCCGCTGGCAGTAGACGTCGATCGCGATGCCGACGCCCCATGGCTGGCATTCGAGCTTCCCGGTCCCGTACCGTCGGTGGTCTTGATGAGTGAGTGAACCAAACGACCCTGCTGCACTACTGCCTCTTCCTCTTCCAGCTCGTCCCCCTCCTCAAAGTCATCGTCGTACCCTTCGCCCTCGGAGCCCGTAGACTCCGAATCAGAAGCATCCCTGCGCGCGTGGTGCGTCTGATCCCAACTGGCCTCGGGCCGCGTCGCACGTAGGACTGCTTGTGCGCTCTGGGCTCCAGCGAGCGTCTCGAGGTGGTTCGTCGCCACGGCCGCTGCAGCGCGAGACTCTGCGTTGGCGTTGGCAGACGTAGTGCGCGGGCGAGTAGCATGTGTGCCATTTCCGTTGGACGCGTGTGTACCATTTCCATTGGATCCTCTCTTCCCCGCCGCTGCCCCTGCCTCGCCATCTCTGCTCGCCACCCCAACACTAGCACTCAATGCGGCCGCCGCAGCTGACACACTCGCGCTCGCAGGGAGCGGTGGCAGAGGTTCAGCAGGCGGTTGAGTCGGGGGAGGTGTTCTCCCGCGCACCACAGGACTGGCGAGTCCAGCAGCGCTGCGTGCCGTGTAAGGGGAGGAAGGAGTGAGGGAGAGGACGGCGGGCTTGTTGCGACGTTTGGCTGTGGAGCTGGGGGTCGAGGGGCTGCGTAGCGTCGAGGGAGAGGCGGGCGACGGCGAGGTGACTGTGAGCGGGGTGCTGGCGCTCGTCGCATCGAGGGAGCCGAGAGAGCTGGACGTGGAGTGGCGTGATTGCGAGGCGCCAAAGGTGTTGACGGAGCTTTCCCTGTCTCGCGGACGGCGTGGCCGGATTGCGGCGCCGTCGTCGTGACCCTCTTCGTCTTCCTCTTGCAATTCTTCCATACGACCGGGGGACGTGGATGAACCCCTTTTTGTCGCCGTGGGGAGGGAGAGGGGCGAGGATGGCGTCTCGATGCCCAATCCTTGGACTGGAGTCGCCGTCGTCGCCGTGCTCGCCTCCGCGGCGTTCGAGAGGCGTCTGAATGTGATTTCCTCGCCCTCCTCGCCCTCCTCGCCCTCCTCCCGCTCCTCATCATCACTCTCATCCCCACCCAGGACCCCACGCGGAGTACTCTGCGCCGTCACACTACCGCTTGCCCCCGCGCTGAGCAGCCTCTCCCCCGCAAAGGGACTCAATAGAGGCGCCGCATCGGCCGTAATGACCCCCTCTTCCTGTTCGCGCGCCAGATGAAGGGCCTCCTCCACGACACGAGGACTCAATGCCCTGCTGACGCGTGCCTGCTCCTGAATGTCGCCGAAAGAGAGGGAGTCCGAGTCGATCATGTTTGCGTACTCTGCCCATGACGAGCCGAGAGACGAGACGCTGTCCGTTTTTGCATGTGTTTGTGCGGGCGCGGGTGGTGTGGGAGTAGGCGTCGAGGCCGAAGACGAAGGGGCTGTCCCTGCCTGTGGTGCAGGTGTGGCTTCTACATCGCGACTACTAGCATTCTGTGCCGCCCTCACCCTGGCAGCTTGGGCGATGAGCTGTGCAAGGGAGGCGGCACTGGGCGATCCTGTCCCTGCACCTGCGCCGCGTGTATCCGGATGGGACGTCTTGCGCGTGGGGATCGAGGGCGCCAGTACGCGGCGTGGTCGTGGGGCAGGGGAGGCAGATGAAGGAGGGGTGGCGGTTGGAGTTGGGGATGACATGGCGCGACGGGCGTGGTCCTTGCGTGCGATTAGAGGAAGCGCTCGCGATTAGAGGAGGCGCTCGCAATGAGAGGAAGCGCTCGCGATCAAAGGAAACGCAACGTCGTCGTCGTCGTCATACCAAAGCTGGATGACCGTCGCAGCGTCGCTCAAAGTAGTCTACTCTATTGGGCAAGCAAAGTCCCACGATCGTGTCCGTCCGTCCGTCCGTGGAGCAACGCGGCGCAGCGGTGGGAGTCTGAGTCTTGTCTCGGTCGGAGGCAAACGTCGTCGTCGGGGCGCGCGGAGCAAGTGGCGGCGGCAGTGCGGGCGTGCAAAGCAAGGCAAAAAGAGCGTAGAGCGTCGAGCGTCGAGCGTAATGCCACCTCAGACGATGTACAATGCACGATAGGGGTGAGAGGATACGGATGGATGACGAGAAGGTGTCGCGTTCTCATCCAGACCACTCGACTCGAATGCAGCAATGCACCTCTCTCACGCCCACTCTCGCACACCACTCTCTTGCCGCCCCAGGCGTTGAGCCGCCAGCTAGCCGGGGAGGGTGTACTGAGCAGCCGAATTAAAGTGAATCGGTCGCTGAAGGAAGGCGCTTCGCTTTGGGCGCTTCGTCGCTTCACGCTTCACGCAGCTGGACGCAGGAGGACGCACATGCGAACGAGCGAGAACTAGGAGAGAGAAGGAAGCGGGGCAAAGCAGAGGGAGCGCGAGAGCAACGCAAGAAGGGAAAGGTGGCAGCCCGTAAACGCTGCCGGGAAAGGTGCGAATCATGCAGCTACGCCCACGCCCGCGTCGAATGAAGGTAGGACTAAACAAGCGAATGGAGCGTGAAGGCGTGAGTTCTCGCGAAGAGGGACGAGAGGATGGGGTATCGTTGTGCTGATCGAGCGGGTCCGTGATGCTGAGGGGGTAGTGCACACTGCGGTGGACAGGGGGCATTCAGGACCAAGTTGCTGCTGCTGCTACGATGGCTGGATACGAGGAGTTGTGCGTCGCAGCACGTCGAGCTCATAGCACAGCGCCGCCTCTCGACGACCTGACCAACGAATGAAGGACGTTGAAACAAAGCTCTGCCTTGCCTCTTACATCTCGCCATCCTGATCCTCATCGCTCGGCCTCCTCTTCTCCTTCCTTGCTTGTCTCCCCAATCTGATCGAGAACAGAAGGCGGCGAGCATGAGCCGCACAGCGCGCCCCGCTTTCACATTCGCTCGCCCTCCCGCCGCCCAAACTCAAGCTTCAGCGCTCATCGCGCGCTCACTTGATCGGCCGATCAATCATGTCATCGTCCCGGACTAGCTAGTCTACTAGCTCACCGTCGTGATCAGAGACCGGCGTAGAGTAGCGTGGCAGATTGGCAGGGTTGACGACGGCTACCAGTTCCATGGAATTGGATGGACAGGCGGGGGAGCGGGCTTGATCACGCATCCTCAAGAAGTTGCTCCCAGACAAACAGACGTCGGCGTGGCGTAGGCGTGGCGTAGTTGTAGCGCAGGGCAAAGTGTGGTGCTTCGGTGCATCGCATTGCATTTGCTTGTCCACGACGAGATACGACGACGCGGAACGATCTTTACTCAGCTGAGCCTCGAGCCTCGAGCCTCGAGCCTCGAGCCTCCGCCCTCCTCATCCATCCTTTCATCATCGCTAGAAATGCTACGCCACGTACGCTAAACTTTGACGCTCTCACGACTCGCGAGCGAGCCTCCTATTCACAGCCGTCTGGCCCATCTGGCTGGCCTGTTTCTCGGGCCAGGGTCGAAGGGCGGAACCTCTCATCTGGTGCCTTAATTTGGCCTGGGCAGTGCGGGGTTGCGTCCGTCTGCGTGTGAAGAGGCGTGCGAGGCGTGCGTGCGTGCGAGGGAGATGCAGGGCGCGGCGCCCTTTCCCCACGCCGAAACGCCTGTCTTCGTTCTAATCACATTGATGATGGCCAATCGCCGTCCGTCGTCACACGATTCAATTCTCGCCTCCATTCCTCTTCATACCATCTCCTCGTCGTCGTCGTCACCAGATGATGGCCGGACCTTCTTACGCAGCGCCCTTTTCCGACCTGATCCCGCGTCATCAGCCTGGCGTGGCATCGTCCTCGCATGGGAAACGAAAGCCCGTACCTCACGACGCTCGCCCTACATCACCATCGTGGACGGACGACTCCATGTCCAGCTCCAGTCGCGGCAGCCCATCTCGTCCCAAGCGGCCTAGCACAGCTCCTCTCTTGAGCTTGAGCACGGCGAGCACGGCGCAGGCAGAGGACTCCTTTGTACCCCCACCTCCCCTCGCCCGGCGCACTGCTCGCCACGCCTCTAGCTCGGACGAACCCTTTTCCTTCGCCATGACTCCGCCCGCCCCATCATCAGGCAGCGCTCCCAGCTCCACTCTGTCCGACGCAGCGGCGCGAGGGGACCTTGCCGCTTTCCTGGACGTAGTTCTGGCATCACACCGTCTAACCCCTCCGGCCCCGGCCCTCGTCGCAGGACCAGTAGACTACGTCGCCTCACTACGAGGGGCGGCATCGCGGCTAGCTTCGAGCTTCGAGCGGCGTGAAGGGGCGAGGAGAGGGAGTGGCCAGGCGACGATGAGTGGGGCGGTATTGTTGAGGAAGTTGGAACAGCTCGCCCTCGAACTTGCGCAGGGGACGGAGCAGGGGCAAGTGCTCTGGCCGACGGATGTAGAGTGTTTGAGGGATGGACTGCACTTTATGCTGGTCTTGAGCGAGGCTCAGGTGAGTGCGCGTGCGCGAGCGCGACAGAGATGGCGCGCGCACAACAGAGATGGCAGGTGAATGTGAGCGCTGAACCACGTCTCGCCACGCTCGTAGACGGCCGTTCTCCGCTCAACGTCTACGCTCAAGGAACCCGTTCCATCCCCGCTCAACCGTCGTCACGCGCATCGCAATTCACTCGATAGTGCCAATCTCTTTGGCGCTGGACCACAAGCGCTAGGCGCAAAGGCCAAGCTACTCAAAGCGCTAGGCATCCCTTCGTCGCGCTCCGCTCTCCCCGCGAGCAGCGTCGGCCCCCCTGCTGCGGTCGAGCACGAGAATGGCAACACCTTGCGTCGCGCCAAGTCAAACGAATCGCTGCAAGCGCACGCCCACGCGCAGGCCATTTCTCGTCTCCTGGACTCACGCCACGCCATGCACCAAGAAGTCGAGGAGCTCAGCGCAGCCGTTTTTGCAGAGGCCAACGCCATGGTTCGCTCTGAGAGGGAGAAGGTGGCAATGCTACGCCAGCAGGTGGAGGAGATGCGTCGCCGCGCCCGGTACGATCGCGAGGTGGACGAGGACGAGGATGAGGCGTTGCGTCGACCTAGCGATGGGACTATTCGCGCCGCACGCCGTGGGGATCAGGCTGCGGTTGCGGCTGCGGCTGCGGCGGCGGCTGCGATGAGGCGGGAAAAGCAGGAGAAGGAGCAGGAACAGTCGTTACGCCGGGCAAGACAGGCGAGGGAGGAGGGGGAAGAGTCGGTACGCCGGGCTAGGGAGGAGCAAGAGTCGTTACGCCGGGTGAGACAGGCGAGGGAGGAGGGGGAAGAGTCGGTACGCCGGGCAAGGGAGGAGCAAGAGTCGTTACGCCGGGCAAGACAGGCACGAGAGGAGGAAGAATCACTCCGCCTTGCAAGAGAGTACCTGGGCCCGCTCAGGCGGAGAGAGGCGGAGAAGACCACGAGGACGTCAGGTTCGCTCGACCCACTCCATGGCGGAGACAGCATCGCGTTCATGTCTGGCGAGATCTCACCTGCGGCAGCTTCCTCCCACGCCGGTTCACCCGTCGGCAAGGCGGCGCAACTGCACCCGCACGGCGACAGCACGGCGACGAGCGATAGTGATTCGGACGATTTTCAAGAGACCGAGGAGTACCTGCCGGGAGACGACCAGCGCGAGGATGACTCGCGGCGCGAGGCACGCTCACCCCCGGCTCGCCTTACGCCCTTCGCCCCCGCGACGCCGCGCCTCAACAGCCCTGCCCTCTCCATCCTGACCCGCGCGGGCAGTCACGGCCAAAGTCGCACCATCCGTCCACCAAGTCGATCGCGCAATCGCTCCTCCCTCCCACCACGCGCGCCAGAGCCCATCTCGCCCTTGCCTGACAGGCCGGACGCCGTCCCCTCGACGCCCAGTACGGTCAATCATTCGCTCGACGCCCGCGGATCCCTCCTGCGTAGCTCGGCGAGCTCGAGCGGCAGTGGAAGCGGGAGTGGGAGTAGCAGGGGAGATGTCGCCCCGTCAAGTCCGCCGACGTCGGATGCCAATCATGGCAGTGAGCACGCAGCGATGCATTGGCACCCTTTTTCTGCCGCCGCTGTGAGTGGGCTGGGCATCGGGGCGGAGAAGCCCGCGATACCGCAGCGAATCGAATCGAGTAGCTGGCCTAGGCCGCCGAGTAGGGATGGGCGCGACGCAGGGCTCGACCAGCCGGAGGAACAGGCTACCGCAGCGACTCCGCCGAGATACCACCCTCGCCTGCCCGAGCGGGATACGTCTCTTCCTCCTTCGCCCGCTAGGAGCACGGCGGATGAAGAGCAAGAGGAGCAGGCACCCCGCAACGTCGTTCGTCTCGCCCCCGCCCCCATCTCGCGCGTATCAAACTCGCACGCGCCCACACCGCAAACGCACCACTCCCTCGCCCTCAGTCGCGAAACATCTCGCACATCCGGCGCAACAAGTAGCGGCGGGCGTCCACCGACCCTCTCTCGCTCTACTACCGCCTCGTCCATCTCCGCATCAATGGATCGCAGCGCCTCCTCCTCTTCTTCCTCCTCAACGACTTCATCCCTCAGAAGAGCGCGATACGCACGTCGCGACCACGAGCTGGGCCTACCCTCGCCAGGCATCGACCTCGAAGCGCTAGGCGTGCACTCCCCTCCCGTGGCCAGCAAGAGTCGTTACACCAAGGGGAGTCGTAGTCGGATCTTGGGGCATTCCAACGCGAGCGGCATCGGCGTGGCGGGATTTGCCAAATCCCCCGGATCGATGTTGGTCACGAATGCGGGTGCGGGGAGGGATAGGCCGAGAAGGGTTGGCGGGCTGAGAGATTCGGGAAGGGAAACCCCGCCTGTGAGCTCGATGTCCCGATCAAGCTCGAGGGCTCAATCGCTCAACGAGGTGCCGCGAGTGGGTAATGGAGGGTATGGGCGTGTGGAGCAGAGGCGCGGTGTGCGATATCCGGATGAGGAGGGGGAGGAGGACGAGGAGGAAGGGAGTGAGGAGGAGGAGGAGCGCGAGGAGCGCGAAGAGCGCGAAGAGCAACAGCAATGGGGGGCGAGGAGGTTGCGCTTTCGTTGATTCAGTGCGTTTAGTTGGCACATCCAATCCAATCACGCATGGCAGGCAATGTGCGTCGATGCGTCGGTACGTTGATGTTCTGCCGATATCTCGCGAGTAGCAGCCCGAATCGCGTCCTCCTCGCTCCTTCTCCGTAGCTTCCCCCTCGCCGAGCAAGCACAACATTCGACGCAGCGTCACTCAAGCGTCAGACTCGTTACGGCAAAGGTGACCTCATTCACGAGGGTACTGCTGAGCTTGCAGCGTTTCCAACCATACTATTACACTAGGGGAAGGAGCGCCAAGTCATCTTGAGCGCATCACGGTTCGGCTACGTATTCGTCTTGAGAAAGAGACCGCATTGCGAAACGCTGCAATTCGACACAGGCGCCTTCGGGTTAGGAAAGTGGACGTAGCGGTGGCCGTGACTCGAGCGCATCTTCCCGCTTTCGACTCTGGATAGTGCAACCACTCCTTCGTAGGGGTCCGATTTGCATTCTGGGTCAACTGTTGTGGGTGAGCATCGTCTGGGGCATCTTTGCTTGGCCGTCGGCTTCTGGTCCTCGTGAATGGCTCGACTTCCTCAACCTCGAATGAAGGCCGTGATCGCGAGCTTACCGTGTCCATTTGACTGCCCAGCGACGAGCGTCGAGCTACGAGTGATGCTTGAGCGACGTGCGTGGGGCGTAGAGCGGGGGCGCTGTAGCCACGTGGCGCCGCGCGCCGCACGTCTCGCGTCGCGTCTCGCGTCTCGCGTCGCGTCTCGCGTCTCGCGTCGCGTCTCGCGTCACGCGTCGCGTCGCGCGTTCCGCGTTCCGCCCCCTCCTTCCCCGCACCCCCTCCTCTACGAAGCCTGCGACACGCCTGATTTTCACTTCTCACCTTGCCATGGCGTCTAGACGCAACGTAGTGATGTGAAACTTGGCCAGTCGAGGTGATTCGGGACGCCGCACACGCTCGCCGTGAAAAAGGCACCTCTTGATCGCGCGGAAGTCGCAGGACGAAGGGGTTGGTTCTGAGGCGACGCCCGGCGAAAGTGGCCAAAATGGCAACGAGTGCCCGTACCGCACTCTAGCCGCTTGCAATCGATTCCTTGCATCCACACGACCTCCCTCGCACTTCTCCTGCGCTCTCAGCTGCCCTCCTCGCCGAGCTAGGTCCGCGTACGCTACCACCGGCATGGTAGCGACGAGAACGTGCACCGGGCGCGAACGGCGAGGAAATTGTACAGTGTGACCTCACGGCCGGTCGAGGGGGTGTTTACTACACCACATACTCGAACGGCGGCATGAACGGACGCCTGTGGGCCGATTTCACTCTGAGCCGTGGCGGACCCTATTCTTGAGGTGGTGCCGTAGAGCGGCTAGCGCGGTGGGGAGCGTCGTTTTGCGGGTGTTGCGAGCGCAGTGGCATCTCATGCGCTCGCCTGAGTCCATCGAGCCATCCAGGGCGTCCATACGTGGTGATCCGGCTGCGCTACGCCCGTCTACGCGCGTGCCTACGGTGGCGGGTATCGACGCGCTGCCGTGCCGTCCAGAGTGAGCCAATCGCCGCGATTTCGGTACGTGCGTGACAGGAGCGATCTACGACGTCGATCCCGCGCCTTCTTGCCCGCGACGCTTGACCTTGATTTTTCGACGAGGGTGCTGGGCATTGGGGGTGAGGGGTGGTGGCGCAAAATCCGCTCTCATTCGGCGGAGACGGCTCCAATCGCAGCGGGGACGGTGTGTGCGAGTAGCTATGCGTGCGGCGAATACGCTGGTGTAGCTTGTTGCCCGCCTCGTCGAGTTGCCCAACCTGCTCGCTACCACCGCCTCGCGTCGCGTACGGCGTACTCGAGGCCAGCTCGGCGTGTGGGGCGGCAATGAGTGCGAAAGTTGCACGAGCGTGGAGCGGTGGATGATCCGAGGGGAGTGAGCCATTTTTTGGCGCTCATTTCGGCCATGCTGCAACGGGCGGCCGACCACGTCATGCCGGGCAGGCCATCGTAGGGGGTTTGCGCAAAAGTTGCTCCTTCTGCGCTGCCTCTGGTACGTACGAGTGCGGACGAGCTTTGCGAGTGTGGGCGTGGCATTCCCAAGGCGCTACCTTGCCTCTACGCCGTGCTAGGGGTGCTCAAAGTTACCAGGTCTATCCGCGGGCGAGGCGTTCATCCTGGGGGGCAGGCTGTGATGCGGGGCGGCGGGGTTGTATGCGGGGTGATGGCGTGGATGCCGAGCACGGGCGACCATGCCGGGGAGTTGGTGTGGATGCTCGGTGGAGGGGTTGATGCTGGTCGGTGGCGTGGATGCTGAGCGCAGGCGTCGATGCGCGGGAGAGGCTACTGCGCTGGGTAAAGGCGTTGATGCTGAGCAGAGGCGGTGATGCTGGGTAGAGGCGTGTATGCTTGGTGAAGGCGTCGATGCTGCCTGCTGGCGTTGATGCCGTGTGGAGCCGCCAATGCTCGCTGCTGGCGTGGATGCTCGCTGCTGGCGTGGATGCTGAGCGCTGGCGTGGATGCTGAGCGCTGGCGTGGATCCTCGGCGCAGGCGTAAACCCCGCGCGTGAGGAGGCGCAGCAGCACGCTGGTACACAGCCGTGGTTGCTGGTCTCACTGCGCGTGACTGGCATCGATGCTGAGCAATGGATGTAGTACGGCGGTGGGGCGTCGAGGCTGAGTCGCGGCGGCGATGAGCTTGGGCGCAGTTGATCCTCGATATATGCATGCGATGCCGCCGTGAGGTGACAATGCTGGTAGCAAGCAGACATTGCGCGCAGCTGGCGGTAATGCTCGCTGCAGGCAAGCAGGCTCGTGACAGTAGGCGATGCGCGAGACTGGTATCGCTGCGTAGCATTGGCGGGTATCCTCGTAGCCGGGGCGGATGCGCGCTCGAGGTGGAGCCGCCGTCCCGCTGCGTAGCGTCCCTACTATCCGCCAGCGACCCTGCTACCCCGTGTGACGACCAGCCTGCCGCATATCATGCCCGCCTCTGCGATAGATCCGGGCGCGCAGCGTCAAAGCCCGTTGCGTGGTATCAATGCGGAGGGCAGGCTTGCGTGCTCGTGGGTGGATGCGATGCGGACAGCAGGTTGACATGCTTGCGTATTGGAGGCGATGCGGATATCAGGCTTACGCCCTCGCGAGTGGATGCGATGATGATTCGTGGCACGTTACCAGCTGGCAGGCACGTATGCTGCGCTGAGGTGGAGTGACTGGCGCGAGGAGCGGTCGAGCATGCAAAGGGGAAGAGGCAGGGTGCAGTCTAGCTGCCCCGTCCGGGGAGGCTTTCCCGGAAGCCAGGCAGACAGCCACGTGGAGGTGGGGCGACCCTCGCCCGGGAAAGTCTCCCGGGATGGGGGCAAGCATTCACGTGGCCTGGCAAGGCCGACGACCAGTGGCGGACGATGCCATGTGGCGGGGCGCCAACCTCCACCCGGGAAAGTCTCCCGGGATGGGGGCAAAGATCCACGTGGTCGGGCGGACTGGACGACCGGCGGCGGACTAGGCCATGTGGCAGGGCGCTATCCTCCACCCGGGAAAACACCCCGGGGGCAAGGGAGAGAGCCACGTGTCGTCGTGTCCGCCCGCCCCACGGCCTCACCGCCCCGTGCCTGCTTCCGTTCCGCCCCGCTGGCTCGACGACTGGTCTCTGCGTCGAGGCCTGGTGCACAGGGACACCGCCTGAGCGCCGTGACGCAGCCTGAGCGCGAGCCTCCGCCCCGCTGATGGCTCGCTCTCCGCACGCCCAGCTAACAACGCGGCGTGGCAGGATCGCACGACGGCGGCAGGGTCGCACGACGCCAAAGGGATCGCACGCAGAATCTCAATGGGACGGGACTCGGATCCCGTGCCAATTACAAGCGGTCGTCGATCCGCCACGTGCGGACGTCTCACAACGACGAGGCGAACATCCGCAACGTGGGGCTCATTTCCCCTATGCGAAAACGACCGGGAAGGACGAGGCAAACGGCCTCGATGGCGTGGGTGATCCCTGTTTCGGGATAGCATACCGGGGACGAGGTCAATCGCCTCAACACGTGGCAATGTTCCAGTGCAAGGGCATCGGGGCGGAAAGGAGCGTCGAGGCCTTAGCTCAGTCACGGCGCCGCGGGGCACGTTTCAAAGCCCGCACCGAGACACGCTGCCGGGCGGAAGGCGGGCTGACAGAGGGTAGCGGTGCGGCCGGGCAAAAGGCGAGTGTCCAGCGCCAAGGTCTCTCAGCAGTCGGCGGCGAGTGAACGGGGCGGAAGGCGGCGAGGCCGGGCACAGGCTGACGTGCTGCACGAAGCGCTCGAGCCAGGCAAGAGGCAGGGCGGCCGGGCGCAGGCTGGGAAGCAGGGCGTGGTAGACAAGCCGGGCGGAGTGGACGGTCGCCTCCACATAGGTGAGCAACCTGAGCCCTGGCTCAGTCGCGGCACGCAGCGAAGCCTACGGTCTCAGCGGAACGCGCGCCACGTGCTGGCATACAAGCCCGGTCTCAGTCTCGCCTCA